CCTAACCCTAACCCTAACCCTAACCCTAACCCTAACCCTAACCCTAACCCTAACCCTAACCCTAACCCTAACCCTAACCCTAACCCATCGGTCCAGAGGTCAACGCGTCGTCGGAAGGAGAATGAGCATTCGGACAAATCCATTGCCGATGGCGCAACGGCGTGCCAGCCCCTAGACACTCTCTAGACACCGAGACCGGCGGCTTCAACGAGCACGACAAGTTCGACCCTAACAAACAGCGCGACCGGCTTTGAGCCCGACTACGAGTCTACGACGTTGGTCGCGATTTCGGCGGTCGATACTCATCTGGACCGGAGCCTTCGCCATTCCACCCAGACGGTGCTTCTCAAGACCAAGCCGCCCTCTTCACTTGAGCGATCGCGGATCGAGAGGAACGCCAACTTGAAGAAGCAGCGCAGATAGCCGGATACTTTTTAGCGAGTTGATTCGCTTCGCGATCAATTTTCTTATGGCTTGTCCAAGTGTAAAGCTTTCGACATCGTTGATAATTGTTATACTAGTGATCATTTTTATTTCGATCAAGCTATTCCCTCAAGCTCTTTAGAGCTGAAGGTTACATTTCGGAAAAATCGGAGAATCCGAGCCAATGACGCCCGTCCAAGGGTTGAATCAACCTTTTTTTTGGCTTTTTTTTTTTTTTTTTTTTGAGAACGGTATATACTTGTGACTTCAGCCGAGCCGGATGATGACTTTCTGACGCGTGTGCTCGCCCTGTTGAGGCGCTCGAGTGAGCGCGACCGAGTTGGCGACGATCCCAACTCGGGCTCACTCGTTCTGCTTGTTCTGCTCCATCTCCCACTCGCGCCTCGGACGGCGTGACCCCCGCACCACTCCAGGCCGTGTGCACCCCCAGCACGACGACAGCGACAGCATCGCGATCGGAATGTCGTACGCACTCCCGTTCGGTGCTCCGCGCGAGGAAGCGGTCACGCAGTGGTCGTACACGAGCGCGTGTGCCTTTGTCGCCGACCACGACGCCCACGAAATCGTCGTCCCATCTACCTCACCTACGACATCTGATCACTCCCGACACGCCACACTCTCCCAGGACGACCACGCCCTCTCGAGCTCGACGCTGTTCCTCCCGCAGTCGTCGCAGCACGGAGGCCACGTGCTCGCTCGCGTCGTCGACCAGGGATACTGCCTCGAATTGAGCTACAACGCATTCACCCTTGGCAGCTGTGACGACAACAGTGGTTTGGCACTCGACCTGGGATCGTCAAACCAACAGTGGCCGCCCGTGCGGTTCGTGTTTGGGTCCAAACTGGTGCCTCAACCTTCCCTCGTCCTCGTCAGCCCATCCCCAGACGACGACGCCGACTCCACACCTACTGCAAAGGACGAAGCCGAACTACAAATCTATGCCCTCACCGAATCAGGCCGCCTCCATGTTCTTCATTTCTCCCTGCCCAAGCTCTTTTACTCGAGCACCGCGTTCGACGAAGCCGACGACGACGACGACAGCAACAACGAGCCCAACCTCGACCGAACCGCTTCAGGGCGACCGCATCATCGATGGTGCGAAGAGTTCACCGTCTCGTGCTTGGCCAATCGTACGCCGGTGTTGATGCATGGTGTCGATGTGTCGAGGGTCGTCGTCGCGTGCGCGGATGGGTTCGCAGCCAGTTTGGTCATTGCCGATGGTCAGTCCTTTCACGCGGGGGCTGTCGTACCTCGTTGCTAGGCACTGACAAGTCGATATATTGCTTCTCCAGCCGACGAACTGATCGAGACCGAGCTGCGATCATCGTCCAACTTTTTCAGCGTGCGGTCGCTCCTCCCGTCCTTTTCAACACGCAACCTCGCTTCACCGTCGCAGTACCACAATTCCAACGCGAATCCGAGTGGATCGACCTCGAACTCGAACGCCTCATCTCAGATTGTGTCGTTCGCATCATCGGTGCCCGAAGCCGACAAGCCAACGTTCGCCTTTTCCGTCTCGCGCGATCGCAAGCTCAAGATCTGGGACCTCGATGCCGGCGTCGAGCTCAAGACTATCGATCTTCCGAAACCGGCGTCGTCCTCTACATCAGCCCTGGCCTTGATCCCCAGTGATGCGTCTTCTTCGACCGACTCACCCGCTCGAACGACCAAATCGACAGGTCTCCTCCTGTCGTCGACACCGCAGACATTCGTCAAACTCGTCGACGTCCCATCCTCTTCCTCGTCTTCGACCATCACCTCCCACCTCGTCATCTTCTCGCCTGCATCTTCGACATCGCGAGCCGCCTTCTTCGCCTACGCGATCACTTTGGACGAAGAGACCAAGCTCTTGAGTGAGCTGACCCCCGTCGGAGAAAAGCTGTGCCCGCACCTCGCGAACGCGAACGCCTCCCTCGTCGACTTTGCGATCCAACCACTCGCACTCGGGGACGACGCACGATGGACGCTGTGGACGGTCTGGGATGAGGGAGGAGAGTGTGTCGTACGCACGATCGATTTCCCCGAGCTCGACCCGACGCAGGCGATGACTTCCGTCGCCGATGAAGGAACTTCGTCGTCGAACGAGTGGGTCACTGTCGAGTCGGGCACGGCCGGTCTTGTATCGCGATGGACGGCACCCTATTTCGACGAATTGTTCGATACCGAACCGAATAAAGGTGTGACTGAAGTTTTCGTCGAGCACGTCAGCTACCCCGGTCGGTACCCTCTCTCGACGCTCGATCACGCCCTTGCTCAATACGAAGATCGCCTCGAACACGACATCGCCGAAGGTCGCATTGCACACAAACCCGAAGCGATGGAACTATTCTACGAGACCGTGCTCGAGCGCATCGTCGCTGTCGTCGGTTGCGCCGTCTCGCTCGAGCAATCTTCGCAGACGGGCGCGATGCTCTACGACGCCTTCAACCAGAAACTCAAGGTCGAATGGCTCAAATTCGTGACGATGCTCAACGAGTCGCGGCGAGACGCACTGTTCCCCACCAGCCTCGCCGTCGACGCTGAAAGCAAAATCGCCTTTGTCGTCACTCGCCAGGCGATCGTCGTTCCGACGTTACTTGACGAGTCTCAGCTCCTCTATGACGTCGCTAGATCGGGGTCGTCCACAGGGCGACTCGCCGACTACTTTACCTTCAGCTACGAGCGTGTCATCGAACAAGCCCTCTCCGTCGTCCGTGCGATCCAAGCCCTTCGGTCTGGCCTTGATCCCTTATTGATCCGTAACTTTGAGAACGAGCTTCTCGAGACGCTGCGGACCGATCGCGCGCTCGATGTGGGGCCCCTCGCGGACGACCTTTGGGAAACGGTGCTTCACCCTTGCATCGACGAGGAATTGAGTTCACGCATCCGCCTAGCGATCGCACCTGCGGACCAACTCATCATCTCTCTCTGTGGTATCCTGACAACATGGCAAACTCCAGCCGCGATCGATCCGCCAATGTGGAACCACGGCCTTCCAGCGAGCAACCTCGCTTCCGCCCTGATCGCCGACGCATGGACCGCCAAGCTCGAATCACGCTACGAGCTCGCCCTCGGTCTCGTGATGTTCATGATCCTCAAAGGGCGGGACCAGTGCGAGTCGCCGAACGTGATCACCAGTCACGTTTTTGCAGCGTTCCATTCGCTTTCGAGGATGCTGTGGGTCGCACGACAAGGCGTGTCGCCGAATTTGGATACCGAACTTGCTCTTATTACTGCGACTGCTTCCAAGACTGGGACTTCAAAGTCAACAGCAGACGACGATGACGAAGTCTTTTCGCGCTTCGGCAAGATGAACGTCTCGAAGGGTCTGAACCGATCGAGCGACGCCGGCGCCGATGCCGAACAAGCCGAACTGATCCCCGCCTACAGTCTCTTCCACGCCCTCATCCGATCATGCTTCGCCCCCAGACTCCCCATCTCCGTCCGACCCCTTTCCCACGCCTTGACCCTGACCCCTCCTCTCGTCCATGTCGACGGTCTCCTAGGCCCATGCGACGTGATCCGAGACACGCCCGAGGACGCGACCTTCGCGATGAGGGTCCACGACCTCGGTTTCCCGACACTTGCGATTCGCCTGCTGGATATGGTTCCGAATGGTGCGGGGATGATGTACGTCAGGGGTTTGGCGCAGTTGAGTATTGGGGGTGTTGCGGAGGCGGAGATGGCGTTTGAGAAGGCCGCCTCGGGGCTTTGTGAGTCGATCTTTGCGCTGATTGCTCTCAATCGATCGAAGGGGGAGCTCATTGACTGTTTTTTTGTTTTGATACTCGTTCTTCTCGCAGACGCCTCGAGCGACTCGACGTCGAGCATGTCCGACTTATTGCCTACCGACGTATCCGGCTCTCTCGCTCGATACTACACACATATCGTCGCGCTCTTTGTCGAAAGCAACTTTGACGGATCAGTGATTCGGTTCGCCCAACTCGCCCTCGAAGCATTCGACGACACCCCCGAAGGCGCACCCGAAGCGATTTCGTCCGACCTGTGGCTTCAGCTCTTCCGCTCGCAAGCTTCGCTTAATCGATATGAAGACGCGTACACGACCCTCGTCTCGATTCCACATCCTTCGACTCGCACAATCTGTCTCGGCCATCTGATCTCGGTCATGTGTGAGAACGGCTCAGCGTCCCAATTGATCAAGTTCGCGTTCGTTGGGATGGAAGCGGACTTGGAGCGCAACCTGGCGTTCCGAGCGAGGAACTCGGACCCGTTGGCGACGCCGAATTATTACACCATTTTGTATGCGTACTATATCCGAAGAGGGGATTACAGAAGTGGTGCGTCTTGGTCGAGATTTGAACTACGAGACGTTTGACTGACAATAGAAAACCCGGATATCCGCGCAGCCGGAACGATCATGTTCCAGCAAGCGCGACGGATAGGCGAAACCTCGTCTCGCAACGTCACTTTCCATGACCTTGCGACTTTACAGTGCCAGGGATACCTCGCAGCGATTAATGCACTCTCGCTCGTGAGCCCCGATCATGCATGGGCCGCTATCTCGACCTCGGGGTCGGCAGAGGACCGTGCTGCCCCGCCGAAGCGCCGGCGACTCTCGTACGACATCCCCGACGACGAGCTCTCCCTCGACAGCTCCTCCCCACCCGATATCCTCGATCTCTCTGACATCCGCCAAGAATACACCATGGCTCTGTCCCGCCTTCAGCTCGCGGTCGACTTCCCCGAACTTGAGCGACCGAGCTTCAGCCTCGAAGGGGAATCGATCGTCTCGCTTTTCTCTCAGACGGGCGCGTTCGATGCGGCTTTCCAAGCTGCTCGTGTGTTGGACGTCGACATGTCGAGTTTGTTCGAGGTCGTTACGGATCGATGTGTGGGGTTGACGATGAATCCTGAGTCGTGAGTCCACCCCTGCGATTGACGCTCGCGCGTTCTTGTCGCGATCTAACCCGATCAATTTCGAGGTCGCTCGTAGCACCGAGGACGCCTCGTGGGTCACACTCTGCTACGAAGCTTCAACATGGGAAGGAACGCTCGCCTCCAAAGCGTGGAGGCTGCTCGAACGCCATCTCGCGCGCCACGACTCGTCGACATCTCGTTATCGACTCGTCGTACTCGAGCGCATCCTCGCGATCGACGCCGCTCATTCCGAAGTTCCCGCTTTCCTTGCGGAGCACTTCCTCAAGAAAGATGTGGGGTCCTTGTTGAGGAGTTTGATCAGGTACGAGAGGTTGGGCGAGGCGTTCGGGTATGCGGTTCGAGTCGTACGGGTGAGTCGGGCGCGAAGATGTCATCGTGGCAAAAGTAGATCCCCACGCTGATGGATTTTACTTCCCTCCCTACCTTCATAGTCCTCAACACCAACCTGCTCACTCGCTTCCTCCTCTCTCCCCTATTCAACTTTCGACCACCTCCTGAGCCTCGATCGAAAAGACACCGTCGCCCTCCCACCCGCTGTACTCGAATCGAAGCAGGCCGAGCTACGAACTTTGATCAGCGAACGGATAGGGCAAGCTGAGAAGGGTGAGAGGGTCGCGTTGAGGAATGCGGGGAGATGAAGGGTTTTTTTTTGTTTGAAGGAATGTAATGATGTCAAATTGAGGATGTTATGTACCCACTTTCTGAGCTCGAATGAAAAAAGGAACGAGTGGCGTCGGTTTTCTGCCCGAGACGAAAGGATCGGACCGGACCGTGAGCCGGCGGGCGGTCAAGGACTTGCCGAGTGGGGTTGAGCGGGTAGGCTCTTAGGCCGGAGCGCGTTTCGCCTTTGACGCCTCTTCCTCCCATCCCCTCTTCCTTCCAGCACCCACCCCACTCACCCTCACCTCATTCCCAGCACCATGTCCGACCCGCTCTTCTCGGTCGATTCGAAAATCGCGCTCGTCACGGGCGGCGGCACAGGGATCGGGCGCATGGTCGCCACCGCTCTTGCCCAACGCGGTGCCAAGGTGTACATCGTCGGGAGGAGGGAGGAGAAGTTGCAAGAGGTCGTCAAGGAGACTGGTGAGAACTGAAGGTGTGGCGTGGTGTGCTGTGGGTGGTGGGGCTGACGAAATGACGTACGGTGTGATCTCGCGCCAACAGCGTCGTACATGGGCTCGATCGTCGCGTGAGCAACTCTTCCGCCTCTGCTCTGTTGCCTGTTCACCGACAGCTGAAGTGCGCGCTTTCACGCATCGCTTACAGTCTTCCGGGCGACGTCTCGAACAAGGATGGGATCCTCAAGGTCGTCGAGGTCAGTTTTCGTCTAGACGCCCCCACATGCTCCTCTCGAGGCGATCGGCCCTGCGAGTTACCACTGACGATCACTTGCGCCCATCCCTCCGAATAGACTTTCAAAACCAAGGAGAAATCTCTCAACATCCTCGTCAACGCCGCCGGGATCCTACGGATGGATCCCGTCAAAGCCGACCCGGACGACAGCAAGTTCTTCGCGCCCTACCGTGTACGACCCCACTATCGCACTCGCACTAAAACTAAACAACCCCTCTCCTGCTCAACACAGCCAAGAACCTCGCCGAAGCGCTCCTGTCCGCCCCGTGGGTCGACTGGCAAGACTCGATGGGGATGAACGTCTCTGCGCTCTACTTCCTCAGCGTCGGCTTCGCGCCTCTCCTGCACCAGGCTTACCTCGACTCGCCTTCGTCAGAGGATGCGCCCAAAGAAACCCCGGTGGTGATCAACATTGGGTCGATTGCGGGGATCCATAACGCTGTGAGCTGCAGCCAACTTATCATGTAACTTCTCCGAGTTTGCTTGGAAGCTCAGTCTTGCACCCCTGGCGATCATCAGAGGGACGCGGCCTCGGTCTCGTACCAGACCTCAAAGTCGGCCGTCATCCATCTCACCAAGTGCCTCGCGAGTCGCTTCTTGCCCCTCCGAATCCGAGTCAACTGTATCGCACCAGGGTGAGTCAAAGATATCGATCACCAGCCAACGTCTTTCGAATATGCATGCTAATTTTGGTGACGTTGATTTTTGCGGCGGCGCAGACTCTTTCCATCGGAGATGACGAACAGCGACCCCAAGGAGATCCGCAACACGCACAAGACCCACTTCAAGGCCATGCCAGAAGGTGGCAAACTTTCAGTCAAAATAACTTCCTGTGAGCCCTTCAGCTGACACGATCGTATCGCCGCTGCACTCGCAGGTCGCGCCGGAGCACCCGAGGACATCGCCGGTCCGGTCCTCCTCCTCGCCAGTCGAGCTGGAGCGTACATGAACGGCAACACGCTCGATGTCTCTGGCGGTCGAACATTGGTGCGTCTTGACTCGCAACATGAGATCAAGCGTTCTCTTCGCTTACATTGCAGTCATCGTCGTACAGTTGTTGAGCGCGTCCATCATCCCCGACGCTTGAGGCGAAAACTCAGGATTGAGATGTGGGGGAAAAAGTGTCATTCCAGATCGTAAATTTCATCAAGCGCTATGTGATCACAACGTTGTGTACATCAAAGGAAACCGATATGTAATTCACTCCAAAACCAATCCACGTCACAGCTCAAGCTCTTCCCCTCCCTTCAGGCCTCCTCATTCCTTGAGCTGCGGCAAGCTCGGCCTTCTAAGCATTGCCGAAAGTCGCTTCGGATCCGACGAGAGCGGCTTCGGATCGACGGCCGGCCTCGTGTACCTCGCCCCCGCCAACGTCGGCATCACCCTCGCGCTGTTACTCTGGTAAACTGGTCTCTCTGCAATGACACTCTCGTCGACCGAATAGACCGAAGCGTCGTCGTCGTCGTCGTCGTTGTCGTGGTCATCCGCGATCGCCGATTCCGCCAAAGGCACCTCCGTCCTCCTCGCGAGCAACAACTTTCCCACACTCGCTTGCGTCAACGACGGCGCGGCGGATGTCAAAGTCCTCGCGGGCGAATGATGACCCATCAAATCGACCTTGGTCGGACTCGTCATCATCATCATCGTCGTCGTTTCCTTCGTACGTTTCTCGAGGTCATAAATGGCGTTCTTGACTTTACTCGGATGGCGTAAAGGTTCGAGCGTCGACGAGTCGCCAAACTCGATGATCGGGGACGAGGTGATTTCCGGTAGGGGTTGCTTCTTCCTCACGCGCATCGTTCCACTCGTCACGACGATCGGTTCAGGTTCCGGCATGGCCTGCGCAAAGAGATCGCGCGAGGGTTTCTTGGGGAGCTGTCGAGGAGAACCGTGGGCGCGATGGGTTGCGGGTGCTAGAGGTTTGAAGTTGTGCGCGACCGGTGGATCATAGACCACACCCAGGTTGACCGCCTTGGAGTGGAACGCGTGCGGTTCGGGGAAAGTGCGAGTGCTCGTCGTTGGTGGCGTTGGAAGCGGAGGGCGAGGCGACGAAGGTGTAGGAATACTATGACGAACAGGAGTCGCTGAAGGCGAGTCGTACTTGAACAGTAAACCCGCATTCGGGGGTGGCGTTCCTGGATCCGTCGCGGGAAGAATTCCTGACTTCTTGGTTGGTGACATGAAGGTCCTGCTCGGCGCAGCGGGAAGATCGACGACGACCATTCCGGGGCGAGGCATCGGTTTGGGACCCTTTGGCGAGAGAGGCAAGCGATAGTCTTCCTTTACTGGAACGCTTTCGGGGTCGTCGAGGTATCGACTCGCAAGCGACGAGTCGCCAACGCGAGATTCACCGAGGTAAGCATCCAGATCGACGTGATCGTCCTCGTCGATGCCTTGCAGTCCGGCGTACGGCCCGCTCTGATCCGGATTGGGCGAGTAAATCGAAGGGGAAGGGATGCGCATCGAACTTCGCGTATTGGTTGACCCGTCGAGACGTGGAGAGACGAGCTCGAGTCGGCGTGACTTGCTCGACCATCCCCATCCACCGAGCATGCGCTTGCCAGCGTCAAGAGCGGTGCCAGCCGCTGCTCCGAGTCCACTCGGTGCTTCCCATCGACCATTGGGCAAGTTGCCCGATTCGATGTCACGTTCATCTACTCGAGGTAGAGTGTTGAAGAAGCGGTTGAAATCGATGGCCCTGTCCTCCATCGGGGGTTGGAATGGTCGGTCTTCCGGCCCTCCATTTCCACCGCCATGAACGGACGAGTACGACACGGCTCGGAACGGCAGCGACGGCCCTTCAGAGATTTCAGAGATCTCAGACATCGCATCATCCCTTCTTCGCGACCCTCTTCCCCACGACTGTCGAATGAAGGACCACTTGGACGAGCGACGCTGCACGGTCGCGATCGAGCTCTTTTCGGAATAGTCGTCGTCACCTACGAATTTGCCGCCGACGACGAGACCGCCTTCTTCGTCGTACGGATCACCTCGAGCATGTCGACGTTGACGCCGTCGTCGACGGATGATCACGATCGTCGCGATGATGATCAAAGGCACAAGCAAGAGCAAGAGGATGAGGTAAATCTTCTTGAAGCCAGCCTCGTGCGTCGTCGAAGAGGAATCCTGGGACGCTGCGCCGATCGTCGCCGTCGCCGTCGCCATGGGTGTTCCAACGACCATGATGGATCGGCTTATCGTACCTTTACTCGTCGATAGAGGTGTGGTGGTGATCGTGGCAGCAGCCTCACTAGCGGGGGGAGGTGTTGTCGCCTCGGCCGACGTGGCGGGAGCCTGGGTCGTCGGGACGACGGCGGCGGCCGAAGTCGTCTGAGCCTGCCACTGGGTCGTCGTCGCCGCAGCGGCCGTACTCTGTTCCACAAAAGCCTGAGTAGTGGTATGATCCACGTCCTCGGTCGTAGTCGGGCTCCACCTCGGTGTGGCGCTAGCAGCAGGGGCGGTTGTCATGGCCGGAGCGGGGGTGTTGCTGGCGGGCGACGTCCATGGTACGTAGAGTCCATCGTTGTAGGTGAATGTAGAGGTGGACGCCATCCCGGTCTGTGATAACATGCAAGGAGAAGCTTTCGTCAGTGAGGTGGTGCAACCCGACGACGCTCCCGTTCGACGCAGCGGGGGCTCCGATAGTGGGCTCGAGCCCCCGACTCGACTCCACTTACGCCGAGGAAGCACCCTTCAAGAACGGCTGTTCACGTGGGGATGAGCTTCGTCTTCGGTCTAAATGTCCGTTCGTGTCGTCGATACCGTAGATGGTAGATACGAGCGAAGCTATACGCACGGGGTGCAGAATAGCTCGTGGGAGTGAAGGGAAGCCCGCTCGCAAATGAGCCAAAGTGAAACCTCTCGTGCGCGGTGACCGATATCCGATCACTCAACATCCAACCCCCGGCCGAAGCAGGCCGAAGCCGGCGGCGCGGGGCGAGCGGAGACGACGAGGCAGAGAAATTCAGAAAAGCCACAACATCACATGTCTCGACCAGAGAACTTGGGTACCATGACCATAAAAACAAGTATATCGAGCAAAAAAAAAAGAAATCGACCTAGATTCAAACACCTCACTTGCAAGTCCGAAGCACCTTGCTCAGCCAAACCGCGAGATCGATCAATTCCTCGCTGAACCAGGCGTGGGTCGAGATTCGGACAAGTCATGAACTGCAAATGGTGCAAGCCCACACCACCTTCACCAGCACCGTTCGGCTGAGATATTCCACAACACGATCGTGACATCATAATCATAGCATTATATAGCGAAGGGAAACCAAAAAAAAGGGTTCCGCAAGAGAAGAAGGCCCACAGGGCTCATTTGGTCAACCCCGTATTCGGAACAACGATCCCCAAGCCCGTCTCGTCAACGTCCTCGCTCGATACCGTTCCAATCAACTCCTCCTCCAAAGGAAGGGATTCATCTCTGTACCCGCCCTCGTCCCTCCTCTGAGCCCTGCGGACCAATTCGATCTCCTCCTCGCTCGACCCGGTCGAGGTCAACCCATTCGCGCCCAACCTCGGTCGAAACGTCGACGATTCCCCATCTTGCTTATCCATCGCAGAAGCAGAAGCAGAAGCAGGGTTCGTCCCTACCCCTCCACCACCTTTCCTCACGGCCTCCCATTCCAACCTGAAATAGACCCACATCCACCGTCGGAAGACCTCCAACGCTTCCATCAGGAAGATGCCCGATTCGATCTCGTGGATCGAGTGCAGATGCGACGACATCTTGAGCGACCACGTGAATCGCAGAACGAGGTCGATCAGGATCGCGAGGTAGTAGATCGAAGGATCGGGGAGGAGCAGCACAGGTCGCAGGAAGGGGAACGTGACGTTCGGTGTAGCCGCGGTCGAATACGCGCTGGAATGGTGGTGGTGATGCGTCCGGTGCGCGGAACGGGATGGGGTCGACGCGTCCGTCGTCGGTGAGAGGGGGCGTGAAGGTGGAGGGGGGAACTGCGCGTCGAGCGTGATCGCTTTGACGAGCGTCGAGTTTGCAGGAGGTGCGGATCCTGGTACGTGCAGAGATGTATGTGCCGACCGTGTTCGAGCATGTGCGGCATGAGCCATCGCAGCAGCGGATCTCGAGGTCGTCGTTTGATGCATTCTCGATGGTGCTGGTGATGGAAGGAACGAGTAGGATGCCGTCGGTGAAGCAGACCAGCCCTGTCGCGTGAGCAAGGAAAGCCCCCAATCGTTGGTCACGTCCCACCAAAACGAGTAAAGCGAGTTGACAGCGACAGCCAGAATCCTGCAAGAGTAAACAAAACACCATCAAACATCAGCACACGGCTCCTCCGCCGGAGAATCTCCTCCACTCACCACAGATTGAACAGCGTCGTTCTCCCGATCCACGCATCCTTCTGCCGATCAGCCTCCTCATACGGATCGCCATAATGAGCCTGCATCGCCGACAGGAAGATGACGGGGAATGCACTCGCGTATTTCAATGCGTTGAGCATGGACTTGCGAGGTGTCGGTGTCGAGCCGGATGCGATCTCGGAGATGCACTGTCGGAAGCGGAACAGATACGGCAGACTGCGAAAAAGAGGGATCTTTCACTTCATACTCCACCAAGATTGACCAATAAAGCATCTTGTGCTCACCTTGTCATTATTGGGACCATAAACACCCTCGCACACGCATCCTCAGCGACCCCATCCATATCGAACGACGTCGCGGGGGTGAAGAGCAGGCAGCCCGAAACCCAGACATCGCCGAGCACTTTGGCCGACGAGGTGAGGATATCGGCCAGGATGACGTCGCAAAAGGGTACGGCCGAGCGGATGGGGGATAAAACGGTTCTCCGTAGGGATCTGAGCAGTATGTGAAAGAAAAAGTCTGTCAACGAACAAGTTCTCGGAAGCAGACTTGATCTCCTGGATCGTCCAAGCGTCGAAGAAAACTCTGGGGGACGAAACCACTCAAGTACGGCACAAGTCAGACTAAAACGCAATCGACTAACCTAAGAAACATGAACCTCTCTTTCCTGTACAACACGTTCCAAGGGCAAACGGTCACGAGTCCGACGACGACGGCCGTGATCGCCGGCACGGCCCTCCACTTGACCATCTGATCTACGACGCCACCTGACAGCTTTAAGAACACGCTCCACCCCAGCAACGTCCACAGCATCCCTGCAGCTGCGAGGCCATATATCGGAGGGTAGAGCTTGGACGGATGCGCGAACGGCGCGTTGACGGCTCTCGGAGGATGCGACGTGTTGACGCGCGTGTAATCGTCCAGTCTCACATCCAAAACGAGCGCCGTATCGATGCCGAGAAAGGCGAGGAGATGGAGGTTCGTCGCAAAGCCCAGGACGGTGCTGCAGGTGAGGAAGAGCACGCGAAAGGGGAGAGGGTACTGCGCGCCAAAGTGGATCGACGACGGAGAACCTACGACGATGGGGCCGGCGTCGATGTCGGCCATCCTGAGGATGGCTAGGCAGTCTTACAGCGATCCTAGCTCGACACGAAGCCACACAGGGCTGAATGAGGCTGGGACGGCAGCACAGCGGCACAAGTGACAGACAAAGCTGACGAGCCAGCGCGCTCTCGGCGAGCCGCTCGCACTTCGACGTTGGTCGCTTTTTCAGTTGACAGACAGACGGGGCGAGGCGATCTAGCTGATGTTGGCCATCGCATACATCGCATTGCATTGCATCAAAAGAGGAGAACTGAAACATTGAAAAAAGAAAAGCACAAAGTCCCAACAACCTTACACCCCTCAAAAGCGAAAAAGGAGGGACGGAAACCTTCATCAGTGGACGCGACTGCCGAGCTAATTCTATCCAGAACCCGAAGTCGACGCTTTGGGCGACGACGCGGCGCCAGCGACCGGGTAAGGCACAGGGATCCCGAGCAGCTGACTGAAATGCGACTGGTACTGGGGGGGAAGCTGGTTGATCAGGACCGGGTTCGACTCGATCAGAGCCTTGAGCGCCGGGTACGACAGCGAAGGTTGGCCAGCAGCGGGGAGCGACGCCGCGGGCTGAGCAGCGACGGGCTGCGACGCTACGACCGTCGGTGAGGCCACCGCTGTCGCAGGAGAAGCCGAACCGACGACGGGCTTGGGAGGTTGCGACGCCGACTTTGGAGGTTGGGAGGCAGGTCTCGGGGGTTGCGATGAAGATTTCGGGGTCTGCGAGGCAGCTTTCGAGGGTGCCACCGCTGCTTTCGGAGCCGGGGCGGGTCGAGGGGCCGACGCCGGAGAAGGAACATGCCCATTCGCCTTGGCCAGCAGCGGACTCTTTGCGTTCGGACGAGCAGCCGGAGTCGCAGGCGTCTTGTGCTGTTGCTTCGTCGCTGCGACTTTTGGCGTCGTCGACTTCGTATTCGTCGTCTTGGGTGTCGGAACCAGTGGAGGTGATTGCTGCGGCGAAGCAGAAGCGACGACCGCCTGGGCCGGAGCAGCAGCTTTCGCGAGGGTCGACTTGGCGGGGACCTTGCGAGGTTTCCGTCGAGGATCGGCACGGCACTTTGAGCAGTAGAAAGCGAACCGCTCGTCCTCATACTGTTGAGCGGGTTTGTTCATCAATAGGTCGCGTTGCACGTGGCACGCGACGTGTTGCCATTCGTCGCATTGCTCGCAACACATGACCGTGTGTCCGTCGTCCTGTTCGCATATCACGCGCGATTCAGCATCTACCAGCGTCCATACACTACTCGGTGTGCACTCACATAGTTCCATCCGGCAACTTTACAAATTTCGCAGTCAAAGTACCACGGGTCCTGCGCCTCGAGTGGGGGAGCCGCCGCCGCCGCCGCTACAACAGAATAGACCGGTTGAGCAGCAGAGAAGAGCAACGCCGCCGCCGCCGCTTGTTCGGCGGCTGCAGCAGCGTGCTGCTTCTCCTTGGCGGCCTTCTTCTCTTTTTTCCTCTTGGCCGCTTCAGCTTGTTTGGCGGCTTTCGCGGCGGCGTCCTTTGCGGCTTGTTCGGCGGCCGCAGACTCGGCGGCTGCAGACACCGCGGCGGCCGTGTTTTCAGCCTCGACGCGTGCATTACGCTCCTTCTCGGTCTGTTCGGCACTCGCAGCGTCATTCTTGACCTCGGGTACGGGCGTAGCGTTTTCGACGACGGCTGCGATGGCTCCATTTGTCGACTCGGTTTCGGCCGCCCGCTGCGCCTGTGCGACGGCTTCGATCTGCGCCTGCTCAAGCGCCAGCTCCTTGGCCTGCTTCTCCTCCTCTCGCTTCTTGAGTCGTTCCTCGCGAGTCTCCTGCGGCGGTTGAACAGCTGGCACGTAAGCAGATTCGATGGCATCCGGATCCTCCGTGACCGGAACCTTGTGTCTCGACGCTCGCGAGGCTTTAGCTTCCTCGGCCTCTTTGATCGCCGCGAATCGTTGCCGTTGCTCCTCTTCGGACTCTTTCGATGCGATCCGCGTCGATCTCTTGCGCACCATCGAAAAGTACTCTTGCTGCCTCGCCTTCTCGATCGCAGTCAGCGCCGCCCTCGCTCGGGGCAGCAAGACCGAATTGATACGTTCATGTAGCGCCATTTCGTGGGTATTATGGGACTTTGCGAACTTGTCCGCAAAGGCGGTCCAATCGTCGAGCGTGAGGCACGTCTGCACCGAGTCGGTTCGATCGCGATTAGAGACCAGTCGAGGAGGGGTGCGGTGGGACTTGTGAGGATCGGCACTCACCGCTTCCCATTCGACGAAACCTTGCAGCGCGTCTATCTGATCCCGCTCGACCCAAAAGTCATCCTCCCACTTTGTCTCGCCGACCGGTACCGCGCGCTTGGTCTCGGTCCCGGCCTCACCATTCGGCTTCGACTCGGTCTTGCCGGCCTTGCTCGTCGCATCCTCGTCGTCGTCGAGACTCGTCAACGCCGAACTGACCGCAGATCCTTCTCGTTTGGTCCGATCGTCGTTGAGCAGTTCGTTGCCGTCGACGCCCCACTCCTGCAGCAATTCCTTAGGGATCTCCTCCCACACCTCCTCGGTCCGATTCCGTCGCGAGCGCTTGCTCGGCGTCTCGTCCGACGCCAGGTCGGTCGCCGACACGGACCTCGAATGTTTGCGCCCGTTGCTCGCACGCGCCAACGACGAGCGCGTTCCATTACTGACGCCCACGTCCTTGGCCTTGAGTTTGCCCTTACCCTTGAACGCGGGCACGTCATCGTCGTCGTCGTCGGATTCCTCGACGAGGATCACGCCCTTTTGTTTGCGCTTCTTGGGTACCGCCCGGTGGATCCATATTCTCCACGGGTCGAGCAGGTAGTACTTGTTCCCCTTGGCGTCCTTTCCTATAGGCTCAATGCGCCACGAGGTGTCGTCGTCGTCGACGGAGGCCTTGAGCGACCGACGGAAGCGTTCGGGTTCGTACATGTGCCATTCGCAGACGTTGTAAATGGCTTGGATTTTCGTATCGACGTCGACCTCTTCCCAACCGACTTCGACCCGTCGCTCCGTCGCTCCCAGTGGGATCGGGTCATCGTCGGGATCGGTCGCGGCGGGGAGGGCCGAAGTCGAAGCAACGGGAGCAGCAGTGGCCGATTCGGTATCTGAAAGGTCGACTCTATCGACAACGATGGGCTGGGCCGCAGACGCTGCCGAGTTCGTGGGATCGGTCGCAGGCTCGGTGCTGAGCGGGTCCTTCGCAGCCTGATCGGACTTGGCGTCGGCAGTGGCAGCGGCGGTATCGGCGGTGCTAGTGTCGGGCGCAGGATCTAACCCAGTGGTTCCTATCGCATCGACTTGCATGGATTCGGTCCGAGGGGTGCCTTCAGCTGCAGCGGCAGATGGGTCGGCTGAAGAGGTTGGCTGGTCGGCGGCGGCGGCGGCGGCGGCGGGGGCTGGAGCGATGGGCTCGACGGGGCCTTGTTCGTAGCGGTAGAATGGGTTGTCCTCTCGATTTGTGAGCCGCCTCGAATAGGCTCGGCGGAGTGCAGGAAGCCAGTTGGTGGAGCTGAGAAGTACGAGGAGGGGGAATGGTCGGGCGGTCGAGAGGGAGGGGGGGAAAGGAGCGTGCACGACGAGGGTCGGTCAAGTCAGCTACGGCGATCCAGACCGAGCGCAGCAGCACCATCACCATCATACAGCGCGGATATGGAGCAGCAACGCGAAGAGTGGTGAGCAGGGACTGACTTGGTGTTGCGGTCGTTGGCCAAGGTGTTGCATAACTTGCCCAGGAGCGTAGGCACGACCGAGTTCGGCCGCTCACCCGCGAGGTCGTATTCGAGGTCCTGTTCACGTCGCATCGAGTCAGTATCCAAGATTCAGAAAAACTCGTTGAAATGACCATCAAGACCACAGCCTGCGATGCCTCCAGCAGCGGAACAGACCAGTCGACGCGCCTCGCCGCCTCAAGCCTGAAACGGCGAGGAACCATCCCAGGCGACGCACCCCACTCCCTACAAGAACAAGGAGCAAAGACAACTTGCCTCGATCTCGAACTGCAAATTGACGTGCTTCTTGAACAGGTTGATGAACTGGGAGATCGCGGCCATGCGCACGTCCTTTCGTAGGGCCAAGACGGCCGCGGGAGCTGGTGGAGCGGGCGGCGCTCGGTCCGCCTTGACCGCGCCGTATCGAGCCATCGTCTGGGGATCGATGGGCTCGAGAGCTGAGCTGGGAGGAGGAGCGAGAGGCGGTGGTGGTGAGGTGGGGGGGGGGGGATGAGGTGGAGGGCAGGTGGAAGAGCGCTGAGCAGCCAGGGGGGCGAGTGGCAGCCGAGACAGCGCAAGACAGCGCCTGACAGCGCGAGCCGAGGCGGGAGAGGACAGCCAGCAAGCGCGGCGCAGCAAGGCATTCAAACGAGATCGCCAAGTCAATTGGCTGAGCTACGAGTCAGAGCACATCAGCCACGTCCCATCATCATGCAACGTGACTCTGGTCGCAAGATTACGAGAGTGATTCTAAATCACATTGCACCAAGCTTAAAAAAGAACATCACGATCCAAGTCCTTCATTCGACTAGGTTTTCCGTTCAAAGCGTCTTCTCAACCATGTCGATGCCCTCCTTGCGCAACTCGACCAAGAGAGGGTCAACGATATCCCGAGTATCTGCAAGCCACACGAAACTCCAACAAGATCAGTTTCGCATTTGGTGTCTTTTGCATGGCGAGTGTGACTTACAAGGTGCGAGAATTCCGGGCTTGTTGATGACGCCGTCGAGCACGAGCTGCGTCGCGACACCGCAGGGGACACCGACCAACTTGGCCATGGACGAGTAACCGCCCGAGCCGACGGGCGCACCGAAATCGAGCAAAGTCGACGTGCGGGTTTCCTAAGATGATCGAATGCAGCGACGAGAAATAGTCAGCCAAGGACATCTCTCAGTACGGTGTCCCACCTTCGGAGACACACCCTCGATCCGTCCTTGTTCTCAATCTCAAACTTGTGCTGCAACATGACCATATCACGCTCGCCCTTCTGGTACTGCATCTTGGCCTCGAGCGTCGCGCACAACGTGTCCAACAAGTTGCCGCGGGGCGTGACCTTTTCCTCCCCAAAGAGGCCGATCCACTTCAAACCAGACACAATACGCTCCTCCTCGGCTTGGGTGGGGAAAGTCGTCAACGACTTGATCTTCTCGACCAAGGCCTTCTCGGACTTGTCGCTCGTACCAAGCGCCTTGGCCGTCACCTCGTTCCAAGCGAGGGGAGTCGATCCCTTCGCGAGGTACTCGACGGGGCTCTCGTCGAGGAATTTGATGTCGACGAGCGCCTTGATGAAGGCCGGGAAGCCTTGGTAACGAAGCGTACCGCGGATAACGGTCTCGGCATCGGGGATGTCGTACTTCTCGCGGAACGAGGTCGAGTCACGGTTCGGGTACGCGACGAACGCGAACGCGGGGGAGATGAAGTAAGGTTGCGCGTGCTTCATCAACTCCTTACCATCGACTTCGACGAGCTCGCCCTTGGAGTAGAGACGGGCCGAGTTGAGCAACGCGAGCAAGACGCCGCGCGACGACCACGAGAACTTGTAGCCCAACGGGTTGTCGGCCGATTCAGGGGCGGGCAGACCACCGCAGTACGAGATGAAGGACTTGATCTTGCCTCCCTCTTGCTTGACGCGGTCGAACATGTCGATCGCCCAGACGTGGTCGACTCCGGGGTCGACGCCGATCTCATTCATGACAACGATGCCAGCCTCGATCGCCTCGGCCTCGAGCGCCTTCATCGCGTCCGAGACGTACGAGGTTGTGACGACGTTCTTCTTGAACTTGATCGCCGACTTGACCACGGCCGTGTGGTACGTGTAAGGGATCAACGAGATGACCAGGTCGTGCTCCTTGACGGCCGCGTCGAGCGAAGCCTCGTCGGCAACGTCGACCGAGATGGCCTGGGCCTCGCGCGAGAGCTCACTGGCGAGCGCCTTGGCGGTCTCGACGTTGCGGCAAGCGATCGTCAACGAATTCTCGGGGCGGCGCAAGATGTACTCGGCGGCGGGCGCGGCGACGAAGCCAGAGCCGAGGAGCAAGACCTTCTTGGGCGAAGACGACTTGGCCGACGACGAGCCAGCAGTAACGGCCTTCTTCGTCTTCGACTTGTCGGCGACCTTTTGAGCAAAAGTGGGGAGGGTGAACGCCTGCTTGTGCACGGCCTTGGACCAGTAGCGCGTGTTCTCAATATCGCGAAGTGGGGTGCGCAAATCGCGGTTCTCGTCGAGGGTGCAGACGACGAAGCCGATCGTGCCCGAGGGGTAGGTCGGGATGCTCGTGTAGGCAAACTCGGCGACGGGGAACAAGGTGCGGGTCATAGTCATAAGGTTGTCGATCAAGGGCAAGTGGAGCCAGATGCATTCGCCCTGGGTCGAGATCGATCCTCCAGGCTTGAGTGCCTCCTTGAGCAATTGGAAGTAAGGCTTCTGGAAGAGCGAGTTGGCGGGGCCGACCGGGTCGGACGAATCGGTGATGATGACGTCGAACTCGCCCTTGTGGGTGTCGAGCCACTTGAAGCCATCACCAATGTGAACGGTGACGCGAGGGTCGTTGAAGCCGGCGGCCATGTGGGGCAAGTACTCCCTCGACACACGGGGGACGGCCTCGTCAATGTCGCAGAGGGTCGCCGAGGTGACGCTGGGGTGCTTGAGCACCTCGCGCAAGACACCGCCGTCACCACCTCCGATGACGAGGACGTTCTGCGGGTTGGGGTGCGAGGCGAGGGGCAAGTGGGCGATCATCTCTTGGTACGAAAACTCGTCGCGCTCGACGCATTGAATCGCGCCGTCGAGGACGAGCACGTTGCCGTGGTCGGTCGACTCGAAGACGAGCACGTCCTGGTAGAGCGATTGCTCGACGTGCAGGATCTTCTTGACGCGGAGTGTCATGGCCTGAAGGAGAGAAGATGAGAAAAGTTCTGTAGATCCATGAATTAAGGGGAGTATCAGCGAAAATGAGCACGATCGGGAGCAGATCGGTTGCGAGGAACTAACAGTGATGAATGTGTTGAATGAGCGGAGAGCCGGCATGGCAACATACCTGACCTGCAAGAAGGTATCAGAAACCCAGTCGCATCATCAGTCCCTGTGCATTCTGGGAGCATAGCTGAACAGCAGTCTCCACGACGTACCAGGCCATTGCTCATCCGAGATCTCACGGAACCAGCCATCTATTGATAAGCAAGAGGATGTTGAGTGTGTGATCGAAAGCAGCACACTCCCATGATATACGCGACTGACCGACGATAGTCTTGTGGGAAAGTTCAGCAGACATGGTGTAAAGCAAGAGCGGATGACGAAACGTGGGTCTGCGAAAGCCGGAGCACGCCGAAAAAGTTCAGATAGAGAAAGGGACCGTCAGTGAGATGGGATCAAAGACGCAGGTGACCAAGGTCGATGCACTTGAGACGACACCAAGTGCAAGGTGGGGCGTAGCGACTCACGAATGCGTCGGTAGGGAGCGGGACGGAAAGCCAGAGGGAGAGGCGCTTGCGGAGTTGCGGAGCCAACGGCGGCAGTTACTACAGCTTACGGCGAGTTATTACGGCGATGTCGGCACGCAGAAAATGCATATAGCGTCACTGACTCGGGACCCAGCCCCGGTTTCAAGACATCGCCCGAGCTTTTTCATACGCAAGTCTGCCATATCTCACGACCATGCTCGAATTGGTACTCTACACCCAAGAGTCGGAACTGGAGTAGTTGTGGAAGCAACTGAGCCAGCCCGTCGGCTATTTTAGGTCCGGAGGCAATTTCGATCGCTGACTAGCAAGGAACGGCATACAATGCGAACACAAGATTCCAAAAATGTAATATAAACAATCGAGAACCCTCACTCGACGACCTTCAAACTCCAATCGCCGACCCCCTGAACAGCAAACAAAAACCCCGCCTTCTCTGCCTCCGAGCAGGCTATCCTCAACTTCGTCCCACCAACATTTCTGGAGCGGATCGACGAATTAGCGAACCATGAACCACCTTCTCCACTGGGCTGAACATCCACCCTACTGTTCGGGGCAGCCGCGCTTCGCCGAGATCCAAGGTAGATGACGTCCCTTCCGAAATCGAGCGTCGCTTCAGCTTCAACTTCGCATTCCGTACCCAGGATGTCCGCAGCACTGCTGACGGGCGTCCAAACGGGACGGGAAAAGTCTCCATCCGAGGAATAATGCGCGAGTCTGGGTAGGCAGAGGTGCCCCTCTTGTGCGTGCACGCCAGTTGCTGAAAAACCGAGCAGGACGAGGTGTGTTGTCCTTGAAGTCGGACCAGGGACGTACGAAATGGTGACGTGCCTAACGATTTGGGGCCATACGAAAGTATGAAGCACGTTCATGGTCGTACAACTCGCCTCGCCGCCGGCTTGAACCATTGCCGGCACAGGAGCAAGATCGGATCGAGGACTCGACAGCGCCGATCCGGAGCTTTTGCGGGCAGTAACGAGGTACGTCACTCTACCTTCTGTGAAGAGGTGTGCCGGCTCTCCACGATTTTCCCCTTCTACAGGAGTATACCCCACCCAACCCGCGTCCCCACCCCCCATCCCCATCCCCTCCCCACATCGTGCTGCTCCCACCTTATCAACTTTCACCCCAGTGGCCAAAGTCCTCGCCTCGTCCCTCGACAACCCCGCCGGAATCGCCTCGAGCGTCTTCCCATAACTCAGCAACATCGAAGCCGCTCTCTCAACTCCCGCGCGTGCTTTCCTCTGCAACGAAACCGATCTACCCATTTTGAGCGTCGACGAAGCTGGTCCCAAGGAATCATACGAGACGCTGGAAGAGGATCGACGGCTGCGCATTCGGGTTCGAATGATCGGGATGGTGATTTCGTGGACGGATGAGTCGACAAGTCGAATGAGAACGACATTGGAAGACATTCCGAGGAGGAGAGAGAGGTCATCTTCGACCATCCGAGGAGATCTAGGTGGCGAAGTCCCGGTGGGAAAGCCCGCTCTGAACGATGGGAGGAGGGAGGTTGTCTTGACGAGGTCGACGAAGCGAGGAGCCGCTGGAGCATAAAACTCCCTGCAAGCGGTCCACTTGCGACTCGAACCGCTCGAAGAGGAAGGAGGAGCTGAATTGAGGATGAAGATGGTTTTCGAAGTAGCAATGATGAGGTACAAGCAGATGCGAGGTTTGCGCGAAGGCGACGAGGACGACGCGGTCGAGACCGGGACCTGGCACAGCTTGAAAAAAGATATGTTGCCCCCACTTTTGGGGATCGGCAATACCAGAGACGCATTTGCCCATTCGAGTGGTAAAGCGAGGAGCTGTGACTGGAAAGAAGACGTGTCGAGCGGCGGGGGAGCATTCGGTCGTGAGCCGGTGGACGAGAAGTCGTCATCTGGCGCTCGGGTAGTCGCAGCAACGTTCGTGGAGCCGGCCTCGCTCGCTCCATTGCGATCGGATCCGGCATTCTTGTTCAAGAAAAGGTCTTTGAAGACTATGCGTGATCGACGCTTCTCGTTGTAGGTTGATTGGGTCGGAGACGAGACGGTCGGTGCGACCAGAGAAAGTTTGGTCGAAGCCTGGGTGCAACGAGGAGCAAGAAAATGCATGAGCTCAAACATTTCCAACAGGCAGCCCTTTAATATTGGGGCTCACTGTATTCGTGAGCCTCCATCGAACAAGGTTGATCAAATTCGGAAGACTCCACATCCTCAACTCGAGCTCCCCACCCGTCGGTCTCCTGACAAGCGCCAAAAGCACCCCCGACTCTTGCTGAACATTCGGATCAAACAGCTCCATTTGGACGATCCCCATACCATCCCAGAGAGGAAAAACTTCCATCTGCCCTTCGTTGCGCGGCGAAGCAAGATCGACGAGCCAAAGTCCCGACGTCGTACCCACCAATAGGAGCCTCGCACACTCATCGGTCGCCCGAGCTCCCGAAGCAGCGACGACGATGTTGCGCAATGACACGGAACACGTTGGAGGTTCTCCAAACTGTTGAGTGAAACGAGATCCCAGTGACTGGATGGCCGAGGACGGGGTCAAGGGATGCGCCGGTGCACCGCCGAGCGAGACCGAACGTATCGGATTCGCCACGCCGCCAAACGGTGCGGAGGGGGTGGTAGGTGCCCACGAGTGCCTGTTTTGCGCTCGTACGGGTAGTTGAGTCGGATTGCGTCGCATGGTCGAATGATCTATGCTACCTCTCGTAGCGGTATCACGACTTGGATCGAGGGTATGATCCCGGTGCGACTCGTCGGCATTTCCGATCTGGGATCCCCAACTCTTCTGGGTGTTGAGCATCCGATCCTGACTTCGCTCCCTCGTTCGTTTCTCGATCCTGCCAGCCCTCGAGCACTTTGATAATGAGCATGGATCACCCAAAAGCTGGCTGTTTCCGTAATATCTGGAACTAACCATCCAGCCCAGCGCCCGAATCTCGGATTACTCGGTTCGGCCTTTTCGACTTGGGCGTACGTAGGAAGGCCATCGGGAGCGTCCTGGGGCGCTGTTCTCGAAGCCGAAGCGACTACGTGTGCTTGATCAGATAACTGTGAAGTGGATGCTTGCAGCCATTGTGCTGCTGTTGCTGCGGACTGGGCAACTTCTTGTTCGCGCTCGCCCCCCGAGGTCGAGGTCGATGTTCGTGGCGGTGCTGCCCCACCGCTCTCGGCGAAGACGACGTGGCCCTGGCCAGCGAGAGCGGGGGACGGGACAGTTCGCGTAACTGAAGGTCCATTCTGAAGCCCGGGGATGGTCGAGGTAGTCATGCTGGTCGCATGGACGCTGTCAAGTGCAGGGAAGCGGCTGACAAGCTGTGTGTAGGCGAGAGGGGAGTGCACCGGTCGGCAGTCACGATTCGCGAGGACGTCTTCACTCGCGGACGGCGCAGAACGGCGCCAAGTGACTCGAACGGCGGCGACGGTCACGTGACAGACGAGCCGAGAGCGGCTGCGGCTGATATTAGTAAAACAGGTGGTCGACTATAGGTCACACCTTGATTGAAATGTTCAGAACAAAGCATTCCTGAAAAAGACGTGGTGCGGTTCATCTGTGATCAGCACCCATTGAGTCCTGCTGACTCTGTACATCAGCAAAATGGCCAAACGCGCGTAAGCGCGCGGAACCTCGTAAAGCAGTCGTTAAGCGGCCTAGAGCTGCTCTTAAGTATACTTAAGCGCCCTTAACCACTCGTTAAGCCGCGCGCGCGTTAAGTGTCGCTTAAGTGTACCCTAGATAAGGGACTCTTACGGCGCACTTACGGCGCGCTTACGGCGCGCTTAAGACTCCTCGCGCGCTTTGTTTGCATACGCAAAGCGGTCCGTAAGCCCTCTTATGCGGCGTAAAGCGGTCCTAAAGCGACTTTATCCGAACCACAGACCGTGTTTTAAGCGGCTGTTTAGGCAGTCTTATCTTCGCAGCCCCTGATCTGTTGTCATTATAAACCTATGTTACACTCATATACTACAGTCAAGTGAAGAGAGACTCTTCAAAGTCGCAAGCCCGTTGGGCTGTGATCCTCATCTCGTCACTGGTTCCCCGCCTAGAAACCCCGGGCCCTCGATACTCGAGGAGTGCTACTTCCACGCTGTTCTGTACTCGATTGGTGACTCGTACCTGCATAGCTTCTGAGTAAAAAGGCCCAGAGCCTTCTCTACGACGCCTACGCAGTATGGCCATGACGGGACCCTGATAGTGAGTGGCCGAGAACTCGTGCCAGAGCGCTACGGTTTGCTTCGCCACATTCGCATTTCTGCCAGCGTCGGACGATTCGGGGAGCGATGGGGGCGGCGTAAGGACCTGCATGGCATACCGAACCTGATCCGTCATAGCAAGAATGTAACGATATGATTGGTAGTTTGAAATGGACATTGCTGAACAGTTGAGGAACTTACGCCGGCATATGCGTCCTTATGCACATCTTATGCACCGTTAAGCGCTGTTAAGCGCGCGTAATCTCGGGCGAATCCTTAAGCGGGTTCGCGCGCGTGGCCATTTTGCTGATTGTACTGCCAGAAGCCCAAACTGCACGTGACTTGAGGGTCACGAGTGGCGCGCGCTGTCCGCCTTGGGCTGAAAACGGGTATCGACTCTGGCGCCGCCGCCCGCCTGGCGCGCCTTGTTTCGTCATCGTCTCCTCCACTTCTCACACCAGCCCACCCTCGACCTCAACTTGTACCCAGCCTAGAACATGACCACCCTACGCTTACCACGTCCGTACTCCCGGCATGAAGTTGTACCACCCTCGACGATCGACTCGAGCTCGGACCTGCCCATGTCGTCCCTCTCGCCGTCCCCCTCTCCCTCCCCCTTCCCCTCAGCATCCACCTCGACCATCCCAGCCACAGCAACCTCCCCTACGACCCTCGAAGCACGTCTCGCCGCTTCAGCCCGTCAACAACAACTCAAGCTGCACGCGCGCCTCAAACGAGCCGAACACAAGTCCCCCTTCGTGCCCAAGAAGCATCAGCAAGCCGGCGGGATCGCTTCGGTGTCGCACAAGGGCAAGGAAAAGGACCTGTCCGATCTGCTCGAGCATGAATTGGCCGAGATGCTGCGGGTCAATGCGAGTTTGTTAGAGTCAAAGTGAGACTGAGCGTTTGGGCTTGCATTTTCGGGGAAGCTATGACTAAGTTCATACAGTTCACCGCGCGCAGATCGACCATGTCGCTCTTGCCCGGGAGCAGTGACTCCAAGATTCGCCAGCAACAAGACCGACTCGAAGCTCGACTGAAGGAAGTACAAGACATCAACCGCATCCGGGAAGACTTGCAAAAGACCAGACTCGAAGGCAATGAGGACCATGACGACGATACCCTGCTTGACATCGACGACGACCAAGTCACCGGCGCGGCGGGCGCAAAGGCCGAGGAGGACATCAAGCCGAGAATAGGAGCGGGACGCGTCGGCGATCCCAGTTCTTCCCCTGCGCATCCGACGGCAATAGGATTCAGTCCGCTCACCGTCAAACGAAGATTGGCATTACGTGCAGAGGTAAGTCAGCACACCACGGCTCCTATCGCTTGCATGCTAAACGGCTGACTCGCTTTTCGTTCGCCACAGCTCTCCTCCTCCCCACCTTCTTCACTATGCGGCTCCATCTCGCTTTCTGAATCACTTCGTTTACAAGAACAAGCCGCAACTCGAGAACGTTTGGCGACCGAACGTCGATTGCAAGAGTCGAAGCGCAAGGACGAGATGAGGAACCAAAAAGTTGGCCACAGCTTGAAGGGGGCCTTCTTGAAAGGCGGTGCGGGACAAGGCGCAGCTTTTGCTAATTTCATGTGAGAAAGAGCCCATGTTGTACAACTTTATGATACACCGTGGACTGATGTGCAGCGTGGCAAGCTGCTCGCAGGTCTCACGCCGATTCAGACGACGACGAACCGGACGAAGAAGACGACGACGACGATCCGCTTCTCGACGCACAAGAGGAGATGCTCAAGATTCAACAGGGCCAACTCGATGAAGAGGAGGATCGCGAACTGAATCCGTATAGTCATGCGTATCATATGGGCCGATCGAGGACAATCGCGGAGGAGAAAGGCTTGGCGAAAGGAGCAGATGTTGATGCGGATCCGATTATTGATGTGGGGATGCAGTTGTAGGATATCGACGAGAAGCCGAAATTCGAATCATTGGAGCCAGCTGAGAGCAGAGTTGAGATGCCTTTCCGAAAAAGATTTCGGGGGCTGCTGCGCGCAAACTTCACCAAGCAACTTGCTCGAGGCCTGAACGAAAAATTCCAAGCCTTTACCGCCAACTGGAAACAAGTCGACTTTTTAAGTCTCGTGTGCGGTCGAATCCAGACCGATCGTACCAACACCTCGAGCAAGACTTGATCCAGGCACCTTAGCTCGTCGCCAGAAGCCTTATGCTCGACGTTTCAACAGCTCGGTACCGCCAGGGGCTGTTTTTACCCCCGTAACCGCAGGGTGCTCGCCGCCCGCCGCCCGGAGAGCTGCACGGGCCAGACGGAGGAAAACGCGCGCGCGAATCCGGAGCGCCGTCGCCGAGCCGCGGCGTGAGGCCCAGCGTGAGCATCTCTAGGTCGGGGTTCGTCGGCGGGTCGGCCGGTTAAAAAGCTTGCCGTCGCAGCCGCCCAAGTCACCGAGAGCTTCTCGGAAAATAAGGAGAGGTCCTCTGCGATACTTTAAAAATGATGAAGCTCATGGGTAGATGTGTCCGCAGGTCCTGACATTTTGCGCGGCGAATAGGTGCGCGATGTGGATGCCGGGGCCGAACCGCGGTGGGCGGCGTACAAGGCGGGCCACAATCTCAAGAGATCTCAAGCGGGCCAGGCGACGACGAGCGCTGCGAGTTTGCCCGCGCACCTCTGCATTTCCCTCCTCCCCTCCTTCCCTGCCCCCACACGCTCTCCGTAGCACTCCCTCCTTGACCCGACTGTCGATTACCTAACCAGGTCCACAGGTGAGTGCTTTCGACTCACTCTGCAACGGTCCTTCCTCTTTATCGGGTCACGGTGACTTGGCAACGCAGCGGCTACTGTTTGCGTACCCGCTGGCGGGCCAATCACGGTGCACACGATTCACCAGCAAGCAGCCGGAACGACGACCGCCGCTATGCCCCTTCCCGAATCGCGACCGGCGAGACCACCAGCGCACACATTAAGCCCCATCCCATCTGCTGACATTTCGTTCTTGGATCTACCTATAGTCTTATCACCATGGTCTTGATCCCCTCTGCCCGCCAAATGGGCATGCGAGCTCCGCAATTGAGCCGCTCCTTGGCCACGCCGGCGTCGTCGATTGGCGCGACCAAGGTGGCCATGTCCTTGTTTGAGAAAGACAAGTACATCAACTACCAGCGCATCGAGGACAACCTTGCTGTCGTTCGTCAACGGTGAGTGTGTTTTGTCTTGCTTTGATTCGAGAGAGGAATGCGGAGCACGGTTTCGGTGTGGGCAGCCCGTTAGCTCGCTCGCTTCCCCTGCCGGCCTCGGGTCTGTTCGCGGCGTGCTCCGCCTCGCCTCGCGCCGCAGTTGCAGCCGCCAGTCGCGCGTGAACATGCAAGCCGCGCCGGGTGCAGTAGGAGCGCCGCCATTTTTACCACCCGGGTCCGGCCACCCAGATGCCGTGCCGGACCCACACATACACGCATCAGGGACTTCCTACACAGATCTTCTTTCCTCGGTCCAAGAGCCATTGAACTGACTTGAACCTCATTCTCTACACTTCTCGCCACGCTACAGCCTCGACCGCAAGCTCACGCTTTCGGAGAAGGTCCTCTACGGCCATCTCGACAACCCTCATGATGCCGACATCCGACGAGGTGCTTCATACCTCAAGCTCCGACCCGACGTAAGTTATTTTCTTTGGTTATGTTTCCAGATCAAGTATAGCCGCATCAGTGGCTCTTGCCGAGCTTCGCACTTGACACGTCAATTCACCAGCGCTGACCCCGTTCCGCCTCGCTTTTTCCGTGACCTTCACAGCGAGTCGCTTGCCAAGATGCTACCGCCCAAATGGCTCTCCTCCAATTCATGTCCGCCGGCTTGCCCACCGTCGCCGTTCCCACGACCGTCCACTGCGATCACTTGATCGAAGCCCAGGTCGGTGGCGCCAAGGATTTGGCCCGCGCCAACGACATCAACAAGGAGGTCTACGACTTCCTCGCCACTTGCGCCGCCAAGTACGGCATCGGTTTCTGGAAAGCCGGCTCGGGTATCATCCACCAAGTTAGTCCTTTCTGCTAGTCTACGGTGACCACCCTCTGGCACTGCGACTAACTAACCGGCTTCACCTCAACTCTCCAGATCATCCTTGAAAACTACGCTTTCCCCGGTGGTTTGATGATCGGCACCGACTCGCACACCCCCAACGCCGGTGGTCTTGGTATGGTCGCCGTAGGTGTCGGAGGAGCTGATGCCGTCGACGTCATTGCCGACCTTCCTTGGGAACTCAAGTGCCCCAAGGCGATCGGTGTCAAGTTGACGGGCAAGATCAGCGGATGGACGACCCCCAAGGATGTGATCCTCAAGGTTGCCGGTATCCTCACCGTCAAGGGTGGAACGGGTGCCATCGTCGAGTACTTCGGCGAGGGTGTCAACTCGTTGTCGTGCACTGGTATGGCCACCATCTGCAACATGGGTGCCGAGATCGGTGCGACCACCTCCCTGTTCCCTTACAACTCGCGCATGGGCGACTACCTCGACGCGACGAAGCGACCCGAGATCCGCAAGTACGCCGAGGCCTTCCAGCACAACCTCCGTGCCGATGAGGGTGCCGACTACGACCGCGTGATCGAGATCAACCTTTCCGAGCTCGAGCCCCACATCAACGGCCCCTACACCCCCGATCTTGCGACCCCTCTGTCCAAGTTCGCCGCCGCCGTCAAGGCCAACGACTGGCCCGAGAAGCTCTCGGTCGGTCTCATCGGCTCCTGCACCAACTCCTCGTACGAGGACATGTCCCGCTCGGCCTCGATCGCCAAGGAGGCTGCCGACCACGGCCTCAAGGCCAAGGCCGGTTTCACGATCACCCCCGGATCTGAGCAGATCCGCGCCACGATCGAGCGTGACGGACAGATGAAGGTCCTCGAGGACGCTGGAGGTCTCGTGCTCGCCAACGCATGCGGTCCTTGCATCGGTCAATGGGACCGACAGGACGTCCCCAAGGGCACCAAGAACTCGATCATTACCTCATACAACCGCAACTTCACCGGCCGTAACGACGCTAACACCGCCACCCACGCCTTCGTCGCCTCCCCCGATCTCGTTACCGCCATGGTCTTCGCCGGCTCCATGACCTTCAACCCTCTTACCGACTCGCTCAAGGGCGCCGACGGCAAGGAGTTCAAGTTCTCTGACCCGACTGGAAAGGAGCTCCCCCCTCGCGGCTATGACCCGGGACAAGACACCTACCAGGCCCCTCCCTCAGACCGCGCCTCGGTCAACGTCATCGTCAGCCCCACGTCGAACCGTCTCCAGGTTCTCAAGCCCTTCAAGAAGTGGAACGGTGAGGACCCGACCGACATGCCCGTTCTGATCAAGGCCGTCGGCAAATGCACGACCGATCACATCTCGGCCGGTGGCCCTTGGCTCAAGTACCGAGGTCACTTGGAGAACATCTCGCAGAACTGCTTGATCGGCGCCATCAACGCCGCGAACGGTGAGGCCAACAAGGTGCAGAACTTGTTGACCGGTAAATGGGGAGCCGTGCCCAAGGTCGCTGCCGAGTACCGCGAGGCCGGTGTGCCGTGGGTCGTGATCGGTGACGAGAACTACGGTGAGGGATCGTCGCGTGAGCACGCCGCTCTCGAGCCCCGTTTCCTCGGTGGCGCAGCCGTCATCACGCGATCGTTCGCCCGTATTCACGAGACCAACTTGAAGAAGCAAGGCATGCTCCCCTTGAACTTCAAGAACCCCGCCGACTACGACAAGGTTCAGCCCGACGACAAGGTCGACCTGATTGGCATTAAGGACCTCGCTGAAGGCTCTAAAGTCGAGATGGTGCTCAAGCACAAGGATGGCACGACGGGTAAGTCTCTGGTGTACATCGTATTTGTTCTATCTATGGCAAAGCTTTGCTAACATCCACCTATTTCCGAACTTCCTTCTACAGAGACGATCGAGTTGACCCACACCTTCAACGCCGACCAGATCCGCTGGCACCGAGCGGGCTCGGCCCTCAACGCGATGGCCGAGGCCAAGGCTTCGAAGTAAAAAGAAGAAAACATCGTCTGCCGCGTGTGTTCCAGCTTCCCGCGTTTTTTAACGAACGAGATGTGTTTAGGAAGGAGGGAAGCAGGGGGGGAAGAGGAGAGATCTGTTCCTGTCTGGTTTGCACAGCAGCTCCCCTTGTGTCATGTATCTGAATAGTTTCCTTTTCCATCTCCGACTGAGAGCGATATTGCAAAACGAAGAAGAAAAAGAATCGAAAGCGCGTGAGAAGTCTCGAGAAGAGCACTAGTGAGAAAGGTTTTGATAGGAGAGCTTTCGAGTCGGGGAGATGCTCGCGCGCCGCGCTCACGACTCCCTCGCGCTTTCGGACTCGACGCGCCCCACCTCAGCGCCTTGACTTGTGACCTCTGACTTCGACCTTCTTCGAGCTCGGTGACACAGGCCAGCATCGGAGTCGAACACCCAAGCTCTCAAGACGAAAATGGAAGATACAGTCGCCACAATGCAAAAGGTCGAATCGTCCTCAACTGTCCAGGCTGATCAATGTCAATCTCCGCCGGCTCTCCCACCGCAGCCTGCGGCGCTGGCCTGGCATCCACCAAAACCAAGAGGTGATTCAGCAACAACGACGAGTCACACATCAGCTTCACAGCTCGCTATCCCGTACACCACCAAGGAAGGAGTTACTTTTGCGGGCCGAAAACGTGGCGGATACACGATGATCATTCCGACTGCCGCCCCACACTTCAAGACCTCACAAAAGGAGCTTGGGGAGCCACGAAAGGAGCTCGACCGATCGGCAGAGGCGTCGTCGACCAAGGTCGACGATGATGATGTTATCAATGACGAAGCCAAAGAATCTGATGCAGAGGATGACGAAGCTGAAGGGTTCGAAGAACAAGATTCCAATTACCAGCCATCAGTCACATCCTCGACTCCCTCCGAGGGGCCACAACGAGCTCCGGTGCGAGTGGAGGTTGAGCGCATCGACGACGATTTGTGCGATGACGACTCGAGCGAAAGCGCATTTTCTATCGAAGAGATGGATACGTCCTTTTTTGAGTCTATCGACAGAAAGGAACAGAGTCTGATCAGGGTCGCGGTCATGTTCTTGATGGGGGAGAGCAAGAAGTGAGTGAAGATGGCGCTGGTGTGAATATTCGGCGATTGAGGCTGACTCGGGCTATCGTAGATCAATGCATCGCAGAACGGGATTGAGCCTCTCCAAGATCATGAAGTTCATCAATAATAAACCTGTGGGTAACACTTCATCTCTGTTGGCTTCGTACACTCTGCTGCCTACTCACTGGGGATTATCCTTTTTGAATGCATCTTAGTTCAGCACGGGAAAGCAATTAGGTCGACGCCGGATCCTTGAAGCTGCGCAAGAAGTCTTTGATCGAGAATGGGACAACAAGTACAGTTCATCGTTCACTTCAACCACGGTGGCCAAATCGAAGATCTCGGTTGCCATCCCAACTTCCTCATCGTCCGCCGAACAATTTCCACCTCAGAGTCCTCCTTCGACATCCGATGCGAACTATCGTCCTTCGAAGTACGTGTCGTCGGTGAATTTCAAGTACTCGGAACAACAACTCGTGACGTACTACGTCCACTGGCTTGAGGGAGCATCCAAGACCGAAGCGAGCAGGAATTCGGGTGTCAACGAGCGAAGCGCGATCCGTGCCTTTTGGGAAAAAGGACCCCAGACCCAAGCAATCCGCGAGCGAAGGAAAAGGGTCATCTCTATCGCGGAGAAACAGGTGGCGAACGCGAAGCAGAGGGAAAAAACAAAGGTGTGTTTTCTGTAACTCTGTGCATTTGCATTCATTCCAATCTATTCATGAAACGCTCGACCACTGACGCTTTTACGCTCCCGAGGATTTCGGCAGAGGTAATGGAGTTAACCCGTCAACGCCGAATAAGTTCCGTGCCGAGCTCCAAATCTGTTGATGTAACAGAGAAATTTGCTTGTTGTGCGTTGCCAATATTCCTGCGTTTCACGCAGGTTTTTTTGGAAAGGGGTAGAGGGAGAAGCAGGCAAGAAAAAGTAGATCTTTCTTTGGCGGCCTGTACAGTAGTGTTTCCAAGGGGCATGTGCGGGTGTACAGGTTTCTCCCATCCTCGAGAAAATGCTACTTCGAGACCAAGCCCAAGGCCCGTGGTAGGTCTTCCGATGAAAGGCGGAAGGAAAGCGTAGGAAAGCGTTCGAGTTTAAGAGAGGGATCAAGCACGTGCCGGACGTGCTGCTGCACGCTGCCTTGTACCAGGTCACTAGTGAGGCTTAGGTGTTTCAACACCAAAAACCCGAAATCACCACCGAGAGAGACCTTCCTGAACTGAAGACCTCGAGTCACTTCTAGTCATGTGAGCGTGCGAGACGATTTCCACGTGGTGGCGGTGCCCGTTAGCGCCGTGGCTGGCGGCTGGGCGCTGAGCGCAGAGACAGGAGGGGAGTTCCGTCAGAAGAGGGGTCAGGGCGGTCTGATCACCGATCGAAGGGGGGCTCTGACGTGCCGTCGCCTGGAATGTTGAGTGTTGATCTTTCGCGCCTTCACTCTCCCCGTCATCTCGATGCCAACAACGAACTCGGCTAGTACCTACTTCCCCAAGACCCCCCACCAACATGTACGAGCGGCACCTGGCCCAGGAAAGAGGAGTGATTTACCTCCCACGCCATTATCGAACTCTAGTCATCCTCAACAACCACGCCCACGACCTTCGACGCATCTGCACGCCCCCACGTCCTTCGGCTCATTGAACAAAAACTCTAAATCACTGCAGAAGTCGCGCCTTCCTATGGAGTGGATCGACCTCTGTTCGAGTGAAAGCGACGGAGTCGTCGATCAGTGCGCGTCGCTGCATCACGCGCGGACCGTCGCAGACCGTCGCAGACCGTCGCAGACAGGCCATCACGAAAGGAGAACGACCGAACGACGCAATCCAAGTCGGCCGAAGAGGTGACATCTGAAGCAGAGGTCGTGAACTATGATATCCACCCTATCGAAGACGAAGACCAACACTATGATGTAGTGGTCGATGACGATGACCTTGTTTCGTCGTGCTCGCGGCAGCTTGCGGAAATGGACGACTCGTCCGACAGTGACTCATACGAAGACGTCTTGAGCGAGAGCTTTTTGTCGGCCGGAGAAATGGAGGACATCCAAGTCCCGTCTACACGAGTAATGACGAGACCGCCTATTCAGAAAGAGGGAACCAAAGAGGAGAAATTGATCAGGGTGGCGGTGATGTTTCTGCTGGGGAAGAGCAAAAAGTGAGTCTTGATCAGTCCGTGCGGAGCTTTGGAACCCTTAGCTGACGTGAGGAAGTAGGTCGATGCAACGCAGAACGGGATTAAGCATCTCCCGTATCACGAGACTTCTCCAGATTCCCTCGGTACGCCTTACAAAACCCTTGACGCCTGTTTCTTTTCCAATGCGATCCTAATCTTTCTTCAGAGTGCACAGGCCGGCTCAATAGCAAGAGGACGTCGACGCCGGATATTTGAGGCTGCGCAAGACGTATTCGATCGAGAATGGGATCAAAAATACAACAATTCTCGATGTTCCCATTCGATTGCTGAAGATTCGAATGCTTCACCCCGTTCAGCGCCTTCCTCCCCCAAAATCCGGCCCGGCAAGCCTCCGTTGTCCCGGAGCATCTTTACTTCTCATCCCGGCCAGCAAAGCCAAGCCGCTCCGTCACGCCTGGTCGCTTACAGATATTCGGACTTGCAGCTCGTGACATATTATCGTACCTGGCTTATGGGGTTATCGAAAATTGAAGCGAGCAGGAGGTCGGGCGTCTTAGCCCAAAGCGCGGCCGCTTTCTTCTGGAACGAGCGCATGAGCCAGTGGAACAGGGAACGAAGGAGGCGGATCGTCGCCATCGCGGAGAAGGAGGCAGCAAAAGCGCAGCGCAAGGGGAGACAGAGGTAAATTAGGCATGACTATTGATGGCTTCACGTAATGTTCTAGATCAAGGTTAATGTCAGCAGCGCCAAGTGAATTATAAGCATTTGCTTCTGTCCACCTGCAAGTTCGATGTCGCCGTGACTCCGATTCGTCCTCAGCTACTCGTCGCCTCAAAATGCTCGCATCATTTCCATATTAGCATAGTCTTCAGAAATAAGAGAGAGAAACCTTCGGTCTTCTTGAAATTGTCTGTTACTGTCGAGTCTAAAATTGTGATCACCTTGGGCCCGTGATCGGAGCTCGTTGTCACGCGGATAGCCGATGCGCACGGACCCTTGGCGACTGCCTCGCGCGTCCTCGCGCGTGGGCTCGCGTGGGCTCGCGCGTGGGGCCGAATCGTCCTTGGCCCGACCGCGCGACACGCTTGTCATCCCGCCACTCCATTCTGCCTCACCTTACCTACACCGCCCCAACAACACTCGGCGTTCGTTTACGGCCCTAATCCGGGGCTGCTCTGACTCCTCGCCCCCCGTTCGTTCCGCCTCCCGCGGCGCCTGGTCCGGTTCACTCAACATGCCGCTCCTTGGAGGCTCGACGCGCACGTTCAAGGCCTACGGCAAACGCAAGACCCACACCACCAACAGGACCAGTCAATCGCTATGGGATGACGAAGAGGTGATTACCAATAAGGAGTCGGTGCCACGAACTAGGATGCCGAGCATCACGCTCAGCTCGAGCGGAGAGAGCAACGATGACGACACCGATGCTGATACCGACTACGACCAGCTGCCCAAACCCGTTGGCATGCCCTTACTCAAGTCGAAGTCGAGTGTCCGGTACCAATCACAAGCCAAGCGAGATCTTTCCAACTCGGTTGCGCTCCGTCGTGCTGGAACCGCACCACCGGCGACCGATAAAGAGAACGTGGTGCCCACCGTCATCACCGCCTCCAAGAACACTACCGCACGGAAGCCGTCTTCGCAGGCCCTTCACATTGTTTCCGGTCCTCGCAAACCTATTCGTCCCCTCCAAGTGCGACCCACCACTCCGCTTGGCTCGCCGCGCAAGAAGAATCTTTCCGTGCGACCCGATCCGTCCGTACCGCCTAAAAGCAGCAAGCTTGCCCAATCCAGGCTTCAATTCGACGGCGTCCACGTTCCAGTGCGACGGGCACCCAAAGCTTCGTCTTCAAAGATTGCCCCTACCCCACGTGCATCGACGGTCGATTTGTCGCCTCAATCCCCGATAGCGCTATTCTCCAGCGAATTGGATGGATCCGTCGAGATCTGCAACTCCTTTGACTCGCTCAGCATCAACAAGAGTCGCACGTTGGTTTTAGAGGACGAAGATTGTGAGGAAGACCTCACGAGAACCGAGACTTCGAGTCGTAGCCTCGCCTCGATCTCTCGCCGACCCGAGATTAACAAAACGACCTCGACCTATCCGAGCTTCCTCAAGGAGCTGATGTCCATCACCGCCTCACCAGTCCCTTACGATTTTACCTCCTTCGTTAGTTCCCCTCCCTCACCCTTTTCCATCTCGGCCGGTACAAAATGGACCAAGATCGGCGAGGCGTCCTATTCCGAGGTCTTCGCGAGCGAAGGCGAAGAAGGCGAACAAATGGTCATCAAGATCATACCCGTCTCCAACGTCGAAGCTGCAACTGGGGTATTGGACCCGAATATGGGCAATCACTTGCCGTTTGTTTCCGATTGGACGGCGGTGCAGAGGGAGATTTGGGCGAGTGCGTTGGTCGGAGAAGGGATTCATGGGATCGAGGGCTTCGTGGAGTACAAAGGGTGAGTAATCGAAGGCCACCAAACATGTGTCCCGTGCTTCTTCTTTCCTGATATGGTTCCTTCGTCACGCAGCGCCTTCATCGTGCAAGGGCCCTACCCTTCCCGCCTCTTATCCGAATGGGATCTCTACCGACGCCGACTCCAGAGAGAACGTCGAGCCGACTACGATTCTCAAATACGACCGAGCGTACTCCACGACAACCAAGTCTACGCCATCATATGTCTCGCTCATGCGGGGACGGATCTCGAGAGCTTCAAGCTCAAGAGCTGGAAGGACGCCGCGAGTGTGTTGTGGCAGGCTGCGCAGGCTTGCGCGAGGGGGGAGGAGAAAGTTGAATTTGAGGTGGGTGCAGTCAGACTTTTTACGATCGAATTGATACGCTCTGAGCTGATAGATGGCAAGCTCTCACAGCACCGCGATCTGCACTGGGGGAACCTGCTGGTCAAGCCCATCCAAAAGTCGACCCCGCCCTTGCTCGCTCTCGACTTTGCTGCCCTCTCACTCACTCCCGACTCAGTCGCTGCTCCATTAGATTCCCAACAAACGGGTCTGCAAGTCACGTTGATCGACTTCACACTTTCACGCGCCAAATCAAGTGATGGCTTCGTCATTTTTGACGCCTTTGACGATGAAGAAGTCTTTGATGGCCAAGGTACGGATTGTCCCTCTCCCCATGCGCAGCAATCAGGGATTGACCCTCACATCTCCTCGGCCTGCGCAGGCGACCCACAATTCGACGTCTACCGCACGATGCGAGACCTCATCAAAGATGATTGGGAAGGTTTCCACCCAATCACGAACCTTTACTGGTTGCACTACCTCTCGCTCAAGCTCCTGCACGCCAAGAAACTCCGTCGTCCCGTCTCCGGCAAATCAATGAGTATCGCACGAGCAGCGGAAGAGATGAAGTGGTACGAGACGCTCGTTCGAATGGAAGCGAGTTTGAAGGGTCAAGTTCTTGGACCGATGCCCAAAGGGAAGAAGGGGAAGTCGGTTCCGAGATGGACGAGTGCGCAGGATTTGGTTCGGGTCTGGAAAGGGGATGTGTATCCTTGATACTCTGTGCGGCTAGAAGACAGTTTTTATGTTGTATTTGATTCCGCGTTTCGTCACTCGACTTTGATGCTATCGGTTACTCAGATGTAAGACTTGACTATTATGGTCTCCTCCGAGTCGATTCCATTTTCAGGGGTTACAGTGAACTAAAGTCAGCGCGAAAAGTGGTTCTGGGGATGCTAAATGGGATATCGGCTAAAGAAAGTCCCTGACGCCTTTTCGAATCACTGGTTGCGAGGCTTCCTAAGCGATTTTCGTTGAGGGATGTTGCTTTTGGTGCCGGACTATGCGCTGTAGGGGCGACGTTTCCTCGACGATTCGGCCTGCGCGTTCGCTTTCTCCTGAGCAGCTTGTGCCTTCCCGATCTCGAGGCACCTCACCCGGCGTTCGAACCACGTTCGGCTGTACATCTTTTTTAAGCGACAGAGGTTGGCTCAGTGAACCATTTTGATGATGAGGTGTGAAGAAGGACCTACCTTGGCGCGAGATTTGCAATGAATTAGATCGTAGAGCGTCGCGGAGGTGATGGCTTGAGCACGCACAATAGCACTACAGACAGCCTCGCGCTTCTTAGCACTCCTACTGGTTTATAGGGTCCACCCAGCTATAGAAGGCATGGTCACCTACCTTGGGGCTCGACCTTGAAAGTGAAGCTTCGCGCAAGTGATCAAGACGTCGTCGGTGTAACGCTTCATTCCCTTCTGGCGATGGTGGCGTGGCTTCGAGCTTTCGCTAGATGAAGGGGCAAAAAGAGACTCGGATGACTCGGGCGTGGACGGGGCTGTCATCTCCTCGTCTTCGAAATCGGACTCCGAGGTGTCGCTCTCTTCGTCTGACTGAACTTGTTCCACTGATTGAACTTGTTCGAGCGTCTTGAACTCCGTCTCATTCTCCTCCTCTCCCTCCTCCTCCTCCTCCTCCTCCTCCACCACCACCTCGGTGATCAGCGAGGTGACCTCAGCCGCTTGGCTGTGTCAGTCAAGACCGCGGCTTCAGTGACGATCTGAATCTAAACACAGCACAGCGGAATCACGCACATTTCTTGCTCTTGCTCCAACTTGGCTTTAGCGAGTGGAAAGATCCTGTTCTGTGCGGCTTTGATATTTGCGCGTTGACGGTTGGAGACGCAAGCGTGTTTTTGCGACTGACTCCGGCGAGGAGTTGAACGTCGTCAGCCTGAGTGAGCTGCCCGCGGGGTGGCTTTCGACCCAAACGTGGGGGCACTCACATGACGACCCAGAAACCTTCCGAGAGTTGTCATCTTGATTCCAACTTTCTCGGAAATGGTCCTGATTGAGTCGAAAAGTATTTAAGAAGACTGCATGAGTGAATTCGCACTGAGTTCTATGCGGTTTCAGGTGGTGCCAGCGCGGGGGATGGATAGCTCCTTTCGAAGACTCGAGAAGACGACTAAAACTGCGCGCGGGGGTGCGGAGAAAGGAACTGACTGCAGCTTCTCGCCACGGAGGTCCATGCACCTCGCCTGGACGAGTCGTTCGGGAGCGATCGTGTCGTAGATCGAGGTATGTTGCGTGAAAGTAGTCTCTGCTCGGCTTGCTGGGATGCGTGCAATCGACTGTCTTGCCGAGGCCCCGCTGTCATGGGAGGCCCTTCGCGCGCGCTTGGCCGTGGCTGATCTCGTCATCTCGCGCGGCGCCTCAGGAGCTTCGTCCTCGGATTCGAAACCGAGGTGCTCTTCGGCATCGCTGAGGGGTGAATCGACAGTCGACATGGGTCGTTGACGCTTGCACGGGGTCTGATTCACCACGACGCTCAGCAACCGGGCCCGAGGTCGGGGTGCGACGAACTTGAAGCTGGTGGGCAGGCCGAGGGGGGAACGAATTACCTTCGCCGCGGTCGACCTCGGCCAGTGAGTGGCACCAGGAATCGGGGTCGTACGACCGAGCTGACCACGAGAAGCAAGCGACTTGGTCGGGTTCAGTCGGATCGTCGGACTGTTCTCGTCCAGTCGGGTACGACAGAACGACTCCATCGCTTCGAGCATGACTACCTCCGACGTCGAGGTACGACCGAGGAAGAGCCTTGCTTCTGCTTGTGCGGGGATGTGGGGGGAAAGCCTGTGGAGAGAAAGGAAAGGAGGCTTCACGCGCGCGCTCCGGCGCTACAATCTCGTAGCATAGCTCATTTGAAGCTGGACCAACTAAATAATGAAGTTGGAGCGCACTAGTCCCATCTAACTAGCAAAGATCAAACGTGAGTGCTTACCGCAAAAATTCACCCAATTGCCAATGACACGAGCGTCTTATGGCCCCTGCCATGACACTCTGCAGTCCGAACGCTTGCAAAAGAGAGAAGTACCATTGACGCACCAATTCAGAGGGGTATGGACTGGTGCTATTGTGCCCATAGAACCCTCGGCTTAGCAAGATGCTCCAAGTGAGCAGCGAAAAAGCGGAAGAAGGAATTCGGTTCAGGGGCTCAAATTTCGAGACCTTGATATACCAACAAAGCCTTGACCTCGTCACGACACAGCACCCGGTTGTTCTACGGCATTTACGGTCTTCTTTTCTTTCACTCTATCAATCGTCGATTTCCTGGAATTCAAAGGTGCTGGTCTCCTCTTGCGTTCTTTCTCTGACTTGCGATCTCACATGAACTCGCCCGTTCTTTGCGCTTCCTCGAATGCCGCTAAGGTGCCCTGAATTCCCCGCCCAAAGCGATAGAGCACAGCAGCTACCCGTTTTCGTGTTGCTCGAATGAATGAATTCAACGCGTGCATTGCGAAACCAGCCTGAACCCTCTACTTCGCCCCCGCGGTCCCCGGTGGCCCAGTCTGTTCGTCCGGACCACCCATCATCAACAAGACGACGACGGGGAGGATGTACATCCAGTACTTGGCCAAGAAGCCCTTCTCCGGTGGTGGGGGCACAATTTTGCCGTCTTCACCGACGACGATGTGTTCGTCCGGGTCGACGGGCTTGAAGACGGGTCTTTGGAGAGTGTGGGGGGGAAAGGATTGGGTCAGTCGCAAGGTCATCAAGCATTTCTCGAGAGGAAGATGCTGCTGAGCTTACCCTTCCGGTCTGACAGGTCTCTGTATGGTGACCTCCATACTCGGCCCATCGTGACCAGGCCCTCTGACCCATTCACCTCTCCCTTCCTTCCATAGACAGCCTTCGTGGATCGTGTTGGTCTCGTACCTCGTCGACAGCAGCTCATCCCCAAGAATGTCAAGGACAAGGACTCGTTGAATTTCTTGTTTGTCACGGCATGCTTGAGAATGCACTGAATCAAGAAGAGAAAACCCCCCCAAGCTTCTCAGTGAGGGTCACAGGAAAGTCGAATCGTTGGCGCTGATCGTACCGAATCAACACTAATCACCGTCGCCTGATCCTCGCCCACCGCAACCTGGTACACCACCCTCTCTTGTACGCCTTGAGGAAAAGGCACCTGTTCAATCCTCCACCACTTGGACGTCGATCCGTCTCCCGAAAGTGAGGATGAGTCGTCGAACCATGCCGTTTCGGCTTCGGTATCGACGTGCACGACGCCGCGCTGATACCATTCCTCGGAGAATCCGGCGGGTGATGGACCTCGCTGGGGTTGAAAGCGGTGGTAGAGAGGGTGGGATTGGGTGGCCTGTGAAGTGTGCAATTTCCACGGTGGGATTGGGTGAGCGGGGGAGCGGAGCCAAGCTCGTCGTCGGGGAGAACGAGAGCAACGCGAGGGCGAACGACTTACGGAGAGTACAGAGGAGGCGAGCGAGGCGAGGACGACTCCTAATGCGATGATCCGTGTCGCCATGTTGGTGTTGATCTCAGTTTCACACGAGGACGGAGGTTCGTTTGAGCAAGGAGGGAGAGCGCGCGCTTGGCGCATGTGGAGCGCGCATAGACGCGTGCTCGAATTGGAAATCAATGCGGAAATGGCCGACTTAGCCAGACTTAGAGCTTAGCCCCTCGGCAATTCGGTCGCGTTCGGTCGCGCTTCTCCCGGCAGCAGGCAGTGCCGGCAGTGACTGAAGTACTGACCCACACGCACCTCAGGCGTACCTTCAAAGATACAGTGTAGACCGCGCGCGCGAGCGCGCCAAAAACCTCGATCCTCAGCGGGTTTCACACTGGGGTTGGTCGCCCAATACCGCGGTAGCCAGGACTCCACATCCCGGGGCCGTCAAGGGGACAGCAGTGTGTGTAGTCCAACTACGAGATTGTTGCGATGGGTCCAATCCCCTAAAAATACTTCCCAAGCTGCCACGTGATGCCACTTCGAATAAATTCATCTTGTCAGAGTCTCGATGGCCTCCGAGCTGAGTCTGCGGCCCTGCGCCAGGTGCTTCACGGTCACGTGCAACCCGTGATCGAAGTCTGTTCTATCTGTTGAAGTCGCGACCAACGGCCAGACGCGTGCCAAACCGCACGTGCCTATTCCTCTCCTGCCACATCGCGAGCGGCAGCCGTACCTCGACACTAGATCTTCCGACACGATGACTCACCGTTTCATTCCTGGACAGTTCAGACCACGCAAGCTGAGGCCGCAAGACCTAATGATCCTCCCAGCCTGCGCCAAGATCAAGGTCTACGGTCCCTAAGGTGGAATGAACATCGTTTCGACTAGACCAAGACCCACCGCATCATCAGCTTCATTATCATCGACGTCGAATTCGGCACAGACTCCTGCTCCCCTAGTCCCACTCTTACCGGACCCGGCATCCGCATCCGCTGCCGCTGTGGTCGAGTATAGCGACGACTATGGGGCAGACGAGGACGACGGCGCCGGAGAACGCTCAGATCTCGACGACAGAGCCATGCACGAAGGCGATGGTGGTTAGAACAGAAATTTTGCCAACGCACACTTCCTCCTATCCTCGAACCCTGCCGACTGGGTGCCTACGATTCACACAACATGTCTCAGATGACGCTGGACCGCCTTAGGAATGAGCTCCACCCCATCGTCACCCCCATTCATACCTTTGAAAGGGTGGACAGGACATACCTCGCTTTCCTTGTGCGCGAGGCGGCATTCAGCAAGCACGCACGACCTCGACTCTGGGTGCAGTACATGTCGTTTGTGGCGTGCCCAAAATCGCATTTAAATCCACGCATCGTTGAAGTCGAGAACGGATTCAGGATCGCCGACGAGGTGGCCTCGCCCCCGTGCGACTGCGAAGGCACACACGTCCTTTCCATTCTGGTCCATGGCGCCACCAGTCGTAAGCAATTCCGAATCTTTCTTCAGCTTTCTCTGCTGGGGAACGGGGATAGCTCGCTCACCTGTGTCTCCAATGGCTCCATTTGGCACAGACTTTCCCCACGAGGTCTCTTTCTGTCCTTGATCCATTAGTGACGATCCCCAAATCACTTACGCCGAACGACTGGCTCAGATTGGCCTTATGAGTGCAACTGCCTCGAGACCGCTTTCTGCTTTCGCATTCCAAGCTCTACAGATGGGAGAATCTTGCTGGGTTGTTGATCCCTCGTCCGTTGATGGGATGTCCCAAGGGATGGATGATCATTATGGAAGATGCGGATGGGGACATTCAGGCGGGCTGGCGTCTCATTAGTTTGTAAGTTGAGGTCAAATTCAGCGCGATTCATGAGTCTTGTGTGGGCCGGTGCTAATCTATTCCCCTGCATGCGCACTTCTCTAGGATCGCGAGCCTCAATGGCAACGAGCACTCGACGAGTTCCGAGCATTGGCCGCACACAAGACTGGATCCGACAATCGCCTCTTCCACATAAAGGGTTCATTTGCCGCCAAACGTCCTGCAGGATTCGCACCAACACATTGAACCTGCCAAACCGGGCACCTACACTTGATCACTTGTTTGCGCGTGATGGAAACTTTTAGCAATGGCGCAACCAGGCAGCCAAGTATGACCCACAAGCGACTACGCCGGACTTGCTCATCAGCGCGGCAGAAATATCGGAAATGAAAGAGGCGGTCGAGCGGGCGCCGACCCCGTCCAAGAAGGTACGTCGTTCAGCCTGATAGTCCAGAGAACGCCCTGCTCTGCCCTGATCCTCTAACATCTCCACTTGCGGGCATGCACAGAATCTTAAAAAGTTGCTGACGATGGCGCTGAGAAGCTCGGGCCGGGAAAACCGACGCGGCTCTTGTGGCGTGCGTGTGTCGTGTGTCGGCATAACGCTGTTTCCAAGATATCCAACCTTGAGAGGAGCGGCGGTACGTACGTATGCCTGTACCATCTTCACAACATCGTTGCAGTGTTTAATTACTGTCCTCCTCATTGGGGGTGGCTCGACATTGTAGGCTGTACTATGCCTTGGCTCTGATCAAGCACGTCTCAGAACAAGAACAGCCCGAAGCCAACATTGGGGTCTTGTAAAACATTGCCTGCAACCTCAAGCATCACATTCAGAACGCGCGTTTAGGTATCAAATTCTCTCTTGTGGTCGACTCGACTGAACATACTCGTTTCTCGCGATGTGTAGAGCGATGATTAGTGCCTAAACGAGCCCTAGTTAGTGCCTAAATCCCCCCCCCCCCCCCCCCCCCCCCCGTGTTAAATTTGCCACAAGTGTCTTCGCGCTTTCGCGCATCAATGGCCCTGTCACGTCGACGTGAACCCTCAACTTTTCCCCAACTTCGGCTGCACCGATGGCGAAGGCGTCCAGGTATCACATACTGCAGGTTACATAAGTAGATTGATCCTGCGCTTTAAACATGTCGTAATTTATTTTTCTACTCGGCGCTTGCCCCCACCCCTACCCACTGGCAGATCTAATTTGCAATCTGCCACCCACGTGTTCCACCCCAAGACACAGTGTTCAACACCTCTTCTTGCCTCCTCCTAGTTCCTTTTCATCTCATTATACCTTACGTGGCACAATAGAAGGGTTGTCTGCCACTCTATAGGGTTTTCTGCTTCCATCCACGGAATCACTCAAATCGCCAAAATCGCCAAGGGGTACCACTGCACTTTTTACCGGTTTCTGGAGGCCAAAAACGTTAAGTGCTTCAAACGGACCAAAAGTCCTCTATTACCTCCCCAACATAGGTTCTTCATGCCTCGAGTCATCCGCGCCTTCAGAAGAGCAATGTTCAGACCTTGATAGGGGCTGAAGGTGAATGTGCCGGGTTTAACCGTCAACTGCGTGTGCTTCGAGGCTGAAAGTCGAAAAAAACTATAACGAAAAGTTCGGGCACAGTGATATGGTCGCGAGGGTATTCTACTGAACCCTCCAAAAAGTTTGGAACAGCAGTACCTTCTTTCTATCTCCCACCCAGCCTGACCGAGTGCAAAACGTCAAGACGAACCTTGGTCTCGGGCATTTCGAGGCTGAAAGTCGGGAAACACTACAACGAAAAGTCCGGGCACAGTTAATATGGTCACGAAATCTTTACAATAGACTTCATTGAACCGTTCAAGAAGATTGGAACAGCAGTACATGTTTTCTATCTCCCACCCAGCTCGACCGAGGGTTCGTGCGAGGATGCCGAGTCGGCTCTTTTGCCCCCCCCCCCCCGCTAAAGTCAAATCCGGGGTTCCGCAAGGGTTTAGGTGACACCATGACGGTAAGCCGGGTCAGGGGAGAGTATTCGACGGATGCATCTCGATTAACGAGCTGCCTCGAGTCAAGCCGTCAAATACTATCTCATACCATGGGCAGGGGCGGTAGGCGCAGCGTGCCGTTGAGTCCACCCGATGCTCTGATTTTGAGCTCAAGAGAAAGTGTCCTTTGAAGGCCGGCATGAGGCTCAACTTGACTGCTGAGCACGATAGTGACATTCAAATCAACCTTACTCGAATTCGGCTCTCTTACATCCAATGTATCTTTGAGACTGGAGGGTGGATTATGAACACTGAGGTCGCTAGCCCGATAAAGGGGCGATTGGCCCGATTGCACGTACTTCAGTCCACAAGGTCATGTGCTAGGCTTTCTGAGGTGCATCTGGTACAGCGAAGTGATACCTGAACTTGAGAATAATCGCCGATCGGCGATGCCCCAACCTCATCGCGCATACAAACCCGAGCTAGACGCGTCTTGAAGAGTGAAGAATTATAGGAGTGAAATCGAGTGGCGTTGTCCCTTTTCAAGCGGCGTGCCTCTTCCGTATGCACTTATTTTCTCAGACACGCAGTCTTGCATGCCAAAACCAAAACAATTCACACTTATCGAGCAAGAATCTGTTCTCACCGGTCACTGGAAGGTTCCGCCAATAAATGATAACTTCGAGAGCGCTCGGCGATTCCGCTCTGGCGTCCTTCACAGGTGTTTTCAAACCACAGAAGGCGAGGTAAGGCAGAACAAGCCAAAATCAAGTCGTTGCGTAGTAGTCTTGGCAGCTACAATTATCGCTCTGGTGTTTCTGAGTACTTGCGCCCCTTTGTGAGACGGTCCGCACGTCTCGAATGATCCCTCCCGAGTGAAGTGCGTTGCAGATGCTTGTGACTGATCAGACCAAGAGATGGCTTCTTCGCGTTGAGTGTATGGTATAGCTACATTACATTCGGTTAGTAATAACGAGTGTGATACGTTGCTGATGCGCCAAAGCGTTCTTGAACCACCATTTTCATCGTATTGGGTGAGCCGGTCGGGGAGCGGAAATCGCCAAGGCGCAAACCCCCCCGTTAACATGGACAATTATCTTGTATTGAGAAAGAAGTTTCGGCCTGTTGAACCAAGTCTTCGGGTTGCTTGGCATGCCAACGCCTTCTTGAGCCCGTTGTGTTTGGAGTGCACCGGCTATCGAAATAGTCGAGAGAGGGCAGAAAGGGATCAGGGTGAAGAGTCCAGATCGAACGGAATCGGTCCGACACGGGAAGCGACGCGACAAACAGCACTCACCAAACGCTTGCTGCACCAATTGACGGTACTAGATGCTGAGATCTCGAAATGTCAATTTCTTGTCGTAAACGTCGCCGGCCCAGACTGCAGTGGAGTAGATGGCACGCAAGGGTCAGCAAGAACGAAGAGGGCAGGGAGCATAGTCAAAGCGCGTGGTCAAGTCGGAATCTCCACCGCGCACCTAGCTGGATTGGTCCATTCACTGACTCCTCGAATGCAGCATGGCCAGTTACGATTTTGGTGAAGCGCTTGACTATATCAAGTTCCTGGTCGGTTCCGAACCAGCCCATGCGTTCAGAGAAAGCCTCTGCCCCAGCGGAACACCGGAAGGCGCGACCTTCCTTGCGCTCCACACAGCTGGAGCCGATCACAGCGAATGTCTCGATTTGGAAGTTCAACGAATAGTAGGCGCTCTAAGAAGCACACTGTGTAAGTAAGCGTGTTGAACAGACATGAAGAGACTCCACAAGAAGCTCAACTCACAGTATCTTGGCATTGTGAGGCAAGTTCTTTATAAGCTTGTGCAGCTGCCTTGTCAGACACCGCCGCTGTACAGGGTTACGCGAAGGCAATAGTGGATACAGAGTTGTCCACATCATCGGCACCAATGGCTGTCGTATCTTGCTCCAGCGCCGGGATGTCCTCGCATTCGGCTCGCCCGCTTTCTGTCGCGTTGATCCGAGTCCACAACTCGCTGGCGATCGGTTGCCATTCTATCAGGCTGACTGGGACTGGGGAGTAGGAATAGCAGCAATTAGGCTATTCAGAGCACTTCAACACAGCAACGAGGAAGGTTTGTAATCTGCTTACGATCAATACCATCATTGTTGGCTAGTTTCTCCAGAAGTACTGGCTCGTCCGGAAGGTGTCCCACGTGCTCAGCGCCCTTCTTTTGCTGACGACCTTTGACTGGGTGACGCGTTGGAATCGCTCAGCCGGATGTTCTCGTCGCAATAGTACCATTCCATGACGGCACGGCAAGCATCTCCTCAAATGCACGATGACGGTCCTTCTTTCTCTTCCTTGGGGATATAGCGCTTAGGCGGCTTGCGTTGCACGCGCTCGATCATGCCTTAAGGAATACGAGCACCTGCGGGTAGGAATTACTTGCGAGCGCCGGCGGAGGTCGGAGACGGCCGCAATTGTTCGGTGGTGGAGCCTGAAGATCGTTGATCGAATGTTGAACAGCAGCTGGGATTGGGATACTGGCCACGCGCAGACTGATTGGACGTAGAAAGACCCGGCATCGCGTTGGCGGTTGAGACGGGACTGAACAAGAAATCCATCGTGCCGTCCATGGAAGATAGAACTCTCAGAAGCTAGAAAGAGATCAGGTCCGAGAGTAGTCAGTAGACAATTCCAGCAGGAGCAATCGAAGGCAGGGTCGATCGATTGTCGTATACAACTAGTCACGTGGGCTGAGCTGGGCAATAACGACGTGACGTACGTGTATTTTGGACAGGTATCGAACGGAGATCAGGCACCTAGAAAGGTGATCTCACAACAGAGGTGAAGTAGAAGAAGCCTAGGGATAAGTACGATGGCTTTGGGTGGTCAGACGTTACGCTTTCTGACAGCACGAAAGCCAGTTTGGCTGGGAGGTGAGCTGAGCTAGCCAGCGGCTGTCAACGCCCAGGTCGCGGGGGAGGCGGACGCGGGGGAGGCGGACGCGGCGCGGCAGCAAACATACACCTCTGGAACTCACTGATATCTTTTGGGCAGCTTTTGTACAACGCTGGTTGAAAAGTGCGCGCACAACGAGGGGAAAGAGGCGAAGAGGGCGCGCGACCGACACGTGACGTGTGCTTAAGCTAGCTCCAGCCACGGCCACTGTCTGCCAAAAAGTTTGCGCGATTGAGATGTCCCGAATCACCACTGTTCCACATTATTTTAAAATTGGGAAACATCAGACCTTTTGAGTCGGTCCGTATTATGCATCTGTCGCTGTTGACCGCCCCGGGATGTGGAGTCCTGGCTATCCGGGTATTGGGCGACCATTCCTCGTGTGAAACTCGCTGAGGATCGAGGTTTTTGGCGCGCTCGCGCGCGCGGTCTACACTCTATCTTTGAAGGTACGCCTGAGGTGCCCACACGCCTCTCTCCTTCCGCTCCTTCACTTGCTGCATTCACCCTCTCCATGGTCCGTCCCCTGGGCAACGAGCTGCTGAAATTGCTCAAGCTGACGTGTTCTCCCGCAAGCGCTCTTCGCTGCGTGTGCTTCTGCAACAGACCATGTCGGCCACCGAATCCTCCCTCGCACCGGGTCAGTAGTTCAAACGGTCAGCCCGTCGACGGCCGAACGGGACCACGCGGTCGCCCCCACACCTCCTCTCACCGCCACCTTCCCTAGCCCGCACATCCGTTTCGAACCGCACAGACCACCTCAGGCTAACCCCAATCCCACTCTGTCTCCAGCCCGTGCCTTTATCGACTTTGTCAACGCCGCGCCGACCCCGTTCCACGCCGTTGCCGAAGCCGTCTCGCGCCTCGAGGCCGTCGGCTTCACGCGCCTATCCGAGAAGGATGCCTGGGACCAAGGGGACAAGGTCCGTCCGGGAGGAAAGTACTACGTTACCCGAAACCAGAGCTCCTTGATTGCTTTCGCGGTGCCCGAATACAAGAAGGAGGACGAGGGCAAACCGAGGGGGATGAGCATCGTAGGGTCAGTCTCGCCCCCGGTACCGGGGAGGAGGCACGGATGCCTGAATGCAACAGCTGATGTTGAACGTCGTATATTGTAATCTTCAGCTGCCACACGGACTCGCCGCGCTTCATCGTCAGGCCTGTCTCGCGGAGGGAAAAGTGTGGCTTTGCCCAGGTCGGCGTCGAGACCTATGGTGGGGGGATCTGGCAGACCTGGCTCGACCGGGATCTTGGCATCGCCGGTCGCGTAACCCTCTCCGGAACAGCCTCCTCCAAAAGCCAAGGTGTCGAGTACGCGTCGCACCTCGTCTTGCTTCGTAAACCGATCTTGCGTATGCCGACGCTCGCCATCCACCTCGAGCGAACTGGAACGGACCGATTTGACTACAACACCGAGACGCAGATGGTCCCCATCCTGGCGATGGCCAACAAGGCGCTGAATGAGGCGTTTGCTCAGGAGCATGATGCGGCCACGGTATCGTTCAAGGATCCTCTGGCCATCACGAGCCATCACCATCGTCAGTCACTGATAGCCTCTGCCCTAGGCGCGCGCTTGAATGTTCCAGGCTGACTAATGGTCTCTCCCAATAGCCATCATGTTGCATGCCGTCGCCTCTTCTCTATCCAAGTCCTTGGGCGAGAAAGTATCTCCTGCCCAGATCCACGACTTTGAGCTCTCCCTCTTCGACGTCCAACCCTCGACGATCGGCGGTGCCTTGAACGAGTTCATCTTCTCCCCTCGCCTCGACAACCTCTTCTCCTCCTTCGCGGCCGTCCAAGGTCTGATTCAATCCGTGTCCTCCCCAACATGGGCCACAACGAGCTCCGATGGTCGCGTATCGATGATCGCCCTGTTCGATCACGAAGAAGTCGGCTCCGTGTCGGCCTTTGGTGCCGAATCCAACTTTATCGAATCGACGATTGAAAGGGTCGCCGTCGCGCTCAAATCTCCCTCGGAATCCACGACCTCGGCGTACCAACGCGCCCTATCCCGATCCTTCCTCCTCTCCACCGACATGGGTCATTCGCTCCACCCTTCCTTCCCCGAACGACACGAAGAACTTAACCGCCCTCTGATGAACTCGGGACCAACGATCAAGACGAATGCGAAACAACGGTACGCGTCGAATGCGCAGACGACGTTCTTGCTTCGTAGGGTCGCCGCGATCGCGCAAGTGCCGTTGCAGGAATATGAAGTGAGGAATGATATGGCGTGTGGTTCGACGATCGGGCCTTTGGTGTCCAAGATTGGGTTGAGGACGGTCGATGTGAGTCTTTCATAGAGGTTGATCTCTCACTTCAGCCCATTGCAAGGCAGAAACTGATGTGCGTTGAATCATTCCCAGATCGGTTGCCCTCAATTGTCGATGCACTCCATTCGCGAAACGGCGGGCACAAAGGACATGGCTTTGTTGATTCAGCTGTTCGAAGCCTACTTTGAGAACTTTGGTAAAGTCGATGATTTACAGGTCGATTGAGGGGTAAAGATGGGTTTTTTGTTGTTGAACGAAGATGTGAGTACAATACCAAGTTTAAGCAAGTTCCCTTTTCCTCGTTTGAAATACAGTACATGCAAACTAGAGGATTCAGATTCGCATCACTGGGTCAGACTGCACAATTCCTCCGGGGTTAGTGTCTCAGAAGGGGAGACATGTCTTCGTGCGGCACCGGCGCCGGCCTCCGTGTATATGTGGAAGGCCTCAGCCAGTCCAGCTTGATGACCATATGCGTGACGAGGTTGCTCTCGACGTGTTCGAGCGCCTCGAACAGGCCTACGAAGCCGAGCAGCGCTATTGGGCACCAGACGACTCGGACGCACGGGCCCCCGAGCAAATCTCGGCAGCGACCCCAGCGGGCGTACCGAACGATGGCGCCGGCCCAACAAGCCCAAGTCCGTCAAGAAAGCTACGAGAGAATAAGCCCCGTTCGATGTTCCTTCGGCTTGTCGCTAAGCCCATACGTCGTCGCCGGTTCCTCGGAGCGATTTCTCATATTTCTGGCTGTTGGAGAGCGAGTTTTGGGCAGTTTCATGACCTTGAATTTTTCATGTTCTCAGACCTCTTCCAATGTACGACTCAAAAAAGGTACAAATCGACCCCTCCGACACCTTGTTCCGATGTACAAATCGGCCTAAAATCGCTGTTTTCCGAGAGCTTTCGAGCGAGCAACAGGCGATGTTGCGAGCGAGAACAGTTGGTTCTAGCAAGAGGGAGTGATTCACACCGCACTCGCCTTTCGACTGGCTCGGCGCGCCCGTTGGTCGCCTTTGGCAACCGGCCGGAATCATCCCATTTCAGGGGGGTTTTTTTGCTATGGCGTGCGCCGCGTCCTTTCTGCTTCCGACCCCCACGTGGTCGTTCACACCACAACCAGCTCAGAGAGTAACAACATCGATACAGTACTGAACACTATGGTCAGCCAACGCTACTGTTGCTACAAGTATCTTCCTCGATCGTTCACGCCACCACCACCGCTCTGCCTGCATTGCAGCATCGCCTACCTCTTGTTGAAGGAGGATCAGCGCATGCTGTTGTGGATTTGGAAGATGGCAGGGATGTCATGACGATCAAGATCAAAGGGCTTACCGTAGCGAAGACGCTGAACAGTACCGGTTACACCCTCGACTTGACGAGCTCCTTGAGCGAGCTCACGGCGATGTGGCCGTAGCGACGATGCCATTCCATCAAAGGCGCTCCCACTGTCGCACGAGTTGCAACATGAGCTTGGTCCTCGACAATGCGCGTAAAGTCGAGGGTGTAACCGGTACCGTTCAGCGTCTTCGCTACGGTAAGCCCTTTGATCTTGATCGTCATGACATCCCTGCCATCTTCCCATCCGCAACTAGCTCCTGATCGGTATAGAGCACGAGTCGAGACGAGGTTCACCGGAGCGCCCGGGAGATGGTAGACGTTCGAAAGTGAGAGCGAGGCCCCGCTTCTCAACTTGAACCGTACCGTACCATACGTGTCGCAATGTACTACCTGACCGCTCGCGGTTTGAACGTTCAGACTTCCATGTTGACGGTCGGTAAGCAGACTTGCGTTGCTGACGTAGTGCTGACTTGCACCGGTGTCCAGGATCCAGATCTCACTCTGGTCGTTCTGTGACACCCTATTCGCGACGTTGATGTGAAGCGAATGGCTCTCCTCGAGAGACTTGACCACCAACGCAAAAGAAGCCGACTCCTCCGAATCCGCAGATCCCTTGGAATGCTGATGTTGCTTCTTCTTCTTGTTGCTGTGGTTCTTGTTACGACCGCGTTTGGCGTTCGGATCGTACTTGGGACATTCCGGATCGATTTGGTAATGACCGGTTCCCTTGCAACGACGACAAATGCAGTTCGCATCACGCTTGACTTGCGTGCCTTCGCGAACCGCTAACGCTCCCGCGTTCTTGAGTAACTTGTCGTACTTGCCAGTGAGCTTGCGTTCACTGTACTCGTCGGTAAGTCGATTGACGGCTTAGTCAACCGAGCACTTATCGCTGAGCTTTATAGCTTGCTTGAGCATCTCGTATGAGGGAGGTAGAGCTTGAAGCATAAACGCGACGATGGCTTCATCCTTGAACTTCTGGCCGAGATCTTGGAGTTGATCGACCTTGTCCGTGATGCCCTTGAGAAACTCGCCGAGGTTGGTGTCCTCATCGTACGACGCATTCGAAATCTCGTAGAGTAGCGTGCGAATCTTGAACGGATCGGCGTTCCCTTCGTGGTGTTGTTTCAACTTCTCCCAGATGTCTTTGGCTGAGAGCGACTTGCTCTTGACCATCTTGAGATTCGAATCGTCGAGGCATGAGATGATGATCGCGCGCGCACTACGATCCCACTTGGTGATTAGAGTCGGGACCTTGCCCTCCTCTAGACTTGGGTCGATGCCATGGAGAGTCTTCCATGCTTGCACATCCATACTCGATGGTCGGTCGGCTCCGTGTTGAAGTACACTGCTGTAGCCACGACCTTCGAGGAACGCGTCGACTCGGATCGACCACAGCTCGTAGTTATCTTTACCGAGCTTGGTGATCTTGACGTCCCCTTCATTCGATACATTGGTGGTAGTCGTCGAACTCATAACCTGTTGTGGATTTGGACTTGGAGTACCAATGAATGAATGAAGATTCGCTGTAGCTACACGGCGTTGATAGATGACCTATTGTGAGATAGAGTATCGCCAAGGTCAATCAACTTGTAGCAGGCGAATGGGCAAGATAGATGTCGAGTGTGTGTTAAAGAAGAGGGAGAGAGTGAACGAAACCAGAGCCTTAGATAGTATCCGCGTGCAAGCCACCTCTGAGTCCCATCAAGACACCACACCGCCATCTGCCTCCATCCGGCGCCGCGCCACGCGCGCGCCAACTTCCCAATGCCACAAGTCCCTCTGGACCGCTGACCCTTTACTAATTTCCCACAACACATGCATCTCTTGAAGGTGGCTTCACTTTTGGTGTACTGATTAAGGTGACCAGGATGGTTTTACAACACCTGTCTTTCTCGGCTTCCACGCACCCGCACCCGCCCTTTCGACCCGCGTTCTGGCCGGCTCTGCGCTAGAATGTGGTCTTGACTTCTCGGCGTCGCTACCTCTCCCTCTCTCCTATCGAAGACTAGCTTTCGCGCTCGCACCGTTTCTGCGATATCGCTTGCCTACAGCCCCGACTGGTCCACCCCCGAAGTCACCGCGGAACCACTCCGTGCGCCTCGGACTTCATCCTCCAACTTGTCGTCCTCCGTTATGCCTTCGACCTCTGCTCCGGTTTCTAGCTCGAGCGAGTCGAGACTCGATAAACTCACGACGACCCAACTTGCCTCTGGCCGATCTGGCCCCTCGCCGGCCTCACCGACAACGGCTCCCGCCAAGGCAAGCAGAGCCGCTTCAAAGCGCTGTCGATATTGACCCGGACCTTGGACACTCGCTAACACACGCTTCTTAAACGAATCCTATGTATACCCTTTTCACATGCAGAATGAGTCCAGTTGCGATGAAGCACGTCGAACCATCTCACGTTCGAGTTCCAGTCCCATCGCAGCAAGGCCCGCCCGTCTGCACGGAGGTGAGAAGCGCGCTTAATCCACTTCGCCTTTGGATTCAGTCGGCGCTCGCATTAGCTGATACACTACATCATTTAAAACGATTATCTCCCGTGTCGTAGGACTTATCTTCACAACTGGAGCTGGGACAGGGCACATCCGCTTCATCGACTCCGCCTACCACTTCAGTTTGGTTCCTCACTGCCGATCCTCTTCGCCACCCCTTTGCCAACCCCTGCGGTGAGACTGCCGCACACGACTCCGCTCAAGGCGGCGAGCTTCCTCACCGTTCGTCGAACCGTCACGCGCTCAGGATGAGACCGAATGGGAGACTGTGCGCGCGGAGGTGAAGAAGCAAATGTCGCCCAAGCAAATGACCAATATTCTCGGGCGTGTGATACTGAACCGTAGCGGAGGGCCAATCTATTCGCCCCGAGGCGAGTTCCCTTGAGCGCCTGACGATTCGACGAACGGTGAGGAAGCTCGCCGCCTTGAGCGGAGTCGTGTGCGGCAGTCTCACCGCAGGGGTTGGCAAAGGGGTGGCGAAGAGGATCGGCAGTGAGGAACCAAACTGAAGTGGTAGGCGGAGTCGATGAAGCGGATGTGCCCTGTCCCAGCTCCAGTTGTGAAGATAAGTCCTACGACACGGGAGATAATCGTTTTAAATGATGTAGTGTATCAGCTAATGCGAGCGCCGACTGAATCCAAAGGCGAAGTGGATTAAGCGCGCTTCTCACCTCCGTGCAGACGGGCGGGCCTTGCTGCGATGGGACTGGAACTCGAACGTGAGATGGTTCGACGTGCTTCATCGCAACTGGACTCATTCTGCATGTGAAAAGGGTATACATAGGATTCGTTTAAGAAGCGTGTGTTAGCGAGTGTCCAAGGTCCGGGTCAATATCGACAGCGCTTTGAAGCGGCTCTGCTTGCCTTGGCGGGAGCCGTTGTCGGTGAGGCCGGCGAGGGGCCAGATCGGCCAGAGGCAAGTTGGGTCGTCGTGAGTTTATCGAGTCTCGACTCGCTCGAGCTAGAAACCGGAGCAGAGGTCGAAGGCATAACGGAGGACGACAAGTTGGAGGATGAAGTCCGAGGCGCACGGAGTGGTTCCGCGGTGACTTCGGGGGTGGACCAGTCGGGGCTGTAGGCAAGCGATATCGCAGAAACGGTGCGAGCGCGAAAGCTAGTCTTCGATAGGAGAGAGGGAGAGGTAGCGACGCCGAGAAGTCAAGACCACATTCTAGCGCGAGTGGTAATACTAGTAACTGAGCTTCCGATAGAGGAGATGCAGCGACGCCGAGAAGTCAGGACCACACTGTAGAGCGAGTGGTAGAAAGAGAAAGCTACCAGGAATAAACCGCCGCGTGGAATAAGTGTTGTGGGGATTATGTAAAGGGTCAGCGGTCCAGAAGGACTTGTGGAGTTTGGGAGTTGACGCGCGCGATTCGCGGCACTGGATTGCGGCAGATGCATCAGCAAAATGGGCACTCGGCGCGCACCGCTTAAAGGCGCTTACACATGCGCGCGCGAAAATTATGGCACCCTTAAGGCATCCCTACGGCTCCATACGGCGCCGCCATACGGCCTTCCTAATCATTTAGGCGAATAGCCATATGGCCCATATATGGCCAGCCCATAGGGCACGAATATGTGCGAGCCATATGGCAGCCATAGGGCGGCTTGATATAGCCCCCCGAAGGAAGCCATAGTGAGACGATAGGGTGGCCTTACTGTAGAAGCATGGACGCAATGTGGTACACGTAGGGTATATATGAGGAGACCAGGTGGACGCTGTAGTAATGCTGGACCAGGTGCTGTAGGTACATATTGCTCTCTTCTTGCTCCTGTAGACTTATCACACGAAGCAACACTCATTGCAAACACTAAAAACATGTTAATACAAGTCTAAGAAACCCCGTTATACAAGTCTCAGAAAGCCCCACCCATGGTCCACCCCGACTCCACCCCAAGTCGCGCCCGAGTCCCCTTGCACACGTCGAATCCTCCAGAGAGCTTGTTCGATAGCGCGTTGCTTAGGGTTGCCCGTCCTCGATCTGCTTCTCATCTTTGGTGGTCTTGGTCTTTTTCGTCTTCCTCGCCTTTCCCGAATTATAACCCATCTCCTGGACTGCGTCCTGTGTTCGCTCCGGGGATCGTTCGTCAGTCCAAGTTCGGCATGTGGTCGACTGAGGGCGCCACTCACGGCTACTCGGCTTGCAAAGCTGAGGTTGTTGGCGGGATCATCGACAACTTCAGAACAGACCGCTTGTATCGTGTGGTCGCTGAGCGTATTCTGGCCTGCCGTGCGGATGCCGGAATGTCGCTTCATCTTGACCGTGACCATGTCGAAGAGAAATCTTGTACGCGCCAAGAAAGTCGCCAAGTGTCAGCATATTCGATTATGCCATGTACCTCACGATGAAGCACGAAGCTCACGTTTGATGATCAAACCCCCCATTTCTCTTGTAGCCGCCCGCGAGGTGTGCTGTCGCGGCGTCTTTGGCGAGGCTGTCACCGTAGCGCTTGAGCTTGTTCGCGAAGCTGTTGGCCTTGGAGTCTTTTGGGTCGAGGATGTTTGGAGCCTTCATGGCCTGCCACTGGTATGGTGATTACAAGCGCAGGTCAGGATCGAGGGTGGAGGCGAGCTCTTCATATATACTCACCAGTATACTCCACCAGTATACTCCACCAGATGACGTGTCCTTGGGTTATGGCAACCTGTTGGCCTTTGTACCATTGCTGCATGGTACGGCCGAGAGTAGCTTTGTCCTTTTGAGCTTTATTGATCTGGGAAGAGTTATAATTTTGTCAGGACCGCTCGGAGACCACAAGACGCGAGGCGTCTGCTCACGTGTCGGAGGAGATCACTACGACCCTGCACCAACAGAGCCGGAATGCTCGAGAGCAGGTTCTGGCGGAACGTGAGGTTCTTGCTGTACGCTTCGCCGGGGACGATGCCGCTTTTCGTCAAGACCATCTGCGGGTGATGAAGCCTTTGTGAGACAATCGTGCGCTGGTACCGAAGTGAAGGTCACGTACTGCAAAAGACTCGGCCGAGGCCAATTGCTTGTAAAAGTATGGGGTAGCTACAAAGATCTTTACCACGGGGGGGAGTCGGTTCTGCCAATGGTCGTGGAATACGTCTCGTCAGTTGAATCTATGCTTCGCGTCCTCACGCGTGGAGATCACACGTACCTTGAGATGGTCGATACTTGGCGTGTTGATGAACGTGATCACTGGCTCGAGCATGGCACGTAATGCCTGGAGCTCGCGCCGTATCTGGCCAAGCTCATCTTCAAGGCTCTTGACATTGGGTTCTTCGGTCGAGGACTGTAAGATTGGCAGGCCAACGACGGTCGATGCCAGAGAGCAGTGGGTCATGACTCTTGTCAGTGGCGCGAAGCGTGGCGGATGATCGCATCGGTCACAGCTCACCTTGCAAGGGTTATCCATATGCGCTTGTGCGCCTTTCAACTGGCGAGTACAGACCTGCAGGAGACGCAATGGCAGTCAGCAGGATGCGGATTCCTCTCAAGGCACACAAGAGCGCACCTCGAACGTGTCGTCGGGCTCGTCGTCAACGTCCGAGCAGACGACCTTCGTCTTGGCTAGTTTGGACCAATCTCCACCTAAGGCCGTCCCGGATGGCACGTTGTCATCCTTATCACTGCCGTCCCCGTCACCAGAAGCTTCAGAGCTCTGTGCGGGTTTACACTTCGTCAGTGTCGTCTTACTGCTAGACTAGAGGAAAGCCAGGCCGGGCTCGGACGTACGTCGGATTCCGAGCTTAGATTCAAGCGAGAGGAAGATGAGTCGGGCTTGGTATCGACCTTCTGCACGTCCAGGCGTTCCTGATTGGCGGGAGGTTTAGCTTGGGAGATTTAGATTTTAGACGAGTATCTGTGATCGACCTTACCTCTGATTCTGGATTGACCTCATCGACCTCGTCGGCAACTCCCCAGGCACGTTTTGCGCTTGGTTCCGTTCTCTGAGGGAGCCTGTTTGCGCTGCACCTTGAACAAACGACAGGACGTCAGCCGAGACTAAACCAGATCACAGAGTCGTATTCTCAGCTTGCGCGACATACCACCGAGTCCTCGAGGTGAAGGCCATGCGATGCTTCGGGTTCGAGGTGCGTGGAGGCCGCGTGGCGAGCGGATGGGCCGACATCGGCGACATGGCTCTTTCCATCCGAAATCGGCTCAAACAAAAGTGAGGCACTGGTTTTCGCGGTAGTGGTGCCAACCGTCAAGGTCTTCGTGTGAGGGGTGGGGACGCCAAGTCGCGGCGTGGTGATGGTGGGGTCGACGTAGTGGTAGTGTCGTCCGCAGGCTCATCTTGGGACTTCTTGGCTGGGTCTTCGTTGATCACGTATTTTAGTGATTTGCCCGTGGTCTTGGGAGCAGCCACCTTCTGTTGCGTCGTTTGGGGTCGTCGAGCAGGCGCACGCTGGAGTGGACGTGTCGGTCAGCCGGTGTCGACCCAAGTCGAGTGCGCCAGAAGAGGTCGAATGGAGCACGTGGGGTATGATCTTGAAGCACAGCGGTGAAAAGGACCTACCATGATGTCGGAGGCAGCGCCTCGAGCGCAAAGACGCCTGTGGGTGATCGGAAGTGGGTGGCACGACGTCAAGAGGCGAATCAGCCGAGGTCACGTTCGCCGTCCGGGCAAAATTAGCGCAAGGCCTGACGTCAGCCCGCAGGCCGCTGCGTCGCAGCAGGCTCTGCTACTGCCCGATCGAAGGTCTCGGGCGCTGCAACCCGTTTGACTGACGCCTAGTGGAACTGTGGAACGTACGACGGGTTCATTGGATCACGATCGTCATGAGTGGTTTTTGTGTGCTCTTCAAGTTGGGCATCTTTGGCTCCTGGGCCTCGATCATGTCGACAGCGCGGCAAAATTGACGGATTCGCGATAGAGCCGCGTGCGTTGGATCAAACGCCTTCTCGTGTACGAGTTCGTGTTCGACGACATTCACAATGGCAGGACCGCACGAGAAGGTATCTTGTTGTTAAGGTGCCCTTGTCGTCGTACCGTGATTCACATCGATGTTGAGACTAAGTACTTTGAAAACTTGTGCGTCCAGAGCGTAAGTTAGAGCGGCGACCGTGAGCTTCCTTGAGGAAAGTGAATGTGTATGGACCAGGCTCCATGTTTCACAGCAATCCTTCCCAGGAACCAGTGATTTTCGTCACAGATTGGCAAAAACCAGACCGAGTCGGGGTGTGCCCTGATGAACTGGGCGGTGCTCGCGATCCCGACGCAGTCGTGCCTTGCCCAGTCGGCTAAGCCACAATTCCAACTGATATTGTCCAAGCAAACGTTGAACATCAGATGAGTAAGAGTGGGCGTGAGAAGGGTGAACTTACTGAGCAAGTTCACAAGTCGCTTATGCCCAGCTGAGCTCGTTCAAGTTGCCCACTGAGGCTGGCACGCACGGTAACTCGTGCCACGGCAGGTTTAAAAGTGCTTCCTTAGCCTTGCTGATGTAAAATTCGTCGACTACGCACTTCTTTTCGACCATCTTCATCCACTCGAGCGCGTCTTGGATTCTCCTCCGCGCTTCGCACGAGAGGGGTCAATGAAGGCGTTGCAAATTGCTGTGCCGGAAACGGTTCAGTCAAAGGCATTCGACCATTGACACAGAATCGCAGGGACCTACCGCAGCGATGTAATCGCGAGGCGACACCACGTGAAGGGAGCGTCCGTGAGTCCTCCTTCGTATACTGGCGGGGCTTGAAGAGCGGAATCTCTTTTTCCAAGTTGGCCAGAAACTTTTTGACGGAAGACGCCGCAGGAAGACCCTGCACGCCGAAGGCCTTGGCGAATGCAAGCTTGTCGTCCAGCTCTTGCACGCCGACCCGGCGTTTGTGGGATCTGTGGGATCTGAGAAACACGACGATGATCATCAGCTATGTTCACAAGGGGGTCAGCTCCTGGCCGTCGCGTGATTCCGGAGCAACGAGAGTAGATCGGCGCACGTTCTGACTGGGGAAGGGATACCAGGGATGCGACGAATCGGGCACGCTTGTGTAGTTGCGCACGCTCAGCCGTGTCCGCATCGCGGGGGTGCCTGTCAACACAGCTACAGACAACAAGTTGGGCAATACTTGCGTTGGTGGGAAGTTCATGAGGGGCACTGCATCAGTGCTCGTCCCCACTCACTGGTGGAGCCCGCAGTGGCCCAAGTCTGCACCCGGTCATCCGACTCTTCTTCCTCCGCCTCGCCATCGATCTCGACCTCGCTGTCGGACTTGGAGCCAGTGCCCTGGGAATAGGGCGAGCAATTGCCTTCTGAAACGAAGAGGGCGTGGTCGAGAGCGGAATCCTCCTGATCACTTGGCGGGGACGGACTGGAAGCAGGCACGCGTTCAGACGACTTGATGATCTCGCCAGCGACAGCAAGCAGAGAGTGGCCTACTGTTCCGGTCTCTGCCGGATTTTCATTGAAATCGACCAAGTCGGCCTCGTCGCTGCTCGAGGGCGCCTGAGGCGTGGGTTACAGTAATCGGTTGGCCCAATTGACAGCGGCTCGACTGTTGTACGCGTCAAGGTGCTTCTTGGTCGTGGCGCCGTGCCGAACGGCGCGACGATACCACATGCGCTCGCCACCACAGTACCGGCACACATAGCCGGCAGAAGTTCGCTGAGAGGACCATTCCAAAACGAAGTCTGTGGATGATGGCGATGAGGATGATGACATGATGAAAGTGTGCGCGTCAACGCGACTGCGAGCCGGCGGCCGGGCGTGGGTCCGAGTGCCGCAAGGAGTCGCTACCACCCAGGTCGGCCGGGAACCATGACGTCGTTAGCACTTACCATTCTCCATGACTTGTTCCAAATCCCTCGACTGAATGGACATCGTGTTCGCTGTCGAGGGGTGTGTTGTGCCCGGGATTGTCAAATGGGCAAACGAAAGAGAGGGTGGGGCTCCGCGAAGGCGCTAGGGCCGTTCCATCTGGCTCCTCTCGCCTCCTCTCTCACAACCGGTCGGGTCGGTCTCGGCCACCGCCCCCGGCACGGCCGGAGCCACCCGCAAGCCGCAGACAAGCTCCGAGTCGCCCCTCGGAGGCTGTTCGGCCTCGTATGCGACCTTGAGCTTGAGAATGCAAGAAAACATAGTCGTGTGACACAAGGGTGAAATCCCACTGTACCATGATCAGCCCTGTAGACCGGAGTACTATCTGCGACCGAATGCGACTCTTGGGCTGACAACCATGGCTTCCGTATGGCAGCAAATTTATTCTACTGTAGTGCGACCTCATCGAGCCCGTACGGCATCCCTGCGTGTGCCATATGGCCCGTCGTTATAGAGCCATAAAACGATCCCTATCGCTCCCATATGGCTGCACGACGGCCGCCGTAGGGCTCCTCAACCCCGATGCCTGAAGGATTTTCCCGATGGCCGCCGTATGAAAGCACTGCGGTGACCGTATGCGCGCGCTAGGGGCAAATCCTTATGGCCCCGCCGTAGGGAGGCGCTAGGGAAGCCCTACGGAGGCCTTAAGGATTTTATTCTTATCGAGGCATTACAAAATGCCTTATGGAATCCCGAAACTTGCCGTACGGACCCCATAGGGCAAAAGCTGCCTTATGCCCTCCATAATTTTCGCGCGCGCATGTGTAAGCCCCGCGTCTTGTTAAGCGTCCCTAAGCGGGGCTTAAGCGCCTTTAAGCGGTGCGCGCCGAGTGCCCATTTTGCTGATGTGGCTGGCGCGAGGTGTGGTGTCTGGATCCGGAATGAGACTGATAGTGTAACCTTCACGACTAGGTTACACCGTCCAAAAGACTGACGATTTCAATACATGCATATTGAAATCAGAAGGGTAGTTAAATAGCGTAAGGCAACCGAGCCTTACACCCGCCACCACCAGACTTGGAGATACTCTAAGCGAATCTCTAATGGCCCCCATCGTTCGTTCATTCATTCGTCTTAGGGATATACCAGTGGGATCCCGTTAAATTAACGGGAATATGGTTCCAAATAGCAGGAGAATTGAACGGTATAATGACGAAAGACAGCAGAGAAACTATTTTTCACTCAGCGCGGCCAAGACTTGGCGAGGTTGCGATGGGGCCCTCCCTGGCGACCTTAGGACCGGGGCATAGTGGCGAGGGTTTCTCCTTGAATGAGTGACGATGAGAGTGGGAGGGAAAAAGAAAAGGTTCGAGGGAGTGGCGCAGGATTATTTACGGGGTTTGATTTGTTGTTCAGCCCCTAATGCCGCTGGTCCGCTGCCGGACCGGCAATGACGGGACACCGCCGGCGCGCGGCATCACGTGACAGACGCCAGCCCTCGCCCCGCGTGTCAGACGGAGCGCTGCTGTAGAAGCAATGCCATGCAAAGCCACGCGCTTGCCCTCCATTAAATCCAATATACGTGTAAACACTGTTTTATGTCACCGAAAAAGTGAAGGAAAATACTGGGAGTGCTGTGGCTTCGTTCGAACGGCGCGAAAAATACAAAGGTCGCCACAGAGCTTGTACATGACTTCTGATCGGAACATGAACACCACAGGCGGGTGCGGCAGACACAACAGTATGCTGGTACATCCACCACAGACGGCCCTCCGGGCCGCCACCTAGTTAAAACCAGTGATTTTAGGTACATTCCTTAACTCACCTTTTTTTTATAGAGGTTGTAACAGCCCTTTCAAAATAACTAGGTCAGCCCAAGGGCTCCACCTTGCGCCGAGAGCTGGCCTAATGCCCATCAAGCCCCATACTGCAAGATATTGCCACACTTTCTCCTCCACCAACCTCGCATCAAGAACACAAGCGACCCTGCTCACGACTTCATCGCTGCATCGCTCGGACTGACCATGAAACAGAAGCAAGGCGGTCGCCCTCGTCCCCCAGCCCTCCATGCAATAGCCTGCCGCCCAGCAAGCGCCCATTCCAAGCGTGTTGGCCCACAGACGTCGAGGTTCCTCGTAGCGCATTCGAACACGAGCGCCTTCAGCACCCAAATGCAAGTGAAACCACTTTTCAGTCGGAGTGGGGTACCCGCTGACCAACGTCAGTGGTCTCTCCCTGCAACAGTCACCATCATGGGTCCCGCCGTCGCCCGCACCGTCGCGTTCACCGCGGCGGTCGCGCCCGCCCTCACCACCACACTCCCCTGCGGGCAACAGTCCGGCGCGCGATAGTGTAGTCGAGATTCTTCTCTCGGCTCCGCTGGACAGTGACATGGACCGCGACTTCCTCGAGGAGGAGCTCATCCCACGCATCGTGATGTGTGACACCTCCGATCTGATGTATTCGGTCTTCGGCATCGAGCGGGCACTGTTCAAGGAACGGGTACAAAATGTTCAGGCTCGCCCCGGACGAGCCTCACTCGTGAAAGACTTCAAGCGCGACTGCAGACGATCGGCGAACCAAACGAAAGCAGACTGGATAGTTCCGCTTGCCAGCTTTGTAAGCGTGATTTGATCGCATTTGACTTGCGAGATGACACTAATTGCAGCGCATTCGCCTCCACAGGCAACCGCCGGCGGTCGACAGGAAAAATTGACGCTCGCACATGCGCTACAGCGAAATCGATGGATCTGCGAAGGGGAGTGCGAGGAAACCGAGGTCCATCATTTCTTCACGTGTTGCAAGCGAATGGCGTCGGAGAATCACAGTTCCGCCGGGCAAAGAATGCTTGTCCCGATCCATTTCGGGGTCACGCCACATGCTGAGGCATCTGATGATGGCACCCCGTCTCCCCTCGTCAGGGTCGCATTCGACATGGCGCAACATGCGCTCGAGCAACCGGCCCGCCTATTTGTGCCGGGTCTTGCCGTTACGGGGACCACGGCGCACCTCGTCGTGATCGATCATGAGGTGTGCCGGATCGCGACCATCTCGGACTGCTGGGGTGAGGGCTTCGGTGAGCTTGCGGTGATTGTTGCGGTTCTGTCGGGGCTGGACGTCTACTCCGCGGGACTGTGCCCTTTCTTCCGCTACGAATGTGCTGGCAACATCGGTTTCAAGGCAGTATCACTCGTCACATGGTACCTTCGACCTCCCGAGCTCGAAGACGATGTCCCTCTCGTCGCTCGCACCGTCGAATTCATTGACGAGGAACCTGTCGAGCTCCTCAGCTGCGCAGTCGGGCGCGGCGGATCAAACTTCAGTTGCAGCACGGCTGTGTTCCAGCTGACCCGTCCAAGTCTGATGGGGCCAAACACTTCTTCGGAATCCGATCCACCGCACTCCTTTGTACTCAAGATTCAACACACCGGACACGAGTGCGTCGGGCACGAAGCCAATGTGCTGCGAATGATCGACGAGCGTTGTAATGCTGCATCGCCGGAAGTGTCGTCCTTGATCTTCAGCCACATCAACCGTCTCGAACAGGCCAAGTCGTTCGATCTTCATTGCTCGCAAATGAACAACAGCGACTTTTCGCTGGTGGAAGGAAGGGATTCTCATCGAAGAGTATGACGGCGCAAACTGGACCTGGTCATCCTACGCAATCCCACTCCGCTGCCCACGCAGGTTGATTGCGGTCAAGATCGTTCCCGCCCCGTGGAGGACGCTTACCAAGTTTTCGACCAGCTGCTCACACTTTTACCGATTCTCTACGATCTCGGCATCCACCATCGCGACTTGTCGCCTGGCAACATCCTGCATCATCGAGGACAACTTGTTCTGGTCGATTGGGATGCTGGAATTGTCGCACCCCCGGGGGAGCTCGTTCCGATAGGCGCAACCGATGGTACCGGGTCGGTCAGGGCCACCCTTGCTACGACTCCCTTCGACGTGCTCGCCTGGTTGTTCTTGCAAGGACGGACCAAACTACCAATGCACATGCTGGCGAACGATCTAGAATCCGCGACCTACTGGTTTGTGACCGTTCTGGGCTCGTTCCGGGTGCAGTCGTGGGAAACTGCCGCTTGGAGGGCATGGAAGGTGTTGGATCTACCACCGGGCAACCCACCGTACGTGAGAGCTCTTGTGCATACGCGTTTGGAACTGTGGGGCAACAGCGGCGAGAGCCAGTGCCGGCGCATTGCGCTCCTCGAAGCGTTGCGAGATCTCTGTCCGGCGGAAGGCCAGGTGGTCGACATATTCACGCGTTACTTCCCCGCCTGGCGCGAGATACCGAACGTTCATCAACTCACCAAAGAAAGGATGGCAACGATGCAGGCCAAGAGGAGAGACGTTCTCGCATTGCAGCCTCGCTCCGAGTAGATGTACCCTTTCGTTCTTCTCTGTTCTTGCTGATTCTTTCTTTCATTGTTGACATCCCATTCTGTACCTTTGAGAAAATTCCAGTCGTTAATGAAGCTTTGCTCTTCAAATCTCGGGCATCTCTCATCGAAGCCTCCATGTCACCATAACAGTAATCATTACAAGCCTAGGCACATTTCCGTTACTCCGAATCATTCCCTTCCATCCCACCCAAGCCCCAACCCCTCGATCTCAACTTCTTTCCATCGCCCTTTCCCACTTCTCACCCTTCCCTCGCTTTCCAGATCGCATCGACCTGCGCACGTTCCTCCTCGGTCCACAACTCTTCGTTCCAAAGCATAGAACGCGTACCTCGTCGTGTTCCTTTTCCATCTGGTTCGTATGACAAACAGGAGGTTAGTAAGTGATTCTGCACGGGAGTCTCCTCCGCCTAGGTACCCACCCCCGAAATGACTTCAACGGATGTCATCTCTACAGACACTTCTTCATCGTACATATCTTCTACGGACATTTCTCAACGGGACACTGCTTTTCCTGTTCATATGGTTTCAGATGTTTCTTCGTTGGCGAGATCCGACCCTAGGTCGGCTTTGGATAAGCTCACCGCTCTTCCTTCCATCACGGATTCGCGTGCGGCGTTGACCGATGTTGTTACTGCTCAACCCTGATCGATGACAATCGGTAGTGGACTGCCTTCGCGTACACCGTGGCAACACTCCTTTCGAGCAGGTCGATTCGATCCCGACATAAATCCGCGAGGGTTTCGACTTTAACCTCCGTGACCTTCCCAGGGAACCTTTTACTCCGAGCAACCACATTTCGGACGATGATGGACGCATCTCGTGAGGCAAGCGGCCAACGAACTTCCCCGTCTCCCTAAGCAACGGGTCGCATCGCGGACCTTTTTGACTACGACTACCTTCGCCTTCAAGTCGGCTCTCTCCGCTCGAACTATCCGCTGTCGGCGGAGTAGTGATCGAGAACGAAGCGCACCTGGTCAATCGCGGACGCGTCTCCGTAAATGTGAAAGATGGGATCTCAGGATCGCTCAGAAACTCGTTTGGTTTGTGCTGGGGGCGAGCTCTTCCTTTAAACCCCTGTCCCCCCCCCCCCCCGCCAGGCGCGCGCCCGCACATGGATACGCTTGCTTTCCCCGATCAGCGCCGGCGTGACAGGAGGCGGCTGGTCATCGAACCCATCCCGATCTCAACGTCGTTCGTCGCTGACTCGAATTTCGTCTTTCCCGAATCTCGGTTTTTTTTTGGTTTTTTCTTCTTTTTCTTTTTCTTCTTCTTCTTCTTCCAAAACTACGCCTCGGATTTCAGAAAATGTTGTGAACCCCTGCAGCACGGTGGCGTGCGGCAGTAGTGCTCTCGAACAGATTTGTTCAAGTTTGATCGAGACTTTCAAAGGGCCATGAAAGTCTAACCTGACCCCAACATCGGTGACCCTACTTGGGCGGCAGACACACTCACAGTCGTGCGGGAGAAAAGACTTTGCTCTCGCCGTTACAAGTTGGAAACCGCGAGGGCCCTCTTATTTGGAAGCGAGTATGACAAAGGGAGGTATGCCTATACAAGACAATCATCCCTCCAGTAGCTTCAAACAAAGTACAATGCTTTTCTGCTTCTTCTGTGTCTCTTTTCTCCCGCTGGCTCCGGGCTGCTTGCAATGCTGCGAGATAATAAGTCCCTCGAAGAGTCAAGGAGAGGACGAACTTGAGCGAGAAGCAGTCCATGGTAGTACGTGGCAGGCTGGGGCGAAGGAGCGCGAAGGAGCTCGAGCTCCCCCCCCCCCTGCACCTTTTTGCATTGCTCATGTGGAATGATGGCCCGGTTGCGTTGACTCTTTTTCCCTCTCGCCATCCTGCCCTGCGAAGGCTGGCTGCGCTGGGGTGGACACACACTGCGACAGAATTTGGGACCTGGTTCGAATGGCGTCCTCTTACATATTCCGCACTTGCTATACTCTATCGCTACCTTACAACATCGATCGTGTGGGCTCCCGTCTCACACGTAGCGCAAACCTCCGCGATAGTCGGCAGAATGGTGCACCCGACATTGCCCTTCGTCCATGGTGCTAACTTTTCTCTGCATGTCTATGATGTCGTAGGCTTGTTGGTCCTCCTCTGTCGTTCCCCTTGCAACTGTAAGATCGAGATCTACGGCCACGGTCAACGGGTGCCGACACTGTGAGCATTGGCGTGATCGAAGAGCGCGGCTCGACGTACCACTTTCTTGACGCGTTCGACACCTTCGTGCGCACCCTTTTCTCCCTTGACTTGATCGACCGTGTAGGGTGGTGATATGATGACTTGATCCATGACGATGATTTGCCTGATCGCCGCAAAAAAACCAAACAAAAACCCTCTCGGGTTAGTCCCAGCGCGCCTGACTACACCCTCTCTAACCCGGATCCGACCAACTCACGCGCCATGCCACCTCACAGGCATCGTCTTTGCCAACCCATCAAATAGCGCCTGCGTCTCGGGTGTGACACCCACACCCTGAGGTGGTTTCCTACTCCTTTCCTTGACGAGTGCGGCCACGCCCTTCTCGATTCGTAGTTTCATCTCTTCTTGGTCCATGCGAAGGTCCGGAGTGGTTTTCGAGGTGGAAGTTGAAAGTGGAGGTAGGGAGGGATCGGGTAATGTGGATAAGAGAGTGGTGGATTGGATCGAGGCGAAAGGATGAAAGGAATAGTTCCTCGTCGTCGTCGTCGTCGTCGTCGTCGTCGAGGAGGAGGAGGAGGACTTGTTCGTCGTCGAGGTCGACGAGGTGGAAGGTGTTGTGAGGACTAGACATTGGGTGTGATGATCTACGGTGTAGAGCGTTCCTTTGGCTGTTTGGGAAGGGAGACTATTCGCTGGTGTGGAGGGTGGTGGAGTGGATGATGTGGTTGGGTTCGGAACGAGCAAGACCCGGATAGGGTGGTTCACGTATTGCGTCAACGCGGAGAACGGGATCGAGGAGCCGGCCGAGAGCGTGCGTGGGGTTGTACTGGTTGAGCTCATATTAGGGGGGGGGGGGAGGTCTAGGTCTAGGACGTGTGGGTGGCGGATGTCAGAGTGGGTGGGCGGTGTTGTGCGTTCGACCGATCGAGGGAAACGAGCGCGTGGAGTGGGGGCTCAAATTCGGACGGACCCTTTTGACGGTCACGCGCATTTACTAATCGACAATTAGCACGCCCTCCTGAGCCAGCCTGCGCGGGCGCGCTCGGGCCTTGTCTGTTGAGCGGCGCACCTCTTTTCTCTCTCCTGTTGTTGGCCGTGCCCTCGCTCGATGCCGCCACGTACGACGCGTCGGCCTTCGTTCGCCCGCTGCTCCGCCGAGTCCCCACCTCGCAACAGTGGTGCGCACGACCCATTGTTCGCCACGGCCTCACCTCTTCTCAGCGGTCCCATTTCCGCATCCAGTGCTTCGTTGCAGTACATCGCACCACCACCACCAGCAGCAGCAGCTGGGCCCCCACCTCCGTCTTCTTTGGGTGCGCTACCTCCTGACCCGAGCAGCCACGTCGCCATGGCAGTTCCTTCGAGCTCGACAGCGGGTTCGGGTTCGGGTTCGGGTTCGGGTTCAGCATCATCGGATTCAGTACCGATCCCGACCCCGATCACCCATGCTTTCCTCGCCTCTCCATTCGCGTCGTCGTCCACGCGGACCGACTCATCCCACGACGGCCACGACGGCCACGACGGCCACGACGGCCACGACGACCACGACGACCACGATGACCTCGAGTCGAACCGCACCACAACCGACGATTGTTCCCTACCCAGTAACGAACCCTCGTCCAGCTCCACCACGAACCTCAACCGACGACACGCCGTGACGATCGAACCGCCACCGGGTACGATCAGCAGCACCGGCACTGCGAACGCCCTACCTCCCCGTCCTCCTGCAGGTCAGACTCCGATCCCACCCACTCCGCCCGTACAGGCTCAGGAAGGACCACCCAAAGCCAACGCTCTCGCTGCAGTGCCCAAACCAAAAGTAAGTTCTGACATTCCCAATCTCTTTTGAGAGCTGACGCGCTGACGATTGCCCCTTCCCTCGCCAGCAACCGCTGTACACGTTCCCTTCCCCACCGCCGGACTCGAGCGACATCGTATCCGAACTGCAAGAGTTTTACAGCTACGTCGAGGTACCCCAGGTCATCGATCACAAGGATAGCTTCCTCGCGTGGTGGGATAGGCCCCAGCGTCAGTCTCCCCACCGCGTCGAGATTCACGTCCGCACGTGTGAACTGAGCCTTAACCCGATCCCCGGACCCATACAGAAGCCTTCGTCGACGTCCCGCAAACGGAACAGATCGAGCTCATCCACAGTTTGCTCGACGGACTCGCTTCCCCCGACCCAGACGCGCGCTTCACCGTCGCCCGACACCTGCTCTACATCGCCCAAGGCACTTTTGAATCTTCGACTTCTCCAGACCACCACCTCGAACTGATCCAAGCCAACTGCGCCCTCCTCCGCAACGCCAAAGCCTTGGATGCGATCTGGGACGCCGTAAAGAAAACGGGCGAGCGATGGGAACGTGTATCCCATCTGCCCAACACGAACCCCGGATCGAACGACCCGTCCTCCTCTTCGGGTGCGGGCGAATCCCAACCTTTCAACATGGTAGAATTTGAGGAGGCGCAACATCGCCAGGAACAGTTGGACGAGATCAATTCCGAATTGGCCTTGCTGTTGGCCGTGCTTTATTTCATGATGGAGGTTCATCGTGGGGATGATGATTGGGCCGAGGAACTGAGTGGGTTGAACGTTCCGCTTAAGGAGCTTGACCACGTTCAGAGCTGACATCTCATTCGCTTCTTGTCCAGTGCAACTCGATCCACCGGCACCGATCTATCTATTCAACCTCGTGGCGGGGTTGAGGGAGAGGAATGCGAAAGGTTACCCAGTCAAAAAGGTCGGTTCCGGTCTACTACGGATGCACGTCACACGGCGCTGCAACTGACATCCCAGAGTAACGCGCGGCCGACAGCTCCTCCTCTTGCTGTGGAAATCGATCCTGGCGTGTATCGGTGGGCAATCCGATATCCCTCGAGTCCGAGCGCTCGTCCGCTCCATCGAAGGACTGGAACCTAATCCATCACGGGCGCGCACGCCGGCTCCAACGCGACCGTCCCCACCGTCCTCTTCCTCTTCGACGTGCGACATGCCATCCTCCCCAACCGAATCGGTGATCGCCGACGCCAAACCGCACACCAAAGTCGCTCCGACCGATTTCGTCGCCTTCAACTCGGAGATCACTTCCAAGTACCCTTCCTACATCCCCCCTCCTTTACCGATCGATCTTCCGATCCCGATCGAGATGGAACGTATCGCCGCCGCCGCCGCTCCCCAACCCGTTCGATCAACATTCTCCTACCACCTCAACCCGAACCACGATCCCACGATTCCATCTAACCAATCCGCCTCTGCACAACCACCAGGCTTGACCGGACCCGGTCAAGGAGGTATGCAAAATTCAAGTTCGGCTACTCCCGCTCCGACTCCCCCCACTTCGCCCGCTCCAACTCCTCCTCCTCCTGCTCCTCCTAAACCGAAAAAACAACAATACCAAACCGATCAATCCAAACCTTTCGTACTACCCTTCGCACCCTCCAATTCCGGTATCCCCTCCACCTCAACCACCTCAACCACCACCACCTCTTCTTCCACGACGACGACGACGACCTTTGGTTCACGTATCGTGCCACGTTCGATCGAAGAAGCGGGACAATTGTACGCGACTCATTTACGACTCTCTACCGAATTATGGCAGAGTTGTAAAGTAAGAGAGGAATTCTTGTACGAGGAAACGGGGATCGCGCAGGCTGAACGGTTGGTCGCTAAGAAGGATCGAGGTGATGGGTTGGCGAAGAAGGGTTCGGGAGGGTTGAGTAAGAGGTTGAGGGGTTTGACTGGTTTGGGAATGGCGAAAGAGGGGAACGAGGTGGATGATTCGGCGATTGATGAATCTGATGAAGGGGAGGAGGATCAATCTTTTGGTGGGTCTAAAGAGAAGGAGCAGAAGAATGGACCTCGGGCTCCGGATCCGTTGGAGATGTTGAGGAAGATGGAGAGGGAGGTGATGAGGTTGGCGAAGGAGGAGGCGGATCAGGACAGGAGGATCGAGTTGGAGGATAAGAGTAAAGATTTGAAGAGGTTGATGAGGGTCGAGATGCTTTATGTGAGTTGGGTTCGTTGCATCGGTGAGAATCGGAGAGATGCTGACGTTTGGTTGATGCTGTCCACCAGCGAGCTGTCTTGCCTCAGATGCAAAGCGCCGTCATTGTGTTGCTCAAGCTCTTGTTGGCGACCGTCACCGCGAACAACAACAATCAGAACCAAGGCGTAGGGAATGCGGAGTCCGGTAATGGTGAGCGCAGCCATACATCAAGGCCAAGCGCAGCCTCTAACATCTCTCTTTACCTACGGTCCATCCAGACGAACCCATCAAACTCAGCCTCGAAGACACGGACATCATGCGTCACCGGGAAATCACCTCCAAAGCCGTCTCGGCGATCCTGATCCTCGCTTTGAAATGGTTCAAAACCTCGCACGTGATGAAGTTCCATTACCTGTCCCAACTTTTGGTCGATTCGAATTGCCTGTTGTTGATCCTCAAGATGTTCGGTCTGCAAGAGGTTTCGACTTCGGTCAAGACGAAGAATGATCGCGAGGACCAAAACTTTTTCAAGTTTTGTCATGAGATGGTCAACCCGCCTGATTTGAGCGACCCGATGACGTATGGTGGGAGGAGACCGCGTTCTTCGTCTAGGGATAGTACGAGTGATTCTGACTCGTCGACGAGGGCTCAGAAAGGGACTGCGCAACGAACGAAATACGTTGCCACCTCGTTGTCGATCAAAGGTGATCGTTCTACATCAACCCCGGTCACGACGATTCAACCAAAACCTGAAGGTGCTCAAGTCAAGAATAACAAATCGACGGAGGACGACCCAGTCGAGTACATCACCGATTACTCGTGGCGCAACTTTTTCAGCGTCATCAATTTCGTGCACATCTTGCAGAAATTGACGAAGCGCAAGACGCATCGGGTGTTGTTGTTGGTGCAGTACAAGAGTTCGGTACGTGCATAGGGTTCTTCGGGGAAGGGGGGGTCCGAGGATTCGCTCACGGAGACGGCTGCGTGTTGACTTTGTTCGGACAGGCTATCTTGAAGCGTATCTTGAAAGTCTCGCACCCGACGTTGCAGTTGTATGTGCTCAAGGTGATCAAGTCGCAGGTACCGTACTGCGGCCGCAAATGGCGTCAATGTGAGTTCACATTCCTTACCCAGTCGTGGTCTCCTTTGACTCGCTCTGACAGGAGATACCGCTCCCAACTTACAGCCAACATGAAGGTCATTACCGCGATCTACCTCCACTGCCGCCCTGATCTACGCGATGAGTGGTTGACCGGTATCGACGTTGACCACGATGTTGAGGAATCCCTACCCCACGAACAAGCCTTGCGCGCCTTGGTACGGTTCTTCAACACCAAGCACTATGGATCTTACGCCCCTCAACTGCATCGTCGATCCTCAGCCACCAGCCCAGGCAACGACTTTGTCGCTTCTAGAGGAGGGGTCGAAGGTGGGAATAATATAGGAGGCTATGGGCCCGGTACAGGTGGAGGAGGAGGTCTCCCTTCACCCGGTATCGGAGCAATCGGGATCAACCACGACCTGAACCGCCCCTTACAGAGTCCTTCAGCGAACGATGACGTTTTCCCCCCTTCAAGACCGATCACTTCGTTCGGTTTCAATGATCCTTCGGACGAACCTTGTTGCAGTCCAACGAAGAATGGACCAGCTCTGCTGTCCCCTACTTCACCCACTCTGTCGAGATACCCAACAGATCATCCTTCGAATGGGGACGAATACGCCGATTACGAAGTGGATGATCTGCTGCTCTACCCTCGACCGATCGATGAAGATGGTTACCTTTCCACTTCCGAAGGGGGCGTACTCGACCCTTTGGAAACCAGTCGAGCGGATTGGGAACGACTTGGTCAACTCCTAGGTCAATACGATGAGGATATTTCGGATTCGGAAAGTGTTGGTAGCTTGAGGGGTTTGTTGAGGTTCGAAAGAGGGGAGCGGAGGGAAGGGGAAGGGGAAGGGGAAGGGGAGGAAGGGAGTGATGATGGTGTTAGCGAGTTCGAATTGGAGGAGGAACGTTTGGATGAGAGACAGAGGAAGGCGATCGCGGTTAGGAACGAGTGGGAACATATTAGGTCAGTTTCTTTTGTTCGACGCGCAGTGGTATTGATGGCGCGTCTCCTTCCTGGCGCGTCTCATCTGAATGTTCAATTACCTCTCGCGCAGTCCGGAAACCATCACCGCGCTCGAAGAAGAACGCGCGGCCGCTCTACCTCATTCCCCACGACCCTCGCGTCGTCGATCAAGTACAGGGCCTATCTCACCCGCTCTACGACCCGTGCTCATCGATCGGGACGATGACTCCGCGCTCGAAAGTTCAGGTGGGAACGCGGTCGATGAAGGTGGGGATGCTGGAGTGGGTGGAGCGGCGAACGCAGGACCGAATAGTCCCGGCCCTGCACCGGCCGCTCCTCATCAGGGTCCGGCGGTGGATGAGGTCGAGTTGGTATTTGGGGAGTGAGGGATTAGATAAAGTGGTCGTTCGCATGCGGTGTCGCCAATTGAATAGAGATGAAACTTTTTCCTTTCCCCGCGCCCTCCGAAGAGAGCGACGATCGGTCGGCTCCTCCTTTTCTCTCTCCCTGTGTCTGATCTTGAACTTTGGGATTTATAAATTCTATACGCCCTAGCCGACCCTAGCGACGACCTCTCCTCCCAAACCTTTCCTCACGGCCTCCCTCGCCTCAACCCAAGTCGCCTGCCCACTCCTAACGAGCGCGACTTCACCCATTCCCAAACCCCTCACGAATTTGACCCTACTCCCTCTTACGAACCTACTCAATTCCTCCTTGTCCAAAACGACCTTCCTCGAAGGTTTCGAAACCAATTCCATCTTGTTCAACACCGGCCTTTCCTGTCGATACTTCAATTCGGCCCAGACCCTTTTTTGGGAAATTCGCGTTCCCGTAAAGGTCGTAGGATCGGGAGGGGTCGAGGAAGAAGTTGAAGTCGAACCTAGGGAGAGGGAAGTGATGAAGCCTTGGGAGAGCAGGAGGGAGAGCAGGGAGAGGTGTTGTTTGGTCGGGGTGAAGGGGACCCATCGATGACGCGAGGCGGAGGCGTTCGACAGGCGCGAACACAGTTCGTGTGGGAGCATTTGCTTCGAAATAGAGAGGTGGGGGTGGCTGAGGTGGGGGTTGGGGTTGGGGTGGTACGCTTTTTTGATTGTGGTGCGGAGGTAGGGTAGAATCAACGAGCAAGTTGTGGGCCCGGTCAAGAGGGTCGCGTGCGAAGTGCCGAACGCTGCTCCCTCCTTTTTTGGAGTGTGCGCGCGTGACTGTGGATCAGTGGGGCCAACGAACAGGATCAGTCGAGCGCCCCAAGTCGAGCAAAAGACGGATCGTAGCGCTCACGCTTGTTTCGGACGGGCGTGGCAGCGAGGGTCGGAGAGAGAGCAGTGGAATCTGACCAACCGGAAGGGCGCGCCGGGCGAGGGCGAACGGGTCCGAACTCGACTCTGCCAGCGGGCGATGGCGTGTGCAGGCGTGTGCCGTCGTCGTGGGGTCACACCCTTAAACGAGCTCACGCGACACGACAGTCAGGTCGACAAAGGTCCTCCTCAGATTTCATCGACCGTTTGAAGAGTTTTCACACCGTATATGCATTACAACATGTAGACCCCAAAAATCTTGCTCCCACAGACCCATCTCGTATCTCATGCGGTGAGACCCGGTGCCGAGAGTTGTTCGACCTGTTGCTTGATCGCTGAGGAAGCAAACACACACTCGTCAATCTCTCGAGATTCCAGATGGTCTGTTCACTCGGGGCTACTCACCCAACAACTCCTTCTCCCCGCCTACGAGCCTCTTCCTGAGCGCGTCAATCTCCACCATCGTCTTTCTCCTCGCCTCGTCCAACCTGTCCCCCTCCTCCCTCTCCATATCCAACGTAAACTCCCCAAAATGTCCACCACCCCCCAACTGATGTACCAACAATTTCGGATGTCGATTCGTTTTCGGTAAAGCGGTTTGAGGGTTCGCCAATAAGAGTGAATAAAACGCTTCTGTCGGTTCGACGAACACGACTTGTTCGTATTGCCAAGAATGAACGGGCGAAAGCACCAAGCTCGGTGGGTCAACTTTGATTTGCTCCGAAGCTTCGATCAAATCCGTCGTGACTTGTTCGAGCGATAAAACCGCCGTTCCTTCCGTTGTAGCGGGTGTATTGGTCACTCCACCCACCCCCGTCGTCGTCGTCGTCGTCGTCGTCGTCGTCATCGTAGTGGTGGTAGTAGGTGCGGCGATGGCGATTTGAGCAGGTTGTTTCAATAACAAGGGCTCGATAGGCCAAGGGTGCAACTTGAGATGATGCGTAAAACTGATCGGTTTCTCCGCCGCTTCGTTGACGAAGAAGATTTTGATGATGATGTCGAATTCACCCCAACCTGTTTCGGTCACTTGAAAGGGGGGTCGTTCGAGCGCTGTAGGGGCGGGGGGGGGGGGGAAGGCGGTGTTCAGTGGGGGGGGGGTTGGAGCGTGGAGGGGGCGGGGGGAGTTTTTCGGGTCGGGTGACTTACTTCGTAAAGGTTGGGCGTACGTCTCGTGTAATTTGAAGGTGACTTTTTTAACAAAGTACCTGTCCCCAATACGATCCCACTGAAAATCAGCTCCCCGTAACCCCCCTCCTCCCCTCCACACCTAGCCATCCGACCGGAATCGGAAACCTACCCAATATCATCGCCATTCCCAACCTGACTCGCCGGATCCTTACTCGGTGTAGTCGGCGAATTCGCGGACCTGACGGCTACGGTCCATCGATGGGTATGGTCCGTATCGACGCGTTCGTGAGGTTCGAGCAGGACGGCGGTGTTGCCGTAGATGAGAGGGCGGTAGACCGATACACCGCGTAATCGTTTGTGGGACATGGTTCGGCGGGGAGATGGGGTCGGGTCGGGTGGAGAGGGGAGGGGAAGGGGGGTTTGCTAGGGCGGCGGGGGAAAGGGGAGGAGAGTAGGTGAGAGAGAGTGGAGCGAAAGAGGTCGGCGAATGAAACTTGGCCGAGAAAGCGGCGAAAGAGTTGGTTCTACTTGGTTGGGCCCCGCGCAAGCCCGCGCAGTTTTCTACGCGCTCTCCCTCTTCCCGCCCTCTTTCCCCCCTCTTCTTATCCCTTTCCCACTATTGGCACGCTGCTCAAACAGCGCCATGTTCCAAGCCACGAGGATGATCCGATTCGCAACCTCGGCACGGACAACGATCGTCACAACGGCCACGCGAGCGGCCTCGCTCTCAACGACGAGCGCGATTCGCCAGCTCGAGTCGACGCCCTCCACTGCACCGAGTGATACTACACCACCACCACCACCACCATCCTCTACTTGTGCCACTCCGGAGGCTTCTTCTTCATCGTCGAATCCAACAGAGCTCTCTGAACCCAAACCCAAGTCCAAGCCGACCTGGACAAGGTACACCGATCCGTTCTCGCTCTTTGCTCTTTTGCTCTTGCGCTCCTCCCACAAACTTCTGCATCACTGACAACCTGACCCTACCCCTGATGAACCCACGACAGACGCTCTTTGAAGCCATCGCGCACGACGACAACGCCGACCGAGCTCCCCTCGTACCCAGCCCTGCACGCACTCGGCGCCTTTTCCCCCATCCCCGTCCTCCCCTCTTCGACGCACTGCGCGACCCTAACCCTCCGTTCCTACACCCCCTCCCTCCACCACCTAACCTTCTACACCCAATTCGTGCTCCGTTCCGCTCGTGCACTAGGTCTACGTACTTCGGGTCCTCATCCACTCCCTCTAAAAACGCAATTGATCACCGTGCCGCGATCACCTTTCGCGCACAAGAAATCGCAACAGAATTTTTGGAGGAGGACCCATGCGAGGAGGGTCGAGGTGTACGATGCGAATGAGGAGGTGGTGGGGATGTGGTTGGGCTATTTGAGGAAGGAGGCGATGGGGGGGGTGGGGGTCAAGGTGCAGACTTTTACGAGCAGGGAATTGGGTTGGGCTAGTGGGTTCAGGAGGGTCGGAAGGGAGGGAAGGGAGGGAAGGGAGGGAAGGGAGATTGGGCAGGAAGGTATGGATGAGGAGGTGGAGAGGTTGGCGAAAGAGTTGGAGGGGGAGATCAAGTTGGGCTTGAAGCAGGAGCAGGAGCAGGAGCAGCAGGAGGAGCAGCAAGTCGAGGCAGAGTCCGAGCAGACAGAGGCCGAGGTCGAGGAGGGAAAGCCGGAGGAGACCAAGTAAGCGAATGAGACTGTAATTTAGTCTCGTTCTGTGCTGTACTCTGTCGTGCATCAAAAGAAGCGCAGTTTGGATAGGTTTTCATCGCGAGCTCCGACAAGTCCGAGAATCACTTAGGGGTGCGACTCGGAGAGCGTTCATGTTGGACAAAACTGCACACATCATGACGGCCTATCCTCGTCAACAAACAGTTGCTTCGACTGTGCTCCGTTCCCCTTGCTTGCTCGGAACAGTCTGGAGCACTCCTAAGCACTCCGCCAGAGCCGGCCAGCCCGTCACCGACCCACGCGCGCGATCACTCTTTGGCCTCCCTGCACTCGCACCCGACCCCCACTCGCCATCATGTCACTCCCTCCCACGGACAAGGGCAAAGCCAAGGAAGCTACACCCCCCACCACGCCTGCCACACCCGCCACGGCTCCGAGTGCAGATGCGAAGGCGACGGGCATCATCGTCATTGGCATGGCAGGTGCGTTCGGCCCAGCGCGGCTTGCGAAGCTCCCTCGGCGCTCCTGCGCACAGGAGACCCCACCTCGCACCTACTACGCCCCTGCATACCCACATCAACACGTGCTCATCCTTCACACTGTACCCCCACAGGCTCAGGCAAAACGACCCTTCTGCAACGTCTCAACACGTACCTGCACTCGACCTCCCGTCCGCCGTATCTGATCAACCTCGACCCGGCGGTCAGTCACCTCCCCTTCTCGGCCAACATCGACATCCGCGACACGGTCGACTACCAGAAAGTGATGCAACAGTACAACCTCGGTCCCAATGGGGGGATCTTGACCGCGTTGAATCTGTTCACGACCAAGTTCGACCAGGTGTTGGAATTGGTCGATAAGCGCAAGAGTTCGGTCGAGTACGTTCCCAGCCCAATTTTTTTTTTTTTGAGCGGTCGGGAACGATCATCTGACTTAGTTCCTCATCTTGTGTGCAGTTACGTCCTGCTCGATACACCAGGCCAAATCGAGATCTTTACTTGGTCCGCTTCGGGAGCGATCATCACCGACGCGTTGGCTTCGTCCTTGCCGACCTGCGTCGCTTACATCATCGACACGCCGAGGACGACCAATCCTGCGACGTTCATGAGCAACATGTTGTATGCATGTTCGTGAGTCGGCTTCAGCGATACAAGCCCCCTAAAGCTTGGCGCCAAAAAAAAAAAAAAAAGACATCTGACCCCCTCCTCCACTGCCCTCCCTTCCCCCCCCCCCTCAAAAAAAGGATCCTATACAAAACGCGCCTCCCCTTCATCCTCGTCTTCAACAAGACCGACGTCGAACCGCACCACTTTGCGCTCGAATGGATGCGTGATTTCGAAGCGTTCCAAGAAGCTCTCCTCGCTCGTCGATCTTCCCCTAATGGTGGGGAAGGAAGTTCGGCGGCGGAGAGTGGGGGTTATATGGACAGTTTGATGAATTCGATGAGTTTGGTCTTGGATGAGTTTTATAAACATCTAAGGGTACGTTTTTTTATATATAAAAAACGAAAAAAAAAAAAAAAAAAAAAAAAAAAAAAAAAAAAAAAAGACGAAATCCAACCAACACCTTCCCTCTCCGTTCGCGCTGGCAATCACCCCACCCCTCACTGACACCCAAACCACACCCACGCACACACAGGCCGTCGGAGTCTCTGCGATGACGGGTGAAGGCGTACCCGAATTCTTCGACGCCGTTCAACGAGCTCGACAAGAATACATCGAAGAATACCTACCCGAACTGAACAAGACCTTGCGTGAACGAGAGGTCGTTTCGGAGAAGGAGAAGAAGAGCTCGTTGCAGAGGTTGATGGGCGACCTCAAACTCGGGGCGCAGGGACCTGAAGGCGCTGAGGGGTTGGGTCGGGAACTAGAGGAGGAGGAGGAGGAGGAGGAGGAGGAGGAGAGTGAGAGTGATGATGATGGAGAGATTATTGATCGGAGTGCGAGGACGGGTTATTATGAGTTGCCTGAACCGGAGAGGAAAGGGAGGAGGGGGAATGCGTTTGGTGGTGGGGGAGGTGTGGGAGGGGATGATGGGACCGTTTGGCCGAGGCCGTAGGGGATTGTCACACTGTGGAATGGATGAGGTTTCGATGAACACTGTTGTATGAGGTGGTGATCTGGGACGCGTGATCACGAGCGAGAAAAGAAAGAGAGGCACGACGGCCGCGCGTGGAATGGTGCGTCGCATAGGGGCTTAGGCATTATCAACAAGGCTGGCTCGCATACTTTGTACCTCTTTTAGTCGGTTCATATCTGAAGCGAGCTTCCCGAGCACATCATGGCTGAACCCACCATACGGGTTACAAGCCCTTCGCATGGCGAACGACCTCCGTACACTGAAGCTCGCTCGGGGCAGCTCTGCCCCATTGCATACATAGACCCAGCCTGTACTAAGGCGCCTTGATCTCAAGCCGCGCAGGACTTGTTCGCACGACCAGCAAGAGGTTGTAAGGCTCTCATCTAGCAGTGGGCATCGGAGCTCGGAGCGTTTGATCGACCCATCGTAATTTCGCATCAAAGAATTTACTCCGACCAAACTTTTCAAGAGGGGGCTCTGATCCACCTTCAGGCACAAGAAACTTCGTCCCTCGGTACCTCGAAGACTACTGACTCTCGTCTGCAACATGATGTGTGTAAAACTTTTCACTCTCGACTAGGAACTTCGACGATCCATTTTGGCACCTTCAAGGGGCAGTCGACCTCGAAAATACCACTGACCCACCAGCCGATCGACCCTTGCGAGTCCTAATTACCCAAAAGAATTCGTCAGCGGGGGGGCTGGCGCCGGGCCTGGTAGGATTCCGGTCGAGGTGGAACGTGTGCAAAATCTACACTCGTACTCCACTGATCAGCTCTTTCATGGTGCACGCGCCATTTGAACCTCCCCCTCAGAAGAACGTGGACGAAAAAAAGGCCGGGCCAGCGATTGAATTCACTACCGCTAAGGTACTTAAAAAAAAGCCGGTTGCCGGGACAAGAAGTCACACACTTTTGCCGACTCCCGTGACCGAAAGTGAGGGAGCCAGTGATTAGTCGCTGAAGTAGTGCTAGCACAAGCTCGAATTTAAGCGACGACATGAAACCATCGGGGCTGTGGGGCGCTACGAAACGTGGTCGGGCGAAGCTGGCCCGAACGCTTACCCTCGGAGAGCTTGACCGCCTAAGGGGCTAGAGCTGAGACACCCACCACAGGCCTTAGGCCTTAGGCCTTAGCGCCCACAGGCGGCGGCGGCACTTTGGCGAGCCCCGCTCCGCGGAGATCAATTGCTCGCCTCTCAGGCGGTTAGATCTCAGGCCTGCCGAGTAGTGAGACCGCGTTTCCCAGTGTTGTCCGAGTGGGCTCGCAGACACCCATCATGATGCCCTCCCCTCGCTAGTGCCTCCTCAAAAGCTCGCCGAACCAATATGCTCACATGATCGAATTCAGATCGGCTTTGCTTGAACGTGATGAATTCATTTACGGTTGGAGGATTTTTCGCTCGCAAAGGCAGTGGAAGCAGTGAGGCCTCGAGGAGCTCTAGGAGGTGCCTCGCTTCCGCAAACCCGCGGGAACCGAGTCCGACCTGGAACACGGGAGAGGGTTCAACTACATCACTTTGGCAATCAGGGGCCAGTGCTCGACGTCGATCTATCAACTCAGAGGCTTGTGTGCTGAAAGGGTTGATCGAGCCGTGACCGCTGCCGAGGTCGGGATCCGAGCCAGCGCGTCAGGATCAAGTCTGAGACACTTCGTAATGAATCCAAGGAGCAGCGGCGGGCGCTTGCGCGCTCGGCAGCCCAAATCTCAATCCGAGACATTTCTCATAAGCCGCGAGATTGCCGGGATGATCTCATGATCGGGTCGTCCAGGCTGAGCTGGCGCATAAGCATCTCCGCAATTCTGGAAAACGCTTGTTTTTGTTTTTCGGTGGCAGAGGGTTCGAGCGTAGCGTTGAGACACTTTTATGGTGTCGGCTCTCGCGCTGGGTTCGCCCAGCGAGAAGCCCTCCTGTCTCGGCGAGTTCCAATCCCCATTGCCGTCATGCACGAGGCGTGGCTAACGACTTGACCTCGTGTGTTTTTGGGCTGCTTTGCATAGGACTGAGTCACATCCCATTATTCGGCAAACCAAATCTCTTGGCAAGCAAAGATCCCTTGCAGTCCCTTGCCAAAGCAGCTCTGCACTTAATCGAGAACTTTTCTCAGCACTCCTTCTTTTCCTCCTCTTCATCACTTCCCACTCCACCTCCAGTTCTCCTCCACACAAGCATCCAGCTAGCCTGAGCTTTACCACACTCATTCTACATACTCATCCACTTGCATCGAAACGACATGCAACTCTTCACTTTCCTCATCGCCGCCGCGCCCGCACTCACTTCCTTCGTCTCGGCCTCGGCGCTGACCGCGGACGAGACGGCCGTTGAGAAGCGCAACCTCTACAAGTACTGCTGCAACGGCAAGCTTTGGAAGCGTGACGATGCCGAGTCGCTCGAAAAGCGTACCTTCTGCCTTCGCAAGCGAAACCTCTGGATCTACAAATGCCCGGCAACGCCGCCGTGCAACCCTCTCACCTGCCCGAAACCTCCTAACTCGCTGCCGCTCTGCACCGACAACCAGTGCGACTTCAAGTGCCTCGGCGGCACCATCAAGGTCGGCTCTTCCTGCGTGAAGCGGTGAGTATTTTTTTTGCGTCTCGGCGTCTGCTCCCCTTCAAGGGCATGATGGCTGATGCTGTGGTGCGCGCGGTTTGCATTTTCACCCCCCTTGTCCAGCTGCTCGCTGAAGTCGTGCCCGGCCGTCGCCAACGCTACTCCGGTGTGCAAGGACGACCAATCGTGCGATTTCAACTGCAACTCGGGCTTCAACGAGGTCGACGGCAAATGCGTTCCCGCCTGTGACCCCACCAAGTGCCCCGTCGTCGCCAACGCCACTCCGGTGTGCAACGACGACCAATCTTGCGACTTCAACTGCAACTCGGGCTTCAACGAGGTCGACGGCAAGTGCGTTCCTAATTGCGACCCCACCAAGTGCCCCGTCGTCGCCAACTCGCAGTCGATCTGCACGAGCTCTGGTGACTGCGACTTCAACTGCAACTCGGGCTTCAGCGAGGTCAATGGCAAGTGCGTCCCCGATACCCCTACTTGCGATGTCACCAAGTGCCCCAACTGCCCCAACGGCAACGGCACCCCTATCTGCAACAGCGCTGGCAAGTGCGACTTGAAGTGCAACCCTGGTTACAAGAACGTCGACGGCAGCTGTGTGCCTATTCCGTAAGTCTTTCGTTGACATCTTCCTTTGACGCTCTGGTAGCTGTTCCCGCTGCGGTGAAACTGACCTCTGCGATTGCTCGTCCGTTTACGCAGCGCCACCTGCACGAAGAAATCGGTCGCTTTCTACGACAACTTCCAGTCGACGGCGGACGGCGATTCGGCCGTCACGGTCGCCTCGATCGATGCCTGCGCCGCCTACTGCATGACCAAGAACTGCGCCTCGTTCGACTTCTGGGATGGCAACCAGTGCGGTATCCAGATTGGTGGTGGTGGATTCGATGGCTTCCAGTACTCGCCCGGAGTCGTCCACGGTGTTCCCGGCCAATGCTCCGACTACACCAACAAGTGCCCCGAGAAGGTCGCCGTCAAGGCTTGCTACAACAAGTCGGTCTGGTAAGTTGAGCTCCGTATATTCCACTCGTCTCCCCCTTGAAACCTTGAAGTCTGACTTTATTCGCTCGTCTGCACGCTTACAGCCCGTCGACCTCGGCGCGTCTCCGCCGCTCTCACCCGGCCCGCGAGCACTGATCTTCTTTCCCTTCCCGCACATTCCTTTCTCATGATTGCGAACGCTTTTATACCCTCTTTGTTATTCTGAGTGGTACCGTTCTCTACATTGAAAATTCGTCGATTATTTTTTTTCCTTCTCCTGGCTTCTAATCAAGAAGTGAAAATTCCTTTGACCGCTCCAACCCTGAGAGTCCTCCACGACTTGCTCAGTAAAATTCTTTACGGTCCTCTGAACACTGCTTCTGATCTGTGATAGCGGCCTGTCAATTCATCCGACAGTCCCGCAAGAATATCTTGTCTAGCCCGCTCTTCCGCTTCGTGAGCTTACAGAAGCGCAGCCATGCAAGAGAGGGCAATTCAGACACACCGCGCGACACCCTTACGTGTCGAGTAGGGAGAGATCTTCGAATATTACTCATTCGCCTATGGTAAATATCATATTACACAAAGGGGGGTGCTATAATTATGCTGTTAATGAAGTCTATCAAATAATAAAAACTCTGCACTCTCGGCGAGGGCTCGCACCATGTGGAGCGGCACCGGCGTGGCCAGTGGCCACGGCAGCCGATTCACTAGCATGGTTTACTCGGTCGGCCCTCGGCTCTTGGCGGCGGGCGCTCGGGACGTCCGTCCACCTAGATCTGCCCGAGGTCCGTCACTCAATGCCCCTCGCATGGAATTTCCCGCTACCTTCAGGCTCGACTCAATCTACGGTGTGAAGTAGACTCCGTGTCGTAGGAGACTTCCTGTACGCCAACGAATGAGAAAAATTACCCCCCAGTGCCCTGTCGTGTCTTCCCCCACAAGAAAAGGCAAATAAATTCCTGTAGGGCGAGAACTCGGGGGCTTGATCGATTATCGGACTCGGCTTCAACTCGATGACTTAATGATGGCGGTTTGAGAGCGGGGCAGCGTTCTACACTATTTATAGTGAGGCACGCGTCATAAATCGTGTTCCAATGATCTTCATGCCTGGGCTCGTGGGCACTGTCAGTGAGTGTGACGACGTGATGATTTTCAGAGCTGGCACTTTCAAAGTGCCCTGCGAGCGCTCGCCGTGAATCGGTGCTGGGGATTGGTGGAGCCGCTGGTCTCACCCGCACTCTGCCACTGGCGTGGCATGATTGTTTCACTCGATCGGCCCCCGTTCGAGGCCTGTTCCGACCGGGACTACGACTAGTGTTCAGGGTTATGGTGTCGACCACTAACATGGCTGAAAACACCTCGTCCTGGTTCGGTGTCTTGAGATTTTCATTTGACGCCTCCTTATGAAGGGTGGAAAAAAAGTGAGACTTATCTAGCGATGAGACAAGCGAGAATAGCTCTGCGCTTGTAGATGCTGCTGCCGAGCGTCGGGAGCCGGTGCCCGCCCCGCGCCTGAGACTGCAGTGCCAGAGTGATTCACCCTTCGAGCAGAATTTTGCTTCCTCTCTCACATCACATCCTTCACAACAAGGGCTTAAGCTCGACTCACCCACACTCTTTCAAAATCATTTCTCTTCACTTTCACACCCAGACGGCATCTTCATGCAACTCTTCACTCTCCTCATCGCCGCGGCGCCCGCACTCACTTCCTTCGTCTCGGCCTCGGCGCTGACCGCGGACGAGATGGCCGTGGAGAAGCGCAACCTCTACAAGCACTGCTGCAACGGCATACTTTGGAAGCGTGACGACACCGAGTCGCTCGAAAAGCGTACCTTCTGCCTTCGCAAGCGAAATCTCTGGATCTACAAATGCCCGACGACGCCGACATGCAACCCCCTCAACTGCCCGAAACCTTCTAACTCGCTGGCGCTTTGCACCAACGATCAGTGCGACTTCCAGTGCCTCGGCGACACCATCAAGGTCGGCTCGATCTGCGTGAAGCCGTGAGTATCTTTCCTTTTCTTCTCCTGTGCTCGTTGGCGTCTTGACGTCCACTCCCCCTCAAGACCATGATGACTGACGCTATGACGCGCGCCATTTGCATTTTCACCCTCTATCCAGCTGCTCGCCGTGGTCATGCCCGGCCGTCGCCAACGCCACTCCGGTGTGCAAGGACGACCAATCTTGCGACTTCAACTGCAACTCGGGCTTCAACGAGGTCGACGGCAAGTGCGTTCCTAATTGCGACCCCACCAAGTGCCCCGTCGTCGCCAACTCGCAGTCGATCTGCACGAGCTCTGGTGACTGCGACTTCAACTGCAACTCTGGCTTCAACAAGGTCAATGGCGTTTGCGTTCCCAACACTCCTACCTGCGATGCTTCCCAATGCCCCGCATGTGCCAACGGTACGCCGATCTGCACGGACAACAAGTGCGACCTCAAGTGCGATACCGGCTTTTCCAAGCAAGACGGTCAATGCGTCCCCAACGTTCCGTGAGTTGCTTCTCTCCGATCCCCCCTGGCGTGCGATGCCGCCTTTGTCTCAAAGAGAACCATCCGCTAATTTTGTCTTCGATGATTAACTCTCTTCCAGCACCTGCACGAAGAAGTCGGTCGCTTTCTACGACAATTTCCAGTCGACGGCGGACGGTGAGCTGGCCGTCACGGTCGCGTCGATCGATGCTTGCGCCGCCTACTGCTTGACGAAGAACTGCGCCTCGTTCGACTTCTGGGATGGCAACCAGTGCGGTATTCAGATTGGTGGTGGTGGATTCGACGGCTTCCAGTACTCGCCCGGAGTCGTCCACGGTGTTCCCGGCCAATGCTCCGACTACACCGACAAGTGCCCCGAGAAGGTCGCCGTCAAGGCTTGCTACAACAAGTCGGTCTGGTCAGTTTTCTACGCTAACTTTATGTTCATCTGAGGTCATTTTCGTCGTGCTGACTCTTTCCTCCCGACGCTACGTGCAGCCCCGCAACCGCGGCGCGCCTTCGTCGCTCGCACAGCAAGCGCTTGCATTAAGCAGTGCGCCTAATGCTTCTCCCTCAGGGTTGGCTAAGATGATGGAACCAAGGATTCACATCTACTCCTGTTTTTTCTATTTTCTTCTTGTGTCTTCACCCTCATTCCCCAGTTGTAGCTGATCTTGCTACGATTGCAATCCTCGCGTGATACCCCCTGGCACTGCCTTCGGATCCGGAGGTCATCGCTTCCGATCGAACTGCGCATCTGCCAAACTCTGCGAGTGAAAATTTCTGGTTGAGACGGCCCTACTCGAGTTCCTTCCTTTGCTCGACTTAACTTGCTCAAAAGAAATCTGAGAACTTGTCTTTTCCGCATCGATGCTTGGTAGATGGAGCGACATCTGATTACGGCCTCGGGTTCGGATGTTTGAGAAACTCGCGCCGATCACATGTCGGCCGCCGGATGATTACGCTCATCATCGCAACCGAGAGCAGAGCGTGAATGCATCAGTAAAACTGTATCCAAGGTCTATATGACTTTTTGTGCATTTCTCCCGAGAATCGATTATGAATTTTGGCCGCGTCGGCTGATTGTGAGTCAATGACGGCTGGCCACAGGCGCTCGGCGCTACCGTACTCGGGAAAGCTCGGGATCCCGTCTGATCCCGGTGGTATTAGCCGCTGGTAGCCGCTGGCCGAGTTGACATGTGCGCCCACACGACGAGCCTCGACCCTCGTGCCTTTACGACGTTCAAGTACAACACCCTACGACGCACGACCGCTCGAAATGAAGACAAGAAGCTCCGGGGCCGACGAGGTGACACAGGAAGTTGCCGACTCGACCGAATTGCAATCGTGGCCACCTTCGCCCGAGATCGAAGCGAGGCCTGACAACCACAACCTTGATCGCGACGACGAGATCACTTCCAAGAAACGATCGTCTGGCCTGCACACACCCTCGACACCGGGAGATGTGACACCCAGCCCAATGGAACTCGAGTCGATGCATATATCCCAGCATCACTTCTCGACCTCGACCTCGACACTGGGTCTGCAGCGACAGAGTGCGGCACCGTCATCGCTCGGACAGCTTCCCGAAGCTGATCGGTCGCCCGAAGCGTACCGTTTCCTTTTTGTCGCCTTCATCGTCGAGACCGTGATTTGGGGTCTACCGAGCGCATACGGTGTATTTCTGTCGTACTACATGGAGGAGGGCGTGCATGGCTCGACCGTAGGCGCCAGATTATTGTGAGAGCGCTGCGACTGGTTCGCCGCTTCGTGAGTCAAAAAAAGGCCGACGCTGATTCGCTCGGGTGGCCTCATCGCGTTGCACACAATCACAGACCCCTCGTAGGAGCATGCGCGTCCGGAACTATGTATCTGCTGGGTGAGTAGTACTTGAGTACTTAATCACGACTCAATTGCTCATCCCTAAAGTCTTCTGTGACTTGCCTACCCAAAAGGTCCCCCTGTCGCTCTCCTCCTCAATCCTTACCCGAGGTTCCGGATATTAGCGATCCGAATCGGTTGCTGCATTCTCGTGCTCGCTCTTCTCCTCTCCTCGTTCGCCAAGACGGCTTGGCAACTTCTCCTTACGCAAGGCTTCATGTACAGCATCGGCGGCAGTCTCGCCTACTACGCGACCTTCACCTTTCTTTCGGAATGGTTCGTTCAACGCCGAGGATTCGCCAACGGTGTATGTTTCGCCGGAACTGCGCTCGGAGGTGTTCTCTACCCTTTCGCTCTCGAAGCCTTACTTTCCAAGTATGGATCTGCGACGACCTTGCGAGCGCTAAGCGTCTTGACGGCGGTCTTGCTGGGCGGAAGCATGCCCTGGCTGCGACCTCGGATCCCCGTGGGCAAAGGATCCAAAGGCAAGGCCAAGAATGATCCCGCTTCGAACGAGGCGACGAAGAGAAGACGCATGAGCTTGTGGAGAAACACCAAGCTATGGGTGTTCATGTTCGCCAACAGTGAGCAGACCTCAAACGCTGATTCTTAACGAGCTCCTGGCGAAATCTGATCGTGTCCGATTTTGTATGTTCGCCGTTCAGTTGCACAAGCCTTTGGTTTCTTTGTCCCGACCTTGTACCTACCGACTTTTGCGACTTCAATAGGACTCTCCAACAAAGTCGGATCAGCCACACTCGCTTGCGTCAATGCCTCGTCCGTGTTTGCGCGAGTCTACCTCGGCATCTTGAGCGATAGGATCAGTCCTCACGTCATTGGGGCGATCACGCTGGCCGCGAGTGCTCTCTCCGTTTTCATCCTTTGGGGTGTGACTTGTACGTATTAAACGTCCCATTTCGAACGGGAGCCACCGAAATGCAAAGACTGCTTCGATTTGATCTCGATCCCGAACAGCCACTTCCCTCGCGCCCCTACTCATCTTCTCCCTCGTCCTCGGTGTCGCCTGCGGAGGCTGGACCTCACTTTACGCCGCGGTAATCCGCAACGCCGCGCGGGACGACCCGAACCTCTCCACGACCCTTTTTGGTCTCATATCCTTCACTCGCGGTCTGGGTTCGATCCTAACGGCTCCGATATCGTCCCTCTTGCTCGCTCACCCATTGCACCACGTCAAAGCTTCGGTCGGCTTCGGAGTCGAGGGGGGCAAGTATGGCGGTTTGGTCATTTTTGCGGGTATGAGTCTCGTCGTCGCTGCTGCATCCGAGTTGTTTATTCTCTTATAGGCTTCTCCTCATATTAAATCTTGTATTTGTTGTTCTTTTCAGTTGACTCTACTCTGACTTTGCTTTGATCGATTGATACAAGCTCGCGACGCGACGACGTTCCATGAGGAATCTGTGAGAAAAGGATTAGCATTCGAAGGATTCAACAACAAGGATCGTTGAAGACAAACTCACGTGAAAGCCAGACAACCCAACCCAACCAAAGCGCCTACTCCAACATGTCGAACGAGACCCGTCAACGATTTCCAATCCCACGTGCTCGCATTCCATTTGACGATCGACCCCGCTCCCGCGAACACGATCACGGTCGATATCCTCGGTGTCCAATTCCTCAGCTGTAAACATGCAACCCCTTTAGCATCCCTCCATATGAACCTCAATGAGAACCCAATCCTCATCGCCATATTAACGCAATTCGCCATGATCAAACCCTTTTCAGCCCATCCCATCCTCGCTCCGACCCCAACAGCCGCAACGAATCCAATCGAACACACGCCCATCCAATACGAACCTTTCCTCAGATCGGCTTGGGAAGCGATGGCTTGGAAGTAGGCTTCGGTGATGCCGTTCAATGCGAGGAAGGGGAGGTAGAAGAAGTAGGCTTGCAGGATCGAGGTTGCTGAGGAGGCGGCCCAGCGTTGGCCGAGGAGGTGGTGCAATAATGCTGGGATGTAGGGTGGTACGAGGAGAGTGAAAATGAGGGAAAGATGAGTATGCAGGAGCAACAACGACGCCAAGAGCGTATGCGAAGGTCGGGTCGAAAGTTGTCGTGAAAAATAGAGGCGCGAGGATTCTTCCAAAGGTTGAAAGAGGATGCGAGCGATCAAGGAGCCGTAGTTCAACGCGAGGGCGTAGCCACCTTGGTCACGGCTGGTCGAGAGTTGACTGATGGCGATCTTGTCGGCTTCGGTGAGGATCTGTTTGATGAAGGATTGTTTCGTCAAGGCCCAGCCAAGGGAGGTGAGATCGGGATCAAAGCGACGACGCGTCGGGGGGGCCTGGGTGTTGGTGAATTTGGTCGCCGGGGCTACAAGTTTCTGCAATGACCAGATGGAAGGTGTCTTGCTCGCCCCTTGTATCGTCTGAACCGACCACCGTAGGCCGACAAGCAAGATCAAGCCGTACGCGGCCTGACCGACGCCAAACGCCAACAGAGCCCACCGCTCCCCGCCACTTGCGACGACAGCGAACGTGACGAGCGCCTTGACACCGACGGCGAACCCCTCGACTCTGACTCGTTTCGACGTCAGCGTCTCCCATTGTCGCAGGGTGAGCAGGTAGTCGCGTTCGGACCAGAGCTCGAACAAGGCCGAGAGGACGTAGAGGGATAGAGTGGGGTAGAAGTGGGGTGGGCGAGCCGACGAGGGCGAGGTGAGGACTCGAGCCGAGAGGGGATACAGCAGGAGGAGCAGGGGTGACAGCAACGCCGGGAGGAGAAGGGTTTGTTGTACAAGTTGCTCGTTCGTGGCCGAAAAGGACCCAGACGCCGCGCGGGTACGCTGTGGGCGAAGAAGAGGAGACAGGGTGGTTAGTCACGTGCGGGGGAACCCCACATCGACGTCGCCGCCACGGCAGGTCACGACGGGCGGAAAGCGGACGCACAATGACGGCGCCACGTAAACCTTCGCGAATAAAGAAGAGTCCTGTATCACGTGCGACATCGAAGCCGATGGTCGCGACACCGAGGGCCTCGGGTGTAGTCGATCGGAGCAAGAGCTGGTTGAGCGAGAAGGAGAACAGGCGCGAGAAGAGCTGCAACAGCACCAATGACAACGTCGTACGGAGCAAAGGCGACGAAGTTCCAGAGGTCGGAGGTTGGAGAGTCGTCTTGCCCTCCCTGGTCTTGGTGGGAGCCTTTGACATTGCGGTGTCGGCGTGGCCACGTCAGACCTGAGACCACACGACGGCTTGAAGGCCAAAGCAGTGAATCGCAAGAGCACGGTGGGTTTCAGCCTAGGCGATTTGACGTGTAGCCATGGTTGTCCGGTGTGAAAGAGGAGTTTGAGCGTGGCCGCACCTGAGCGGTACGACGTCGCACCGGCGGAGGACGACTGCGGGCCGTGGTCAGGAGATAGACCGAGCCCACGTGAGGGGCGTGAGGGGCGTGAGGAAGGAGCATCTGCCAACGACAGCCAACGACATTGCGGCCAGCAAAATCCCGAGCCAACTTGTAGGGCCCTGGCAGCTGCGCGCAGCGACCCCGCCCCGGACGATGCCGTCATCGACGGAACCGCGCTGGCCAAGTCACGACCCCAGTATGTACCACCAGGTACCACCCTCGTTTTCTCCGGTTGCCGCCTCGTCTGGCACGCCGTGTTGAGCTCGCTCAGCTTTCGCTTCGCTGCCATCTCCACGGCTGGCCAGTGGCTGAACCGGCAGGTACCGTGTACCCTCTTCGCCCCCTTTCCCCTCGGCTTTCGTTCGCGTTCGTGGACGCGCGCTCGAGTGACATTGAGCTGGAAGCTAGCGTATACCACCCGTTCGCTTCGGTTGTGCAAACTAGCTAGCTGCTTTCACGGCACGCGGGGTAGGTCGGAGGGCACAGCTCATCGCCGAGTAGCATGACGCTCGATCCCAACTCTGCATACTGATCATTCGTGACACCTCAACCCCCCAGCTCCGTCGATTGCGTCGGCTTGCTCCACCATGTCGGACAGTCACGTCGACGCTCGGGGCGCGCCCGCTTCGCACCACCAAACACCGGCGATCGGCGTCGGTGTCGGCCTCGCGACGGCCTCGACCTCCGAGATCCCCGTACGAGCCGTCACCAATTCGAGCGAGACCACAACAGCGGGACCCGAGATCGAGATGAGCTCGTCGTCGTTACCGTCCACATCCGCTTTACAGGCGCTCCCTCCGTCCCCTCCACTTGCAAGCTCTGGCGCACCCCAGAAGGTCCGTCTAGTCTGGCTTTCGCTCTTCTCGGGCATGACTTTGCTCCGAGGGATCTGTAACAGCCAGCGCAGAAACTGACGCAAATCTTAAAACTTGGATCTTACGGATATTCAGCCAGCTGATGGAACGCCTTCACAACTCCATTCGACGACGGGTCCCCAGCAATCCCAGCAACTTCGACCTCCTCGTCTCGATCTTGCTGGTGCTCGAGCCGTGCCTGCGTCGAGGAGCTTGACTTCTCAAATTCCGTTCGACCTTCCATCTGCATCCTCACCAGATCTTTCGCCGACCTATCTACGTTCCCACTACTCGAGCTCGACCCATTTCCCCATTTTGCCCGCATCGCAGCCGGTGCCGAATCAAGTCGTGCAAACTGCTGTCCAGGTCGCCTCGATCCTTAGCTTGCCGGCACCCCTACTGCTCACGCTCGCCCGCACGAACTCGCCCACAGAACAGCGAAAAATCGCGACCAGGATGGATGCCGCATCGTACCTCTCTTCCATGGCGTTGCCTCCGCCGTCTCCGAGCGCACTTGTGCCCGACCTCGAAGGGTCCGAGCTGTTCGGACCCAACGCCCCAATTAGCGGATCGGAGCCGACAAGCGGAGCGAATGGGGTCGGGAACGAGGCCAATGGACATGGGTCGAGCACGAAGTCCAGTCCGAATGCCGAGATCCCAGGGAGGAGACCGTCGCTTCCCTTCACGTCCATCGGCGATCACCCGGCTCTACCCCTCCTGCTCGGTCAGGTCTTCTCGCCGCCGACTCCTGGCATCGTCGCGCCTTCGACTCCGGCGAGCGAAGGCCCCTTGGGCTGGTTATCGAAGAAGCCCATATTTTCAAGCATTGAAGACTGGTCGTACCAAGCCGCACGAGAGCGCGTTGCCCAGGTCAAACGCGCATCCACTACCCCTTCCTCCGCATCCGGCTCCTCATCCTCGACTGCTCAGCCGCGGATGGTTCCCTTACCTTCGTTCAGTGAACGCGAAATCTCGACTATCGCGAAGCGGATGGCCAGATGGGCCCTGAAGGAGCAAGTCGATCAGGTGGGACAACAGGTCGAGGCGAACAAGGAAAAGGCGGTCCTCTTGGCCGCGGAAGCTGCCGCCAGATCCTCGAGTGCTAGTGGTGCGTGTCCGACATCAATCCCGACCTCGACATCGGGCACGAAAGACACTACCAACATCGATCTTTCGGCCTACGCTGCAACATACAAACGACAACTGGATGCGCTCGCGAGTGGGTACTTTGCTCAATTGCACAGAGAAGCCGTCAAGCGGCTCGCAAACGCTGCGCAATCCCCCGTTGCCCAGTATGCCACATCTTCGGGACCGGATCTTGCACAACAGGCGGCTTCGGCATCGACAAGCTCGGCAATTGCACCAACCGACTTCTCGCTGAACGGCTTGGCGCAGATTACAGGTGGTACCGAGCAGGCTCAAGCGATTCATGTCCAGGCTGCCGCGGCCGCAGCGATCGCGGCTAATTCTTTGGCGGCGAAGGAGATGGCTAGCGTTGCGGGCACTGCGCTCGAGAACCTCGGGGTGGATGTTCCTCAACACATTCAGGATCGATCACATGTCGGAGGTCTGGATCTCCTCGAGCTGAGACCCGAGACGATCGCTGCTCCCCCCACCTCGACAACAATCACAACGGCACCTTCCGAGCCCGGAGCTACTACCTCAGCAGCCGAATCGACAGTAAGTCTTTCCTCAGCTGCAGCTCCAATAAGTCAAGCCTCTGCTGCCGTCTCGACAATACTCGAGCAAGTCAATCTCGGAGGCGAGTTCACCCCCGAGAAGCGCGACTACTTTCTTTCCTACGCGCATTCACTCTACGCTAAAGATCCCTACTCGTCGGACTTGCTCCCACTACTGCATACGCTCGAGGAAATACACCCCGATCATTTGCCGACGCTCTTACTTTCGAGCTGCGTCTACTACACCCGGGGCGAATACGAGAGCTCGCTGTACTACAACAAGAAGCTGCTTATGAAGGACCCTGGCTATGTGAGTCCCTTGTTCTGATTCGGGGCTCACTTGAGCCTCTGCTGATTGAACGCATGTCCGGGGTTCTCAAGGTCGAAGCGATGTCAAATATCGGCACGACACTGCGCGCAATGGGCAGATGGCAGGAAGCGGAGGCATGGTGGTGGAAAGCGATCAAGCTGCGGCCGACGTATTGGGACGCGACAGAAAACCTGCTCGGGGTCTTGTGCAACCCCGTTTCCACGTCTCAACAAGGCCAGAATGGTGGATCAGATGGGGCGCCTGCGCCAGCCACCGAACCGAGGTATCAACAGGCGCTTGAGCTGTGCAACTTTGTCGAAGTGCAAATCTTTGCCAGCGAATCCGGCCTGTCAATCGGGTTCGAGCCCAGCAGGGATAAGATCGCAACCTACGCCTCGCCTGAAGGAAAGCTCGAAAGACCACGTCGACTACCCCAGAGCATCCCGATGAACCAGGTCCACCGCTTGCAGAATTTGCTGTACGCCAAGGGCAACCTCCGACTGGCCGTGCAGAATGCGGCTGCAGCGCAGGAAGAGTACGAGAAGGCAATCGAGTTGGCGCTCTCACTTCCAGCTTCGATCCGCGCGAGCCAGACGACGATCTACCCCGTCGGCGGATGCTCGACTCGTGATCTCGTTGTTGCAGCGTTCATCATGGCCAAGGTCCTCAATACGCATGCTCAATTCAACGGAAACTCTTCAGACTCTCGACAAGCTGTCGGGGATGTTCTGCACAAGTTGGGTGTGGCCGATGAGCACGGCAGAATGAATTTTGCCCACCTCATCGGGATCGTCCAGCGAGGCGGCGATCATTACGTCGAAGGTCTTCTCCGACTCGGCGGCGGTGTCTTGCCCGCCATTCTCGTCACTCCAGAGCAGACTTTCCGCATGCTACCTTACATTTTTGCTGAGTTTCAAGGGGTACTTCCTTCGATGCGGGAAGCCGACGGAGTAGACGACCCCAGCAAGGCGACGACGATCCAGCAGGTCAAGCAAACGACGAGCACAATGATCTTGACGCTCGCCAAGGTGTTCCAGGACTCGGCTGCTCAGTCGGGCCCAGCCAACAAACTGACGCTAGGGGGTGTCCCTTGCTCGCCATCGTTGCTCTTACCGATGTACTACCTCGCCCTCGCGCTGCACCCTTCTCCCTCGACTTGCAACAATCTCGGGATTCTGCTGTCGACGGTCAACGCAACGGCAATAGTTGCCCCTGCCCAGTTGGGGCTCCCTCCAACTTCGCCCCGTTCGGTATTGTCGGGTCAAGACTTTGCTTTACGATACTACAACGCCGGACTCAAGCTTGATACTAAGCACCCGCACCTGTACACCAATCTCGGATCGTTGCTGAAGGACATGGGCAACCTTCCCGAAGCGATCCGGCACTACAAGAAAGCGGTCGAGTGCAATCCCAAATTCGACGTGGCCTTGGCGAACCTCGCGAACGCGATCAAGGATTCGGGTCAGATCCAAGAATCCATCCCTTACTACAAGCGCGCCGTCGAGCTGAACCCCAACTTCCCTGAGGCGATCTGTGGGCTCGTCAATGCGCTCGGCGGCGTCTGCGACTGGGCTGGCCGCGGTGGCGTCAACGAAGAATGGATTGTCGACAACGAGACGAGGTTCGCGCCTGCCCCGCCCGCTAAGGCAGGTGCATTCGGCTCAAGTTCGGGGTACATGGGTCAAATTTCGGCGCTCGTTGGCTCACAGCTCGCCGATGGGATGGGCTACGGCGCTGGCTCTCTGCGCGCCGTCGGAGATCTTGACCACTGGCTGCGGATCATCAGTCAGGCGATCTATGGGCTCACGCCTGAACAAGTCGGCGAGGCGATGTCGACCTGGAAATTCCGCCTCGAGTTTCTTCTCAACCCGAAGAATCGCAAAGCCTACCCTCACAACGAAGGCGGGTATCTCATCCGACTTGTCGAACGTTTGATGCGCCGCATCCAACGACGATGGTACATTTCGACCTACGGCCCCAACATCGCGGCCGCACCCACCGCTCTCCGCATCATGCCGACGCCCGAGGATCTCGTCAGCTATCGCCGACCGATGCTGCCACCCGTCTTACCTCCCGTGGGTGTGCCAACAGTCCTTCCGTTCCACTGCTTTACCTTGCCCGTTAGCGCAAGAGAGATCCGACTCATCTCGCATCGGACCGGCCTAAGCATCTCGCGCGCGACCCTCAACCAACCCTGGATGCCCGATTTCGTGCTTCCCCCTCCGCGCCCGCCGATTCAAGGTGTCCTCAACATCGGCTACGTCTCCAGCGATCTCGGCAACCATCCTTTGTCACACCTCATGCAGAGTGTCTTTGGTTTCCACGATACGACCTGCTTCAACATCTTCGTCTACGCGACCTCGGCGAGCGATCGCTCGCCCTATCGACTCAAGATCGAGGCTGAAAGTCAGAACTTCTATGACGTATCCGCCCGCTCGACGCAAGAGATCGTCGACCAGATTGTCCGTGACGAGATCCACGTCTTGATCAATTTATCGGGGTATACGAAAGGCGCGAGGAACGAGATCTTTGCGGCGCGGCCGGCACCGGTGCAGATGAGTTACATGGGCTTTGCGGGAACGCTTGCGGCGGGGTGGTGCGATTACTTCATCGTTGGTGAGTTGCACTTCGAGTAAAGAAGTATGTGTGGGTGAGCTGATGCAGTAGTATTCGTGTTGCAGATCCCATCGTTTGTCCGCCTGGCCTCGTCTCGGGTGACTATTGGCGCGCGCGCGCCGGTCTCAAGGACGCTTCCCCGGAAGTACAGGGGGTCGATACCCCGACCGACTTTGAGGGTGATCCGGACCCCGAAGCGATGACCGAGGACTATGTCTACACGGAGAAACGTAAGTGTTAATGATACATGTTGGCTTTCAGAGTCGCTGATAAAATCGCTTTCCCATCCATCGCAGTGCTGTACCTCCCGCACTCGTACTTCGTGACGGACCACAAGCAAGCTTGGCGCGAAGACGAAACCGCCGGTCTGACCGCTGGCGAGCCTCACTTCGTGCACTCGGGTATGCCCAATGAGCTATACGCGATCGAGGAGGCTAGACGATGGCAAATGCGTCGAGAGTTATTCCCCGGCATCCGAGACGACACCTTCATCTTTGCCAATTGGAACCAGCTGTACAAGGTGCGTTCACGAGATCTGTTATGAGCTCTCAGTACCTTGGAAACTGATCCGTGGCATGATCTGCGCACCGCACAGATCGACCCCTTCATCTTTCGCATCTGGCTCAACATCCTCGCTAAATTCCCCAACTCCATCTTGTGGCTCTTGCGCTTTCCCGCGCCAGGCGAAGCGCATCTTAAGAGTACGGCGCTCAAGTGGGCCGGACCCGAGGTTGCCGCTCGAATCGTCTTTACCGATGTGGCCAACAAGGTACGCAGCTCGATCCTTGAAGTTTTTGTGTTGCATACTCATCGATCACCTGTTTTTTCACAGAACGAACATGTTCGACGTGGCCGCGTTGCCGACCTGTTCCTGGATACGACAGAGGTGCGCGAGACCGATTCGACCACTTCTTCGGATTTTGCTGACTTTGGAGCCTACTTTTTTTCGGGTGATGCGATGCAGTGCAACGCGCATACGACCGCGGCCGATATCTTATGGTCCGGGACCCCTCTTCTCACCTACCCTCGTCACGCGCACAAGATGGCCTCCCGAGTGGCCGCCTCGATCGCCGTCGCGACCGGTCTCGGACCACGTATGATCGTCTCCTCGGCCGAGGAATATGAAGAACGTGCTCTCCAACTCGCCTCGACTCTGACCTACGACCACATCCTCCCTGACCCTGCGGCCCCCGCTCAATCGATTTACTCGAGGCAACAACGAATCGGCCGAGGTGAATTGGCGGACATGAGGAAGACGTTGTATCTTACGCGCGAGACGAGTCCATTGTTCGATACGAGGCGGTGGGTGAGGAATATGGAAGCGGGTGTGTTCGAGGCGTGGAAGCGGTGGGTCAATGGGACCGAGTTCGAAGATGCCGGGGAGGTGAGTCGTTCAATGCATACGTTCACGTGTTGTGGGCTTCGGAGCTGACGGAGATGATTTCTTCCGAACGCGTGACAGTGGGGCACTGGGGTTGAACGCGAGTCGGGCAGCATCTGGGTGGTGGATGCCTTCGACGGGACGAACCTCCCCAGTCGAGCACCTTACTCCAAATGATTTCCCACACTTCGTGATCCAATTTTCGCTCTCACCCCTGCAGATTAAATTGCTTGTTGTATCACTTTCTCAATCATCCCCTGTCTCATCTAGTCCCCCGACTTTGAAGGTTCTCTCCCCTCTCCGATCTAGCATACAGCAACAACACCTGAAAGGAAGCAAACTTTGCAACAGATTGTCATGATCTACAAGACCCTTCTGAACCTCTGGAAACCCGGACGCACGAAAGTGCGGTACACATGAGGCCTCTTATCTCCAAGCTAGTAGTCCTAAGTAGTCCTACATACTCCTTCCTACATCTTGGACTTGGGCTGACCATCGTTGGCGCCCCCCAATTCTGGGCAGCGCGACGACGCTTCGGCCGCGACGGTCTCGCCGAACCCGCTAACTCTAAAGTCGGCCTCCTTGATCCCTCGCTTGTCGCATTCTTGGCGAAGGAGACGAGGGGGCTCGGTCATCTGTCATGAGATGGGAAAGCAAAAACAAAACACGAAAAAAAGTTAGTGAGCTATCACACTTGAAGGTATGGCGGGGGTCAACGTACCTCTTCGTCGGTCAGTACGAAAGTAGCGAAATGCATCGGAGCGGATTGTCGACTTTGCACGTCCTGGTGGATGTGAACAGCGTCACTTGGGTTGGCGTGAATGCGGGACATGAACCACCTGCCAAACCCAATACGTCCAAAATTGTGAGCTAACGATCCTTGTAACATCCCGAGAAGTCTGTCACCATTCCTCACCTAGGTGAATAAGCCCCGATCGGAATCATCGCGAAATCGAAACCGCCGAAACGTTGACCGATCTCCTTGAACGCAGGACATGTCGGCAAGCCCGCCTCGTCCTCAGGTTTGGTCCCACGAGGTACGGCTTTGTATCCCGTATCACCGCCGAACCATACGCGACCTTTTTGAGCGATGACGGCCCAGGAGGCCCAAAGTGTCGCGTTACGGTCGAAGGGGCTTCGCCCGGTGAACTGTTCAAGCCGAGCGTCATCAGACTTGTGATGAGCCATCTCGAGGCCCCAACTCGCTCAGTACTCACATGCTGACAAGGCGTACAAACGACTCTCAATTTCTCCTTCTGTCCGTTCTCTCCAATCTGCACGATCAACTCTCTCTCCCCCCACCAATCTAATTCGGTCACTTCTTCTTCCTTGGTCCCAATATTACTCTTGAACCAATCCTTATTCCCCAAAGGGGCAAAGAAATGAACCGAACCGGGCGTTTGTGAAGAGTAAATGTGACGTAATGTGTCGAGATCCAAATGGTCGTAGTGGTTGTGACTGATGATAACGGCGTCGATCTCGGGGAGTTGAGAAAGCTCGATAGGGGATTTGGTTACGCGCGCTGGGCCGAGGTCTAGTACGGAGCAGAGATGAAGTGAGGTATTCAGTTTCACATAATTTTGTTTGGTATTCAAAACACCAACGCTCAAAAAAAAAAAGGGGGGGCGATCTCCTCCTCAACTCACACTGCGAAGGCGAACACCGATGACTAAAAATCGGATCAAACAATACCCTCGGACCTCTGTGGGCGCCTTGCACCGTCGACGGAAACTCGACGACATAACACGCATGACCCAACCAAGTCGCCTTGATCTTGCCCTTCCAATCCGTCCTCCCTTTACCCCAATCGACGTCCCCTACGAAAGGTGGCAGTTCTTCCAAAGCTGGGATCTTGACTTTCCTCCAATCCCTCCACATGTTGACCAAGACCATAGGACCCATTCCTAAATCACGGAAAGAGGCCCAAGGGTTGACGAAACCGCCTCCCTTTTTGTGATGTTGGGTCGAAAGGTAGGTTTCACCTTCAAAGAGGGGTTCGGTAGAGTAACTTGGATTGGAGGGAAGGGAAACGAGTACGGGCAGGGATACGGCCGTCATCATGGTAGCGGTAGCGGTTTTGAGCACGGTCTTGGAGCGGAGGATATGGGGTAAATGGCGAAAGGACATGCTCCGATGGAGAGGAGAAAGGAGAAGAGGGAAAGGAAAGGAAGCGAAGCGCAAGGGCGGGATGAGGAAGGGAGTTGACTCTCGATCAAGCCCGATTATTCCTCGGCCTTGCCCCCCGCCGGCGATCGGGCATGGGATTCAAATGTGGAGGTCAAAAGTCGACGGCCGCGTCATCGTTCGGCAATAAGCTTCGCATAGCTCTGCATTCTTCACCAGAAGCGAACGTATACCTAGGAAAGGAAACAGATGGAAGTCACACTCGGATGGTCTGCTGCCCCACTCTACAAGTGAGTACCCCTTCTCTCCCCTACTCGGTCGCGCGCGGCTATCTCTCCGGCGTCGTTTTGAGTTTTCTCTTGCCGTGTCACTCGCCAGCAAGCACGCCCACCTCTACAGAACGCACGTTTTCATAAACCTTGCAGTTTCAGAACAATCGATATTGAAGAGTTACTCAAGCATCAACCTCCATCCCCGCCGCAGCGCCCGTTCCTTCCGGACCGGCGACCTTGCCCCCAGCGACGATGGTGACCTCCTCCTTGACGAGATGGTACTTGACCTCTGTGGAGAGACAACGATGCATGAGTCGTCAGCATCATTGAGGCTACCAGCCCATATCTCTCGACGTACCTTCTTTGGTGTAAGCCGTCGTTCCTCTGTAGGCTCAGGCAAGCAAGCCAGAGCAGATTCGACAAATAGATCATCAGCATCCTCGTCCCACGCGCAAAGCACCTCTCGCCTCTGATATGCCCGACCCACCTCCTCCACTTGTAACTCCTCTCCTTATCGACCTTTTGATTCGGCATCCTATAATTCCTCAACATCTCCGTCCCCTTGGCCTCGATGATGCAAGCATCGACGTTACTCCCCGATCCGAGATCGTTGAAGATACCGGCTTCGATGGCCTCGCAAACGAGTTCGAGCGCGTCCTGTCGAGTCATGTTGGGTTTCCAAGCCGATTCGAAAACGGCCATCGCGGCGAGGGAGCCGGAACCCATGGTCACGTAGGGGAGTTTGTCGGTCGACCCGTGCGGCGCGACGGTGTAGAGGTGAGAACCGGTCGCGTCGACTCCACCGAGCACGAGAGCGGCTCCGACTTGACCTTGGTATCTGTTTCGAATTGGAATTGGGGGGGGGGGGGGGGGGGGGGGGGGGGGTTAGTGGATCAGCTCTAGTCCCGGCGGCGCTCCGTCAGAATGGTGATGAGTGAGAACGTACCGGAAGAGCATCTGCTTGAGCATGGTCATGGCGGCGACGACCAAAGGCTTCCTCCCCGTCGACAAGGCATGAAGCGCAATGTTGGACGAGATCAATGCGGTAGTGAACTCGGTATCGGCGGCGGTACCTGGGCGAGTAATGGTAAACGGCGTCAGCGTCAGGACCAGGACGAAGCTTGACGACTTTCCGGGGCTGGAAGGGCCACCCTGACACTCACCGGCACCTGCACATCGAATGTTGTCCGAGATGAAATGGATCTGTTGAATCACGTGAGCCGGAGCACAGGTTGATGGTTAGCAACAACTCCAAGCGTGGCTGCGGGGATGAGGGTGGGGGATCCGCCGAGGCGTCACCACCATCCTGAGCTCGAGCAGCGCGTCGAGCGACGGTCGCAAGCGCCTTGCCGGCCGACAGCTACTCTCCACGTGAAAGAGTTTGCGAGCATGTACCTTTTCGCAGTTCTTGTCGGCGACGATGGACCCCTCTGTGGCCCGGGTGTCGGCGCCGATGACGACGCCCCCGTCAAAGAGACATCCTACGATCGTCGTACCGGTCGAGGTGGCCTAGAAGGGGAGGAGTAGATGTATGTCAGCTGTGGTGATCGTTTGGACAGCTTTTGGCTGGTGGAAGTCGTCGTGGATGTCGATGCAGGCCGATTAGAGTGGATGTGGGTGAGCACGCCCAGAAGGGACCGCCGTGGGAAGCTACGACGCCAAATTACGCTGGTCGTATACACTTTGTCTGTTTTATGAATACCACATCATATTGTGCACGCGCTCTGCTCCGCGCGAACACCCCGCGTCGTCATCCTCCCTCGTCCTCGTAGCCCAGCCGCGTGCCATCATCCCCGTACAAGTCGCAACCGAGCCAACTTGTGCAACGCTCGAACGCACCTTTGGCAGATGAACGTTCCTCTGGCCGAGGTACGAGTTCCTCAAGTGGTTCCCAAAGTCAAAGCCGGCCATGCTGAGGTCGGTGCGACGTGGGGGGGAGTGAGGGGGGGGGGGTTCGATGTTGCAGGTAAGGTCGGCTACGAATCGGACTGTGGCGAGTGGCAAAGTGAGAGTTTGACGCCGAGGTGTTTGTTGGCTGGTGGGGGTGGTGTCGAGTGCGCCGAGTCGAAAGGTGGTGTGGAGGGGGAACGAAGGAAGCGGTAGCCGGGCAAGGGTCGAGGTCGGTGTCCTTCAAGCCACAATTCGCGATTAGCAACTTGAAAACGTTCGTAATCGCCAACTTGCAGGTCTTACGGACCCGGTCCGAGTCGCAGCGATTTTGCCTGAGATTGAACTTTTCATATTTTCGAAATTCTTCCCATGTACGACATGAAGTAGGTGGAAATGCGACCCCTCAGGCACAAGTCGGCCTGAAATTGCCGAGACCCACACTTTCGAGCTGAGCTTTCCCGCCGGGTCCTGGCCAGCCGTCCGTGCCAGGAAGTGCCAGGAGCTGCCAGGAGGTGCCAGGAGACCCGCGCGCCCTGCAGCTGGACGGCTCTTTAAACTGGTGCTCTCCCCCAACATCCCTCCTGCGACCGTAATCGACGCTCCGATCGTGTGCCTCGTCTCGCTTCGGACCATCCTCCAGCCTCACCTCCCTACTACTACCCAAGCACCTCACTCCCTACAGCCCACTATGAACTCTTGGAAGTGAGTGCACCCCCACTTCTAGATCGATCCACTTCACTGTCACGACGACGTGCCGTGCGTGCCCGTAACCGTCCACGTCCACCTCCCACGTCAACCTCCACGTCAACGTCAACGGCGAGCACCATCCTATCCCGTCCTGGACCCTTGTCGGCGACGCGACTTTGTCCAACATATCCCGCATCAACCTTCAGCAGACTGAATATACGATCCTGCTCCCCGCACAGATCCGTATCGGCGTCGTTGCAAGCCGCCGCCGCCGCCGCGGGCGCGACCGTGCAAGGCGCGGCCCAGTCCGTCGACCTCAAGCACACCGGCAGCTCCATCACCCGATCCTTTGCCACTCTCAGGTGAGCTATTATATGATATGGCGTCCATTCACGAAACGATCGCTTCATCACAGCCGCATCCTTTTTCACAGCCAAACTGTAAAGGAACGTTCGGGCAACGCCGACGACATCACCGAGCTACCCGAAGAGTACCTCGATTTGGAACGTCGCGTCGATGGTCTGAGGTACGCATCAAGCTCCATCGGTGCGGACGTTGTCGTAGTTTGCTTAGTTCGATCCTCACCCCTCCCTCTTCCCAGAACGGCGCACATCAACATCTTGCGAGTCGCCAAGGCCTACGAAGGACCGTACGATTACCCGACCCAACTGCAAGAGTCCGTCGCCGAGATCGGAGGATCGCTCGCGCACAACCTCACCAGCTGGGCCGCAGCGGCAACGAAAGGTTCGTCTCACAAGATGAATTACATCTGCTGGGCAAGAACAAAACCAAAAAAAAAAAAAAAAAAAAAAAAAAAAAAGCTGATGCCCGAATCCCATCTCATCGAACCAGGGACCAACTTGCCCCAACCTTCCGTCGCGGACAAGCCAACCGAAGTGCAAAAGACGCTCCCTCACGCCCTCTCCCGTGCCGCCGCCTCTGGCGCCGTTCAAGTCGGCCCCGGTCGTCTCGCGAACATACTCAAGACGTACGCCGTCACCTCCGACAAGATTGGTAACGCGCGTACGATCCAGGACGAGGATATCCAAAAGAACTTTTTGCACCCTTGGTCCGCGACGTTGAATGCGAGCTTGCAGGCCGCGATGAAGAGTCGGGCCAGCGTTAAAAGTGCTAGGTAAGTGTGCGGGGAGGGGTGAGCTGTTGATGTATAAGAGATGTTCGCTGATGATGGGATTTTTGTGATTTGGTAGGATCCAATTGGACGCTCTTCGGGGAACGCTCAAGAGTGCGACAGGTGGACCCTCGCAGGAGAAGGCTCGAATCGAAGGTCGGTCTTCAGCAGCGCATCTCAATCTTACGCATCTCGCACCAAAGCTAACTCATTCTGCCTCACATTTCCTCAGTTGAAGCAGCAGAGGAGAAGCTCGTCAACGCGACCGAGGAAGCAATCAACCTGATGCGCTCCGTGCTCGATTCGCCCGAACCGATCAAGAACCTCGCTGCTCTCGTCAAGGCCCAACAAGCTTTCTACGCCGAAGCTGCTGAGGTACGTGCCCAGGCGGGATGGATCACGACTTTTGAGAGGTGACTGATGGCGTCTCGATCTTGAATCCTTGGGCTATAGGCGCTCGCGAGCATTCAGGGTGAAATGGAGGAGGCGAGTGTACAAGCTGAGGCCGAGTACCGGTGAGTGTTTTCGGAGCGAGCAGCGTTCCGCTCGAGAGGTCTAATGGCTACTATCATCTATACCAGCAAATCGCGCGCCCAGTAAAGCACAACTTTCCTCGCCCTATCCTTCCCCGAGATGCCCACCATTCCATTCATATGCCCACGAGAACACGATCGCGCGCACGACGCCCGACCAGTGTACGAGGGACCTCCGAAGGCATCAAGGCAAACCCCTCTTCCATTTTCTTCCTCTTTCTCGTTTCTCAACTGTCAAACTTACAGTATTCAAGTCGATAGGGATGCAGGCCCAAATGGACCGGCTCGTTTTCTTTTTTTTTGTGTGTGTGTCTGTGCTTCAAATTACTTTTGGGTTTCCCCTTCGCGATCCCACCCGCATGTAATCTCCATCTATCCAGTCCTGCCAGTCAACCCTATCGGGATCTCTAAGGCTGTCGTCTTCAGAGAGTCGAGAGTACTGAGTCAATCTTCTCGGAATTTTGACCACTGATGACTTCACGTGGTTTGGCTTCGATGTTTGCGGTCCTGAGCGTTATCGCAAAGACGGTTCTCGCTCAGACCTCTGTGATATACACCCCGCGAAGCGACAACGATAAGATCAGAGGACGAAAGTATGTAGGATTGACACTGAACACGCTGGGTTAATCGCTGCCATGACAAGGCCTTCTGATCCACCCGGGCTCCCGAGTCACCTGGACATCACATTAGTCGCTGAAGAGAGACTAAAGAGTGCCCCATGCGCGCGTCCCGACCTCCTAAGGCTCAGGTGCACGGGCCTTACACCTCCTTACATTAACCACCACCTAAATTACGAGCCCCCAGACCGGTTTCTGCCCGGAAAGGCAAAGCCTTTGTTCCAGCTTGGCCACGAACACATTGACCTGCATTTGGGATTTTTGTTCTTTCTCCTTCCCATTCCTCCGCAACGTAGTCAGTCATGCTCTCACCCGCATCGCGCTCAACCTATCGCAGTAAAGATTCGACCAGGGTTTGCCACGATACCTTCGGATGATTTGGACGAGGGTGACTCTCCCCACTCCAAGGCGTCTAGCTCCTTGAAGATAAATATCTCCTCTATGGATCCCTCGTATGGGAGAGTCCCCAACAAAGTACGTCTCGGGTCGTCGCGGCAGTTTCTCTCTCGTTTTTTTCCTTATCTGATCGAAGCTTCTATTTCCCTTCACGCTCTCGTGACACCAGAACTGGAGCTTCACAACCGCAAATTCGGCCTCAGCTCGAGCTCCTTCCCATCGATGAAGAAGTACCCCAATAGCCTTGGCCGCATCAAGCACAAGTTTCTTCCAAGAAGCATGAACGATTCGGGCCAAGGGGAACCAATTCAAAACCGCCAAGTCGTTACGGGCGTTGAAAAGAAGTGTACGCAAGGTTTGCCCTGGTACTGTTTATATCGGCCGATTCGGACCAGCATTTCCAGTATTCGTCCTGTTGGGATTCATCCCGGTGGCAGCCCACTCTGATCAACGCAGTAAGTCGATCGTCTGATGGCAGAACCTTGCCGGTCACATATTTTGGATGTCAGTATGCACTGCAACGACAAGGACCCGGTGGCGACTTGAACCCAGTTCCCATTTCGTCGACTCCTTCAAGTCACCCCGTGCGGTCGACGAAACGGGAACTAACTGGCTTGAAGTCACCACTTGATTCTTGTTGCTGCAGTGCATACTAACGGGAACACATCCAATCGTTTACGAGTGAGTGACCGGCAAAGATCTACCAAAGACGATCGACTTACTGCGTTGACCAGAGTGGGTGGCAACTGACAAGTGCCAAACGTGGGACGAGTACTGTAAATTCTGCTCCGAATGTGGTCGATGAGCGGTATCGTGGCAAGACTTGCGCGCGCAATTCTTTTTCAACACCGTTGCCCGGTTCAAGGTTGCCGACGAGCTCCTCAACAACGGAATTTTCCCACGCATTTCTTCAAGAAGGGGATTTTTTTTTTTGAGCAGGCTCTGTTTCGTTTGTTAGATTCTGTGTCTTTGAACAAGACTAGCTGGAATTTATGACTGAAGTCACTTAAGCACTCTACTTCAATCAGATGAAACAGGCCCAACACGCTCGGTTTCATCTCGGGTACCGTGGAAAAGCTGTCACCTGCTGTCAAGACTCGTTTTTTTTTGGCGCAAATTGAACTGGCTGGCTAACTGCATGCTGTATGCCCATGGCACGTTCTTAGAACTACTGTCTGACACTGTCAGTCCGTGCTCTCAGCTGTTAGAGGTTCAGGGACCCGTCGTCCCGGGGGCGTGTTAGCATGATACATATCGGCTCGGTAATAGGTGGTTGCGATCTTTATTATGAAGGCAACGGCTTTCCATCGGCCCGTTGAGTCGAATATGGCGCATTCAAAAACCGGCGTATCACTAACGTACGAAGCATCTCCGATCACCTTCCGTTTTTTGAACCATCTCGAAGACCGATAGAGTACTCCCCAGTCCCAAGTCATGGGGGACTTTTACCGAGATACCGAGACCGTCACCCACGCGAGCGGTGGAAACTTAAGCCCGGATAGCGTCACTGACAAGCGGCAGAAGCCACGCGGCGCTAAAATAACCGTGTCATCTCCGGCCCCCTATTCTTCAAGCCGCCCGATCAGCACGCGACGCGAGTCCCCCCTCCCCCCCCCCACCCCCCCCACCTCGGCTACTGTCGTTCCCGCTCCGGCACTTATGAGTTCGGCTTTCGACCAAAGTGGGAGAGAGGGAAGCGTAGGAAATGCCTGAGATTGGCGATGCAGGCAGCTTCGCAAGTCTGCTTCCTGCTCTAGTAGCGATAACTGTCACGGTCACGTGACGGTCCTTTCAAGCACTGCCTTGGCGCCGGACCCTGTGGAACCGTGTCATCGAACGATAATTTCCAACGGTTCACTATCTTGCGACGATCTTTGCCTACTCGCAAATTTGTTGTTTCTTCGGTGCGACTCAACGGAGCGCAGTACTTCCGAACCGACTTCAGGGAGCCGAACTCGGCATCATCCCAGCCGCCGAACCGGGCAGAGCACTCGCGGCGATGTCGTCGGCGACCTGGCCTCAGCCTCCGCAAGCCACTCTCGACGACGCGAGGGCTTTCAAACCGTTTCTGGGTGAGTAAAACGAGACTCATTTCAACGGCGTTAGTATTGACGCCAACGGCGAACGGGAAGGTCCCCAAGGTGTGGCCTTCAGTGTGTGATATGCATGATCTCGACTTGGCGACAGTCTCAGCTCCAAGCGGGTATCGCACTGACATTCACATGACGTCCTGACTGTGTGGTATCTACCTCCCTCAAAAAAAGAAACATTGGTCATCGCCTATTTTTCCCAGGTGTTTATCTTGGGAATGATCACCGCGAAAGCAGTAACCTACTTCTCGCGCGGCTCGAGGGACCCCACAATAGTCAAGTCAGCCCGCGCACCACGGTGGTTTCTCCGAGGCCGTTTTCCGCTTCTCGTGGCTGACTGGTCGGCTCCTTGCTTTTGGAGATTGTGCAGAGTTTGTGTTGCATCTTCTGTCCTGATTCTGTGGTGCAAGTCGGGCTTGGACTTCAAGACAATATGGAACTCGGTGAGATACAACCGCAAGATTCACAGTTCAAGACACGGAGCCGACTTTTGTTTGCGCTTCTTCGTGCGCTTCTTCTAGGCATTCTTCCTCTCTTACAGACACCTTGAGCGAGCTCTTCCATGGTCTCTCCTCACTTCGCTCATCATCAGCCAGATACCGGTGGCATTGTCCCAGGTGTATCTCTGCTATCGACTTTGGTCGGTGGGTTGGCCCAAACAGAACTTAGACCCTCTATCGCTTTTGAAGGGTGCCCTCATGGACTGAACTCCTTTGTAATATTCAGATTTCCAAAAAGCATTTCCTCTCCAACGCCATCGCCATGGCTGGGACATTGTGTTCGACGATTCTCTTCATCATCTACGCCATCCTCCGGGGTCAGTTCATTTCTCGATCGCCAGACTGCAGTGGGCGAATGCATCGGGGTCTGAGCTCTCACCGCCCACGCTGTCTCATATTTGGTGCCCAGTCAAGTATCCAATACCGACTGAAAGACAAGATCGTGCGCATGCTTGGGTCCCACCTTGGGCGTTCTGCACTTGCGTGAGTGCCTCAGTGTGGGTCTTCGTAGTACCAACTCGCCGAGCTCGCGATAACTGACACTAGTCGTGCTGCTCACGCAGTTCACGGATATCTACCTATCCCTGACTTCTGCATTTTACTTACTTCGAACGAGAAAAAAGGCGGTCGGGGATCAGTGGGTTGCTTGAGACAAACTAAATTGTCCTTTGACGAAAGGCTGATGCCAATCAAGGAGTCCTCGTGCCAGGCTCGACTACATGCTGCTTCGTTTGGCGTCTCTGTCTATCACGACGTGTCTTCCGCCGGCACTCATGTCGGCCATCATGGCAATTCTCGAGATCACGAAATCGACGGGGGAGGTGCGTACTCTTAGACAGACACTCAGCTTGTGCAAGAGAAGCTAATCCTCCGTTGGGTAATCGCCGCAGGCTTGGGCGTTCTTCACGATCATCATTGCAAGCGTGTATACGCTCTGCATTCTTCATTCACGTCAGTGTTCGCCTCTCTCGGCATTCAGAACTAAGGCTACTGATACATGTCCACTCAATGAGCAGTCAACTCCCGCCAAGAGATCCTGGAGGAAGCACGCTCTCGCTCGACGATGAAAAACCCTTCGCCCCTGACCCCCGGACCAAGTCGCGTGCAAGCCCCAGCACAAAGGCTCACTAACTCAAAAGCAGTTGGACTAACCCAGCTCTATTACCTCAAGTCCAAACCATCCTCTCAACTTCCCAACCAACCTCTAGGACGCAATGACGGCCCCCGAACCTCCGAGTCACTCGATGGAAACGGCAGCCCAGTTGGCAGAAAACTCCTTTCCGATCGAGTCCGAGGTCCATCACCTTCAGTAGCTGCAGGATGCGCAACTCACGAAATCGCAGGATGGCTCTCAAGGTCAGGGAGCGGCCAGTGCGGCGGGTAAGCAGCTTCAGGTGCAGGTGTTGAAGGGGACCAAAGGGTGGAATGGTGAGAAGTAGTCGCCGATCTATTACTATTCGATTTGCTTCGCCTACTGAAAGGCGTGGATAAGGTCGACCCTCTTCATCAGCCTTCAGCTGCAAGCATTTTTTAAAATATTTGTAGAGTTGTGTGAAACATGTGGACATATTTCTGGGGAACACCTCGGCCGTCACTTTGCGGAAATAAGGGATGATCGCAAGTACGACTGCGATGCGATCGTCTCCCAGGCCAATCACGGCGCAAACGTCGTCTCGGAGTGGCCCGCAACTTGCTTGAGCGCATCAAGACGCATTTCCCCGAGATCAAGTACTCTGACTTGTGGACCCTCGCCCGTGTATACGCAATTCAGAAGATGGGCGGACCTAAGATCCCTTGGCGAGCGGGCCGCAAGGACCGCAAGGACGGCAACGTCGAAAACTGCACCCCCGACGCTGACAAGGGCTCGGAGGACCACTTGCGCCATCGCCTTCATAGCGCCGACAACCCCCGGCCATGTAATCATCGACATGGAGCTCATCACTGACCACAAAACCATCAAATGGAGTTGGCTGATTAAAAGGAGAGTAATTATAGCCCTTGACCACTTTGATCATGATATTCTGCCAGGAGTTGACCGAGGCGAACGAGCTCGAAACCGCCTGAGGTCTGGTCCCGATGCCCCCGGGCCCCTCTTCGTAGTCCCGGTGGCACCTTACAACTACGCCATCGCTGGTTATACTTCAGACTTTGTCAACTCCAGGACCCGATCCTCCGCAAAGCGCTCGAGGTTCTCGTTCAGCAGGGCAAGTGTCAAGCATTCCGAGGCGTAGGTGAGGCTGGCGACGATTTCAAATTTGCATTATTGCACTTACCCGATGTCGACTCGCGTCCCTTCAGCAGACAACAAGTGACCAAACCGTCCTCCTCAATGGATAATGGCGTCCATGCTCGGATGATCGCTCGAAAGTAGCCAAAAAATTGCGAATCTCTCGTTTTTATTGAAGAGCGTCGGCAGAGCTTCTGAACCCAAAGACTGACACAGAAATACGTAAAGCCATTCACAAGGCAAGACATTCATGCGGCTGGGAAAAGGAAAGGAGGTGAGGCCGCATGCATCGCCGAAGTTCGCTGAAGTAGGCCAGAAACCCTTTCGGCCGAATACTGGATAGCGATGTTAGGCCTTATTCAACGGCTGGCTTTCTTGGGAGAGTTCGGTGTCAGAAATGCCTCTTACTCTCTCGCTCGTTTAGATGATTACCCTTCGTAGAATCCGGTCGACTATAATTTGAAACGCCCAATTGCAAACAAAGTCCACAATGGCCTCTCGGGCTGACACCGACGCTGGATATCATGTTAGCTCGGTCGTAGGGGGTTGCAAGCACTATTTTGAAGGCAACGGCATTGTATCGGCCCGTTGAGTCGAAAACCCATTCGAGCATCGCGTATCACTGACGTAGTTCGCACTTCCGATCACCACCTTAACCCATTCCGAGTATCTTTCACCCCTAAATCATGAGAAACTTTACCGAGATACCGAGACCGAGCGGTGAAACCGTAAGCCCGAATAGCGTCCCGGACAAGCGCCAGAATCGGCAGAAGCCACGCTACCGTGTCATCTCCGGCCCCCTATTCTTCAAGCCGCACGATCAGCACGCGACGCGAGGTGTTTCCCCCCCACCCCATCTCGGCTACTGTCGTTGCCGCTCCGGCATTTATGAGTTCGGCTTTCGACCACAGTGGGAGAGAGGGGAGAGTAGGAAATGCCTGCAATTGGCGACGCAAGCAGCTCCGCAAATTCGCCTCCTGCTCTAGCAATAACCGTCGCGGACCTTTCAAGCACTGCCGTGGCGCTGTGGAACCGTGTCATCGAGATAACGATCTTGAAAAGGTTCACTATCTTGCGACGATCTTTGCCTCCTCGCAAATCGGCTGTTTCTTCGGCGCGACTGAACGGAGCAGTACTTTCGACTGGGAACCAACTTCAAGGACTCGGAGCCGAACTCGGCATCATCCCAGCCGCCGAACCGGGAGCGCTCGCGACGATGTCGTCGGCGACCTGGCTTCAGCCTCCGGCGCAAGCCACGCCGCTCGATGCCGCGAGGGGTTTGAAACCGTTTCTGGGTGCGTACAACGAGACTTATTTCAACGGCGTTAGTATTGGCGCCAACGGCGAACGGGACGGTCCCCAAGCTTTCGCCTTGTGCGATCTGCATGACCTCGACGTGCCGACATTCTCGACTCCTCAAGCGCGCGTGGCCCGGCTCGGGCATCGCATCGACCACTCACGTGAAGTTCTGACTCTGTGGTGGCTACTTCCCTCAAAACAAGGTGCATCCATCTCCGCCCATTTCACGGAAGTGTTTATCTTGGGAATGATCACCGCGAAAGCTGTAACCTACTTCTCGCGCGGCTCGAGAGACCACAATAGTAAAGTTAGCTAGCGCGCGACGGTGGTTTTTTCGAGGTCGTTCTCCTGCTAGCAGCTGGCTGACGATATGGCGATATGGTTCTTGTCTCCTTGCTTTGTGGGATTGTACAGAGTTTGTGTCGCCTTTTCCGTGTTTATCCTGTGGTGCAAGGCGGGCTTGAATATCAAGATCCTGTGGGACTCGGTGAGACACGCCCGCAAGATTCACAGTTCAAGACACGGAGCTGACTTTTGTTTGCGCTTCTTCGTGGCCTTCTTCTAGGCATTCTTCCTCCCTTACAGACACCATAGGCGATTTCTTTCATGGTCCGCCCTCACTTCGATCATCATCAGCCAAATACCGGTGGCATTGTCCCAGATGTATCTCTGCCATCGACTTTGGGCGGTGAGTTGGCCCGTACTGAGCTTATCCCCTCCATAGCTTCTGGAGGGAGCTTTCAATGCTCATGGACTGAGATCTCTGATGATCAGATATCCAAGAAAAATCCTGTTCCTAAAGTCTTTGCCGTGGCAGGAACATTGTGTTCGACGACTCTGTACATCATCTACGCCACCCTCCGGAGTCAGTTCATTTCTCAATCGCCAGCCTGGGCAAATGCACCGGGGTCTGAGCTCTCACCGCCCCACGCTGTCTCATATTGGTGCCCAGTCAAGTATCGAATACCGGGAGGCAGCCAAGACCGTGCGTTTGCTTGGGTCCCACCTTGGGCGTTCTGCACTTGCGTAAGTGCCCGCCACTGCTGCGATGGGTCTTCGTACCCAACTCGCCGAGCTCGCGATAACTGACAAGTCGTGCTGCTTACGCAGTTCACCGACATCTAACTATCCCTGGCTTCCACCTTCTACCTACTTCGAACGAGAAAGAAGGTGGTCGGGGATCAGTGAGTCACTTGAGACAAACTAAACTGTCCTCTGACGAAGCCTGCTGATGCCGATCGAGTCCTCGTGCCAGGCTCGACTACATGTTGCTTCGTTTGGCGTCTCTGTCTATCACGACGTGTCTTCCACCGGCACTCATCTCGGCGATCATGGCAATTCTCGAGATCACGAAATCGACGGGGGCGGTGCGTACTCTTAGACAGACACTCAGCTTGTGCAAGAGGGGCTAATCCTCCGTTGGGTAATTGCCGCAGGTTTGGACGTTCTTTAAGATCATCCTCGCAAGCACGTATGTGCTCTGCATTATCCATTCTCGTCAGTGTTCCCCTCTCTCCACATTCAAAACTAAGGTTCCTGATGCACGTCCACTCTGTGAGCAGTCAACTCCCGCCAAGAGATCGTGGAGACAGCACGAGGCTCTCGCTCGACGATGAGAAACCCCTTGCCGCTAACCCCCGGACCAAGTCGCCCCCTTGAACTTGCCCTGGCGGGACAAAGGCTCACTGACTCAACCGCAATGATGATCACCCCACGACACACTCTAAAATCCAAACCACACTCTTTCAGCTTATCAACTAGGCTTCTCGGCGCACTGACGGCGCCCAAACGTCCTTCGATGAACCCGGAGGTCGAGTTGGAAGAAAGCGCTTTCTCGGCGGTCCGTTCTGAGAACCATCACCCTCGGCCGCTCCAGGATACGCAGCTGACGAAGTCGCAAGATGGGTCTTAGGGTCGGCGGGCATGAAGTATCGGGTGCAGGTGATGATGGGTGATGATGGGTGCCGAAGGGTGGAATGGTGTGAAGTAGATGCAGTGGCCGCCGATCTATTACTATTCGATTTACTTCGGCTACCGAAAGGTGTGAATAAGGTCGACCCTCTTCATCAGCCTACAGCTGCAAGCTATCAATAACTCTTTTTAAAATTGTGTGAAATATGTGGACATGTTCCTGGCGCATATCTCCGCCTTCACTTTTGCGAAAATAAGCGACGATCGCCAGTCGGCCGATGCGATCGTTCAAGAGTCGGGTCTGCTCTGTTCCAGCTCGTCTCATCTTCGCCTTCATAGCCAGCGACAGGACCATGCACACACGGCCAACCCCATTATCGACGGGGGGCTCATCACTGGCTTCAAAACCATCAAATGGAGTTGGAGGATTGAAAGGAGAGTCGCTCAAGCTGTCGCTGCAGCCAACGACGACCTCGACCGGCTTCGTGTTTCCCTCGCTTTACTCGTTCCCTCCCTTCTTCACGTGAGTAACAGGCTATCCTGCACATCAATACAAATTCGTTGATACTCGATCAAACGCTTCCTGCAGTCAACAACCTACGGAATCGACATGGTCGCACCAACGGTCGCAATGGACGACCTTGATCCTCGCCTATGCACGTCATCACCGCATATTCCGATTCGACATCTCGGAAGCGACATGTACACACGAACTGTTCAACAACACAGCCATAAAGCGTACGTGTCCTGCGAGCGTTGGTGGGAGGAGGTGCCGCTTATCGCACCGTCGACCCCCACTTACGGAGCCTCTGCCTTCTCTCGTAACAGGCCGCGTCAATATTCCCCTACTACGCGCCGTCCTTGACTTCATGACCTCCTCGGGAACAGCGGAATACGATACCAAACCTCTGAAAGGGCAACTGCCCACGGGGGCTTTGGTGTATTGGAAGACTCCGGACGAATGGGCTCTGGCGATCTATACTTGGGTAAGGCATGGCGTCGTGGGAATCTATATCGACGATGAATGGAGGACCTGACTGATTCCACTCTTGCTTACAGGTCAAGGACAAAGGCTTGACCAATTCGATCATGACATTCTGGGAGTTGACCGAGGCGAACGAGGTCGAAACCGCCGGTAGGTCTAATTCCGATACCCTCGCTCCGTTGTCCCGGTTGCATCTTACAACTAATCCAACTAAACCGTCGCTCGTTATACTTCAGAGTTTTATCAACTTCACGAAACGATCCTACGCAAAGCCCTCGAGATCCTCGCTCGGCAGGGCAAGTGTCAAGTATTCCGAGGCGTAGGCGAGGATGGCGACGGTGTCAAATTTGCATAACGAGAAGTCTAGGGATTGTAGGTGTGGATGTATCGTATCAAGTACGTTTGTCGTATTAGTATGTAAGGGAGTTTTACGGGTCCCGACAGATCCTATGAGGGCTGGATAGATCCAACGGAGAAACGTAGCATAAAGACGACCAGCCATGGAACTGTGCGCACCCGAGGACCTTCGTCGCAAGCTTCGAGCTGCCATATGGAGATCGCTGAAGCACATCATTGCTGGACAGCCGAGCGGAGTCGCAAAGCGGATGGCTCAGCCGGCACCCCTATCTACAGCCAGTGGAGGAGACGACTAGTCACGGGATGTCGCAATTCGAAGCAGCAGAACATCTTTTTTGACTCGATTTTCGCTCCATATTGCACGTTGCCCGATTCTTTATTAGTAGCCGGGTCTGAGGTAGGAGTGGGCCAACAGAGGACATGTGACCTTCCAAAGTTACCAATAGGCTCCTGTCGTGCCCGGCAAATAGGTAGGAACCATCCTTCAGAGTACCTAGGCCTCCGTCATAACTCGGAACAGCTTTTTCCCGGATCTCAGTCCGAGCGCGCGGATCCCCATTGGCCCCTTGCCGAAATGGGAGAGGAGTTCTTTCTTCGTTTGGGCCTCGCTTGAGCACGCCAGGGCCGGTGAGTCACTTGGACGGGGACGGAACGGGATGCCGCGAGTTTTGCTTCATGAGCTTGATCAAAATCATCTTGAACTGACCGAATCAATGCGAAAGGAACCGAAGTGTTTCGTCAGCGTGTGCACACTGTGGACATCTCATGCCCGAAACGACAGAATTCAACTTGAGCCGACCCGCCGAAGTATGCGTAGAAAACAGGACCATCAGCTGCCCTGGACACGGAGACGAAAAATTCGACGGACGGTAAAATGAAACACCCTTTGTTGGTGTGGTGTCTGCCTGCCATGCCCTGGAACTCCGGAGGAGGCATCTCCGAATCCAATCCGCGCTCGGAGTGTGCCCGTATGCGAGGGGAAGCTTTCGGCTTCGCGGACCGTTTCCGAATGATTGCAAAGAGAGCGATTGGAAAGCGCCGCCGCGTCATAGCTGTCTCCTCGGAATCCCAGACCAGTTTCTGAAGAAGGAAATGATCCTACTGCAGGTCACCTATACGAACGCGCAAAAGTGCTTCTCATTGAGCTCTGCATAGTGCTGAATTTCCTCGCTTCGGACGATCTCGCTCTCGATCAACAGGTAAATATATTTTGTCCGTGCTCGAGCGAGATGTGCAGACGACTTCTCGCACGATCCGCCTTCTAGAAGACGAAGACGGCAAACTCGATTGAAATTTCACACCCGTCAGTGTGTACTAAGGACGGTTCCGCTTGCGATTCCGTGCATTATGTCGTGCGCAAGCGGGTTTGTGGGGAGTGTCACTGGAGGTGACGTGGAGCGGTCCTAGTTCGGCGCTGTTTCGGTTTCTAGAAGTTTGGTTCAATCGAGGTGTTGAGCTGTTGAGTATCTGTACCGATACTCGGTGAGCTACGCCGTGGGGGTTGAGTACTTGCACATCGTTGTGAACGTCCGGAAGACCAGTCAGAGGTTCAGGGACCCGTCGCCCCTACGGGGGCTCATTAAAGGTCTTCCAGGCTTCAAGTTGGTAGATGGAGTGAGTTGACGAAGGAAGACAAAGGATCCCCGATGCTTTCGCAAGGGTGATTTAAACAAGATTTGCGAGTACCAATGACTAATTCGAATCCATCTTTCGGCCACTGATGTTTCGGGTAAGGTGAAGAGGAGGCACTCCTGTGTAACTGGAGGTGATTGCCTTCGCGCGACCGCTGCGCACCGGAGGACCCACCCCACCCAGACTATTTTTCGGTCTCGCTGGAGAGATATTGCGTGATCTTGCCACGAGTAGTCGAATCGGCCCGCGACTATGCGGAGCAAGTCGGTGTGAGACGGGCTGACTTCTGAGACAGCAAGGCAGCGTGGCCGGACCGGGGCCGTGGTGCGCACGCACCCATCGCCCTGTGAGACGATTAGCCGCGCTGGGTGGCATTGCTTTATTGGCATGTCTCATTTCTCCCCTACCCTGCCAGAAAGCACACCATTGCCCAGGGCTCATAATGCCATGTTACCGTGATTCAACCCGTCCGCTCCGAATGCCCCACTGTGCCTGCGTGGACCTCGATTGCACTGCCTTGAAGTATCCGTGAGAAAATCTTTCGGATCGAAACCGCCCTTTTCCGCGAACCATCCGCATGCTGCGAAGTTACCAAAGCTGATAATATTGGAAAACCCGTGACTCCTTTGGATCGATCAGAGAACGTCACGAGATCAACTGTGAGTTACTCATGCAGCCTCTCGTATGTCCGGAAGACGCAACGGACGGCTAAAGCACCAACTCAAGATCGTGAGGTGTTAAGATCGCCAGAGGTCGCCTATCGGGATGGAGACGGTCTCGCACAAACATGATATCGCCACCCAGTTGGGAGACATCGCCTGACCGTAGAAATGAATGGGAACTAAACCCCCAATGAAGAATCACCTTGCACAGGAGTACGTGGGAGGGACCAAGATTTCTAATGAAGGTGTGCCCAACTCTTTCATCCTCCTCCAACCGAGCCTCTGTGCCACCACTGCCGCCGTCATCTTAGAGGTCCAAGCGTTCACTGCTCCGAGGCTCAGGCCTTCGATCCGTCGCCGGAACACGATCTAATGCAGCAGTCTTGGGTTTGGCAGTACCTATTGTGAGATAAAATTCATTAGAGCATACTTGTCAGCTCCTCAGGTACAAGAAAGTGGGCGGAGGTGGTTGGAGTGCACTCACGATGGCCAGTTCCCCTTGGTGTTGCATTGGTGGATGCACTGGACTTCGCCGCCGCTCCTGTGTTATACGACGGTCAAGGAAGTCGGGCGTGTACACTCAGCGAGGACATGGTTGAGGAGAGGGTTGAAGGTGTAACAGACTCACATAGCGACGACAGCAGAGATGAAACCGGCGAAGAGAACGAGGAAGGTGATCTTCATGGTTGCGGAGGGTAGGTAGTCTTGGGCGAAGTTCTTGTGGGGGGTCAACTTGGAAGTGATAAGCAAGAAGGAAAGAGGTGCTTCTCTCTTTAGCTCCGCTTTTATAGTCGGCCCAGAGGCTGCTCATGTCGTTATCTTATCATGATGGTTCGAGGCAGCCGAGCAGCAAGTGAGAAGAGTCCATTCGAGCCTCAGTACTCAATTCTGAGACCGCTCCCCTGTCCTGCATTGAGGGCCCTGGCACCGCGGCCTCAATTTCAAGCGCCGTTGCCCATCCATACCCGCCGGGGCCTCGTAACTCTTCCCTATCGTCATGTTTCAGTTTTTACTCCGAGTAGCACGGCCTTCCAGTCACCTGCTACTGTCAGGTGACCGTGATAAGGTCTGTCCCATGATGACCTCAAGAGCTCCAACTCGGACGAGTCTCAGACATCGCTCATCGAGCTCAGTCCGGGCGGCTTTACGCAGTGCTGTGCGCCAACAACCTGCATCACTTGGGGAACTTTGCATAGTTGGCAGTTCGGCCAAGCCCCGACGATCACGTGACTAAAGGGGTTTCCGACTAGCTCGTTGTCGTCGCGCTCGGGCTCCCTCTGACCGCCAGTGCTGCACTCGATCGATTTCAACATGACCGCGGTACTGAAGGAGCTCCAATGGCGCCTGCAGGACCCTCGCATCGACTACCAGACCATCATCGTCGGTGTCTCGCTCGCGGTCGCGGCATTTGAAGGCTACGTTGGGTACGTCGACGCTCTGACGTGGCCACGAAGGGGACGGACGCGCATCCGTCGGCAATCGAGGTCGCATGCCACCCCAGGCAGGGGACTCAGGGGCGCACGATGCAAGGTCCCAAGTCGATAAACTGACCCCTAATGTTCTGATCATTCTACAGCTCGCGCCAAAAGCCGTACTTGCTCGAATCGGAGCACCCCACCTTGCCCGCGTCGCTCGAGCCGTACCTCCCCGCCGAGACACGTCAAGAGACCTACAAAAAGTCGCAGGCGTATGCCCTGGCCAAGCACCAGTACTCGACCGTGGTCGGCAAGCTCGAGCTCGTGCAGTCGTTCCTGCTCTTGTCGTGCGTTCTCGCCCCTGTGTTCGCATGGGTCTTCCCCGGCACCGGATCACCGCCTTCGTTCGTTTCGGCGCCTTGGTTCGGTCGGGGTCACAACGATTGGACCCTACTCAGAGGTGCATGGGATCTGGCGGCCAAGTTGCCCGGTGCTAAAGGCGAGATCTCGACCAGTCTCGTCTTTGTCGCCATCTTGACCGTCGTCGGCACTTTGCTCTCGTTGCCGCAAAGCTACTACAAGAATTTCGTCCTCGAGGAGGAGCACGGCTTCAACAAGATGACCCGATCCACCTTCTTCTCCGACGCTGCCAAAGGTTTCGTCCTGTCGCTCGTACTCGAATTGCCCCTTCTCGCGGGAGTCATCTGGATCATCCACTGGGTCGGCACCGACGGAGTGCTGCGCATCGTTGCGTGGATCATGGCCTTTATCTTCTCGATTCAAATCATCATGATCCCTCTGTACCCTTACGTTATCGCCCCCTTGTTCAACAAGTACACCCCTTTGGACGAGAACCACGCCGTGTTTCCCAAAGTCAAGGCGTTGGCCACGAGACTCAATTTCCCCCTCGGTCGCGTCTGGGTCATGGACGGCTCGAAGCGCTCGAGTCATTCCAACGCCTACTTTTTCGGTCTGCCTTACCTCACCAAACACATCGTCATTTACGATACCTTGTTGGAGAAATCGACGCCTGAAGAGGTCGAGGCCATTCTCGCGCATGAGCTAGGTCAGTCTCTGAAAATCGGTTTTGCCCCACAGAAGCCCCCGCCCGCTGAAACGTTTCCAATCCGAACCTTCCACAGGCCACTGGGCAGGGAAGCACGTCCTCGTTCTTCTCCTGACGTCTCTGATACAAACCGGTTTCTCCCTCCTCATCTTCTCCCTCTTCCTGTCGAACCCCGTCCTCCTGTCCTCGTTCGGTTTCACTTCTTCAACCCCTTTCTCCGGCTCGCACGGCACCGGAGGTCCCACCATCATCGCCCTCTTCCTCGCCTCGGCTTTGTTTAGCCCTCTTTCGGCGGTCTTACAGTTCACGACTAACACCGTGACGAGGGCGTTGGAGTATCAGGCTGATCGGTTCGCGCATGTTCTGGGACCCGAGTACGCGAAGAACCTCAAGGGAGCTTTGGTCGGGATTCATGAGAAGAATTTGGTCAGTTTAGGAAAAGTGAGCGTGTTACCGCGGATACGGTGGCGGAAGCTGATCTGCGTCTGCTTTGCATATTCCTTTAGGCCGTCTATGGCGTCGACCCCGTCTACTCGGCTTACAACAACAATCACCCGACCTTGTAAGCTATGCCCATTCCTTGCAGTGAGTTGCTAGCCTCGATCGTACTAAGGACCTGCCTCCTCTAGGATCGAGCGCCTGGACGCCCTCGACAACGCCCTCGAAACGGGGGAGAAAAAGTCGAGCAGCCAAGCCAAGAAGGTGCTTTGAGAACACACTCCATCCGCCCATACTGCGTCCGGCTCTCTACCATCTCTCTCGCGCGGTAGATGTAATTGTTACATAGCCACCCCGCTCTTCATACTCCACTGAGAGGCCAAATAACATGCAACAACCCCTAAGCGAATCAAGCAAAGAAGTCATCATCCCCTGCCCACCCTTTCGGCTCAAGCTCCTCCTTTGTCGAGGCCTTGTCAGTCAGAGTCCCCTCCTTGGCGGCTTTTCGTTTCGCGTCCTTTTCGGCTTTGCGATCCTTCTTGGACAGGGGTTGAGTCGCATCCGCTTCGGTTGGGGTGGTCGTGGGCTTGGTCGATGTGGATACGGGTTTTGGAGCAGAAGCCAGTGCAGGTGGTTCTTTCTTGTTCGATTTCGTTGGGGATGGCTTCTTCTTCTTGAACTCGTTTGGTGCCTCCGCCACCATCTTCCGGCTCTTCTTCTTCCCCTCCTCCTTTTCTTCCTCCTCCGCCTCCTCCTCCTCCTCTCCTTCCCTCGCCCTCTTGCCATTATTGTTCACGTTTCCCTCTTCCTCATGATCGTGCTCCCCTTGTATGCCCAACACCCCCTTCTCCACCTCCTCGTCCACTTCCCCGCTCTCCAACAAAGCTCTAAACCCCTTCCTGACTTGCCACCTCTTCCTCTCACTCCCCTTCAACTCCTCTCCCTCTTCCACGAACGGCACATATTGTCCCTCGGGAAAGAGGGCGATATATTTCTCCTTGATGGGGAAGTGGAGTACGTAATAGAGGTCCGCGCGGGCTTCGAAGAGCGTTCGAATGGAGAGAGGCGTCGGAGGGTCAACTTTGAGCGCTTGACGAATTTTGCGTAGGCATTTCTGGCGTTCTGTTTCTGGATCGGGTCAGTTTCATGCCTCGAAGGGAGGTCGAGTCGGAAACAGTTGAAGATTGAGGAAACGTACCAAAGAATCTGACGCCTTTATACCTGACGACCATCTTCTTCTCCAAGGTCGAATCTTGCGCCATGATCAATTCCGATTCGAGTGTGGCGAGACGACGTTCGGTCGTCGTTCTTACGTCCGGGGTCAAGTCTTGCTGTAAAGATGGAACGGTGTTGTTAGTTTGAGTTTCTTGTTGGTTTCGGGTGAAGTGTAGAGTGCTCACACGAGCCAACAATCGCTTCGTCTGCCTCAACTGGGCTTTCAATTTGGATACCGAACCTATTCCCTCCCTCGACAGACCGACCCAACGCACACCCAATCACCCAATCAGCAAAGCGGCGCTCTCCACAGCTTCAGTATATCCTTGCTGAAACCTCACCAGTAGGGATCGACGACAACGTTCCCTCCATCGCTGCTCGTGCTCCTACTCGAACTCGATTACCGCCGAGCCGACGTCCTCTCCCACCTTTCCCACCTCGTGTAGAAGAAGTACTCGCTTCATTACTGGATCCTCCTCCTCCCTTCGAACTCCAACTCGAAGGTCCAGCTTGTCGATCCGGATGGATGTGGCAAGACATTTAATAGCGTGGGGGGAGAGAGAGATTGCGGAGGGTTGGGTCGGGTCGACTTGCGTGTCAACAGCTGCTGGCGCGTGCGAAGATTGGATTTCTGAGCTCGGACCTCCCTCTGGTGGTGCCATTACTCTTGGGGAGATGGGGCGAGTGGGTTCGATGATGGTTGGAGTAACTCGGGCATTCTTTGCGTCTTTACTTTTATATTTTGACAGAAAGAATGTACTTTTGTGTTTTGTTCGTTTCGAGCTCGTCGATGAATTGACTCTACGCGATCGATGACCTCCTCCCGCCATCTCAAACGTCCCCTACAGCGACAATCGAAGTTGAAACCCCAAGGTCGATGTTACATATCATCCGCCTCGTTCCATCACCCTTCCCTAACCACTCCTTTGTCCCTCTCTCTCCCCTTACCTCCCCCTCCCTACTCGCTTCACCTTCACCTCCAACTCATCCCTTTCTCAGCATCTTGGCCTCCGCATGAATCTCCTTCCTGAACGCGACGTGACACTCGTGACATATCATATGCGAAGGTTTAGGCAAACCGCACGAAGGACAACCGACCAAATCTATTAAAAAAAACCAGGGACGGGGACAGGGACGGGGACGGGGACAGGGGGGGGGGGGGGACAAAGAGTCAGAGACCATCAGCCTAATAAAACTCACATGAGACGACCGACGAAGCCCAAGATCCAAGATCGACAGCCTACTGACTGACTTGTACGTTGCTTCAAACCTTTGCCCGCACTCCTCATCGATTTCTTACTATGCGAAGTCTTGCTCTTCGGAACGGCCCACACGATAGGGGGTAAGGCTAACCAGCCTCGCAATCCTTCGAGCACAGATCCTATTCGATTCCAGGGTGGGGGTGTTGTTGTTGAGACGCGCACGTATGATGGGGAGGATGTCGAGGTCGAGGGTGAGAGGAGGGTCAGTCGGGGGAGGAGGGACAGGAGGGAGAGGAGGTGCGATGGGGTCGTCGTCGTCGTGCGGGTAGTGCGGGTAGTGCGGGTAGTGCGTAAGAGTGTTGTGGCCATGATTGGGGCGGAAGGTCTTCGCTTCGGATTGGGGGGTGTACGTGTTTGCGTGTGGAAGGTGGACAGAGGAGGAAAGAGTTCCCAGAAGAGAGAGCGCGACCAGAAGAGGCGCGAATAGTCGTTTCGGAAAACCGCCATTAGGAAAGCGGCCGGCCAATAAAATCGACTTTTATAATCGCCTACGAGGGTCCACAACTCCATACTAGCACGGTATCGATACGTCAAACAATAGGAATTACAACATTCTCACACGTTTATTCAATCACCCTGACTATACAACACCAACCTCTCGACCCACGCACGCCAGCTCGGCGAATCTCAACGTTTCCCCGGCATCCCCACCCGACCCAACTCCACCCACGGGCCACCATCACGCAACCCCCATCACGACCTCGCCTTGAGACCAAATCTGGCCAACCAGTTCGAAACAGGTGAAACACCTTTCTTCGCCGTTCCTTTCGTCGCGCCCGCCGCCCCCGCACTCGCGTCCAATCGACTCTTGTTCCAGTCCCACAACGACGCGATCCATAGCCCGCCTACGCCCCAGACCAAACCTTGAAGTAGAGGGTAGATGAACTGCCCATCAAAAAAACAAGATGAAGCACATCAGTCACCTGATCGCGCTCAAGCCCCTTATCGCGCGCTAAAGGGTTTTTCCACTCCCCCCCCCCCCGGAAAACTGACCTGATCCCTAAAAATCACATACACTATCTTCCCCCATTCGAACCTCAACGGACCGGCCAACAAATCGGTCTGTTCCCCTTGCTTCAACCCATCCCTAGCAGCTTCAGCCGTTAAAGCGCTCGAGACCATCGCCGTTTTTTCCTCCACCTCTTTACGTTCTTCATGTCGTTCTTGATGCGAGGGAAGGGGGTTGATATTCTCGTCGCCGAGAATGGTTTCCTCATTCGAAGCGATGACGGTAGTTGATGTGGTAGGTTGAAGACGATGTAAGAAAGGTCTTATGGACATGAGGATCCCTTGTTCGTACCTCAAATCCGGAATAGGAGGAACCTGTATCCTCTGATGATGATGATGATCCCTAACCTTCCTTTTCTCCTCATTCGAAAAACCAACCTTCTCCAAAAAAGAAGATCGATCGAAACTTTCTTTCGTCGTCTGATCAACATCCCCATCGTTTTGAAAGTTTCGTTCTCGCTCAAGTTGTTGAGCCTTTTTGAGCGCTTGTCGACGTGCCCATGCACCTTTCCATGAAGGTTCAGAAGAAGAAGAAGAAGAAGAAGCGGCGGCGACGTATCCCGAGGAGTTCCTCTGTTGCTGATGATGAGGATGGTATGAGGACGAGATTTCGGGTTCGACGGAAACGGAAACGGATTGATGTACGGCTTGGCCGCGAAGACGAGCGTCATCGTGCGAGGACGAAGAGGACGGGAAGTGGGATGGGTCGAGTGATCTGTGTAATTGGGGGCGTAGACGAGTCAGAGAATGGAACTCGTCATTGAAGGGGCCGTTTGGGTTGGGTACTCACGTCATGACTAGGTTGAGGGTGGATCTTCGCGAGAGGGTCTCCCGTCCGGGATGAGGGGTGGGGGGGGGGGGGGGGAAGAGGTGGAGCGCCCGGCGCGCAATACCGGGGGCCACGACAAGCTCGATAATTAATTTCCGGTCATCGGATCGGTCGACTCGGACGACAGGTGACCAAGCCCGCGGCGGAGACATGCAGATTTCTTAATTTTCATTTTCCTTCTTTTTATGTGTAGGGCGGACGTGGAGTTGCACTCGCGTGAGCTTCATCGTGTCACCGAATCGAGTTTGCGGTTGATTAAGTTTTTGGCAAGTAGCCACGCGCGCTCGGACCCCCTTGGGGCGCAACTGTACGCCCGCCTGGAGGATAGGCCAGGATGTGGCCGCCAAAAAGGTTGCTGGTCAGTTGCTGGCGCTGGTCTTTGCTGGTCGCTGGCCTTCGCTGGCGGCGGCGCGCGCGAAAGACGAGTGCGCCGCGGCCGTGCTCTTTTCTCGTCTCCGCCCCTCGTCAGACTTTCCGTGAGCCAACCCACTACAAGACCTCTGACGCACACTGGGACCGCTGTACTGACCTTGTTCTGTTGCTTTGACCTCTCTACTCTTCCATTCCACCTTCACCCACCCACGTAATCAACCTGTGTGCGGCCCCATCGCGCCGTCGAAAACGACCTACGAACACCCACCCAACCCACCACCGCCGCCGCCGCCGCCGCCGCCCCCTTCGCGCGCGCGCCCTTGCCCCCTCCTCGTCTCGTTCTAATACCAACCCACCCCCAACCCACACCCCACGTTTCGTGTACGGTGGTGATCAGTGGAAAACTCTTACAGCGATGGCCGAAACGACTACTGCCGCCAACCCCATGCGGGAACTGCGCATTGAGAAGCTCGTCATCAGTAAGTGTTGCGAATCGGGCGCTCGATTCTGGCTTGGAGCGCGCCCGGCAGCGAATTGCGACTTTCGCGGACCGGCGCGGCGAGGCGCGGCGAGGGAGGGCAGCGCAGGGGGAAGCGTAGACGACGGCGCTTGCGCAGGAGCACGATGGTGGAACGAACGCGGGAATACTAGCAGACGAAATGACTACGGTCGAGTGAAGGAGAGCAGGCGACTGATGGCATCCCTAACCGCACTCGTGCACAGACATCTCGGTCGGTGAATCCGGTGATCGATTGACGCGAGCGTCCAAGGTGCTCGAACAATTGACCGGTCAAACCCCGGTCACGTCCAAGGCGCGCTACACCGTTCGTCACTTTGGTATCCGTCGTAACGAGAAGATCGCCGTGCACGTCACGATCCGTGGCCCCAAGGCGGAGGAGATCCTCGAACGCGGCTTGAAGGTGAAGGAGTACGAGCTCAAGAAGAGGAATTTCTCCGAGACGGGCAACTTTGGCTTCGGCATCCAGGAGCACATTGACCTCGGTATCAAGTACGACCCCGGAATCGGTATCTTTGGGATGGACTTTTACGTCGTCATGGGCCGACCGGGTGGACGCGTCGCCAAGCGCAAGCACTGCACCTCGCGCGTCGGTGCCCCCCACCGTGTCACCAAGGAGCAATCCCAAAACTGGTTCAAGCAACGCGTACGTTTTCCAATCTGGACGAGTGTCCTGTCATGTGCTGATCCGTCTTTCGCCATCTCTCCCAAACAGTTTGACGGTATCCTCTTGGGCCGCAAGTAAGCGTTTCGTTCTACGCACGGACAAGGAAAGGCGGAGATGATGGAAAGTCGATCGAGCAGGATATCAAGTCGTAGTTTGAGGGCGGTACAAAAATTGAACACCAGGGGGGGGGGGGGGGGGGGGGGACGCGATGAGGTGCTTTCATTTCTGGGTATCCGTCCGGGAAGCAAGACGGGGCGCGGACGAGGCTGACCGGCTTTTTCGTCTGTGTTTTTGTCTTGCTTTTTTTTTTCTTTGCAATTCCTCACACCACACACTAAAAAGAGGAAACAATACATGGTCTGGGGGTTGAAATGAGAGAATGGCTTTGCCTGGAGCGGTAAAACGAACGCGGGCCGGAGCTATAGGATAATATTTTCGGCCCGAGAGAGGGGTCGTGGATACTGGGTGGGATGGAAATGATTTGTTTTTTCTTCTAGTGTATGACCGAGTGTGATCGTTGTAGCGTGTATGAGCCATGCCAGAACCTTTGTGGCGGTGGCGGGTGGCGGCGATGATCGGGCGATGGGCCGAGTGCGGCGGGCGGGTCGCGGGCGCCACGAAGGAGCACGACAGGGACTGACAGGGAGGGAGAGACAGGCGCGGACGGAATGCGCCACACTGCGCCACATGTCTGTATGCGCTTCGCCTGCAGGCTGCCACTCCCCGCGGTGGTGACACACTTTCCGACCGTTCCAAGTCCACCCCTCCCTGCGAGTCCGCCACGCCAGTGAGGCTGTAGCTTCAACGGCTCGAACCTATTATTTCGAGCTTACGGCGCGACGTTGACCCCGTCACGGCGGTGTGTAGCGGCCATCCACTCTGGGCGTTGCCTCCACAAGCCACAAGATAGTTTGGACATCCTCGATCCGGACAACGTCGCAGCTCGCTCTAGGGTCGCACCATGGGTCAGTCACGGAAAGTCAGCGTAGACGAGATGAAACTAAAGCTGAGCCGCTCTGTCCAACGTGTCGCAGCGGACTCGAATGCGGCTACGGGTGTAGGTGTAACAGCGATCAGCTGCTCATCGCCGCGCGGTCGTGCGACGACGTCCTCCCAGCCGCCAGCAGCCTCGAGCTCGCCTCTCCGCCAATCATACGCCGCCACAACGACCACAGCAGCAGAGAACACCGACTCGCAAGACCTCAACGACGTCCTCACCGACAAGCTCGCCTCGCTGGCCGAATATCCCGAGGGAGATCTTGAGGTCACCGCACTGCTCGGTCTCGCTGCCGCCCAAACCCCTTTGCTCGAACGTCATCAACAGACAACGCCACAGCTTGACCTCGACGCGCTCGTCGCATCTTCAGCCGCAGTCGGATTGGACACGGGTCAGTCTCACCGGCGCTATTGCGGTTCTGTGTCGCATGCGCTGACGAACAGCGTTCCCCAATCTCTAGCCGAGTCGGGTATGATGACCGCCTCCTCCGCCTTTGAGGATGATTCAAACAGTCTGGCCCCACCGGAAGCCGACGACGGCATCGATGGCCATGCCTACACGAACCCGCCTTCTCCCGAACTGAATCCGATCCAGTACAACGCCGAAGACGAGCTCAGACCGAGTGCTCGTCCCCCCTCCTTTGCGTTCGCCTTCTCCCGTCGGAGAAGGGTCTCGACCGCCCCCGCCGCAGGTCCGAGTTCCAACACCTCGGCCTTCACCCTCGCCGCTGCGAGTCGGTTCGACGATCGGGGACTGGACGGCGATCCCAGTTTGATGCGGTCACCCCCCCTGATTGGGCAATTCACCCTTGCGAATGGCCAACACGGTTACGGCCAAGGCTCGATCGAGTCGACGCCCAACATCGTCGAGATCGAATCCTCATCCGTGTTATCCTCAAGCCAGAGTCGACCTGCCTTTTCGGGCAACGCCTCGATGATGCTCAACCCAGAGAATTCGTCGCTCTTCAACCCAACCGCACCCTTGGACGAACCCCCGATCGCTTCGACTTCGAACCTCAACGCGATCCCACCTTTGGGCCCAGATGGCCAACCGACCGTCGCTTCCTTGACGATTTCGCCCATGCCGTTCCATTATATCAACTTTGCTGCGCCTTTGATGGAATCCTCCTTCGAACGAACACCGATGCTCGACGACCCGGACCATTTCCGAAGTCTCAACGACGCACCGACGGGTGATTTAGAGAGCGAAAAGCATCGCTCGGCCGCCGATTTCAGCTCGACCTTCACCTCGGCCCAAGTGAACGAAGAAGCGTTTCGACAACACGATGCGGCCAAGGCCGCACGGTTGTTGCAGTACCAACAGAGGATGAGACAACGTATGGCGGCGGCGAATGCGGGTAAGGGTAAAGGGGACGACGAGTCGAACTTGGGTATGCAGTCACCTTATTCGGGATCGAATCTGGGCATGTCGGGCTGGAACGGTAGCGATGCGGCGAGGATGCGAGGTCCGGGAGGGAATTTGGTTCGAGGTAGGAGAACGTCCTCGGCCGCTTCGACGCTCGCTATGGCCGTGCATGCGGCCAAGATGCAGCAGCAGACACCCAGCATCAAGGATCCGACGATCTTGCCTGCTCGACCACCTCACGACCTCGCACCCGAGACACGGTTCAACCATATCGTCCTCACGACACATTGGCTCGACGACAATACGTCCGAGACGATCTCACTCTCCCATCTTCCCGAGTACCGAGACTTGCTCGACCTACCACCCGAGTACCTTGCTTCTCAATCGTTGATGGACATCTCGAACGGTCTTGTCCCTGGCCTGCGCGATTACGGCGCCTTGCGGAATCCGGGTCAAATGTCCGCACCTCCATCTTCGATCACGACACAATATCCCGATCTATCTTTCGCCAATCGAAGCAACACCTGGCGTGGCGCGTCGATGAACTACTCTGATCCTGCACTCTCGGCCCTCTTGCCACCACCCTCGACGCCCATGTCGACGGCCTTGACAGCCGATGCTTTGGCGAACGGACACACCGTGATGGGTTCTGCGTCCGCGCTCAAGCGATCTCGCACATCCGACGGTGGTTCTTCGCGCGGTTCATCGAAGAAGAAAACCAAAGGCGGTACGAACGGTCGTTCGTCGAGTCCTACCCCGCCGCCTTTCGAACCTACGGGAGAAGAACCTACGACATGGCAACTCCAATCAACGACGTGCCTTTCCAAGTCGATCGAAGGCCATCCGAAATGTCACCTCTGTCTCGCGATGAAGTCGGCTCCGACAGAAGAATCCGTCGATGCGGTATGTGCGTTCAGAGGGGTCCGATCGTTCGGTGTCGATGCGAAGGGTTCGATCATCGCTTGTCCGACGATCTTGAGTTTGGATCAGGATATCGCGACGCAGTTGGAGGAACAACCGCAGTTTGGTCAGAGTCCGAAGAAGGAACAAGCGGACGAATTGAGGACCGCGATCGCACCTTCTTTGGGACCTTTGCTCGAAAGGGAATTGCGTCATGCGTCTTCGACACGCGCGGTACGAGTTCCTCGACAATTGAGTACGACGGTGTTGTGCACGACCTGCTTGATCGCTCCTCTTGCGGGCGATTGGATTTGTGAAATTTGTGGTCGGGCCGCATGCTCGAGGTGTTATGAGGCCTTGGTCAAACTCGACGAAGCGATCCAAGATGGAACGTTCGACATCAACGGTCTAACTTCGGATCAACACCGACGAAGGCGTTGTCTCTCCCACGGCAAGAAACGCGTCAGCCCTCACTCCCACACGCAATTCACCCCCTTGACGCGCATCAACCGAATCGAAATGCAGTCCCTCCTCGCCGACGTGATGCGATGGAAGGCCGAACACCCCGTCCTTTCCCACAACGAAGCGATCCCATCTGACCAGATCGCCTCTTTATACTCGGATAACCCGATCCTCGCTTCCGAAAGACCCGGAATCGTACTCGCCGTTCCATCACTCACCAAAGACCTTTGGCACCAAATATGGGCTCGCAACGAACCTGTCCTTTTGGATGGGGCCCCGATCCAAGCGGGTGGTTTGGATAAATGGACGCCCGAGACGTTCGTCCAAAGGTTCGGTGACGTCTCTTTGACGTTGGAGAATCACAAGAGTGGAGAAAGGACACCGACTCTTGCGAGTTACTTCTTTGGGATGTATGGTCAGACCAAGAGGGATACGAGGAGTTGGAAGGTCAGGAATTTCCCCGCAAAAGGGTTGAGGGAGGCCTTGCCCGAGTTGTCGAATGCGGTGAGTGCTGGCGTACGTGTGTGAGATGAGGGTTTGTCAAAGACTGAAACTGATTCAATGATCTGACTTGATAGTATCTGGCTACGGTGCCACTGCCCGAATTATTGAGACCTGATGGGGTGCTCAACCCGTTGTCGCACGTCCCTCTCAACGCTTTAGAACCCGAGGTCGGACCGCGATGTGCTTTCACATGGGCCGGTCGAGGGTCGACGTTGCTGCACAGTACGTACCTGCTCTTCCACAAGTCCCCACCAGCCGCCGACTGACACCCACTTCATCTTGCACCTCCTCAGTGAAAGCAACAGACCACATCAACCTGATGACCTACACCTCCGCCACGGCCTCGGACGTCCCCGGTAGTGCACGCTGGGACATCTTTCGCTACGAAGATTCCGACGTCGTGCGCGCCTTCATCCTCGAGTTGGTGGCTAAGAAGATGGCCAAAGCGGGGACGACGAAGGCGCATTATCGGGATGCTCAAGACGAGTGAGTTCGACGAAATACTTTCTGCACGATTCGTTGAGCTTTGTGGTAGCTGATGTACGAGTTGATTGTTTCCAGTCCCCTCTTTACGGAGAACGTCTTTCTCGACGCTTCGCTCCGAGCCGAGCTATTCAAATCGACCGGTATCCGCCCTTACACGATTTGGCAAGGAGTGGGCCAATTCGTCGTCGTCCCCGCCGGTTGTGCGTTCCAAGTCACGACGTTCGATGATTGTCTCAGTTATGCGCACGAGTTCATCTCGAGTGAACATGTCGCGAGGTCATTGCAGAGTCAGTCTGGCGGATAGAAAGCGTGCCGTGGGTAAAGCGCCGAGATATTGACCATTGTTCTCTGTTTTTTTGTTTTCTCTCAGTCGACGCTTTGTCACGATCGACCAAACGGTCCGAACGCGCCAACGCCCACCTCGCCCCTTCGCTCTACTGGGCATGGGTGAGTCCTATTCCCAACCAGCGTACTCCCAATAATTTCCAATCTCTAACCTCATCACCGCGCTTCCCCCCGCACCAGCAATCCGTCACCACTTCCCTCCTGCCTCGTCAAGCCCAAATCCCCCAATTGGACATCATCCCCATCCCCTTCCCCATCCCCAACCCGACGAAGCCTTCCACCTCGTCCGCCTATACAGCCCTTCCCCCTCTCCCTCCGATCCCAGGTTCGACGAACGTCTCCCCCGACGCTTTACTACTACCCAACCCACTTCCCTTCGCTTCAGCATCTTTATCAACCTTGACCAAACCCGAAGGAGCGGAGGAAGAAGGAGCCATTTCGTGAGCGAAAAAAAAAAAAAAAAAAAAAAAAGGGTGGGGGTTCTGAATCAAAGGAAGAGAAGGGTTTTGTTTTGTTCTCTCTCTCTACTACATATGACTTTTTTTCTTTGTGTGTGTGTGTATTTCCTCCCCCTTGTCCTCTTTTTTTTTTGGTGTACACTCTCTCCTTTGCAGTTACGCGCTCGTGGTTTCTTCTTCTTCTTCTACTTCCCCACCATGTTGCCAAACAGAAGACTGGATCATATCTCCTACAGGGAACAAAAAAGCATCAATTCTCTAAATAGTATGTTCTGGTCGGCAGGCGAGTAAGGACCTTCTCAATAATGATCCGAATCGATCGAGTCGTCTTCATCTACTCCCCACCCCCCAAAAAAAACGAAAGGATCAGCAATAGAAACACGATTCATGAGAAAAGTAAAGTAAATAAATTAAATTAAAAAAGGGTACTGACCGTCGGCATAAGGTCGATGACCGTCATGTTCGTAACGCGAACCAACGGTCGAGGCGATCCAACTGCCATCACCGTCCTCGGTCGTCAATGCGTAACCTGGAAACGAGAAAACGAACAGCAAAAAAAAGAAAGACATGTCCCACATCAGTCCCCGACTGGTCAAACAAACTGAAAAAGAACTGACCTTGACCACCCCAAAAGCTCAAAGCGACCGGTAAGAACACCAACCCATTGACCGCCCCGACCAAAATCAACGCGCACCACATCTTGGCGAAATAAGTTCGCACCAATTGACTTTTCGTTGAGGCGAGGACGGAGAGACCGATGAACTTGGTGAGGGTGATCCCTTCGACGACCGAAGCTCCTACGTCGACTAGAGCGGCTATCGCTCGATCGTCGCGATCTTTTTCACCTTGTGCATGGTGGTAAGGTAGTCCGCCGCCGTTGGCGCCCATGAAGGCTCGCGCGATGTGGGAACAAAATTCGACGGCGATGCCGAGGGAAATAACGAGGTTCACGAGGGAGATGGGGTTGAGCGAGATATGCCAAGCGCCCATGAGGCCGAGCACGTTGAAGCAGGAAAGGAAGACGGTCAGGAGAACGACGGAGGCGGTTCGTACAGAGCCTAGGAGGAGCGCCGTGATGAGGAAGACGGCAAGCAGTGAGATGGACAGCACAACTCGAGCCGTTGACCAGAGGTGGGCATCTACAAGTCCATCAAATCGGGGATCGGGGGTCAGGGGTGGCGATCCGACGCCGAAGCGCAGCTCATGGACTCACAGGAAGCAAAGAAGACATAAAACACCGAATACGGGAACACCTTCCCACCCGTCTTCTTAGACAGTTCAGTCGAGATCCTCTGCGCCGAAGCATACGCATTAATGAAATCGTCCTGCGTTTTGAGCGGCGTATGGTAGGTCCTGAAATGCGACGTCTTGACGGAGTGATCTTGGATCTTGAGTGCTGATGAGTAGGCGGCTTTACCTCCCAATGGACACGATTCGTCCGTTGGCGACTCGAGCCAGTGCTCGAGCAGGCGCATAAACTCGTCGCCTTCAGGTAAGCCATCAACTGTGAAGACCAAAGTCGTCAGTCTCTACGTTTCTTCGAGACACGTAGCACGTAGGAGGGGTTTTCCCCGACTCACGCGTGATGTTCCACCCTGGTTCCCTATCCTCGAAGCAAGGCCTACACTGAAACTCGGAATCGTTCGGCCCACAAAACACGTTCGGATCTGAAATCTTGACCCGACAACAGTCCTCCAGTAACGGATTCAACCACTGAAAGAAATCATCGATCCATACCGCCGGAGGTTCAGCGACGAAGGACGAGTCGGGGCGTTTACGTTCGGCTTCGAGAATGTTGGCGAAGGAGAGCTCTTGGCAGGTCGAGAAACGTCCGCAGATGGATTTGACGGTATCGAGGGAGGAAAAGTTGAGGTTTTGGGCGACGAAGTAGACGGGGGGTCCAACGTCGAGGAACGAGTCGACGGCGTTGAAGTAGTCCACGAGGTAGGACGAACCGGGTAAAGCCAGGCGTTGGTCCAAACCCAGTGTGACGTGCCTTGCACCGATCCAAGAGAGAACGAACAAGCCCCCAAAAAGTGAAACAACGATATACTTGACCGGCTTGAACAACAAAATCGGCGCATACACCGTGCGAATGAAATGCGCCAAAAATCCCTCACTAACCGTCGACCCTAAATCGAACGAGGAAGCCGGTGCCAACTTGACGCAAGGGAAACAATCGATTCGGTTCGACTCGACGCGCCGAAGGTCGATCGCCATGGCGCTGACGAATACGGTCATTTGTAATACGGCGTTGACGAGTACGGCAACTGCGGAATAAATAGCAAAGTTGCGAACGGCGGGCATGCCTACCAACGCACCTAAGGCGAAAGCGACGGTTTCGCACGAAGCGCTTAGGAGGATCGAGGGGCCCATCCTTCCGACTGCTCGAGCGACACGTTCTTCCGCCGAGGGAAGACCCTCGGGATCATCGTCGATGCCCAGGTCGTCATTCTCCCCACGGCCGAGACTGTCGCCTCCGAAGAAGGGTCCATGTCGTGAAGCCGCGGCGTACGAGCGTTGGTTCTGTTGATCGAGCTCGTGGGAGAGGATAAAGACGTTATCGACTCCGATAGCGAGGACGAGGAAGGGGATAACCTCGGCAATGACGAGAGTGACCTTGACGCCCAGAGCAGAGCATAGCGCGACCGAGGTCGACACACTGAGAAGCACGATGATGATCCCCCACAGGCCGAGCAAGAACTTGCTATCGACGAGCACCTGTCGACGGATATAGTCGCCCAACCCCAATGTCGATCCAGAAACGGACAATTCGAGCGCCTCGGTCCTCCTCCTGTCACTCGACACGGCCCGACGAATGAATTGTACGAAAGAAGCGACGAGGAAGAGCAAAGTCCTGCCCACGACCTTGAGGATGCCCGCCCCGGACGAACCAAGATTGATCGCAACGTAGAGGAACATGAACACATACGAAAGTACGACGATAGGCACGTCCGTATTGGCCGAAGCGTTCAATTCTTCCTCCAGACTGCTCTCCGTCGAAAAAGCCAATTCGAGGCCCAATCTCGCCGCTTCGCCATCGGGTCGCGCCAAACCATGAAGGTATGTCAAGAGTTTGGCCTCCCAAGATTGAGCTTTAGCGATGACGTCCTTATCGAGCGAATTCCGAACGACGTAGGTGACGACCAAGGCCCTCGCTTGATCCGCACGAACGATTGCACTTGCCTCGCCATCGGGAATTTTGCCATACACAAGTTTGGGGTTGATCGGTTGTCCACTTGCCGGCAAACACGCCGCGGGAGTGGTCGCGCATTGGTTGAGCGTATCCGCCCAAGTCTCCTCGCTCACTCCCTGCAGCGAATCAGCAAGATAACCCATGAAGCTCTGCGTGACGCAAAGTGAAGCGTCGACGGGTCGTTCCGGTTCGGTCGCGGGTGAGAAACACACGTCCGCCAAGGTCGCACCATCCCTCTCACTTTCCAAGCCTCGAATCTCCTTCTCCACCCCGGCCCACCACTGCAACACCTCCCAATTCAACACCGGTTCATCAACGGCCCTCCACTTCATCAGCTGCGCCTCTTCCACCGCAAGGTTCGTCGGTGCCCTAGAAATGAAGATCTGTTCGGTCCTATAGAACGGTCCAAACTCGTGTTCGAACAACTCCTTTTGTCGTTCGGTCGCACTCCCATGAGGGACCCATAACCTCACCGGATCCGTTTCGACCTCGAACTTGTCCCAACCTATATTGATCAAGCCACACAAGATCAAACCGATCGACAAAGTGAGGTAAGGTGATTTAGCGCAAAAGAGACCGAGCCGATAGAAGTGCTGTGAGAGGAGGGTGTTGAGTCTGTAGGTTCGGGGTTGGAGGAATGGGTTCGTCGAATCCGAATTGGGATCGAGGAGCGACGCTCCGACGCTTAATCGATTGCGAGGGTAGGATGACGAGGTCGAAGGGTTCGAAGAGGTCGTTCCACCTGATGGGGGTCGACCCCTTCCCGTCTCCCTCTCCGCAGCATTCTGTGTCGACGTTGCGCCCACAAGCGAGTTCTTCCCCGACGACGATTGACCGGTCGACGAAGTGGAACCGGGTAACGGACTAACCCCACCAAGTACTCGAGGGGACTCTTCATAATCGCCCGTCAAAGGATCCTCCATCGGAACTCGATCATAGTCGTTCGTATCCGGTCTTGAGGTCCATTCGGTGAACGAGAACCGATTCCTCAACCTCGTCCAAGCGCCTTGGTCAAGTTCGTCGTCGTCGTTCGTGGTGATGGATTTGAGGTACGACTGCCTCGACCAAAGGACGTCCTTTAATGCGACGAGGACGAAGAAGGAGACGAGTCCGACGGCGTAGAGGATGGTCAGAGAGAAGGCGAAGCACGACATTTTGCCGACGCGACACCGGTGAGCGTATCGCTCGGCGGGCGATTGAAGGGGTGGAAGAACGGCGCATGTCGAAGGGCAGTCAGGGCATGCGCATCGAGCGTTGATGTCTGATGACGAGCACGACAAGGGTGAATCATTGAAGGGGATAGCAGTCGAGTTATCGAGCGATTGAATGGGCGAATTGTCGAGGAGAAGCGAAGGGTTCGAGGAATGATCGGGAAAGTTGATTTGGAAAGGCGAACCGAGTGCTCGTTCTTGGCCCATGTATCGCAAGAAAGCGAGATAATCCTTCGCCCCACCTGTAACGATGTCCCTCAACTCGCTCAGCGTCCCTTTCCAAACCAATCACCAAATCAAACACTCGTACTGACCTCCCAAGAACTCCATCGCGTACCCATTCGTCGCGCCAAACTTGACGTCCTTGCAACTATCGTAAAACCCTTTCCCAAACCGTTCAGCCACATCGAAATCGACACTCTTGACCGCGTCCTTTTCTTCCCCATCGGGAGACTTGATTTTTTGCGTTTCGGTCACTTTGACGAAGAGGGATTGGTCCGGCTATTACCGAGGAGGGGTGCGATGGAAGGAGTGAGTGGAGGGTGGAAGAAAGGCTCATTCTTCGGGGGTTGAGGGAACCCGAACTAACCGAGCAGGTGAAGCTGCAATAAAAATGCCGGAAATTGTTCCTACATGCCGGACCTGCCGAAACATAAAACATCCACAACCACAACCCATCAGCTCCGCCCATCCTCTCTCTCTCTCTCTCAACTGCACATCGCGACCGATGATCGAAGCAAAACCTCACAAGTCGCCAACAACGGTTCAGCCTGTGCCAAACTACTCTGCAACGTCTGCAACTGCGCTAAATCGCAACAAGTCTTCTTCGGAAACGCTTCACCACACACTTGGGCCAAGGCAGCGAGGTAAGTCGGGTCCGAAGTCTATGTAAGAAGATCCCCCACCGCAAGTGAGCTATGGTGATCTTCCTCATCTTGAGGGGGAGGGTCGAAGACGTGTCCGTTTCGACGAGACACACCTCTTGCGCTTGCCCATCAAAAGGACAAGGTAAACTACCCCCGAAAACGCCCTTCTTCCCACACGACGATCGCATCGCACATCGTCCGGCTTCCCTCTTCACAACGGTCGAGGTGAGCGTCAGCGACGATCTTGACGACGGCTTCGGATTGGCTGGGTCATGTTCGAAGGCGTAGGTTGTGGGTACGAGGAGCGAGAGGAAAGAGAGTGCCTGGAGGGGTAGAAGAGGGGGAACCATCCTGGGCTTTGGGTGTTGGGACCCTTTGCGGTCGCACGGGTACGCGAGGTGGTCGAGCTCGATCGGTGATGACGCGTGACGAGTGGGTCAGGTGGTGGGTGGTGGCTGGTGGGTGGTGGGGGTGGACTGAGCGCAACAGAGCGCGCGAGTCGGAAAGTCAGCGCAAATGACATCCAACTTTCGGCATGTACAAAATTCTGACCTCTCTCGATTTAGATCTCTCAGAGGACGTTCTCGGACTGCAACAAGAGCACTGAGGATAGGTCGTCATACAAATATAGAGTGCGAGGGCTCAAGACAGCGTTGCAAGCAAACGAAAAAAAAAAAGGGAGGCCATGACCGCCCTGTGAGGACTGTCGAAGGGGAGAGTACAAAAGATCGACAAGTATTTTTCCAGATCTACGCAGACCGTAAAGTAACGACTTAGACGGTCTTGGAAACCTTGCTGGGGTCCTGGCCCAAAGCCTTGGCCCGACCTTGCAGCTTGGCGTACGACTTGGTGCCTCGGATTCCGCCGCCCCACTGGTGCTTGGTCTTCTCGTGCTTGTCCGTGTAGTTGGCCTTGATCGCCGACACGAGCTTGGCGAGCTCGGCCTTGTCCTCGGACTTGACCTCGCCGAACGCGAGCACGGCCGAGGTCTTGCGACCGACGACCGCACCCAAGCGAGCCTTGCCCTTGACGATGACGTAGGGGATGCCCATCTTGCGGCACAGAGCGGGGAGGAAGACGACGAGCTCGATCGGGTCGACGTCGTCGGCGATGATGACGAGCGACGCCTTCTTGGCCTCGACGAGACCGACAACGTGCTGAGGGAACGCACAGCCGCAGAGATGAGTCACGCGGTTCGATCCTACCAGGACGACTCCACCGTACCACTCACGTTCAATCCCGACTTGACAAAGAAGGGCTTCTTGGACTCGTCCGACTTTTTGCCATCGGCAAGGTCGGCGGCCTTTTGCTCCAAACGAACCTTCTTCTCCTGCTTGGTCTCGCCCTTGTACTTGTTCAAGAGGCGGAAGAGCTGGGTGGCCGTGTTCTTGTCAAGGACGTTGTGGAACTGGGCGATGGCGGGGGGGCACTTGAGGCGTTGGTTGAGGATGACCTTTTGGCGTTGCAGGCGAACGTACTCGGGCCACTTGACGAAGCGGGTCAAGTCGGTGGTGTGCTTGACGGATTGGCCTGAGAAAGGGGGAAGCGGAGGGTGAGACCCAGAAGAACAAAGGAGAAAAAGAAGAACCAGAAAGCGACGAACCGATACCAAAGTTCTTGGGCTTGCGCTCAAAGAGGGGGTTCTTCTTCGAGACGGCGGCCTTGGCTCCGGGGTAGGGAGCGGGGGCGGGCTTCTTTCCGGACTTGGTGGCCTTGGGCTGATCGAGCGAAGAACACGCAGCAGAAAGGGGGGAGAGAGGAGAGGAGAGAGGCATTGGTCATCGGATCCGGGATGAAGTCAAGCAAACAAGATCATGGGACAAGAGAGGAATAAGGAATGGGGCAACGAGCGAGAGAAGGAGAAGGAACGGCGGAGGGTGAGGAACGACGACGACGTGATGATCGCTTCGCATTTCCTCTGCCCCGGCCGCCGTTCGCTCATCTTCCCACGCCGTGCCCCGCTCCGAACGCTCGTCCCAAATCAAAAGGTTGAAAGAAATCGATCGCCTTCGGAAATCCTAAAAAAGTGAAGGAAAAGCGCCGACCTCGAGGAGGAAGGGAGCGATATCGCTTCGATAGTTGCCTATTTGGAATCTGCCGATGAACGAACGACACCGTCGACAGAACCATGTCCGCACACACACACACACACGACTAGTCCGCCTTGCAAAGAAGCGGCGAGGTCTCTTAGGGCCTGAACCGCGGAGAGGCGAGTGGTTCAGACCGCCCAGAGACGCTGCGCGATGCGAAGGGAAAGGACGTTGTCTCGCCGAGGGGTGTGGCGGACATTTGTGGTGGTTCGATCTGGGTCGAACGAGGGCGATGACTCTTTGAGGGGTTTCGATGTGTGGGATGGAGGGGTTGAAACACACGAGAGTCGCGCGGGGGTAAGGAGGCGAGCGAGTGGGCGTGACGTGATGTGCGAGTCGGGCCAGGCGGGCCAGGCGGGAGTGGCCAAGGTCAGTCGGGGCGGGGGTCGCATTCGTGCGCAAGGCGAAAAAAGCCCTGCGCTTGCGAGACCAGACCCACACCCCACGCCAACCAGCCAGCCAGCTCGCCCGTACGCGATCACCCACGTCCACACCCATGCATCACACTGTCCTGCACGCGCACACCATCCTAAACATCGAGCTGGACACCCTCAGATGGAGTAGTCGAGTCGAGAAGAGGTCGAGCTGTCGAGGCATTCTCGATCAGGGAGTAGGGAGTAGGGGAGAGAAAAGTCGCAGGTCGAGGGGGAATGCAGGCGGCGGAGACATACCATGTCTGCAACGGATCGTGCGCAGAGGTCAGTAGCAGAACACAACGAGGCTGAACACCATAAACACGACCCACTGACTGATGAGAGAGGTTGGTGGGTTAGTAGTGGTGGGCTTTACGACGAGAAGGAAAGGAAAGGATCGCACCCCGCGCGAACGACTGGCGTGCGATCCACCACGCGCCTCGAGCTCGGACAAAATCGAGTCAGTCCCCCGTTTTGGCCCGCTAAGAACGATTTTGACCAGGCGGCGGTGAACTACAAGGCGAGACGCTGGGTGGTGGTGCCCTTTCGCCTCTTTTCCTCCATTGACCCACGTCGCCTCGCTGGAGCTCCATTCGGCATCGACCAGCATCTCCCCCCTTCCCGCTCTGACTCGACTTTGTTTCACTTCCACTTCGTTTTCCCCGACTGTTCTGACTACTATGCCTGCCAACGGAGACCCAAGCCCGCCGGTCTCCCGTCTCGCAAGGTAAGCACCCCGTTTCCCCTCCCCCCCTCCACCAGACCGATCAACGACGACCACCCCCAAAGAAGAAAAAACGCGAATGATGATGAACAAATATACCCAAATTGAGATCAACGGTCACTAATGGTGCTTTAGTCGGCGCCGACCGTAAATGTCTGTAAAACACATTAACCATCTTTCGAGGCCGACGCATTTTTTTCTTTCTTTCCCCTTCTTACATCCGATTGGTCCTCATCCTCCACGTCTCATTTGCTTCAGTGTGAACTGACTCTTTATGATCCTCTCCCTCATGTTGGCTTTGGACCGCGTGGGAACGTCGTATCGGATCCGAATAGTTTCAGTTTGCTATTTTCTTATACCAACACCATCAATTACTTCAGCCAGTATCAGTCGTTGGGTAGAGTCTCTATCGTTCAGTCGCTGCGGAATCCACAAAAGTGTCCAAAGTAGTAGATTAATTCCCATTGGCCGCGTCGGTTCGAAAGACCCACGTATTGCCCCACTGAAGGTGCCCATGAGGTCGTCACGTCGGGTGCGAAGCCAATGTTTTCGGACCGATTGCTCAAGAATGTTGAGATGCGCGATCGGAAGTGATCGGAGTCGCGTAGTCAGACAGGGTTAACCCGACCTCTCTCACTGAGTTTTGCTTTGTTTGCCTTTGCTTTGTTTATCTTGGGCCCAATATGGTATAGCAAGGCGGTCGATCAAAGATGATATGAAAAGATAAGGGAAAAGATGGGACAGAGACCAAAGGCAAAGGAGACGAGAGGCGACCGGGACGGCCGAGAGAGAAATGGGGAAGACGGGATGGGCAGAACCAAGAAACGAGACCGAATACGAGGACGAAATGCTGAGATGGAGACTGGAGACGACGCCGAAAGAGACTTGAAACGCGCAGAACGTGGGAGCCAGGCAAGATTCTGTATTGGATGCTGGAAGTGGTCTACCTAATAATAACAAGAAGCAAACTCCCCTCAAACGTCCCGACCATTCAAACCGCTGCGCTCCTTTCATAGCCTTTCATTCCCCTTCACCCCTTCGTTTCGCACATCCGGACCGGTCTTCCGTTCAAATCCTGCCACATAATTCGTCGCTGACAGTGAATCCTTGAGTCATCGAAGTATCGAGTTTACCCAGAATCGCTTTATCGATGAGAAATCTGCGGTATTTGATCCTGCTGGAACCGACGTTGACCTTGACCATTTGCAACGACTCCGGAACTCGGCGCCGCTACAACCGAAATGACTCCTAAGCCCGGCCCCGCTAAAGCCGGTGCTCCCTTGACCATTTGAAATTTCGATTCCGACGGGATCCCGAGTACCACACCACCCATTGACTTCGAGTCAGCAACCCCCCCTCTTCGTCACGCTGTATTCACCTCCATGTCCGCAACTCCCATACAGCAACAGTGGGTAAGTTCCGTGAACCCGATCATAGTGGTATGGCTGGCGGAGAGCGAGTAGACCTTTACCTGTGGCCAATGACCGGATCCTTCAACTCTGCACTTCGAACCCGCAGATGACGGGTGGCGTATTTTTCAGTCCCGCAGATATTCCCTCCCCAGTGTCTCGGCGTCAAGTTCTTGCCTCAATTGGCAACACCAAGTCTACGGTTAGAGCCACCTCCTCAAATGAACCTAACCGACAGGTACGTCCTCTCTCGGCGGAACGGGGCTATGTTTATAGGGGTCGGGGCTGTTCGTTCAACTTCGATGATTGACACAGGCCCCTTTGTACAAGTGCAGTGGAGCAAAACCCCTTCCCACAACAGAAGACAGATCGGTGGAAACACTACCACTGTACCCACTCGCCGTCGTCGAGACTCGTCAATCGCGATTGCGATCATGTAGTCTGTGCATAGGAGGCCTCGCGACTGGAGATCTTTCTTAGTGACCGCGGTAGTAAAGGTGCCCCCTTGGGCGTTCTCACCGTCGGAGACCTCGTCCTCCTCATCTCCACTTTCAAAAATAGTCGGTGCTATACTTGTTTCACGGAACCGTCCTACGCCGGCTCCTGGGCTCACCGAACGTCGACCGGTTGCGGAGCGGGCCTGAAGAGCCCCTGTGCGGGAGAGACGATGGCTGCTCGTGTTCCGGCGCGTCTTCATCGGTTCGGTGAGCCCAGGAGCCGGAGGAGGACGGTTCCGTGAAACAAATATAGCACCGACTATTTTTGAAAGTGGAGATGAGGAGGACGAGGTCTCCGACGGGGAGAACGCCCAAGGGGCACCTTTACTACCGCGGTCATTAAGAAAGATCTCCAGTCGCGAGGCCTCCTATGCACAGACTACATGATCGAGTATGCCCGTGTGAATACAGCACCACTATGTTAGAGGTACAAGTCAACGTCTTACATGTGATCCTTTGACTACAGCTTGGAAGACAAGGAGGGATTCCCCTCAAGCGCCGGCTTCAAGGCGAAATGATGGTGAACATGCTCATCATGGTCCATGATCAGATGCGCCGACCCGTGGCTGCTCTCACTGCCAGAGATTTCAGGACTCGTTGTAGGGTGTAGAAATCCCGCTACTCCTGTGGTCGGCGCCAATTCTCATGCGTCGAAGTTTGCTAAATGGCAATGAAGTTCCTCCTTATCACAGTCAGAGTTCAGATCACATGCGAAGAGGATATTGAGTACGCCCGGCCTCACCAACTTCTATAGTGGGGCTGGTAACACGGGAGGCAGCTGGGCTGACGTCACCTAAATGGCACCCTTCCAATCTGGTCCCCCTAGTACTTGCTCAGGTAATTGAAGTAGATACCAGAAGGCCTACAGGACTGCTTCATTGGGTCCAAACTTCAGCCTTTCCGGGTTTCATTCCTGATTCTAATTTGAATAAGGGGTTTTTTATAGTGCTTTTAGTAGGGGGTACTCCCTGCCGAGATAGATCCTGTAAAGCTTTCTGGAAGGCTTAACGTGGTGCTGTAAATGTAGTATATGATAACGCGAGAATGAAACCGCAAGCAAAGCCTGGTACCTGCACTCCTAAAGGTCTGCACGGGATTCCCAGGTCGTCACGCGCCTGGTTTACAGACGGGGGACCCCACTAATCCCTAAGTAACGAATAAAGGTCCTGGATATCCCGTGATCCGCCTGCGTTCGAGCAAACTCGCGGGAAAAATCCCGCGGAAAGGGCTTGGGCGTGTAGTACCTCAGCAAACGATGACCATGTCGTGCCCACTCTAGAGAGAGAGAGCAGGAACAGTCCCCTGACTGTGTCCTAAGAGAGTGACCCGTCAACGTACCATTTTAAAAGACTAGAGTGGCCATTCAAAGTAACTGAAAATCATGAAATCCTGTCTGCTTCGAGCTGTGCTCAGCCCTTCGGGTTTCGGCACGTCTGGGTTGCCCGGCGTAATCAGCCGTGACTCGGTCACACTTCGCAGCCTCTCTGCGCGCGCGCCTCGCCTAAACACATACAACTCACATCCACTCGTCGCTGCTTTCCCCCACGCTCGTTCCCGGACGTGGTCCCCAAAGGTGTCGTCCAAAACACGCACGATGGACGGATCCAAGCAAACCAACCGTGCGCATAGGCCATCGAAGGCTCCCAAGGCGGGACCGGCGAAGGGTCAGAACCCCAAAGTGAGCTAGCCACTTGGGCGGCAGTGGACAGAGCTGTCGATCGTCGCTTCGCAGCTCGAGCCTCGGGCAGTCGAGCCTTTCGCTCACTCGAATCACGGCGTCGACTCCTCGCCCCCAAGCTTGCGTAACTCATCTCTGATGTGCTTCTCCATCAGGCTTTCGTTCCCTCCTCGTTCCGTCGCGCCGAGAAACAAGGTCGCCGCAATGTCGAAAAGGACCAAACCCGACTGCACGTGCCCGCCGTCGATCGAACATTCGGTGGAACCTCCGGCCAAGGTGGAAAGGACGTCGAGGGGGAAGTCCCTCCTGTTATTGTGGCCGTCATTGGACCTCAGGGCGTGAGTGGCGATTGTACGGTGATTGGGATGGTGGTCGCTGAGCTGATTCAGGGCCGCGTTTCAATGTGGCGAGCAGGTCGGCAAGTCGACATTGGTTAGGAGTATGGTCCGACGCTACACCAAGAATACCTTGGCCGACATCAAGGGACCCGTCACTGTCGTCACAGGTCCGCTACAAATTTACCTATCGTCGCTGAAAGTTGTCTTTCCAACCCACTGACCCACAATTTGATCCTCCAGGCAAGAACCGTCGGTTGACCATCATCGAATGTCCCAACGACCTCGGATCCATGATCGACGTCGCCAAGGTGGCCGACTTGGTCTTGCTCATGATCGATGGTTCTTTCGGGTTCGAGATGGTCAGTTGCAGATTATGCCATACCTTATACTGCCCAACTTTGACACTGCATCACGCCTTCCCCCTCGCCTCTTAGGAAACCTTCGAGGCGCTCTCAGCGCTCTCCTCTCACGGAATGCCCAAAATCATCGCCGTGCTCACCCATCTCGATCTCGTCAAGACACCCGCGGCCCTCAAGGCGCAGAAGAAACGCCTCAAGAATCGTTTCTGGACCGAGGTGTACGATGGTGCCAAGATGTTTTACCTCAGTGGGGTCATGAATGGTCGATACCCCGATCGAGAGATTCTGAACCTCAGTCGGTAAGTTCCTACTTCCTCTCGGACCTCGGGGGGCGTCGGAGTCGAATTCCTAACACTTTGCTCACCTCCACATTTTTTTGACCAGTTTTATCTCGGTCGCCAAATTTCGTCCTCTCGTTTTCCGTAACCAACATTCCTACTTCCTCGCCGACCGCTTCGACGATCTCACCTCTCGCGAAACGATTCGCCAAAACCCCAAAACCGATCGTACGCTAGCCCTATTCGGTTACCTTCGCGGTGTCCCCCTTCGACCTCCCGGTCCTACGAACTCGCTGCGCGTGCATATCCCCGGTGCGGGAGTTGACGCCTTCGAAGTTTCTCGCTTATTGGAACTGGTCGATCCTTGTCCTTTACCTACGAAGGATAGTGAGAAACGAAGAAAGATGGGGGATAAGAATAAGGTCGCTTATGCTCCCATGTCGGGGGGTAGTGCGACGGGAGTAATGTGGGATGGGGATAAGGTGTGGATTAATACGAGTGGCACGTTTTCAAAGAGGAGGGAAGGCGATGAGGAATATGATCCGGAGGATGATACAGGTTAGTCAATTTTCTTGGGGTATTGGATGCGAAAGGTTTTGAACCTAATTGTATTCGACGTTCGATGACAGATCAAGTCGGTGGTGATGGAATCAAGATGATGATGGAACTTCAGGACGTTCCTGAAACTTTGGGCGACGGAGTTGCCGCTTCCCAAATTCGTCTCTTTGGTTCATCGAAACAACCTCTCGAAGTACCTCCTCGAATCACTACTCCTCATGACCCTTCTTCGTCGTCGTCGAAACGCACTCGACGAGCAGCGTTCGATGATGCGGTGGGCGAACATGATGGTGCGGATTATGAGGATGATGAAGAAGAGGAAGTCGAAGTCGATGAAGATGATTTCGATACCGATTCCGAAGAGGATGAGGACGACGAGGACGAAGGGATGCAGTTCGAGGAAGGCAATTCTTCCGAGGCTCGTACAGGACGACGAGTTGCGGGTGGGCCGACTAGCGTTGGCGAACGAGGTGAGAAGATCGCCTATGCAGATTCGGATTCGGATCTTGGGTTCGGGGAGGAGGAGGAGGAGGGTCAATTGGATTTGGAGGAAGATGAAGATTCCGACGAGGAGGATGGACCGGAATGGAAGAAGAACCTCGCTTCGTTGGCGGCTGCGAATTTGGGTCACAGGAGGAAACCGAATTTGATGAAGTTGATTTACAACTCGACTTTTTCCGCCGAGGAGATCGCTTCGGGCCGAACGGACGCCCCGAACAACGACGACGAAGAGGAAGAAAACATCGAAGACGATGACGACGATGACGACGATCTGTTCAAGATTTCTCGCAAAGCTCGTCTCGACGAGAATGGTGAAGAAGAGGACGAAACCGCTCCTGAAGATCGATTCCGTCGCCCTGTTGCGAATGCCGAGTTGGAGGTGTGGCAAGATGAAGACTTCCTCGATTCGATCAGACACCTCTTCATCACGGGTGGAGCGACGGATTCGTCAGTCGCTACGGGGGCGAATGCGTATGAGGAAGAAGGGGGCGATTTCGAGGATTTGGAGAATGAGGACGGGTCGAGCAAGCCTGCCGCGGATTCGGTTCAGGAGGATGACAAGACCAAGGCTGATCGATTGGCGGCAAAGAAGGCGGATCTGAAACGCAAGTTCGATGCCGCGTACGATCATGACTCCGACGACGAGGACAAGATGGATTTCTACACGGAACAAAAGGACGAGATGGAACGCAAGTTGCGCGCGACGCGGGCCGAATTCGCAGAGGATGATGCCGAGACGCGAGCATTGGTCGAAGGGCATCGTCCGGGGACATATGTTCGTCTCGAAATCACCGGAGTCCCTTATCAAATGGTCGAGAACTTCAACCCTCGCATCCCCATCATCGTCGGTGGTTTGCTCGCACACGAGGAGAGTTTCGGCTACGTCCAAGTCAGGATCAAGAAGCATCGCTGGTTCCCCAAGATCCTCAAAACGAACGACCCGCTCATCTTTTCCCTCGGTTGGCGTCGTTTCCAAACCGTGCCCATCTACTCGCTCGACGACGGGACAAGGAACCGTATGCTCAAGTACACGCCGGAGCACATGCATTGTCTCGCGACGTTCTACGGACCCATCTCGGCTCCCAACACGGGCTTCTGCGCCTTCAATCGCCTAGGTAACGACACCCCTTCCTTCCGCGTTTCAGCAAACGGTGTCGTCCTCGACATCAATGGAGCAACTTCGATCGTCAAAAAGCTCAAATTGACCGGAACGCCGTACAAGATCTTCAAAAACACCGCCTTCGTCAAAGATATGTTCACCTCCTCTCTCGAAGTCGCCAAATTCGAAGGCGCCCACATCCGTACCGTCTCCGGGATTCGAGGTCAAGTCAAGAAAGCCCTTTCCAAACCAGAAGGATGTTATCGCGCAGCTTTCGAGGATAAGGTTTTGATGAGTGATATCGTGTTCTTGAGGGCTTGGTATCAGATCAAACCGAGGCAGTTTTATAACCCTGTTGCGTCGTTGTGGTTAAGGGATAAGGCGAGTTGGCAAGGGATGAGGTTGACGGGTGAAGTAAGGAGGGATCAAGGGGTCAAAACGCCGTCGGATATCAACTCGTTGTACAAGGTCAGTCTTCGTGGTTCTTCAGGATCCGAGTATGCAGTAACCGTGCTGAGAGTTCTCATCTTTTGTTGTCCCAGCCGATCGTTCGCGAAACTCGTCGATTCAACACGCTCAAAGTACCTCGCAAACTTCAAGCGGCCCTTCCCTACGCGAGCAAACCCAAATTACAAACGCCGCAAAAGAACAAGACCTGTGAGTCTCATTTGAACCAGTCTCCACCCCTTCCGCTTTGCATAGCTGATGTAAACTCTCGTTTTCACATAGACATGCAAAAACGCGCCGTCGTCATGGAACCGGACGAGAAACAAGCCCTCTCCCTATTGCAACAAATTCAAGCGATCTCACGAGACAAGTTGGCCAAACGCAAGGACAAGAAAGCCGAAACTAAAGAAAAGCGGCAGAAGAAATTGGCCAAGATCGATGCGGGGAGAGCGGAGAAGGAGAAAGAGAAAAAGCAGGAGCATTTCAAGATGCAGGAGAACAAGAAGCAGGCGCAGGAGAGGAAAAGGCAGAGGACTGCTTAATGGGGTTGATTGCAAAGATGTCTTTCGAGGTATTTCTTCATGCTTGCAAGATGATGAGTTGCTTTCAGAGATGAGGTGTGCGCGCTTTGAGACTCGCAAGTGACATCGTGAGGCGCGCACCGGCATGCTCTCCCGCTGCGGCAGAACACGAAAATGAACCCTGGGCCAATGCTGTCGTTCTAAAGGGCTACATGGCCCACGGCGTCTTATGATCTCAGAATTATATTGCGCATTAGTAAAACTGGTTGAAGACTGGTAGGCTTTATGAATTGTTGGCGAATGAGAGCATGTTTTATCCGGCGGACGGAAATGCATGGTCGCGCATTGGCGATCGGCGGCTATAACCGATGCGCGTGGTTTCGCCGTGAGCGTGAAGCCACGGTACCCGCTTTCTCCCCTTCATCCCCGAACCCTTCCGCCCTTCTGAAATGTCTTCCACTAGCGCAGATAAGCTTCAACCCGTTGGTGGCCGAGTCTTTGCCCCCATCGACACCTCTGTAAGCTCCATACACCACTCTCAAGCTCCTGGGATCGCAGAATGCTAATTTCTTGTTTCGCCGGCGATGGCGCATACGTAGAAGTCGATTGGCGATGGATTGCTGCAGCTGACCGATGTCCTCGTCGGTGGCGGCGTTTTCGGGTGAGTCCATATCACCATCCCGCTATTCTTGTCTTCTATGTTTCGCAGGCCCCCAACCCGCCATGCCAAGCCAAGCCACGTCTTCGCAAACGGGAAACCTCGAGCACTCGTGATCACTGAACCCCGATTGCTCCTTCCCCATAGCTACGACTACAACACGTCCTCTACCCTCGAATCTTCAATTCCAGAGGATACGCTCCGCCTCGCTTTCCGTTATGGTATTTCCGGAATTGATACTTCGCCCTGTACGTATCTTTTCCGTCTCCTTTGAAGATCAGTGCGAGGCCCCGGGACAGCAGGGCCTGGCGCCCCACCGGAGCACCGTGCCGTCCTCCCCGACCAGACCTTCGCGCGCCAAAGGACTCTCCCGAATTCGGCTCCGAGATCGATCACTGATCTCAATCAATCTACTCCTCTGCAATCTACAGACTACACGACCTCCGAGACCGTCATCGGAAAAGCGCTCGCCAAGCTCGCCCCCGAGTTCCCTCGTTCGTCGTACCAACTTATCACCAAAACCGGTCGCTACGGCCGAACAAAAGCCGATTTTGACTACTCGCCTGAACGCGTACGTCAATCCGTCGCCAAGTCTTGCGAGTTGATGGGCACGGATTATCTCGATGCTGTTTACTGTCATGATGTCGAGTTTGTTAGTGAACAAGTCGGGGAAGCTGGATCGGATGGCTGGACGGTGGATTCAGAGGGTAAGATTAGGAAGGAGGATTTGGATAAGTGGGGGCTTGCGGAGGGGGACGAAGGCACGATTCGAGGCCCCGGTGATGAAAAGGTCTTGGGCGCGTTGAAGGCGTTGTTCGAATTGAAAAAGGAAGGAAAGATTCGTGCCATTGGCTTCAGTGGTGAGTGATCTCTTACTGTCTTCGTCAAGAGAATCGCCCGATCCCTGACCCAGTGTCGTCTGGCCCCTATCAGGTTACCCCTTGCCGACGCTCCTTCGTCTTGCGCGACTGTCGGCTGCCAAGCTGCAACCCATCGATATCATGCAATCGTACTGTCACCACACTGTACGTGCATCATATTCCACATGCGCTCATAGAAGGAAGCATTCGCACTGACCTTTCCCGAACTCACTCCCCCAGCTCCAAAACACGACCCTGACGACTTTCCTCCCTCTTTTCTACGCCGCCGGCGTAAAGCAGGTCGTTTCCGCCTCTCCGCTCTCGATGGGACTCCTCCGCGGTGCCGGAAGTCCCGAATGGCACCCCGCTTCACCTGAGCTCCAACAAGCGACCAAGGATGCGGTCGCGGCGATGAAGGAGGAGGGTGTCGAATTGGCCGACGTCGCTTTGGGGTATGGATTGGCTTCGGCGAATTTGGATGCGAGCGTCGGAAGACCTACACCTACTGTTGCTGGATTTTCGTAGGTCTCATAAATCCCATCAGTTGCCTCGTGACAGTTGTCTGGACTGACTCTTTTACCCTTTTGCAGCACCCCCGAAGAGGTTCACGCCACGATGCGCGTCTACAACGCCGTTTACGGTGCGCAAGGCGAATCCCGCGCCGGCCGTCTCCCTGGCCAAGGGTTGCAGAGTGAGGCGAACCAGAAGCAACGTGCTTTGGAGAAGCAGTGCTATGACATCTTCCAGAAGAGCAAGACGTTGAATTGGGGGTGGGCGTCCGGGAGGGATTAGAGAAGGGGGGAGGGCGGGGGCGAGGGCGGTTCGAAGAGAAGGGGATGAACAGGTCTTTCGGTTATTCGGTTGTAGGGAAAGAGGATTTGAGTATATTCAATTCTCACACTGGCCACTTCTACAAAGTAGACAGTCATGCCACCCTGAGATCGTGCCGCGGGTTTGTCTTCTCCGCCAAGAATGTGATGGCTGCAATGTAGTTGAGCTTATACCAAGGTTTATCTCACGGGGGCCTTCTCTTTTGATGAAACTTGAAGAATGATTTTATGTGCATGTGCATGTCTGGATAGAAAGGGTAGACCGAATAAAGAATCGACAAAATATGACATTTTCCCCCGACATGCTTACCCCCCGGCCGTTTCACCAACAACGTCTCAATCCTGATTCCCTTCCCAGCCAACATCTTCAAGCTTGCTGCGGGCGATGATGCGAGAGTCGAGTGGGGATTCAAAGGGCCATGGCGACTTAGGTACTCCTGGTGCACTTGCTTGCATCTCTCCCAGACGTCGAATGCTCGTTGTTGATAATCAATGAAATGCTGTTGGGTAGCCTCGAATACATTCCTGAGAGGAAGGTTCGTGATATCAGGCGAGTTGGAGCTTTCCGCGCACAACGGCAACTGCAAAGGTCAGACTCTGACAGCTGTCTTCATGTATGACCGGAATAGGTGTATTTCATAAAGGCGGCCCGCAGACGGAAACACGATGAGCGCGGCAGAAGTGAAACGAAGGATTGATCCATTAGCGCGGAAGAAGTTGAGGTAGTTGGGGAGTGAGACCCCTGGTGAGGCCGAACGACGGGCGACTGTGGGTCATAGCCAGAAACGGGTGCGAAATCGTCAGACCCCCTCAGACGCCCTCAGTCTGAAGAGCTCAGACTGATGGGGTCTGACACCACCTGAATTCACGTCTCAGAGGTAGTAGAGCATGATATCAGACGCTCTCATTAGGTTCTCATTAAGTTCTCATACAGAATTATGTCGAAAGTCTTCTCCAAGTTCAGGCTGAGTGCCGCCGAGATCCACCAGAATGGTCTGAATTCCCTCTGAACCGCTCTGATTCGGTCTGAGATCGGTCTGAAATTGGTCCGAGACTCTGAGGGCCGCCGGCCACTGCAGAGCGAGAGAGTCGATATGGTGGGCAACACGAGGACATATGCTGTATCACTTTGTACACCAATCATTCTCAAGGTGAATTAGACTTGAAGCCGAATATGACCTGTGCGACTTTCGGAAGAACAAACGACTCAGGGGCCTGCTGGAGATCGATCGTCGTCGGGCTCGGAGACAACGGTGGGCCGGGCCTTTGTCGTGTGTCGCGCGCGCGCGGAGTCGCGTAAGTCTGCGTAAGTTGCGTACTTTGTCGCGCGGGCTGACAGGGTGATTTCCCCCTGTTCGCCTTGTCGCTCTTGGGTTTGTTCTGCCTTGCATTCGACGCAAGCGTTGTGCCTTCCGAACCCCTCGACACGTGTTGTCACATCGACGGCTGACAAACGACGACGATGAAGAAGGTGTTTGGTCGCAAGAAGTCGAACACCAAGCTCGGAGCTGGATCGGGGGGCAATAGGTCCGATCCCTCCTACCCCTCGCAGGCAGCTCCCCCACCACCCGTCGGCCCCGGCCACGGCCACAGCAGCAACAGCCTCGCGGTCGGCCACGCGTCGACGTCACGCGCCACGGGGGGCAAACGCTCGACCGAGTCGGCCATGACACTGCATAGCAACCACTCCAAGAAGCACGTCGACGACTTTGGTCGACCGATCGATCACCGACCCGCGTTTGGCAAGGATTCGTTGGGTCTCGCGACCCACGGAAGCGGGCAGGGTACGACGGGCGCACCCAACAGCTCCGGCCTCCCCAGCTATGCCGCCGATGACGACCCGACCGCGGGAGGCGACTCGGACATGCAGCTCCTGTTTGGGTATGCCCCGATCGAGACCTTGCTCGAGTTGTCGGTCGAGAGGGTGCTCGAGGTTGTCGTCAAGTGCAGCGAACAGATCAGGGCACGAGGTCAGTCACCGTTGTCGTTCTCTGTCGTTCTCTGTCGTTCTCGTGTCGTAATCGGGCGAGTGGAGTCGGCGTGTGCACGCGCCTCGCGCCTCCTCGCGTCGACACCAGGGCGGGCACCCATTGTCTTTCGTGAGAGCAGCAGCTGACGCGGCCATGAGCGTGCAGGTGTCGACACTCCACTCATCCTGAGCTCGATGAGTCTCGACTTGACGATGGAAGGCACGTGTTCGCTCATTCGTAGCTATCTCGCCGATCCGAGCGCTTGGACCTTTGGTAAGTCACATGACCTCGACCGAGTCGGGCCCACACATGTAGCAGCCCCAACCTGACGCAGCGTTACACACGCTACTCGTTTCCAAAAGACCTTACTCTCGCGTCCCCTCTGTGCGTCGGTGCACAAATGAAGTGGGCCCTCGCTCGACTCATCAACGACCGAGGCGGGCGCGGCTTCGTCAGCTGGGACTTGTACGACGACTTCAAACACAGCGAAAAAGGTCAGTCGAGATCTCGAATCAGGGTCAATCGTTCGTATGCTGAATTCTGCTTCTTGCGACCTCGACTGTCTAGCTGCTGGCTACCCACCTCGGCATTGTTCGACCCACTTGATCGCCCGTCTAGCCACGTCCAGTGCAAAGCTGTTGTCAGTCTGGACAACGTCGTTGATCAAGCTCATCAAACAAGAACTAAACTTGGTTACTCCTTCTGCCTCGCAGGACCGAGATTCTTTCTCTCTTCTCGAGCATCTCCGCTCACAGCAAAGCGAACGGAATGCCGCCGAGAAAACTCGCCTCACTGTTTTCGCCCTACATCTTTGGTCTCGCCGATGACGAAACATTCGATGCGACGTATGAGCAGTGGCAACGACTGACGGATGCGACGGAGCACATCTTGCTGTCTTACGTGAGTGATTTTCGGTTGGTTCACCGAGACATGGCCCCCGAGCTAAATTTGAGTCATCTTTGTTTTATTTTCAGATCCGGAATCAGCAAGCCGCAGAGGGATCATTGCCAACACATCTCGAAAAGCACATCATTGGATATCCCCAAACACTCAACATCAACTACAGCAACGGGAGAGCAGTTTCGAGGCTTGCGACAGGGGCTCGGGTGGAAGAGGTGGTGCGGATTCGGAGATTGACGCGATTCCACTCCCGCAATCTGATCGCGAGTGCTGGGTCAGTCGGAGCATCGGTTGATGTCTACTCGCCAAAAGTGCACGCACCTAACGCGTAGCTGATCTTTCGGCTTCTTCCCAGAACATGGTCCGTTCCAAATTCTTCGGATTGGGCTCTCTTCTTCCCCCGAGGCTACCGCAACAAATCTCTTGCCGCGCCATCATCGGCGAACCCACCAGCAACGCAATACACCCCTCACTTCCGCCACCTGCTCAACATCCGCGGTAACAACCTTTTTGACGACGAGGACGACGACGGCGAGCTGCAGCGGTACAAGTCAACGGTCGAGAAGGACTGGAGCAAGTTTGGCGAACTAGGTTTCAAGGACGTCGAAGCCGGCAAGCTAGAGTTTGATTTGACCGAATCGGAGCGCACTGCGCCGATACAGAAGAGGGATACGATGGATTGGGTGGGTGACGGCAACGTTCGCAGTTTAAGCTTGACTGATCACTCACTTGAGTACGCTTTGCTGGCCACAGGGGACGTTCGCCAGCTCTGGATTCGGTGGACGAGAGTCGTTCAAGCCCAACGACCTCATCTTCCACCAATCGATCAACACTCGCGTCAATACCTGGCCCGCCTCGCAGCAAGCGCTCGACACCAAGCTGCGCGCCGCCGAAAAGATGCTCCCGTCTTTCCCCTATGATACGACGCCTCGGGAAGAAGCCCGAGTGGTTGTCGACGCTCTATTCTTCGAAGCATGGGCCGACGTGCTTGTCAGTGGTGGATGGGCGAGGGATGAGTTGAAGGAGAGTAGCTTCGCGCTCATACATTGGAAGAGTCGACCGAGGGATGGCGAGCGGCCCAAAGGACGACCGTCTGCCTCGGGCGATGATCGAACCGAGGATCGATGGGTTTTGGTTGAGGAGTTTGTGCCGAAGGAATACCGAGACGAGTTGACCGACGGCAAGGTGAGTGCTTCTTATTTGGGGTGTGTGCGTTAATCTGGTCTGCCCGCGAACTTTCCTGACACGGAACATGCGTTCACCCTTTGCAGCAAAAGAAGCAGAGCAAACGCATCTCGTTCATGCGCTCGGTCCGCAAGAAAACGTCCAAGACCGCACTCCCGCGCGTTCAACACCCTATGCCCGTCGCCTCGATGAACCTCGTTGCACCTCCGATCAGCAGCTCCTACGCCCGAACGTCGTCGCCGATGCGGACGATCGACGAGAGCGTCTTCAACCCCGGTGCGACGACGCCGACCAAGACGGTCTCACTTTCTCGTAGCGACATTGAGCGTGCGACAATCGCCGGATCGACTTACGCTCCTTCCATCACGACGACGGTCGGCCCTAACCGTGGTCACGGACAAGCTTACTCTGGCATGCCGACGACGCAAGAGGAAGGTCGATACAGCACCGACGCTCCCCGCAGCAGTATGGGTGCGTACGGTCCCACCGATTTTGAGTCGTCACAAGATCCTCGTACCCCGACGATGATCGATATGCCGCCTCCGGTGCCGGCTGTCGCGAGCGATGGAACGCGACTGCACGGCGTCGGCGTCATCCACTCGCAGGCATCGCCGGCACCCAGGAATGAAGCTTCAGCCCCAGCGTGGATCAGGGATCGAGACCGTAGTGGTAGCGTTTCATCACATGCAGGAGGCGATGCTACGGAGCCTCCCCGGCAGGCGAAGTTGCCGAGCGGTTCCGGTGGGGGTGCCAAGGGGTTCCTCTCTCGCATGACCTCGCGCAACAAAAAGCCCTTTCCGGCTCCGGCTCCCCCTCACTCGCCGACCTACCAGTCGTCAGCTCCCCGCGGTCGCGTCATGCCTTTGACCGCTGCGGCCTTGGCTCAGCATTCACCACCCGCACCGATGGGTTCCTCGAGATTAGGCGACACTGGCGGTGTGCCCGGAGGCCCAGAGGTGATCGTCCATTCCCCTTCCGTCCGCACGTTGATGCAACGCTCCGAGTCGGGTGGAATTCCGCCCCCTCTGCCCCCCAAAACACCGGATGGCCATCGCACCCCCACCATCGACGAAGGCGAGTTCGATCCCAGTCAACGCAGCAACGTTCGTGATTCGGTCATGACGACGACGACGATGATGACGACGGGAACGGATGCGTACGGTGGTATTGAGTCAATCGAAGAGGAAGGTCAAGTAGGCCGAGTCATGTACCGCGGATCCGACGTCAACTCGTCCGAAGGGGAACCATCACCCAGACGTGTCTTGCTTTCCAATGTCGTAGGAGGCACCTCGACGTTCGAAAACCAACAGCAACAAGCCTCGGGACTCGTCGTTTCCACTTCACAGAGGCACGATTCGCTCCCACCCTCTCCCAAACCTGATGCCGAAGTCCCGGTGGATGTAGGCAGAGATTCCAAGTTCATGAGCGGCACACCATCGCAGTTGAGAGGTGTAGGACCGATGGGGACGCCGGGAGGTCGGGTTGGCAAGATGATTGGCAAGATTGAGGAAGGTAACGAAGGCGTAAGGTTGACACAGTATGGGTTCTAATAAGGCTGTTTTGGGATCCTGCCAATTGGTTCCATGTTATTTTTCTATATATTTTTTCTGCTGCTCTCAGTTCTTGTACTCTTAACTACGTCTTTTTGTCCTGCTTTAATTCTTCTGCACGTTACCCCTTACGTTCCTGCTTTTGAAATACCCTGCTCTGAACTCGCCATGATTGCTGTCTCGGATGTTCACTTCGTACGACCGCTCGAGATGACGCAGCCTGCTGAAACTCTACGAGAGTAATGATGCTTCGTGGGCAGGAGAAAGCTTCACCATGGAGCAATTTGACAAGCAGGCCATCAGCTGCAACTGAGTACCGCAGCAAGTTCAGGGCTAATATGCCGCATAGCCCGCATAGCTTGCGACATGATGGTCGTGCACCGAGTGGCGCCTCCTGTACGGATACGGATAAACTCAGTCGCTAGCGTGAACCCGCCAAAATTTAGTAACTCGGTCGTAGCCTCTGCTCTCGTTTTCTTCTCCCCGCCCATATTCGTCTCCCTGAAAACAGCCGTACCAGTCGATAGACATGAGGTTGTGTGCATTTATCGCCACGGTCATACTCGCTGCAGTCATAAAGGCGCACTGCCCTGTCTGCGTGGGGAGCTTGTAAGTCGCCTCCGAGTCTTCCACTGGAAGCTGACTTGCGCCGATCTTGATGCGGCGGCTACCCATATTCCCATATTAACTCACATGTCGAGTTGCGGCTTCTCAGCAGCAATGATAGTATCCTTACAAAGTGTGCATTAGTCGCAAGCGACTACATTTCACCCCTTTTCTAGTGGAAAAGGGGTCGGCCGAGTGCGAGCCACGTGCGGTACGGGCTTCGAACGGCGGCGAATGAATTCTCTCGTCTTACCACCCTTGATCGGCGAATCTCCAACCCACTCTGTACCACCAAGAGCTCCAAATCTTCCCAAGCATTCCCTCTAATGCATCGGTGAAGCGTTTCGTCGCCTTCGTGCCGATGCGGCTCATTCCCGCAGTTCGCGGTACGCCGCCCTTCCCAGCTCGCGATCCGCTGTGAGAAGGCCCCAAATGCGCAATGCACGCTGCCAGCCGGACACCGCTGAGACCCATTTTACACGCCAACTCTTTCTGTCGCTCTAGCGTATCGGAAACCTCTCAGTGTGGATGAAGCGATATTATATTTACAGTGCATCGACTTCAAAAGGGAATAAATGACGATAAAAAGAGCAAAGCATTCACACAACCTCCGCACCGCTGTATACTAGAACGCCTCCCTCATACCCTTCACAATTCCGGGTTGTTCCTCTTCTTGTTGTGCTCATCATCCCTAGGCACGACATGCATTCTCAAATCCCCTACCGGTTCCATGGGCTTACCGCCGTTCTGGAAGTACCCCTCCCCTTCTCTCAACCCCGCTTCGTCACCGGGAATGACCTCCCTCCCCAACCATTTTCCCGACTTGCCCAACCCACTGAAGAACTCCTCTGAGACCTCGACGAACTTGGACATCCCTTCTTTCGCATCGATCCTAGCCCCTATGAATTTCGCGACCCGGGGGAAGAGCAAAGGGAAGTCGGAGAGGCTGGGATGGATAGTGCCTACGAGGGTCATGAGCCAACTAGGTGCTTGAACATTTTCGACGATGGCGCGTACGAGCTCGTATTGGTCTTGCCACATCGTGAACGCCTCCGAGCTGATGTTGAGAAGAGGGACGTCAATCTCGTTGGCCGAAAGTTTGAGTTGCTCTTCCTCGAACAAACCCTTCGAGGTGGAGTCGGTCGTCGTCATGGCTTTGGCCTGGCCGGTCCTCGACAGGGTTTCCGCGGCCTCGATGGGGACGAGCCACGGGTCCAACGGGGCACCTCGGGCGAAGTCGAATCGTTTCCTTCCCGCCCACAATACCTCCAACGTCGTCGTTGCACCAAACGAGTGACCGACCATGCTCATCTTGCCAAAGTCGAGACGGCCCTTCCATTCGCTCAATTGCTTCCCGTAAGAGGGGTCAGTCGACGGCGCTCGACGATTCTGCTGGGCCAGCGAGGCGCCTTCACCATCGTTGAGCCGAGACAGGATTTTGATGAGTTCTTCAATCTCGCTGAGTCGCATGACGAGTTGCTCTCTGCGGTAAGCGAGTTGAGACAAGGTTGGGTTCGGCGGTGGGAAACTAGCGACGGATCCGAGACGAATGTTCTCGTCAGTTCAGGCTTCCAATTCGATTAGATCCCACACGCCGTGGGCAGGACTCACATCAAATCATCAGTTTGGTAGTACCCTACCACTTTTTGTTTTCCTTCTTCGAGATTGATGATCGAGCTCGGCCCACTGCCATCGCGATGTTCGATCGCGGCAACGACGTAACCCCTCGAGGCCAACTCGCCACAATACTGCGAGTACGTCGTCCGTGTGCCCGACAGACCGTGGGAAAAGATCAACAGGGGGAATGCGGACGATGATGAGGAGTTCGGGTTGGCCGTCTTCGGGGAGGTGGACGAGGAAGAACGCTCGGGAGTCGAGTGCTGGGCACCCGCGGCCGATGGCGTGCCGGGTAAGAGGGGCGCGTCGATCTCGGCGGGCAAGTACTTATTACGCGCGAAGACGACCATGGCAAGGCGGAGCAGCCAAGTTTTCTGCTGCAAGGAATGAGCGTAGCCTGTCGTATATTGGATAAGATGTCAGTGATGTTGCACCTCGGCCGAGGCTGGAGGTTCTCGAGCTCGTCCCAATCATATGATCGGAGCTTGACTCCGATTCAAGACCGAGCGAACCCCTGGTAGTGTGAAACAGCCACTTCGGGACCGAACTGACCTTGTGCGGTGGTGAAAATAGGTCGCTGCACCCACGGCATCCTTCCTTTGCCTTCAGAATTTTGAGGGTCAACCGGGTAGAACAAGGTGCAGAGGATGGTGTCGAGTTGCAAGGCCGGTTCGTTCGTGGTTCTGAGCAAGGCGGTGCCGAAGGAGCGAGGTTCGGGGACAGGGACTTCGACGTCGAGCGTGCCGACGTGGTAAGCGCCCGTGTAGGCGGGTAAGGGGGAGGAGATGAGGCCCATGGTTCTGAGTGCAGCAAAGAACAACCGGCGTAATGGCTTAATGGTATCAAAGTTGAGGGCGGAGGAAGTCGAGGTGGGAGAGGAAAGAAGGAGAAAGCGGGAGCGCAGGAAGGCCGAGCAACGTCGACGTGGGTGCGCCAGGGTGCGCCTCAGGGTGGATGTGGCCGGTTGTCAAAGGCGACCAACGGGCGCGCCGCCGAGCGAGTCGAAACGCACTGACTCCGGGTCACGGTGCGGTGTGAATCACACCCTCTTGCAAGGACCAACTATATTTGTCGGGAAAATATGGTTGTATCGTCCTTCACCTGATTATCGTTCCTATTATGGTACTTATGATTGAGCCTAGCGGCGTGTCATTCACTCCTTAGTCACTCAATTTCCCTACTTTACTAGTCTCTAACCTCTCTCCTTATTGGCTTTACGCGTCACTCCCGGTCGCGCCTCTGCACCCCTCTCGATCACGGCGGCTTCGGCTTGATTGATCTGCCTCGGCGTCTAGCGATCGATCACGCGAAGTGGGTCTTCCAGCTCCGGGCCCCGGACGGCTGCTTCACACGCCACCTCTTCGACAGCCGCATTCTATGGTATAGCAAAGCGGTCGATCAAAGATGATATGAAATGATACGGGGAAAAGACGGGACCGAGACCGAAGACGAGGGGGACGAGAGACGAGAAAGAGAGAGAGCGCGACCGGAACGGCCGAGAGACAGGGGGCCCAAACCGAGAAAACGAAACGCCGAGACTGGAGACTGGAGACGAGGCCGAACGAGATGTGAAACACGCAGAAAGTGAGAACCAGCTAAGATGCTGTATTGGATCCTAGAAGTGGTCTAGCTAAGAACAAGAAGCAAACTCCCCTCAAACGTTCCGACCTTTAAACCGCTGCGCTCCTTTCATTCCCCTTCTCCCCTTCATCCGCGCATCCGGCCCGGTCTTCCATTCAAATCCCGCCACATGATTCGTCGCTGACAGTCAAGTCTCGAGTCACCGAAGTACTGAGTTTATCCGGAACCGCTTGATCGCTGAGAATTCCGCCGAAACTAGTGGAAATTGATCCTGCCGAAACTAGTGGAAATTGAATCGACTCCCGACTCGGCCGTCGAAACGACTTTGGAACTCTACCCTGCTTCGATCGAAACGACTCCGCTACAACCACTGCTTCCGACGGGATCCCGAGTATGTACCACAATTCGCCTCCAGGCACCGAACGAACCAACCCCCTTCACCTTGTCCAGACCGGCCCCCAACCAGTATCGTCGCCCTTGTATCTGGATCTGGTGGGCATACTCTGCCATCCTCCCCCAAAGTGGGACCATGCGGTGAGAAAGATGAAAAAACTTCTTCCTGCACGTTGGGCCCGATACTTCGAAGCCTGGGCGTCGGTGACCACGCTCAATCCCCCGGAACTCTCCAAGAGCCAGAACCTCGAGCAATGGGCGACGCACGGACTCCCCAGCGGTCCTGTAAGGGGATGCCTTACAGAACAGCCCCATAAGTAGCCTCTGAGTAGCTAGAACTGTCGAGTTCTAGTTACGACTTGCTTTTAGCCTAGCGGTCAAGGCGACAGATTGTAATCTATGCACATCAGAGGCGCATACCTTACAGGTCCACGGCTGAAAGCTCTGTCGCCGTCGCCGATTCTCGTCGGATCTTTTGGAAACGATCACCGAAACGGACTTCGAGGGGCTTCGAGCCTCTATTCAGGAGTCCAAGGGTCGCCTAGTGTCTCTGTAAGCCACCAAAGGGGGTTTTAGTGGGTATGGTTGATCCTGGTTCAGGGTCAATTAGTCCTACACTAATGGCTTCTGCCAGTGTGCGTAACAGCATTCCCTCCGACTTTTCCGAAGATTTCTAGGTATTAATATAATTATGCTGTTAATTATGAGGAGCCGGAGCGAACATGAGTTTCGCGCGAAAAAAAAAAAACAAAAAAACAGCATGACAGCATGACAGCACAGTCATGCCGCAGACCCATGGCATGGCATGACTTCCCTCCAATCCAGGGGACAGAGAAAGCTCTCTTGAATCTCATTTGTAGCCATCAGCTCTTCTGTACCCACCTGAGCTGAGCCTGCTACTGTTACTGCTGCAGCGCTGCTTGACCCTGAGGCCTGAGGCCCAGGGTTCCCCATTAGATGTCCAGATATCTATCTTAGCATATCTCGCTAAGATATAGATGCCATCTTATCTAGGGGCCGAATATCTTAGATAGATAGATAAGGCCCCGGGGGTTTCCTTAGATATCTTTAGGATATTTTTAATGTTTTAATCCATATATTCCAGCTAGTCTTGTTTAAAGACAGAATCTAACAAATTGCTAGATCCGCTGGACCACCATATTCATGTCACGTAGGCCGTCACCTTGCTGTCACCAGGACCGATGCCCCCCATTCCAGGGCTTACATCAGTCTTTCCCTCGTCCAGCTCAGCGCCCGCCCTCAAAGGCAGGTGGGGAATGCCGCCACCACCGCCTCTGTCACTAATGCGAATTCCTTTGCTCCGTGTTCCTTTGCAGTGCCCACCACTTCCTCATTCTCGCCGCCCATAACCGTCCGGCTCCCTTTATAAGCTCGTGATGCCATGTCCGATCCAGCCGCGTCCGAGATCGCTCATCGAGGGCCCAGTAGATGTCAGGTTTTGGGATCATCGGCATCGCATACCACCATAGATGTCCCGTTACTAGCCCTGCAGCGAAATTGGAAAGCTCGTATACTTGTGCTCCCGTCCATTCGTGGTGTCTCATCTCCAGTTCCCTACGCGTCATCTGAAACAAGTCCTGTCCAATTCTTTCCCGCAGTCCACGACCTGCCTCGCACTCCCTGAAAACATGTTTCTCTGTCTCCTCTGCCAATCCACAAATAGTACACAAAGACGACGTACCGAATCGTTCTGAGCATCGCGAGGCGGTGGGAAGGATGTGTGCCCGCAGCTGGAGTTGTGTTTGCGCTGCGTACGTCGAAATTGCGCGAAGGTAAGGATACCGTCCTGCGGAATGAGCGACTTGGAGTAGCAATTGAACGTCGTTACCGATCTTCTGGGGCAGCGATTTGATTTGCCATGCTTCTTGTAGGTCGTAGATTTTCTTGATCACATCACCCTCTATCCAAGCAGTTTGCTCGCCAAGGGATGCCTGGATTGTCCATTGTGGGAGTGCAAAGTCCGGGAAAAGCACGAAGAAGTCAGGTTGAGTGTGTGCCGATTTCGCCGCCTCATCTGCTCGAGTGTTTGCACGCGATGCTTCGTCTCCGCCACCCGTATGGGATTTAACGTGCCGTATTTGTATCGAATCACTCGTTCTCAGCAGGTGTTCGAGCCAAGTGTAGTGTGCAAATGCGGCCCTCGGTTTCTTTGGTGCAACTTGATCTTTCTTCAGATTCTCAGCGAATTTGACGGAGGTAAGGTGATCTGCGACAACCTGAATTGCTGACCCAAAATGTGAGGTCTCTAAGTGTGAGGTCAGTGCCGCTATGATCAGGGCTGTCACCTCTGCCTGCATGATAGTCGCGCCCGCCGGTAGTGCCGCACGAGCCGCCGAGTATGGCCCTACAACCGCTGCCGCCGCAGATGTGAGTCCTGTGGGTAACACGATGAGTGAGCCATCCGTAGCCCAAATATTCTGGTCTTGTTGGCCTCGAAAATTTATCAGGGAAAGGAGTGTGATTTTGATCTGCTGCTCGGCGTCGTTTTGTCGCTGTGCTCGCGTCTTCAACAACCTAACCGGCCCGTCCGCCAGTAAAGTTTCATCAAACCGATTAGACCATTGTCGCACCAATCTCGTGTTCGGGTGCAGCCATCCAGCAAAGAGGTCGGGTCTATCGCGCTGTGGGCCTCTCCGTAGCACTTGGAGGTCCGTCAGGCCTGCTGGAAGCGCCGCCATGGCTTTTTGTAGTTGCGGTTCGTTTCGTTTGGCCCCTCCGCTTTGGAGGTATGCATGTTCCGCACTAATACCTGAGTCGGTGCGATTCGACTGGTCGGTTTCGAGTACTCGGAGGTTCCCGCAGTGTTGTAGCGCACCTAGTGCCGTATTCCAGATCTGAGGAACCATCTGCTGCGAGTGCTCGAAAGACAGGGGCTTAGGGTTCAGGAGCGGCGATATACAGCCATGGTGTTGGCATTGTAGGTCGGCCAGCGTTATTCTTGCCATCTGTGCGAAAGCTGGAATATGATGGTTCAGGTCTCGTAGTAGTCCATCGACTGCCATAGCCCCGTTCAGTCGCCACAGACTAGTAAGCTCGAATCCAAATTTAGCGACGGGGAGGGTGACCAACTTAGCGCTCGGTGTGAAACCCATCCATAGTACTCTTTGATCCGCATTGCTATAAGCTGGTCTAGCTTAAGGGCATCGTCCGGTCGGATAGGACATAAAGCCAGTCGTGGCCTCAGCCTGCTAATTAGTTGTTGTTCGATGAATCGTCGTAATGCCGAGAGCGGGAGTCGCCTCGTTGGCGTGCTCGGGAACCCGATCGATCGCACAATACTTTCCAGCTGAGTGTATTGTCGGTCCGGCACAGCGAACGGTGTTTTGAGAAAAACGTGTGCTGGGTCGACAGTGACCTGTCGTCTCCCATGAGGAGTGGCAACTTGGACTGTCCCTGGTGTATCAGACTGGTTGCCGAGGCCCATTATGATGGCTCGAGTCTTTGTACCCCAGTCGGTTTGGGCTCCGTAGGCTTCCTGGAAATGCTCCATGTAGAGAGTCATCGCTGCCAGCGTCCTTTCACTCTTGGCCAGTAGTATGGTGTCGTCCATCGCAGATACCTGAGTAATCTTGAGGGTCAGTTCATCCGCTTGTGTATGGTTGTTTGAGCGTGCCCTGTTCTGTGTTGTGATGAGTAGTGGGTCCTCGAACGCTTGTTCGTCCAGCCAGTAAGAGCCCATAGCCATGGCCAAGGAGAAACGAAGAGGATTCGGGGGATCCCCTTGTTTCATCTGCCCGTCCACTTCGAAAGGTTCCGCGAGGCCGTACGGTGTCTTGACGATAAAAGCGCCGTGTGCCAATCGGGCTCGGTCAAAAGCTTCTGCGTTTGGGCCAAAGCCGAAAAAATGGTAGGCGTCATACCCAGCTTCTGGTCTGAGCAGGTCGAAGCCCTTCTTTTGGTTTCGTACTAGCCCGTAGATCGGAGTTTTGGCCCGGAACGCCCAGGCTTCTGAAAGGCACGCTGTCTCGGACAGCGGAGCCTCACTGGTGACCGAAGATGACAGGTGCAAGTTATATGGATTACAACTAGCTTCTGGTGTCAGCTCGATGAGATACGATAGTGCTGAGATAGGGAACACCAGTACTCACCTAGCTTCTGGTGTCAGCTCGATGAAGAGAGAGCTGAAGAAGCTAGGCGCGCGCAAGCTCTATTTCTAATGCCTGTGGCCCGTCGTAAGGCCTTGCCTTACACTCTCCCCTCCTTGACACAAAGCTCCCTTCTGAAAAAACACTCTCATTCCTCGTTCCGATGTTCCCAACGGTCCAATGCCTCCGTGTCCTCCAGTGCCTCGGCAGGCTCCCATGAATCGCTATCCGACGGCCATGAAACCCAAGAGACCAAATATTGAGTCTTCCCCGCTCGGACCCTTTCATCGACGATGTCCTCGATGACCCACTCGGGTTCTCCACCTACGTCCACCGGTCCCGGGCGCGCGGGTTCTCGGCTTGGGAACAATTCCGAATCATTTGAGCGGTAGGCCTTGAGCTTGCCCGTGTGGAAGAACGGTACCGCGGAATCGTCCTTGTTGAGTTGCAAGGTGTACGTGGAGATCCCTGGCTGCGCCGCAACAATGCGATAAGGGCCGTCGAAACGGTCCATGAGCTTGGCTGCGCGGCGCTTGCGGGTGTGAAGTCGCTTCCTGCGGTCACTTGAGTCGAGCAGCACAAGGTCCCCGACGGCCCATGAAGGTTCATCCGCGCGGTCCTTGTTGGCTTGGGCGGCTTGACGAACTTTGGACACAGCGAGTTGGTCTCGTGCCTCCTCGCATGACTGGAAGCGAAGTGCGAGCAGCTCCTCAACCGATGGGAGCTCCTCGTCGCCCTCAATAGGGGCAAGCGGGGCGAGGGTGGGTGTGTACCCCAGGACAAGCTCAAACGGGGTCTTCCCCGTCGAAACGTTGACCGACGAGTTGATGGCATACTCACAAGCGGTGAGACATTCAACCCAATTGGATTGTTCCCTGTTGACAAGCGAGCGTAGGATCTGGAATGCGGTCTTGTTCGTCTTCTCGCTGCGCCCGTCAGTCTCGGGGTGGAACGCCGAGGAAAGTTGCAGCTTGATGTTCAGACGCTTGTGCAGGGCGGACCAGAACTTGCTCGTGAACAACTTGTCACGATCCGAAACAATGCGTTGAGGCAGGCCAAAAAAACGATGCCACCCCTCATGAAAGCGGTTGGCAACATCCGCCGCTGTGTCGGCTTCGCGCGCAGGGATGAGGCGGACATATCCCGACAGTCGATCGGTGATCGTCAAGACACGGTCGAACCCCTTGTTTGTTGGCAACGGTCCGACAAAGTCAACGGCGATGTCCGTCATGGGGCGCACTGGAACGGGAAGGGAGTGAAGCTTGCCCGCGACGCGAGTGGTACGGGCCTTGGTTCGTTGACATGAGTCATATTGTTGCACGTATTGCTTGACGTGGCGGGACATGTTCGGCCAAAAGTACGTCTGTATAACAGTCTGGTACGTTTTTACATCACCTAGGTGCCCCAGCGCGTCATGAGCATCGTGAAGGATGGACTCACGGAGCGGGGCTAGTAGTGGAATGACAAGCCGGCCCCGTAAATACAGCAATGCGTCAATAATCTTGAACTCCGATGCGACCGACGCGATGTTGTTCAGGGCTTGCTGGCAGAATGCGTCGGTTTTGTACGCGTCGACAATTTGCTGCTTGACGACATCCGAGAGCGAGACTTGCGAAATGTTGGCCACAATGACGGGAATTGGCTCGGGAAAGGAGTATCTGCTCATCGCGTCGGCTACAATGTTCTCCCTGCCCGGGAGATACTGGAGGTCGTAATCGAATTCGGCCAAGGTGTCAAGCCAGCGCGCCTGGCGTCGCGAGATGACCGTGCGCTGCGTCTGAAAGTGCTCAAGTGTGGAATGGTCGGTAAGGATGTGAAAATGGCCACCCAGGAGATCAATGCGCCATTCCTTGAGAGCCTCGACAATAGCTAGGAGTTCCTGCTCGTGCGTAGGGTAGTTGCGTTCAGCTGGGATGTATTGACGCGACCAGTAGGCAATGGGGTGTGCGGTCTTCCAATGCGAGACCTGCAGGAGCACACCTCCGATACCTTGAAGACTGGCGTCGGTCATCACCCAGAATGGCATGGCATCGGCAGAGTGGTCGGGCGGGCGTAGGCAGTCAAGGGAGACGACAATGGACTTGATGGCTTCGAAGTGACGGACCGTTGGAGTTGTCCAGAGGTTGCCGATGGATGTCAGCCCTTTGATTGTCAACGGGGTCAGCGCAGCGGTATGCTCGGCAAGGCCCGGAATGAACCTGCGGAGGTACTGCACCAAACCGAGAAACCCCTTCAGTTCCGTGACGGTCGCTGGGAGATGCCAGTCGTGGATGCGCTTGATCTTCTTGGGGTCGGCGTGTACGCCGGAGCGGTTGATGATGTGGCCAAGAAACTCACACTCCGAGGTGGCGAGGTTGGTCTTTGATGGCGAGCAGTAGAGTTCGGCTCGGCGCAGGGCGTCCAGAACTTGGCAAACACGGGCCTCGTGCTCCTCCAGCGTATCGGCGAAGATGGTGATGTCGTCAAGGTAGACGAAGCAGATGGTGCCGAGTAATCCGTGCAGGGCGTCGTTGACGCGGCGCTGGTGGGTGGCGGGCGCGTTGCAGAGTCCCATGGGCATGACCGTCCATTCGTACAAACCCCAGGGTGTCGAAACCGCGGTCTTTGCTATATCCTCTTCCGCCATCTTGGTCTGAAAGAAGGAGTTGGTCATGTCAATCTTGGCCCAGAACTGCGCTTTGGAGCACGTCGACAGGATGTCATCGGCCAGGGGCAAGGGTGTGCGGTCCTTGATGGTGTGCCGATTGAGGTGGCGGTAGTCGTTCACCCATCGCGGTGAAATGGTCGGGTCCACATCCGAGCCCTTCTTGGGGATGATGAACGCCGGTGACGCGTACGGCGAACGTGAGGGGCGAAGACGGCCACTTGCGAGGTGCTTTTGAAGCAGCAGGTACCATGCCTGGCGATGGCGTTTGGCGACCGGATAGCCGCGCAGGTTGATCACAGTGCGCGGGTTGTCAAGCTCGATATGGTGTCGCACCGGGGATTGATAGGTGGCAACCGGTGGAATGTCGTCAGGGAAGCGATCAGCGTAAACCGCGCGCAGGCGCTGGTCGAGCGCGGCAAGGCGGAGCTGTTCGTCTTCGTTGACGGGCGCGATAGCGGCCACGGGCGACGTGCCGCGCGGCTGGGACGATAGTTCAAGCAGGTCAATTGGCTCCTCCGGGTTATTCTTACACGTGAGGTGGGGGTGGGGGAAATGACCTAGGTCAATCTTGTGCGTGTAGATGAAGTTGCCTCCCAGAATAAGCTCGAGGTCCCTCCCAAGGGGCGCCACTTCGGCGTACGTGGGGCCCGCCGCCCAACGTCCATTAGCCAGTTCGACCGGAACTCGCACAAAATGCGTGCAGGTGAAGACGGTGGGAACTTGGTTCTGCATTGCAAGAGTGTACTTCGTGTGCTGTTCCAAGGCCCGTTTTTCAAATCCCAATCGCTGAACGAAGTCCTCACTGAGGAACGTTTGAGGCGACCCCGAATCTACGAGGGCCGAGGCAGTGAGGGTACCATGAGCACCACGCAGAGAGACGGGTAAAGGCGGGAACGAGCGAGGGGCGTACGAGTAATCATCGTCTTCCGAGTCACTGTTGAGGCCAGCAAACGCGGTTGAATCACCCGTTTCTTGGAACGTCTGGATGGCCGCTCGGCGTTGCGCGATGACGCCCCACTCTTCGCGTCCAATCCGTTCGAATACTTGATAATCGAACTCCCCGGGTTGCTCCGCCGGTGCATCGCTGTAGACGTCGGTTTCCGAGACCACAGCTGGGGCGGGAGCATCGAGAGCGAGTCTCTCGAGTGAGAGATCGGACCATCCAGCTAGCGACGAGACAACATGCGTGCGGAGGAGTCGGCACAGCTCGGGATCGGTGCCGAGGAGAACAAGCTTGGCGAGTTCCTGATCCGAGACGACCTGGAACCCAATCTCCATCTGGAGGACGCGCATTCGATCGGAGAAGTCCTGGAACGCGTGTACATCGTGACCCGTCACTTGGCGTTGCCGGTGCAACACCTCGAGTTGCGTCCAGACGAAATCGGCGGGCACGGCGCGGCGGATCAACTCCGACTTGAATTGGGCGTACGGTTTAGCAAGGTGTTTGCTCAACCCTTGAGAGAACCAGGTTTTGAGCGCCAGGACTTGCAACCCCATACCAGCGCCTTCGATCTTGTCGTGGTCGGAAGTGACGGGTACACGGGCCACGCGCCGGTTGTAGTAATCCAGGCGCATGAACTATTCCCGAAGAGCCTCCATCGAAGTTTGATGCAGCTGAGGTGGGTCGCTGGCTTTGTATACGTGCGTGGGCGGGACAGGAGTGGACATGGCGGGCGTGCTGGGCTGGGCTGGGGTGGGGCGCTGGGCTGCTAGTGCTGCAGGGTCGTCTTGATTTGAACGATCCTGGCTAGTCGATTGGTTCGATGGTTCGAGTACGGCCGGACCTGATGAGCGTAGGCCGTATCGTTGGGGTACCAATGAACTCGACGTTGTCAAAAAAAAAGTGAAAGGCACGCTGTCTCGGACAGCGGAGCCTCACTGGTGACCGAAGATGACAGGTGCAAGTTATATGGATTACAACTAGCTTCTGGTGTCAGCTCGATGAGATACGATAGTGCTGAGATAGGGAACACCAGTACTCACCTAGCTTCTGGTGTCAGCTCGATGAAGAGAGAGCTGAAGAAGCTAGGCGCGCGCAAGCTCTATTTCTAATGCCTGTGGCCCGTCGTAAGGCCTTGCCTTACACTGTGGTCTCGCGAGCGTCGAGCACTGCATTGAAGTCACCCACTATGGCCCAGTTCGGTGGTCCTGTTCGTATGAGGTCCTGGAGGGCCGCCCAAAAAGCGTTGATCGCATTACCGTCACCTTCCGCATTGCGTGTGTATCCTCCATGTGGGCAGTAGGCGGATACGATCCGGATTGGCACCATCCTTGCTCCTCCTTGACTTCGAATCAATACGTCCGCAGCTGCTACCCGTCCTGCCAGCGGTCCATCGGTAAAAGTATAGGAAGCCAGTAGCGGCAGATTGTTGCGAATGAGAAGGAGCGTCCCCCATTTCATGACGGAACCCGCCCGGATTGATGGGGTGAGGACCGGTTGGAAACCCCCAGTATTGAGAGGAAGCTGCGTGTCAGTTCTGAATTTGAGCTCAGTAAAACTGATGACATGGTGTTCTGAGTGTAGCAGATTATTCTGGACTTGTTGGAGCTTGATGGGATCTGCGATTCCATTTATGTTGAGGCTGGCAATTGATATTGGCGTTGCTGCGTAGGCCAACTTATTGTTCAAAACGATAGCGAGGAGAACGGTGAGGCATTTCGCCGGTGCTGGTATGGTGGAACTAAAAATCGTCATTGCAAGTAGACCATACGTGCTGAGTTTGCTATACACCCCAGGGTGGTGGCGGAGGTGCCAGCTTCGGAGTTCGGTCTCGACCTTCACGAATCCTGCGGTGGTAATTGTATCATCAGGCGAGCGGCGTTGGAGAACCTGCCACCAGTCACTTACTATAGACATTCCTTCATGCTCGCTGCGACTCTGTGGCTGGGGGCTTGTCGTGTGCACGTCACCTTCTTGATTGTGTCGTCCGCGCTTGCTCGGCGAGCCTCCGGATTCTTCACGTTCGTCCATCGCGTTATCTGCGGCGCCGCTCGCATTGTTGCCATTGGGGATGGTTGGACCGTCATGGGCCAGTTGCTGCAGGTATACGGGACTTGCTTGTCGGAGCGCCAGGGTGACTTGGTGTTGCGTTTGCTGGTATGCCGCCTGTGCGTCGCACACCGTCCTTCGTGCCTCTTGAACTTCTCGCGCGAGTTCTTGGTATTCCTGACTGTCCTTGGGATGATTACTGAATAGGAGCTCCATCCTGAGATTGCTGAGTTGGGTACTGGCGGTCATCACAGCGAATTGCGCTTGACCTGACGCTTGTACGCCCGATAGAGATGAAAAGAGCGCTTGATTGCTCATGTGGAGCGCATGCATCATTTGCCGAGTTTCTTGCGCGATCTGTTCGTTCCTTCGCTTGTCCTCCGCGTACGTTGTGGCGAGGGTCTGGAAGACGTCCTGGATCATGTCGATCCGATTTTCGATGTGTCGAGCACTTTCGGCGATAGCCCCTTGCGACTCCGACGTGGCCTTATTGAATCGGGCAGAGATAGCATCAGCGCGCTCGTTGTCTAGGCAGACCTTGATGACTACACGTTCGTCGCCATCATGCCAACTCGTGCCGAATCTGTCGTGGGCCGGCAGAAAAGGTACCATCTGCACGATGTGTGTTGCCAGGGCGGATGTGGACACTGAAAACCGAAAGACCGCTTTTTGGTGCTGGCCCGGGCCGGTAGCCGGCTCGTAGTCCGTCGTCACAATTGTGCCTTTGGGTCGCGTAATGGGATCCTGGGGGTACTCGGCGGCATGTCGAGTCTCGGCATCCTTAAGGCAGCTCATCAGGTACGAGGCCACACTCTGGGGGTCCCTGTTCGATTTGGCCCATAAGACGACGATTGCGAAGGGCTCTCGCATCCCTCGCGTTTTCACGATGCGTTTGAAAACCCCGGTGATGGTTTGTTCGACCAGCAGTGGTTCCGTAGTCACTTGTGGCGTCAAACGAGACGTGGGTCGCATTGGGATGTTGACCTTTGCACTGAGGGTAGACCGGTCCTTCGTGGCTGTGATCTTGTCCACCATAAAAGCACTCGCCATACGAACCGCGAACAGGACCTTGCATTGATCGCCGCGTGTACCTGAATCGTTGGTGACCGAAATGCACGACTCGGCGGGGACGTTCTTCATGTCTTCGAAGTGTTTGTCCAAATGCGCTTTTATCGCCTTTCGAATTGCTTCTTCCGGGGCTCGCTCGATGGTGTCGTAGCTCTCCTTGCCGGAATGCTTTACGGAATCAAAAGCTAGATGGACCCATCGTACTTCGTCGTTCTCCTTCACGTCGGTGAAATGAGCGAAAAGACGAGGCCAACGGTGATTGTTTTCGTCGACTAGCTCGGATTCGAACGAGGAAGGGTAGTACGGCTTGCTGTCGTTATTCAGAAAACTGAAGATCTTGCTGGTGAATTCAATTTCGTCCTTGGGCCCGATGATCTCAAAATAATCCGTGTTTAGGGCCTTGTATCTTGATTGGGGAGGGTCCGACAGCCCGGTGAGGTTAAGGACTTCGTGCGACTGAAAGAAAACTGGCTGCTCATTGACGCTAATGCCGGCTTGGACAAGTAGGTGTTCAATGGTCCCTTCCGCCGTCAGTTTTGCGATGTTATCAGAAGTAGCAGGAAGGTTAGAGATGACGAGTCGATGTGCCAGGGGTTGGGTAGTCCGAATGGCTCTGAAGTCGGTTTCTACGTAGGGTGTCACGAATGGGAGTTTCGCCACTCCAAGTTCGGCCTCTCAGCACCCACGTCATCCGCGTGACTTCGGCCTTCCCGCGCTTCGGACCTCCTCTCCCCGCTTCGGCACCTGCACTGCCTTCTTCTCCTCCAACTATACGCTCACAACCCTCTCGCCCCCGACTCTTACGTGAACATCAACCAAGCTCTATTACGTGATCCTTGGCCTCAACACTATTACGTGATCCTCGTGCCTCGCCTCCTCAAGCTCGCCACCTCGTCCCCGACTCCTCTGGTCTAGTTTCCCAGTTCCGTAGCTCACTTCTCTCTTTCCCTTCTGCAACTCGAATCTCGTCAAAGGTCACATCCTTGCACTCGTCCCTCGTCCTCGCCTCTTGTGAGAAGTCCCTAGAACACCTCTCAACTCGTCACTCGCCCTTGCCCTCGTCTCGAGCCCCTTCGTCCGGCTCACCTCTCCTATCTTCGTCCTTCGTGATAGTTTCTACGTAGGGTCTGGGGACCATCGTGTCGTATAAGCGGTTGTTGTGTGGGAGGGGGCAAGGGCGAGGTGAAAGGAGTATGGGGTTCAAATTGCACCGGACGGATGGAGTATGAAACGCTTGGGCTTCCCAGGGGGCACTCGATGACGTGCTCAGGGGTGGAGAAAATGGGCCGTTATTCGTTACCAGGCATTGAACGGGTGGGAAATTAAGCGCTCGGGCTTTACAAGAGGTGATCAATGACGTGCTCAGGTTCGGTGTCAGACAGGGGTAGCTTCTCCTAGTTAAGTGAGTCGCGCGCTGATTCAAGGAGTAGGTCTTGGGCTCAGCGCCCGAGGCGGTCCCTTGTGGAGCGAGGGCGTGTGTGGCAGGTCTCAGAACGCCTGCTCCGCGATACAAGTATGTTATGATCGTGCTGGATGACCTACAAACCCAGAAAGAGGACGTTGTCGACTTCCAGTCGAGGTGTGGTGCGGGGCTCTGTGATTTATCTAGGGTGTGGGAATCGTCAGGCAACCAGGTGGTATGGAGCCGCCGGATAGCAGTGAGTTGGTGTTTGTACGGGTCATGAAGCAGGTCAGATGCGCGTTCCGTCCGGCGAAGGTATCGTAGAAAATATGTCTGGGTGGTACTCTCGGCCTCGAAGAGGCATCTAAGGGGTCTCCTATCCTGTCCTTCGGGCAGCGCTGGCAACAGTAGTCCTCGATAGTGAACATAGAATGTCACAAGAAAGGAATGAGGGTATGTTAGGACGTGCGTGTGTATGTATATGTAAGCGGGTAGGGTAGGGTTGGGTAGTTTGAGGTGCGCATAGCGTCCGTGCAGTACTCGTCGTTTTAGGAGGAGCGCTTCGAAGGCTAGCATGGGTGCATAAAGCAAATGATCAATGGAAGAGAGACGGTTCATAGATTGGCTAGTGGTTATGTAATAAGGTGGAGTCAGATAGCACTCGCCACCTCTGGGCAAGGTTCTGTCTGCACCGCTAATCGATTGGTGGGTTTCCCCGTCCCTTTGCCAAGGTCGGCAAGGGGGTTGAGGTGGTGCTACGGCACTAGGCCATATGCGATAGAACGGCGAACAGGTCCTATAGAGGACGGTCGAATGCTGCTGAGGAGATGTCAGCGTGTTGTTGGGTGGTGAATAGCGCGGGCGCTGGGGCTGGGCTGGGGTGGACGGGATCACCGCGTTGGTTGCGAGGACACGTGTCGCGAGACGCCTAATGTGCATGTCGTTGTCGTGGTCGTAAGGTAAGGTAAGGTAAGGTAAGGTCAGGTAAGGTAAGGTAAGGTAAGGTATCTTAACCTTTTTTGTGTCTGATACAGACTCCTGTTGCGCTGGAAGTTGTAGTTTCCACTAAGGAGGTTCTTGCTCCTTAGCGAGGACATCGAATTTCAAGTCGTATTCGGCTCAATCCCCATGTTTGTGCCGCATGGTTTGGCCCAAGCGCTGACCGCGGGTGAGGCGGCACGGCTTGCCGACGGGCCAATTTGGGAGCTGAGGCTTTCAGACGTTTTTGCTGCCAGAGGGTGCTTATCAACTAATCACACAAACCACACAAAGAAAGGAGGTGCAATTGCGACATTTTGTGAACTTCGCAATGTACCCCGGCGCCGTTCTCTCTTCTTTCTTCGCTCACTTGCACTCTCACACCTCGCCAAACGACTATAATCAATCTGAGTCTGTGCTGAAGCAAGATGGATCATGAGCTCCCCACTGCTGAGGAGGAGCTTGTGTGTACGGAATTCGCCACGGACAAAGAAGCGCAAAATCTACTCTCAGCTGGGAGGTGGCTCCGCAAATGATCGCTGGCAAGCTCGCTGCGCCGACGCTTTGATTAGATATTCATTAGATATCTAGGCATCTATCTAAGATATCTGACTAAGATGGGAGATAGATAGATAAGGGCCAGAGCCCAAATTTTTTAGATAGATATCTAATATCTGCGAGATTATCTTATCTAATGGGGAACCCTGCTGAGGCCCGCACCCTCCCGCACCCAGCGCCCAGGCGCCCAGGCAACCGCCTCGAGTTCGGCCTGGATTTGCCTCTTTTCCTCCTGCCACTCTCTTCCCCTCGCTGATAAAAACAACTCACCATCTGGCTCGACCGACGATTTGTTCAGCCTGGCCTTGAACTCCAATACGGCTTCTTCTTTCGGCGCTGCAACACGCTGGCGATGCACCTCTTTCGGTACAACAACATATCGACCGCGTGTCGGGGCTCGTGCCCGACTCTTCCCAGGCCCATTCGCGCCCTCCTTTTCTCGTTGCTCAACCGCCCGCTCAGCCTCAACCTCAAGCTCCACTCACTCCAGCTCAACAGCTCGAAATGATGAACATGATGGTAACGCTCCAGACAATGATGCCAGCAATTCAATCGATGCAAACGATGTTCTCGTTGTTTGGATCTCAACCGGCGTCTTCCGATACGACGCCTCGACTCCATCCTTCGATGTTGAGCGCCGCTTCCGGCGCCCCTGCCCCCCCGTCGATGAAGGAGCAGGAAGAACAATACGCTGCGATCGCCGCCCAACTCGAAGCTCGTCGAGCCGATCTACGGTCGATTGGACAACGCGCGATCGGAAGACGCCGGTTGAGATCCAAACAACGAGAACATCGTTTGCATCGATTGAATTGCTGGCATCATTGTCTGGAGCGTTACCATCATGTTCATCATTTCGAGCTGTTGAGCTGGAGTGAGTGGAGCTTGAGGTTGAGGCTGAGCGGGCGGTTGAGCAACGAGAAAAGGAGGGCGCGAATGGGCCTGGGAAGAGTCGGGCACGAGCCCCGACACGCGGTCGATATGTTGTTGTACCGAAAGAGGTGCATCGCCAGCGTGTTGCAGCGCCGAAAGAAGAAGCCGTATTGGAGTTCAAGGCCAGGCTGAACAAATCGTCGGTCGAGCCAGATGGTGAGTTGTTTTTATCAGCGAGGGGAAGAGAGTGGCAGGAGGAAAAGAGGCAAATCCAGGCCGAACTCGAGGCGGTTGCCTGGGCGCGATGAAGAAGATGAGGACTTCAACATGTAGACATGTAGAAGTCTCTCTGCGCCAACTTAGGCAATTCCATGTCTCAGATCAAATTGAACTATTCAGATCAGATCAGATCAGATCTGGCGGTTATCTGATCTAATGCGTATCGCAGAAAAAATGCGAGCACGCAAGTAAAGCCTTCCGATAGGTGAGGGTGCACGACGCCGAGAAGTCAGGACCACAATGTCGGAGCGAGTGATGAGAAAGAAGAAAGCCCCACGCGCTCCCTAACTTAACAGATGAAACTCCAATACCAAAGTGACTAATGACTGAACACACGCGCACCTCGCGCAGATACGCGACAACGTCGTTCGGTCGGAGACTGCTCGTCGTGTTACTTTAACTTGGGAATTTAGTCTTGGGCGAAGTTGGCCGACACGACTCACTGCAGTTCGCGGTTTCCTGCCCTTCCCAGCCCGCGAGCCGCTGCGAGAAGGCCCCAAATGCGCAATGCACAGAAACGCTGCCGGACACCGCTGAGACCTTTTTACACGCCAAACTCTTTCTGTCGCTCTAGCGTAGCGGAAACATCTCAGTGTACATGATGCGAGATTATCTCTGACAATGCATTGACTTCAAAAAGGAATAAACGACGATGGAATGAGCACGGCAGGCTCCGCACCAGTTTATATTACAACACGTCCCCCAAATCCTTCACAATTTCGGGTTGTTCCCCTTGTTCCGCTCATCATCCTCAGGCACGACATGCATCCTCAGATCCCCTACCGGTTCCATGGGCTTACCACCGCTCTGCTTGTACCCTTCCCCTTCTCTCAACCCCGCTTCATCACCGGGAACGATCTCCCTCCCCAACCATTTGCCCGACTTGCCTGACCCACCCAAGAACTCCTCCGAGACCTCGACGAACTTGGTCATCCCTTCTTTCGCATCGAGCCTAGCCCCGGACTTTTTCGCGAACAGGGGGAAGAGTAAAGGGAAGTCGGAGAAGCTGAGATGGACGGTACCTACGAGGGTCATGAACCAACTAGGTGCTTGAACATGTTCAACGATGGCGCGGACGAGCTTGTAGTGCGCTTGCCATAGCGTGAATGCCTCCGAGTTGATGGCAAGAAGAGGGACGTCGATCTCGTTGGCCGAACGTTTGATTTGCTCTTCCTCGGAGGAGCCTTGCGAGGTCGAGTCGGTCGTCAACATAGGTTTGGCTTGGCCGGTCCTCGCCTGCGCCTCGACGGGATCGATGGGGTCGACCCACGGGTCCAACACGACACCTCGGGTGAATTCAAACCTTTTACTACACGCTCTCAATACCTCCAACGTCGTGGCTCCACCGAACGAGTGACCGACCATGCTCATCTTGCCAAAGTCGAGACGACCCTTCCATTCGCTCAATTGCTTCCCGTAAGAGGGGTCGTTCGACGGCGCTCGACGATTCTGCTGGGCCAGCGATTCACCTTCACCATCATTTATCTGAGACAGGGTCTTGACGAGTTCTTCAATCTCGCTTAGTCTCATTACGAGTTGCTCTCTGCGGTGAGCGAGTTGAGACAAGGTTGGGTTCGGCGGTGGGAAACTAGTGACGAATCCGAGACGAATATTCTCGTCAGTTCCGGCTTCCAAGTCAAGAAACCCCACACGCCGTGGGCAGGACTCGCATCAGATCATCAGGTTGGATGTACTCCACGACTTTTTCCTTTCCCTGCTCGAGGGTGACGATCGTGCTCGGCCCACTGCCATCGCGATGTTCGATCGCGGCAACGACGTAACCCCTCGAGGCCAACTCGCCACAGTACTGCGAGTACGTCGTCCGTGTGCCGGCCAGACCGTGGGAAAAGACCAACAGGGGCAATGCGGACGATGAGGAAGAGTTCGAGTTGACCGTCCTCGAGGAGGTGGACGAGGAAGAGCTCTCAGGAGTCGTGTGCTGGGTACCCGCGGACGGTGGCGTGCCGGGTAGGAGGGGTGCGTCGATCCCGGCGGGCAAGTATTTATTGCGCGCGAAGATGGCCAAGATAAGGCGGATGAGCCAAGGTTTTTGCTGCGTGAAATGAGCGTAGCCTGTCGTATATTGGACAAGATGTCAGCGATGTTGCACCTCGGCCGAGGCTCGTCCCCATCGTATCGGAGCTCAACTCGGGACTGCGAAATCTTCGGAGAGAAACCCGAAAGACCGAGCGAGCGCCGAGTAAGCCACTTCGGGACTGAGCTGACCTTGTGCGGTTGTGGCAATAGGTCTCTGCACCCACGGCATCCTTCCTTTGCCCTTGGCATTGTGAGGCTCAACGGGGTAGAACAAGGTGCAGAGGATGGTGTCGAGTTGCAAGGCCGGTTCGTTCGTGGTTCTGAGCAAGGCGGTGCCGAAGGAGCGAGGTTCGGGGACGGGTACTTCGACGTCGAGCGTGCCGACGCGGTAGGCGCCCGTGTAGGCGGGCAAGGGGGAGGAGATGAGACCCATGGTTCTCAGTGCAGCGAGGGACGACCGGCGTAGAATGGTTACAAGGTCAGGGTCGGAGGTCGTTGAGGTGGGAGAGGAAAGCAGGAGAAAGCAGGAGCGCAAGAAGGCCGGGCGAGGTCGACTTGGGTGCGCCTGTGGACGTGGAGATCTGCGAGATCACAGATCACACGCGCTTCGTTCTTTCTGAGCCTCACAGAGGCGCTTCGTCATCGAGGCTCGCGAACGACTGCACAGAGTGGGGAGACGCCCCTGCTTCGGCTCGGCTCGGCTCGGCTCGGCTCGGCTCTGCTACACGACCCTGCACCTGACCGACCCACCATGAACCACTTTCCTTCCACATCATGGTAAGCCAACGATTTCCACTTTTGGACTAGGCCTACAAGAAAAGACACTAAATCTATCACACCCTTTCCGTCACCACCACCCGCTGCTCAGGGGTAAACCCCGCAACGACTCGGTCGACCCGTACGCCACCTTCCCCATCCACCAAGGACGACAAAACTCGGGCCAGATTGATGCGTTCTCCCAGGGTGTGCAGCACACACAGTCAGTCTATTCCCACCGCTCTCTCCCCTCGCGCAGCGCACCTTGCACTGGACGCGTCAGCTCCCCCTCCTGGCCCACTATGTCGCATCACACCCTTCTGTTTCGTCCGCATCATTATTGGCGTGAACGAGTACTGACTAGCTCTCAAACTGATTGCAGACAACCGATCGTCACTGGAACAAGTGTCCTCGCCATCAAGTTCAACGGTGGGGTCATGATGGCCGCCGACAACCTGGGTAGGCCACCCACCCTCCACCTGCAACCCTTCTGAACTCGACGACTTATCCTCCTTTGCCCATTCCCTAGCCTCTTACGGTAGCTTGGCACGCTTCAAGGACATCAAACGTCTCCATGCCGTCGGCGAGTCGACCCTGATCGGCGCATCCGGTGACATGGCCGACTACCAGCAGGTCATCAAGCTCTTGGAGAACCAAATGTAGGTTCCAATCAGACCTTCACATAGCTTCACCGGCCCTTAAATTTTGCCTCTTACTCCTACCCCACTCAGGGTCTCGGAACAAATCCTCGACGATGGCCACGTCCTCACCTCGTCGCAGATCTACGAGTACCTGTCCAACGTCATGTACTCGAAACGCAACAAGCAAGACCCCTTCTGGAACGCCTTTATCGTAGCCGGCCTTGAACACGGAAACGTTCCGTAAGTTGCCCCCACCGGTCCGTATTCGCTCCTCAGTCAGCAACAGGTCCTGAATCTCTTCCCCCCTCCCGCTGCCCCCCACCAGCTTCCTCTCCTACGTCGACCTCCTCGGCACGACCTACTCGGCCCCTTCACTCGCGTCCGGCTACGGGCACCACATCGCGCAACCTCTGCTCCGCAAAGCGCTCGAACGCCTCGGACCCGAGGGGGAGAAGTCACTTTCCGAAGCTGACGCGAGGGCTCTATTAGAGCAATGCATGAAGGTCTTGTTCTACAGGGACGCGAGGAGTATCAACAAGGTATGTTCTCGACTCACGTCCGCATCAGAAAACAAACCTGGCCTCTCTACCTTGGTTTGGTGTTGCTGAAGAGCAAAGTGCGACGATGATTATTTAACAGTTCCAAATCGCTTCCGTCACGTCGAGAGGGGTCGAGATTTCGGAATCGATGAAGGCGCCGACCGAGTGGAGCTTTGCCGAGGGGTTGCGAGGGTACGGGAATAGTGACGAGACGTACTAGATGCGCACTTCGTCCGGTCGAGAGGAAGTTATGTGAAGGAACGCAGCGGAAGCGTAAAGGTCGGCTGACAAATTTCAAGTTTTGACCCTTGTGTACGAGTGATCGTTTGAATCCTATGTTACAACATTCCATACTAGCACAACAAAGAGAGACACCATCGGCAGGGGAGATGCAACAAGTTCGGAGGGAACGCCGGCATCCTGGACGTGAGTACCCTCACTCGACATTCTTCTTGACGAATTCGGCCATCAGTTTCTCCATCTCTTGTGTAACTTCGGCTGGGATCAGGCCTAGATGAGAACCACGTATGAAGAACGCACAAAGCTCAGCGGCCCGTGTCCCTGCATGAATGCCGAATGGAACTTACCGAACGCGGTCGGTTCGACTTGATCGACGAGGGAGAGCAGTTTGACGTTATCACCCCGAGCTTGTTCTGATTTCGATCATACGACAACGTGAACGAAAAGAACAACCAGGGGTGATTTAGTTCAGCTAGACCGAGGATTGCTGATACGATGTCGATCACTCACCTCTTGCGATCCCTCGCACTTGATCCTGCCATCCCGTTTTGTCCAGGCGTTGTTTCAAGAGGATCAACAGACTAGAGCGTGAAAAAGGGGTCAGCTTATTTTCTAAAGCCAGATGTCGGCTCTTGATGTTGTTCAAAGAGTGAACTTGCAACTGACCGATCGTATTCGCCCGAGTTGATGAGCCGATCCCTCAGAGCGGATTCGAGCTGTTGGGCTTCGGTAGGGGCGGGATGGGAAGGGGTAGGTAATGTGGACATGATGGAAGGGTGCTTGTTGAGGATCGAGTGGGTGATGGACGTGGGAAAAGGGCCGGAGGAGGTCCTGAGAGTGGACGGGGAGTGGTACCGGGTGACGTGGGCGTATCGGCTATTCGCGAGCGATTTGATAATGACCGCAAATTGCTAATGCCCGCGCCTTCTCGCCAATTCGTCGGTGCTCGCTCGGATTCTCGCAAGACCGCCCGCCGTTTTTCCTCTCTGTCTCCCGTCTTCCCCCTCCACCCAACACCGTCGATTCGACTCGGCCTGTACTCCACTATGCGACTCTTCCTCCTGCTGAGAGTCTTCTCCATCATCTCCCTGGTACGTACTTCTACCCTCCTCTTTCCACCCACCCGTCCCAGTCTTTCGCTCCCTCCTCAAAATGATGAATTTCATGTTGGCACCAGTCTTACGAAGGATGAACGATGGGGTCTTTGTTGTCCTTTTCTCTCACGAGGGGAAGATGTCAGTCCCCGCCTTTGTTCCTTCTTCACCTGGGGACAAAAACAACTTTGTATCCGGCCGGGCTTTATACCCCCGGTCCTGAAACTTGGAAGCGGAGCATCAGTACTTCAGTTGCAGGCATTCAAGGATAGGGAGCTGTGTGCTGACGCTTGGTTTCGGCCGACGAACAGGTTCCTATTCCCCCGCTTTCCTAGAGGCAGTTGCATCGGGATGCCTGTAGTCTTGTTGATTTAGAGCTTCTGTTGTTGTAACATTGATCATCTCCCAGACTTGTGCCTGTGATAAGCCGTCTCCACACTGCGGCGGTCTCGATCGCTCCGCTGTCAGAGCTACTTTCGCAAGCAGCGATGACCAACCCCGGTGAACTCTCGCGCTTTCTCACCTTATTCCCGGCGCTGTACACGTCGTCCGCGCCTCCCCCACCATCCCATATGAGACCATGACACGCATCCTCCCACGACGACTAGCTCGTCCCCCGACCCTCCCCACCTCCCTCCGTTCCCACCTCCCTCCCAGCTCCCGACCGTACTCCTCCACGCCTTCCTCGAGCCCTTCTCTGTCCCTGCAATCCCTCCCCTACCGCATCGCCATCGTCGGTGCAGGCCCAGCAGGTTTCTACACCGCTTCCCGACTACTCTCCCTCCCCGGATCGGAGAACATCAACGTCGATCTGTTTGAACTGGTGCCCGTCCCTTTTGGTTTGGCCAGATTCGGCGTCGCGCCCGACCATCCTTCAGTCAAGGTCAGTCCGGCGATGCTACTTCGGGAAAGGCACGATTCTCAAGAGGAGATAACCGATCTCGTCTTTCTCTTCTCCCACAGAATTGCGTGCACAAATTCACCGAGACGGCACAGGACCCTCGTCTGACCTATTACGGCAACGTACAAATCTCCGGTTCCACATTGACCGAGTCAGAATCTTCCGCCTCCACCTCCTCACGAACGTCCTCCATCGCGCCGAACCTTTTCCTCTCCCCTCACGCCTACCAACTCCCCATCTCGACCCTTCTCCCTCAATACGACACGCTCGTCCTGACCTATGGCGCCTCGCTTGATCGATCGCTCGGCAATATCCCGGGTGAGACCACTCTCCTCGGTATCGACTCGGCCCGTAATTTCGTGAATTGGTACAACGGTCACCCACTTTCGACCTTCAACAGTACCCCTTCGACCTCGCTCGACTTATCCACCACCGAACACGTCACCATCATCGGTCAAGGGAACGTCGCTCTCGACCTAACTCGTATCCTGCTCAAACCCATCGATGATCTCAAACCTTTCGACCTCCCCGAACCCGTCTTGGCTGAACTCGCACGTTCCAAAGTCCGTAAGGTCGAGGTCGTAGGTCGACGAGGCGTACTTCAATTCGCTGGAACGACGAAGGAAGTCAGGGAGTTGATAGGGTTGAATCAACAAGGTGTTGGGTTCCGGATCGATGTAGATTTGGTCAACGAGGGGTTGGAACTTTTGGCGAAGGAGAAGGGGATAGTGGATGCGAGGATCCGTCAGAGGGCTTTGAGTTTATTGAAGAAGGGGTACGAGCAAAACCTTCAAAACGGGGAGACCCCTAAAGAATGGCAAGTCAAATTCCTTCGTAGTCCAATCGAATTCCTCGCTTCGACCACCCCCACCGCCGACGCGATTTCGGAATCTTCTACACCAACTCTATCGACGATCCTCGATCCACAACGCGTACGAGCCGTCAAATACGCCCATAACCGACTCTCTTCCAACTCTTCTACGACCGCTCTAGACCCTTCCACATGGGCCGTCGAAACCACGTCTGAATCATCCGTCGTCGCCACGGACGCCGTTTTCAAATCCATCGGATACCGTTCCATCCCCATCCCCGGTATCCCTTTCGATCCTCACCAAGGCATCATCCCCAATTCCCAAGGTCGCGTAACTCTACCTTCTTCATCAAAGGGGGGAGAAGAAGAAGAATCGCGAGCGAACGTTTACGTAGGTGGATGGTTGGCTAGAGGTCCGACGGGAGTGATCGCTACGACCATGTTCGATTCGTTTCGATTGGCCGATCAAATCGTTCACGACTTGATGCAGAAACGACCCAACTTTTCAGCATCGAGTTCGTCGGCTGTACCGAAAGAAGGTGTGAGACTTTCTTCCGTCGAGGATGGGAAACGTATTGTGAGTTGGAAGGATTGGGAACGGATCGATGAGGTTGAACGCGAGAGGGGGGCAAAATTGGGCAAGAGTAGGGAGAAGCTGTGTACGGTGCAGGCGATGTTGGACGTGTTGGATTGAGCCGCGGGAGATTTGTGTCTTTGTAACTTGTTGTAATGAATTCACCTAGAGACTGCAAATTATAATACCACATCACATCTCTTCAATGCGGTTGAGATTGAAGAGAAGAATAGAGATCAAAGAGAAAAACTGTTTGCAACAGATCCAAAAGGTGACGAACGGCATCACAAGAGACCCTATCAGGAGGAAGGGGAAAAAGGAAGAACGACGGCGAGGGTGGTGCGAAAGAGAACGTGTACCGACAAAGAGAAGAGATCAACAATCATTAGGGGGGGAGCAATCCATCTATCGGACGGAAGGCCGAGGTAATCGCCTCACACTTCAGTTGAGAGAAGCGCAAAGGATCGATTCGACGTATGAGCCCGTCGTTCGGTGAAACGCTATAGGAGAACGGTTCGACCTGGTGACGCGGTCTTTTGGGTGGGTGTCCTTTCCGAGAAAAGTGGTCGGTCGGAAAATTCTGGGGGATCGGAATGAGATACAATAACGAGGATAGAGGGAAGAGAAATACGACAGGTGAGGCGGGGAGATTCGGTATGGAGGATCCCGACGAATAGCGAGAAACGACGATAAAGATGGATGCGAAAAACGACCGGCGAAGGACGAAAGGACTTGCGAGGGGGATCGATTAGACTTCGATAGGGTGAATGATGCGTAGTAGGACGATGTACAAGAGATCAATGATCAGCAAAGTGCGTCGATGTCGCGATGATGGGTGTTGATCGCGGCAAGTGTCTGTTTCGTAAGCGGCGATCAAGCGGCAATCAAGCGGCGTGCAGGCAGCTTTACGCGTAACCGCGTGTGATGAGCCCCATCCCGCTCGGCGACCCTGACCTACTCGAGCTCGAGTCTCGAGAAGGCGAAACGGTCCTCGAAAGAGGCGACATGGGCATCAAGGGCGATGTCATCGAGGACATGGATTGGCCGGCTCTCTTGTGCCCCAGTGGAAATTGCGGCGGTGGGTGACACCCTTGTGCCAGCATTTGCAGCCCCAGTGCACCGTGAGCCCCCGAATGCTGGTAGTGGTACCGCAGGCCATTCATACTGCAAGGCCCGATTAAATGTCAGTCAGTTGACATCTTCGAGGCTGAGATGCCGTTCCTGAAATCAGAACTCACTTCTTGTATCTCTTGCCACACGATGCAACATGGCACACATAAGGCTTGCCTTCGCCCTTGGTTTCCCCCTCCGGCCCCGTCGCATTCGCGTTGCAATGACCATGCAACCGATGGTACTTGAGCCCATTTTGTTGTTTGTACGACTTATCGCAGCCAGGGACGGAGCACTTGAACGGCTTCTCGCTCGGCGGCGTGTACGGTCGGCCGCTCGGTGAGATCTGAATTCCCGTTCCGAGCGGGTTCAATGCCGACGGCAGGGCCGAGAGCGAACTCACGCCGAGCGCTTTCGTCAATGCGGTCTGGCGGTCGCCATCTGCCAAGATCTGCGCGTTGAGGTCATAGCCATCGTTTTCTTCGTCGTCGTCCTCCTCCTCCTCTTCTTCTTCTTCCTCACCCTCGTCATCGTCGTCGTGCTCGTCTTCGGGCTCGGGGCCTTGACGCACGGGCGTTTTGACTTGCGCTTGAGCCTGGGCTTGGGCTTGGGCCTGGGCTTGGGCTTGAGCTTGAGCTTGAGCGGCTTGAGCGGCCGCAGCAGCTTCCCGGATCTGAGCCTGAGTGATCTCGTACTGGGACATGGGTGGAGGGGCAGGGGTCTCGACTGGCGCAGCTGCAGGGAACAGCAGAGACGGTGACAGCGCGACCGTCGACGCGGGGTACGTCGATGTGCTCGAAGGAGCGGGGAACACGGTCTCGGCCGTGGGGGTGGTGTTCGGATTCTCATCGGTGACAGGACTGTCCGGGACCGTCGATTCGGGGGGCTGGAACCCCGAGGGCGACGTGCGATTATTTGTGATCGCGTCGAGCCCGCCCATGATGCCGCCCATACCGAGCCGCATCGTTCCCGGAGATACGAGAGGGTTGATCGCCGAGGCTGACGTAAACATGTTCTTGCTCGAACTCGGGGCAAGGGGCAAGGGTGCATCGAAAGCCGACATGGGAGCAGCACCAAAGGTCGCATTCGGGGTCGCAACCGACGTTGAGGCTGTGCCTGTTGATGAATGAGCGGAGCCGGCGGGGGACTGGGCACTCGACTCTTCTTCAGGATCGTCCATATCCATATCGAGCTCCATGCCGGCATCGAGATGGGTCGGATGCTGAGCAGGCGAATCGGGAGCTTCGAACTGCGATGACAGTGCGCTCTTCTTGACCTCAAAAGCCCCTCGGTTGGATCCCGTGGCCGAACCCATCCGCGGGCTCGGGGGTCCCGACACGGTGCCTTCTGGCTCGTCCTCGCCCATGTCCATCGTGGCATCCATCCCGGCAGCATTGCCATCCTCGTCATACATGACGTGGCACTCTTCAAAGTGTTCGAGCAAGCCGTGCAGGTCCTGCAGATCGAGCCCGCAGCACTGAAAGTTGCGGAAGAATTGCGCCTCGAGCTTTGGCCGTTCCTCAAACGATCGGCCGAGGGACATGGCCATGCTCGAGAAGCCCGGCGAGGATGACATGGCTGTCAGGGACGACGACAGAGCCGAGAGGGAGAAGGGGGAATTGAGACCGAATGAGCGCGACAGAGAGCTCGACAGAGCCGGATGAAGCATGGGCGATCTTCCACTACGTAGTGGGAGCGGCCGAAGGTAGCGGCGGCGGCAATGGCGGCGACGGGATCGCGGCGGGCGCGTCGAGCGGACCGGCGACGGGTGGGAGAAAGATCCGGCAGGGGGGGAGGGGATGGAACCGTGAGAGAGTCGGCGAGTGATCGAATGGTTTCGGTCGAGACAGGAGTAGGGGATGAGACCGGCGCATTTGGTGAGTTCGAGTCAGTCCCGAGTCAGCGGTGGTTCGGCGGTTGGTTGTGGAGTGCGAGTCCCATGTCGGGCGCGCGCGCGGAGTGAGAGCGAATGATCGGGGAGGAGCGTGGCGGCGCCAAGGTGAGACAACGAAAGGGGACGACCAGGAACACGCGGGTTTGATGCACGATAGGAGAGGGTCAGACGAGGGTGGATGAATGCAAAACAACACAAAGCCATCAGTGAACTGTGCCATAGACGCTTGGGGTATACGTCGTACACGACACGTCCACTGCCGCAGCGCCGAGTGCGGGTTAGAGGTGGCGATCGTTGGCGAGTTGAGGTGGGTTGCGTGGCTCGGTGTACACTCGGCGGCAAGCGAGGACGACGGGCGGGCAAGTCGCTCGCGTGGACATGACTGGGGCGCTCTAAGGCGCGCCATCCGGAGAGTCGACGGGACGGAACCACACGGAAATCGAGGGATGACACTCACTATTCAGACGCGGAGGTGCCCAGATTCGACTCTCGCCGACCTATGAAGACGGGATTGCTCGACGATGGCATGTTGAGATACGTGGTCATGGGTCGAGGTACCGGTCAACGGAGGCGGCGACGGCGGCGGCGGAGTAATGTAGAGCTAGCAGCTAGCTGTCTTCAGGGGAGGGGGAAAGCAACTCGGGGTTGACGTGAGGCGAGCTGAGCTGAGCGACGACCTCCAGATGGCGGTGCCGAATGCGGGTGCTGCAGCGAGGCGACAGGTAATAGATTTGTCGTAGGGCACGACCAGCGGGTACACAAGATTGATCGAGCAATTAAGAGGTCGAGGGTAATGAGTGTGGCACGGTCTCACACCTAATGGGAGGCTCGAGCGTCGTCGTCGGTCGGAAGGGGAGGTGGTGAACGGTAACTGAGCTGAGAGCAGCTGGAGCGCGCGCGTAGCGACTCAATCGGGCCCTGACTTGCGCGCTGACATGACGCTCGGTCCAGGTGGTGCCCAGCCGGTGCAGCGCCAGCCGTCGACGACGTCTCAGAAAGGTGCTTTCTTGGCATGCTGTGACTTGCGTGTGAAATCACCCATGCTCTTCAGTCTACACCTGGAGAGCTATACGTGGGTATCTGCCTGCTCGACATGCGCCTTGTCCGAAAATCTGAATATGCGTGGTACAAAATGATTTGGATCACGAAGATCGCCCGACGTCGATGTCCGAGAGACGTGATCTTGAAGCGAGGGTTAAGCCACCTAGCCCCAGCTTACGGTTTGTACCCAAGTGCATTCGATTTAGACGAATAGGTGCTGTCCCCGAATTCTTACACCTAAAACTGGCTCGGATCGTGCTAGGTATGCCGCAGGTTCCAAGACCAATTAAGAAGGTCGGTAGACTCGGAGAAGGACTCCATTTTCCGGCCTGCAGTCTGGCGAAGTCCACAGGAGAGTCGTTACCCAGCGCTTCAGCCCCTGACAAACCTTCAGTCTCACACATAAGGCCAATTAGCTTATTTACAACTTTTTGCTGCCAGTATCCAGGTTTGTGTTAGTAGGGTTGATCCGTTGCAAGTCGTGACCACAGTTGCTGGCAGCCGATGCGCGCGCGCCGTCGACTTCAACCGTCGGCCCTCGGAGTGAGCCCGATCACTCACTGTAGGATCGCTCACTCCCTTGAAGTCCCTTCATTTGTCCGCGCTGAACGGCTCGTTCTTCTGTGATCGCAGCTCCCTCCGATCCGGTTAGTAGATACAGAGTGACCCCACGCCACGCCATCCCCTAAAACTGTGTCAGCCCCCAAATCTTCCATTAGTCAAGGCCTAAAATAGTGCCCCCCCCCCCCCGCTCTTTGGACCGGAGCTCGAGCGAAGCGTCGGCTCACCCGCGCGTGGCGAAACAAGAACTTCCTCGACAGTTGCGACGCGCTCCGCGGCGCGGCGGTCCAGAGGGTTTCAGCGGAAATGTCGGAGCTAACGAAAACTCTGACGACCGAACACTTTGTGAGGAAGGGGGGGGCTCGGTCACTACTTGCTCAACGGCTCGTCGGCTAAGAGCTAGTGTCAGGAGCTCCCTGCTCATGCCATGCGATTACAAGTGCTAGATCATCATTAGGTGTCAATTACAATGCTCACTCAACGGTGGTCATTGGGCGGAACGCAGCCAGGTACACGCCGACGTCGATCCCTGTTGATGAAGTAGGTACCTGGTGTGATGTTTCGGACTTTTGCGCAACAGCGTGTCATCTTTTAAGCAATCGATCAGGAAACACTTTAGTACTAAGTCCCAACTTGGCAGCAATTGGTCGAGTGATGTCAAAGCCCATTATTAATTCTTCTCGAGCTAGGCGCGAGGAGCTTTCGAAGCCTGACGACGGCCTTCATTGCGGCCGAGGTTGCGATCTCTCCGTCTCTTCCCTCGAGACGGTGGGGCTCCACCGAGTAGGCGATCACTTGATTAAAAAGATACGTCGGTAGGTGAGCGGTACTACTACGTCTAGATTTTTTATTAGACAGCGTCCGGGGCTCAATCTAATCATCCTTCGCTGTCGCCGAACTCGCTCGCGTTGTCCGTTTGCTCATCGAGCCCGAGTCATTGCCGAGGGGAGAAATTCTACCCCGATCGACTACATCGATCTCCTTGACATCGTCCTGATGTCTTACAACTTCCAGCGGCCTGGAATTGACTTCGGTATTCGCCAACAAGAATTCTCCGCCGAGGTACAGAGCACTGCATCAAGGCACAAATGATTCGGCGTAAAGCGGGTCAGCCCAAGAAGGCGAAGGTTGTCAGAAGAAGCCGACCGAGAGAGCGAGCGCTTCGCCGAGGATGAATGCGGGGTAGTGGGGGTGGTGCGACGGAGCTGACAGGCAGGTACGTACGTGTTGAAGATGCACAGCAGCGAAGAGATTGCAAAGTTGGTGATGGTTCTGTAGAGCAACAAGATGCAAATTGTTAGACATCACTCCATACGCCCACTCGACTGCGACGGAAGACTCTTTTGGCATGAAACCTCACGAGCCAATCTCCAACCAACTGCCTTGGTCGGTCACTCGGAAGAAAAAGTTGATGGTCAAGACATCGGATAGTGTTGAGGCAATGATGAAGAGGGAGAAGGGCGGGAGACCGAGCTGCTTGTTGAGCACCGAGGTGATGGCCGACAGTGCAACAAAGGGGGACAGCAGCTTGAATAGCAGGAGGAGAGCCTGTTGGGCGGGTGCAGCAATTAGCGGGTCAGCGAGTGCACTTCGCAGTGCTTAGTCAGTGTATCGTACCATGGCAAAAGGGTTGAAGACCGGAATGAGTCGATATACCGGCTCCAAGTAGAACTGAACAAGTAGCCCCCCTACACCGTCAGTTTTGACCCTGCAACCCGACTGGAGACACTGCACCTACCGACGAAATACTGGCGACATTGCCCACGCCAAAGAAGGCGAGATGTAGGAATGTTAAGAAGAAGACGGCCATCCTGATATGGCCGCCATTGATCTTGGGCGACTCCTCGTGATCCTTCACATTCATTCTCCTCGTCAAGGCGATTCTCCGCTCCAGCAGGAGCCAGAGACACAGCGTCGCGCAAAAGCAAGCATAAAACAGGCCCTCGTAAGAAAGAGAGAGGATATTGAACGAGGGTCCAAAAGCGAACAACACGATTAAGAGTCGCTCCAGGAAGGGTTGCTGGCGAGGTCGCCCCCGAATGATCGGTACCAGGACCGAACCGACTGGAGTCATGGCAACTCGTTCAGCCAAAGTCTGAACCCCTCGCCAATAATGGTACCGACTGACCAAGGACAATCCATCCAAGGCTCTGACTCCAAAGCGGTAGACCTTGCTTCCTCTGCAATGCGAGCGCTGACTTGACGGTCGGCACCAGACTCAGCAAGATTAGCCCGATCTAGCACCAAAGCAGAATCATCAGCTTGGAGTGACCTGTAGTAGATGCGAATAGTGTACATACCTGCAGAGCCAGCCACTTGTGTGTGGCTCGTATTGTCGATGACGGGTTGGTAGCTTGCTTCACCTCTTCTCGCTCGAGAACTTCTCGTCCCACAAGGCCGAGGATGAACATCGCCACGGCTCCCGCGTATCTATGAGCCTCAGGCCGGGGTGAGCCACTCCATCTTTAGCATCGTGAGCGGCAACCCGCAGTGCACAACTCACACGATCGTCAAGTTCTCCCCTTTCTCCACCGGTAGTTGAGGGAAGATGGACAAGAGTGAACAGCTTGCGGCCCAAGCGGTGACCAGTCTCTGCTCCTTCCTTCTGAACGTCCGATCCATGCCCAGCAAGGGCCACGCCAGAGCGATTGTTACTAGAATGTAGGTGAGGTACTCGCGGACGAGGTAGGCCTGCGCTATCATTTGTACCACGATCAACGTCGCGCCTAGACCTGTGGCTGCTCGCACAGGCGATATTGATCGGAAAAGCCGGATCAGGGGAGCGCGATTGCTCAGAATGGACGACCAAAAGTAGCATGGGAAGGCGGCGTAGGCATAGTATGTCGCAGATGAGCGCTCGATGAAGAACTTGGTCGAGAGAATGGAGAAAATGATAGCCCCAAGGACTCGTGGTATCGGGGACGTTGTGGTGGTCGCCATCTCGGCGTCGGACGAGTAGACGTGTGTCCTCAAGACGAAGTTGGCGGAGTAAACGATAAAGCCGAGGTAACCCAGTGCAACGATCGTGCGCAACACAAGCCAATCATATCTGCGGGAATACGATACCCTCAGTTCGGATTGTATTGTGGTGTCAACCATGACGAGCTTACGTTCTAAAGTATCGTAGCCCTTCAAACCCGAGATTGACGAGCTCCATGCTCCACGCAGTCGCTTCCTCGTAGTCACCGGCATGAATCAAAGCGTTGATCTGTCGCTTGTGCGATTCCACGGATAGTTTCCCGCTAGAAGCGTCATCGACCAGCTCGGGGAAAGGTTTGAAAGCGAGAGCATGAGCCTGCTTGAAGCCTGCCAAGTCCTCCAGTACAGCATCAGTGTAAGCAGGCACTGATCTAGATTTGGAGAGCCACGCACGGCTTCGTTCTTCGAACTCGGCGAGTACTTGCTTTGCATTTGCGAAGCATGCTCGTGCCTTGAAAGACGGATCGGCGCTCAGGTACTTCAAGGGTATTCTGCCCGCCGAATTTGCCGGGATGGCGAGACCCCCCAGTACGGACTGCGCAGTGAAGGGAAGAACGTCGGGCTTAGCTACAAGTCTGGACTACGCAGACCGACCAGCAATTCACCATTAGGACAGCAACATCGGCCTGATCGACGTCCAATCGCTCTCCCCGCAAATCCCAGTGGCGCGAGTAGTCGTCATTGCCTTCGTCCTCGACGAGCCCCGAGGCAACACCTTTGCCCCACACAACGAGCGGAGTCCTCGTGTTGTCGGGCTCTCCGTCGCCGTGATTGCCGATCGACGACATGCCATGGTCGGCAGTGAAGACGAATGCTGTCTCTCCGTCGTCGTCGTAAAAATCTTCGAGCAAACGTGCGGTTTCGGAGATGACATGATCGACGACTCGGATATTGCGATGATACTCGGGGCCGTGGGGACGGTACGAGTGGCCCGTCGTGTCCAGTCCTAGCAAGTGCAAGAAAATAACGACACCATCTGCTTTCAGTTGTTGGTCCAACTTGGGGTTGGTAGTCGAGTTCTTTAGCAGGGTTTTGAGTTGGTCTAGCACCCATAAATCGAGATGGACAGCATCCTTTGAGAAATCTTCGTGTTCCTCTCCATACGAAAAGGCGTCCACTCGGGTCGGGTCCGAGGCGCCCTGGGCAAACATGGGGAGGATATCCGGGGATCCGAAGGTGAAGGCATGCGACGACTGGTTGAAGACCGAATCGAACTTGACGGGGTTGGTTTGCCAGCCCCGGGTCACGGCCGACACATCCTGAAACAATGGAGAGGAGCAAAAAAGGTGTTGTGAGTTCGATGAATATTCTCAATGCATCACATGGGATGCTCTCACCTCGTACATGCCACCAATGAGTGCTACATGGCCGGGTCGACTCTCGGTCGGTACCCTGGTGTGGCTGACACCCCACCTCGCTTGACCGGACTGAATGAGGTTGCGCACGAACGGGGCTGGGGTGGTCCAGTTCGTGTAAGGTGGCACTGCGTACGTGTGAGGAACGTCCTGTAGCGGACTGGGTAAGGGTAGATCTTGGTCGAACGGAGGCGAGTTGTAGATCTGGAATAATTTGTCCGCTCGCAGTCCGTCGCCTGGGCAGGTGTGGGGGAGACGGCAGCGAGGGTCCCAGCCCCGACACGGTCAGCAAGCTCGTTCCGTGCTGTCGCACGGAGTCTATCTTGCACTCACCAACGATCAAGACGACTCGTTTGGCCAGCTTCTCGCCGACTCTAGCGCCTGGACCGCCATTCTCGTGTTCTGCTCCAACGCCGTACCTCAGTCCGACGCCTTTTGTGACGGGTGAGACAAAGTAGACGTCAAAGATGGAGTTGAGGTAAATGGTGTGAAACAGGATCGAGAGGAGGAGCAGGGATGCTGAGCCTCCGAATCGGGTCGACCTTGAAGACGGACTTGCGGTCGAGTCGATGTCTCGGTCCTGGCGATGCGACCGATTGCGAGAGCTGTGGGCGGCTCGTGACCGCGTCGAAAGCATTGCTCGGACCCCGACCACGACTGTGCGCTCCCACCAACAAGAATGTCTGTTGTGGTCTGTTCAGGTGTGAGGTAGGCGAGTCGGTTTCCGAAGGCGAGCGCGCAAAGGTGCTTCACCTTCTTGTCCTTAACCGCGCTCGTATTACTATCATTAGTAGGCGCTCATTTGGTCTCGATAGGGCTCATTTGATCTCATTTGGTGCGACCGACGCAGTACCGACGCGCGCCGACGCGCCGCGGCGTCATCGGTGTGTGGAGGTCGGTAGATTGCTCCTTTCGCTTCTGCTGCGCCAACGACCCCGTGCGACCACTTTGCCAACTGCTTCAGCTCGTGAGAACGTGTCCCACCATCGAGCGGGGACTACGTCTAGTACGAGTATGAGTACGCTCGTGGCGTCGTCGTCGGCCATCCCACCCCCACCCCTCCACGCTGCGGTCGCGGTCGCGTCGGGTGTGACCGAACGGTCGCCGTCGCCGTCGCCGTCGCCGTCGCGGCACTCGCCTTCCTCGGGTTCCTTGGGTGGTACGGCCCCGACCGCGTTCGGCTCAGCCAAGAGCCACCTCTCCCATGGATCCGCTTCGTCCTCCGCGCCCTCGGGATGTCGACTGCTGTGGAGAGGAAGGCTGGCCCTAGCGCCCAAGCAGTACCTAGACGGTCAGTTCCGTGATCGTTTCTCGATTGGGCTCGACCCCGCCCGCTCCCCATCTCACCTCCTGACACCGCTCGCTGGATTCTACGTCCTATAGGCATCGCTATCGTCGCCCATCTATTCGCCGTACCCTCCATCTCGCCCTCGGTATCCATCTCGCGGTCATCTCCTTTCGCCGAGGACCCCTTCGCTGCTTCCTCCACCTCCTCCACCTCCTCCACCTCGGGCATGAGCACGACCAGTGCCGCCGACCTGTGTCTCGGCCTCGAAATGATGCGAGGCAGTGACATCAAACTCGTCACGTCGGATCTCAAGGCGATACCTAAAGCGTTGGCACCTTCACCTGTTCTCTTCCGTACGGGCTCGGGGCACCCCGACAAGGGCAAGGCCAAAGAACAGGTCGAGACCGTGATCGTCGACACGCCGACCGACCTGCGCATCTACATCGACCCTAGGTGCCCCGAAACAACTACCTGGTTCCAGGATATATTTTGTCGAGCGGGCTGTGAAGGGAGTGCTGTCAGGCTGGACGCAGGGGGTCAGTTCAGAGACCGATCGTCGATTGGCGGGTCACATCACGTGACCTAAACCTGGTCGATCCGACGCTTACACCCGCCTCTTGACTCTCCAGGCGAGGAGGTCATCGTCTTTGCACCGAATCTGCCTACTCTTGGTTCATCCCAGAATGGGCCAGATTCGGCGCCTCGACCTGCTATCACCTTGTCTCTCGGGCGAGCGGTCAAGATCGGTCCTCGGCTACCGCGGCCGGACGACCCCATGCCGCGAGGTGAGCATTTTCACGTCCAAGCGAAAGCCGAGAAGGTGTCACTGAGGAGGAGCAAACGTTTATTGCGATAGAGAATCTTTTCACCAAAAAGCTTCGACGGACAACTTCGATGCCTATGCTGGACTTTCAAGCCCCTGCAGCACTCAAATCGATCAACCCCCTATCACGGACCTCGAGCTTGGCCTCGATCAAGGAAAGGCCCGTGTTCGATCATCGATCTCGGAAGCTGTCCACGACTACATCGCTGTCGAGCTTGCTGTCGGCTGAAGCCACCTCCGCTTCTCGGCGAACCTTACAGCGATCCACCTCATCGAAAGATCCGTTCGGGTCCACAGCAGCCCCACCTTCTAAACATCAGCCATTCCGCCGCTCGACCTCATCATCAGCCACAACTCAACCCTTTCGATCCAAATTATCATCAAATCCTGCTGTACCTCTCAAAAGGTCGAGATCGATGATGTCGAGTTCAAAAGCCCTGTCTCCAAAAGTGATGGTCGAATCCCCACCTTCATCGCCCACTTCAGAAGTCTCGGCTGTCGTACGCAGACGATCGAGCTCATTGGTGCCCGCTTTCAGGTCAGATAGTCACATTCACGATCGAGAAGGGAGTCCTTCCCCTTCGTGCGTGTCCAACGCGTTTGAGGACGAAGACGAAGAGATGGACGATCGGCTACCCGAACTAGGCGCGAGAAGGCGGTCGACGAATTCCAGATCCACGTCAATTGGGGAAGGCGCCATCGGCAAGGTTAGAAGGAGTGGGATGACGCTGAGTGAGAGTGCACCTGTGGGAGTGTTTAAGCTTGGACTGGCACCTCGGAATCCGACTGGGACTAGGAGGGAAAGAGATAGAAGCACGAGCCTGGCGCCGTCTGCTGCAGAAGGCATTGAGGCGAGGAACAAGGCGGTAAGTAGGCAGGCATTAACTAACCGTTCTAGTCGCACTTTTTCGCTTCGCTTATGGGGTTCTTTCCTTCGTCTGTCAGACGATCCGAAAGCTGCTGCTCTCCAGTCTAACTAGTCGAGGTGTTACGAGAGAGGACGAGCGATTCACCGAGGTCTTTTCCATCACGCTTCGGGGTGTACAATTCGCTTTGGTAAGCAAAATCAGCGCTTTGTACGCGTTTCTTTTCGAAAAGAGCTCACATGTCGTACGGCCTTGGGCTCCAGCGCGATACCTTCAAAACGTCCCTACTCAACAAACCTCACGGGAGCGACTTGATCTGTCGGCATCTGGACATGTACATCTCGGCACCGCGAGAATCATCGATCGTGGTCAAGCATGAAGAGGAGGAGGCACAGTTCATCTCGGATCACTTGTTGCCCGCTCCGAGTAGGCCAGAGGCGGGCATGCCGACTCCACCAAGGAGCCTGGAGCCGATGGAGGTGGAGAGCACGCTTTGATGAGCAGCTGTATGGCGTAGCAGATTTATGTATATGTGGAAACGTGTAGAAAAACAACAAATGTGCATGACGGCAATCCTCCAAACCCTACGGGTCCCTTTCCCCCGGCTTCTACGGCATCCCCTTCCCCTTCCCCTTTGCTTTCGTTTTATCTGCCTTCTTCTGTTTCTTCTTCTCGATTTTCTCCTCCCGAGCAACCTTCTTCAAATCCTTTTTCAACCCTTTAACCGCTTCCCTGCTCTGCTTCAACATCCTCTTCGCCTCCCCTTCCTTCACCTTGGCCTCACCAACCATGAGCCTCATCCCCCGCAACCTATCCCGTCCATCCATCGCCGGTTCCACAAAAGGCGCCTTCACAATCTGTGATATGTTGCATCCCTCCGATCGAACGGGATGTCGAGTCGTATCTAGAATGTTGGGTCTAGGCGAAAGGAAAGGGTTCGGATTGTCCTCGATGGGTATCTCACGATGGAGATGGAGAGAGGTAAAGGACTCGCTTAATTCGTGGTAGGACGAAGTTGAAGAAGTCGAGGTGGACCTCAGGGAACGGGTCGTTGAAGTGGGTGAGGCACCCTCATCGCTCCTTGAACGTTTCGGTGATTCAGTAAAGCGATTGTTCGTCGTTTGGGTGGTGTTGATGCGAGATTCGGGCTGGTTGAAAGGCGAGTGAGACGTTATCAAGAGAGGAGTAGAAGGTTCGCGTGCTCTTTGAGAAGTTGAGGTGTTCTTCCTCTTGAGGAATGACGGAAGTTTGGGAACTTTCATCTTGGGAAGGAGAGATTGCATTGGGGTGTTTGGTCGAGAGTCGCTCACTGTACGACCGGACGGTATGGACGGATAAGAGATAGGAGCTGTTTCAGCTGAAGATCAGTCTCCTGAGCAGCCGGAAGATCTCACCGATGTCGCAGCTGTGCAGCCTGTGCTGAGGATGGTTAGATGGCAGAGCTGCAGGGAGCAAGTGTCGAGATCCCAAAGGGACACCGTACCTAACAAGATACGCCCGTACCCCCACATCCGAGCGACGAGGAACTTCCTGCCCGTCTGTCGAACCATCGTGCTGGCACACGGCCTCATGCGGCCGGCCGTCACGCACACGGCATCGACCGCGTCCGTGCCGTGGGCGATCCGTGCTGTTCGACGCTCCGAACGATCGCTCCGAGCTGAGGCCCAATTTAGAACCGTCATAGGGTTGTTGATAGTGAACAATGCATTGATAAAGAAGCTCTATCGACCCCACCTAAGCCAAAGGCCTAACATGAACACTTTTAGCCCTAGTGACCGCATCAAAACCATACCTTGACAAACTGATACCTCGGCCCGAATTCTTCACACCGGTCCAAGGCAAAGCCGGATCCAAGTAATCACATCGGTTCATGAACACAGTGCCTGTTTCGACGTGGTCGACGAGCGCTTCAAAGGCCGCTTCAGATTTGGTCCAGATGGAGCCGGTGAGACCGTAGGGCGAGTCGTTGATGAGTTTGAGGGCTTCTGCGTCCGATGAGACCTGAGGGCGAAAAAAGTCGTCGAATTCAGTCCTTGATTGCTTCAAAGCAGCTTGGAAAGTTAGGGCACAACTCACCTTCATGATGCCCATCACGGGTCCAAAGGTCTCCTCCATCATAACCTTCATCGAATGGTTGACGTCGACGAGCACTTGAGGGGCAACGTAGGTCGTACCCTCTTTGGCCTCGGGAAAGTGAAATTCGGGGATAAGGGCCTTTGCACCCATTTGAACGGCTTCGGCGATGTGCGATCGAATGGCCGCGGCGGATCGGAGCGAGACGACCGGTCCGAGAGTTGTCGCTTGTTCTCGGGGGTCACCGAGGACGTACCCCTGTTCAAAGCAGGACATTATATTAGTACAAGAACACCCAAACGTTGGTCCATGGTACCTACCTTGACAACCTTGACGCACTCCTCGACGAAAGCGTCATAGACCTTTTCGTGAACGTAGACGCGCTCGACGGCGCAGCACGATTGGCCAGAATTGAACATGGCACCATCGACGATGTTCTCTGCGGCGTACTTGGGATCCGAGTCTGTAGATACAACATAACACAAAGTTTACCGCTGAACATTCGAAACTGAGCACTCGATCATCGCCTACCTTCCCTGACGTAGGCAGCATCCTTGCCGCCCAGCTCGAGGCCGACCATTTTGAACCCATGTCGAACCTTGGACGCAGCGGCGATCTCAACCTTTCGACCGTTCTCGACACTCCCCGTGAAGCTGACAAAGGGGACCAGGGGGTGTGCGACGACCATGTCCATTTGGATGGGGTTGAGATGAACGCACTGGAGAAGGTCCGAAGGAAGGCCGGCGGCGGTGAAGGCTTCGACAACGCGTTCCGAGGTCAAGGGCGTCTGAGGAGAAGGTTTGAGGATCACCGAGTTACCGGCGAGAAGGGAAGGGATCAAGGCGTTAACCTGGATCATGTCTGCGTTCGGTGTCGAGGGGATTACAAGTCAGCACGATGTGGGGGTCACGCCACACGGAACACCCGCCAACAAGACTGACAAGGGAAGTTCCAAGCACCAATCAGGAAGGCTGTACGTAAGCACATGGCGTCAGTCTACTTATGCTCCGCTGTATGAGCAGCCCTTGACATCCCCCCGCGGACTCACTAATTCCGACAGGGGCCCTCCTTATCGTCCGCTTGAACCCCTCCGGACGTCCCTCATCCACACTCTCATCCTTGAGCGCGCTCTCTGCCTTGCCCACCAACCAATTCGCCCTATCCTCGAACGTCTTGATCTCCCCTTCGGTGTACCTAATAGGGCGACCCATCTGCTCCGTAATCTCCTGCGCCAACTCGGTCGCACGGGACGAGAGCTGCGTAATTCCTGCCTTGACGAGCTCGATCCGTTTGCTCAAGGGCACTTGACGCCATTTCAAATGAGCAGCATGGGACTTGTACAGGATTCGATCGACGTCGTTGACGCTGGGCAGACGACGAACGACAATCGGTTGGCCGGTGATGGGCGAGATGGTCGTCTGCGTGGACGAAGGGTCCGCGACGTGCTTGACCGCTTCGTGGTCGTAATTGGCTGACATGGCTGGAACGAGAGTCTATGAGTAAGTAGATAACGTGTGGGGGAGGGTAGGGAGGGTGCGGAGAGAAGACAAGCTCCGCAAATCGGTTTCGACGCGGGCAGCAACCGCAGGCATGCGCCGTGGGGAGCCGTGGGGGCTCATGGGGCTTATCCGCATCTCGGTTCTATTTTATTTATTTGGTAGATTTCAGTAACAGTATAATCATATTAATACCTAGAAACCTTCGGAAAAGTCGGAGGGAATGCTTTTACGCACACTGGCAGAAGCCAGTAGTGTAGGACTCAGTGACCCTGCATCAGGATCAACCATACCTACTAAAACCCCCTTGGGTGGCTTACAGAGACACAAGGCGACCCTTGGACTCCTGAATAGACGCTCGAAGCTCCTCGAATTCCGACAGAGCTTCCAGATCGAGTGGAAGAAGAGGACTCGTAGTTCGACAAAGTCGACGTTCCGAGCGAGACACGGCTGGACACACGAAGTCCACGAAGACGGGGTGTGGAGTCGGGGACAGAGCAGACCAGAGACGATGGGCAAAAGGGCAGCCCACCGCGAGGGGGACCAGGCACTCGGGCGCTTCCGAGAGGCACATCACACAGGAGGAGGATCGATTGTTGGAGTGGGGGCTGGTCGAGGATGCGAGTTGGCGACCTGGATGGAGGGATCCCAGAGAGAGGTGCACGGTATCTTCGGCGTCCGAGTGAACCCTGCGAAGCTTGCGTAAGGCCTTCCACCATGCGTTCCATCGTTGCTCCGGCAGAGTGAAGACCTCCTGGTGTCGCTTGGGGAGGATGGGAGGGTAGAGGAAGGCGTGGTGGCGCTTGGACGCGTTGACGAACGAACTTGACGGCGTCATCACCTCGCCATCGGGACCTCGAAACAGCGTCGGGTTCACCGAGAGTTGAATTCCGCCTGCTGGGAAGAAGAGCACGTGCGTTGCCCATCGCTCGAGGTTGTGGCTCTTGGACAGTTCGGGGGGATTGAGCGATGTCACCGACGCCCAGGCTTCGAAATAGCGGACCCAACGAGGAGGAAGAAGTTTCCTCGTCTTTCTCACCGCATGGCCCCACTTTGGAGGAGGATGGCAGAAGTATGCCCACCAGATCCAGATTCAAGGACGACGATGCTTGTTGGGGGCCGGTCTGGACAAGGTGAAAGGGTTAGGCTGGTTCGCTGCCTGGAGGCGAATGCGTATGTCGAAGAGGTGGCGTGTGAGGCATCCGTTCGGGTCACGGAGCTGGAAGACCCACTTGGCGTGATCGATTGCCAGGCGCCGAGTCAGATCGATCAAACCAAAGCCGCCGTGGTCGAGAGGGGTGTAGAGGCGCAACCGAGAGACCTGCGGATTCCGCTGAGTCCCATCCGAGCCATGACCGTGAATGGCGAGCATGGCCGCATCCTCGATTTCCTTGACGACGCTCGTGGGAGCCGGGATGAACCGATTGTAGTAGAGGATCTTCGTGTAGCAGTAGATGTTGATGATTGAGCATTTAGTCGGGGGGATAGAGCGTATTCGAGCGATTGTCGCGGCTTTGACCCCATCCCACCCCGCATCCTCGGCAATGTCCACCCCGACCTGAATACCAAGGTAGCGAAACTGCGAGTCGCGGAGACGCCAGGTCCCAAGACCTGGAGCGATCGGCCGATCCCTAAACGATCCGAGGGGATAGAGGAAGGGCTTGGTGTTGCTGAGCTTGCTGGCACTTGCCCGTTCGTATAGCCCGATGGCCCGATTGAGATGGTCGAGGTCCGAGAGGTCACGGAGCGCGCAGCAAGCGTCGTCGGCGAAGAGGAGTTCTCGAATCGTTTGAAGGCCCGGGCTCTCGATTCCTTTGACTCTCGATCGGATCTGACAGGCGAAACCCTCGATTGCCAGAACGAAAAGAGACGGAGCCAAGGGATCGCCTTGCCGGACACCCGAAAGGACGTCGAAAGCGGTAGAGAGCCACCCGTTGAGAAATTCGAGGCGGATTGGTTTTAGTAGGTCGCTCGGTACCATTGGCGGGCTTTGGGGCCGAGGCCAACGGCGCAGAGGACTGCATCAAGGTACGTGTGGGAAAGACGATCGTAAGCCTTTTCAAAGTCCATCACCGCTAGCATGCCGGACACGGGTGTTGAGCCCGGAAGTCCAGGGTCCATGAGACACTGGACCTCGGCGATGTTCGTGCCGATCCAACGGTTCGGAACAAAGCCACGTTGGGTTGGGCCGATCAAGGACTCGAGCAAGGGAGCGAGGCGCTGATTATGCGCTTGAGAGATGATGCGCTCGTCTGCGTTGATGAGCGATATGGAGCGTTTGTTCGACAGCTGATCCCTTTCGCCGCTTTTGTGGATGAAGTTGATGTGGGCGATGTTGCGGGCAGACGGTCCAGGCCGAAGACCCTCGGTGGGGATCGAGTTGATGACGTCTCGGAGGATGGGGCCCGTGGCCGTCCACGTCGCGCGGTAGAACTCGACTGGGAGGCCGTCAGGCCCTGGCGACGAGTTCGACTTACACGCCTCTTGAGCCTTTGTCATCTCCTCCAGTGGATACGTTTCCTCGAGCTTGTGTGAGTCCGCTGGGGTGAGGCGAGTCGAAGCAAGGCCATCGATGATCTCCTTGAGGGCCGCGTCATCGATGGGGCGGTCCTCGTAGACCCGTTGGAGGTAGTCGCTGGCCGCTCCAAGCATCGAGTCGGGGTCGGCGTGGACAAGATCGCTGACCGTAAGCGAAGGGACGAGGTCGGAAGCACGCACTTTGCGCAGGCGGATAAAGATGGAAGAGGGACCGCACGCCGTAGCGCTAGTGCTCCCCTTTCGCTCTCCGATCTTCTCCGAATCACTCCGATCCCCCGCGTCGGAAGCGAGCGAGTGTCCGGGCGAGAGCCTGCAGCTTGGGTAAGAGGCGGTGCTTGGTGACCGTCCAGGCTGATGATGGGTCGTCGGGCATCTGGAGAAGCGCTTTGTCATAGAGAGTGCGGACGGTGGAAGTGAGGTGCTCGAAGATCGCGTCGTCCTCGATCACGTGCAAACCCAGCTTGAATTTGCCCGGACCGATGTCGATTGCGCCCGGGATTTGAAACCGTGCCACCACCATCGAGTGCGTCGATTTGAGGACAGAAGCCCAGATTTGTGGTCGTGGAAGAGGTCGACCCAGTCCGGCGAGACATAGATGCGATCGAGGCGTCGGCACGTGCCGGGCGCTGAGCGATTCGTCGTGTCTCGTCACGTCGAGTCGAACAGGATCTGGCTGTCCAGCCTGCACCTTCGTTGAACAACGACGCTCGTCCCGAGCTCTCATTCAACTTCCCTCCCCTCATTTCCACCCAAGCTGCCCCCCACCTCCCCCCCAACCAGGGAACAGACTTTTCCCAAGTTGAAAAATCGTCTGAGCCTCCCAGCCCAACGCCGCCCTCTTCCGCCCCGATGCCTCCCCCGGTCACGCCAAAGACAATCATGACTCGATCCAAGTCGATTGCATCTCCTGCGCCCACCTCAGGTACCCCTCTTGCTGCCCTCCAAGCCACCGAGCCCTCCTCGAAGCCCTCCTCGCCCACGCCGATGCCCTCAGCCGCGCCAAAACCGTGACCCGAAGACGCCGACGCCGACGACGATGCCGACGAAGAAGCCGAAGACCAAGGAGCACCTCCCAAGGACGCGGAAGACGCTATGGACCAAGATGATGAGCGTAACTAAGATCCCAAACGTGTCTTTTGTTGCTGCCAACGTGCAGTCAATCAATGAAGACCGTAAGCGTGCCTCTCTTTTCTCCAATCTCCGCTCCCATAACGCCGACGTCTTTCTCCTGAGCGAAACTGGCCAACCTTCCCCCGAAGGGTGGCCCAGTGGACTCAGGAGTGCCAAGACTTAAAGCTCTCCGCTCTCTTCACTCCTTTCAACAACACTGCCATACTCTGGAGTGGAGTCGATAGACGTCGAAAAGATTGTTTGCCGTGACAACGCACATCTCTTGACCCCCGTAATTCGTACCATTATGGTTTTCCGTACCAAGGAGTTGGGACTCAACACAGTTTCAGTCGCACCCGACAAGGAGCGCAGGCGGCCCCGAAGGGTCGTCACGCACCGCGTGTCGGAGGGCGTTGCTGAGGTGTGAGAGGAAGCGTTTTTTGTCTGGCTTGTCGGAGGAGGGCGCGTATATTGACACAACCCGGACTTTTGAATCACCCGCACGAAAGGTGGCGTCGGTGACTCGGTCCGGGAACGAGAAAGAGGTACGAAGAGTGTTGGGAGGCGACTCGGGATCAATAGTAATGACCACGGAGTCGCTCTTCCAGAGTATGGCAGTATTGTTGAAAGGAGTGAAAACAGCGGAGAACTTCAAGTCTTGGCACTCCTGCGTCCACTGGGCCACCCTTTCCGGGGAAGGTCGGCCAGTTTCGCTCAGGAGAAAGACTTCGGCGTTGTGGGATCGGAGATTGGAGAAAAGAGAGGCACGCTTACAGTCTTCATTGATTGACTGCACGTTGGCAGCAACAAAAGACACGTTTGGGATCTTAGTTGCGCTCATCATCTTGGTCCATAGCGTCTTCCGCGTCCTTGGGAGGTGCTCCTTGGTCTTCGGCTTCTTCGTCGGCATCGTCGTCGGCGTCGGCGTCTTCGGGTCAAGGTTTTGGGCGCGGCTGAGGGCATCGGCGTGGGCGAGGAGGGCTTCGAGGAGGGCTCGGTGGCTTGGAGGGCAGCAAGAGGGGTACCTGAGGTGGGCGCAGGAGATGCAATCGACTTGGATCGAGTCATGATTGTCTTTGGCGTGACCGGGGGAGGCATCGGGGCGGAAGAGGGCGGCGTTGGGCTGGGAGGCTCAGACGATTTTTCAACTTGGGAAAAGTCTGTTCCCTGGTTGGGGGGGAGGTGGGGGGCAGCTTGGGTGGAAATGAGGGGAGGGAAGTTGAATGAGAGCTCGGGACGAGCGTCGTTGTTCGACGAAGGTGCAGGCTGGACAGCCAGATCCTGTTCGACTCGACGTTTTTTGGTCCTGCGGTCCGAGGCGTGGGCCGCGGGAACCGACTTGGATCCGGTGGCGGCGGCGGGAGTGGCGGCGGGCGAAGCACGTGACTTCGGGACACCCTGCGAATTCGACGCGTGGCGGTCCGGGCACTGTTGAGTGGCATGGGAGGTCTTTGTGCAGGTCTTGCACGCAGGGGCCATAGGGCAGTCCTTACGGACATGGGCCGTGGAACGGCAGAAGACGCAGTGGCGCATGCCACCGGTGATCCTCAGCGGCATTCACTCGACCGCCCCGTCACGTTCAATGGTAATCGCAGCGGGGGGTAGGACGTCTACATCTTTGAGGGAAAGGAAGAGATCATATACTCCAGAGATATGCTTCGTCTTTCCGATGCAATGGATGCGTTGGAGGAGGACCTTGCCAAAAGGAGCGATCTTCTCCCTGAAGAGGCGTAGGCCCAGGCCCCTCGGGTGTCTGAGAAGAAGCCCGTAAGGGTGCACTGGATTACACCTCCCTCAGTAGAGGTAAAAAGCTTCTCAAATAGGCAGGTGATCCTTCCAATAGGGAGGCCCTTGGCGATCAAGGTGTCAAGGTCGGCGTTCTTTGGAAAGCGGAGGGCGCTCTGACCCTTGATGACGCAGGGCATCGCGCCGGCGAGGGCGGGGTAGTGTTTGTCGAGCGCAAGAAGGACTTGGTCGAACGAGGTTGCGGATGGGTTTTTGTTGATGATACAGTGTGCGATGTCGTGCATCAGGGGGCTGGAGGCGGCGTCAGTCGAGGGAGCGATGGTGGCGTTGCCGGGCTTCGCAGCGGGACGGGCGCCGACCGCGGCGGAGTAGGATTTGGCGACGGTGGTGGTGGCAGTGGCGGTGTGACCGGGAGGATCGGGAGCGCGGGGAGGTGCTATGACAGAGCTGGCGGTGTTGTTGTTGTTGTTGTCCATGTTGAGTTTAGCTCATTTTTTTATTTATTTTTCCTTCCTCTCCGGAGTGACTTGGGAAGAATTGACGCCCTTCTCAACATGGACAACAACAACAACAACAACAACACCGCCAGCTCTGTCATAGCACCTCCCCGCGCTCCCGATCCTCCCGGTCACACCGCCACTGCCACCACCACCGTCGCCAAATCCTACTCCGCCGCGGTCGGCGCCCGTCCCGCTGCGAAGCCCGGCAACGCCACCATCGCTCCCTCGACTGACGCCGCCTCCAGCCCCCTGATGCACGACATCGCACACTGTATCATCAACAAAAACCCATCCGCAACCTCGTTCGACCAAGTCCTTCTTGCGCTCGACAAACACTACCCCGCCCTCGCCGGCGCGATGCCCTGCGTCATGCTTATCCGCATCTCGGATATTCCATAACGGCGATATCTAATCGCTATTACCGAAGCTCGACGGAAGGTAATGCAAGTATTGCCATAATTTCACACGTTGGTGTGGCTCTAGTATCAGTCAGACCTGAGAAAATTTATACTTTCGGTGGACGGATTTTCCCATAAATTAATACAGGTATAAGCTTGGAGAGTGCGGCTTCAGATCACTACATTATGACCTGAGACTCCGTTTTTGAGCTTCCTACATCAAATCAAGAATTTTCGTGCATCGTTTGAGTCGATACATTGACTTTGGAGGGGAGGAAATCCAGAAGGCCCGAATCACTGAATTGCAGCCAATGTACGGCCTCTACTGAGGCATGATGACATCTAACAAGTTTTGAAAGCTCCAAGAAAAAATATCTTGACCTACTGACGCTGGAAATACGAAGTCATTGTCGTCTGAATCCTCGCGGCATCCTGCTCGGCAACAAGAGTCCTGCGAATCCTCCTAGCCTCGTCCTCAAAATAAATCAAATACGTTGGATCTGAGTATCCATTCATAGCAAACCTAAGGAAAACATCAAGCGCTGAGATTGCCTCCTGCAGCGTCGTTCACTCCGCCGGTCGGAGCTCTATCTCCCCTTCCTCCTCTCCTCCTTCTCCCTCGCAATTCTCCTTCAACTCTTCGGCAATGACCAGGTCCGCAATCTCCTGATCGGTCAATTCAGCCCCACCAGCAAGGTTCTCCTCCTCCATCGACGAGAAAGTGGATACTCATCTTCTCGTTGCTCGTAACTATGCCCTTTTCGACCAGCTCATCGTTCGCCGTCTTCAGAGCGTTCATCGCGTTGATGATGCCGCGATCGCCATTGAGAGGCCCGCGACCGTTGGGAAGAGGTGTATGGTCGGTCGATCCTTTGTTCTTGCTATCAGACAAGATTTGAGCGTGGCGTCAGCAGTTGGCAATCGTCTCGGGGCGGATGTCGTTCCACGCCTCATGTCTCGCTATGATGCGAGTCTTATTCATCTTGACACCATTTCGACCGTTCCGAGCAAGGCCCGTAGACGGACGCATAGCGTAGAAGAGACCGGTTTCGTCCATGTTGAAGATATCACTTGGGTCGTACTTGTTCGTAAAATTGTCAACCGCCGCCTTTGCTCTCCTGTGCTCGCTTCTCAGCTGTTTCGGGGCATTTCGGACTCTTCCAGCAGGCGGCTCGTCAACAAGAACGCCGAAGGAGAGGCCAATTCCTGATCAATCGCTCATTTCCGGCTCTCTCTTATCTTATAATTTGACCTGTAAGCCCATAAATTATAAGGTATAAGATTGGACAGGTTCTGTCAGCCAAAAAAGTCGGGAGATTGAAAAGTCCATAAATTTTGACAGGTATAAGATTGGGCGATATAAATTTTCTCAGGTCTGACTGTATGGGTCTACAGATTAGTCGAAACCCGCGCTCGTTGTTGGCGCTGCTAAAATCGCAAACCCGGAACCAGACGACCGCAGGGACCGGTCATAGATAAGCCAGCAAGATACGAGGACCAAGAGCAAGCACTGCTTATTGCTTGGTGCGAACACCGCCAAAGTCCTCGTGGACATCTGCACAGAGGGAGCGATGTATGTCAGTCGATCAGCGAGCGAAGACATTATGCAGAAAGATCCACCGAATAGCTAGCTACTCACCGAGCAAGACCTTGAGCGCGTTGCGAGCGCGGACCTTGGAAATATCCTCGACTTGGGCGGGTAAGAGATCGGTGATGGACGTGGACGGATCAGGGAAGGGAAGGACCTGTGGTTGGTGATGCCATGGTCAGTGCTTCGGTAAGTGCAATACTGACCCCAGCACTCAGCACTCACCTTCTTGAGATTCTCGTACGCGACAAGAGTCTGCGCAGGTGGGACATGAAAAGCTTATCAGCATCTCGTTAACGCAGGTGGTCAGCACCTCTGGACGTACGACACCGAACTGGGGACTTGATCGGAAGACACGCGCCAAACCACCCTTGTACAATGCTCGCGGGCCCTCCTCGGCCACTGTTGTTTCAATCCAAGATTCGCCGGCTCCTCAGTATCAAAACACGATATCGAAACAGGCTCATCACCGAGACTCACAGATTTTCTTAAACGCATCCGGCACGCCCTTGTAATGGGTCTCACCCTTCCTCGCCTCGGTCTGCAACCTCGTCTTGATCACATCCGCAGGCGTGGTCAAGTATGCAGCTGGCATACCGGCCGCAGCAGCCGAGATCAACGCCTCGCCGTACCCTAGGACCTTGCCGTCTCGCCCTTCGTGGAAGACGTCTCGTTTCAGATGCCAGTATCTGTGTAGCGCATACAGGGACCGTTCTGTCAGCATCGGCTGACAAAATGATGGCCCTGCGTACATGTGGAACTCACGCAGGGAAGTAAATAGCCGAGAACGGCACATCACGACACAGACAAGCGATAGCCCCTTTGTACAAGCCGATCAATCCGAGCGACTTGATAATCTGCCCCGCACTCTGTCGCACCGCACCCGGGGTCGCGGTCTGTCCCTGCATCTGCAGGCGAATCTTCACGATCTCGAGAGGGTTCGTAAAGATCTAAGACGGGACACGTCACATCGATAAGCGGCATTCCATGCATGTTCGACTTGTCCTTAGCTGCATACGTACAACTTGGCATCCACCAGCTGCACCACCGGCTAGCAACTCCCACGGCACGGTGATACGCCCCGTCTCCTTGTTGGTCGCGTACCCGCGCACGAGATCGTTGACGGTCAACTTGATCGCTTTTTCCGGTGCGACACCAATCAACTGCGGTGGCAGGCCTCGGTAAAAACCGAACAGACCTTCGTTCTTGTACACCTTTTTGAAGCAATCTGCAAGGAGAAACCACCCGTAGCCACGTCGGTTACCAGAACAGTGACTTCAAAGCGGTAGCCGAGGATGGGGGGACGCACCTATCGAGTTGTTGTACAGCAGTTCACCGACAACTTTTGATCGCTGGTTCTGCATTCGCGTCTTGACGACATCGATAGGGTATACGAACGTGGCTCCCAAAGCACCGGCAATACCTCCCAACCCAAAATAGTACATCGACTGTCGTTGAAAAAAATATGCACAGATGTCAGCGATCAGAGCGCTTTGAATAAGGGGCCGCAATCGTTCGACCCACCTTGGCCGTCTCGTGCAAGAATGTCCCCGACTTGGGCTTCGTCGTCCCAACCGCTGTCCTCGCAGGCCCCCACTTGGGGTCCAAAAGCGCCGCAAAGTCCCTCAACCTCAGCCTCGCCTTCCGATCGCCATGCCCAACGTAGTGGAAGATGATGGCGACTTCCATCGGGGAGAATGTACCGTATCGCATCGCCCTCGAAGCATGGTTCGTGAAATCCGAAGGGGTGATCTTGCCGTCCGGTGAACGCGCACAAGCTTCCCTGACGATCTTCTCGATCATGTCCATCTCCCTGACGACGTTGTGGAAGGCGATGCATTCAGAGTAGGAGATCTTGCCACCGGGGGAGATGGCCGCGAGGGAAGGCAGGTCCGAGAGCACGGCGTCGGACAACTTGTGCCGAGCGAGCTCGTAGATGATTTTTTGGAAGTCCTCGGGTTCGATGTAGCCCGTTTGATTCTTGTCAAAGTGGGCGAAGCCTTGACGTAATCGCTCGCCTTGGAGTCCCTTCATCAATTGTGTGAATTCACTGTGCGGAGTAAAGAGGGCGACGATGGATCAGCATAAGGCAAATCTCGGAGTAGGACAAGAGTGGCTAACCTGTAACCCAATACATGTTTCCCGCCGACTTTGCCCAAGTAGAGCTTGACCCAACTGCTGTCAAAGTCGAACGGGATCGCATCCGGTCCCAAGTTGGCCGAAAAGGTCGATTTGAATTCGTCAAACGAGACGTCCCCACTCCCGTCGGTATCGAAGAATTTAAAGGCGATCTAAAGTGATGAATCGAGACGTGTCAGCTTGCATGGCTCAGAATCATCCGCGCCCGATCACTGCAACTGACATCGAAATCGGCATCCGGTTTTGTCAAGAGTTTCTCGAACGAGTAGAAATCCTCCCATGTGACCCTGCCCGATTTAGATCGGTCCGCAATGCGAAACAAGATGCCTGTGATGAAAGGAACGCTTGAAGAGTATCAATACCTTGCACATCATCTGCAACGAGCGTGTCGGCGCTTCGGTTCGGTTCGCAACTTGAGACAGGCCGGGGACGCACCGTACTGTTGTCGTGTAATCTTGGCAAAGTCACCGGCGGGGGCGATAGCCGTGACAAAATCCGGCTCCGTCAGGTATCTATAACGAGTTGAAGGGCGCCGAGTCAGTGACCAGAGAAAGAGGGCCTCAATTGGATCTCTTCTCGTGCCGCGTCGAGAAAGATCCGTCTACGCGCCCCATCGCCAAGACTCACGCCGCTCCCCCGATCGAATCAGACGTGGCGAATTGAGCGAAGGCCTTCTTCCACTTTGCGACGTCGGCCTCGGTCGGCTCAGAGACCTCGACAGAGAAGAAGCGATCGCCGCCTTTGGGCAGCGATGACGACGAGGCCGAAGCCGAAGCCGGGGGAGCAGCCTCGCAGTGCAGCGGGGTTTCTATTGGAATCATTCAGAAGAGATTATATGTTCAGTAGAGAGAAGTCTTATGCATCCGTGCATGTGTCAAGAATGGTCGCTCCGAGATAGCCGGTGTCTCCCGCTGGACGTCCGCCCGTGCGCCGTCATGGGCTCGTTTCGTCGTCTGCCGCGAGAAAGAGTCCGGGGTAACCCCTCTACGCTCAACTGCGGGCGATGCATCCGACGTTGACGTTGCGCCGTAGCCCGAAAGAGGGCAGGGGGTGCTTCTGGGTAGAGAGGGCTTGAAGCTCGCTTCTCCATCGTGTGCGGATCGACCGCATTGTCGTCGCAGTCGCTGTCGAGATCGTCGGTTGCGTCACATTGCCGGTCGCGAACACGAGCAGTAGTGGTGCTCCTGCGAGCTGCGGCCTTCCTCACATCTCCTTCGCCAAAGCCATAATCTGGAACAATCAGGAGCCGGTAATAAAGTGGGGCACTTACGGTTGAAGAGGCCCAACATGGTGTTACCGGTCGTGTCTGCCGCCGCGCTTGGGCTCACGGGAAACTGCAGTCGAGGATGCAAGCCGAAAAACAGGCGCGAGCCGGGCAAGGCCGGATCGAAAACCCCGCGTTTTCCCTCGTCTTGTCGGCCGCCGCTCAGGCCGCCTGTCGCTGGACAGCAGGACCATTCACGTGAGTTCTGGCGCCTGACCTTGCAGCTGCTGAGGGTTGCGCTTGGCCAGGCAGGTGACTTCCAACCTGGCGAAGTCGACTCTCCTCAGATCATGCTTGGCCTTCCTCGGGTGCGTGGCGAAAGTCGTGACTCTCGGACCTACATCGTCGTTCGGGTCGTTCTTGCGATTGCTTTCAACAAGCTCTACCTTGCTCGATGGCATCAGCACAAGGATCAAATTCCCCTACCGACCCCGTACTTTCTTTCTCGCGAAGTCCGCTCGCATCTCAAATTCCGACTTCGACGTCTGCCAGACGGCGAGCTTCTGGACCAGATGATGTGACTTGACGTTTTCATGAGTACGGAGTTTCTGAGTTTTCTCTCCTGATTTTCCTCCCCTCTCCTCTCTCTCTTTCTCGATTGTGCCTATTCTTTAACACCGTGGAATAGGAAGGGTGGTTGGTGCTCACATGATTGGAATCACACTTTTGGTGGTTTCAGGAGTGTGGGGGCTGCATGGATCTAGTGGCTATAACTTTACATAAGTCCAACCCCCCTTTTCAAGAAACATTGATTTTGCGTAGATAACCGAATATGTGAAATCTAATCAGGCTTGATACAAAAAAAAAAGACGCCGCCGACGGTCACGACGGTAGGGAGGAAATATGTCCGGACGGGAGGGGCCTACGTTGACTCGGGCCTAGTTCGGCGTTACTTCACAATAACTTCACCAGAGAAAACAGAAGACGAACGTGGCCTGGACAAAGCGGCGCTGAGTGCTCGACTGGCACTGCGGTAGTGACCACGACCAATGAGTCCGCGAGCAATAACTACGCGAATAAGTACTGCCGAGCTCCGACATCAGAGTAAAGTATTTGCTGTAGTAGCGATTTCACGAAATTTAAAATGCTCTCGGGAGATCATGAGTCGCATGCGCTTCAGAGTTTCGCTCTCGACTTGGAGCCCACATTGCAACTTGCGAAATTGACGATCAGCGGACCTCGGTCCTCGGTCCTCGGCAGCTTCCAACCGAACTGCCGAGGGGAGATGATCACGTGATTCAGTCTCGGTCGCCGGTCGGCAGAGACACGGTAGGTAGTGTACATACGAGAACGACTGGTTGAGAGGATGGGATGGGCCAAACGCAGGATCATACTCCTGTTCGGTTACGAAGCCACCTTTCCACGTCGCCACGGTGCCGGGAGGAGACCCGACACGGCTGCCGAGTCGTTGTCCACGTCGGAGATGGGGGCCAGTGGGGGCCTGCGCGCCTAATAAGCGGCTAGTCCGCGGCAGCTCGCGACAGAGGGTCTCTCCCTCTTTCACCCTCGGGCGGTCGTCTCGCGCATTGCCTCGCTCTTTCCCCGCCGCATGCGGTCGTAGCATTGATACAAACGCTTCGACCTTCGACAATTGGCAGTAGCGTTAGGTCCGAATCGATCAGCTTGGAACGTGGTTCGGATTCGGGGAGTCGAGCACCGCTTTGGAGGGCGCTCAGGTCGACTAGTCGAGGAGGAACTGCCAACACATGGGCTTCCTGTGTCGATGATTCCCCACCTCGGAGCTTCAACCCGACGGGCACCGCACGGCCCAGTCATCACAGAGGCTCGGACGCGACGTCGACTACCATCGTATCCAACGTCCACAGGCCGACATGGGTCGAAAGACTACCGCCCGAGCTCGCACATTTCCTAGGTCACAGACCTCCTACCAGGCGAGTTCGACCGGGATCTTCCTCGGATGCCAGATCGGACAAGTTCTGACGCCGCGATCCCCGCTCGTCCCTTCCCATAATATTAGGCCCCTCTCCTCTCGCTTGTTGACACCCTTCGCATTCCTCCCGAAGCAAGGCGAGAACATCCTGATCACATGGGTGGGCTCATTCGTCTCGATCCTCATCGCTTGCGCCTTGTCGTCTGTCTTTGCCTTCGAATGGACCCAAGTGGCGATTGGCTCGCTCGGTGCCACAGCCGTGCTGGTGTATGGCGTTCCCGAAGGACCCCTATCCCAACCTCGCGCACTCGTGGGCGGGCATCTCTTGTCCGCTTTGACGGGAAGCATAGTACGTCCCTTCCTATCACAAGTTTCCTGGATTAGGGAGCTAAGACCTGACCCCGAAATCGACTCTCATAGATCGGTCTCCTCTTCTCCCTCTCTCTCCCAAATGGTCGAATGCCGACCTAGCCTCACGGAACGAGTTCTCAGGTCTCGTTTCCATCGCATTGGCTCTCACTGTTGCAACGAGTATCTCAGTAATGCAATTGACCAAAACTGTGCATCCACCAGGTGAGTTGGAAAGTTGATGGCCGTGGACACAGCGAATCACTGCTCATGCTAATGGAGCGGAAAACCTATTTCCGGATCGCTCGCTGGCAGGAGGTGCGACAGCTCGTAAGTCCCACCGGTACGCGCTTCATTCTTGAGTCCTTCTCATCGGACATCATCTCCTTTTTGATTCGTTAGTCATAGCCGTCACACAACCCAAGCGATGGGCCTTTGTCCTGCTCATCACCTCGACTGTCGCGCTGATGGGTCTCTGGGGCATGATCATCAACAATCTCGGTCGAGGGAGACGATACCCCGTTTAGTGAGTAGCGCAATATTCATTTCTTCTTTGAGCGTCTCGATATTGACCCTGTCAGCTATCGTTTTTTCAAGTTGGTGGGCTCCAGCCACAACAAGTACCGCACCTCCTTTGGTCGACATGGGCACGAGTAAAACGGATGAAACCGAACTCAAGGAAACACTTCCAACGGGGATAAGTATAGAGGATGATGAGGGAGGGGCCCGTTGGTTGGGCTCGGTGGGCGAAGAGCTGGAGAGTGAAGGGGATGAGGAAGTCACGAGGGGGAGGAGCTCGACGGCTAGGAGGGGTTGATGGGCGGGGAGGGCTCAGGCGAGGAAAGATATCTTCCTAGGGAACGAAGGAATGCACGCATACCATGTTTACCCTGTTGTTGTAGTATTGTTTATATCAAATGTGTGGATTTGTCTCGATTTTCTTCAGGTCATAGTCTACCACCCCTCCGTAAGAACCGGCAATGCATCCCGCAACCCAGTCAAATCCCCCACCGCTTCCGAACTCATCAAAGTCCTCACCGCCGCTTGTTGAGCAACATCCACAACACCCTTCAACTCATCAAAGTCGTCCAGCCTCTTTCCTCTACTCATTAAAGCCCCCAAAGCCCCCGCTAACGAATCCCCGGCCCCAGTAACGGAAACGACCTTCCCTTCTCCCATCTCAATCCCAGGATAATAAGCAACGACGACAGCCTCCCTCCCCGTCTTTGTACAAGGTGCAACGACGACGTTTATCCCTTGTTTCTTCCGCCATTGAGTCACTCGATCCCCTCCACTGATTCGTTGAATGACGACGACGCCCCTTTCCCCCGCTTTGACGAGTACACATCCGACAAGGGGTAGGAGCCTCACAGCCATTTGGACAACGCCTTGCCCCGTGATCCATTCGGGGAGATCCCTAGCCAAGAGGTGATGAGGTAACGTGATGAAGTCGAACCAGTTGCCGGCTTCCCAATGCGGTTTCGTGGGGGATGTAGCTGTGACGTGTCCGTAGAGCACTTGTAGTTCGTGGATGTTGGGCGTGATTAGACTGACACAAGGGGTTTCGTCAGTGGGGGGTCGGCCAGCCGAGGAAGGGAGGGGGTCAGAAAGGGCTCGGAGAATCTTGAGTGATTGGGCGTTCGAGGTTGGCTCGAAGATGGTCCGAATTTCCTTCTCCCGACAGTACCCCAATACTGCCGTTAACAACGATATCGAGAGGTTCCCATCCATCACCACCGTATTTGGTTCGGCCCGCTTCAACCTCTCAAGCACCTCCTGAACAGGTAACGAAGCCGCGATCGACATGTCCGCCACACCGCCCACGAGTCCACCTTTTTCGTCCAACAAATACCCACACGTAGGTGTTCGACCATCCTTGAGCGATGTAATCAAGCCATCGCTCCGCATACCACGATCCCCGAGTCGCGTCCGCGCGAGAGATCCTAGAGGATCGTCCCCTATCGCTGCGACGAGCAGGACGTCGGGTATGCCGATAGATCGTGCAGCGGCAGCGACATTGCCTGCAACTCCGCCGAGGGAGATGGTGACGGAGCCTGGGGAGGTGGTCTGGAGTGGTGAAACGGTTGGGATCATTGAGATGTCGACCGCGAGAGACCCGATGACGACGAGAGCTGCGGAGGCGGAAGGTGGTGGTGGGCCCGGAGTGGCGAGAGTTGGTGGAGCAGAGGATGAGGTTGGGGGTCGTGAGAACTCAGGGAACGCTGGAGCATGCATTTTCATCGGATGGCTCTGCTATTCCAGGTGTCAAAGAACGCTCAGCTACATGGCAACGTGACGTAACAGGGCAAATTATCACACCTCTTTCATAAGCCGAGCATATTCTTGCGCCACCCTGCCTCCCACTCTGACATTGTTTTTGATGAGTGCCCGATCTGTGATAAAGTCCAGCACCATTCAGTGTCCAATAAATAATGGGTGATCTTGTCCTCGTCGGGGACTCACTGGAAATGACAGCTCTCCCTTTGGTCAACTGCCCGACCCTAGCGAGCAACCAAGGCGTGACTGCTTTGCCACTCTTGGCCATGCCGTTCTCCACGCTTTCCCGAATAGCTCGCTCGACCGCCTCTTGAATTGCGGCACCATCTGGGTGGTGTTCCTTTGGTATCGGCACACCAAGCAGGAGCGAGCTTTGAAGACCTAGCCGATCTGTCATAGCTGGCGGAGGCGAAGGCAGAAGTGCTGTTAGGCCAGGTCAAGAATACGCGGGCACCCGACGACGAACCAATGATTTCGGCTGCTTCTGCCTCGGTGCTGATTCGCATCGGTGACTTGAACCCCGATGTGGGCGAATAGAATGCGGGCCACTCATCAGTAGCAAGGGATGCGACGGGCACGGCATGCGCTTCCTGTCGATGGTATCGCCCAAGCATCCAGATCAGCCTATCCGCCAATCTGCATCGATTTGCCGTGTAAAGTTGTCAACGTACGAGGTACTCAAGGGTGAGTCCTATATCCAGAATCGACTTTGATCCAGCGCAGACGACGGCAACAGGGGTGTCGGCGAGAGCGATCAAGTCGGACGAGATGTCGAAACCTTGTGAATGTACCTCGAGCCGTCCGAGTTAGCACCTCGGATGTAGCCGAGGTGTATCCTACACGTTCGGTCGACAATACTCACTTGTCTCTGCACCTCGATGTACACCACCTATCCCGCCGGTGGAGAAAACCTTGATGCCGACCATATGTGCTATTGCCATCGTCGCCGAGACCGTCGTACCTGCCGAGAGACCCTGCCCGAGTCGAGTTTTCCCACGCAATGAATAAGAGGTGAGCTATCCTTCCTGGTCTATTGAACGTGAATCACTCTCGTACCTTGACCAAGCATGCCCCCAGCTCCCTTCTCCCCACCTTCCACAATTCCGAATCGCTCTTGTCCGCCGAATGTGCCTTATCGGCCAGTTGTGCGAGCTGCTGCGGCTCGAGGCCGACTTTGATCCTCCCATCGAGGATGGCGATGGTTGCTGGCACGACTCCCTGGTCTCTGAGAATGGCCTCGCATTCCAAAGGTAGCTCGTAGCAATGTGGTGGTGACATGCCTGTGCGACACCAGCGTCGGTCGAGCAAGGTCGAGGGCGTGAAGAAAGGATAAGCAGCCGCCAAAGTCGCTCTAGACAGCCTTCTGCACAATCTGCTAGCTTACCATGCGTAATCAAAGTCGATTCGAGAGCTACGACAGGTGCCCTCTCCGCTTGAGCCTGCTGTATGGCAGGGTGAACGTCGATTGGCAGCGAAGCTAGCGACGAGGTGGACGGCAGTCGCCAGCGTTGGTAGGAGGAGGTAGAGAAGGACCGTTTTGTCTTCATGTACGAACAGGTCCATCCTACTGGAGTCCTGACGGACGCCATAGCCTTGGAGCGTGCGTTGATGCGTGGGGGCGGAAGAAGAAGCAGGAGCAGGAGCAGCTCGCGAAGACGAGAGGCCCACCCCCACTTCGACGCCCAGGCTGGCAGCTCAGCCCTGCTCAGCCGAGGCAAACTTTCTCCGCCGGTGCCTTGTTCACCGAGCTGTGAAGAAGGGACAACAAGGAAAGCCTCGAACTCTTTGCTTTTCTCGAAATCGCTCTGACTGATTTTTCACGGTCTGCCCCTACTACCGACCCAATAACGACGTACTGGCAGAGTTCCGAGCTCACCCCACTACTATTCGGCTGTTCGGGCTCGAGAAGGTAAAATCTGATTCGCTTCTCAAAAGGCATCTGAGCCAGGCTTCATGACTCGGACAGGATTGTTGTTGAGGAACGCCGCAATATTTTCCGGTGTTTGCTCCCTATTTTGTGCATGGAAACAAGTCAGCCCGTTTCTAAGTCTCTAACGGCCGATCAGGCTCACCAGAACAGGTTCATCGTCGAGTCGTCAACGTAGCCCATATGCGGTGAAAGGACAACGTTCTCGAGTTTCCTGAACGGATGCGATATCGGCAAGGGTTCCTCGTTGAAAACGTCCAAGCCAGCCCCAGCAATCGTCCCCTCTTGCAATCCCCGAAGCAAAGCTTGCTCGTTCACGATCGGACCCCTCGAGGTGTTGACCAAGATCGCCGTCTTCTTCATCATCTCCAATTGATGGTGACAGATGAGATCCTTCGTCACATCGGACGAAACGATGTGGATTGAAACGACGTCACTGCGCGTCAACAAATCTTCCAACGACGTGGCGAGCTCGACACCCGCTTCCTTGGCCCTCTCTTCGTTCAAATTCGGGCTCCACCCTACAACCGCCATCCCGAACGCCTTGGCGACATTTGCCATAGCTTTTCCAATTCTCCCCACACCTATAAGTCCCAGCGTTTTGCCCGATAAAGCAGTGGCGACACCGGTCTGCCAGCTCGGAGCTTGGCCCTTCAAGTTGACGTGTTCGACCACGATCCGCCGCGAGAGCGCCACAATCAACGCCCATGTTTGTTCGACCGTTCCCGAAGCGGTGTTCCCATTCGCGATCGTACCACTGACGATGATGCCCAAATCTTCGCAGGCTTGTAAGTCGATGCCTCGGCTGCCAAGAGGAGTCACAGCTCGTGTCAGTCCCATGTGGGGGTCCTGCCAGCCCTCACTGGCTTAGCATCCCGATGCTCACTTTCGCATCCCAGTGGTCGAGATGAACTTGAGATTCGGAAGGTGCTCCAAAACCGATCTAGGGAACTTGGTTCTCTCGCGCATTGCGTGAATGATGGTGTAGGGCCTCAACGTCTCGACGAGGTCGGCTGGGTCGATCGCCGTGTTCATCACTTTCATTTTCACGTCCTTGGGAATCTGGGACCAGTCGGCCGTCGAGGATGCATTTTGATAGTCATCCAAGATAATGATGGAATGTGGACGGGTCGCCATATCGGGATGAGCAGTGCGGGATGGACAAAAGCTGAGCCCGACCGCTGAGCGCGGTCAGCCCGCCGATGGCGTTGGTGAAGCTGGATATATGCGTCCAGTTTGTTTCCAATCCCTTTTGATTGAATCGTCCAGGCTCGCAGCCAGTGACATTGGTTATCTTATATGTCATGACCAGTTCTAGTAGTGATAGAGAGTAAGTCTGTTTGAGTAGCTCTTCATTCACTCACTCTTTGGCCTGGTAAGGCATTACATAATCAATCAGTTAGTACCCGAGGCTCATTGGGTGTCAAGCTCGCTCATATCGACTACATCCAATCCTAAGGAGAAAGAAAAACAATGGCTTCTCCTAATATATATATATAGCGTATTCGAATCGCCAGGCACTCGCCCTTCACCAAAATCAAACGATTTGGACCGCACAGTGTCGGCGTGGCCGGTGAGGCTGGTGAGGAGCGCGGAGCCCCTGCAGCGAAGGTAGTAGCACCCCCAGTTCACATCAGCTCAGGTGCTCGAGCCAAGGAGAGCCCACGTCGATAGTCCCTACCCAAGAGAACCAGCTTGTAAGGGTCCTCTTGAAACGCGAGTAAAGTAACGGATTGCAAAGCGTCCCCAATAAGGAGAAAGTTCTTCGTCGCCGTCAAGGAAGTGACGTGGACGCCGACATCGAGGAACTCAACGGCGATGAAGACTTCATCTGGTTCCAGTGCGCGAGCGTAGAGCTTCTGCTCCATCGACATGATGAGGTGGCGGTTGATGTCGCAAATGTTGCCGACGACGGACTTGGTGTCTTCGTTCAGGAGCCGCTTGAGCTTGTGCGCGTTCGACGCGAGCCGGAGCGGACTTCTTTGTCCACCTCCGACTACGCGCCTTCGCGATTTTGGCCCATCTGAAGCCCAACATTTGTCCAGTCGGGCGCTACGCGCGTCAGGCCGGGCTTTCGGGTGTCTCTTTGTAGACTAGGTGGAATTCAAATTCTCATTCTCATTCCATCAACCAAACACCAAGCACCAAAAACGCGACCTCTCTCATCGCTTCATCACTTCCTCACTAGCTCGCTGCATCGCTGCATCGCTGCATCGCTCGAATTGACGATGCCAGCGAAGCAAGGTGATAGGGGTCGCCCTCGTCCCAGTCCTCCATGTGACTTAGCCTCCCCACCCAGCAAGCGCCCACTCCAAGCGTGTTGGCCAACAAGCGTTGAGGCTCCACGCAGCGCATTCGATCACGAGCCCCCTATACAGCCAGATGCAAGTGAAAATAAAGTCTCAATCGGTCTGGTGTTGCTCACGCGCTGACCAAACCTCTCAGTCGTCTTCTACCTGCAACAGTCACCACCGTTATGGGTCCCGCCGTCGCCCGCACCCTCGCATTCGCCTCGATCGTCATCGTCCCCGCGCTCGCGCCCGCCCGCGCCAGCAGCACTTTCGCTATCATCCGGGTCCTGCTGTTCGTCGTCGTCGCGCTCGTCGTCGCGCTCGTCGTCGCGTTCGTCGTCGCACTCACCATCGCAGTCGAACGTGCGCCAAGATCGCGGCAAGGCTCAGGCCGACGACGAGGTCCCACGCTCTCCGTCGTCGCCGAGCATGGCGCGCTGTCCGACGACGGCAAGCGGCGCCCACTCCTCCCACCATCATCGTGACGAGCGTGACCATTTCAATCACTCGCAGATGATGCCTGCGACCGCGAGCAATCCGGCGCGCGAAAGTGTGATCGAAGCTCTTATTTCGCCTGCGCTGGACTGCGAAGACGACCAATTCTTCATCGAAGAGGAGATCGTTCCACGCGTCGTTGTGTGCGATACCCCGGGTTTGGTGTATTCGATCAGTCGGATGGAGCAAGCACGGTTCAAGGCACGCGTGCAAGAAGTTCAGAAGCGCCCCAAGCGCGTCCTGAGCAGGTTGAGGGACGATTTCAAACGCGACTGCCAACGACCTGCGAGCCAAACAAAGGCAGATTGGGTATGGCCACTTGCAAAATATGCAAGCATCCTCCAACCAGGGCTATCCGGATTATGCGTGGCTCACGAAGACGCTAATTGCTGCCACCGCTGTCCGGTTTTCGAACTACTAGGCGAGTTCCGCTGGCGGACAACAGAAGAGTTTGACGATTGCACGAGCGCAAGAACACCCTCGATTGACTCAAGAAGGTGCACACCACAAGGATTTCAAACGTTCTCAACCTCACCATTTCCTGACGTGCTGTGAGCAGATGGCCGTGAAGAAGAAAGGGCCCGCCGCACGTGGTATGCTTGTCCCAATTCGTTTCGGCGTGCCTCCGCAGGGGGCCCATGCCAAGCGAACCGCGTGCGTCTCGTCTCCCCTCGTCGACCTCGTTCTCGACTTGGCGCAGCATGCACTCAGTCAACCAACCCGCGTGTATGCGCCGGGCCTGGCCATCACCGATACCAAGGCTTACCTTGTCGTGCTCGACCATGAGGCGTGTCGGATCGCGGCCATCGCGGATTGCTGGGGTGAGCGCTTTGGCGAGTTGGGGGTCGTCCTTTCCATTATGTTTGGCCTGGATGTCTACTCGGCAGGGTTCAACCCGCTCTTCCGCTACGCATGCCATTTCCAAATCGGCATCACCCCAGCGTCATTTTTGGCTTCTTGCCTTCGTCCGCCTGAGCTTGAAGAGGGAGCTCCTCTCGTTGGCCGCACCGTCGAGTTCATCGACGAGGAACCCATCGAGCTCGTCCATCCCACACTCACGGACGGCGGGTCCATCTTCAGCCGCAGCACGGTCGTTTTGCAGCTGACCCGACCAAGCTTGATCGCGCCGGCGGGCTCGGCATCTTCGCCGTCAAACTCCACACCGTCCTTTGTGCTCAAGATTCAATACAATACGCTCAACTATGTTGGTCACGAGGCGAACGTGCTGCAAAAGATTGAGGAGCGTTGCGCATCCATCGCGTCGCAGGAAGAGTCGTCACTGATCTTCAACCACATCGCTCTTCTCGAAAAGCCGAAGTCGTTCGGCCTTCATTACTCGCAAATACAGGACAAAGACTTGCCAGTGCTTCGAGACGGGCAAGATGCCTATCAGCGAGTGCGACGACGCAAGCTGGACCTCCTCATTCTTCGCAACCCCACTCCTCTACCTACCCGGGTCCACGGGCACCGACATTGTCGCCACCCGTTAAGCGACGCCTTCCATGTCTTGGGCCGGCTTTTTACATTGCTGCCGATCCTCTACGATCTCGGTATTCATCATCGCGACTTGTCGCTCGGCAACATCCTCCACCACCGAGGACACCTTGTTCTGGTCGACTGGGACTCGGGCATCGTTGCGCCGCCGGGTGTACGGGTTCGCAACGTTGCCGAGGATTGTGGGTCCGTCAGAGTCACCCTGGACACGGCACCTTCGGACGTGCTCCTCTGGCTCCTCATGGGTCGGGAGAGGACTCTGGCGTTTCGCAGTCTTCAGGACGACCTCGAATCCGCGGTCTACTGGTTTGTGCAAGTCGTGGGCTCATTTGCCGAGTTTTTGAGCCCGCGAACTTGGGAAGCATGGAAGCCGCTCTATCTAGCGTCGACCTGCGCGCTACCGGGCTGGAAGCACCTGTTCAATGCACGCCTGGATCTGTGGGGCAGCGTCCTTGATCGTAGTCCACGACGCCGATATCTTCTGGAAGCTCTGCACAAGCTCAGTCCGCGGGAATGCCGATTGGTCAACATGCTCACCCTCAAACTGCCTGACTTTCCCCAGAGTCCGGACGGCATTGTGAGGACCAAAGCAATGATAGCGATGATGCAGACCAAGATGAGAGAGATCCTTGGATATCAGTCTCGCTCGTAGATGTTCATTGGTTCTTCATAATTTCTTCCTCTTTTGTTACATTTTGAGATCATTCGCAATTGTTGAGAGACCTTGCGGCCATCAAAAAGCTTCGGTGCCTTGCCTGAATACACTGTCATTTTTTAACATCCACCTCGAGTCTCCTCGAGTTCCCTCGCGGCTTCTCTCCTCCCAGAAACGAGCGCATGCGAGGTTTGGCTTGTGCCCGTCTACTGCTGCGCCTGGCAACCCATTCATCTTCTCGATCGATTAAATTCTAGTCCCTAGGGGCGTAGGAGAGCTCCGTCGAACAAGCTCAACGTACTCCCTTCCGGACCGAGCTCACTTCGGAGTTCGCAGCGGCCGGGGGACGGCGCCGGCCCGGGGTGCTGCGAGTCGAGCACCGGATCGTCCAGGAAAGCAGAGGATAGCCCGGTCTATAGTCAATGGCGTACCCGCCAGGACGTTTCAGTTCGCCACTGGATGCGTTCGACTATCAACGTCGTAAGTCATGCTGGTTGGCGACCGTCGCTCACGCCGAGCTGTTGCCCAAGCTGACGATGGGGTTCCTCTGCGTAGTCGCGAGTTCCGAACGAGGAGTCGAATAAGGAGGCGCAACATCATCTTCATCCTCATATCACCTTCCGAGAGCTTTACGAATACCCATCGTCCGATACCTCCTCGTGGGCTTGCTCGCACTGGTCGGATTGCACTGGCTCGCATTGTTCATGTCCCCGAGCTACGCCGCCAGCGCCTCCCTCGAAGCCATCGCATTCAAAAGTGGTCTAGGATCAGATGGCTCCCCTTCATCATGGCACGACTCTTCAACAACAAATCTAGATGACTTGACAAGTGTCGGCGGTACCGGACTCGCGCCGTTTGAGTCGCTTGACCCCGAGCTCAATGCGATCACGTTCGTCATCCTCGCTCGCAACTCGGATCTATGGAAGATGGATCTATGGAAGATGGATCTATGGAAGATTGTAGGCAGCATCCGACAGACTGAAGGTGGGTTCGACGCTCTTTCCTTTTTGAGAGGCATGAAGCCATCCTTCATTCCAAGCACTAGATTTGCTGACAGTCGACCATCACTTTTCTTTCGAGCAGATCGGTTCAACAAAAACTTCCACTATCCCTACGTTTTCCTCAACAACGAGCCCTTCACAGACGAACTCAAAAAAATCACCTCGCTCCTCGCAAGTGGGACATGTAGCTATGGTCAGGTTCCGAGCGATCAGTGGGCCGAGCTGGATCGATCAGACGAAAGCGGCCAAGGCGCGTCAGGCAATGGCTGAAAGAAGATCCTCTACGGCGGCAGTCAATCGTATCGACGGATGGCAGCTGACGTGACATCTCCATCGGTCGGACCAAACGTTGGGATTCTGGCGAATGCCGCGTACTGCCCTGCTCGCAATTGCATCCGTACCTGGGCAAGAATGAGTATAATTGATGAGCACTCTCTGGGCCATATGTGCAGAGCAGACATTTGTAGCTCACTTCCTTACGTCCGTCTTTGATGTATCCTATGTTGTCCATCTCGTTCGCGGTTGAAAAGCGACTGAAGGTCCCTTGTCCTGTCCAACGAATGGACCTCGCAACTCCTGACACAGCTTCGAGACGGGCTGCACCCATTGATTGCACTAAGCCTCGGAGGACTCTGGAGTGCACGTCATCATGCTCGGACAATCTTGCATCACTTGTTTGTGCTGTTGATGTGGGATCGAAATCCTGGGCACGCGCGGTGCCTTCTCTGGAGTAGGATTGCTCTGAGGTGGGCGCACATTGACGGGCCTGACGGTGCTGGATCAAGCTTTTCAGATCAAGCGCAAGCTGACGAGAGTCGTGACGCAGAAGGGATGGGCGCCGAAGAATTTGAGCCTGTGAAAGAGTGCTGATTCCGCTTAGTGTTGCTGCACGAAGACAATTGCTGCTTAAATGAACCTACACGACCCGGCAAGCTTTCATTTGCTGTCTCAATGGCGTCGAGCAGCAAGCGTTCCTCTGCTTGAGCATCGGCCTCGTCATACGCCTGCTGAACGCTGAACGGCAAGCCTAGAATGGGAAGAGATGAGTTATCAGCTCGGAGGAGGCTGATACAGGTCTCAAGGCACTCAATTTACAGTGCAGCATCACTGTCAAGGCCAAGAGCAGCACGTTTTGGTTCGGATCCCATTGAGGGTCCGATCTAGTTCAGCGAGGTACGAAAGCGGCTCAGCGTCCTCGGACTCGAAATGCCAGGGTTTGCTAGCTGAAAGGGACGACATCAATCAGTTTTGCTCAAAACGAAGCCACAAGCTTGGCACCCACCATTGGCCGGTATATCGACTACGAAAGCTGTATTCGGGTGTCTGGTTTGTCGAAGCTGAAGACGAGAAGCTCAGACATCCTCGAGTCAAAGAGGGGTGCCATTCGCTCAAACTCATCGTCAAGGAGATCGATATCCGGACCGTCTAGATACATTTAGTCGAAGCCAGCTGTGCCGAGAATGTAGGACAATGACGATGATGGCACACCGCACAGGCGACGCGACGCGGCGGGGGAGCCAAGAGAAGAGAGGCAAGAGACGCGCGCACTCAGACACTTCGTTCAACCAGCCAAGAAGTTAACAAATAGCGGTAGGTAGGGGGCTGAGAAAGAGCTCCATGCGCTTTCGACTCCTCCATAGTGCGCGCTGTTTGTGGCGTTTGTTTTAGGATGGAAGAGTCGAGTTGCAGTGATAAGAGAAAAACCCGCACTCCGTAACAAACGGAGGGTTTTCTAAACAGGAGTTATGAACAAGTAGGGTGGGAGGGAGGAGCTCAAAAAAATGGTCGATCGGCTTTGCTCAAAGAGCGCAGGTCCGATTAGTAACTAAAACACTGCAACTGACTTGGGCGATAGGGCATACCTTTGCTCGAAAAGCGCAGGGCGATGGCAGGGGAGGAAGGCGACGCGGTAGGTAGACGCGGCCAAACGAGGTCTGTATACAAGGTAGCCCCATGAGTCAACTTGCCCAACAAGGACAAGGAATTTGGCAACATGCCCAACAAGGACAGTCGTGATCCGGAATGCGAACCTTAGCTAGAAACAGCGAGCCGCGATAGTGCGAGTCTCGAAAAGTTCGCCCTTGCTCTAAGCAGTGGGTGCGATACGACCTTGCAAAGCAGCGGGTACGGCGGCTGCTTACAACGTAGTGGCAGGCTAGCTCATCAGTCCAACTGTCCAACAAGGGCAGAGGGCTTACGAGGGATGTTACCCACTTTGAGTGAGTAGAGACTGGCAGGGGGGGTGCCGGAACCACAACACGAAACGCTAAGGCGTGCGGGACGACGAGGGAGAGGGAGAGGAAGGGCCCGCGCGCGCCAGCGGGTGAGCAAGGCGGGAGGCCCAAGGGGGCCGAGAAGAGTGCGTGCTGGCACAGGGTCCAAAGAATGCGTGTTCGAAGAGTGGAGCGCGAGCGGGCCCCGTTAGGCCGAGACCAGCGCGCTTGAGCTGTCCGCGTCAAAATCTTGCAGCAAAGGCCGAAAAGACTAGTCGCGCCGCGGGCAACACGTGGCTTCTGCTACGTTCCTTGTTAGCCGTCTGAGGCGTTCCAAAGCCGCTGGTTCAGAGTCCAGGCTGTCATCAAATGTGATGGAAAGACTCGAGCTCATGCGGGACCTTCTTGCCATGAAAGGCTCGATTTGCCCTTGGTACTAGTAGTAATGATCGGCTCCTGTTCCCGCGCCTACATCCAGCGGTTCATTCAATTCATCGCTGGAACGCCCTCTTTCTTTTTGGATCTTTTTTTGTTTTCCAAATTCCTAAAATCGGTGAATGACCGGTACGAATCACTTGAGTCGTCATCCACTCAACTCGGACTATTTGCAGCCCAACAAGTGAGCTTGCGAGCTTCTCATGCGGCGTCCTAGATGCTGAACCATGAATAATACGTTTTTTATGTCTTTTTTCTTTTCCACAAAGTGTCAAAATTAACGGACCTGCCTCTAATCATCGTGTCGGCGATCGGATCACAGCTTTCATCGTCGACCGACGTCTGACTCAGAATAAGAAGAACTTGCGCGCACAAGCCAGGCCCAAAGCGGGAGCCGGCGTCGGACAACTCTATTCAAATCCCAAGAAACACAGCTGCCCTACCCATGCTCTTACAGATCGCAGGGAGGTAATCTCCTCTTCATTCACTCATTGAGCAGTTCATTGAAGCGAGATGCCACAGTCAATTCCCGATGGGAAAGCGGACGAGTTTAAGTTTGTGGAGAGACGATCGGTGCCACAGAACAAAGGCGACAAGGCGCGCTCGCTCGAAGACAAAGGCGCGAACGGCTCGGCGGCTTTCTCGGCCTAAGAGGTCTTTGTGTGCCTGCCAGACACGACTTGCTCATACTTGCTCTTTGGACTCTTTGCTCCATTTTACTCCTCCGTGAGCTTTCATCAGGTGTATCTGCGTGACAGAGCACTCATACGGCCTCGCAGCAAATTTCGTCAAGCTCTTCCGAAGACGCCTGTGCCAGCCCGATCCTTTGTGTCTCGGCGACCATCACCCACCCCCGCTTGCACGCCCTCGCAGTTCATACTGTGACCATGTCGTTCCCTCTACCGCGCTCTTCAAGTTTGCCGAGAAACCAAATGCAAATGCAAAACCAGAGTGCAAACGTCATGGACCGATCGATCGAACTCGGCTCGTTCCCCGCCTTCGTCCATACAGCGGCCAGCATGGGCTCTGCTCCTATTGGCTCCGTGCCGAGCGTCGACCAGACAAGCATAGCGCAATTGGATCCTCGAACACGAGCAGCGATCCCGGATAAAGCGGCTTCATACACATACACCACCTCATTCGAGCCTCTTCCACCCAAGATCATTTCTCTTTCAACAATAGCTTCCTCGCAAAATGAACGATCAAGATCGACTTCGGCTTGGAATCCTCGGAATTGGCCCTGGCCGAGGATCGAGGCCATGTGGTGGGCCGCCTCACCGCTTCTGTTCCACATCCTGGGAATGGTCCTGTTGCTCATCTCGCTGGTCGAATGCCGGATCCCGTATTTGAGTATCGTCCAAGTTGGAGAAGGGACGACGGGCCGACTGGATTATAGCTTGCTCGGTGAGTGAAAAACATGATTTCCCTGCACTAGGAGCCACCGAGCTGACCGGTGTAAACGTTCGTTCACAGCCTCTTGCGCCGTTGCTCCCGGAACGACCGAACAAGTGTGCACAAAAAGACACATTCTAGCGGACTACATCCCCTCGCTCCTCCTCGTTTCTCCCGCGATGCCAGCGTTCACCGCCCTCAAGCTCATCTTCGTCTCTCAACAAACGCCGCCGATCCTCCTCTCAGGGCTCTGCCTCCTCGCCGCCGCTTTCCTGGTCTACATCCCCTTTTGGATCCTCGCTTACTTCCCAAACACCAAAACGGTCCCCGCACTTCTCGAGAAATTCTACCGCTACCATGCCAAGCATCTCCTCCTTCTCGTCTTCATCCTCGTTCTGCCCGCTTTCGTTCTCACCCTCACTAGCGTCATAGGTTTCCACCTACTCTGCCAAGGCAACGCCATCGATTTTAGTATGAACATGCTCGCCGCCTTCGAAGCCGGTCTTCTCGGAGGTTCCATCACCGCTTGGAAACCCGAATTCGGCCATGGCTTTAACATCCTTTGGACGGCGGTGGCTTTTCAAGCCGCTACGGTCATCGCGCTCGGTGTGGCGATGTTCAACGAGTTGCATGAAGTGGTCGAGTGGCCCGAGATGCAGAAGGGGAAAGTGTTCTGGTAGTCGGGATATTGTACAGTAGATTCGACTTTGATTTCGTTTTGTTTCTCTTTGTACCGACATTTTAGACCATCAGTTGCAAATGCATCATAAGTCATAAGGGGGGAACAACGCCGCAAACCTGAAGGAACCAACCTCTATTGCAAGAGCTCTTATATCAATATATCCGAACGAACGAGTGAGAACGGATTCCCTTGCCAACTCCAAATTCTGCCCCCCCCTCTCTTCCCCTCCCCCGGCCCTAACCCACCTAAAACGTCTGCGCACTAATCACGCTCTGTTCCAAAACCTGCAACGCCATCTGTACATTCGGCTGTACGTGCGCTTCCCCACCCGACATTTCCAATACGCCCGCCTTCCTCAACCTTGCCAAAGGTATGGGTTGTATTTGGGTCCAGTACACGAGAACGGAGCGGGATACGTAGGCTTCGACGAGTTCGTAGATGAGTTGAAGGGCGGAGGCGTCGATGTCTTCGACGTCGACGAGGTGGAATATGATGACACTGTACATTAGGTTTAACCGAGATGATCAGTGCATAATCGTTCCTAATGTAAAACCACGGAAGAGAGAACTGACGAAGCCTCAGCCCTACTCGGCGTTTCGGAAGGATGATGCCTCCCCTGACCGTACCTCTCCAACCTCCTCAACCTCTCCTTCAACGCCCCCGCATTCGCAAACGTCAACGACGCGTCCCTGAACCTCACGATCAAAATTCCGGGAATCTCTTCGCTCGGGAAAAGTCCATCATCGTCATCGTCTTCCAAAGGTTCGTAGAAGGATGTGCCGGGCACTCGACCGAGAATTTTGATACGCATGGCGGAGGAGTGTTTGATGCAAAGGAGCATGGAGAACGCGACGGATACTATGATGCCTATTTCGACGCTGATGAAGAGGGAGAGGAAGAAAGTCATAGCCATCAGGCTCAGGTCGAGCCAAGCTCGCATGCGCCAGAAGAACTGTGTTAAACGGAGTCAAGACTGGGATGAGCATCCTGTTAGGAGTGGTACGACGCCGAGTAGGATACACTGACCATGACATCATGAGGAGCCTCCGCAAGGATCGAAAAGACGACGACGCAAATGATGACGGCCAAGATACACTTGGGCAAAGCGTACAAGAACCCGAGTAAGAAGAACGAAACGAGTAGCACAAAGACACCCGTCAACAAAGAGGTCATCTGCGTCGTCGCCCCCGTCGCTCCGGCTAGTCGGCTGCGTGTAATGCTTCCGTATCCTGGTAGAGCGCCGGAGACGAACGAAGCGACGAGGTTGGCGGCTCCGATAGCGACGAGTTCCCGATTGGGTCTGACAGCATTTAGACTCGCCGAAAATGTCAGCTGGCAACGAGATCCAGAGACAATGTTGTTCGAGGTTAGCACTGACGAAATAGGGTAATCAAACTTGGCCGCGCTGTCCTTGGCACCGACGATCGAATCCAAGAAACCCAGTATGGCGAGCACACTGGCCGTTCCAATGCATTGCGACGAGTACTTGCGCGCCAAGATGCTGCTAAACGGAAGGAGGATCCGAACATCTCCAATCGAGACTTTGCCGAGTACGGAGAGACCTTTGGCCTGCCAGTCGAAAGTAGCAGAGAAGACTTTGGGATGCGGACTGCGCGTCAGTACAGGGCTAGCGACGAAATTTGGTCCACACGAGTAACTGACCCGTCGAAAGTATCACTACCACCAACACCTCCGGCACATAAGCCAAGAACCCATACCCTCTCCTCTTCGCTAACCTCGCCTTGAAGCTCTTGGCCGAAACAAGCACAAGCAACGCGACGCACGAAACGATCAACGTCAGCCTGTGCGCCTTGTCCATGTGCTTTATCACAAGCATCAATTTGGACAGCGTCGTATCGGCCCCGTATTTGGTGTGACGCTCGAGGCCGAGAATGGGTATGAGTTGCGCGACGAAGATGACGATCCCGACGGCGGTGATGAAGCCTCGGAGAAGGGCCTGAGTAGGACGGAATCGATGCGAGTTAGCTGGATGCTAAACTCACATTAACCCTATACTCACCCGTGATAGAACCGCATCGATGAACCCTAACCGCAGCATCCCCAGCCTATTCATACCAACGGACAAGCCCAAGATCAGCCCACTTCCTCCCACTTCATCCACATCGCAAGTACTCACGCAAACGTGATCAAGCCCGCCTGAAAGACGATGACCGAAGTAATCGTGAATGTCAACTGCATCTTTGCACTATTGCTCATACCACCATGGGCGTGCGTCTCGGCGTCGATGATCTTGGAAATCGATTCGCCCATGATCAAGGACAGCGCCGCTTCGGGTCCGACCGATAATTGACGGCAGGTGCCGAGGACCGAATCTGGCGGATGGCGAGTGTTAGTCGAGGAGATGACAACGAATCTGATCATGCTACCGACTCACATATCATGGGTGGTATGGAAGCCCCCAACAACCCACTGTAAGAAGGACGATCCGATACACCCCCACATGGATGTCAGCACAGCCGCGCTCTCCTCTGGCGCGAATGGAGGTTCAACCTCACCTAACCGGATCACTGTTGACCAGATTACTCGAGTACGACATGGATTGAGGAACTATCAATGAGGTCATCTGTACCCCCGTGTAAGATTGGTCAGCTGTCTCGCTCCTTGAAGAAGCCGAGGATATCCTGCAGTTTTGTGGCTCACCGTAAAAGCCGCCGTCACGTCGCCGGTGAATGTCTTGAACGAATAATCAGGCAACCACGCCAAGACCTGTACCGTCTACTGCTCAGCCTTTGCATACCAAAACAAAGATGGAGTTGGAGTCGTTGTGCACGTACGGGAACGTAATACCTCGCCCTGTTGCTCCACGCTTTCCATTGGGTCTTGCGCCGTTCTCGTCGTTCGACTTTCCTCGCGACCGAAGCGGAGCGAGCTAGTTTGGTCGGTAAGGTAGCGAAGGCTATTCCACCCCCGACGGATACAATCTCAGCTGCTCCTGCCATCGATCCATCGCCACATGATCCATGCAAACTTACCCGCTGTTCTGCCCTGTCCATGACTGCCGCCTCCGCTAGTCCCATAGCCCCCTCCACCCTCCCTCCCCGACAACCCAGCATGCAAAGTAGGGAAATCACTCCCATCCTCTTCATCCTCCAACCCTTCGAACGTAACCGGTCCACCGCCACCGATCCCTTCACTGCGATAAGTTCTTCGCGAAGCTCGTACGGTACCTTCTTCCGAATCGAGCAATGACGTCGTTTCGGTCGGTGTGGAATGTCCCGTTCCTCCGTTGTTGGGATGGGTGAAGGTGGTTTGCCGAGTGGTCGAAGGTGTTGAACGAGGTGTGGAGGCGCCTGATCGGGGCATTGCTGGGGGGAAGGGGAATAGGGGTGAGATGGCAGGCGGTGCGGAGGTGAAAAAGAGTCGAAAGAGGAGATCCCCCCTCCCCCCTCCCCCCTTTCCCGCTCCGGCTCGTGGACCCGGCAAAGAGTCGGAGGAGGTGCCGAGCTAAGCCGAGCTGAGCGCGCTCTGAAGCGAGTTGATCGCCCTCGGCTGCTGGAAAGGACGTGACGCGTCGATGAAACACAGTCGGAATTCGTCAACAAAAAACACACACACTCCAACGAGGAGCCGAGATAGCAGATTTTACAAGCAAAGTAGCGAATCGAATTCAATCGAATCGAATTGTGTTTGGGCCTTGCTGAAAATTTGCAGGTCAGGAGGCGCCCTTTTTTGTTCTTTTTTCTACTAGTCCGGGATATTATTATTAACTCTGGAGCCCGAGTAAGTGAGCTCCAGGTGCGATGAATGGATTGCTGACGCCTTGCAACTAGACAGAGTATCATTTCAAAAAAGTGTTTGTCCGAAAAACTAGGTCACCGAATCCGAAAAGGTTCAAACAGTTGACGGAAAAAGGAGAAAAAGAAGATGAGAAATCCCGAAAGACCAATCATGTCCCCCTTTCCCCCCCGCCCTGCCCTCTCGGGATCTCTTAGATCCCAAGACGTAATCGAATGACCACTCTGTTAGACAACGAGATCCTCACCTCGACGTGAATCGAAACGAGGAACCGATCCAAACCTTCCTAGCGTTCAAAGTGTCAGAAAAGGCGAAAGAGGAAAAACCCGAATCGAATCCCCCGGTGCTCCCTTCGAGTGAGCCTCCCAATGTTGAGCCGTCAAACATCAAGCCAGACTCCATCTGATCCCGCTGGCTCGAATTCCGAGATGATCCTTGAACCTAACCGGGTCTTTATTCTTCCGAGAAGCGAAGCGAGAGTGTAGTCGCCCCCAGGGGGCTTTCCACCCGCTCCTCACCCCTCGAAAGAAGCACCCGACCAGGCCATAGCCAAGGGATGCCCCGAAACCCAACCAACAAAGACAAAGACAAAGCCATGACCAATCGAGACAAATACTCGACATCAAAAGACCCGCACGCGTAGAGCCCGAAAGAGGTCGACTCGGTAATCACCCGTTCGCAAACCCCCCTTCCAACGTTGATCGAAGAGGTTCGAGATGTTGTATCTCCCACGAACGTAACGGTACCATCGCCTAGGTTGATTCCCTCTTTCTAAACGAAAAAGGGATAGCGAGTTGACCTGACTGTCATGGTGTATATATGTGTGTGTGTGTGTGTGTAGAGAGAGTAGGGGGACGTTCACAGGAGGAACGGGACGGCCGACGTGTGGACTGGTTGCGAAGGGATGCTCAGCTCCTGAGCGCGAGCTCACCAGGCGTCGTATAGGCCAGCGATGCGTGAGGAATGTGAGGCTGAATCAAAAGTCGAGCGACGACATTGCAATGTTGTAACGATGCGCGTGTAGAGGGGACGCGACCGGGTGTGAGAGTGAGAGAGTGTGAGAGAGAGAGAGAGCGTGGAGGGAAAGAAGAAAAAGTAGGCCGTCCTCAATTGGGCGTTAGGGACTGATTACTTTGCAGGGTTGCTAATGCGCGATTCCGTCCGCGCGCGCATGCCTCGACGCGTCTCCTGCGGGGCGCGATTGTGATATTGTGACCGGTGCCAATTGGTGCCTGTGCGCCTTGTGCCAGCAGCTCGTCGATTTCCGTCGGCAGCACCAGTGCAGCGCACCTCTGGACTCTGGAGGCTTCTGGAGGCTCGTCCTGCGTCACCACATCCACATCCATCGTTCAGACCGACCTACCGTTCTGACCTTCCTCGCCCTTCCATCCGCACCTCTTGTACTCGCTCTTTCTGACGAACCTTGTTCGAATTGACGTCTACTCTCGCTGTACGATCGTGTGAGTTTGGGTTGGTCCACGTCAGCTGTGCCCCTTCACATGACTTGAGCATTCGAAAGCGAGCTTCGCAAGCGGTCTCGATCCCCCCCCCCAAGTCACGCGCCACCGTGCGAGAGCATACACACAGGTCGCACTCGTACTGACTTCGTGCTCCTTCTTAACCACTCAGAATCTACCTTTTTTTCTTCAGACGTGCTCATCGACGTTCCCTACTCTACTCGCACACGCCACTCCCCACTCCACCATGGCCGACTCGTCCAACCCTCTCCACCTCGCTCGCTCCACTTCCTCCGCTGCCCCTGTTGCTCCTCCCGCGACAGCCTCTTCGCCCCCGTGCACTGGGTTAGACTCGACCACCCTCAAGCTCAAATCTACCCAATCGGCTCGACGCCGCAAGCCTGCTGCCAAAGTCAATCCTGATCAAGCCGGGGCGTCGACCTCGCCCTCAACTTCGACTTCAACGCCGATCCCGGGCGAGCGACCACCGGAGCACGAGACCAAGGAGAACACCCCCACCCCATCCGTCCCCAAGAGAAAACCTCGCAAAAAATCCAACAAGGTGCGAGAATCACCTGTTCTGGTGGTGGCTACCCCGTCCAGGTCGACCCTGGCCGATAAAGCCGACTCGGTGATCCCCCCACCTCCACCCCTCACACCGAGCTGGGACGACCAACTCGTCGCTTCCATATCCGCCCAAGCATCGCTCGCAGTCGATCATTCACCGACCCTACAATTCGAGAAACTCTCTTTGGACCAACTCGAGGCCACCCCTACGTTGGAGCAGATCGTAGCTGCGGAGGCCCACGTTGCGCAAGGGGAAGGCAAGGTTCTGTCCAAGAAGGCGCAGAGGGACTTGCAGTTGAAGTTGAGGGAGCCGCAGGGGTATGAGAGGATGATGGAGTTGAGGAAGCAAAAGAGAAAGGAGAGGAATAAGAAGAGGAAGGAGGGACTCACCAAGGGTGAGCAGCCAAGCGAGAAGAAGGAGTTTAGGATCAAGGGCAGTGCCGCATTCGTCACCGCTGTTGGGCTGGACGAGCCCGAGGTGACGGAACGGTCTGCGGTCGACGAGACCTCAACACAGGTCGAAAGGGTCGTACCGAAGGTTCTCGCCCCCGTCCAGACCGAGGGACCAACACCGGTATCCGCTTCGGCCTCGACGACAGCACCTTCGATCCCGACCGGCCCAGCAGCGTATCGCAATGCTCCACCCGTCCGGAACCAGCCCTCGCGACAACAAGGGCAATCGCTGATCCGAGCTGGTCCAAGGATCGGCATTTCATCTGCGCCTGTCCCCGGCTCGATCAACCCTCGTTTTGCGCACCTGCCTTTCCATCCTCACTACCGCTATCCTATGCCCAAGACTGCGTCCAACGCCCCGGTCACACCAGTTTCGAAATCCGCGACACCTTTGGCGTCGAGTACGAATAAAAAGTCTCCAACTACGGCCCCTACTCCAATGCCGACGACTCGACCTGCTGCTGTGGAGGATCGCTTGTTCGGCGAAGGTCGAGCGCAGAGCGTCGTTCGATTGCCGAGCTCTTCGAGTCTTCCTGTTGTGGTCAAGGTGCCCAAGCCAACGACACCGACACCGACACCGACGTCTGATTCCGTCGAAGTGTCGACTCCTGCAGTACCAATCTCACAATCGACGTCGCAAGAGCCGCTGTCGACACCTACGCCGACACCAACCTCGGTCCCCGTATCATTGCCCACTCAAGCCGCAGCACCCGAACCGCCAGCGTCGATCGTCGCACCCCCGCCGCAATACTCGGCCATCCCCACTCACCCCGTGTTGCGCAATATCCCACCTCACATCCAACGGCTAACGACCCCTCCCTCAGCTCCCCTCTCCCCCATCGCCGTCGCTCCCCTCCCTTCCCATTTCTACCCCCAACCCCAACCCTCCCTCTACCTCCCTTACTACCCGCATCAGCCCACCCCAACGACCTACTACGGTTCCACAACTTCGAACGAAGGCTATTCACCTATCCTTTCGCACGGAACGACGACGCCTCCCCCACCTCATCATCAACATATGATAACAGAGGCGGGTCGACCTTCGCCGTTATCCGCTCCGGCGAGGCATTCCAAAGCCTTGGACATTAAAGCCCCTCCAGCGAATTATTCGGTGACACGTTCCGGCGCAAGTGTAGGGCAAGGTACGAACGCGCGACAATTGCCACCTTATCAATACCCTGCACAAGCTTGGGCCACACAGACGATTTACCCGTCTTCCTCCTCAAGGGAATCAAGTCGTTCACCCGTGATGACGTCGACGTACCCTATTCAGAACTACGCGAATAGGGCAAGTCCTTATCATGGAGATGATGGTTCGAACTTGGCGTATTATCAAGCTCAGACGGTGTATGATCCTTATTACCTCGCTGCGCAACAACACCAACTTCAACTGCAGCAGCAGCAGCAGATGTACGCTTACCCCAATCCTAATGCTCCGACGCCGATGGGGACACATCAGGTGCAGTATCACCAGGGTATGTCGTATTACCCTGCTTCGGAAGGGATTTATGGGGGACAGTATTGGTCTGCTTCGATCACGGGGGAGGTCGGTGAAGGGGAAGGCGGGATGGGGCAGGGTCAACGAGGGGCGTATTGACTGGGTTGTGGTAGTGGGTTGATGAATTGATGATGAGAAATGCAAAAGAATGTGAAACTCATAAATCCAAGAACCCAGCCATGCGCGTATGGTTATCATTTCGATTTGCTGTACACTTCGAGTGTTTGAACAAGAAGGACAACACTACTCAAATAGCTAGCTCCTACAATTTCCACGTTGCACCTCTGAGCCCGCCCTCAATCGTCCCTCCTCCCATTCCTAAGCAACCCACTCCTCTCCGTCCCTTTCTTACCTTCCTCCAACACCTCCCACCCTTTGGCCGTCCTCGAGACCCAGGCCAAACAACCGTACTTGAACTTGAGGCGGTAGTGCTTGGGATTATCGCGCAAGGAAAGGGTGACCATCGTCAAGGCGCCGATGATGGAGTAGGCGCCGAGACCGGTAAAGATGTGCCACTGTAGGTGTCAATAAAGCGCTGTCAGAATTGAGGCCACAACTCTGTTCTCTGTTCAAAGAGCGGGACCCGGGCTGATATGCTTACCCAACTATGACCCTCGAGCAAGACGTTCCAAGGTGCGCCGACGCGCTTCTTCAACGGCGCCCACGTCGAGTCGCAAAAGATATTGTCGATGTTCCAGATCGCGAAAGCGAACACTTGACATTCGCACAATGTCTCTGTATATCAGTCGTCTGCCCACTTTGTCGCGCGAGAGGCGCTGCAGGTTTGGACGGAGAGGACGGTGCACTCACCGAACGATGCGGATCCCCAGCCTTGGAGGTGCTTCACTTGGCGGGCCAAGGTCTTGTCCTTCATCTTGTACAGGATCAAATAGGCGCCTCGGAGCGTCATCGAGATGACCAGAATACCATCTGAAATGGAAAGGTTCGACGATCAGTCCTCGGCTGCGAGCTGACAGGGCCCCCACCGGCAGAGATAGAGTGTGACGTACAAGCGACTTGGTGGAATACAGGACTATCGGGAACACTTTGGGTCAGCTTTCCTCGAGGTGTACATCCGCCAGGCTCCCCCCAACTCACTTGGGGTAGAAAAGATACATGAGCGTAAACGCGACGTTGAAGACGACGACGCAAAGGGGCGGTAACCAAGGCGTTTTTTGGCCGAGAGGGGTGACATCAAAGACGAGCCAGGCGATCAAAGTCGAGGTGTAGATCATGGGCAATTCGTCGCCGAGTTGCCACGAGTACTGGAGTGTCTGTGGGGGGGTTGGGTTGTCGGTGAGTTCTTCGAGATGCTGAGGTGTCCGTGGAACAAACTTACGGTGTGGAACATGGCACTTCCAAGTCCGACGATGGACAGACTGAGGTAGCTGAGCAAGATCCGCTTGGGTAGACGCTGTTGTAGCGCCTTGTAGACCCCATAAAATCCGGCAAAGATCATGAACGAGTTGGAGATGGTGTTGTACAGTTCGGCGATGTAGCGTGTGTGGATGAAGTTGGATTCGCACCTGTCATTGTGGCAGTGAGAAAGTGGCGGTGGGGAAAGAGAGTATAGATGGGGGGTGAAGTGAGATTTGTGATACCCACCCCGACGCCGTGGAACACGAGATGATCCTCTTCGCCGGTTTGGAAAGAGTCTGGCGCCCACTATAGCATAGCACCTTCGAGGAATCGCGGGACTAGCGCATCTGGCCTCGGCTCGGCTCGGTCCGCGCTCCGGTCGTCGACGTCGACCAAGCCTGAACGGCCTGAACGGGCGGTGGCCTGCAGTCGTTCGCCCGAGAAGACGTACCAGTCAATCGAGGACGTAGCAGCTCTGAGGTGGGCAAGATAGGATCAGTCCCTTGTACCCATCAAAAGTCCTACTGTGGGCCACTCACCCCCAATAGCCGGTCCTGTCAATGTCTTCGTGCTGCACGTGACAAAGCCGAATGAAGCAGGCAAGCAATCGGGGCCACCGTCAGCTCAATCGAAGAGTACGGGGCATGTCTCAAGCGTCCGGGTCTCCGGGGGACGGGAGGAGGACACGCGGAGGTACGCACGTTCCATATTGTTCGATGGAGGTGTTCGTGACCCATATTGGCGAGTACGGATGTCGATCAAGATCCAAGTCGAGTGGTGGAGGTGGGATGAGGGAAGAGAGAAAGAGAAACAACGTACTAGATGGGTCTCACCCTCCCAGCCGATCTGGCGCGCGGACCCTCGGTCTCGGGGCGCTGCCTCTGCCTGCATTGCACGATCTCAGCCCGAGCCCACAGCCACGAGCCCGAGAGCACTGCATGAGCTGATCCTCAGCTGCCAATCAGGGCAGGCTCCGATCGGTTCGTCGTTCGTCTGCAGTGCCACGTCGTCTCGAAGAGTATCAGCCCATCGGTGGTGAGAAAAGATAGAAGCGAAAACACCAACTGTTCTCCTCGAGTTTCGGGATACTATCTTGATCACGGTCCTAGCACTGCAGGACCTAGCTGAACCGCCGGCCAGGCCCGGCCGAGTCCAGTATTCGGCGACTCGAGGTGCAAATTATGACTCGACTCGTTTCCACCCCCACTAGGTTCACTAAATACCAATCCACGCATATATTTCCAGTTTGGGCCAAATTGTCCAGCATACCATGGCAACTTCAGTCACGCCGCTTGCGTGATTTCCCTCCTTGATGAAGAAGAGTCCTTCTCCAGCGCCTTCCATCCCTGTTCAGTCCTTTCGACAACCTCGATCCACCCGCATGTCATTCCCACCCAATGAGCCGGATCATCCCGAATAGACATGGTGATCAAAGAAATCCCAAAGATCAAACGCTGTAGACTAAGCCCCGTCAGAACATGGGACCATGCGTGACCCTCGAGCAGGAATGCGAGGCGCGGAAGGACGAGAATCTTAAGTGCCGTCGAAGGGATGCAGAATGAACGGTCCGCTTTGTGGGCGATGAGGGCGAAGCCTGTGATATCGAATTCACGTTATATCATCAGGGGGTTAATATCAGTCAGGGATTGGTACTGCATGGATCACTAACCTCCTAGCGAAGCAGCGGAACGAATCATCCGACGACCCTCTTGCACCCCTTTGGAATCCGGAGGGGCGTTCGACATCAAGAGCTGGCCCAAGCGAGCGGTTAACAGAACCGACGTCCAACCGTGGTAGAGCTCCATCAATACTGGGCTATATATTGAGTTGAGAAGCCGGATGGCCTTATCAGCTGCACGTCGTAATTCGGAATTTTTCCACCACGGGCTGTCTCGAAAACCAAACGTACTCGCGACGCAGGGCATGCAAAATCGTGAACACCGCATTGACGATGATCATTGTAATCCGCGTATGCCAGTTCGCAACTTGCGCAACCGGTGTCATATCCCATACGATCCACGCCACCAACGAAGTGAGCCAGACGACGACCAATTCGTCCAAGAGCTGGATCTTGAAGTCTAGAGTGGCGTGGTGGAGCGAGGAGGTGATGCCGAGCATCACGATTCCAAAACTTACGATTCGGAATCTTTTTGGAAACTTTTGTCGAATTGAACTTGCGAAAGCTTGCATGCCCAGGATGACTTGATACATCAAAGTGAAAAGCTTCAGGGGCTGGGCTGGCTCGTCGATGCCTTCCGCGTCATAATGCGAACGCTCACCTATCACCAAACTTGTTATGGTGTTGTAGTACTCGGCGATCCATTCCGACTTGGAATAGTTGAGCTCGCAACTTCAATGTGACCGTCATGAAGGCATTGTTTCAGCAACTCGCTGAATGAGCTTTGGCTCGTTGAGTCTCACGTCTTCGCACTCACTGATCCACAGAAGCCGTGTGGGGAGACCAGTACCCCTGCTTGATCAGGTCGAGAAAGTTTTGTCGTTGCCTTGAGGCTGGGTACGCGATCCGGGGAAGGAACGTCATCGCGCTGGTCCGTGCGCCGGATCTTTGTCCTGCAGGAAGATAGGCACTTAGGAGCGAATGTGGACCCAGCCAAATGACGGAAGGCTGAGAGAGGTGCAGACTTGTCAGATTGGGTGAAAGATATCCATAAGGTTGAGAGAGAGACTGAGTATCGTTAGCAGAGGCTGTCGCGTTCTGCTACCCAAGGGACCCCAGGGACCCGTGACCCGTCCTTTGGCTAGTGGACCGATTCACGCACAGATCGCTGCGGACGAGGGTGAAAACGACGGACAGCCTCCCCCGAACCCCCGAGCCCCCGAACCCTCGAACCTCCCACTTGATGGTCGAAAGGTCGGACAAAGTAAGGAAGAAGAAAGTGGGATGTTGCAACACGCTTGCTACTATCGCAGAAAAGATGCGAGCGCGGAATTAAAGCCTTCCGATAGGTGAGGGTGCACGACGCCGAGAAGTCAGGACCACAATCTAGAGCGAGTGATCGTGGAATACATGTCCCAATTCTTCGAGCCACCAACTACATGGATTGGCGTCGACGTCTTATTGGTCGTCTTGTGTCCAAGGATTTGCATCTTTGCGAAGTCAAGCCGCTCGAGGGGCGAGTGGAAGCCGCGCGATCGATCGTCGATCGCGACCTGAAGAACGGCCTCCGCAGCGGCGCTCAACGGCCTCGATGCGCAAAGATGCAAATCCTTGGACACAAGACAACCAATAAGACGTCGACGCCAATCCATATAGTTGGTGGCTCGAAGAATTGGGACATGTATTCCACAATCACTCGTTTCGGTGGAGGGTGTATCGGTGTCCATTCCGATGGTGGTGCGATGGGAATCGCTTTGCTGACTGGGGGCTTCGGCACTGCCCGTTAGGCTCATAACCTATCGCAGAAAAGATGCGAGCGCGGAAGTAAAGCCTTCCGATAGGTGAGGGTGCACGACGCCGAGAAGTCAGGACCACAATGTAGAGCGAGTGATGAGAAAGCTACCAAGAGTAAACAGCCGCGCGGGAAGAAAGCCCCGCGCGCTCCCTAACTTAAACAGATCAAACTCCAATACCAAAGTGACTAATGACTAAACACACGCGCACCTCGCGCAGATACCACAGGCACAGACACATATCAATTAACAGCTACGGGTACTAATGGGATACATAGTGGATATACGAATGTGGGAATGAGCGTGTGTGGAAAATCCTAACCAGAGGACTATTCAGGCCGCTCAACAGATACCTATCCGTTGGCCCGAGTGTAACTCAGGCGAAAATAAAATAAAATAAAAAATTGATATGATGAATTAAACATGTGCGCGAGCACCTGCAAATCTTTGAGTGAGCTTCACCAATGCCCAAAGACGGTGCCGTGGTTGCTCTCCGCCGGCAGCTGTTGTTCGTCGTTGCGGTCTTGGCGGTAGGCAGTATGGAGGTCTCGTTCCACAAAAGCTGCGATCGTGAAAGATGATTCAGTGGTCTAAAAAAAAGTATGGGTCGGGATGAACGCGCACTACTTACTGCTCGACAGCGTTCCTTTTGCCTGCACGGAGATCATCGCCATCGCCACCACAGTCTGGTCCAATAGAGGCTCAAACATCTGGCCAAGAGCCACTCCATCGTTGACATTGACCAACCTCCTCAATTCCAAGAGACTCTCCACCACTTCTCCACCGTTCATCTCACTCGGGACCTCGAAGTCCGACCGAATGAACGTGCATGGAAAGGCCTTGAAGAAAATTGCTAGCTTGGGGTCGCCTTCAGGATCAGGGGAGTTGGTCGCGAGGTAAATAGGGGTATTAAAGGGGAGGTAATCGCTATCCGTATGAACATTACTGCGACATTGGTTGAAAACCAGATCCGGGGAAGGGGCCTGTTCGCCTCGAATGTGACGGCGATGAAGCCTATGGTGGCTCGTGGTCGCCGGCAAAGAGAACACGGTAGTATCATCTTCGAAGATGGTGCTTCCCGTTTCGAGGCCCAATGGTCTCTTGGGAGCACCGGACAGGACATCAGCGCTGAGACGGATCTTCTTCAAGCCTGACTTCTTCCGCGAGGATGAGCGGGTTGGAGTCGACTTTGAACCGCTGCGCTTCTCGTTGGCCGTACGGACGAGCTCCCACATGACCTGGGCGACGGACGGCTCAATCTTCAACCGAGCGACAAGGTCATGCCATGCTTCACCCAAATAGAGCTCGGCGCGATCCTTGTTTGTTTTGTTCCCGATTCTAGCGTACACACCGGCATAACCGTACGCTCCACCAAGACGATGCCGCATCGCTCGAGCAGGGGTGATCAATCGAGAAGAACGGAAGGCCAGCGACTGATGGATACTTGACAGGGCAGGGTCCAGAGATTGCAGGCGCATAGTCCCCGCTAGACTTCCAACCAACAAAACCTTTTGGGAAAGCATGTTGAGCGCACTGAGGGAAACTTCGCGCGAGCCAGAACGATCGGATCTTGAGCCTGATGCGGAGTGCAAGAGTGGTGGTGTGGACTGGTTGGTAAAGGCCCCCACGCCCAGCTTCCTGGAGATATCGTCCAAGAAGCTGAGGTCGTCGTATGATTGGTCATGGATAACGAACTGTAGGCACTCAGGCGTCACATTGGTGGCCGACGCTGGCATAAACGGAGAAATGGACCGAAGGAGTACTCACAAATTCCTCGGGCCCCTTATCCAGAAGTTGCTCCAAAGCTTTCTCTCGCATGTCCCAACGATTAACCAGCTTGACTCCGGTAATCCTCGTAACCGCGTCCAAGTCGACGAGTCGATCCAAAGAAACGAACGTGGTGCTTGGTTTTTGACACTCAGCATCGGAGGATTTGCAGTCTGCCGCGGTTTCCATCGTTTCTGGTCCCAAAGTCTGCTGGAGCTGTTGCATCAGTAGTATCTAACATCAGGTCAGTAAAAGCTGATATAGGGGCGGCCAAGTTGACAAGCTCTCACCTTCCCAGCATCCAGTGCTCCGTTTAGCGTCGAGGAGTAATTGCCCGGCTTGAGGAGTGGCGACTCGGAGGAAGATTTCCGTCCTCTACTGTCATCGGAGATCCGGAACGAGGACGGATACTGATGCAGCGCGTCGTTCCACGACTCTTGAAGCTGATCATAAGGTTTATAAGGATTTTGCTTCCCGAGCCAAACGGGGGGAACGAGAACAGTCCGATTGAGCTTCTTGCCAAGCATGAGGGCCGTCGCAAAGGCGCTGCGCTGCTGGTCGAAGCCTGAATGGGGTAAGAACCCGATGTAGCGTTCTTCGGGATCATTATGGGTCGGATAGTTGGCCTTTCTTGGAAGCATCGACACCTTGATGGACTTATTCCGAGACGCCCGATCGGTGACTGCGGATACCCAGGACGGCTTGGGTAGTTGGTTCACCGCTTGGCGTACGCCAGACTTGACACCGTTTCGAAGCACTCCAAGAGACTGTTGTAGTTTGGAGGGCATCGGAGATACTGATATAGAGTGCTCGAGACCGTCATCGGGTAGGGGCGCGTAGAGAATGATGAGCAAGATGCAAATCAGCGCCGTCCAAAAAGCCACGGCTCGGCTCGATCGATACCGCCTTGACCCCAAGCGATACATCAGAGGTCTCAAACCGGTCTGAGCTGGCTGCGGGCATCCTTCTGCTGGTAGGAGTGGCGAGTATGCAGACGAGGTATCGGCCATCGAAATTCCACTCGCACCGGTGCCACCGTCGCCGAGGCCTGCCTGTGTCCCTTGACGCGACGCTGGGAAAGGCGATGATGACGATGACGAAGACAGTGATCCATGGCTCCAGAGCCATCTTTTTGAAGTGTCGCCATTTTCGACCGTTCCTCGATTGGATGGCGTGCGTTGGTCGAGCCCTCCCGAGCAAGGTGGAGCCGTCGAGCGATGAATGGGTGGCGCTCGCCGAGGTCTCGAGTGGGGACTTGGTGCGCAGGCTTGGACGAGATTCGCAGCGACTGAGTCAGACTTGGAACGGACGGGCGCAAGCACCTCACCCGACTGCCAACGTGTCGGCGGCGAGTCAGACGCCATTGAGTCGTGTTGTAGTTGCTGTTGTCCTGGTTTTCCGACTATGGACTCTGAAGTAGTGTTATACTCGTTTAGTCTGCGTGGTAGCATGATTGCCCAGCGGACGACCTCCGTTAAGGCTGCTCACCTACGTTGGCAAGGCGACAGGAGATGAGGCGGTGCGATCGTTCGGCAACGGGAGAGCAGATTTCCACAGAAGGGGAGGCTAGTACCTTCGAGGTAGAGGTGTGGCCCAGCTACGTCCGTCGTGATGGCACTGTCGGGTGATCCTAACCAACCGCCAGATTGCTTCTGCCGCCGAAGAAGGCCAATCGAGAAATCAAGTTCCAACAACCCTGCAACCCCACGTGGCAGGAGCGGTCAGGACTCGTCGAGCGAAGGCCCGTGCGCCGAACCCCAAGCTCTCGGCTGTTCCACGTGATCTCCGTGACTGGACAGGACTGAGCAAGGGTAGGTTATGTCTTGCAAGGGTATATTGATGCGAAGGGGAGAGAGATGAATGCTTGGTTGGTATAATTATCCTACACTGGATCTTATTACTGTACTGTATCTATTAAGTGTCTGTTTGATCCGCAAATGGTCCCCCGCCAGGGACCCTGAGCCAAGAAAGGTTGTGCGTACGCGTCTCATCTGAGAGGTGAGCGCCCGTTGTACGATCAATTACTCGGCAAAAGAAGCTCATCGACACCCTTTTGCATCTCGGTCCACCACGATTCGATGACACCCTGCTGGAAGCCGTTCGAGTCGTAGCCGAGCGAAAGCCACAGCTTGCCGACGAAAGTGTATGCGAAAAGGAGAATCGCCCCCGCTCGTTGCCGCGATCCAGTTGTGAGAGTGTGCATTTGAATGCCGTGGTAGTCCTTGTGCACATAAATGGCGTCGAGGTTGCCGAGCATCGATAAGCCCATTAAAGCCGTGCTCGGTGCTTTTGGTGAAGTCGTCGACTCGGCGAGTTGAGGAGTGACAACCGGGGCCACAGGGCCGAGTGTCTTTGCCAGGTTGCTCGCCAACTTCGACTCTGTGGCATCGTCTTCGAAGGAGATACCGAGACCTTGGAGTTGGCTCGGCAACTCTGCTAATGCCAGCTTCTGCTGACGTCGCCGCTCGTCCTCTCTCTCGAAGCCAATGCTGCGTCGCTCGCGTTCGAGGGCCATGAGCTTGCTGCGCGGGGCGAGCCACCTGCCCTTGACCACGGCCGAAGTCTGCTTGCGGACGACCGAGCTCCGATGCCAGAAGGTTCGCTCGACCGAGATGGTGGAGGGCAAAAACGAAGGCAGAATAATGTTGTAGTACCCGATGGCGATGTGATACCAGTCGTCGTCGGCCTTGGTGAGATTGCCTCGCATGTTGAGCGCCGAGTAGATCATGACGGGCAACTCCACGTCGCGTTGAGGCGTCGATCTAATGTAAGCCAGATTTGAGAGAGAGAAGACGGCATGAGAAATGGTGGTACCGTGGGTCTTGCAGTTGCTCAGGATCTTCTTGGTCTTGGCGGTATCGTAAGCGACGGTCGACACGAGCGTCTTGCGCTCTCCAAGCTTGGCGCGAGGGAATGCGTGACCTCCCTATAGAATGCAAGGCAAGAGTGGACTGCGTCAGGAGATTTCATCACGTCTGACATCAGGCCACCACGCTCTCAACTCACGATCAACTTGGCCTGACTCTGGTTGTATTCGACCCGAGCTCCGGCCCATGCCATTCGACCCCATCCCTCCGGTGTGACCAGCTTCGCCTCCATGGCTTGAGCTAACTTTTCGACAGGGAACGCTGAGGACGCAGCCCCTTCGTCGGCGGTATCTTCGACGACACTCGCCATCTCGGGGAAGATAGGTTTTACCACCTGCTCCCGCAAGACCGCCTCGAGATTCTTCACCGCGGCAGCTCCCTCTGCGGCGTCAGCGTTGTCGGCGAGCAAAGTGAAAATTTCGTTTGCAGTCGTGTGCAAAGCCATGCCGTCACCGAGGAAATGAGTGCTGAAGAGGTACATGTCGTACTCTTGCTCGGTCGCGGCATCAAAGGATGCATCGGGCGTGCTGAAGATGAGATAAGACAGGCGCGCATCCGACAGCGTGCGATCCCCGTTGAGGTAGGTATCCAGGAGAGCTGAGTTTGACATGATAATTAAGTCAGTTCCAGAGCATAGTGAATAAGCATAGAGACTCTGACCAACCTTTGGGATCTTGTCTGGTCCTGAGCTCCATGAGCGACTTCGCCTTCCTTCTGGCCTCGGCCATACTTGTTGGGGGCTCGTAACTGCATTATGATAGTTTGTGAACCTAAAAATTTAGTTGAAGCACTCTTTGTCCGACAGTAATTTGGGCTCACACGAAGCGGATCTCGTGCACGTCGTGGTATTCGACCGAACTTGCAAGAAGCTGGTGTCGCAAGGTCATCTCGGTCCAGATGTTGAGCAGCCGCTCGGTGACCATTAGATGCGACTCGGCACGGAAGCCGATGTGAAGGTACATGTCGTTGACACCGCTCTCAACGCCCTCTCCTCGACTCCCAAGGTAGTACGATACTTCGGTGGGCCCGAGCCGCCGCTTGAAACATTGCTTGCTCGCGTGCGTCAAGTTCAGGGACTGAGGAGAGTCGGGACCGTAGACTTCCCAATCACTGCAAAAACGTTTTTGGAAAGGGATCGATGTTAGCACATTGCTGAACCCACAAACAATTTTCCCAAGCGCCGTGGTCACGCGGACGATATGAAAAGGGGCGCGCGCGGAGAAGGGTCGCTCGAGCCCCTTCCAAAAGCGTGGCGCCTGAACTTGGGGAGGCACTCACAAGCATCGCGGGCGGCTGTCACCCATTGAGGATCGGTCGCCAAGGTCCACAAACTCAAAGCCAGAAGGTGTTCGCAACAATGGTGACGTCGGGGCCCGGCCTTCAGTCAAGGTGGCATTCACGTCGAGGGGGTCGACATGCAACGGCGTGGAAGGCAGCGCTGCCGTCGATCGCGGTGAGGAGCCACTGCCGTTCGCTTGCGGTTGGGCGAGAGAATCTCGGCCAGCCTGGTCGGTTGCGACGGTGGGCATGGCCAGAGGGGGCGTCCAAGAATCAAAAGGGGTCGAGAAGATGGAGGAGCTACAATGTGATGTAGGTGACCAGCTCAGAGATGGGGTGGCGTTGCAAGAGCATCCTTTGTCGTCGTTGAACCCGTTAGAGGTTCGGCGAGGGGAGTACGAGAACCGTGCTGAGTCGGGCGCGCGAGTCCGTGCGGCGCATACATCCACCTCCCCCGGCGCGTTGAACGCGGTGCCGACTCGAAGAGGGTCGATCGTATCCGAGCTCGTGTCAATGCGACCGAGGTCGACTCGAGATGTAGCAACAACGCTCTTCTTGCTGTTACCAGCTAAGTAAGCCGCAAAATTGGCGGCATCTTGCTTGTGGTCCACGAGAGCCGGCTCCGGGGTCTGCAGCGGCGCCACTGCTGGCTCACGGTCTTTGAGTCGTCGGGGCTGGTGGGACATCGTCATCAGCATGGTCGGACAGGAGGCACGTCGGTTGAAGTCGATCAGATTCGGATCAGTGCTGTGTGATCAGGTCGACAAAGGCTCTTGGAAGTGTGTGTGGAGAAAGCGAGTAAGTCAGAGATCAGGTGGAGAAGGAGCAGACAGCAAAGCTTACACCGGCCGGTGCAGAAATCTCAACTCCGGGGTGCCGGCAAGGGGCGGCGAAGTGAATCTCGCTGCCCCGGGGTAACGAGATTTCTGCGACCAGTCGTTGAAAGGCCATGTCGCAGTCTCAGATGGTCTTGCTTCTCGCTATAATGAAGAGGGACGGTAAGAATCAAGACGTTGTTTCCTCAACAGGAAGGAGGACCACCCGATTGTCTCGTACGCTACAGAGACAAGTTTCTTCGACGGTCTCGCAAGCCGGCCCGTGGAGCTGTCCCTGACCGACACGCCAGCGGCTGCCGCCCGACACTGGCGTGGGGCCGGCTCCAAGTGGACTCGAGCGCTTGATCAGAAACCTCAATCGAGATTCAACAGGATGGGCAATTGGCCTTTGGCCTTCGATTCGCTGGTTGGCTTTGTCAGATGGCCTGGCGCCGTGAAGACAAGCTCGTCGGCCTCACTCGACACTTTCTGAGCTCCATCGTTAGAGTTCTTCCGCGTCGCCGCAGCAATGTTTCTCATGACTGAATCCTCCGACATCTGACTCCCCGATAATTCACTCGAATAGTTCTCCAGTGCTTCTTCTTGTGCTTGTGAACCTGGCGAAAAGCGACATTGTCCTTTCGAGCGATCGAATTACGGGAGCGAGCTGAGGGGTCGAACGTCGTCATCACGGTTGGCAGGGGCGCGTAGCCGTCCGTGTCAGAGTCCTAGCTGTCGCTTCAACGCGATTGCGCACCTCAACCACTGCCTCATGAATCAGCAGATTCAAAAGCATCTTGACTTGAGATTTGCTGGCTAAGCAACGAGGTTCTTCTCATTCGAAAGGGCTGGACGCCGGCCGCGCAGAGGCTGAGACCCCACAGAGTGAAGCCACGCACAGGTGAGACACGACCGCAAGTGAGACACGGCTCGCATATGCTAAAGAGTGGCCCATCGTTCCCCGCGCCGTCGAGGCTATGATCACGTGAACGTGAGAAGCTATTAGGGTTTGGGTCTGTCTGGTTGCAATTTAGGTGATCTCAGAGCAAGTTGGTGTAGCCTACAGATTTCAGGGTGCGCCTGGTCCTCGGTGTCGACGCAGTCACCTGCGTACCTGCGGCTAGCGTTCAGCTGTATGCGCTTGGTCTCCGGTCGGGCACGTGACCAGAAGCGGTCGACCGTTCGCAAAACGCCCAAGAACGGCGCCACGGTCACGTGACGAGGACTCTCCTGCAGCTGGCCCGATTTCCTTCAAGTGCATCGGTATGTGCACCGCGTGGATAGCCTACCTTCCAATGACTGTGGAGGATGTTGGTGACTTGCGATCGTGGCACCGGGGACGGCCACCATAAGTTGCAATAAGCGAGTTCTTACTCGTGGCAATAAGCAATGGTCCAATACAGCGTTTCTCAGATTCTGTCTCTGAACAAGACTAGCTGAAAATTCAAGACTAAACCTAAAATACAACGTATGCACCTCAAGTTGACGCTTTCCTGAAGATAATCTTTATAACGGACGGACATACGTTACTGACCGATACCAAAGCTTCCGTTTGCTTCTGACCCGTTCGAATTCGCTATTTATTTGTGCAAGCTTGACGAAGCCGATCAATGGCGAGCGCTCGGGCCTCCCAGAATGCCGGCGCGTCGAGCACAGACCCCCTTTCTTGCGCGCGCTCAAAGGGAAGCTCCTGGGACGTGCCGATCCGGGCGCGTCTTCGCTCGAGCCGCGTCGTGTGATTGTCGCCTTCGGGAGTCGATATCGCTTCACTCTAACTGGGGCCACTGTCTTTGCTGGTTCATGTTGCCCGTCGATGGCGTCTCCAACAAGTAATGAATCCTCCTCGTGGCAGCACGCCGCGTCCGCCTCTCGAGTCGTGAATGGCAGTCTCTCCCCGTCTCACCAGTACTTGGCCTCGCTCTGGCCCGACTCGGACGCGGACGACCGTGAAGCCCTCTTGCACCCTTCGTCGATCTCGTCCGCACCGTCTTCACCCACCCGCCTCAAGACTCATCGTAAAACTCCGTCTGACTCCACGCATACACGCAGTGGCTCGCTCGGCCTCCCTCGAGTCGCACCCGCATCGCCCCAGGAAGATCGCTTCCCCAGCCACCAGCGCGAATCGGCATCGTCGAGCAAGGCGGTTGCGCCGGTCTGGCACGCTGTGTTGACGTGGGCGAAGTCGAAGCGGCACTGGAGCCCCCATCGGCCCAAACTATGGTTCTTGTGCCTGTCGTTGGTCTTCTTCGCCGCTTTCGTAGTCGTCAACATGAAGGCAGACTCGCGTGAGTATAACTTGCACTGCTGCCGCCGGAAAGACCGTAGCGCGGCGTCGCCGATGATATCCGGCGCGTCGATCTGAGTTTCTTGGCCTGAACTCGAGTCTACCATTCTCTTAGTATGCTGAAGAGAAATGAAGGGTGAACATAAGCTGATTGCATGTTGATCCCCCCCTTTGTATCCAACAGTGCAGCGGTATGCCCCCCTTCCGGAGCGTATCGAGATTACCCTGAAGCCGGCCGATTCAATAGTACCGCCTCCGTGAGCGAACCCGTGCAAATCTAAACGGTGCTCTTCTTCCTCACCTCCTCTCTTGTTTTTGCCATACGGTACAGAGATTCAAACGAGCGCTTCCTGGGATATTTGCCACATTCTGGATTCCACAATCAACGCAGTGCGCTTCAGAATGCCTTGCTGCTGGCAAGAGCGTTGAATCGGACGCTGTTGGTGCCACCTATCGTAAGTAGCACAGATCCATCTGAGTTTTGGGCAACCCTGCTCATCTTTTCTCCTGGTCGTGGTTGCCAAGTGGGTTGGATGGCCTATACCAACGCGTCATTACGAAGAGCTGGTGAGTACCCAAGTTTTGACCGCTCGTTCACCGCGCTCAGCTATGGCGCTCAGCTACGCCGGTCGCACAAGCTAAGATGACCTCTTTCCTTTTATGGCTCTCGACAGGCGAAGATATGGACAGACGTCATGCTTGTAAACTCGGAAACATTCGGCATCGACTCGCTGGTCCCCGGTTCGGAACTGAACGAGCCAGGTGGCTACCCTTCCACTCTCGAAGACTTTCCTTTCCCGACCTCAAAAGCCGATGATCCTGAGCTGGTGGAGAAGGCGGCAGGGCGCCAAAAGGCCATGGCAGAGATGTGGGAGAGAAAGGGCTACCAGGTTCGAGCAGATGGCTACCCGATAACCAATCTCACCAGCAAGGAATGCAAGAGCTGTGAGTCTAGAAAGGCACGATGAAGACCACCATTTTACTGATTGCTGCACCTCCCATAGTCTCAGCAGAATGTCGGCATACCTACAAGGACACTTTTCTCGCTTGGAGCTCGCTGGTGGATCTGACTGTGCTTCAAAAGGAGGTCAAAATGCGAGATCGGTGGGACATGCGAGAGCGAGCCATCGAATCGATGCTCAGTGTCACTAAAGACGATATCGTCAGTTTCCGCTGTCGCTGGTCAAACCCTGTCGTCTGGGCACAATCTCTCTCAGTTTGCTAACCCAGCAATTCTATGACCTCCCTAGTACGTGCTCAAGGATCGTCAAAACTACGATTTTCAGTTCGTGGAGAAGGAGAACGAGGACGGTGCCCTCATTCATTTCACCGACGACCCCTCGACGCACTGGGCGCGCGTCGTCTCGATCCCGGTCCTGCGCCGAATGTCGCAACGCGTGCTCCTCGTCGGATCCCTGTTCGGTCACGATCGACTCCTTTCTGAAGACAGACAACATGATATCGAAGAGATGGAGCGGTATGCGCGCTTACTGGCGTTCCGCACGCCCGAAATCCTCATTCCTGCCGACGACATTTGCCGGCGGCTTGGCGGAGCGGGCACATTCCTCGGCGTTCATGCCCGAGTCGGCGACGGTACCTTTGCCAAGTACAGTAAGCGCAACATGAAGTCCACGTGGGAAAATCTTTTGGAAGGACTCGGCGTGGAGAAAGACGACGTCGACTCGCTGTGGCAGTCGCGGGGATTTGAAGGAGCACCTGCAAAGCCGATGCCCGCGCCGGTGGCCCAGCGAGGCGACAACCAAGCGGTTCAGTCAAGCTCGTCGCAACGGAAACACAGTGCCAGACGGCCGAAAAAGAGCATTCCAGTTACGCCAAAGCAAGATGACCAACCGCGCTTTAGACCCCGCGCGTTCCGTCTCGTCGATCGCGATGGCTCTGACAAGGCCGCGCTCGCAACCAAGCTCGATCATCTCACCTGTCGTTCACCACTACACGCCGCGCCGGAGCTCCTCAAATTCAACATCCCACTCTACCTTGCCACGGACTCACGTTCTCCCTTGGACGATATCAGTCTCTCGCCTTTCTTTCGCTTGTTCCCGTGCACGTTTATCCTTTCCGATTTCGAGGAACCTAACGAGCTGAATATGGGAATGGCAGTGAGAAGTTTGGATCGATTCAAGCGCCTGATTAATGCGGCGGATGGGCTACCTCTTAGGAGGTTCTTCACCCCCTTCCTCGAAGCCGTCGTCGCAGCCAAAGCAGGGGTTGTCAGGGGCACCCGTGGAAGCACTTTTTCAGGCAAGTGATAGACCTCCCCTCTGTACATTTCCCTGCCAACTTCGTAATTCAAGCTAACGTTTGATCGACAATGAGCAGGCTACACCCAGAACGAGCTACACGGAGCTTACGCTGCCGACATAGCCTAATCCTTCTCGAGCACCCACCAACTCACTGTCGTTCTCGGCGTCTATCACGTAAATGTACTCCTTTGTCTCTCGTTTTCTTTCATCGCGCTCTCCTTCCTCCCGAAACATGTCTCATTAGTACGCATATGAAACATGGCTAGTTGTGATTACACCTGAAAATCCTTACGACAGTCCCTTGAGACACAAATTCCAGGAAGATACAAGAAGACCTTTATGGTATATGGGTGGAGTGAGGTTTGGGTCTCACCGCTACCGAGGAGGTAAGTTGACCCAAGCCCTTTCGACGTACTTCATCTTGATGTACGTGCCGATCGTCTTGTCCGTCGGCACGACCTCGACAGGCCTCCGAGCCTCATAGATAGAGTTCGATTTTACGTTCCCGACGGATCGGATGGCGTCGATCTGTTCGTCGGTCCAATCATCGAGCTCGATAGATCGGACTTTCGAGACGTGGGTGCCTAAGCCGCGATGCACGCCGGAACATCGTATGCAGGTGAAGATGCCGAGGGACCAGCTGGCCCATTTCGGATCTGGTAGAAACGAATCAGCTTGTCAGCTCTGAGCCTCCTCCTCTCTGGAGAAGACCGGTCTGAGACGTACCTCTGGCGCCACAATCGGCGCAGACATCGTTCCCAGGCTCTTTGGCCAGGCTCTGAATCTCATCCGCATTCTTCTGTCTCCGTTCTGCGGGCGTCGCAATCGGGATCGGCGGCTCGTTCGCACCGTTCTCGCCAGGCTCAGGGCCCAACTGATCAATAAGCGCCGAGACACGCCCCAAGATCATCCGATCAGCCTCGGACAAATCCTCCGCCAGGTCATCCAAACCACTCCCATTCCCGGACCTCCTCTCCCCAACATGGTCGAAAATTTGTCGGCCTTCATTGAGTGAAGGCGAAGGTTTGGGGGAGCTTGCGATGATGAAAGTTTGAGGCTCTGGGTGGCTTGGAAGGGATGATGTTGAAGCTTTGTCCTTAGCGGCCCGAGATCCTTGGTCCCGTTTGGCTTTCATCTTGGAAGCCAAAGAAGTGCGACGGGAGAGAGGTTCGCTGACCCACGAGGTGAGGCGATTGGAGAGGTGGTGACCAATCCCGAGGGCCGGTTGAGAAGGGGACGAAGGTAACGAGGTGGGGCCTGAGAGCCCGGGCGATCGGAGAGCCGCGTTGGCTCCATTGCTGGCTGGGGCACCGGGCGGGCCGAAATCGCCGAAGAAGGCGGAGGAGCCAGTGAGCCGGCTGGCATCAAAGTGCCGTACGGACGAGGTGCTTGGGATAGACAAGAATTAATGTTAGCCGTGTGCGATTCTGAAGCGAATACATGACCACATACCCGTTCAGTAAGCTCTCGATCGATTTGCTGATGGCGTTGACCCAGTCATTCATTTCGGCTTCGTGTGTAGCTTGGTAGATGCGACGGCTGTCAGGGGTCAGAATCTCGAAGCAGAACCTGCAAAGTATAGATATGGGACGTCAGATCTTGCTCGAACTCCCTTTGTTTTTAACTACAGAACATACCTCCTCTCGGTGTTGTGCGAGACGCGAACAGATGCCGCGGCAAGATTGATGGGCGTGTTCTTGATGTCCCTTGGTCTCTGCCAATCCACAAACTCGACGAGCTGTCCTTCGCTGAGTACGCACCAGTGCGCGGTCCAACTACCTCCTCCATCTCCTGCGATCGTATGGGAGGACCCCTTCGCAGTTGCGAAAACAAGACCTTCTTTCCGACGCATCGATACTGCGGCCGGGTTCGCTGATGCTTTCGCTGCAGCGATGTTTTGGTTTAAGCCACAAGGTACGACCTGCTCTCCGGGAGATGTCGAGGGAAGGGCAGGCATTGGTGGAGATGATGAGGATGCTGCGAAGAGTGCATGCGACGTAGGAGAGGTCGAAGACGATGAGGGGGAGAACACTCGCTGGGTTTGTTTGACGAAGCTACGTATTCGTTCCCTCGTCGATTCGGATGTCTCGACGGCAGCCTCCTGGAAGCTCGGGATCGAAGCACGCTTCTTGGGACTTGAAGTAATCGGGTTGGCCGCACTGGTGCTCGTGCTCTTTCGCCTTCGGCTAATGGAACCCACTCCACTGACTCGACTGAGGGCTGATCCGTTCGAGGCCGTCTCGTCGTCCGTCTCACTAGCCTCCGGATCTTCCCCTCTCAACCCTTCGGCAAGCGCTCGAGACAAGGTCGCGCGAGCATGGTCCCGACTCTTGTTGCGTGCAATCTCGGTCGCTTCCTTGGTCACGGCCCGTGGATCGTCGGCAATACCGGCCCACAGCCGTAGCCACGTGCAGATGAGCACTTCTTCGGATTCTACGAGCGACTCAATAGTTGCAAAGTATTCGTTGCGATGTGCTTCAAAGCTCTGGTTGCGTTGCTGTTGCTTGAGATCGAGCGACTCGGCTTTGGAGATGTCGGCGGTCCGGGACAGGTACTGCCGAGGGTATAGTCCGAGCCATCAGCCGGGCCTCGAGCAAACGGATGACATCCCAAGGCGACGCACCTTTGACAGATCATGGTAATAGTCCCTGGTGTCATTGTCGAACTGCTTCCTTCTCGCTTCGACGAGCTTGAGCCTCTCCATCCCGCCCTTCATCCTCATGATCCACTCCTCGAGTCGATCCCTCTCCGAACCCCTTCGCTGCCTCTCCTCTTGCCGCTTCTTCTTCAACGCGCCATCGTACAGGCCGGCCAGAATATCACTCCTCGTCGTACTGCTCGCCGCCGCGGTGGACAACTGCTCGAGGTGACGGTCGATACGGTCTTGAGCAGCCGAATCGTCGCGGTTCGCGTCGACCGCGTCCGCGGCGGCCTTGCAAAGCTCCTTCAGCGTGCAGCGAAGTGAGCGTGCCCTGATCTCGTACGAATGAACGAGCGCCCGAAAGAGTGGTCCATCCTCGAGTGGAGATGACGGGGGTGCGGTCGTCGTCGTCGTCGCGGTCGAGGTCGAGGTAGAGGCCGAGGCCGAGGCCGTCGAAGCACGAGGTGGGGCAGACACGGCCGAGGTGGAAGAAGCGTTGGCTGAGCTCTCGTCTACTACTGCAGCTGGCACGTGCGAGTTCGTCGAAGCCATCCGTTCGGTCCCAATACGGTTGCCTTGCTTTCACACGGTCCGGTGGCAGGCGGACAAGCTTGGATCAGGGGTCGCGGGCTGAACTGGACCGCTTGACCGGCGGCGAACGGAGGTTGGAGCCGAGAAAGGGCCGCGTCGATCAACGCACGCCGGGGCGGCGCCGGGCGGGGCCACGCAGCCGTGTGTTCGTGAATGCACGTTTGCCACCACGTCGTCACGTCTGAGTCGACCAGGGAAGTCGTTGGTGATTGTTCGTCGCCCAATGGGGGTGTGGTACGCGGTGCGCTGACTCGCTCGATCCGTCTCCTCCGGTCGGCACCGTCTCTGGCCCAAGACTCGCGTTGAGTGAGCAGAGTCAACCAGAGTCAACCAGTCTCAGGCCATGGCTCCGGCAAGCCCTGCCACTGGGTCAGTCGCCGCGCCGACTCGGTTATTTGGGAACTCGCACTCACCTTATAGAGCTGCCACCACTATGGGTCATTTTATGAACGTTGTTTTGAAAAATCATGGGGCAATCTGCAAGAACGAGCAATGGGGTACAGATATTCATGTTCTCTGAGCCTGCTCCGAAGCTTAAGGACGAGCTTCGGGATCAGCTTTTGCGCCAGACGATTGATTCTTCGAGGCCGAGACGATAACTACGAAGCACTTGGATGACCATGTAAATAAAAGGTAATGAAGGGAGGAAAAGAGTGGAATGCGTTCCCAGTAGAGAACGCAATCTGCAAATCACCATCTAGTGCTGCCTGCGAGAGCAGCGGAGACGAGTCGAAGGCGTGGGGCTGCGAGAGAGAGAGCTCGGAGGGAGGGAAGCGCTGAGTCAGCATCGTCCTCAGCTGAAGAACAACGCACCAGCGTAACCTTAAGTGAATAGCGCAAAGTCGCCGAACCGACTTGTTGTAAATGTTAACGACATCGGCGAGGCAGATGGTATCGTAGTCGGAGCATGGCTCGAGACACCGTGGACAACTTCGGGCGAGTAACGGAAACTGATCTGGATGCCGCACTTGGAACGAGGCGCAATTCTTGGCCAAACAGGGTACTAGTAGTACGCGACGCGAGCATAGATCAAGTGACCGTGACGGCAGGCTCGCCGTTCTTGGACGTTTGGAAATTGTCGTAGAAGGCGATTGACTTCTTGGTGCAAGCGCTGCGCAGTTCAAATGGCAAGACTCCGGTGGGAGTCAGTGGTTTTTTTTTGTATCAAACCTGATTAGATTTCACATATTCGGTTATCTACGCAAAATCAATGTTTCTTGAAAAAGGGGGTTGGACTTATGTAAAGTCATAGCCACTAGATCCATGCAGCCCCCACACTCCTGAAACCACCAAAAGAAACTACTACGCACAAGCGACGGACGAATTTCGCAGCTTCAACTTGTTCTCGATGAAAATGCCGAAAAACTCACGGAGCGATGATGGCGACACACGTGCCGTGAAAAGCTTTATAGCCGATATTGCACTTCATGGAGCACTTGCCGTCACTCTTGCAGATCGCCGAGCCGCTTTCGCACGAAGGTCACTTGGCGGGGTCGTAGACACAGGGGTGGTGGAGACGCGCTGCTTGCAGGTGATGACCTGGTAGTACAGGTAATGTTGCACTGCCAGAGGTCTTCTCACCGTTCCCGGCGGCGGGACACTTGGAGAATCATAAACCGGGATGCTGGCAGTGCAAATACCGTTGACGTTACGTGTAGCCGGTGGTGGTGCAGACGGCGGCGGCCGGTCGGTAGGCGCGGGCCACTTCAGGTCACGTCGCAGACGACGCATTTGCCGTAGAACGTTGACCCCGAGGTGAGGGTGGCGAACCAAGGGGTGGCTGCAAGCAAGAAAGCGAAGAGTCGCATGGTGATGCAGTCTGGTGTAAAAGTGTGAAGTGAATGTGTTAAGTTATGCGATTAGACGCCGAGTTCGGAAGCGGGGAAATGATCGTCAAGAGAGAGAGAAGAGAGAGAAGAGAGAAGGCGACTCGCCGGCCGGGAAAATTGTTCGACTTGCTCTGATCGAGCCGGGGAGGAAAAGTCGGCAGATGCGGTGGGGCGAGACGACGATGCATGAACCGAACGTCAGAAGCCTACTGTAATTTTTTTGGCTCGAATAATTTGAAGGATGAATTGCACCAGGCCGCAAAAAATTGAGGAATCGATTGCACACTCAACTACCGAAAAGATCCCCACCGAGCTCAACCGCAGTGGGAACCGAAACCAGCCAAAAGTTGAAAGAGGGCATATAGTGCACACAATCATTCATGCCACACTTCAAGAGAGTTATCATTCGCTTCAAACTCGACGGAGGGAATTTTTTTACCAGAAACTATTCCTTCACATCCCGATCAGCAAGCCTCACTCTCAAAGGCAAGCGATGGCCCAAGTGCTCCTCGTCAATAACCAAAGGTCTCGTCACGATCAAGGATCTTCGAGAGAGCTTGTTAATCATCTCTTGGGCTGAATCGCGGGGCAAGAACTCGAAATTGTCGAGAAGAACCGAGGCGATCCTGCCAAGGTACGTGGAAAGAGGGATCAGGACAGGCGCACGTGGTGATCCCAAAAATTGCGCAAAAGGGCTTACACCTTGATCTCTAGGACGCTTTGAAGAGTAGTTCGAGAGAACTGTCAGTTTATCGAATTGATGAACCCCATCTGCTCACAACTCACGCAAACCGATAGCCAATACAAGCCCTCGGACCGGCCATGAACGTCATCAAGTTCGAAAAAACGCCCACGTTACCCGAGATGGCCCCCTTTTCCGCTGCTTTGACGAGCCAACGCTCGGGGACGAACTCGTCGGCGTCATCACCGAAGATGATTGGGTTGGTGTTGACGGCGCTGATGGGAATGACGAGAATTTGGTTCTTCTTGATTTCGACTGGGAGTAGGGTGGATGGGGTGATCAGAGCGGGTCTGGACATGCGGACTTGAGCACGAGCACGCCTCAGAGGTAATTGACGCACCTGAGTCCATGAACTTGCCATCGACGGCCTTAATTGGAACCCCCAGTGGGATCACATCGTCTTCCGATGCTTGAAGAGCTATTCAAGCGTTAAGTAAAAGCCACGATCAGCTCACCGAACTCGAAGAGACTTTTGCTCCCAGCTCCGCTGCTGACGCACTCGACAAAGCGACAGGAGGTTCCAGCCTCAACACCTCTCTCACGACAGCATCGAGATAGGTCAGTCCGTTTAGATCCTCGGCGTTAAGCTCATCTTGACCATGTTCCTGGAATGCATTGGCTCGAGCATGACGAATCTCTTGACGTGTTCGAGCTTGGATGGAGGGATGGAGGGAGAGGTAGTGTAGAAGCCAGCTGAGGGTCGTCGACGTCTGCGAATAGGTTCCGGAGATCGAGTCAGGAATGCCCTATGTGCATAGACAACTGGGTGAATAAAGTGACCGTTTCATTCCCCGCAAACAGGAACGTCTGTAGATCCCAGAGGGTGTCAGCCCGAGGACACGTGTGTAGCTTAGAGCCGTTGCCACTGCGGTCGACTCACCGCGATTTGACCGCGCAGCTCTACATCACTCATCCGCGACTTGGCTTCGCCGGAGTTCGATTTGACTTTGATGACACCCAGCATTCACCGTCGATGATTTAAAGCCAAGTTCAGCCAAGACGACTCCAACCGCACTACCCGTGCCAGCAGATGGTACTTACGCAGCAAAGTGATTAAATCCTTGCCACCCCCTATACTCATCTCCGTCCCTCCACCACCCGCACGTAACTCCTCTCTCTTTTCCTCAATGATATTCCTACTGACTCTCTCCATCGTTTCAGTGAAATTACGAATCAACTGTACCCTCTTGTTCGGGACCAGTTTGCTGAGGTTGATGTTGGGAAAGAGGGTGGCGAAATGACCGGTCAGACGGGTGAGGAGGAGTTGGGAGATGGGCACTTTTTTAGGGATCGATCCCCCGCCGGTCAAGATACTTTGAAAAGCAGAGGCGAGCTCGGATGGGGTTCCTGAGAGAGCTCCACAGTCATAGCCGAAGCCGGCTGATGTGGGGTCACACCTGCGTCAGCTATGCAGGGACGGATCGTTAGTGTGATGTGACTTGGTCAACTCACCGACGCCAATCGTGTCCAATGTCAATTTCGATAACCACTTCAAAACATCCAACACGACCACCCCCTCCTCGTGCGTTTCGTCCCATTGCTCCATCTTCTCGTTCGAAGCGAAAGCCTTCTCATCCGAATCTGAGGTCTCGATCAGTGCGACCCATCGATCCTTGAGCGTGTATGAAAGTTCAAAGAACGTCGGGACGAGGTTACGCAGTGCCGAAGGGGAAAAGGCAGGTATCATGATTCGTTTCTGACGTTTGTGGTCATCACCTGCAGGGAGAGTGAACACCACCCGAGAAGTCATGAATGATATCAGGCCCGATCGCCCCGTGCGCAACAGGAGCCTCGAGTGCGAACACCTCACCTTCAGCGAACAACAACCCGCTGCCCAAATTCCTCGCCAGATTACCCCTCACTTCCCCCGGTTTCACGAACTTGTACCCATTCTGTACCAAAATATAACTCAAAGCGACCGGGTCCGTAATGCACAGCCTTTGTTCGCCCAAGAAGCCCCTGAATTTGAAGAGACCGCCGTATTGTCTGGACCAGTGTTTTTGAGGTGCGCCGGGGGGTGAGGAACTGATTTGATCGAGGTCCCCGAGGAGGAAGGAGTGCGTTGGAGGACAGGGTAGACGTGAGAAGTTGTTGTAGCGCCGGAAATGTGACCAGAGGGTGAAGAGGAGGAAGGAAATGACTTGGAAGAGAATCACGGCCAGGGTCGTTGGGAGGAGGTGGGGCCAGGCTGAGGAGGCCCATTGAGAGGCTACACCGGTGTCCATGACGCTTTGCTCGACGGCAAGGCTCGAGGTCGTGAGGTGTCGAAGGAAGAGGTAGCTGAAGTTCGATTGTAATCCCGAATCCATCCGGGTGGCCCCGACTTCGCGAGACGGACCAAGATCCAGAGCGCAGTGTTTCATCCCAGATCGATGACACACCGACCCGACCCAAGCGTCAAGGCAAGGAAGGCACCTTCCTCGGGACCGGAGATCGAACCGAGAATAAGCGCTAAAACTTCGGGCAATGAGTGAGGGAAATGAAACACCCGGGAATGGGTACCCTACACGCGCGACCCTCGCTCGCACGGATAACATGAGTCCGTGTCCAGTACGCGTTCCTTATGAAACCCTTCTGCAAAACTTAGATTTTGGTACTCTGGAATCCATATGGAATGTAAAACATTACAGCATCAGCTCACTAGCGGTTGCTATGAATGGAGTAGATGTTAAGCATCCCCAAACAGTTGATCAACCGTCTGCAATAGGTTTCATGCGCTCAGAAAATGGCAATCTCAACTTCTTCTCGTGTCCAGCGTGGAATTCGTATGATCCAGCACCGGGAAGCTAGCGCGAGTCAGACCCTGCGGAAACCAGGAACATATCCGTGCGAAATTCCCATCCAAAAGGGCTGGCCGTGTAGTCCCACAACAAGACACCGCAGTGAGGAACGGGTGCAACTTTTCCGAACAACCCCCCCCCCCCAGCCACAAAAAGTGGGCGGCACCTCGCCCCGTCGCGAGACATGACACCCCTGTCTGACCCCGTGGTCGGTTGGGGCTTGTTAGCGCTTGTCATCTGCTTTGTATCGCGCTAACGGGTCTGTGCTAAGCGCGGCAACCGATCGTCTTACCGGTCAGGCGCCAGTCAAGAACGGAGAGACCCGTGACTTGCCGGAGTTCCAGGCTACTGGCGTGCCATCAATCCACGTTCCGGTGTGGGTGCCACGCCCCCACGTGCCTTGCTGTTGTGCGTCGAGCTTTAACCCCGTGCACTGATCATGTTGAGTGCTTGAAGGGTCCCCAGGTCCCCAGGTCTCCAGTTCCCCAGGCCCCCAGGCCCCCAGGTCCCCAGTAGCCGAGAATCGGTACACGATCTCAGTCGCCGAATTCATTGCGCGGGCCGTCGTCTCCTTATCCCCCTCCGCACTGGCGAAAGCTGTGTTCATCGAGGAGCCCCTTTCCCGAGTCGTCTCTCGAACTAACACGGGTCGGGAAATTCGACAGCTCACGGGGCTCGCATGAAAATAAAATAAGTGAAGTTCTCACTGGAGATGAGAGATAATAACAGGTTCGAGATTGGGGTATATTCGAGGGTGAGGACTTGCCGTCGAACCCGGCCGGCCTCTTTGCCTGAATCGTCCGGCTCTAAAGTGACCACCGCTTGAAGTTCAAACCTGCGTCGACGGCAGCCGGGTGATTACGGCCATGCAATGCGATCGGTTCATTCAAATTTAGAGCACCGAAAGGTTGAACGGCCGAAGATTTGCTGCAATCGATGTACACCCGAGCCAGCGGGTTTACTTTACTTTCTTTTTCCACATCGCTGAACCCAAGTTTCCTTTTTTGAGCGGTTGCGGTTCCGTGGGCCGTTGACGGAGTTGTTCGCTCTCATCCGGATCGCAGCCGAGCGCTCTCGCAAGCTCCCGCGCGCGAGTGCCGCCCAACAAACAGCCTGCCCGACCCCGTGCCAGCCTGCCCGTGTCAGCCTGCCGAACGGCTACCAACCCCTCTCCAATCTCATCAGAACTACCCCGCACACAGGAATGACGGACCACATCCCTTCCGGTACTGCTCATGAGGTAAGTCGATGCTGCTCCGGCTCGCTTCGACTTTATTCGCTGACACGCTGCGCCTGTTCGTCGTTGTTCGTGATGATGATGATGATGGATAGCATGATGGTCACTTGCGAGGTCAGTTCCGTCGCTGGTGCACTGCAGGGGGTGGGGGGTGGGGGGGTTTACGTTCCCTAACAAACACGGCCATTCTTTCTACTTCAGTCACCTACAATGACATCCACGTAGGTCTCCTCCACGTCGCCCTAGTCATCGAACTCGAGCTCCGCACGACTCGGTGCCAGGCTCGAGCTTTCGCAACCGATCCGAAGCTCGCAGCGCCTCTCTCGGCCGAGTTTCGGTCAAGAATCCTGGCTTCTCATCGGGTGCAAATCGGGCCCTAGAGGTCGACCATGGTCACGGGAAACCAAATTTCAGGTTTTGATCGACTCGGGGATGCAAGATCGACGCGACGTTAGGACGAAGCTCGTGCTTCCCCGCGCTTGCAGCCACAACTCGAGCAGCTCCAGGAGAGACAGGCACTCCGATCGACGAGTGTAGCTGACCACATGGAATCCTCCCTCTTTGTAGATGACAATCGGCAAGACGGCGCACAAGATCAAGAGCGAATTCAACCCCGATCTCTTCATCGCCATCGGAGGTGGAGGGTCAGTTCTTTACAGCCAGCGGCGACGGAGAACGGACGTATCTTCTTACACGGGAATCTTCTCGTAAATTTAGATTCTTCCCCGCCCGAGTCTTGCGAACGTTCTTGAAGCAAGGTGCTGCGGGGGAGAAGAAGCGCAATATCCCGATCCAGGCCATCGGCTTGTCCCTTTACGAGGTTCGTACATCACCCAACTTGTCCGAGGAGGTTGCCCAGAGCTCAACCAAGTTATCTATAACCTTTTTGACAGGAGGTCGGAGCTTTCGACGGTTCGAGCGGGTTGGCGCAGGCGGAAAAGTTGGGCAAGGAGGTCGTACGCACGCAATGGCTCGATTTCTCGACCTTGGGCAACCAACCTCTGCTAGGACGAAAGATCCTGATCGTCGTACGTTTCGACCCAACGAAGCTCCTTTGACTTGGGCTCAAAACTTTGAATGCTGATATGATTGATATTCGTCGAGTGGGGTACAGGATGAGGTCGATGATTCACGGACGACGTTGAGCTACGCCGTGCAAGAGTTGCGGAAGGACATTGATGCGCAACTCGCGGCATTATCCGAGGAGAAAAAGGCCGAATTCGAGGAGACGCAGTTGGCCATCTTTGTTGGTACGTTTCAAGGTCAAAGACGGGGAAGTGCAAGTTGAAAAAGCTGACGGGCCGAGGTATCTGGGTACTAACTAGTTCACAACAAGTTGAAGGAGAAGCGAGGGACTCTGCCCAAGGACGTGCAGTACTTTTCGGGAGAGGACATTGCGGATCGATGGGTCGATGTAGGTCATATGTCAAAGACGAGGTGGACAGAGAGTAGAGTGCTCATTCGATGTCTTGTTGTCGGTTTTACAGTACCCTTGGGTTAGCACGCTCGCGCACTCGGCTATGAGTATCCGCTTTTCTGCGGGGACCGACTACTGACCTTTACCTTCTTCCTCCCTCTCTTTGACCGCTCCAATAGGAACAACAAGTACGTCGACTTTTTTCCACGACGGGCCACTTTTGTTCGAGGAATGCTGACCTCCTCTGTCGCTCCTTCGTTTGCTCAGGACATTCTCCTGCACGAGCAAGTCGCGGCCAAGCAAAAGGCGTTGGGGCTCTAAGCACTGGACTTGTAATCGCTTCGGGGGTTTTTGAGCATAGACTGACATTTTGTGGGCCATGCGACTATTTCATTATCTTGCTGCATCCCGACCGTGATCCGGGGAATCATTAGTCATGCCTCGCCCGGGAGTCGGAGCGGAATTTGTCACGGCGATGCGCGGCTTCTCATTCTCATGCTCACGCGCGGGCACACGCACGGCCGGGGCTGGGCCAGAAAGTCCGTTCCAGAACAGAAATGAAATCTGATCAGCACTAAAGCTTGCTTCTTTAGCTTGCTTCTTTTGCTCACCCACCCAACCGCCGCGGAGGAGTCAATTCGGACCGCTCATTCGAAACGGACGAGACGGGACGGTCGTCGTTGGATCTTCAACAGGAGACGGCCTTCCAGTTTGTGTGGGTCCGCTTGGGCGAGTGCGGTGATCGCGATTCGCCAGCCGAGCGCCAATCGGGGTGAGCTCTCGCGCCCGGACGATCGGAGTCGAGCCACGCAAGAATCACGACCGAGCTGCGACACGGTCACACGGGCGCCTCTTGCGACCGAGCACATCGAGTGTTGAGCTCCCAGGTGGCGCCTTGCTGTGCTCGTTGATCCTGGAGGGCCAATCGAGCCGCGTTCAAAAGGCTTCACCACTCACGATGCACCGTCGAGATCACACACACACCGAGCTCGCCCCGTGTGCGCCCGTCGTCCGCAAATCGCAAATCGCAAATCGCAGCAAGCAGCACATACAGTCGAACCATGCTCTACTTTTCACGCTGACCATCGTGTACCTCTTCCCCCCCCCCAGGTGCGATCGGCCTACGCAGCCAAGCGCCTCGGCCAGCATTTTGATTAGATTGCGCGCATTCAGCCTCGCCAGCCTAAACGCTCGTCCACTCATTCCACCCATCACGAGATCCACAACTAGATCCGAAGCATAGTGCTCTGAAACAGTCCTCTGAAACGGTCCTCTGAAACTTCAAGGCATTCCTGTTCCCCGTTCTCTCCCACGCCCTCCTCCACCTGGCAATTATGGCCGCGATGGTCGAAGAGATCGACTACGAAGGGCTCGACAACGACTCGCTCGCGATCAACATGTTGGCCGGCGCGATGGCCGGTATCTCCGAACATGCCGTCATGTACCCCGTCGATTCCATCAAAGTGACTTTGTGCCTTGACAGAGCAACACAACCCACTCGAAAATTGACCCGCCCTCTCTCTCTCCCCCCTGTCACACACCCCCCCCCCTCACCCCCCGCTCACAGACCCGAATGCAAGTCCTCACCACATCACCCGGCGCGATGTATACGGGCATGTCGGACGCGTTCACCCGCATCGCCTCGACCGAAGGCACCAAACGATTATGGAGAGGCGTAGCCTCCGTCATTTGGGGTGCCGGTCCCGCTCATGCCGTCTATTTCGGCACGTACGAATTCACCAAAGAGTTGGCAGGCGGGAATCAGGGGGGTTACTCGTTTGCTGCGACAGGTTAGGACTAGAGTTTCGAGTTCGAGTGTGGACGAGCACTACTCACGATTGGGGTCTACTCCCGTAATTGCAGCCTCAGCAGGAGCAACAGCTACGATCGCTTCGGATGCGCTCATGAACCCCTTTGATGGTCAGTCGAAAGGAGTCATATTGGCGATTGTTTTGTGGCTGTCTAAAAACCTGCACTCATCTCTGCAGTGGTCAAGCAAAGGATGCAAATACACGGCTCGACCTTCCGAGGCGTCGGCGAATGCTTCCGATCCGTCTACCACGCCGAAGGCCTCAGCGCTTTCTACGTCTCCTACCCCACCACGTTGATGATGACGGTCCCTTTCACGGCCGTACAATTCTCGACATATGAATTCATCAAGTGCGTCTTTTTCGCTGTTGGAGCCCGGTCTCGAGTCGCCCAAGCGCCTAGCTGATCCGGACCTTTTTTTTCGCTCCCTCCCCTCCTTTACAGAGATCGGTTAAACCCAACAGGCCACTACTCCCCCTGGACGCACGTCACAGCAGGCGGTATCGCCGGCGCCGTCGCCGCAGCCGTGACGACCCCCTTGGACGTCTGTAAAACGCTCCTCCAAACACGAGGAACGTCGGACCAAGCCGCGATCCGTAATGCGAGGGGTATGCTCGATGCGGCCAAGATCATTTGGGAACGACAGGGCGCGAGTGGGTTCGCGAGGGGTATCTCACCGAGGATATTAACCAATATGCCGAGTAATGCGCTTTGCTGTGAGTGATTAGGTTTTTCTTTCTTTTTCACCTCGCTTTTGAGTTGTTCGCTCATGGTTTTTCCATCTCTTACGTCACGCAACAGGGCTATCATACGAAGGTTTCCGATTCTTGCTCAAGGGACGCGCCGCGGCGTCGACAAAACGAAACGAAGGGCTATAGAACCAATCCACCCCAAAATCCGAAGAAGGAGAACCCTCCCCGCTACCCACCTCATCTCATTAACATCACACGAACTCCCACGAACTCCCAGGCCCCCTACGTCCCCCATCACTCAATCTGGGAAACTCCTTCCCCGGTTCTTCCCCTTCTTCCCTCCTTCCCCCTTTTTCTTGTTGCTATTCAACGCCGACGCAATGTTATTCCCAGTCCACAACAATGATGACAAAACCTTTTTATGCACGTGTGCGGTCGTGGGCTTGCTTTCATTCATGGGAAACTTGGGAAGATTGGGGAGAACGGAGTCCTCCTTCTAAACCAATGCGATTTCAAACCGGCACGAAAAGGGCTTACACAAACACAGACACACAAACACACACACACATACACACACACACACACACAGATGAGGACGATGTACACCTCAGAAGGGGAAGACGAAGAACATTGACCAACAGATGAAAAATGTACCAAGACATAACCAAACGTCCCCCTCCCCCCTCTATTCCTCATTTTCTGACCCCCCGGCCGATCCCTCATCCGACGAAGTTCCCCTCCTTCTCAAACCCTTCCTCCTCGAACTATGCTCCCCCACCCTCCCAGTAGAAGACCAAGTCGAAGTCGATGACAACTCGTGCTCGTCCAAAGAACTCGTAACTAAATTCGTAGTGTTGATGGTCAAGGTTTGTCTCGTCTGTGCCGTAGGTGTTGAAGGCGGTTCGGTGGGAGGTACTTGAACTCGAATCTCGGGAGGGACGATACCACCTGATTTTTGCGCGGCGCGATGAGCTAGGAATCGACGACGCCAGGTCAGACGTTGGAGCACGCCGCGAACGACGTCGGAGTTGACCCTTTCCATCACTCGGTCTTGTTGTTGACGACGGTCCAGCAGCTCGTCGACCCTGAGATTGGGTTAGGACCAGGTGAGTCAGCACGAAATTGAGACGTAACGCGATGCAAACCGTTCGCAACTCACTGCAAAGCCGTATCATCATCGATCATCCTATAATGCGCCAACAACTCGAGCATGTTCCCGAACGAGATCCCCCGATCGTCCTTCTCCGCTTCGATCATCGCCTCGTGGTACAACCTGTTCCACAGGTACCTCCTCTGGCGCACCTCATTCCCATCAACGGCTCGGATCGCATGCGCCAACCTCATCGCATCGATCGTCGATGCATCCCTTTCCAAACGAGGTAATCCGAAATCGGACGAAGTCGCCGAGAACGGATCCGAAAAGGAAGGTTTGCGCGACATCGTCGAGGAAACACTCGCTGCGTTGCGAAGATTATGAATCGTCCATTCGGCGCGGTAAATGCGTACTTCAAAGATCCCTGTGAGTCTGCGAAGGAAAGGCACGATCTCGCGTCGACGGATGAAGCCTGTCCGTTCGGTGTCGATCTCGCCCCACGCTTTCTTGAAGCCGCGCATCTCTTCGCGGTTCGGGTAGTTGACGTTGCCCCAGGATTGGTAGACGTGACTGAAGTTTTCAATCACGGTACCGAGAATCAAGTTCGCCATCAGATCTGTATAGCAAGTAGGGTCAAAATGGCGATCAGGGGTGTTCGATCGGAGTGGATGCTTGCAACGAGAACTCACACATCGAGAGTACGTTCCAAGTGATGAACAAGACGAGCGCCCAAGCCGTACTCCCACAATCGCTATCGAGATAGTTGGTGCTAGTCGTACACCGGGGCCACTCGACCATGTAATCATGCATGAACGCATTCCACCCTTCACCCGTTGACTGAAGTGCGAGTAGAACGAGCGCCTGGGCGAACGTCGAATAGTTGGCATTGTGCGTCTCGTTGAAGTTCCATCTCGTCAGACCGAAGATCTCGATGTAGAAGATGGCCCAGACGATAAAGAGGACCAGCCAAAGACCAAAGATGTTGAGCAATGCCTTGAGACTCGCGACCGCGGTTTTGAAGAGTTGGTTCAGGCTGTTGTTGCGTTGAACGAGCTTGAAAGCGACGAGCACGAGGAAGAGCTTTTGCAACTGATGAGCGACTTGGCTTTGTGACGACAGCATGATCGGGATCGTCGTCGCAAAAGTTCCAGCCACGACGAAGACATCGTATTGATTCCATCCGTTCATGATGTACGACGACCACCCGAGCCCAAACATGCGCACAAAGATGTCGATGCCGTATATGAGCGTGAAGCCGAGAAAAATGTAGTTGCGCAGATCGAAGCCATCATCGGTGTTCGTCGTAGCTTGCGTGCAAAGGACGATGATATTGGCGCAGTACAGCGCGGTCATCGACCTCGACCACCAGCCGTGCTTCTGCGTTGCACGATCGAAGCACCACCCTCGGAAAGCCGAGATTGGCCTTCGCTTGGGTCGCTTCGAGGGTCGTTGTCGCGCGAGCAGTCGTCTTAGGTTGAGCCATCGCTTTTGGTCAGTCGTCAAGAGTGCCATACCACTCCGAATCTCAAAGTTCTCGATGACCGTCGACACGAAAAGCGTGAGAATAAAGACAGCGCCGACGAGGTTGAAGAAGACGAAGAACAAGGCACTCCATTGGTAGGCATTGGCCTGAGGTTGGCGATCCGGACCCGTGATCTGCATCACGCTCAGCATGACGTCGACCCAGCCTTCTAGAGAGATGATCTCAAACAGGATCAAGAGCGAGGAGCTGAAATTATCGAAGTTCCACACTGACGGGTCGCTGGACGGATTGTCCCACACGCGAGGCTGTTGAGTTGGCCTCCAGAGTCAGCACTGTAAATCTAAGAGTCCTATTTGAAGCTCGGAAAGTCTTACCTGCAAATAGTTCCAATCCGAGACCGCGGCGGACGCGAACTCGCCACCACACTGCGCCTTGAACGAGACGCTCGAATCGTTGCACGAGAAGAGAAGACCACCAAAGATGTTTTGCGCCCACACCGCGAAGGGGATGAGGTACAGAATCGCAAGCAAGGAGGCATCGAGGATGCGCGAGAAGCCAACGATAAGGACGTTGTAGAACGTCTCGCGTAGCTTGGGCCAGAGGTTGATCAAGCGCAGTGCTCGGAAGGCTTTGAGCGACCGCGTGAATCGGTTGAGCCCTGGTCCAGCCAGCAAAGCAGTGACGATGTTAACGAGTAGCGTGATGAGAACGAAGAAATCAAGATCGTTGTGGGGCGAGCGAAGATAGGCGTTGGGACCGAACAAGAATCCATCGGCGATGACCTTGACCAGAAACTCGATGACGAAAATGAAGCCGAGGGTGCATTCGGCCAGCACGAACCAGGGCCAGCGCACGTCGCCGACCTCGATGTAGTAATTTCGACGATAGATGGGCGTCGCAATCGCGGCAATAACAACCGACCCGACGATTGTGATGAAGATGAGCCATTGAAAGAGAAAGCGAAGGACCTGACCCGGAGCACGGCCGAACAGACGGTCCTCGCCATGACCTGGATCGACCAGGGCCTGACACATCCGTCGCAGTGGATTGTCCTGCGACAGAAGCCAGAGCGACTTGTCGTAGCTCGGATGCTCGCCGATGTACGACGCGAGCCTGGCTCGTCGTTCCCGCGCCTGTCCACGTCTGACCTCGGCATCCCGCTCGGCTTGACTGGTCAAACGAAAGAGAGTCCTGAAGAATGAAGATACCGGTCAGCGAGAGTATGAGACGCGTCATAGCAGTTTTGACTCTCACTGACCCCTGGTACACAATCGTGTCATCCATGGGATGAAGGTCCTCCATCGCAAGGGCGTCAGTCGAAGCCCCAGACTGTCTGTTCATTCCAAACGCTCGCCTCGCGGAGCCCATCAAGGTTTCAGTGATTGATTGCCCGCGCGTGTGTACCTGGCAGAGAGTGGTCAGCCGAGGAAACATGCAGTGCCGCTGTAGAAGCGCTTCTCACCTTCTTGTCTGATGTCGCGCCATTCTCGGGTGCAAAGTCTCTCACGTCTGCGGTTCCGTGAAGAGAGGCACTCTTTGGCGAGGTCTGTGCTGGCTCGTCGAATTTGCTGCGGTCGCAGATGTTGCCATCAGACCCCGGCAAGCGCAACCCAATCGCGATCAACATACCCAACTCACTAGACATAAAACCTATGCCACCACCTCTTACGCGTGACCGGCACATCCAATCTCTTCTCGAACGCTTCGATCTGCAACTTGCGTTTTTCTTCCTCGGGGAGCGAAAAGTTCTCGTTGATGACGGCAATGAACATGTTGATGAGGACAAAGAAACCAAAGAACATCCAGCAGGACATGAAGAGGGCCGTAACTGCCATCGCGAAGACATTTTGCTGCGCCGACAGGACATTGTTCGCCACGTCGGTCCTAGGAAACAGGGCCATAGGATAAGTCAGCTTCGAACGGGCGGCGATGAAGGGGCCCAAGCTCACCAATTTTCTGAACTGAGGATCTGGTATATCGCCAAATAACTGTTGTAGCTTGTTGAAAATATTAGGGGTGTCGTGTCGCTATCATCGGGGTCGGGAACACCACGGAACAGTTGGCTCGCGATCAGAGAAGCAAAGCCCGTCATGAGCAGGAGGAACAGGGTCATGTTCAAGAGACCGGTGAAGGTCCCTAGCACTCGACGCTGAAGGTAGAACGGGGCGGATACGGAATCAGAAAGCGGTCCCTCCAAAGATGCAAAAAACAGATACTCACAAGCAACCGATTCATCCGTGGGATCGCCATGATGACGCGGTAGAACCTCGCGATCTGAAATGCCGTGAGCCAGGGATACGCTTCGGAGGTCTTGATCACCGGGATTTGGATGATCGCCGTAGCAATGACGAGTCCAAGATCAATCAAATTCTCGAGATGGTGGAAGAAGGATCGCCAATCAGGAAACGTCGCGTAGAACCGCAGCACGATCTCGACACCAAAGGCGAGAGTGACGTAGCGCTCGATCGTACCCAAGAAAACCTTCCGACTGGGTGGCATGTCGTATGTCGTGGCCGCTTGACATACGATCGAAAAGAGTGCGAGAAAAACCCATATAAGATATGTCTTGCGGTAGACCACAGCGACCCAGCGTGCAGAGCGGTTGAACCCCTTGACTTGGCCGCCCCCCTGGACGTGAGGAACTCCTCCACTTGCCGCAAGCTTGGCTGACGGATCCGCCGTCGCCGAAAATGCAGATTGTTCCGACTCTTCACGAATTTCCGCGAAAGTAGAAGTGATGACAGCGACGAACAGGTTCCAAAGCCAGTAGTTAAGCACAATCAAGCCGACGATGAAGAAGATCGTCGCGGGAAACGCGTCGGCGTCGGCCATGCGGTACATCACTACCGTCCACGTATTGGCGGAGGCGATGATAACCATCTGGTACAGACTCGTGAAGATATTGTCGAAACTCAAGGCGCCGTTTTCGGGACTTTCACCCATGATGCACACGCTAGGCGGCGGGCAGGTGAAGCCTTTCGGCTGCTCCGGACTGAATGCACCGGACGAGAGGATCACGCGTTCGATGATACCCGTCGTTGTGTTGTAGTAGCCACCGCATGCTTGTTCAGGGAAGTCAACGGACTCCAACACACCAGACGGGTCGATCCATCGGCAGTGGCGGGCGTAGGAGGCTCCGAAACTCTGAATGCCGACGATGGATAACAAAATCATCGCAAAGGCGACGAAGAAGCCGACCTTGACGAGTTGGGGTGACGCTCGCTTCAGCGAGTGCAAGATCGTACTAGTTCCGGTAGTGACGCCGAGAAGTCGCATCGATCGCAATACGCTCATCGCGCGAAACAGTTCGACGCCGTTGGTCGTCTTGACGCCTCCTATTGAGAGACCGAACGCGATCCAAAACGAAAGCACGGCAACGACGTCGAGACGGTTCCATGAGTGGCGCAGGTACGCTCGCGAGTACATGATATCGCGCTGTCGTCCGAAAGAATCTGAGAACGGTGCTTTGAAGTCTCTAGACAACAGAGTGGAGGTTGTCGACGAATTGGCTGCTCGGGTCGAGTGGGCTTGTTCGGGCGGCGACGGTACCTCTTTGGTATCGAGATCGAGCGAAGCGTCCGGCCTCGGCGGAACCGGCAGAGACACATCGGGTGGTGGTTCGAGAGATCTTGCGTCCCCGGAGACAGTGGAAGGCGAATGTGACGGTCGGCGGACGGTAAAGTGGCGTTGTATCGGTGAAGCAGGAGATCTCGCGCGAGTCGAGACGGGACTATGCTTGAGCTGTCGCACCGCATGAAGGACCAAAGAGCTATCCCGCTTCCCAGATGGACTTGGGAGTGGCGCGTAAGGATCTCGACTCGGTGAGCGGTCCCGCCGACTCGAGCCGGTCACGGCCTGGCTTCGCATGATCTCGGGGGACGTCGGTGTTGGTATTACGACGGAGAAACTGACAGGTGCTGGAGGATTGACGATGAGACCTGTGACGATGATGCGCACAAACATCTCTGCAGTGAATGCGCAGAAAATGGCGAGCAGCGCATAGTCGGTCCAATCGTGGAAATAGCCCGTTTGTGGCCGAGGGTGGGCGTACACGTCGGGCGCGGTTTGAATGGTCAACACAACGACAGATGCGAGGATAAGTACGAGGATGACCGGCTCTGTGAATCTTCAATGGCATGGAGTATCAGCCGGTCGAGGCTCAGAGTTAGGACGACCGATGTAGCAACTCACTTGGACACCAATAGCTTTGCGCACGCTCTCCGAAGCCAATGCGACTCCCCGAACAGTCCCAGACTCTTTCCTCGAAGCTTCTTGAACGCTGTCTCATACCTCGATTCTTCCGTCTCTTCCTCCGTAGGATCTTCTTCCCCATCATCACTGCCCAACTTTTGATGACGATGATCCCTATCGCTTGGCTGTCGATGGGAATTGTCAACAAACTCGGCTTGAGCATCCGAGGAGCCGACCACACGATCCGACATTCGTTGCAGGCCTTGGGTGAAGCTATTGCGAAATGAGGACTTTGTTTTCCGCTTGCCCCTGGGATGAAGTCGTCCATCCGATCCTTCGGAGACGGCAGCAGCGACATTTCCCTCGACCGTCGAGGATGCTGGTCTCAGTCCCACTTCTTCATCATCCCCTACTCCCGAGCCAAGACCCAGCCCATGCCACCGATCCTCTGCAGCGGCCCCCGAAAGTCTCTTTGCAGGCGTCTTGGTTTGTGACCGTTTCCCTTCCTCGTCCGAGTCGTACCGAAAGGGCCTGGTCTCGTCCAAGTTGTCAAGTGAAGTCGATGACGTGGTCTGGTAGTTGCCCTTTGCTCGGACCCGAGCAATGTTGAGCGGCTGCGTAGCGTTCTTGAACAACTCGGAAGGGTCGAATGGATCCGTAGAGTCGGAAGCCAAAGGGTTATTGGACCGAGGACCGACGGGTGAGACGTGCATGTGCCATCCCCTCTGCATAGCATCCACATTCGAGCCTGACGTCGGTGGAGCGGCAGACACTCGCACGCGTTTTATCGGAGTCGTGATGGAAGCTGCCGAGCTCGAGCCGGACGACGAGGACCGTGACATGCTCGTATCATGTTCTGCTAGGCTGGCACTAATTGACTGAAAACTGCTCGAGGTTGATGCTATCGGTTGCTGTGCCGGAGTCGCTGCCGTGTGATCGACTGTGAGTGTTGGCCGACTGACTGATGACGGTGAGGGCTGATTGGCCTTCGCACCGCCTCGTGGAGCGCTCGCAGCCTGCGCAACAAGAGGGGGTTCCTCAAAATCGGTCAACGACCTCGTAGCGTCAAAATACGCATCAATGAACGACGGAGCACGATCCGAACTCCCGGAAGCGTCCCCAAAAGCCGACAAGGACGCCATCGAAGGCGGACGCCGTTGGTCGCGCTGCCCAACTTGATCGGCGCTCGACCGCGACGTCGTGTCCCGCTCGTCGTGGCGGCCCTCGTGAAGGACGTGGCGACGATCATCGTCGGGGACGAGCAACGCGCTCATCACACCCTCTTCTCTACCCAGAGTGGCTGGGAAGGGTGGATCACGCGAGGTCGAACGAGCCCTTGGTGATCGAAGGAGCTACTTGAAGAGCTTGCGAAAGAGAGACGACCACGACCAAGACGACGTCCACCCAAGCAGACCCAAGCCTTGGCAGCGAGCCCCAAAATACACGCGCCTCCCCCCTCCTCCCTCTGCCTCCCCCACATCGTCACCCCGTTGCCCCTGCACGCGTCGTGCACGTTTCACGAGCCGCCGGTTTTACGTTCTTCATCGAGAACAGCGCCTCTATTCTTTCGAGAGAAAAAAATTCGAAACAACTACCGTGATCGTGGTTCCCAAAAAGTATAACATGGGTATTACAGGCGGCCTATATAACATGTCCAAACTCGTGACTTCGCAGCGGTCTAAGCTGCCCTCCTGCTTGTCTGATTCTTTCCCAGCTCAAGCCCTAGGATAGCAACCGAAACGAGGGTCGTTGGCGTTGTAACCGACGCATTGCCAGCATGTGAAGATGTTCGATGGCTGAAAGGGGAAAACATATCCTCCAAAGGGTCAAGTTTAGCTCCTGAGCCCATTTACGAAAATTTCCTGCCCCGAAAAAAACACAAAAGGCAAAACTTACATCGACCAATTTCTTGAACTTGAGCAAACGGTTGTAGTTGGTTTGACCCCAGAAGGTGTTGATCGGGTCGGGTTCCATGATGCTCGCTTCGTTTTGGTACGCACCCGACCCAGGGGTGATGTCGCGCAACAACTGCGCAGCTTGATTCGCCTTGATCGCTGAGGGCACCGGCTGACCATCGTAGTTCCCTGTGAAGAGTAGGATACGAATGTGGTCAGTACCTTCAAAACGATGTTTTGACTTCGTGTCCAATCAAAGAATGTACTCACAGGTAGGAGCATACAATACGTGCCAAAGGGTGTTACGCCAAGCAGGTGTGACAGCCGAATCAGGAGGGTTGGGATAGTTGACGGGGTTCGTTACGAGGATCTGGAAAGGTGATCCACCATAAACGAGCGTACCGGCATTGCCCGAGTTGGTGCCAATGGTGTTGGAGTCAACGATCGCTGACCCCTTCATCATCGCATCGAGGAGCTGGGCTTGACTCGCCGCGGTTTGGAAGTTGGTCTTGGGGATTAGACGCGAGCCCAGCGCGGCGGGGACGTTGACGAGTTCGTCGTTGGGGAACAAGAACTCCTGGTATGCTTGTAGAAAGGAAGGCCGTTGGACGACCGTATTGTTGATCACGACGTTGCCGAGTTGGGACGCGAAATCGGTGGCAGCTTTCATCGAAGCCTTGGCCTGGTCGTTGTTGAGGATGGTCGAGAACATGACAAATCCGCTGCCTTGCTGGCTGAGCGCTCCGGGTTGAATGTACTACAGAAGGTTCGGAATTGGGTCAGCTCCATTGCTCATACATGCCATTCTTCTAGGTTAGCGAGCCGACTCACTCCTCCCCACCCATCGGCAGCCCACTTGATGGCGTTCTCAACGCACATGGCGAGGAAGTTACGCGCCGAGTTGGGATCCGTGCCAACGAACTTGACATAAGCGACCTGAACTGTGACCTGAGGTGCAGCGGTCGTCGTCGACTCCATGATGACACCGAACGTCGATCCGCCACCACCTCGGATGGCCCAGAACAACTCGGTGTTCTGGCACTTGTTCGCGGTCACGTACGTTCCGTTAGGCATGACGATCTTGAACTGAAGAGCGCGATCGACACCGAGACCAAGCTGGTTCGACAGAGCGCCGTGTCCGCCACCTTGGATCCAGCCACCGGAGGGCCCCACCGTGCGGGCTGATCCACCGAGGATGGTGATGTTGTTGTCTTCGGCGAATTGGTAGAGCTTGTAGAAGGGGACACCGGCACCGAAGGTGACTCCATCTTTGGTGGGGATGTTGGTGGGGCAGCCGGCGGGGATGAACTTCTTGTTCCTCGTGATGTACTGGATGTTGTGCGTCCACAGGGCAAGAGAATTGGGACCGGAAGATCGACCCTTGTCTGTATAAAATTCTCAAATCATGAGCGAGGGTATCAGCAGTTGCTCTCGCCTAGCCGCGACGAACCAACAGTGTACTGGTCACCGCACTCACAGTCATGACCCGAGTTCTTGACGACGAGTGGGACACCGTACTTCTTGGCAAAGGCGATGACAGCCGTCACGTCGGTGGGCTTCTGAACGTCCACATAGTAAGGGGGTACGGAGCCTTGCTGGCAAGTCTTGGCAGCGTAGGCGAGAGGGTTCTGCGGCAAGTTGTAGTCGAGCAAGCGTTGACCGCCGGTCGTTTGGCAGGTTCCCCAGTTTGCCTGCGAGGTCAGGAGCAACAGAGGGATGTCAGCACAATTCTCTCATATTGTGGTGTGTCAAATTTCGAAGTGTCGTCCTGCCTCTCAGCAGTTCCGCCGCTTCCGCAGGACTGGGCCGCCACCGGCCTGGGGTCGAAATAGGAGGTCACCGACGGGTGTGCGGTGCGCAATCCTCCCAAACGTCAACTGCAGTAAGTCCCTCACAGTAGCGTATCCACCAAATTGATCGGCAATGAAGATGTCCTCCTCGTAGTTCTGTTGAACGGTGGCGCACTGGTTCGCGTCAAAGGACCCCGCCACTTGGGACCCAGCTTGAAGGAAGCAACTCCGAGCCATGGGCGATCCTCGCGCTAGGCGGCCCTGAACGCTCGCGTTGAGTTGGGTCCATGCCGTCTGCGGGACTTGGAAGATGGGCGGGAGCGCACGTTCTTGCAATGGTGAGGCTACCACCAGTGCTGAGAGCACGGAAGCGACGAGTAATGTGGAAATCATCTTTGCTCCGGCGAAGTGATGCGGTGAGGAAGACCTGGAAGAGTCTGTCCGTTCACCCCAGATGCGAGTTTTGATGGAGAGTTGAGGCTTGAGATTGACAATCCCACACAAATTCTCCGTATTCTATCAACGGAAACAAATCCGAAGATTCATTGCTATGGTAATAGTGAGCGGACGATCAGAGACAGGGGGGCTGATTGCTATCGAAACGCAGAGACCGAGATGCCGAAACCGAGAAACACGCAGATAATGAAACCGAGAATGATAGATTCGCAGAAATGTCCTCATCCAAGTGGTCCTCCCCTCCGAAAGTCGCCTCCCTCCAAAGTCGGTCTGAGTTGTGTGTAGTGGTCTATCCCCGAACAAGAAGCGAGTCTTCCCTCCAACGCCAGGACACTCCAATCCCTCCGGCCAGCTTCCTCCTCTTTTCCGACACTCGGCCTTCTGATCACGCCATACTTCGTCCTGATCACGCCATTCTTGCTCCTGTCACACGGTCCCTTGCTCTGAACTTTTATCCGCTCATGTGACGCTAGGCCGAGTTAGCCGAATCTGCGCTTCCCGACTAAGCGACTCCAGCCCGATTTCCGAGACCACCGAATTAGCCGACGCCCGCGTGACCCGAGTACCCTAATGCAGCCGACAAGATCAGGAGTCCCATCTCATTTCCGACAACAGGAGCCTCATTTCCGACTTTGCTGCACGCGACGGGATCCCGAGTACCACATTACCCCTCACTCCGATCGGCGTGACCGTCATCTGGGACTCCGGGGGCTCGGGAAAGTCGCCACGACGCCGTCGGCCGAGTCGCAAAGGTGCCCGCTTCAATTTACGTGACGGCGAAACGGCGACTTGACTCCCGCGCGAGCGCGATCGATCGTTCCTCTTGGCCCGTCGCCGGCCAGTGCCGCTAGTAAATTAAAAGGTTTTATGCTTCTCAAAAGTGATCGGGAATGGAAGACCTGGAGCGAGTGTTGCACTTGAGGGTGATGTGGACGTCCTGTGTGGAGGCGCGTTTGATCAATTCGCCAATTTTGTTCGCACCCCGGCGCAGTGCTCAAAGCCATCGAACTGTCACATCGGCCGATGATGCCGTCAACCGTTGTCGCCGTGCTGTGAAATTTCGATCGCACTGAACAACTGCATAAAATTTGCCGGGAGGTCTACCTACCCCTAGCCCTTTCGAGGCTTCACTACGATCCAAGGATCAAGCACTGCATCATGCAGTTGGCGACCCAACCAGTCCCTGTCGGCTACAGAGCAGATTTGGTGGTTCGGCAAATTCGCTTCAAAGCGGGGCGAGATGCTCCGAGATGACCAATATTCAAATCCAGTTCGATAATTTTGGATGGCCAGGTGGGAGGTATGAACTCCGCTCTTACGTGACAAGCAGTGTACATATTGGCACCGCAGGCTCTTCCCTCCCAGAAACAGCGGCCGAGTATGCCGTGTACGTCACGCGAGTCCGGATAAAACAAGCTCCCAGATCGTTGCAATTACTCTACACCTCACAAGATAATCACAGCTCCTTCACTCCAAATCATGGTACCACCAATCTCTACCAACGACCCGAAGACTTTCGGGGCTCTTCTTTGGGCGCGTTGGTCCTCGCGGCAGGAGGGCGGTACGAGCCCGACGACTGTCGTGCAGCACCCTCGGTGGGTGCTTCTCCAGTTGCACGTCGAGTCCATTTACCACCACCGACTTGAGGAGGGCCTGAGGCGGCTTGTTGTTGCGGTGGGGGAGTCGCCGAGGTAGGGGGTCCGGTCGGGGCTCCACCACTGGCCGCTCGGGCGGCCTCACGCTCGCGCCACGAGGGCTTGTCTCCTCCGACGCCGACGAGACGAGGGGGTCCACTGGGACGAGTCGGCTCGGCAGCAGGAGACGAAGCGGCAGCAGCAGCGGGGGGAGCACCACCGTTGGCGGCGGGGACAGGGGCGGTACGAGGTGCAAGGTTGAGGCGGGGTCGCTCCGAGGGAGCACCGGACGAGGCAGCGACGACGGGGACGGGTGGGGGTGCGCGCGCGGCCTTCCATTCGGCAGATCCAACAGGAGGGGGTCCCGAGGGTTGTCGATTCTGACGACGGGCCAAGGCTTCCTCCTCGCGTTGCTGTCGCAAGCGAACGGTCTCAAGATCCTTCTCTCTTTCGGCTTTTCGTTCAGCGAGGGCGGCGGCACGAGCGGCCTCGGCCTCCTCCTCCATCTGGCGTTGGCGGGCCTCGATGGCGGCCTTTTCGGCGGCTTCGCGCTCCTCCTCTTCGCGCTGAGCCTCGGCGGCAGCTTTGTGTAATACAAAAACGCGAAGTTATCAATAAACTGTTCGCACAATGAGGAACGATAACAGTGTGTGGGGAAGCAAACGACTGACCTCTCTCGCGCTCGGCACGCTCGGCCTTCTCCTGCTCTCGTCTCTGCTCTTCCTCTTGCTCGCGTCGACGTTGGTCCAAGACCTGTTGCCTGCGCTCGGCCTTGGCCGCCGCCAGCGCCTGGGCCAATCGCTTCTCCTCGGCCTCGTACGCCGCACGACTCTCCTTCTCGGCCTTCTCTTTGTACGCCCTGTAGTCGGGCATCAAACGAGCAAGCGACTGCTTGATCGCCAACGCTTCGGCGTGTTGCTTCTTGTTCTGCTCGGCGCGTTGGGTCTTTGCAGATTCGTGGGCCAGACGATCGCGCGTCTGTTGACGCTCGTAGTCCTGCTTGACGAGCGGGATCTCCTCCTTCCTGAACGCTCGCTCGAGGTAATCGAGGCGCTTGTTTACGCCGGCCAACTTCTGCGCCAAGTCCTTCTTGTCCTTCTCGATCTGTTGCACTTGCAACTGCACCAAGTCGGAAGCCGAGAGCTCGGGCAACTTGTCCATATCGACCTTGAGACCACCCTTGACGAGCGATTCGGCGATTTTGGCCGCCTCGGCCTGCTTGACCTGTTCGACCTCGCGACGCACCCGTACGAGTTCGCGGTTGCGCACCTCGTTCTTTTGGCGAAGCGCATCCTCCTCGGCCTTCTTGGCCGCACGCAAGGTGCGTTGGTGCGCCTCCTCCTTCTCGGCACGGGCGTTCTGCTCCTCGGCAAGCTCCTTGCGGCGCTTGATGATTTGCGCACGCGCGATGAGGGCCTCGCGCTCGTCGGCACCTTGGGCGGCGAAGGCGGCGAAAGCCTTTTCGCGAGCCTGGGTGGCGGCAAAAATGGGCGAATGCTCGGGAGCGACGGCATCGAGGGTCGCGTGCAAAGAAGCGGCCAAGCGAGCGAGGTGAGAACGCAAGAGCGCGGCGGCAGAGGGCTGCAGCGACTTGGCTTCGTAGGGTGCGGCCGAAGTCGAAGCGATCGGAGCGGCGGAGGTGTCGGCGTTGAACAGGTCCTCGTCGAACTTGATCGAGCCGGTCGCGTGGTCGATCGTCACGTCGAGGTCACCACGACGGCATGCCTCGGTGACGAAGCGCTCGACGCGCATACGGGTCGCAGCGACCTGCTCAGAGGCAGCGAACGAAGCGAGCTTAACGACGCGCTCGATCTTGAGCGAGGCGTAGACCTGCGCGAGCTGCTCGAACAAACGGGCGAGAACGACGTCCTTCAGGGGCTCGACGTAGCGGGCCGTCTCGGGCTTGGCTGCCAGCGAGGCGAGGATGGGCTCGATCTTGGACGTGATCGACAAAGGGTGGAAGTCGACCTCGAGGATGTTGTAGAGCTCGCGCAACTCGGGGCTGACACGCTTGAGGACGTGGCGCGACAAGGCATCGTTGAGGAGACCCGAGCGAGTAGGAGCGGCGTTCAAGCCAAGCAAGGCTGCGAGACGGCCAAGCTTGCCCTTTGCCTCGCCTTCCTCGGAGACCTCGCGACGCTTCCCGCTCTCACCGAGCAAACCGGAGCCGAGGGGAACTGCGAGGGCCGAAAGCAAGACGAGCGAGGAAAGCTTCTCGAGCTCGGCGTCCTCGGCCTTATCGCCTACGGCAGCCACACGGGCGGCGTGCAGAGCGTAGAGCTTGCTGTAGGCGGCGGCGTGGAAGAGGTAGTTCTGGCCAACTCCGAAGACCTTGACCATCTTGTCGAAGAAGGTCGCCATCATGCTGGCCTTGGGGGCGCGCTTGGACATGCCGACGAGGGCATGGATGTCCTCGGCGGTGCGGAACGCCTCTTGCCAGAGCTCGAGCTCGACGGCGGTGTTGAGCTGCACGAAGCGGGTGTCGAGGTGACGCTGGAGGGTGTCGGGGTCGTTAAGGTTGATCGAATGGGACTGGTGCGAGTACTTTTGCGACGAGGTCAAGTGCGAGCGCAAGGTCTCGGCCAAGCGACGGAACTCGGTCTTGCGCTGGTGCTCGAGGCAGAAGGCGAATGCGTCGTGGCAGACGGTCTGGTACAGGACCTCGAGACGGGCGTTGTTGCGCAGGGTGTCGAGCGCGGTGCGGTACGCCTCCCAGAGGAATCGCAACCAAGGGGTGACGAGGGTGCGGTAGGTGCGGTCACGCGATTTCTCCTCCGAGACGGTGCTGAGCAAGATGCTCTCGGGCGTCTCACTGGCCTCGAGATCCTCGACATCGTCCTTGTCGCCATCAGCGCCGGTCGACTTTTCGGGAGCGGGACCTTCGAGCTCGTCAACCTTGGCGAGGGCCTCGGTCAACTTGGCACGCGACTGCTCGAGGAACTTGGTGATGACGACCTCGACAGAGCTGACGGAGGTGTTTTGGGCCACGTTCTTGTAGATGTGGAGTCCCTCCTTGGCGGTGCGGCCCTTGCGCAAGTCGACGCAGAGTCCGAGGAACTTGATGAGGATGGGTTCGAGCATGGACAAGGGCGTGGTGCGGAAGCGCTTGGACGAGAACACCTCGGAGATGGAGGACAAAGCCGCGAGGGGCTGCTTGACCGAGAGAAGCTCATCGCAGCGCTGTTGGTGGCAGTACGGGTGCGTGGAGTCAGTACGGGTGATCACTTTGAGCGATGAAGATCGCGGCTTCGCGGGCCAGATGAAGGTAGAGCGAGACGAGGCCCTGCAGTCGAGCGCACCAGGGCGCTTAACATCCTCCGTCTAGGATCCATTCAAAGCAATGCCTATCTCCCAGCTGTGTTCGGCCGTCTGCCACCCTCGCAGCGTAGTGAATGATGTGGCCTGCGCTGTCACGCGCGGGTCGATGGCGGTGGCGATCCCGTGGCCGCTTCCCTACTCGTCCCAAGAGCCAACGTCCACGTATAATGCCCGTTTCGATCCTAGATGGGCCAGACAGCTACTGGGTGCTCGCCAGTGCGGTTGTCGTGTCGGGCCAACCGAATCGTCGTCGCGCGCCAAAAGCTGATTCGCATCACGGCTCGCGATGATAACTGAGGACGGCCAGGCCAGTACTCAAGGAAGCGAGAACTCACGCGAATGACCAACTCGGGTCGTGTGAAGGGAGACATGTTGGGGAGAGAGGTGGGGGGGGGACGAGAGGGAGGTGTAGCACGGTCGACCGGTTGCGAGGGCGTCTTTCTGTATGCGCTCGCTTTTCCTCGCTTTTCACGGGCTGGGCTGGGCCTGGCTGGGCTGGGTTGGACTTGTGAGCGCGCGGGCGTGCGAGCGAGGGCGCGAGGGCCGCGAGGGACGCGAGGGACGCGAGGGACGCGCGGGGGCGACCACACACAAATGCGCATTAGCAATCGCTGCCCCAAGGCCATTCCGATCGGTCAGAATTACGTCCTGTCGCCGTGCGAATGCGTGGCCGTTTGCAGCTCGACTCCTGCGCACACAGCCCACTACATGCCGTCCTTGATCCTACACAGATGGCTATCGACCATCAAGCCGGCTCGGTCCCGCCCTAGCAAACCCACACCGAGGAAGAACACTTCTTCTGCTCTTTCACCGCAAAGGACGAGAGCTAGACCACCTCCATCTCGAGCACCACCACCACCACATTACACTGGCAGCAGATCCTCCTCCACACCAGCAGCAACAGCAGCACCACCTCAACGCGCAGACCGATGGAAAACCGTCAACATATCATTACCTCGACCACCTCTTCCCAAGCTATTATATCAGGACAACAACCTCGTCGTCATTGACAAACCCTCGGGCGCGAGTCTGCAAGGTCAATATGGTACCGAGGCTAGGCTGAACTGGGAAGCCATCCTCAAAGGTTGGTCCAATACTATCCACACTATGGGAAGAGGCTCATACCGACTATTCTGAACAGGTCTGAAGAAGCGTATCGACTCGGGAGATCTGCATCCCGTTCATCGATTGGACAAGGTCGGTCGCCCAAAATTACTTCCTCGCTGCTTCGGAAAACTGATCCTGCAAGCCTTTCTGCTCCCTGCACTAGGCCACCACAGGCACGCTGATTCTATCCAAGAATGCCCAAGCATACAAGAATCTATGTTCCCAGCTGACCCGACACGAGATCTCGCGCAAATACCTGGCCATCGTTCACGGACGCCTCAAGCCGGGCTACCGAGACGTCATTGATGCTCCGCTGCGCGTCGACCAAGATCGCGTACGGATGGACCATGAACCGGTGACGGATCTGGCGTCCGAGGAATTGGGCAAGATCATGGAAGCAAAGACGGAATGGGAATGTCTTGCATCATCGGTGAATTTCTCTTGCAGTGTGATCCCCGACGGCCAACATCGCTGAAAGAATATTATTCGTCGTTTGCCCCATTCAGTCATCGAATCTCTCCCTCCTCCTGCTATCCCCACAAACTGGTCGCAAACATCAATTGAGGGTCCACTGTTCCCAAGTGCTAAGAGCACCGATCCTAGGCGATCACAAATACGAACTCGATCCCGATACCATGATGTCCTCGGCGCTGGCGACGGATCTGCCTCCGAGCATGATGGGCGCGAATGGGAGCATGTTCTTGCATGCTTGGGCGGTTCGATTACATGTCAGTACCTTTCATGACCGTTCTAAGGATCTTAGAGCGTACCGCTGAGTCCTGCAAGTTTTTGGTGCAGGTCTGGGACAAGAGCACGGGCAAACGGAAAACGGTCGGTGCAACGGCGCCATTACCTTATGCCTTCCGACGCCTGCTCAAGAAAATGGGGTGGGAGGAGCCGACGACAGAGTCTGTTCCTTGGCCTGAGGGGATGAAGGAACTATCGCCAGTTGAGAGGAGGTAGATGATCGGCGCCAACAGATGTTGCAGGGACTGGTAGGCTTGGCGGTCGTGTGAACGAGTGGCGTGGGTCTGAAATGTTGTTGTGCAATATACGGTTATCGGAACAGAATGCCTGTGAAAGTTCGAGGAATACATGGACAGAAAGACTACGATTTAGATGATCATCAAGGCCCTTGCATGTCGAGCACTTTTCCAGGGCCAGAAAATCCGCCGGCCCTGCCGCGCCGGTTTTGTTGTGGCTCGTCGTTTCGCCTGCTCGCCCCGGCCCCTTCCCTGCCCGCGAAGCCACGTCGTCGCTTCGAAGCACGCAAAACAGCAGGCCTCGCCCGCCGCTCAGTCGCTCATCGTACACCGATCATCATCGTGGATCGTGGACGACACTGAGGCCAATCGTCTCTACCACCTTAGCGATGTTGTCGATTCCACCTGGTGACGAGGTGAGTTGCGTCGTCGTCTCCCCGTCCATGTCGAGGCGGGGCGGCGGGCGGGGCCTTGTTGCCCAGCTCTCGGCCTTCGCAAATCCAGGCCCGGACGCAATTGCCGTATTAGTCAACGTGTACTGCAGCCTCGAATGGCGCATTAACCATTAGGCCCCATTAGGCCCATTAGCAACGGCCCAAACATCAGGATGCAAATCGTTGCTGTACCAGATCAGCCGCACTGACGGTTCGACTTTGTGTGGTCCATGTCTTACCAGCCCATTACTCTGGACTCGATCTACCAACATGCGACGCAGGTACATGAGAAGCGTCTAGCGTGAGTGCTTGTTTACGATGCATGAATGCACCTACACTCCCCTCGTTTCTCCATTTGAGACACGCTCTCAAAGCATACCAACTGATCCTCACCTACATCATCGCTGAATCTTTCGAATAGTGCCCTCGTCAAAGACCGGCATGAACAACTCGCGAGCCTGTATTACGCGATGCAGGACAAGTCGCGTGCGACCTCGTTCGAAGCCGGGCTCCGCACCCTCGCCACGGCCAATGCATCCAACCCACCCGAAAATCATAACCCCCTCATGACCTTGGACAAGTTTCAACGCGATTTCAGTGATGCGACAACGTGAGTAGTCCAGTCATCGGCGCTTGTTGAGAGCGCTGCTGCGTTCGGCTCGGATCAGAATCGAACTTTCAGTGTGTCAGATGCTAACATAACTTGGTGGTGTTGGTAGACTGGCAAAACTAGATCTTTCTCTACCACCCATGTCACCGAGTCCTACACTCCCACCGCGGTTACTGGAAAGCGAGGAGGCAAAACCTGTCCGACCGACGAGCACCGCCGAGCAGAATGGGAAAGCGACCACAGCTACCGATGCCGGTTCGGAGGCCGATGCCGATGCCGATGCCGATGGAGAGCCAGATGATGGTGAAGATGTCAACATGGCCTCTGCACCCGGCGCTAATGGCCATGGGACCGCATCGAAAGCCTCGACTATTAAACCGGTCGTCTCGGTCACTCCCGTCGCTTCGACCTCTTCCCAACCCATCCCCGTCCCGACCATTATCGAGCCCCCTACTCAACCAACACCTACAATCTCCCCTTTCCTTCTCGGACCTCCCCCACCTTCAACTTCCCAAACAGCAACCTACAACTCGATGTTCGGCATCTCGCAGATCTCCTCCTACTACCCCGAGACCCTCCCCGCCTTACCCTCGGACGTCCTGCGCAACCGCCTCGTAACAACAGTTCGAACGAAAAAAGGCAAGGAGCGAATGCCACCCCCACCGGATCTGTACAAGATGCACATCAAGGCCGTTCATACAGGAGCCAAGAATTTCCTCGGGCGGGGCAAACGCGTTCATAACGTTCTGAGCACCCACGATTGGGCCGTCGGATTGGAGGAATTTCGCGCTCTGCGAGCGTTCGAAAGGATCGAAGCGATGAAAGCCGAAAAGGCATGGTCGTTCCGACAACCTAGGAAACAAAGGGCCGGAGTGGTCCCGAAAGCGCATTGGGATCATGTCTTGGATGAGATGAGGTGGTTGCAGACGGATTTCAGGCAGGAGAAGAGATGGAAGACGGTCACGGCTTATGATTTGGCTAGGGCTGCGAGGGCATGGCATCGCGCTACGCCGGAGGAGAGGAAAGAGATGTGTGTTAAGGTTGGGCAACCGAGGTATTTGACTGAGGAAGAGGATGTGGAGATGGACGTGGGAGGGGAGGGGAAAGGGGGTGCCGATGGCGAAGCGGCAATGGAAGTCGACGAGGGATCCAAGGCAGAAGGAGGGGATGCAGATGCGGAGGGTGTCGAAGATGTCGATGCCGACGGCGAGGTTGACGAGGCTCCCGATACCGAAGCCAAGAATAAGGTCGTCGCGGGTGTTGACGGAGCGACGAACGCTTCGACCCCTGGCGCTGCCGCCACACCCGCACTGGGTTCAGCACGAGCACAAGCCCAAGCCGCAGCGGAGAAGCAACGTGCCGACGCAGCAGCCGCAGCAGCTCACATCCAAAACCTCATCGCCTTGCGAGCACCCGTCTTTGGACTTGGACCGGACACAACAGTCTTTGATCCCGTTGCGATCGCCGGCGTCGCTGACGACACGATCGCGCCTAATTTGGGAGCGCTCTTCCCCGACCTTCCCCTCTACTCCGACTTCCTCATCGCGAGTGACCCCGCACTCGACAAACGTTTCGAAGAAAGTTCCCCTTGGTCCGGACGTGTCAATCACGTCTCGAAATGGCTTGAATCCAAGCCTCTGCTCGTCAGTACGATCAACCCGGCACGAACACGGACCAAGAACGGCTGGGACGACTCGACGAGCGTCTGGCTCGACGATTCGAAGGAACCGATCGTCGAACCCACTCGCGATTTACCACCTCCTGCATTGATGCAGTCGACCTTGTTCGCGAGTGCCAAACCACGAGCGAGGAACGACCTCCTAGCCGAACTGATCAACAACCGACCTGCGGAATTGCCCAATGCTGAAACACGTGCTGCTTCCTTGCACTGGGCGCCCGACGAAGATGCTCGAATCCTCGCTCTCGTGAAGCAGTATGGTCCGCATTGGCAAATGATCGCGGACGTGTTCAACGGTTCGACGATCCGGCCCGATTCGGACGTTCGACTCCCTTGGGATCTCTACGACCGATGGGACAAACTCGCCGGACCTGGTTCACGCAAGACCCTCCCCGACGGAACCGAGATTTCCGTTCCCGTCCCCGATTTCGTTCCTCCTCCCGATCTCAAAGCCAGTCGAGCACCCCAATTCGCCAATTTCGAAGGTGGCAAGAAGAGTTTGCGCCATTTGACCGTGTTCGACGCGATGCGCAAGGTGCAGAAGAAGCGCGAGATCGCGGCGGCGAAAGCTCCTCCACCGGGTATGCCACGACGGATAAGTATGGCTATCCATGACTCGCACAACATTCCACAACGGCCGATGTATTCTCCGATGGAATGGGGCGCGTATAGGCACGAGTCCGAACAGGCACGCGCCCGCGCAAGGGCGCAACAGCAGTCCGAGCTTTTGCAGCAGCAGCAACGCCTTCAACAGCAGCAGCAGCAGCAGCAGCAGCAACAACAACAGCTTGCCGCGAATGGAGGTCAACAGATTGTGAGTTCCGAGATGTGCGCCTGCGAATCGCGTCAATCCTCTGCGAACTGACTCTGTCGCCACCTATCTTTCTCTGACTTCAGAATGGAGGCGTCCGGTTCATGCCCAACGCGAATATGCCCCAAGGTTTTCCCCCGGGTGCCCAAGTGCCTCAAGGCCAACCCCGTCCTCAAGGTGTTCCCTCTCCGAACCAAGGTCCCCAAGGCCAACCCGGCTCCGTCAACCGTCTCTCCAACGGCGTCCCCGCCCCACCCCAACAATTCCTGCAACAACAATCGGGTGCGGCGCAAATGACGGCTGAACAAGTGGCGATGTATCAGGCGAGGCAGAGGGAGATGCATGCGCAGGCACAGGCGCAAGCGCAGATGAGGGCTCATGCGCAGGCTCAGGCTCAAGCGCAGGCTCAGCAGTCGCAGGTCGGTTAGGACGTGATAGTTGTGCGGATCAGCAAAGTATGGACAAGACTAGCAGAAGTTTATGACTTAGCAACTGGGGGGTTTTTGCGGGGGTTTGGGTCATCGTCGTGGATCGTAGTTGTGTTGTAGCAAGAATCGCAATGGAAACTCAAAGATAAAATCCCGCTTTACGATGGTTGAGACTTCGGGACAGAGTGAGCCCGTATGTATGGAATGGCAAGGCATGTTCCTAATATGCTCGAAACTGTTTCGTCGTACCCCAACTTTAAACTTGTCGCCGCCTCGAAGGGCCAGAGAAGAAGCGTTGCACAACTGCGGGCGGACGACGAGACAAGTAATACGAGTGTCAGCTCTCTCCCTTGGCGAGCCGGATCAGATATCCAGTCCGAAAATAACGACGTACCCCAGACTTGGAAAGCGCTCATGCCGACCATCATGAGACTCTCCGTGATGGAGCAGGCCCAGATACGCCACTGTGTGCTTTTGACCGTCGAGACCTGAAGGATGTGGACCAGCAAAGTCAGTTCGTACAGATGTCTTCACAACCTACTCCGTGATGACTCACATTCCTGTTCTCTCTCGTCCTGAAGTACTTCTGCGTCCTCTGAATCGAACTTAGACTGCCGCTCAATTTATAAATGCTCTCTTCCAAACTGGACGTTTGTTCCGTCAACCCGGTCGGTTTAGCCGGTGCAACAGGCCTTGGTTCGGACTCGACCATGATGTCGAAATCGACGAGTTTTTCGGAAAAGGAGGACATGTCGTTGGAGAAGCAGAAGGAGTATTCGCCGATGAGGTGGGCGGTGAAGATGTAGTCGCCTTGACGCTCGCGTTCGCCTTCGATCACGATCGTGTCCGCTGGGTCGGTGACGGTCCAGTCGATGTCGAACGAGCCACCGGATTGGACCTGTGGGTGTTCGCGTCGAGGGGTCAGCTTTCGGCCGTGTCATCGCGTCGTTGCCGACGGGACGCGCTCCCAGGATGGAGTGGGTCATCGTTTTCGACGGCGCTTTTGCGGAATGCGCCGACGGAGGGGTCATCGGTGCCAATCCGCTAGCGATCGCAGGTTCTTGAAGCAATCATCGTAGGTTGATGACCCCGGTGCATCCACGCCCGATCATGAACCGCGTATTCGTCTTCCGAGCCGGAGAAAGCCTCGACCGCGCGACTTACGGCAAAGTAGAAGCCAACCTATCACGACGCGTCCCAAGTCTCGGATCAGGAACCTTCATCTCATACACGTAGCACACCCAAAACACGAAGAGCGATCCCAACTGGACTGACCTTCTCTCCCGGTTTATCGACGAGCGCGTAGAAGCAACTCCGCTCATTCGCGAGAATGGTCGTCGTCAATGCCGAGCCCTGCACGCCGAGCAGGCACCCTGAGCACCACAGAACGAGCAGGACCAAAAACGGGGAGAATCGGGTGGTTATTGTTGGTCGTGGTCGGATCATTTTTTGGGGGGTGGGGGTGGGGGGTGAGCGATGGGAAGGTCGGTGAAAGGCAGCTACGACGGACGGAGAGGAGACGGGACGGGACCGAGGCGTGTGTGCGAGTGTGCGAGCGTGCGGGTGTGACGTGGTGTGGCGTGGTTCGTCGCCGCGCGTGGCCAGGCGGTCGTCGCCGGTCCAAGCGGGAGCAGGCTCAACCGGGTGGGTTGCCGAGTGGACACCTGTTGGGGAAGTGGTGTCGCAAAACGAGGGTGTGGCAGTTGGTGAACGTGGGCGTGCGTGCGTGCTACGAGAAGAAGAGCAGGGCAGCGAGGGCGTGGTCAATAAGCGCCAAGGTGCCGCTGTCGGGCGAGGCGCGACGCGACGAACGCAGATCCCCGGGCGCCGATCATTCCAAATCAGACGCGGCCATAGCTCAATCAAAGCTAATAATCGTACTCAATAAGTGGGAAGAAAGGAACAACAAAATTATGGACTACGTGGACTAGAACAATCGTGCTCGGCCCGTCAGAATCTTCAATCTGGCTTCGAGAAGAATTATTCCGCGCCTCCCACCCTGAACCGAACTTCACCACCCATCCTGCTTCCCAAACTGTCGATACTCCTCCAGCCGACAATCCGTCGTCGAATCCCTGCCCAAACCGAACGCGTCGTCCTTGACATCCTTCGACCGTCCCCCTGTTCCACCTTCAGCCCCACCACCTCCCCCGCCACCGCCACCGCCACCGCCACCGAGTAGAGAGATGCGAAACCATCTTCCCGAATGAGTGAGCGCGACGAGTTGGTGCTCTGTTCGTTTCTCCCCTAGACGACTCGGGATTGAACGTGCGGAACCTTTGCCCATCGTCGTCGCTGATGTATACGATCGACTTGAAGAGTCCGACCTTCCCGCAGTAGAGGCTCCACTCGCGTCTGCTGGCCCGACGGGAACCTCAGTCTCGACCTCGATCCAAGCGCAAATACAAACATCATCCTCGATCGTCGGAGGCGCAGTCGAACCCGACCCAACACCACTCGATAACGCCGAAGCTCCAGCAGCGGCAGCGGCAGCGGTCGAGGATGAAAGGGAAAACGGTAGCCGTGAGGCTGTAGGCGCTGGAGGTGGAAGTCGGAATTGTGAATGGGACCATTCGGACGAGAAGTATTTCGGGAGGTAGGGCTTGAGCATCGAGAATTGTTTGGACCTAGTCGTCCTGCGCAGACGTGTTTGTGGACCAGCTTCAGCAAACGAAACGAGGGACCACCACCCGCTCGCACGAAGCAGACTTACTCGGTCGCCTCCCCCATCGACGAGGCACTCGCGCTCCTCTTCTTCTGGTACTCTTCTTTGGTCATTTTGAGATCCCAAACATGCACAGTCCCCTTATCAGAACTAACGGCCACCGCCTCACCGTCCGTGCGAATCGCGATACCGAAAACTTCGGCCTCGTCCGAGCCTCGTCGCAGTTCCTTGACCAGTCTCGCATGGCTCGTATCCCAGACTCGGATGAGGGTTCCTTTCGAGCTTGCTGTGGCTAAGAGTGCGCCCGAGGGTGTGCACGACAGAGCGGCGAGGGACGTGGTGTGGGCGAGAATGATGGATACGGATGGATAAGGTGCCGAGGTGGGATCGTGGGACGGTGCGGGTGGAAGGGGTGGCATTTCGTGGGGGGCGGTCAGTGGGGGTAGATTGACGATTTGTACTTGGCCTGGTTGCCGTCCTGGGAAGGCCAACAGGGTCGATCCGATCTCGGTCCCGAGCGCGACGAGGCCTGGAGGAATTCCCACAGCGAGCTGTCAACGCGACCAGCCCTGGCGATCGCAGATGTACGCTGGTGAGACACTCACCTTTGGGGTTGTTGGTCGTCTCGTATACTCCTTCCCTCCATATGCCCAATCCGCCCTTACCCAACACGAACAAGACGACCCTCTTCTTGAGCACGACGACGAGCCGGTCCCTCCTCGCTGCAAGACCGTTGACCTCTTCGCCGAACTCGAGTTCACACACCGCTTGACCGAGATGGTCGTCCCAGACGATGACCTTGTTGGGAGAGTACAGCGGTGAAGGTGGTCCACCGACGAGGAACAAGATGTTGGACAGCTCGAGAGGGAGCACCAAGCGAAGCGAGCCCTTCGCGGATTCTGGTCGGTGTGCGGGGTTGTATACTCGTCAGTGACGCTACAGTTTCCTTCTCCTCCGCAAGACGGGCTAGAGCACCTTGACCGACCTCGTTGACTTGTCCTCTGCAGAGGATGGGTGCGATAGACGGCCCAGCCCTGATCGGTCGCGGTGGCGAACGACGTGCTCGTACCGTTCAATTGCAGCCCCAGGATGGGCGAACGTTTCTCGTCCGAGATGAGGTGAGCGGCCAAGTTCATGTTTGGTGAGCCCTTGCCGTGGTCGTGGGAGGGAGTGGCAAGCGGCGCATCCGTAAGGGATGAACGGTCCAAGGTCGGCAAGCTGCTGACGAGTTACGCGAACGGAGCTCGTCCGTCGCGCGTGATCGCATGTGGGGCTCAACGCGCTCAACGCCGGTAGCCTGCGCTGCCAGCCACAATTTCAAGCGTAACGAGTTCGGAGGTCGTAGATGCATGCACCGCCCCGGCCCATGGGTTCACAAATCGTTCATTGCACGTTCCAAAATTGCCTAGCATCCCGCAATGACGGCATAAGCTCATGCACTAAGCAGGCACAGATTATCGGCAGTTCCGAGCTGAGGGTAATATGAACCAGGTATTTGACGCCGACAATTTGATTGTGCAAGTCGAGGGGGTACAGATCTGGGGTTCAATGTTGGATAAACCATGCAAAAGGTGACGGGGCCGATGCACTGCTCATGACTTGAATTGAACCAGAGGGCTGACCCACGATTCCCAACTCGCCTCAAGCGAACGATCGGCCGTCGTCTTCAGCGCGCTGTGGGTCGAAGCGAAGCCATTGCACCATCCGCGTCAGCACTCAAGCCATTTGAAACGAACAACAAGGCTATGCCTCACCGAACAAGTACGCGATAAGGCACCCCATCCGGCAAATCGGACGCCTGACCATCCATCGACAAATCCTTATGCACCGAACCTTGGAACACGACCAACGCATCGGGCGATCCCTTGCCATCACGAGCCTGGTTCTTCTTCTCGTAGATCCTACCGAGTACTTGAACATCGGTGTACATTTGATTAGGATCTGCTCGCGGTCCGACGTGACGAGCGAGTCGACGAGCGACAAGGTGGTTTTCATCTGCGGCATAGAGGCCTCGACGGTGGTTTCTCCCCCCGTGGCTTGGAAGGTTTCCTTGGAAAGTCGAGTTACCCGCAATGACATCAACGGTAACATGACGAGTCGCTTGCGCGAACCTGACGAACACCCCCACCCCGACCGATCGATCAAAGGTCGTAAGTTGGGTCGGCACCTTGACGCTGTTGGGCGAATTATCAAGCAAATAGGGGTACGTGAGTCCCTGGGGCAATCCACCCCTGAACGCCGAAGCGAACGAGGTCGAAACATCAATGATCGGCATGTCGATGATGTCAGCCGCAAGACCAAAGTAAGAGACGTGGAACTCTTGCTTGTTGCTAGCGTGGATGTTGATGAACCCGGAATAGACGGGGAAGTAGTCCTTCTCGCGAGCGGTGAGTTGCGGAGGCGTAATGGTGACTTTGACCGTGGCGGTTTGTCCGGCCTCAACGGTGATGGACGTCTTGTCGAACGATACTTTGGCTTCGGCTTCCTGGAGTACGGTGGGGAGCGAAGAGGGGCCAATGTCTGCTTTGGCTCCCTGCAGTGCGCAAGCGAAAGGGGGTTTGTCAGCACCTTTGAAAAGGCTGGCTCAGCTCGTAAAAGTTTCATAGAAGGCCTACACGGTCATATGTCATCTTGGTCTGTGCGGCCGTCGAGTCGAAGGTGTAGGTGATGGAAGCGTGTCCCATGTTTTTGAGCGTCAGCTGCTGCTCCTTTTGGACGTGGGCGGTATCATTGATCTTGAAGGAGAAGGGGGTCACGAGCGTCTGAGCCTCGACAGCTCTGAGCGCATTGACGAGACCTGAAACGACAGCAAAATATAGGGCACAATCAGTAATCGTTTCCTTAAACAGTAAAGAGAAATTCAAGCTGACCACTTCCAGCCAACGTCGTCGTCTCGAGAGGTTCGCCATCGGCGCGCGGATGAATACTGATCGGCTTGGCCGTCGTCGCCAACAGAGCGCGCAGTTCATCCGGCTTCAAGTTGTCATCTTTCCTCGCCCCAAGCACCAAAGTAGCAATCGCGTTGGTGATAGGCGAACTCGTCGCATCGATGGTCCCGACCGAACCATTCGGCCTGATACCGGCGATTTGGTTCGCGGGCACTCCGAACGTCGGTCCGATCGTGAGCGAGTTGTCGGGCCCGTACGAAGAGTAGAAACTGATCTTGCCTCCGGTGTCGGCGTTCACAGGATGGATGAGCGTTCGGTCCTTGAAGTTGAGTTTGAGCCCGTTGGGGTTCTTGTGGTAGTACTCGAGCAACTGCGTTGATGAGAAAGCTCAGTTGTTACACAAGTGCTTGGGAGAAAAATTGGCACCGGTCTTAAGCGAAGCAAGACTCACCTTTGCTCCATCACTCTGAATCATGCCCACGGGGAAAGGTACGGAAGGAGCGATACCATCAAAGTACGGTGCCGGCCAACCAACGGAAGCCGGGTAATTAACGACGAGCAGGACACGCGCGCCAAACTTCCTCACATTCGCCATCTGAGTTTCAAAGCCACAACCCGCTCGTTGGACCACCACAGCACGGTTCGACAAGTCCGGCGTGTCGTGGGGTAGATCATCGCATCCCGTGGCGGCGCTATCGGTGGATGAGGTGGATAGGAAGTAGACTTCGAAGGTGTCGTCGTAGGGGATCGGATAAACGGAAATGTATGGCAGGGTTACCTCGCCACTTTCAAACGTCAAAGCGTAGGCGAAAGGGTATTGATTAAGATCGACGTAGGCTGCACCGACTCCTTCCGTACCCGTGGCCGGACCAGCGGGGTAGAACAAGCCTTGGTCGCGAGACACACCCCAGGCGCTGACGGCAAATACACCTTTCTCCTCGGCCAACTTGTTGAGCGTGATGGGGCCCAGATCGTTATCGTTCCACCCGACGCTAGAGATGAGCGAGTTTGAGATGACCTTGCATCCATCATGGGCAGCTTTGAGGAAAGCCCCGATGATGATGTCGCCCGTCGCGCCTCCTCCGCCGCAGGGGAAGATCGAGTACCACCCAATCTCGGCCTGAGGGATGGCGCCGACGAAGTCGAATCGATTATCTGGTGCGACCATCTGACCAAGGATGTGCGTCGATCTCACATCGCAGTCTGCATGTGGGTCGGGGCCTGGTTGAGGGTGATCGGGGTTCGTGCCGACGAGATCGGCGCCAAACTGAATTGCGCAGTTCTTGGATCCAAAGCAGCCGCGCTTGCCGAGTAAAGGGTGAGTATATTGGGTATGACCTTCGACGAAGCACGACTTGACACCTTGACCAAAGAACCCACGTTTGTGTAGAATGTCGATGCTCGTCATACGATGGGGAGAGAAGCCGCCGGTCGTGTTGGGCATGTTCTTCTGGCCCAAGAACTGCTGGTCGCGCAGTTCGAGGTGTGGCGGCGCCGTGCCTCTCGCCTTGACTTCGCGATGATTGTGGTGCTGCTGGGACGACTGGGAAGGAGGTTCGCCTTTTTGTTGCTGGACAGCCGCAAAAGTGTAGTCAAAGACTGGGTATACGGCCTGTGTGAACATTTTCCCCCCAATCTGTGTCAGACCCCACCTCACCTAACAGGCGACCGATCAGATAAAGAACGGAGGTCTCACCTCGACTCCAGGCATCTTCTCGAGCTGCTCCTTGGTGACACCGGGGGCATTGACACTGTGGCCGACCAAGACTCCCGGCGTGTGGTATTCGTGAACGACCTCAAGTGACTCCAAACCCGATCTCGCTCTGAGGTTGCTAAGGTGGTCCCGAGCGTGTAAAGCCTAGGCGAGATAGGAGAGAAACCGGAATAAGCGTCGGTCCAAGCAAGATAGGAGGCCAGTTTTGCGCAGATCGCTCATGGAGCAAAGCACATTCTTGGAGAAGGCGCTAAGTGAGAGCTATGCGTACCTTGCCTTCTTTATATGATTCGGAGTACACGACGATGTACCTATCGGGGACCCGAGTCTTTTGCGCGAACGCGGCGGGCATGATCGCCGTGGCAGCGGCAAGGAGCGCCAACGAGTTTCTTACGCGCATCACTCAGGACGGATCTCGGGGCGACAGGATGATGTAGGTACGCTGCAGGTCCAGAATGATCCGTTTGAGAAAGATTAGCGCATCGATCTGACCAGCGATGGGCGCTTGGGAAGGGATACTCACAGTAGTGTTCGAGTGCTCTGTTAAGGGATATGATGCGACGGGTGGGGAGGACCTGGTTGATGGGGTTCAATCCCGAACTCTCAGCTCGGAGTAGGATGAAGCAAGTGAGCGGAAAGAGGCCGAACCCTGACCGGGTATAAACCAGCGGACGGTCACGCTCCTTTGGGGCGATCGAGCTATGCCGCTAAAATGATTTTCAGGGGCTACCGTGCCAGCTGGGTTTCACCCTTGAGTTCCTGAGACCTGGCAGTGGGACTCGGGTCGAGGCCGTGAAACTCGTCTGTTTTGGTGATGAACAAGTGAACGTGAGTACATTCGCTAATCAAAGGGTCAAACATAGTCCAGGAGCTTTCTCTCACCTTCGGCGTATGTACCGGTCTGTCTAGCAATTTGTTAGATTCTGTCTTTAAACAAGACTAGCTGGAATATATGGATTAAAACATTGGTCTGTGTCAGCTGAATTTATGCAGACCAACCGCCGGCCCGGGCCGACGGTGAATTCCAATTGATCTCCTCCACTGCACTCTCCCCGACCGCAAGTCGCTTGCAACACGCAACAATGAGTCATCAGTTCCGACTCAGTTGTCCCCTAACGACTCCCTGGAGAATTGAATCCTTCGGACTCTGCTGGCATAAACACCTGTAGCGCGCCAAGATCCCGGGGTGGCTGGCTTCCTTGAAGAGCTGCACGGACAGGCATCGGCTTTTGGTCTCTGTCAGGCTGGGGTTCACGCACCACGCAGCGTACGCGTCGACGGATGCAGTGTCTGAGGCGAAGCACCGCACGACCAGTTCCCGAAATCTGCAGCCGCAGCCGCCCTTTTCTTCCTCCAAGAACGTTACATGCACATTATTTCACATAAACTTGGTGCACTCTTCTACGAAAGTAAATGGGTCGAATAGAACTAGAGGAACAAAAAATCATCAAACTACAATAAGACATGTTCACGCAACAAGAATGGGACAAGACCTAGGCCCGGAACAAAGGAGAGGACCCGCTCGCGAAATAGGAATCCAGCGGAAGGGATGAATCGGCGGAAGCGCAGAAATACAAAAATAATGAGCAAACCTCTCAAGCCGCCTCTGATCCGGCAGGGGAAGCCAGTTCGACGATCAATCTGACCGCGCATTCGAGGAACAGGTACGGGCTCGAGACTTCGGCCCCGACGTTGCGCTTGTTGGGCGTCGGGAACTGCTCCGGTTTACGCGCTCGGATCTCATCGGCCGTATTCGGAGGCAAGGAACCGAACGGACTCGAAGTAGACGTCACTCCACTCGCAGGTTCGGTCGACGTTGCTCCACTGGCGTCACTCGGATGTTGTCGAATGGATCCGAGTCCCCCACCGGGTGGAGTTGCGATCGAGCTTCGCGACGACTTGGGGATGGGTCGATAACCGAGGTTCCTAAAGTCGACGAGGTAGTTCTGTTCATCAATGCGGTAAAGTTGCAGGTCCATGCGGACCATGACGTCGTCCATGCGACAGCGCGTCTCAACAAAGTACAGCTCCTGCGCCTTCTTGACCCTCTCTTCCTCTTCGCGCCGACGTCGCTTCTTAGGGTCTTCCTCATCGTGCGTCGCACCGCTCGAATGCCCTTCCTTGCTCCCATTGCTGCCCTTCTCAACCGCATGGGATCCGTGCGAGCCCTTCGGTGCACCCGGCTCGCCTCCTTCCAGCTGCTTCTGCTGCTCCCCCTTCGCCGCTGCCGCCAACTGAGCCGCATGCGCACCCTTGGGTTTCCACTCCATCTTGAGCGCCTTGAGCGTTCTATAAATCTCAAGCATGACCTCCATCGGCTCACTTCGCGAACGGATGCCGAAGTGCCACCGTTGTCGCAGCCGCCTTGTCGTCGGACCGGTGGGTGCAGGCGTGACGGGGGGGACGGGCGCGCCCGATCGTTCAGTTGGCGTCAAAGGCTGCGTCATTGGTTTGAGAGGTGACGACAAGCGCGTGCTCGCTAGCGGCCGAGAGGGCCGTGTATCTGCGAGTTGGCGCCCTTCGGTCTCTTCGAGCGGTCGTCGTATCGACGTCTCGAGCACGCGGATCTCGCTGCTTCGGACGGGTGGGGCCGGTTTCGGGGTGACTTCGTCCTTCTTTTCGTCTTTGAGTGTCGGCTTCTTCCGGATGGTGGGTTGTCGCTGATTGGCCTGCGATCGAGCGAAGGTGAAAGCCAAGTCAGTGACCGATTTGGCCTAGGCAGGGTCAAAAGAGGGGGCCCGCTCACCATGCCCGGGGGTGAGATAAAAGTCTGAATCGCTTCCGAATCATCGTAGTGAGCTGAAACGGAGGGAAGACAAAACGCGTCAGCCTGGGTTCGATCGCAAAACCAACCGTCGCGACTCACATCCTTCCACCATCCTCTTATTGTCCCTGCAAAGCTGATAGGCGATCCGCAACTCCCTATCCTTCCCGTCCTGCAACTTGACCCAAACATCGTCCGGATTGAGTCCCGCGATCTTTTCGCACAAAGCATCCACAATCTCTTGGTCGACGATTCCGAGTCCCTCGACCCATTCCCGTCGCCTCGATTGCTCGCCCGCTACAGGTGCCTCGGGCTGCCAGACTCCCGGAGATTGAGGCTCATCGTTATCGTCGTCATTCGGAGGCGGCATCGCTGTTGTCGAAGGTGCAAATAGATAGGGCGCAAGGTCCTTTTGGAACCACGGTAATTGTCGAATCTCGTGCAACTTGATGCGCTTGTTCGAGTCGACGAGGAGCATGCGTGATAGTAAGCTGCGGGCGTCCGATGATAGGAAAGGTGGAAGGGAAAATATGCCGCCTGGAGAGTGAACAGAGGGAACCGTTTGATCAGTACCGACGAGGGGCACGTTCCCAAACTGCGGGTGACCTACCGTTGATCTTTTTGAACAGCAACGGGATGTGGTCATCGTCGAAAGGTAATCGACCGCAGAGCATGACGTAGAGGATGACACCGCACGACCAGATGTCGATCTCGGGACCAGCATAAAGTCTACGATTGCCCGGATAGGAGGACGTCAGCTAGCTGCGTCAGGATGGAGGTGACCGACCTTACACGGAGATTACGCAAACTCACTTTCCCGAGATGACTTCAGGGGCGGCATAGTTGGGGCTACCGCACGACGTCTTGAGAAAGTCACCGTCTCGTATGATGTTGCTCAGACCAAAGTCGGCAATCTTGACGTTGAGATGTTCGTCCAATAGCAGGCTGTGGTGGAATCAACGGCCCCGGGGTGTCAGCGCGCTCGCAATGCGTCCCCAAGATCACCCGCAATCACGGTACCGACTTTTCGGGTTTCAAGTCGCGATGCACGATATTGTGTGAATGGCAATAGTCGAGTGCGCTCATGATCTGTTGGAAGAACCGGCGGGCCTCGTCCTCGGGCATCTTGCCGCGGCGCACGATGTAGTCGAACAACTCGCCCGAGAGGTACTCGATGACCATGACGATATCGTTGGGAGCGGCAATCACGTCGTATCTGCAAAGTGAGGGATGGTGTCTTGTCGTGTCAGGGCTTGTCGTTGGGCACGGCTGTAGAGATAGGTTCTCGTGGGCCGATTGCGAGGAAGCCGAGTGGCGGAGGGGACGTACAGCTTGATGATGTGAGGATGTCGCAGCAGACTGAGGTATTGGATCTGTCGGAATTTCAATTGCTGCTGTTCAGCCATGACATCGTGTGCACGATTGGTGCGCAGCGAGGACCGACCTCTCGATGTACGCGCGAGGACATCTCGGCGGTCGAGATCTTGCGCTTGGAGATGAACTTCATGGCGACCTTGAGTCCGGTCGCGGTGTGTTTGGCCACTGTTTGAGGGCGTACATGGACGCATTGTCAGGATCCTATGAATCACCAAGGAGATCACCCCACCGCCGTCGCTCGGCCAGCAACTTGGGCTGATTGCGCGTGAGGCTCGGTCGACTTGTACGTACGCTTGACCTTGCCGAACGAGCCATGTCCAAGTGTCGAGATGACCTCGTATTCCCTGTGATCGGTCCCGACCAGATGAGGGTCAGCAACGTGCCCGAGTACGGGTATTCACCCTGCAGCCTTTGCACCGGTGCTATTTGCCGTGGCTCGGCCGCCGCCCGCGATTGGCCGGGCAACAGCGCCAAGAGCGTCATCATGCGCATGTTGCGGCAGCGGGCGCAGGCGGGCGCAGGCGGGCAGACAGCGGGTCCTGCAGCGCGCCGTTCGGTACCACCGAGTCGGGGAGATGAACCCCAAGTGGTACTGACCCGATGATGACCGTCTTCTTGTTGGACGAGGTCGAGGTCGAAGTCGATGTCGATGTACCAGGCGTCGGCAACGGTGCTCGATGGCCGCCCGTGTTGTTTTCGTTCGCCATCTCGTACGCGTGTCCGTGTCGGCCGGCGATGCTGAGTCGGGATCGGGAGCAGTGGCAGGGCGTTGATTCGTCGTCGAGTCGTCAAGCGCGTCAAGCGCGTCAAGCACGAGATCGGAGGCGATAAAGCGACGACGGCAGCGCGGCACTCGGGTCCGCGCTACTCGGGTCCGCGCGGAGCGGCTCGGCACGGCTTACAAAGAGAAATGCTCCTTAGAACCATGCATTAGACGCCGAGCCACCCCCACGGGTCCGCTGCCGATCACTCACTGGCACCCGCAGCAACACCCCCTATCTACAAAATACACCCACGTCGGAGTAGACCAAGATGACTGCAGGACTCAAGAGTGGGTACTAACTGACGCCCTTTCGCTTGTCCGGGATCGCTGTCTGTGCCTAGCCGAGCCTTCACTGACGTAACGCGCTGCCACCTTCACCCGTTCCTCCCCACTCTATACCGACTCCTACCATAGCCATCATCTTCCTGTCGTTCGTCTTGGCGGTCTCGTTCCTGCTCGTGATCCTCTCGTGCGCATTGTGGGCCAACTGGCTACCCCTCATCACCGGTAAGACACTCCATCCCTCCCGCTCCCCCCACCCCACCCCTCTAAACTGACCCGACTGCTCCCTCCTCCCCCCACCACAGCCCTGATCTTCGCCTTTGCGCCTCTCCCCAACGCGCTCTTCTCCCGTTTTCAATCCGAGGATTCCTTCTCGGCCGAATACAGTTCCGGACCCGTCGATTTCGGTCGATTCCTGACGGCGTGCTTCCTCGTTTCGGGCGTCGCGTTCCCCTTCGCGTTGGCCCATGCGGGTGTGATCCATGAGATGGCTGGATGGATGAGTGCGACCGGTGGTGCGGTTGGATATGCCACAAGTTAGTCTGTGCATCCAGCGTCTGCTGCTCCTGGCATTCCTGGCCCTCGTTGCTGAATCCTCGTAAGCTGCTTGGCGTGTTTCCCACAGTTATCACCTATTCGCATTTCTTTGCGATTCAGATTGCAGAATATTAAGGCTAGGTCACTGCTACTGTAATGTACCAACACACGACTTTGGGTCAACCGCAACTCTACGATGTACGAGAGCTTGAACCGGATCGGAGCACCTTCAGAAGCACGGACCCTGCTGCTGCTCGGGGAGCTCCTTGACGATCCGTCATCCGTTGGAGACCGTTCTGCGCCTTCTGCGGAACCTGTCCCGGTCGGCATCCGTGAGACTCTGGGCTGGTGCTTCCATCCCATATTTTGGCTCCAGATCTTTCACGCACCTGACCATCAAAGCTTCAGGGGTTGGTCCTCGCAGTGTCTGCAACCTCACCTTCGAGTCGCGACTTCCCGAACCGGACCCATCGTCTCCTCTCTCGATCGACCGACGGACCCCCTTTCCGATCGAACGAGACGTCGATCGTCATCCCTGCCCGTATCCGCACTTCAAACCACTCATCCACATCCACCGCACCTCCATTCATTTTGTCTTCCTTCGTTTGGTTCTTGTCTCTTTTGCTCCGAGTCGGCGATGACGTCGAGGGGTGTCATCAGCTCGAGCATCGCAGCTGGGTACGTCGTACGGGGTAATCGAAGGCGGTTCAGGTGTGGCGCCTCGCTCCCGAGCTCTCACCGGGCGGCCTGTGCCTTCGCGTCCGAGTCATCGATCCTGACACTTTCCACGGTCCCGAAACTGATCCATGGACAATGATTTTTTGTATTACCTCTTTCCGCAGCCCCATCGTCCTGACCCACACAGCGCTGATTCAACGCGTCCTCGCGACCTTCCCCTTGCTCGCGATCGGCATCGTTGCTTCCTTCCACGCTTCGACGCAATGCATCATCGGTGGTACCAACAGGTGAAATATCGTACAGAATCTCAATATACTCCAAGGCTTGATGATTGATGTATTGTACTCCTTGTGATGGCATGCAGATTTTGGGTGCTGCTACATCTTGCATCAGGGTTTTCGTTCGCCGCTGGGCTGTTTGAGTTGGGCAATTTGTCCGAGTTCGTTGGGTCCAACGAAAATCCAACATCAACAGCCGAGCTCTCCAACCCTTCTAGAGGCTTTGGGGTCGCAGCTGGTCAGTAACCACGTCATAGCTCCCCCTCTGACGTGTATCGAACTCACGCAGTTCATCGCCCGCAGCACTCGCCCATGCCTTCGCACTGCTCTTCCTCCTTTCCTACCTCCATCGTCGACTCTCCCTCGCCACCATCAACGAGTCCAAAATTGTCGTTGGAGCATCCAACTTCCTTCCCTGGACTTCGACGGATCAAGAGACGCACTTGGTCGCGATCACGAGTTGGGAGAGTTTCGGTTGGATAGGAGAGGCGCTCAAGATGGGGCTGTGGGGTTTGATCGCCGTGGTCGGGGTGCTGGAAGCTGTTTGGGGAGTTGGTTCGATCAGAGGGTAAGTTTGCAGTCGTTTATCTGCTCGATTGGGAAATTGCGGAGTGATTTGATGGAGTCAGACTCATCGCAGATTCAGTCGCTTCCGACCGCTCCACGTCGCGAATCAAGCGTTACAGCTCATCATCACTCTCGCTTTGCTCGCCAAGATCGTCGTCTCGATTTGCATGCTGGACATGCAACGACGAACGAGCAGTCTTCTAGGGTAAAGCCCCTCTCAATATGTATGCCTAAATGCAGCGTAGTGCTAAGACTTGGTCCCTTTTCACCAGATACGGCTGCATCAGTCTCGCGCTCCTCCTCGGGGGTTTCATCGTTCCGGCTATTTCACTTCATCCGAGTTTGATTCTGTTCACCGAAACTCCTTTGGCGAGGCTCTTCAAGATGATCGAGATGGTGAGTTCGGCAATATACCTTCCCGTCTAGGTGCATAGATCCGTACATCCCAAAACTAATTAGCGTCTCCTCACAGCTCGTCCTCCTGTTCGAGCTCGCCATCTTCAACCACCAACTTGAAGCCCAACCTTCAGGACTTCCTCGCCTCCCGAGCCTTCCACCCAGCATCAAAGGCTCCGCCCTATCAATCGACCTCCCCTCGCGCGCAAGTCTTCGTCCAGTCCCTGTCACCGGCCCTTCAACCCACCTCCCTACCACCACGGCCCTGCGCCAATTGAACACCCCTTCTACTTTAAATGAAGTTCAAGACAGCACGCAGCCGAGACGAAGTTCGTCAATGACACTGGGGTGGCATACGAGGGATTGGGTTGCTTCGAACCTACGTGCCGCCGTGGGTGGTGGGAACTGCAGTGGAGGTGAAGACCGCATCAGTTCGACCTCTGCAGAAACACCGCATTCGATCGTCGAAGTCGAGTTTTCCCACATCGATCAAGAGGTCGAGGAAGTTCGTCCCCGACGAAACCTGGACGAAGGGTCTCACCGACTGGGCTTGAGGGAAATGTTCCCACCTTTACCCCCCTCGCCTTCTCCCACACCGACAGGGACGACGTTCCCGCTTGAGCTTGCGAATCGATCGAGCCAAAGAGAGGAGTATGGAAGACCTTCAGCTGCGGGACCGATCATACCTACTCGTTCTTCGGGCGGGGTACAAGAAGAAATCGAAGCGATATTGGCGGAGGTCCAGGAAGAAATCGAAGCAATGCCCACAGCCATCCGATGTCAAGCTTCGTCGTCTTCCGCGACTCTGGCCGAGGATGAGCTCACGAGGGTCTACGAAGAGATGCTCAACAATTTTCCGCTTGAATCACCGGAGGAACCCAGTAGTCGCTCCGACTTACCGGAGAGTCCTCAACGAGCCCGCGCGATGCTACAGAAGAAACCCTCGGATCGGCTTGATCCGGTCGCGCGATCGAGTGTGGTCACACAAGCTTCGTCGTTCGTCGAGTCGCCTTTGACGATGTCCAAGTTTCCACGTTCCCCCGTTTCCGAGGTGTATTCCAGGCCGACTTCAGCACCTCCGCTCGATACGATTTCCCCTACCCCTTCAGGCCGAAGTTCGCGAGTGCGCGGTGGCAACCTGAACGATCTCTTTATCGTACCGCCGCCTCTACAGACCACGGCGATCGCTTATGGAGGCGAAGCCCCGGTGGAGCGTGTCAGTCTCGAATTAGGTGAAGGATCGCTCTCTGCTCCTAGGCGTCGTGTCAATCGGGATGGACAAGGAGGGATCGACGTTACATTCCTCCTCGTAGGTCCCGCGTCTTCCGAGGAGATGACCAATTCCCAAGTCCATCTCCCACAAAGCTCCAACTCCCCACTCGGTCCCTCCCCCGTCTCCCTCTCCAACATCCATCTCGAATCATCCACGAGCGATCCGACCCGCACGTCCTATTTCGACTCCCAAACCGACGAAGACCCCAACCTCGATTTCGAAAACGACGATGGCCCCTCTTCCCTCGCCCAGATCCATTGCGCAAGTCGAGGATATCTCACCGTTCGAAAAGCCTCACTCATCCGCACGCCATCCCCTCTGGGTTCATCACAATTGCCCTTACCTACTATCGTAGAACCACAAATGACGGAGAAGAGTACGGTCTCGAGTGAGGGTTTGGAAATCCCTTCCATGCCGAATCGAATTGGAGCTCGCTCACCCTCTTCGAATAGCTTGTTCTTCAATCTCGGCTCCTCACGTGACAAGGCAACGAACGGGTTCTCGGTACGGGAGAAACGCTCGATCCTTGAAGCCCAATTGATGGCCGCTGCGGCGATCAAGAGGTGGTCGGCAGCTAAGACGACACCTTCGCCACCATACGGTGACTCCGAAATTCGGCCGAAGGCGCACGGTTGGCTACCGGAAGGGATTCTTGAACCGCCGCGTTCGGCACCGGTGCCGGGAACGAAGGGCTGGGTGGGTCCGTTGAGAACTCCCCAGTGAGGTCGGGTGAGGGGGCATTTTGAGTCGGGATGGGAAGGGGCTTTGGTACGGAGCACCTTTACTTTAATTCAAAAAAGGATGGCGGCTGGACGACTCTCTCTAGATTTATGTTATATCGAATGAAGCCTTCTTGATGAGTAATGTAGACTGTAATGATGCTTGAATTTACAACAGAAAAAGCAAAGAAGAGAGACGAAACAACGGCTAAGCATGTGGGCGAGCGGTAAAACGTTGACATGTCCCAGGGGCTGAGTAGAGCGAGTGGAACAACCAGTTTGGCTGTAGAAGATCTAGTGGTTGACCTTCTTGGTCCTTCCGAGCCTCTTTTGCATTCTCTGCAACTTCTTGGCCGACATCTGCGCGACACGGTTTCGATAGCGGATCAGTTTTCGACTCCTCTTTTTCGGAACGTCGGATGGTCCGCTACACCTCGTGCGTGAGCTCGATGTAGATCCTCGCAGTATGACTGACCCTCTTTGCCATCTCCTCCAACCTCAACTTCTCCTTGGCCTTGTCCTGTCGTTCCTTGGTGATCGTCCGTTTCCTCTCGATCTCGGCCTTCTTCTCGTCCTGCATCTCCCTACACCACGCAGACCCGAACATCTCCGTAAGTGCAAGGGATGCATATAACGATATGTGCGGTCCGACTCACTTGGCCAACCTCTTGACCCCGTCCATCTTCTTCCGCTCGTCCAACCTCTCACTCCACCTCTTGTTACCGGCGCCTTTACCCTGACCCCTCACCGTCGCTTGGGGCCGAGGTTGTTTCCACGCTTTGCCACTGACGTTCTTGATGAAGGGCTGAGCGGGGAGGGGTTCGGTCGGAGAGGTGCTCACGGTCGAAGGCACTGTCTTCCAGCTGTCGACCGGTCGGTCTTCCCACACGGGCAGAGGAACCATCGTGAAGAGGCGTGCCGAAGATGAAGTGTAAAGGTGTACAAACCTTGACGAGGTGCTGTTGACTCTGGGTGCGAGTGGGATACGTGCCCTTGAATCGAGTGCGAGTGTGATGGGGCGAACGAGCGCAGCAGCCGAGAGCGGAGGCAGGTGGATGATCGGCTGCGAAGTGATTCGTCTCCGAGTCGCGCCCCTGCCCGCACCGGCTTGTCCAAGTGATTCGATCGAGTTGTGCGCCATTTTTATTTTTCTTTCATTTTCATCACATGAAACAATCATATCAAAAACCAAAAATCTGCGCCAACCAGCCGAGTTCACAAGCGCACGCGTCTCGCACCATCACTGCTGAGCACCCTTCGCCTGCAGTGGGGGTATGTACGCACGAGCCCTCACGGCCTCACGAACCTGTCTCAGCAGGTCCTAGCCTCTCACGAGTTGTCACGCGCACGATCGTACAATCCAATCAATAGGCGGGGACGTGATATCATACATTATTTCATTTCAAAACCCACTCCAAAAAGAGGCTCACCCCCGTCATGCATCCAACAATAACACGCTCTGCAACCTCCTCGCGACGACCCCGACGTACTGCTCGCGATTCCTCCAACTGCTCCCCACATTCTTCTGATTGAACTCCAGAGCCGCCAAAAGCGGCGACAAACGCTCATTGAATTCCTTTGCTACACCGTCTCGTAAAGTTGGGAGGTCGAATGGAGAGATTGAGGTGGTGGAGGAACGTGTGCGAAGGGTCTCGGCTAGGCCGACACCGAATTCGGGACGCGAGGATTGCGCTTCGGACGCTAGCCGTTCCGGGTCAAGGAAGAAGGCGATGTGGCGCCAGTAGAGCAACAGGCCGAGTTCGAGAAGGTCTAAGAAAACAAGGAAATGGGTCTGATGAGCTCTTCAGGGTTTCAGCGGAAGACAGGGCCCTTGTCGGAGACTTACGAAGCGAAGACGTGACCTTCACTCGCAAGGTGGCGTGCAGCGCCTGCAGCTCTTGCAGAACGCGTTGCCGCCTCTCTGAAACATCGATACCTTCCTCTTCAGGGAACGAGAAGACCTGCAGCATATACACGGAGGGTCAGAACCCGTATAATGTGATGAAGCACCACAGCGACGAACGAGCCGACTCACCTCTTCAATCTCCTCCAACGAGGTCGTATCGAACCCATCCAAATACCCGACCAACCTCGTCACATCATCCAACCGCGTCTTGAGCACCATTGCCGTATCCCTCAAGAACGCTCCCGCCGAACCCAACGTCGCCTCCGTAGCGGACAAGGAAGGTGCCCAAACGGGTCGGAACGCGTTCGTGCCTTGCTTTTTACGCGTCGCGACGCTTTGGTAGGTCAGGATCGCGGCTTCGAGCGATTCGACGAGCGTCTCGACCTTGTCGGAGAAGATGGTCGCGTCGTGGCGGAAACCTGTACGAGCGATGTGATGCATCTTTAGCCAATCGGATACTGAAAGCGTCGGCCTAGTACGCGGACTTACCAAGTACCAGTGTTCGATCCTCGTCCCTCTCCGTCTCATTCGACGGCAATACGCCGGCGACCCAGTCCTGAGGTCCGCAGGTCTTGGCCGAAAGGTTGAGCAACGCCGCATGCAAGCCACCGAATGACGACAGCGTCGTTAAATCCTCGTCGGACACCGAGGGCAAAACGATGCTGAGCAAAGTGACGATCAAATGCGCTTCTCTCAACGACGACACCGTCTGCAAATTTGCGCAATCCTTGAGCGCAACGAGCAAGTTCTCGCGTTGGCCACCGACAAAAGCAAGGGCTTGACGGGTCGCGATCTGGGTATCGGCACCGAACGAGACGAGCGTCCCGACGACGAGCTGAAGGGCTGGCAACAACAATTGGTGGTGTCGTTCCGATGCGGGCGGAAGGAAGCCTTCGAATTCTGTGGAATGTCGGCAGCGGCTGCGAGTCAGTGAACGTGCAACGTACTCGACTGATCGAAGCGACCTTGACCCACCCATCGAATTCGTATCAGCAACAGGTCGTGACCCCAGGTAATCGCAATCTGCCAACTTGGCTAATACCTCGGCATCCATCAACTTCTCCGCCCCTTCCCTCGTCGAAGCAAGTCGAATTAAGAACGACATCTGTGCCTCGTAGACATAGAGCGCATTCAACGATTCCGGATCCGGCTTGAGCGCTTCTTGTAGATCCGCCTCGGCGCCTTTCAACGCCGCGACAAAATTCTGCAGGTAGCCTTGCTTGGACAAGATGGACAAGACGCGCGAACTCGCTCGTGCCTCTTCGGCGACGTTCATGAGCGCATCCAACGCGGTGAAGGCGACGGTGCGCCAAACCTCGTGGCCAGCGGCAGCATCACGACAAATGACGGGGAGGAGTCGTTCAATCGCGGAGTGAAGGATCGAAAAGTTGCCTGCCTCGAGCAAGTTCCTCTTCGCACGCGAGGACGGACCTCCCCCGATCGAGGACAGTCCATCAAGCGAGATCAAGTCGTCGTGCGGGCCAGCGGCCAAAGAGCCGAGAATCGATGCATCATCGGCGACGGAACCGTTGCCGAGCGTCTTGGCGAGCGATGGAGACAGCGAGGCCATCTTGGACGAGTACTGGATGTAATTGAGCAAGACGGCGTACAGGTTCCCCCGGACAATGGGCGAGACACCGGGTTGGAGGATCGCTTGAAGAATCACGCGCAAGACGGCGTGGAGGCGTTCGGGCGAGACGGATTGCACGGCCTCCGCCGACTCGAAGAAGACGACCCGGATACCCTCCTCGCTCAACTTGGTCATTAAAAGTACCGCAGCCCCAGCAAGTAATTCGCTAATCGCCTGCTCCGTTTCTGAAGCCGCAAGCGGGGGAAGAATGGCGGACATGAGGTCGAGCAAGAGCGAATGACGACCTTCGGACGGCAAGAGGTGGAACGACTTGGTCAAGGTGATGTCGAGCAAACTTCTCCAGGCGCGCAGGGCATGGTAGCGAGCGAACTGGATCTCGCGTCGGTGGTTCTCGATCACGAGCGTCTCGAGGATCGCCTTGCTTTCGCGCTTCGCCTCTTCCTGTTGCGTAGAGCTGCTGAGCATGCCACGGTTCTGCAGCTCCCGACGAGCCGCACTAAGCAGCGACAAGACAGCGCCAAAGTCGTACACTTCACAACCGGTCGAGTCCGTCTTGAGACACGCGTCGAAGCGTAGCTCGGCGAAAAAGCTCAAACGGTACTCGTTCGGAGCGATCGAGTCGTGCCATGAAAAGTCAAGGGCGTGGAAGATCTCGAGCATACGAGGAAGCGCTTGATCGAATGCATCCTGGTCGAATGCGTCGGTAATTTCGGCGTCCCCCGAGGTCGGGTTCTCGAACAGAGTTCCAACGAGCTCAACTTGTCGTCGCGTGTCTTGGCTGTTGGCCAACATGTTCAACTCGAGCGCCGTGGATTCGAGCAACCACGCCTGCGACTGCAGGATCGCACACACGGCCGAAGAAGATGTGACGAGCTGTTTGCCGTCGACGTACTGCACGCCTCCGAGCGCACCACCACTCGCGGCGGGGATACCAAAGGGCAGCGCCTGCGTCTGGCGGAAGAAGAATTGCTCGCGGTTGCGCAGGTAGCGTGACAAAGCCGAGGAGGTGTAGGGGTGGAGGCAGAGCTGTCGGATGAGGCGATAGCACTTGGCCGCAAAAGTGGGGTGTCGAGACAGGATCGACATCTGGTCATGAAAGCAGATCATTCGCATCAGCTTCTCGCCCGTAGCATGACGACTCCCGACGGGCGGCATCCTGAACTTACCTGCACATCTGTCTCCTTCGAGACATTCTGCGCCAACAGATCCAACACGACATGCAAACTGGTACGTTGCGTATCCGCCGCATCCGGATCATCAATCTGCATCTCCTCTAGTCGTCCACGAACATTGAACCCCAGCAACAGATGAGCGATATTGGGCGCGGTCTTGCCCGGTTGCGTGTTCTGCAACATCAAGTCCAACAGAGCCGAACGAATGGCCTGGCGGATACTTCCCGAGCCAAAGCCATCAGGTTCGCCGAGTTCGAGATCGCTCTCCGGGATGTCCGCTTCGAGTCGCAGAATGACGCCGTCCAAGATTCTCAACGTCTCGGGCGAGGCTTGCAATAGCCCTACGAGTCGATTGAGCTTCACGCGGCTCTGCTCGGGGAATTTTTGCACGACGTCGAAGAACGGTGACTCGGCGATGGTCGCCAGGACCTGGACCGCCAGCAAAGCGATCTCGTCCTCTTCCTCGCAGTTGATCAGCAGGGCAATTTGGACGATCGCCTCGGACTGGTACAAGAGCAGTTGGTCTATCGGAGAGAGCGTCTTAAGTCGGTTGAGCTTGTCCTGCAGCAAAGGAAGCGACGTCTCGGCGATTGATGGGACCACAACTTCGAGGAAGGGTGCCTGCAACTCGAGACTGCGCTTGACAATCCTCATGCATCGCAGCATGCACGACGTGAACAAAGGCGTCCCAGCGAGGTTGTTTTGAATCGCATCCTGGCCGGCGATGATGATGGTGAGGATCTGGTCGAGAAGAGGTCCGGAGCTGAGCAAGCGAGTGAGGATCTCGAATCCAGGGTGGACCGTGAGGTGCGCGAGTGGTGTCAAAGCCGAGGCGTTGTTCCCCGAAGCCCTTTGGCCGCCCGCAGAGATCCAAGCAAGAAAAGGCCCGAGGTCGTACGAGGCCAGGCATTTCTCTACAAACAACAAGCACGCGTCTGTGACCTTCCACCGTTCGCGCTGGTCGGCGAATTCACGCGCACCCGTCTTGAGCAACACGTCGTCGATCACGAACTTGAGATACGGATCGATACCGGGGGCTCGATGTGGCGCGCCCAAGTTGTCGGGGATCGTATGCGAGTCGATCTCCACGCCTCGGCGCAAAGGCTCGAGCGTCGAAGGGGTGTGAATGAGCGTATTGAGGAGCTGGACAAAGGCCGTCGATTCCGGGTAGACCTTGTTTGGCGCCTCGACCTCTTCCAGCTCAGTAAAGAGCCCTCCCTCGATGCTGAGCGGACCTGGGCCCCGCAAGAAGCCACCTGTTCGTCCCATCGCCAAACCGGCACCTCCACGAGCGTCCTTCCCTTCCGATGGCGCCAACGTGGGCAGAATTTGACTCTGTTCGAGCGCGGTCCATGTTCGGCGAGCAACGTCGACGCCAAACGTTCCGCCGGGCCGAGAAAAGGCAGCAATAGCGGAGATGAGACTTGCCTTGAGCTCGATGGGTATAGGTCGGCCCAACAGAGCGAACAAGGTCGCGATAGGGCGATGTCGTTGATTGTCGTACAAGGTAGCTCGAGCAACGTCCGAGTAACTGACGACCTGCCTCAGCAATCGCACGAACGAGCGCAGGATCGGCACCTCTTCCGGTGGCATCTCGCCGAGCACGCCCTCTGCATTCGCACCTGCCTCCATCGGTCGATCGGGGAGGTTCGTGTGGTAGAACTCGAGCGCACCAAACAAAGCCGACCACGAGAACGTCGGCGAGGCTTGCGTGCCATTCTTGGTGCCATTGTCCGAGGAGCCGAGAAACTCGAAGGCGTACGTCGCAGAGATGGGACCCGACGCGAGGCTGGCAACCATCTCGTAGAAAGCCCTCATCATCGCTGGAGGTCGACATTCCGAACCCCACCGCAGGAACGCAGACAACCGACTCGTCATGGCGTGCGTCGACCCATCTTCAAGGACCTCTTCCCAAAATTTGAGCCCCGAATCGGGTTCGCCGCGGTAAAGGGTCGCAATGAGGAGGAAGAAGGCTTCAAGGTCGTGCCGTGCGACGATGGGATGCTCGTCGTGATCTCCCCCGGCAGCCCTCGAGCGTTGCGAGCTCCGGAATCCACCACCGCGGTGCGAGGTCGATTCGACGTCCTCTTCGCGGTTGCGCAACTTTCGCAGGATCGAGATCTTGTTCGTTAAGACGTCGAGCACGAGAACCTCAATTTGCTGCGTCACGTGCTCTTGGAACCAAGGTTCAACCGTGGACCCACTCGACAAAGCTGTCGCGTCCGAGCCGACGGTACTCCAGATCTCGCTCGACTCCGAGTCCATCTTGAACGCAAGGACAGAACGACCCAGGAAGCCAAAGACGCCAGCATCGAGCGCCTGCCAGGTCAGCACGTCGACGAATTCGCCTCCATCGGTCTCAAAGTTGGGAACCGCGCGAGCTGCGGCATCGAGGAAAATGGTCCACTGCAATTGTACAGCCGCTTTGAGTTGGGGTACGGCCCACTTGCCCTGCAGGAGCTGGTTGAACGAGTTGACAAAGGCCGAGTCGGTGAAGAGCGGGTAGAAGAATTCGGTCGAGCTTTCATCAGAACAGTCCAAAGCGGCCAGTAGAGCGAGGAGGAGGTAGACGGCAGGGGGATCGTTCGCTTCGGTGGTCGAGACTCGTCGGGCGAGCGCGAGCAACTCGTCCTTGTTGATCTGTCGAGCAGCGCCCAGGAAGAAGAGGAGCTGGGCGAGGCCGCGGCGCTCGTCGTCGTAACGCTGAATTCGCATCTCGACCACCTCGTCGGCGAAGTTGCCGGATGGTGACGACGTCGAGCCTTGTGCTGGTACAAGAGCTGATGAGAAGCCGGCACCTCCGGCTGCGAGGGGTTGCTCAAGCTTGCTCCGCAGCGCGGCGGACTGGAGTCGCAGATGCTCTATCGTCTCGACGAGCTTCTGCACCCAGGTGCGCTTTTTGTTCTTGTCGTTGGCATCGCCATTGACGGAAGCACCTTTGCCGCGCACAAGCTCCTCCGTTTCTCGCTCGAACACGCGTTGGAGTCCGCTCGCGGCGAGGCGTTCATCGGCGGAGAGTGCGCCTCTCCATATCGCGTGCAGAGACGCGATCAAGGCCGCTCGTTCGTCAAGGAAGACGACGAGACCTGATTCGGCCCTCCCTCTGCCGGCTCTGGGCTTGGCGTTGATGGCGTACGAGACGAGGGAGGCGGCGAGGTGTTCGGAGATGGAGAGCTGGTCCGCGAGGAAGAGGATGTCCTTGACGAGCGCGGGGCCAGCGGGGTAATTCGTGCCCGTGGCCACGTAGGTGAAGGAGCCTGTTGGAGAGGTGGGGTGTAGATTGCCGAGCGGCAGGAGGCAGGAAGCGAGCATTGAGGAAGCAGTGAGTTGGGGGTACATGCACGGTTGACAGAGGAGCGTTCAGTCGGCAACGCAGCCCGGGGAGGGACGTTCATCGGCGCGAGGATGAAGAAAGAACGTACCTTTCTCGAGTTGGTGCCTCTCTGTACTGCTCTTGGGTACGAGGTCCAGCAGGTCGAGCAGGGCCGGTCGGGCGCGTTCGAGCTTGAGCTGCAGCTTGGACACGAGCGAAGGCTCCGGGTTGGCGAGGCAGTTCTCGAGGAAGCTCGACAGGCGTACGAATCGATCCATCGCGATTCGTCTCCGAACGAGGGAGGTGCGCAAGTGATGTGGTGTGGTGCGTGGTGAGGGGTGCGAACTCGCAGCGACTGCGAGCAGTGACGCGCACAGTCTTGGCGCACAGTCAAGCGTCAAGCAGCGGATAGCGCGGATCTCAGCCGGATCTCAGGGTCGTCTCTTTGTAAACTAGCTGGAATTCAAATTCTCATTCTCATTCTCATTCTCAGCGAACACGCGGCTGCTTCACCTCGAACTTGCTCCGTCTTTTTCCCTTGGCCACCGCGCACAGTAGAGGGATGGAAAAATATTCGAAATACAGGGTCAGTCCAGATCCCTCGCTGTGGCCATCTTGCATCACCGCAACGCTCTCGACTCGCGGCTCCACATGCTCGCCCCGGTGTCCGTTGTGACATTGTGACATTGTGACATTGTGACATCGCTCCCGGTTCACTACTGACCTGCGAGCTGGACGATCCTGCAGGACCCTTCAACGGGCATCGCACCGCTTGTGTACCCTCTGCCCGCGTCAACTGATGCTGTCCCTCCCGCCGTCAAGGTGATCGTCACGCCCTTCAAGTGGCTGCTCGGCTTCGTCCGGACCCTGCTGGTCGTGCTGCTCATCCTGGCGCATTGGTTGCTCGTCGAGCTCCTCATGACCACTCTGGTGAATGAAAATTCGCATGGGACAGACATCGATTCAACCTGCTCACCTTGATCTCATCACAGCGCATCGTCCCACCGCTGCACTCGATCTTGACCAGGATCCTTTCCGCGCTCATATGTCGCACCGTGCTCTTCCTCCTCGGACTGGCCTGGATATCGACCGAGACCGTTTCCCTCCGGCGTACAGGGTGCGTTCGACGACACGACTCGTATCTTCCTCTTGCTTCTCCACTCATGTCTGTCCCTGGCGATTCTCAGGCGATCCCCTCCATCGGTACCGTTCACACCCCGCGCCGGTGACCTCATCGTCGCCAATTCTTCTTCTTACGTCGACGTGCTCTACCTCGCGTTCCGGTACGCCCTTTACCCGCCTCGAGCGTATTCTTACTCTCACTGCGATACGATACTGACGCCGATGAACCTCAATGTCAGGTACAACCCTTATTTCCTCTTGCCGTGCTCGTCCCTAGGCTCGAAAGCCTCGTCATCTTCACCCTCACTCATCACCTCCTACCGAGTTGTATCCCTTACCACCGCCCTGCTATCCAGCGGCAAGCTTCCCGAGCGCAGTGAGCGAGGCATGACATTGGAAGAAGCCGTCTCAAACACCAACAGGCCGCTCGTCTGGTTCCCTGAAGCGACGACGAGCAACAACCGTGCATTGTTGAAGCTCGGTGAATTGGTGCCGCCGAAGACGACGGGTGGGGCGACCAAGGCGTTCAGACTCTTCTTGCTTTCCTTCAAGTAGGTCATCGCGTCTTGGTGGTGAAGAATTGGTACGCCAAGCACTAAACCCAAGTCTCATACTTCATCAAGGTACCCCCTCCCTACCCGCCTAGTCCCCTCCGCGACCTACCCCATCCCAGACTCCACTCCCCTCCCCCATCTTTTCTCCCTGACCTCAACCCCCTTCACCACCACCCTCCACATCCGCCGCCTCCACCCCTCCGAATCACCTTCCCTTTCCTCCACACCAAGGAAAGAAGAAATGGAGGTCCTCGCTGAAATGTTGGCGAGTACGGGTAGGTGGAAGAGGGTGAAAGCGATCGATTGGGAGATGAAGGACGGTTTTTTGAAACTCAAGTCAAGTTCGGTGGGGGGGATCGGCAAGGCGAAGAAGCGATGACAAGAAGCTCCCATCGCCCGTCGAGTAGGGATCAAAATAATGAACTTATCAAGCAATGTTAACCACTCTCTCCAACTCGGTTGATATTTCCACATCCAGGGCAAGAACGCGAAATTAATCTAAAAGTTTCATCAACCGGGCGGGAGAGCCAAATAATTTGGGCTTCGTTCGGCCCGAGCCGATATGCACTAATGTAAAGCACTCAGTAAGCCCCTGAAGAAATCCCTCTCGGACAGGAGACCCGGTCTTGACCCCAAACTGAGCTCAGGGCAGCTTTCGAGTTTCGATCTGCCTCGGCGCTCAGTGACGCGCCCAGCAGGCGAGCGCGACGAGCCCAAGCGCAACCCGCACACAGAAGACAGAAGCTGCGCAGTTCTTTTTAGCCTCGGGCGACGGGGATGGTCCGACTCGCGTTTAAGCTTGGGTCAGGATGGGATCAAGGCTTGGCTTTTTTTTTCTAAAAATTGGGTTTTCCGAGGGCTAGACGAACGGACCGATGGAGTCGATGGACCGAAATGGCGGCTATTTCGTGATGAGTGCGTGTCTTGGGTCTGGTCGAACAAAGGGGTCGGGGACGTCATGCAGTTGTCAGTCTCAGGCCAGGCCTAGGGCAGAATTCCAGAACTCGAGCGGTGCTGGCGATCAAGTTAAGCGACGCTACGCCTCCGAATGCGCCAGAAAGGATCAAATGCGCTTTCGCGACCATTGACCGGATCGAATTGGTGTCAAGATGCGTTGGGATTTGGAAAGACCCACCGTCGATCATTCGAGCATCTTGTATGAAGCTTAATCGGCTTGGTGTGGCGTAGCCGAAGCCCTCCGAGTGGGCCAGGATTATAGCCCCGAGTCACTGCAGAACAGAAACTGGAATGCTTGTAAGTGTTCTGTGGTATCAGCATACTTCCAAGAAGACTTAGATGTTTTCCGAAAAATCGGAGGTGCTGCATTCAAGCAAAGGCAACGACTGGTAGTGATCGAGGGCCGGGGAATTTCAATTCAAACATGATTGGCTTTTTCCGAAAAACACCAATCCCAGCTTGCGACGAACTAACATTTGGGCACTTTGAGACAAAATGAAACTTTAAGCCTGAGTGTCAAGGGATGCATTACAGAACAGCCCTATAAGTAGCCTCTACGTAGCTAGAACCATCGAGCTCTAGTTACGACTTTTTAGTTTAGCAGTCAGGAACGGCAGACTGTAATTCTGCCCTACCAGAGCTTTTAGGTACGTTGGTTACGGATTCATACTTTCAGCTCCTCTTTCAACTCTAAACACAAGTCCAAGAGCGCGACCGAGGCTTGGCAGGCTTTTCGAGGTCGATCACTCACTTCTTCCCGACCACATTCAGAGCCCCTTTCATCAGTCGGACCGTATCGCACTTTCGTGGGTGAGAAGCATCGCGTTCCCGCGTTCTCGTCGATCTAGTGCAGAGTATCGAACATATGGTAGTGTCAGTAACCAGGTCTCCGAGTGGCAGGGGAGCACCATCCGACCGAGGAGGTCGAGGCGAGACCCCTCTGCGACCGCCTGCTGTGCGACCCATCGACCGACAAGCTGACTCACCGATGGCACAACCCAGTTCGAAAGTGATGTCATTGGGGTGAACACAATTGACCCATCGCGGGGCTGTGGAAGGTGAGGGTAATCATGGAGTAAAGGGCTTGGTGTCGGCAGGAGTCCGAGCACCATCAGTGAATTCAAAGACAGCCATCGAGTTCAGCTCAATGTCGGCGCTTTGATCGATGTTCCCTTGGGTCGATGACTCGACTACCACGCCATGATCAGCCACCAGCGGTATGAATTCGGGGAGACGGGGAGACCTCCCAGATGTGGCCCTTACCCATCCTGAAAGCGATTTTGGCGTGAGCGAGAACTGGCGAAAGGGGCCAACCTTCCCGTGCCCGCATGTAGTCCCGCCCTGCTGACTTCGGCTAGCAGGAGCCCTTTTCAGTTTGGCTCGGACTGGCTTGACGTCGACGACATCATCACGGCTCCCTCGACCGAGACTCCCGAGTCACCGTCGTCGAAATTTTCACAACTTGCGCTCTTATGTACCGTGTTTGATCGTCCGAGGATTTCACATCTTTCAAACGTCACATCTTCCTCGCGACGAATCCCCACCGACAAAAGCTTGTCGCCTCCTTGCATTTGTGCAGATACAGCTACAACGTCTGCGCGCCGACGGCGATCCGCAGGCAGCAGAGACAAATCGCTGAGAGTTCCAAACCTGGGGCGCGTCCAAGTGATCGCCGTAGGCCCGTGGCGTCGATCGAGCGTGCACCCTCAGCTGGCACGCACATGTCTACAACGTGGTCAAATTTGAGCTGGCCATAGCGTCGAAACACTTACGTTTGCTCACCGACGAGGACGCACGCCCATCATGCTCGAACCGGTACAGCGATCGTTGGGATCAACATACAGGAGAAAGAGTGTAGCTTGTGTACCTGATTTCGAAATAGCACGCGGCAACGATCCTTCTTTAGGGCGGCCTCGATCGCCGATCACGGATTCCCAGGGTCTTGACGAACCCCCACACTCGGCCTTGTTTGAAACGCACTTGGGTGACGAGTCACGACCCCGTCCGTTTCAAGGCAAGCGGCTGCTAGTGCTGCCGAGCGGGTGCTTCCAAAAACGAGCCCTATGTGCTCCCAGAATTAACCACTAGTCGCCTTCGGACTTGGGGCGCGGGCTAGTGTCGCGCCCAATTCGGTTACAAAGGCCCTGGGGTTGGACGGTTCCATTCGAGTATGGCCTGCCCATTTTTGTTTTGTTTTTGGAAGTGGCTATTTTCGATTAAAAAAGGGCTCTTACGGTGACGGGAAGGGAACGGCTTATTATTAGGGGGCGAGGTCGGCCCAGAATCCCCTCCTAGCCCCACGCTCTCGCAGTTCGCTCTAGCCGTGAACTGGGTTTGACGAGACTCATGAGTACTTGATGTTGTGTCGCAGGCTTTTTCTTTTTCTTTTTTTCTTTCTTACTACGCTTGCACACGTCGGTCCCGGTCGTGGTCGTCCGCTTTCGCTTTGATCCCCGCGTGCTCAGCCCAAAAGTTCCCCATCGTTAGAAGCGTAATCGGTTTATTGGGCCTGACTTATTAGCCCCGTTTGCCTCTCCCTCGCGTCTCCCACACACCACACACGCTATTCGACCCCCACGCTCGTTCTTTACTTTGCCCTCTCGTCACCTTCGATGGCCCGCCACATTACATCGACTGCAACCCACTAGTTGATCACATCAACGTCCTGCAGAGGAAGGCGACACCCGTGACTTGCTACCCCCCCGCACACACCCAGAGGCCACCGGTCCAAGCCAGCCGTCGGGTTTCGATCGACGCGCGGGGATCGTTGCAGGCGCACGAGGATTGCCTCGAGCCCTCGGGCTGAAACCGACCAGAGGACGACCAGCGACGAAGGGGTCGGCATCTCCGAGAGAGAGACACACACAAGGAGAAAGGTTTAGGTCATGGCACCAGCGGCGTTGGTGGCCGGACCGAGTTGCAGCAACAATGAGGTCGTCGTCGGTCCGGGACATCATTACAATGGCGTCGCGGGCATGACCGGCCCAAAGTACGAGCTAGCGTCTCGCGCAGGAGCAGCAGGAGCAGCAGGAGCAGTGGCGGCTGCATCACCAACCTCCGCGATTAATCACGCGTCAAGTTCCTGGTCGACGCTCTCGGCCGGCTTAGGAGACTATGGCGCTGCCGGGCCCTCTCACGCAGCAGCCTCGACCAGTTCACTGCACGGACTGCTGAACCGAGCCTCCTCGTCGAACTCGACTTCGCCCTCGCCGTCTCGGCTGCCGTCGCCCTCGTCGGCTCGCCATTCGCAAGCCTACGCGCAATCGCAACAGCAGCATCTCCACCACCAGCTCCAGCAGCAGCACCAGCCGCACCACCAGCATCAGCAGCATCAGCACCACCATCACTCGCCTTCACTCGCTTCGAACGGTTCGGCCTCGATTTCGGCCTCGACTAGCACCACCGCCGCGGCCGGCGGCTCTGGGAGCGGACCGGCTTCTTGGTTTCGGTCATCGCATAGCGCTGCATCGTCATTTAACGGCGCGGCCAGTGGTCTCGCCAGCTCACCGCTGCACCAACATCCGTCCCAATCCCCAACACTACCACGGCCGAGTCCGACATCCTCTTACGCGTCCCACCATGCACCTCGACCGCACCAACCGCTTCATGTCTCGTCCTCGTCCTCGGGCGGCTCCTGGGTCCACGATCGCTCGACGTCCAACTCGGACTCGCTGGCTTCCGGTCTGACCTCGCCCGCGTCGGCGCACAGCACCAGTTCGCGAGGGCACAAGTTCTCCCCGCCAATGCCCAACTTCCCCCTGATAGCGAGGCAGTTCCTCCCACCGCTCGAACCAAGATCGTACACCATCATCAAGGAGGTCGGCGACGGGTCCTTTGGTACGGTCTGGCTCGCCGATTGGCATTCCGATTTGCAGCTTCCGCCAGGGACGTTACTGCCGGGGCCGAGTTCGCGACCGGAATATAAGGGGAAGCGGCTGGTCGCGATTAAGAGGATGAAAAAGGCCTTCGAAGGAGGATGGGCGGAATGTACAAAACTTAAGGAACTCAAGGTGCGTCGGTGGCACTCGTTCGCTCATGCTTGTCGTCCGCAGTGTGCTGATTGATCACCATGACTACCATCCCTTGCACAGTCCCTTCAATCGATCCCGATGCACCCCAATATTATTCCATTATATGACGCATTTCTACTCCCTTCGTCAAAGGAGCTTTATTTCGTATTCGAATGCATGGAGGGGAACCTGTACCAACTCACCAAATCGCGCAAAGGGCGGCCACTCGCGTCCGGTTTGACCGCGTCCATATTCGAACAAATCCTCGCCGGGCTCGACCACATCCATCGATCCGGCTTCTTTCATCGCGATCTGAAACCCGAGAACCTCTTGATCACCACCACCGGTTTGGCCGACTATCCTGCCTCGTCCTTGTTCGCCAACGCGACGACACCACCGGAAAAAGACGTCGTCGTGAGCGTCAAACTCGCCGATTTCGGTCTGGCGCGAGAAACGGCGAGTCAACCGCCGTACACGGAATACGTCTCGACGAGGTGGTATCGAGCACCCGAGGTCTTGCTGCGGTCTCGCGATTATTCGAACCCTGTCGACATGTGGGCCTTGGGGACGATCATGGTCGAGGTTCTAACACTCAAACCGATATTCCCCGGTGACAGCGAGGTTGATCAGGTGTTCAAGATTTGCGAGGTGTTGGGTGATCCGAGTACGGATTATGGAGTTGATGAAAGGGGAAGAACACGGGGTGGAGGGCTATGGCCGAGAGGTGTGAAGATGGCGAAGGATGTCGGGTTCGCGTTCTCAAAGGTTGGTGCACGAGATCGTGGGTCTCTGAACGGAGCTGACTTTAAACGAGCCACCGACCTCGGACGCAGATCCCGCCGCGGACGTTCACGAGTCTGTTCGATCCGAACACGGTGTCGCCGCAAATGATCGACTGCATCGCCGATTTGCTGCGCTACGAACCCCGCGCCCGCCTGACGGCTCGACAATGCATTGACCACGCCTACTTCCGCGAGGTCGCCTACCGCTACGCGCCGTATCGAGCCCCCGGATTGGCCAAACCTGCAATTCCCGCGACGCAAGAATCGATGTACCAGGCGCCATCGTTGAACGGGCTCACCATCTCGACGACCTCGGCGGCGTCGGCCTCGATTGCAGCGAGCGCTCCTTCTCCTCGAGTACTACCTCCCGCACATGGGCATACCCCGTCGCATTACAAGCCGCCGTTCCAAGTCGGCACCGAGGCGAACGGTCGCTTCCTTCCCAATGTCGATCGTGGCGATTCGAACTCTGGCTATCGGTATTATCCCGATGACTCCAGCAGCATCGCGTCGGGCATGTCCAACTACCCGATACATGTGTCGAGCGCACCGCTGGCGACATCTGACGACGTCTTGAGCCTGGACCGCGCGATGACGTCTTACCCGGAGAGTCTGAGCGATGGACAGTCGGCCAGCTTGCGACCGCCGTCACGATCTTCGCTTTGGAGCACGAACACGGGAGATCAGAGTTGGGGCATGACGCCGAAAGAGCCATATCGGTCACCGGCTTCGTCGTCCCAGGCGCACATGCGTGCGAACCCGAGAGGAGGAATGGGCGGTCTACTTCCTCGACGACCCTCTTTCTCGGGTGTCTCGATCGCCGCGTCGACGTTCTACGACGGTTCGGTTTTCGAGGGCATCACCCAGCAGAGGCCGTCTTCGATCATGTCGTTCCCTGTTGGGTACGGCACATTGGACGATGCGCCATCGCCGACGTTCCCCGATTCACCTTCGAGCAACATTACCACGGGTTCGACCGAAACGAATGCGCGAAGGCACCTCGAGCATCAGCAGCAGCAACAGCAGCATCAGCAGGCCCCGTCTCGACAAGGTCCGAACTTTGGACTGGGATTCACTACGACACCGGCGCCTGCTGCAGCACCGGCCAAGTCTGGTCGTTGGGGTTTGGGCAAGGTCTTTTCTGGCGATTCATCGGCCGACGCTCCCGCCGCCAGCATCAGTCATTCGCTCAAACGCACCCCTTCGACCGCATCATCGCTCAACGGCGGCACGCCCATGGAAGGTGTCACGACCGAAGCCTCTACGGCGCCCAAGACGAAGAAGGAGCTCAAGGCGGCGGAGAAGGCGTCCAAAGCCGCCGAAAAGGCGTCTCGGGACGTCGAACGAGCCAAGCGCGATGCGGCGATGCAAGCTTCGCGCGAGCGTGCGCGAGCGGTCATGCAGAAGAAGACGCAGCTGCGAGAGGCGGCCGATCCGTTGCACAACTTTTCCAACTCGCCTCGATTGGTCGCACCAGTGGAGAAAGGCAAAGGTCGAGTGGCGGATACGCTCAGCGTTCACAGTTCGATGTCGCAAAACTCGTTCAAATCCAAGATGCCGCAGATCGTCGAGGATACGTCGAGATTGCAGGTCACGAGTCACAAGGCGAGACGACGGCACGACGATGACGACGTGCACTCGGTGTCGTCGGGTGAGACGACTTCGATTCGAGGACGCACAGCGCAGTCCATCTCGGGGCAGTCGATATCGTCGATCGCAACCTCGGCTTCGGATCCCGAACGACGCTTGCGACAGGAACAACTCGCTGAGTTGGGGTTGACCCGCGTGCCTTCCCTCTCGTCACTCAATTCGACGACCTCGGCGCCGGCTCGATCGGTCTACGGCGCAGGCAATAGTACCCCGGGGCATTACACGCGCACGGGAACGGGGCATTCGTCGCTCGAGTCCTCACTGGTACGACAGATGAACGGCCTCGCGACCTCGAGTCGAGTCTCAGCCGAACGCAGCGAGTCACGAGGTGCCAGAGCCTCGAGTCCTCGCGACGGTCATTCGCACCACGAGCGCTATTCCCCCTACCCGTTCCCGAACGGAGCGGCCGGTTCCTCGACCTCGCTCTCGCGTCAACACCTCGGCCAATCGCCACCGCCTCAATCACCGGGTGCGCAACCGATACCCCCGATCTCACCCTACGATCCATCAGGCATGGTCTCGGCCGCGCCTAGCATCGCGAGTTTCCACTCGGCGTCGGTCTTCCAAAGCAGTGGCTTGAACCCGACGAGGTCGTCACCGCCACCTCAACCGAGTTGATCACCGTCTCCCTCTCTCGTTCCTTTCGTTCCCTCTCTAGAAAGCAGTGCAGCGTAGTGCCCCAAACCCCATGTCCCTCTCTTCTTCCCCTCATGTAGATCACCTCGTTCCCGACTCCCAAAGTCCTTTCACCCGGGAGTCCGCCACAGTTTGACTTTTATACGCTTTCCAAAACCCCATCTTTCTATATCTACCTGCTTTACTACTACTACCATTACCCGCGTATTCCTCCATTTCCCATCTTTATTGACTTTAAATTGCTTACTATCGCAATTGCTCCTTTTCCCCCCTTCGTTTCTCATTCGCGATCGGTTTTCTTTTGTGGAGATAACAACCGCCCCCTTGTCATGCAAACAGTGTCACTTTTATGAGAGTCTGCTTTGATGCTCTTTCTTGGTCCATTGAGGCTGCGAGAAGCTCTGAAGGTGTTCCAGGTCGGCGCGGCGAGTGCTCAAGACTCCTTCCAGAGCGGCCTAATCGAACTCTCGTACCCCTCATCGAGGAAACGAAACAAAGTGGTGGGAGCAAACAATTGATGACAGTGCACACAGACACACGCCCAATACGTGGAAACAGAGGGAGCAAGGGAAGGTCGGAAAACGTGGCGCAATGTGAGAGAAAAAAACACAGGCAAGACATTCCTTCCGGTCGCGTTGCAGCCCGGTTGCCGGATATTCGGACCGGACGCGACGTCCTTCCGAGCGGATCAATTAGAAACCGTGCAACTTGATCGTCTCCTTGTCTGTAGGGTTACCACGGACGAAACCGACCTCCCGAGGGGGGTTAGTCGAGGCTTTCTACCAGTGGTCGAGCCGCCTCTGCGATCACTGACCAATACCTTCCTCGATCAAGATCTCGGCAATCTTTGTTCGTTGATCGCCCTGCAGCTGGATGACCTGGCCCATCTCTTCGTCATCGACGAGCGATCCGTTGCAGGCGAACTCCTTCTTGAACGCCTTCAAGAGCTTCTTGGGATCATATTCCGTCGGGACGCCTTGGAGGGTCGTGATCGTTTTGCGACCGTTGCGTTGTTGGATACGGATGTGAATGTGGTTGGCGACTGCGGACGGGAGCAAAAGGGAGGGTGTGAGAATGTTGTTCTTCACCCAACAGGATCATCCGCCACTCGGGAGGCCCCTGTGATCCGCGGCCGTTCCCCCCTTTTCACGCGCACACGCCCGTCCTTCCTTCCGACTCTGGGACAGCCCGCCACAGCCAACAGTCCCCGCGCAACTGACCAGTCGACGCCTTCTTGGTGGTCTCGACGGCGACGTCCTGTTCCTCGTCGGCGAACGCGTCGTAGGGCTTGTTGAGGATCGTGCTCTGCTCACCGCACGGAGTGAAGTGATCGGGTCAGCTTGTCAGCTTTGAAGCGTGCTGGGCGAGGCGTAGTCCAGATGGGACTGACCATACGAAGGTGGTCTTGAACTGGGTGAGAAGAGGGCAGAGAAGGGGGAGAGCGCGGCGGAAGAGGGATGACTGTGGTCCAGGTGACGAGGGTCGGTGCAGCGGTCGGTGGGACGGCACAAGGCCGGAGCACGACGACGATAACGGAACAGACAGGTGCATTGGTCAGCTACGGTGGGTCGCTGGGTCTCTCGTACCGGTGGGCAGCTGGCCAAACTCACGTGAGGGGTAGGCAAGGGTGCGAGTTGAGGAGCGGAGGAGCGGAGGAGCGACTGGGCCTCCCTCGCTCGACCTCGAAACAACGACGATCAGAGCGAGAGCGAGCAAAACGCACGGACCTCCTCGGGTCGAATCAATCTTGCAATCTATCATCTAGAGGGTGCAATTCATCCCTTGCACACCTTGTAGAGCTACAACATTTCTTCATCACCTTCCTCGTCATAGTCCCCCAACGACCCCCCCTCGATGACCACCACTTGCAACCTTCTCCCGTCCCCAGCCAACACGCACGCCACAGGCGCACCACTCCTACAGGTTGACCCGTCCTCCTCCTCTCGGTACGGTTGAATCGACAAACCTTCAGGAGGGAATTGTGGCTCAAACAACAGAGTTCGATGCAGGGGGATGCGCTGCGTAGGCGAGTCCTGGATGGGAGTGGCCTGGGCATCAGCAGCTGGGTTTTCGCCTGTCGGGCGACACCGAAAAGGAAGCATAACTCACGCGGCAAGGGTTGCTCGCCAAGGGCTCGAACGAGAGTGCGGACATGCACACGCTCAGCAAGTAATGTGAGGTGACTACCAATCAAAATAGAAGGGCGTCCAAGCATCAGTATCCCCCAGGTACCCACTTCAGCTCCACTTCCCTCCCTTAAAACCAACTCACCTTTCCCCTCGTGGATCCTACAAATCATGACCAATTCATCCAGGTCCAACCAAGCCAGATCAATCACCTGCAATCGGCGATCACGCTCATCGACCAAACGCGCCAAAGCTCCTAGCTGTATGTTCAATGCCTCGGTATGGGTGCTATAGATGCTCTTGACGACTCGGACTGGAGAGGTGAGCGTCACCGCGCGCGTTAGCTCCTCCAAGCCTTTGGGGAAGATCCAGCAGGCAGCTTGACCCGCTCAGGACTCACAGACCTCCCCATCGATCCACACTCTCCAAACATCATTCCGGACCGTCTGCTCCCTATACAGTACCCCCGCCCTCGAAGTGCCCGTGATGACCTCCACCCCGCTCGACTCCGGATTCAGGAGTGGCTTTTCCTGGACACGAGGCGCACCAACGGCCGTGATCGCCTGATCCATCATCCGCGCTACTCGTTCAGCCAAGAGGTGTAATAAGATGGGTAGCGAAACTGAGATGTCGTCTTCTCCTAATTTCGCCTTATTCGCCGATCCAGGAGCCGTTGGTGGTACGACATCGTCCCCCATCGCGTCATCCCCAGGTTTGGAAGGAGGTTCCAAACCCTCGGCCCCCAACAATCCCTCCTTATCCCATCCCCCTAATGTCCCCTCCCCATCCTCCGCCATCGCCTCCACCCGTTCCGCCGTGATCTGCCCTTTCAACTCCTCCTTCATCCTCTTCGATACGCTGCGCAACTCCTCCTCCCCTTCCTCCCTCGTCTTACCCCTCTTCCCTACAACCTCCAGCTGATCAATCCATCTCCTTGATCGGATCAAATCGACGTTCGTGTCCAAGGATGCGGAGAAGGGCCCAAAGTTGAGGAAGGGAAGTATAGAATTAACGTCGACGGGGAGACAGTGGCGTATGTAATAGGCGACGGGCAGGGGTGTGAAGTTGGCGATGGGGACGATCTCGGAGCCTTCTTGTGCCGCGACTTTTTCCAGTTCTGCGTTTCCTCAGTGGAATGCTTGTCAGCGTTCTCGCTCGAAGATGCATGAAGTAAGAGTGCGTCAACAGACCATAATGCAACCAAGCCCCAAATGCCTCAAAACACCTCTCCTCCTCCACGACAACCCTCTCCAACCTCGCACACGCCTTGACCACCCCCGTCCCCAACCTCAGACACCTCCTCACCTCTCCCAACTCCAATCCGAACGCCCCCCATTTCTCCTTCCACATCGCCCAACTCTCCACCTCCTCCCAAAGTAAGACGGTCCTTTCGATAGCGGGTTGTAGGGACATGTAAGGCACGCTCTTGAGGCGTTGCAAGACTTGGGCCATCGAGCCTTGCCATTTCGACAGGGACTTTTCATTCATCTTGCTCGCGAGGAAGTCGTGCAAAGCCGCTGAAGGTCGACCCGTCAACAAAAGAAGGAGGAGTTGTGTGATCGGTGAGGTCGTTATGCTATGCGCTTTGGACATTTCCGAGATCCTCGATAGCCAACTTTTGCCAAGGCGTCGGGCTTCGTCCCATAACGTACGGACGGACTGAAGTGCTTCGAACGCATGGCTGATATGCCGATGTAGTTCGGTCGATTGCGTCATGAGGAGGTGTAGTGTCGGCGGTAGATCAAATTTGATTTGCCGATCGCGCCAATCTCGACTTGTAGGATCGGCAGGGTCGTTGGACGAAACAAGGAGCGAGATGCGGAACGTGCCTCGCGGTGGATTCCTCAAAGCAGTACCCGCCTCCGTTTCATCCCAAGGAAGGGTCGTCGAACCATGCACTTGAACCTGATCCAATCCTTCCCCGACGTCGACTGTGCCCAGCATTACGCTCCCACCATAATAAATCGTCACCTTGCCCCCACCTTGCCCCACAACCAACACCGAGCCTTGCCCCTGCTCACCCTTCGCTCTCGACTCTTCCAAAAGCGTAGGGAACCTCGGCGCCGCCTCGTTCAAGATTAAGGGTTTTCCCATATCCTTCTCCCGTTCCTTTTGCAGCATCGCATTCTTGGCGCCGAAAATCGCCGCTCGAGCCGCGCCGGGTCCACCCCCCGCACCCGCAGCGACAGAACCCGAACCGGAAGACGAATTCGGATCGGTCGCTCCTATCAACGCAGTAGAGGCGTTGGAAGCGTTGAGATCGGGTAACGCGGGGAGCTTTTCGATGAGTGCTTGCGCCGAGGAACGTAGGGGTCTGTAGGTCCATTCGGGATGGGGCGGTCGACGGTCAGGTAGGTTTTCTGGAGAGGGCTCAGGTTTTTTGACGGTCGTGAGGGGATGCCATGCTAGGTGGGAGGGTTTGGAAAAGAGTTCTCCGTTCGAGGGTATCGAGGTTGGAGGTAAGAGGGGTTTGGGGATGGGTTGGTGGAGAGCAACTATCTCGAGGTTGGAGAGGGTCGTCCCTGGTGGGGGAGAGGAAGAACTGAGCACGGCGAGGTGGTGCCCTGTTCCATCGCCGCGGGAGGGTAGCTGATCAGCGCTGCTCGAAACGGGTCACCGACCGCATCTGATTCTCACCATCTGGACTCCAAGCGATCGCATCGACGCCGACTTGGACCGCTTTGGCTTTCGCCTTGGCCGTTCCAAACGCCGCGAACTTGCTCACCGGAGCTGTCGGTGCAACGGCCGCAGCCACAGTCGATGGAGATGGCGAAGGCGCAAAGTCCCACACATGATCGATCTGGCCTGTCGTCCGGTACAGGCTGAGTTTGCCTTTTCCGGAGTTGGAGGTCGAGGTTGAGGCGTCGTTCGTGGATGTGGAGGCGGAGGTGGAGCTGAGCAAGGCGAGCAAGTCGCGTGTAGGGCAGCATGCACAGGGGGTGATGGATGTCGTCGTCGGGAGATTGCGTTGTGCATGAGCGACGAGTGTAGGTGGCGGTGGCGGTGCCTGAGCCATCGAGCCACTTCCTTTGACTCGGGGGGTTTGGTCGAGGAAGATAAGCGGAGCCCAAGTTAGTCGGTCATGGCGCGCCTCGACGCGTGTGCGGGTGCGTGTGTCCCGGAGGTCCGTGCGAGGCGCGGAAGCTCTCTCCTCCATCCTCCGACCTGCGTCAACCCATTCGTCTCTCGTCCTCATCCGTCCCCCATCCCGGAACTCCCCTCCTCCATCCTGGCTCCCCCTGCCAAACGACCTCGTACGCATCCCGGGTCTCATCACCCGGGACGACGTTCCTACACCCATCACGCCCAGCAGCATGACCCGCTCAACCCTGCCCCACCTCAGAGCACGAGCAATGGTTCTGCATCCTACGCTCCCCGCCCCGCGTCAGCTTCAACTTCCAGTATGACGTTCTCCCAACCGTCCACCATCAGCCACAATCCCGAGGCCCGAGCAAGCTCTCGGCTGTACTTGGTCGCTCATGAAGCTTCGTTGATTAGGGGTCATCCCGACTGGGCCAGGAGCGTACAGGTGCCCAGTCCGAGCACGAGTTCGCTCACGACCGACGCCCGTGGACGTACGAGGATGATGAGATGGGAAGCGGGCAGCGGTCCGGGGTTCGATGATCGAGAGGGGGATGTACAACAAGTGATTTGGATCGATCGGTGCGTTGAACTCGTCGCATTAGCAAGGAGGTGCTCTCCGTTAAGGAGGCTCGGCTTGAAAAACTGACGAAAAAAACTCCTCACTGAATCAGATACGACGCCCTCAACCTTCTTTCCTCCCTACCCATACTAGAACCAACCACCACACCCCTTCTACCCCCGGACCTAGGCTTCGAAGACCTCCCCGATGATGCAGAAGAAATGTTCTATTTCGAACCCGAGGAGAGGGAGGCCATTGAGAGGGAGAGGAGGTCGAAGAGGTTAGAGTTGGGCAGGGAGGAGAGGATCAAGGCATTGAAGCGGGAGGAAGAGGAGGAGGAGGAGGAGGAAAATGAAGATGAGGAAACTGAGGTGTGTTCGTTTATTGACGGTCGAGCAAACTCTTCCGAGAGCTAACCCTTGTCGGCCCCGAAAACAGCCCTCCGAGATCCAATTGGCACTCATGAAGAAACTACACACCACCCTCTCCAACGCCGCCGACCCTTCTCTACTCGAAATACGCATCATGGCCAACCATGGACGGGATCCACGGTTTGACTTTTTGAGAAAGGAAGGGAAATGGAGTGACGTATGGGAGAGGATCAAGAAAGGGGAACCTGTAGGGGAGGAGGCGAGGCGGAACGCCGAGGAGAATGTGGGGAATGGGTTGGGTTTGGGTTTGAATGGGTATGGGAGTGATAGTGAGGAGGAGGAAGGCGATACAGCGGCAGCAGAGGAGGAGGACAAACTGAAGGATGCTGCGAACGAAGCGTCGATCCCGACACCATCGACTGAAGAGGACAAGGACGAACAGGAACGACGGGCAAAGAAGGCCGAGAAGATTAAGGAGTGGGCAAGAAAGAGGAAGGAAGCAAGGGAAAAAGAAGCGGACAAGACGCAAGACGCTTCATGAACACGATCGGACGTCGGGTATTTGCAATTCACCACAATTACGCCCCCCTACTCCAACACGAGCGTCAAGGTCCCTCGTATAGCCTCACCAAGCTCTTCCACATATCCTCCACCGGGCGATCTTGGATGCTCTCGAAAGATTCGGGCCCCAAACTCGCATTGAGGAACAACCTCGCCTCGCTCCTCTTGGCCAGATAATCCTCCATCGCTTCGTCGTACGCTGCGTCATCACGTTGGTCCCTTCGTCGAATCGGGGCAGGGACTTCACCGTTGAGCATCTTGTACATGCCCGCTGCTTTGAGGGAAGCCTTGAGGTCCTTCTTGAACGTCGGCCATGTCTCCGGCGTCAAGATCAGACCCGTCGTTGGCGATGGGAGGTGATCGACAAGGGACGCAAAGGACGCTTTCTTCGACATGTGGATGGACGACGTCGTTCTCGCACGATGATATGTCGGTCGAATCGTACTCGCCATCGAATCCCTCCTCGATCGATCCAAAGTCATTCCCGCCATTTGACGAGTAGGTGGACGACCCGGAAGCCCAGTCGTCGGCCTCGAAGAAGGGAAGAGGGAAGTGGCCGAGGATTGACGGGAAAGCGTTCGTGGGAAAGGGTAGGCATTCGAGTTTGGTGCCGATGGGTCGATGTTGAGGAAGGGGAGGTCTTGGGTAAGTGGAGCGGGGTGATATTGGGTAGGATGCGAGAAGGAGCGTTTCATCGCTGGTCCGTTCCTGCCAGTCATGGTATATTGGGAGTCGGCTGGAATGTGTAGGAGAATGCAATGAGAGAGAGAACAACGTCATCGTACGGTGCTCGGTCTGAGGTTTTGACGTCTTGTTCGGTTCTAGACCACAAGGTGAGACCCTCTGGACAAAAGATGATCGCGCAAGGAGAGACATTTGCCGAGAGGTTTCAGGGGTTCGCGTCCGTTCGTTGGCGCTCTTCCGCTTCGATACCGAAGTCAAACAATAGGCAATGAGGCAATGGGTCGAGCGACGTTTCGTCTCGACGGGTCTTGGGTCGATCAGTTTGTGGCTCAGAGTGGTAGGCTCTGGTCTAGACGGCACAGCAGCCTACAACAACAGTAGGTGGACGAGTGGGTATGATGACAGAGCCAATATTAGACACAGACAAGAAGAGTGCAATGAACCACACAGTAGAGTCTTCAGCCCTAACCAACATGAGGCAACGAATGATCGGTCAATAACTTGGCATGCAACAACTCGCGATGCAAATCCTCCGAGATCAGATCCACTGCCCCCTCATGACCCGACCCCCTCCCGACCCTCCCACCATCAAGTCTCTGTGCCGTCTCAGCTAGAACCGCTTCCCTCCTAGAATCCGGGTCTAAAGGTAATCCTTCGTGACCCAATGTCGAACTTATCGGGCTGAGAGGGGCGTTATCGTGGTCATAGGACGCGGGGACGATGCGCGTTTCGTACTTGGCATCGTCGCGACGTTCTTGGCGGTAGAGGAAGTTGATTTGGTAGACCAGTTCCGCGACCTGGGCGACGTAGGCGTCGAGATCGACACCTTCGGTGAAGGGGGTTGGTGAGAGATCGAGTCTGATCGTGACCAATGTAAGCGTCCGGTCAGCCCTTGTTCCCACGAGGCTCAAGCTCCGTCGACTCACAATTGTCTCAACTTCCTCGCCCTCAACTTGGTCGTCTTCCCTCTCCCCCCGGAAAGGATTGTAAACCGATCCACCAACGCGTCCCACATCTCCTCGACCGGTTCCTCATCAATATAAGCGAACGCATCATCCCCTATACAAAAACTCAACACCATCTTCGCCTCGGCGCGTCTCGAAGCGTAGTCCTCGATGGCATCTTCGTCGTCGTGAGAAGGTTTGGGGAAACGCCCTTGGAGCATGCGCAGAACTTTGGCGCAGCGAAGCGCGTCCTCGAGAGGCGTTTTGAACGCATGCCAATTTTCGGGGGTGAGACGGTCCGGGAAACGCGAGAGGACGCGATCGGCTAGGTCGATCGCGCTTTCGAGGGAGGACATGATCGTTCGGCTTGCTGGTCCGTGACAGCGATGGTGTACAGAGTAATTTTTGAGGGGGAAGAGGTGATGCAGGGTGATTTCGAGAGCGAATCGGGAATTGACAAGAAGAAGAGGGAGCGGGAATCTTTGACGATCCTGCAAGACAAGGATCGCCGCCCGTCGGCGGCTTGTGAATCCGAGACAGGAGGTCCTTGTTCGATTCACACGCGAACACGCGAACGAATTTTGAATGCCGCAGCTTCCGAGCTCTCGCAACGTGAAGACCCTATTCATGGCACTTGAAGTGTGAAACTTGTGACATCACATTTGCTCTCGCTGACGTCATTGTCGTCGAAGGAATCCGGGACGACCGTTCGACCCGTCCACCAGGCTAGGGCCACTGGACGATCTTTGGCTTCCTCAGACCAGACCACTATGACCCTCCCCAGGCTTAAAGATTTGAAATCACTCCCTCGCTCGATTAAAATCATACTACTCTATCCATTTTTCCTTAAAAATAACATCTATAACAAATCTATCCAAACGTGACCCTCAATTTCCTGAATCCCGAATCAGTGCCGCTCTCCTAAAGTAAAGCGATGCCCTCCGTCGCGGCCGCGACGACCAAAATTGCCCCTGTGAACATGACAACGCTGCCGAACTTGCCATCGGCAACACCAAACGCGGTCCATGCTTGCGCACCTTTCATAGGTCGGGCCAAGAGAAGGGAGGAGATAAAAGCTGTGATGATGGTGCCGACACCTCGACCGAAGGCCGCGAAGGAGAAGAGGGTTACGGAGAGGGGAAGGTCTTCGCCTACGAAAGGGGGGGGGGGGGGGGGGGGGGGGGTTGGAAAGGTCAGCGTCAAAGACTCGTATCTAAGGTGATTCATCTGCGGCGCAACATGACTGACTTGCAACCTCCTTGATCATGGCCACGTACAAACACGTCCAAGGACCACACGCCAGCCCAAACACGAGCGAGAAAATCAATAATGGCGCCAAGGACGTGCTCGCCAATCCCCAGAGGAGGAAGACTGATACAGCCGATACGGCCATGATGACACTTGCGATGAGATGCGGCGGCTTCCTATCCGATAGGACCCCGACCGCGATGCGAGAGAAGATTGACGCGGCGTTGAGGGCCGCGAGGGAAGCGGATCCGACCGAGGGTGAGAGGCCGATCGAGGCGGCGTACGACGGAAGGAATAGGGTCGTGATGGTGAAGGCGAGGGCTTGCATGACTGGTCAAGCGGGATTCAAGCGGTGTCAGAGCCAGCACGCAAGTCTCTTCTCATTCCTGAGACAGTCAGGGACCCACAGTTGGAAATCATGAACATGGACCACCCCTTGTTCTTCCACACGCGTTTCATGTCATCTCGTCGTTTTTCGGTATCATGATCTCGCTCCGATCGCAGATCCCGCTTCGCCGGGATTGGCAGGCGAGGCTTTAGCCATGGCATACACGCCCCAAGTAAGACACCGCTCGCACACGCCAGGGCTTGCAGCGTGATGGCGTCCCCAAAACGAGCGAGCAACGCAGCGATGAAGAAGGGAAAACATACACCCCCGAAGGCGGTGCCGACGTAGGTCACTCCTGCGGCCATGCCTCTCCGCTTGACGAACCATTCGTTGAGGAACCCCATCGCGGGAAAGAAGACCATCGCTCCACCGATAGCGAAGCCGATTCCTTGCGACAGCAACAAGTGCCAAGTCTGGTGAACGTCGTGAGGTGAGATGAGCATCTTTGAAAAGGACACGACAACTTCCCTGGCATAGTAGAGCTTACTTTGGACGAGAAGGAACTTCCCAACAATGATGCGGACAGAATCGCGATCCCAGCCCAGATGAACGGGATCCGCAAGTGTGGCCGCGGGTTGAGGATCCACGCCAGCGGTGGGCCTGGTGGGTATATGCCGAAAATACAGTCAATCTACGAAACCCTGCTCCCGAGAGTACAACACTCACCGAACAACGACATCAAGCCTTGACACAGCGTTCCGACCCATGGCCTGTGAGGATCCATCGAGGTCCGCCGTCGGGATGAGCCGACTTGTGAGCCACTCGCGTTCGAGAATGAGAATGAGAATTTCGAAACGACTCACAGAAGGGTATGGCTGGCCGGAGCCTTGTGCTTGCCAATCCCATGCGTCGTATAAAATTCGAGAAAGACACCAAAAGCGCTGGGAATACCCCATACGACGACCTCGACGAAGAAGGCACAGACCAAGAAAATGTAGGCTTGCGGACCTCGGTCAGGGGGTGGGAGTTGGGTCAGGAGCCTCTCGGACCGAGTCAACGGCGGGTAGCTCATCGTCATCGTGGAGGTCCCGGTCGCGGTCGGCGTTAATTGTGTCGTGATCGTCGAGGAGGCGTTAGAGCGGGGATTGGCGGAAGTCAATGCCGGTCCGGTCGCATTGGCTTGCACGGCTGGGATCCCCATCTGCCCGACTGCCCCTGCTGGTATATGCTGCAGCTGGTCGCTGTGCTTGCCAAGTGCTGGAGCGCCGCTACTCGCGCCGGTCGCCTTCGCGGGCGCGTCGTGGGGCAGAGTAGGCGTCGAGTTCAACGCCTGGCCATTCCCTTCATGACCGTTGGGTGCATCGAGTGGCGGCAGCGTTTCCTTGGAGCTGTTGGCGGTGTCGAGGTAGCTCATCGATGGGGATAACGTGTGACAGCGCTCTCGAAAGTGAACGGAGTGAGTTGGAGTTACGACCCGTCCCGAGTTACGTAGCCCGAGCTCAGCTCCGCACTAGCTCCGCAGGTCGTCTCGTCTCGGCTTGCCGCCGCTCGCTGCACTCGCAAGCCAAATCCTTGCGCGTCCCCGCGGACAGCCAATCGTCTCGTCTAGCCTCCCTTTTATACGCGCTACCACACGGACCCGGGCGAGATCTGCGACAAAGGCTTCAACGGTGCGCTCAGCAACAAGGCGTGGGACAACTTGCATCGCATGCCGAAAGCACCCAAGCGGGGCAAGTCGTCGGAAAGGAGGCACCCATCCGGCTCTTCTGTTGGCGCATGGCAACGGCGGCGGCATCCCGACGCGTTCACCTGCGATGGTCATCGTCGAGCTTTGCAGTCGTCGGTGCGGGCTGAGGATGACCACGGCCGGCGCCCCGATAATGTCGATGTACGACCTCGGAGACGTCGACCCAAGGGAAATCAACCTCCCCAAGAGGCGAACATAGTCAAGACGCCCCTCTCGGTCTACACGGGCAAAGGCACCTGGAAGTCGTACGAGCCAGATTCCACGTCATCCCCGTCGATAGGGGCCACTACGACCATCCCTCGGGCTTCGCTCCGTCTCGTCACTTACAACACCTGGTCATCATCACCCGACTACGCGAAAGTTCAAAGCCGAGCCCTGCTGATGGTCTTGGAATCGAGCCAAGCGGACGTGATCTCCCTTCAAGAGGTGTCCCATCCTCTTCAAACGCAGCTTCGGTCGACCGAGTGGGTCCGCAAACATTACCTCCTAACGCGATTGGAAGATTTCTGGTCCGTCTCGAGGAAAGGAGGCAGTGTTCAGGTTCAGAAGCTACGTGGGGTGGGCAAAAAGGAAGGAACAAGAGAAGGCGTGCTTCTGCTCGTGAGAAAGGGACTGCTCGTGAGAAAGGGACTGCTCGAACGACGAGAGTGGGAGGCCCAGGTCGAGTACATCCCAATGCAACGCAATCAGGACGAAAAGGACAAGGCCATTATCCTCCTCCGAATGATGGATTCCGAGGGACGTGAACGGGTGAGCATCGACGGGGTCGTCCAGGACTGACAGAAACTTCCAGCGCTTACCTGTGTGCAATCTTGTTTTGTTCAGTGGCGCATCGCAACGTCTCACTACTCTTCCCTACCCACCTGCGATCAAATTCGCCGACACCAGTACCGTCAAACCCTACGCCTACTTCAACAAAAACCCAGCACGCGCTCATCAGCGATCTTGGGCGATTTCAACTCCAATTCCGAAGTCGAATTAGCCCCCTTCCTCGCTTCAAAATGGGTCGACTCGCACCTCATTGCAAGATGTCTCTCCAAACCTCCTGATTTCCGGGAGGAGCCGACTTTCGGTCACTTGTACCCTTTCGTTCCTGGGCAGAGGGATCGCAAACCTCGTAAGCCGAGGAGAATCGATCGGATTTATCTTGGTGGGGAAGCGAAGGCTTTGGCGATGAACGCAGACGGGAGACTGGGAACGGATCCGGTCTTTGGTGACAACGGTTGTAAATTGAAGGATGTGAATGGTGATGATGTGTATCCGAGTGATCATGAGGGAGTTTGGGTGGAGCTCGAGCTCGGACGGTAACAAATTCTCGCCGAATTAAGATTACCAAATGTTGTAGCATAGACCGTCTAGCTCAGAGGAGCCTAGCATGTTATGTGATTCGACTTGAATCCTCTCTTCATCGACTGGTAGCTCGACGAGATCGACATATCGGTGCTCTGAAGCCATGTCCTATCGTCAAATCTCTCCGTCCGCGCGCGTCAGAGCCAGAGCCGCATGATTTATGTACTGCTAACGACAGGCCCGAATACTATTTCATATACAGCCCCCAAGTAACCAATCCATGCCTTCGTCCAGCCACCGAGTCCAGCCTCCTTCGTTCACGGCTGCCATGCGACCTGTGAAAAAAGTGGGTGGGCTTTCAGCTCAAGTTTTCGGGATCAAGCGGCCGGCGTCAAAGAAAGCGGTCATCATAAATGATGTCCTTCAAGCCTGCTTACTCTTTCACCGGGCCCGAACGTAATCTGTTCCATTAGAAGGAAAATTAATGCGTCAGTCCTTCCTTGAACAACCTCGCCACTGCGTTCGGATGGATGCCGGACAGCCGGCGCCATTTGGAGCCCAAAGACGACATTCGCGAGCTGGCCGTGTCTCACCTTGAAGTGCTTGCCGTAGCGATGGATGTAGACCAGTTTGGGAATAATGGTATCTACATGCACCGACGGTATACCAATATGTCAGCTTTGTATCAACCTTGTCACATACCCCTGCTCCCCCACGGCTGTTGAGCCCAATTGCACGTTCCAAAGGGGCCAAGATCACCCTGGCTCTTAGCCGCCACCGGGCACTGCTTGTGTCCGGAAACTTACATCGATGCGATTGATGTTGTACAGTGAAAGGCCTACAAAAACACCGATTAGACAACAGAGTCAGTCTCGCGCGAGGTGTCGCAATCCGTGCGCACAGGCGACTTGAAATTCGGCGACTTGGCATCGTCGCTCAACACGTGACGCGGCGGTCACGAAACAATGGTTTCGGCCTAATCCCGTCCATGCTGGGTGCTATATCTACTTACATTGCGTATGTGAAGGTTTAAGACTCTTTTCCAAGCTTGGTGCGTTTCGCGAGTTTGCGTTTACTTAGGCTTTATTTGAGGGATGCGACTGTTACTAAGAAGACGAACGATTCCGCCCGCGAGGCTCAAGTGGGGGGCGAGCGCGTTTGCGATAGTTTGCGATCGCTGCCTATCGACGATCCCTCGATTAAAGGATCTCTCATTTTGCAGCTTGAGAACCCTGTGAATAGCCATTATTTTATGCACAAGACAAACATTGCTTTTCAGATTGTAGATTCAAAGCTTATCAAGTTGGAGACGGCAGAGTTTTCGGCGTGCACAATCGACCGAGATTTACACCCACCCCCTCAATGATCCATATCCTCATCCACGACATAGACCTCATCCTCTTTCCCCTCCTTCCTCTTCTTCTTGCTCAGCGTCTTCCTCCTCTCCTCTCGAGCCTTTTTCTTCCCCTCCTTCTTCAACGCATGCGCCGCCCTCGGGTTCAGAGGTTGGGTCGTCTTGAGGTGCTTGATATGCGTGGGGATGAATCTGGGTTCGGTTTTGGGAGCTGGGGTGGATGTGAGGGTACTGGCTTGAATGGGCTTGGGTGAGGGGTTCAACCAGGGCACGAAGAGGGGTTGCAGATTTTCTTGCACGAGGGAGAGCAGCGGAGCGAAAGTCGATGCGGAGGAGGACTGCGCAACGACCAAATTGACCGACGAGAGGAGTCAGCTTCAATGACGGCCTCCGGAACAGAGCACCCTTAGCTGCACTACACTCACACAAACTCCAATCGCAGCAACCCTTCGCAAGCCCATGACTTCAGCCAAGCGATGTTCTGCCCCGACGTCCAAAGGAATCAAGTAGACGAACCGATCTGGCTCATCTACCTCTGCCCTCGCCTGTGCAGCTTGCTTCTCATCCACGTCCATCCCGTCCTCATCCTCATCTTCGCCGTCGCCCGGGTTCTCTTTCTCCTTCCCTTTCACATCTTTCCTCGTCTCCCGCTCCACCGAAACGGCCTTTCGAAGCCCATTCGTCGCCGCGCACATGGCGGGGAGATGACCAACGAGAGAAGCGGGGTTGATGTCGGGTTTACAAACGAAGACAAGATCGATCAAGGGGTAGTAGGGATCGCTCGGGTCCGTCTTTTGAGGTGGGGTCTTGGGGGTGCTCCTGAGTTTGTTTTTGGTCTTGCTTTGTGCCTCGCCGGACGCTGGAGCCGGAGAACGAGGCGGCTTGATCCGAAAGGCAAGCGAATTGTTGAGGATCTTGGGGAACGTCGATCCGCTTCCGTTCTTGCTCACCGCATTAGAGCGCTTGATGTAAGCAGCCTCCTCCTGGTCAAGCGATTCATTCCTGAGCGGATCCAACAAGAAGCGATAGGGTTCATCGACGACTTCTTTCTGCTCCTGCGTCATGTGCGGTCCGAGGAGGATCTCGTCCCATTGCGCGTGGTCTTCGGGTGATCGATGCTTGCGTCGGGTCTTGCTCGTCTTGTCCTCCTTGTCTTTGCCCTTGTCGAGCTTATCAGATGGAACGGCTTCTGGTCGTTGGGTCTTTTCGACCCTCATGCTCGGCGCTGCCTCGCGGTCTCCCAATTCCCACCTCGCCCAGCGGATCTGACTCTCCAAAGCGCGCGTAAGATCATTGATACCGACGACGAGCGAGTCGAGCATGCTGGGCTTGGAAGGAAGAGTCACCTCCTTCGATGAGGGCGTGGTGGGCATTCCGAGAGGCTTGTCGATAAAGTTGGGGACGGTGACGGTCTTGGATGAGCGCAGAGTGAGAGTATGGGTCGAGTCAGCCGGCGTAGGTGGGGGTGGGGGTGAATCGTTCGTCGCCTTGGCGGATGAGGTGGAGGCTGCCGCTGGCTCTGATTCTTTCGATGACGTTTCGATCCTGGCCTTCTTGGCTTTTGAACGTTTTGCTTGGCGAGATGGGGGCTGTGCATCGGTCGGATCCTGCTCCTTGCGCTTGCCTTTGCGCTGATCCTGCTGTTCGCTGGCGCGCTGGTTCAGTTTCTGATTTCGGCGCGTCGTCTTGGAAGCTAGTTCGCGCTTTCTTTTGTGCAACAATGCTCTCCATTCTGATATAGAAAGATCTTGCTTCTGTCCGTTCTCGGCAGCATCAGCCCTCGTGGTCGGTTGTAAGGCCTCGATCAAGAGGTCCAGCAAGCGGTTTCGCAACGAGGATGGGAGCGGTGGCCTGTTGCAGGCAACGGAGCGAGCGATCAGTACGAGTACACTCGGCGCGACTCGGCCTACGATCCAGGCTGACCATTCAATCTGAAACGGATTATCCAAAACGGGTTTATAGACCGTTCGCTGAGGCTGGGCAGCCTTGGTCGCGCAGAGAGGTGCCTTCGTCGACCCCGATGTCCACGTCGAAGCTGGGGTCGAGGATGGCCCTGCTTTCGAAGGGTGGGAGGAAGATTTCGGGGTCGGTTTGGATTTGTCGCGTACCGAGTTGTGGGCGTTGAGCAGTTTGGCTTGGGCCATCGTTGGTGCGCCGCGTATCCCGAGAGTGCCGGGGTGTGGTGAGCCAAGGCCCCGCCTGCAGTGGCAGCAGAGGTGAGGCTCGCGCGAAGACAGGTTCTTAATGGCCGAAAGGCCGAATAGGTTCCCGTTTGTAACTAGTCCTAATGAGTGGCCGACTCGGCGCGCGTGGTTCGGTTCGCCTCCCCCCTCCTGCATCGTGCAGCCGCAGATCCGAGTCGACGTCCTGCGTGGGGGAACCTCGTGACTCGTCAAGCAGCTACAGCCTCAGTGTTGCTCTGTTGCTCCCCATCCAAGATTCGGCAAGATGGGTATTCGCGGACTGGACTGTGAGTACGACCGCTCGGCTCGGCCGGCAAGGGTTCGTCAACGCGGTGGTGGTCGTGGTCGTGGTCGTGGTGGTGTGCTGACCGTTCATTGCCTCCCCGGCTGCCTGTTCTCCCTCAAACAGCTTGGCTCGCCGAGGCAAGTCGATGCGTTCGAACTGTATTTCAAAATCTTCCTACGGCTGTGGCTGACCTCACCCCCTGCTCCCGCCACAGCGCGGGCTGATCAAGGAGATGCCGTTGAGCGAGCTACGCGACACCCGCCTCGGGATCGACGTGAACCACTACCTCAAGCGGATGCTCACACCCAAGGACCCGTCCACTGCGGATGCCTTTGTCGCCGCATTAGGAGGATCACCTTTGGCGATGGCAGCAGAGGTGAGTCGTGGGCCTCTCTGCACAGCCTCGGCGCAACTCACTTCCCTGCTCCCCCCGTATGCCTCAACCCCGCTTCCACCGCCGCCGCCCCACCCCACTGCGCGCCACGGGACACGATCGTCGGACATTCACTGACCCGTCGCTTGTCCTCGCCACGCAGATCATTCATGACCTCAAAGTGTTGGAATCGTTCAAGTGTATTCCTGTCTTTGTCTTCAACGGACTGCCTTTGCAGGAACGCGAACGCCCCTTCCTCTACGACGAACCCAAAGGATGGCGTCGACAAGCCGCTTGGGACCACTATGAACAAGGCAGGGTCACCCAGGCCCAGGCCGAGTTCGCCGCCTCCAACTCGGTCGCAACGCCCGACATCATCCGCTTCGTGCACCGTCTTTTCAAGCCGCGTCACGTCGAGACCGTCATTGCGCCGTACCTCGCCTGGCCCCAGCTCGTCTACCTTGAGCGCCACGAGCGCCAGTACGTCCACGCCCTCTACGGCTCGACCGAGCTCTTCATGTTCGACGGCATCGACCGCATCATCCTCGACATCAACTTCAAGACCGGCCAGGTCTCGTTCTCGTCCAAGCTGCAGATCCTCGCCGAGATGGGTCTCAACTCGGAGCAATTCCTCGACCTCGCCATCCTCGCCGGCTTCGACCTGTCGCCGACCTTCCCCGCCATCGACCCTCGCGACTTTCAACTGCGCTCCGTGATCGACCTGATCAAGCAACGCGGCGCGGGCACGACCTGTGTCATGGCCTTCAAGGACTTCCCCCCCGTCTTTCAGTCCAACTATATCGACCAGTTCGCCCGCGCACGTGCGATGATCAAATTCTCGCTCGTCCTCGTCGCCAACGAAGGGCGTGTGCTTCCCCTCCCTCTCACTCTCCCTCCCGCACAACCTTCCTCAGGACCGGTCATCACCCCTTCCGACATCCCCCACGACCTCGGCGACATCTTCTCCGCCCACTTCCCTGACGAAGTGTACTACCAGATGTTCCGAGGCTTGATCCTCCCCCAGGTCCTCCACTCGTTGGCTTCGGGCCACGTCATCGAGTCCTCCCCACTTTGTGGAGGCACCCCCGAGTACGATCGCTTCGTCAAGAGCTTGATCGAATCGCCGCACTCGCCGAGGTGCGTCGCGCTCGCGCTCGTTTCGAGCGTCTTGCACCCGCTTTGGGCCAAGAAATCTGTCGTGAGTGGAACCTCGTCGTTTATAGGTTCGAGGGGAACCGAGCAGCTGATGAATGAGGGACGGGTTGAGCACTCAGACCGCCATCTACTACTTTGACCCGACGCGAGAGTACCCGATTCCGCATTCCTCTCCACATGCGACGGCGTTCCTCGAGGGCGTGTCGAAATGGAACGTCGATGCTCGACACGTCGAGGATGAGCTCAGGCGGCAGTCGGTAAGTGATCCTTGTATTCGTTAAGGCCAAAGAAATGTGGACTTATTTCTATCCCCGGCCTACAGTCATCCACGATCGATCTCTCCCTCTGTCTGGGCGGCACCGCGACCCAGAGCCTCTCTCAACGAACGATCGTTCCCAAAAATGCCGACTGCCTCCTGGAGAAGAAGGACGAGATTGTCGCCAACACCCTCTGGCGTTTCCTCGAACTACGCGCCTTCCTCACGGCATCGCACCAACACACCCCTCACGCCCAAGCCATCTTTGCCGCAATGCGTCAATCGCGCGTCAACGACAAGTTCCAGGATGCGCTCTTCTTGGCGATGGAGTTGTTACGCGCTGGGGCTTTGCACAATGGCAAGATCGGAACGAGGCCCTACAGCGGGGGACCGAATTTCCAGGGTTCGGAAGAGGACAAGAGGAGCATGTTGTTGGTCATGAGGGTCTTGTCGATCGTGCCCTTGTCCAACAATGTACGCTGACGCATACAAGCTCTCTGTTTCCAGAAGAGACTATACTGACTCGATTAGATCTCTTACAGGCCCTCCCCTGGACCGGCCCTCTCTCGCGCGAACTGCTCGTCTTCAACTCCTTCATCCGCGCCACCTCCCGCTCCATGCGCCTCCTGCTCGAATCCATTCTCCTGAACTTGATGCTACGTTCCGACGCCCGTCGAGCGCGCCACGACTACCTCGACATCGCCGTCTCACTGCCCTTCCAAACGGACACCAACACCGGTATGGGCATCCTCTTCAAAGCCTACGGCGACGCGGTCTGTCATTTAGCCGGGGGAGTCCAAGTCGTTACTCGGAGTGGACATGGGACGCAGGGAGAAGATTCGGAGGAAGGGAAGGAGGTCAAGGAGGCGAAGGAACAGACGTTGAGTTTGTTGGATGATGCGTTCCCGAATGTCAAGAATGTGACGAGCGAGTTGCAAAGGGGGTTCAGGTTCTGGCAGATGGTACGTCGTCACTTGGCTCACGTCGTTCAGGAAGGGATAGAAACTGATGCTTTGGTCATTCGATCGGCAAAATAGATGATGATCGCGATCCGGTCTTTGAAGCAATTCCCCGCCGGGGTCGTCATCAGCCCGGACTTGGTGAACCAATTCGAACAAGCCGACGCGTGGTTGGCGCCTTTTCACCTCTGAAAGGGAATTCCACGCCGTCTATGGTTTATCTTCGTTCCTCCTCGCTCCCATTTTTTGCAATGCACCTCTTCGTCTTCGTCGGAATCCCCAAATGCCAATCCCTACAGAGGGCACATGGTGTTCGCAGAGCGCATGGACTCCCCCTAGATTACGTTGTCTATGCAAGCTCTCTCCACTCTTCACATCTCTTCACCCACGATAGGTCGGATGGCACTTGTACTCCCTGCCCTCGTGCTTGAACGTGCCCGACTTGAACAGCTCGTCCAGCTCGGCTTCCATCCCCGGGTTGGCACCTTTGCAACCGTCGACGACCTGAGAAGTGCAAGATTTTGGTCAGTGATGCTGCGCAGAGTTCGGGATCGTGTGGGCTGGAACTAAGTTGTTAGCGGACCTTCTTGCCCCAGACGAAGTATTCCTATGGGCCGGAGGGGGAGAGAAAAGGAATCAGGCTCCATGCGTAAGCGACCACTCGGCCACAGAGAGGAAGAGAGCTTTGTTCGCACCTGTACTCTCTGCGCCGTCCACCCGACCGGTACATCGATGGTCAAATCAGTTAGATTGGACCATTTGTCGGCCAATTTGACTTGTTCTATCGCGTCGCATGACCATGGTCAATTCGGGAATCAGCACCTCGACTCGTCCCTCCCGTAAGCGCATTTTCGGTGAATCACGAACTAGCTCGGAACGATCTTGACGGTGCGCGATCGATCTGCGTTTGCTTCCTCTCGGCCTTGGAGAGTGTACCGTCGTCCGTACATTCCATCACTGTATGGCATAAGGAGCCCCGGAGCGAGAAGGCCAGTTGCTCAGAAAAGAAAATCTTTCACAACGGCTCGAATTCCGGCTCTGCCTTACCGATTTCCATCACCTCTCTACCGAAATGTCGTTCGAGATCTTCGGGGGTGACATCGGTGTCCTCGATCGTGTCGTGGAGGATCGCGGCTTGGAGGATTTTGACATCGGGGGAAGGGGCGAGAGAGGAGGGGGGAGCGGCGATCCTTCGTGCGACGTCGAGTGGATGTTGGATGTAGGGAGTGCCCTGGGGGGAACGTCGGGTTAGATCATACTCTTTGTGAGTGGCTTTTTGTCGTGGTACAGAGAACACATCGGAGACACGACGAGCTCGGATGACGGTCCGACTCTCGTGTGAGATTCGCCCCCACAGCGCCATCATGATTCGGTGTCGCGTGACCGGGAAAGATTCCCCTAGAGTCCCTTTGACCGACGCGGTCATTCTGATTCACTGACCTGCTTGTTCTTCCTCTTTTGCTTCTCGTGAGCGCGGGCAGAGAAGGCCAAGGTCTCCAACAGCAGCAAGGTGTCGCTCGATTGCGAAAGTGGGGTGATCGCCGTCGGGCTCTGGCGAGTCGTCATGACCGATTTGGAGCGCTTCAAGATCGGAGACGGGAAACCAGAGCGAGAGCGAGCGTACGGGGCGGAGGTAGCAGTCGAGGACAGAAGAGAGAAACCTCTGTGAAAGGAGTGTTTGGGTTGGATGACGACGAGGTAAAGAGACGGTAACGAGGTGCGGATCGCGATCGACGACATGCAGTGAGCCGGGAGCGACGAGTCAAACCGCGAGTGGAGGAGCCTCCAATAGGGTTGATCGATCGGTTTGGTAAGTTTTGTAATAATGCGCCAATGCGGGCTTTGGCAGGGTTTGACCTGGCGCGCGGGCCTCCCCTCTTTGGCGCTCTCGCTCCTGCCACAGCCACACGCTCTCGCGCCGTGGTGCCCGCCGCCAGCACTCCGTCCCGTCACTGCCGCTGCTGCGGTCGACGCCGTCGCCGCCCGCCCCTCCCCTCACCATCATGATCTAACTTCAACCTTGACCCACTGCGATGGACTTGATCCGAGACGACGACGAGAGCAACAGCATCTCGGCCAACCCGCCCGAGGGGTACGTCGAACCCGGGTGGCCGGCCTTGTATTCGGCCTTGCACCAGGACCCGCAGTACCTCTACCAGCCCTATGCCATCGTAAGTCTACGGTCCTGCCTCCTTGGATCGTCAGACACGGCTTGCTGACTGGATCTGGTGTTCATTCGCGCTCACAGTGGAGATTGTGCGTTGGCGTGCCTGGGCGTGTTTTTCCTCTTCACCCGTTGCGGCCCGTTGCGGCCCCTTCCTGACCCTCTGCATGCCGTCTCCATCTTTCTCGTCATTAGCACGCTGTACTGGACCCTCCTCTTCTACGGCTTTATCTTTCTCGTCACCGGCCTGCTCCTGCTCCTCAACTTCACCAAACGGCACCCGCGCCTGACTTTGCTCTCGTTCGCTCTCTGGATCCTCAGCTCCCTCCTCCTCGGGCTCATATCATCGACCATCGTCGGCTATGCCCTCGCCGCCTTGTACAATGCCGCGTTCTTGAGGATGTCGACTTGGGTCCCACCGCTGTGGGGGGCCGTGCAGGTGCTGCTCTTGCTCTTTTCCGCCGCCGCGAATGTGCCCTTTTTCACCGGATGAACGACGACGTCCAGGCTTACAAAGGCCTCCATTTATGCGGAACGTGAGTCCTTCTTCCCGATTACAATCCTTTCTTCCCTTCGCACGGAGTATGTCACGCGCATCATGTCCACACGACGACGACGACGAAGACGACGAACGAACGACGAACGACCACCATGGGACACACTTTACATGATGAGACCGATCCTGCCATTATACACAAATAATATTACGACCGAGTAGGGGAGCTTGAAATCCTCCTTCCTTCACTGCGGAATCTAGATCTATAAACGTCAACACCACTCTGATTCCTTTGCCCACAAAAGTTGTCGTCCCTTCGTCCGGCTGTCGTCGTCGTCGTTTGATCGAACGTGGTGGTCATGTTTGTTTTTGGATGCGTGTCGTACACGATACACCCTTGCTGCATTCGTTCTTCGTACTGACGCGTGTGCTGCAGATTATTCGCCTCCGCACAGGGGCCAATCTGATCCTCCGCCATCATTTTTAAACCGTATTTCTTTTCGAGCATCGCTTTCATCACTCGCATCCGTTAGGATCTCTTTAATTATTCTAATCTCTGCATAATCTTCAGTCTCCGTTGTTGTTGTCTCGTAATAAAAGCTCTGTGCTTTCGTTTTCGATTCAGACCGGAGAAAGGGTGCGGCGGTGTAGAGTAAAGCGGGATCGCATGAATCAAAAGATGCCGCGTGTCAACAAGCATCGCGGCATGGACGTCGACGATCAATCAATCGGGTTCCTCCTGAATGCCGATCGAACTATATGCAACGCATACGTGGAGCCTTTTTTGGCGATGCGGAGAGTGGGACGAGCGCATGTTGACAGTGTGGTTTTAGGAAACGTGTACATCTCGGCCTAAATTCATGGGCATGGATGCAGAGTTGAGTGCCTTGGTGCGTTTCCAGTTTCTCTTCAGGCTGAACCGGGATGTCGTGCTGTCGTGGGCGGCGGCGGCGGCCGACAACGCGACAGCGGGCTGTGCCAAGTTCCAACACATGCCTCGATGCCATTTGCCCCAAGGCGCGCGCGCGAATTCGCCCGCGATGAAGACTCCCGAGTGACTCCCGCAGACTCCCGCCAGCCCGTCCAGGCCCGTCCTCGCTGAGGCTGGTCTCGGAACTCTTGGCCCAGCTCCTCATCGCTTTCAACCGAGAACATCCCCCACCTACGCTCCTTTTCGTTACCGGGTGGATTGCAAGGTCAGTAATACTATCTCTTTGGCGACCATTGGCTGGAGCTGATCCACTGCACCTACACGCTACAGGTCCAAGAGCTCGTGGCGAGTGATCTGAGGAAGGACCTCACCAGCCTTCTCGTTAAGTTGCCGGGCCTGCTCGCGTGCCCGTGTACGGCCAACGGACCTCCGAGCTCGACCCGCGAAACTGAATGACCTTCACCCACCAAGTCAACATGCACGCGACACCGACCGCTTCGACCTCGAGTTCCCCATCATCCGTGTCGTTGTCGGCCTCGCCGCGCGGTGCTCGTAGAACGAGCATGTCATCGACTCGGCTCGGCGGCGCGGCGGGCTCAGACGAGCGCCTACACCTGCGCCAGCAACTCTCGACCAGTCCCTCGGGCGGCACCAGCTCACCTTTGCTCGCTTCCAACGGTCGCACCACCGCCCCTTCGTTCTTGTACCTCCCACCGGGGATCTCGTTGGCCAGGAATGGGTGTGGTGATCACCTGTCGCACCAGTTCATCGGCAGTGGGTCTCATACGGATCGCCCCGGGTCGAACACGCCCTTGACGTCAAGCGGCGCCCGATCGATCGATCACTTCAGCGCCCCTTTGCTCCACCCCAACGTTGCACCGACGCCTCCGCTGCGTACGACGATCGGGTTCGAGCCGCTTCTCGAGGCCAAACCTGCTGCGTCATCATCATCGTCGACGAGCATCTCGCGCAAGTTGTCGTCCTCGTCATGTTCGTCGTCGGCGTCCTCGTCGGGCTGCGCCTCGACCTCATCGACCTCGAACGGACCCATCAGCTCCCTCGCTTCATCGGTCGCCGCATCGGACGATATTTCGATTTCCCCACCTTCTTCCTCCTCCGCAACTACAAAACGAACGTCTTCTGCGTCGAGGCCGGCAGTACCAGGCGAAGATCCACAGCTCGCAGCGGCGAGGAGGGCGTTGTGGGAAGACGTCGACCCACCCATGAAGAAGATTACGACGAGCACCCACTCCAACTCGGGCTCCGACGACAGTGGTTCCATGACCCCCTCAGCACAGGCCTGCCCCGTGTTCGACGAGGATGAGAACGAGGTTGACAACGAGGCTCAGGAGGGTTCAGACACGGAAGACGAACCCAATCCCGACACGGTACCACCCCACGAACCCTCTCACGCGACCCTGACCCCTCTGGCCTCCTGTCTACGCTCCGAAACTCCCTCTCGGACACCGTCAACGAACTCGCTCTCCAATGGATTCCCTTCGGGCTCGTTCGTGCGCATCTCTCGAGAGCCGCCTCGGGCATTCACGACCTATTCAGCGATCGACTATGAACGACGCGGTCAAGGTCCCGTCGAGAAGCTGTCGATCAAGGAGTGGATGGAGTTGCAGGGTGTGAGGGAAGCCGTCGGGGTATGGAGTGGCCGTATCACGGCCAACGATTGGAGTGAAGAGCCTTCTTCGATCAATGGGATGTCAACGAATGGTCCAGGGACCGAGTCGAGTGAAGGGAGCGAGCCGATCGTCGCGATTGGGAAAGGGCATCCCTCGGTCGCGACTGGGGTTCGACGGGTCGCGTCCTTGCCGAATTCGCCCATGTTACTCACCTTCAAGGACCTCCCTCCACCAAAACGAGCAATCTCCGGTCCTCTCTCGAACGACAAGGATGATCACGAGTCGACGACGCCGCAAGCTTTGAAGCCGGGGTATTACAAGGGCGTGAGAACGGTGGCGCACAATGTCGAGCCCGTCGAGGCGCCTTCGAGTTTATGGGATGATTGAAAATGTATGGCATCTGTATGTTAGAGGGTATTGTTGTATGCGTATTATCCTGGCCCGTCTTCTACTCGAAGTGACTTGTGTCAAGATGTGTCAAGATGATGAGGCTTGTCTTGCACCGTGGATGTTTTCGGGGGTTGTGCGACCATTATTTAGATGAGCCTCAGTGTGTGCATGTTCCTATTAATCGTTCCCACCTCTGTCTACGTTTCTATTTTGATTGTTCCCAATATACACGCTACATTAAGATTGTCACATATGCGGAAAGAAGAGATGCGAAAGGATGCGAACAGCTCGGTGTTTGCTCGTGGTCGGGGCGTGCCGACTCGCGCGCCTCTCCCTCCGTGCACTGCCGTGCACTGCCATCTTGCACCTGTGCGCGCGCCGACCCCGCCTCCACGCGGCCACCATGACCTCCAAAGATGTGCGCGACATTCTGCAAATCAGTTCGACCTCTACCACCGGTCCGGGACTCTCCTCCACCAGCACCTCCCGCCGTTCCAACCCGACCAGTGCGCCTCCCAACTCCCGCAAAGGTGCTGCCCGACCCGCCGGCGTGACTCGCGAACTGTTCGCTTTGATCGGTCACAATGCCCCTTCTTTGGTTTTGGCGCAATCGACGACGAGTAAACCGCAGTTCAAGTCGAGGATTGGGGTCGGGAAAGATGGCAAGGGTCTGGGAGGCGGTTTGGCGGGTAGGAGAGGGGGAACGAAGTGGACTTGGACCGCGTTTGTGAACCCTTCTAGAGGGGCCAAGGTAGAGGACTTGCAGAAGTTGAGGGAGGCGGAGAAGAAGGTGGTCGAGAGAGCGCAGGGGGATGAGAAAGTTGTGGGCGTTGAAGCGGAGGAGGAGGAACAAGCGGGGGAAGATCAAAGCTCTCGCATCAACCCCAGGGCCAAACTCCAACTTCGACATTGGGTCCGGGACCTCCCCGAATCGGAACAACAACCCGTATTGGACTCCAGGTTCTCCAAGTTCAATACGTCGAGTCAACCCATGTCGTACACAGATCAGGAGTACGATCGGTGGCTGAGAAGTAGGTTTTCCTGGACTCATCGAATGCCACGCCCCTTCCGAGCTGATGAGTACGATACCGGGAGCCTACAGATCTTGATCCTACTTGGACGAAGGATGAGACGGATCATTTGTTTGAACTCGCGCGCACGTACGACATTCGCTTCATCGTCATGGCCGATCGATGGCAGCATACCTCGGAGCGCTCCGTTGAGGTCAGTCCATTCGTCCAGGAGGGGGGTTCCAGCCGATGTAGCTTTGAAAGCTGACCTCTACTGCCATCCCTTTCGGTTCAGATGCTCAAACAACGTTATTACTCGATCTCGCGCGAGCTGTTGAAGCAACGCCCGCCCCCAGCGACGCTCGCTCCGGAGGACAAGGACAAGTGGGACAAGCAGCGCCAGGACGCCATCTCGAGCATGCAGTTCGATATGAGTGAGTTTTGACTCGTTTGTCGTGGTGTTGTTGTTATATTGTAGGAGCGATGGCTGAATGGATTGGCCGTTTGATCCCCGACTCTCCCCACCGCATCACAGACCGAGAAGTGGAACGCAAAGCCTACCTACGGTCCTTGCTGTCCCGTACGCCTAAACAGATCGCCGAAGAAGACTTCCTCTACATCGAAACACGGCGCATCGAACAACAGTACAACAAGATGGCGACCGAGCGAGCCGAATTGCTCAAGATACTTGGAGGAAGGGAAGGGATCGGTGCGGCACCGGGTGTACCTTTGGGTGTTGGTGGAGGGGCGAAAGGGGCGGCCACTACGCAGGCGCAGAAGGTCGAGGAGAGTAAGAAGAAGAAGGGGCAGACGGGTTGGGAGTTGGAAGGACTCAATGGGGGTGGGTTGCCCGAAGGGTGGGCGGGAGAGGGCAGTGTTCGAAAGGCGACGCCGGCGCAAGGTGAGTGGTCTCTGGATAGAGATCAGATCAGGTTGTCGGTGAGGTGGAGATTGACCTTGATATCCTGGTTCAATAGACGCTGCAAACTGCATCGAACGGCATCCTGCCCCATCGGTCTCGGCCCCGAAAGCTAGTCCCTGGCCATCCGTCGGCGTCCGTTCCTCGCGCATCGCATCCGTCAAACCCGGCGTCGCCGCCAAAGTCTCTTCGGCGCTCGTCGAACTCGGCATCTCGACGCATCTCATCATGCCCACCAAAGGCAACATAGAGAAACTCGACCAACTGCAGGCGACACTGAGTCGAATGGTCGAATTGAAAAAGGCCGTCGATCGATGCCAAGCCGAGATCAAGACGTTCACCAAGAAGAGGGACGTGTTGCTCGCTACGCAGGGTGGTCCACCTGTTCCAGCTTCGGCTTCGGTTACTCCGGCTCCGGAGAAGTTGGCGACACCGGCACCGATGGAGATGGAAGGTGAACAGGTCAAGAAGGAGGAAGGGGACGATGCGGGGTCGAACAAGACTGATCAGAGGGTGAGTCTGAGGGTTGCTTGGGCGTGTACAGGCTGGACGGTTGGAAGTCAGGATCGCTAAATTAACTTTTTCTCTTGATTCTTTGACCACAGACGAAACGAAGTGCATCGGTTTCCTCGGTCGGTACGACCACCAAACGGGCACGTCGAGACTGAAGGAGTGGGGCGGAAGAGGGCTTGCGGAGCGATTGGGGTGTAGGAGGTGGTTTGTTCGTGATTGTGTTGTGCTTGTAAGGCCTGGAAATTCCAAATGGGATTTTTGATTGCGATTTGAGTTCTATTCGCTGAGCGCGAACGGTTGAGAGCACGTCGAAAAGCTCCGACCTCCTCTTCCCGGACCTCCTCTCGAGGATCAAGAGCCTTTAAACTTTCGCCAATCGCCGTCTCGCCTTCACTTTTTGCTCTTGCGCTTCCCCCTCTCTGACTCCTTTCGACTTTCGTTTATCTTCTGCTTTCGTCGACACTGGCTTCTTCGCGATGGTGTGAGTGCTTTGCGACGTGCATCATACAAGGACCATTTCAACGCGAAGCTCAGCTCAGATTGACTTGTCCCGGCTCCTCGGCTGCCATGTGCTCCCCCACATCCTCATTCACACCTCGACGCATCCGATCGCCCCTTCTTGCCCCAACTTACAGGACGCATCAAGAATCAGGTTTGTTCGCGATGGTTAAAATTCCTCATGCCGAGCGTGACTCCCACACGGTGCAACTGCGAGCCCTGAAGGAGCTGTGTCCCACGCGTGAGTTGGCCTACAAAAGTGCATACACTCAGGCTCATGCTGACGTCGTCCCACGATCCTGACTCCTGGATTTGATCGTCTTTGTGCGACTCTCAGCGATCGGAACCAAGGAGATGATCTGCTACATCGAGTCGCCCCCACCTCTTCGAGCGCCCCTTACCTCGACGTCATCCATAATTCTAACTTCAGAATCGGAGAACAGCAATGGCGGGGTTTCGTACAAGTGTCCTTTGACGGTCTTTTTCGGTCGGGATGCGCGTAGCATTTCGTCAACTTCGCCGCTCGAGGCGTACATCGGGACGTTGACGATTGATGAACATCCTGGTCAGTCCTAATTCCGTCTGTAAGGCTCATTCGACTACACAGCATGACGCTGGCATTTCGATTGACAGGCTGGTGCAAAGTCTACGCCATCGGCGCAGGGGTCGAACCGGCGCGAGATCCCGAAGGTCGAATCGTGCCTTGGTACCTCAACAGCGAGTTCGAGCTTCCCAGTCCAACGTTGGAGGGTACGAGCAACAAAAGAGTCACCTTGAGCGTTCAGAGGTGTGCACTCAAGGAAGGGACAGTGCTTGGGTGAGTGTACTGCCGGATCTCCCACGCCCGCTGGTGCTGAAGACCGCGTACTTTTCATGAGCAGATCGGGTCAACTGCTGCCGTCGGATGTCGAGGATACTCAAGAGATCTGGACAGTGTTCACTTTCTACTATGCCACTCGTGAACAACTGGACATCCTTGGGGTGCTGCCAGGTGAGCTCTCTCGACAAAGCGAGGTGATAAGGCTTCCTCTGAACCGACTGCGGACTATCCCCAGACGCTTTGAGTAGTCGCACTGGATTGAGAGTCCACGATAGTCAATCCGCTTCCATCGAATTCCTCCGCAATTCCAACATGAGTCTCCTCTGGCTCCTCTCACCAGCGCAACTCTACTCGTTCATCCGCAACATGCTCGACAGCGCAATGCTGGTCAACGTGCCCGAAGCCAGCTTCAACGAGCTCGTCATCGCCCTGCGTCGAGTCGCTACCGATACTCTGGCCCAACTCCAACGTGAAGAACAAGAACACAACCGCGCACACGCTCGTCGTCATCGTGATTCCTTTTCCAGCTGGACCAGTGCATCAAGTGATTTAGGCACGCCTATGAGTAAGCGTTCCACGAACCAGGGCTGGAGCCCTGTCCATCGACACTTCGACTCCCCTTACACGGGTGGTGATCCCATCAAGGCTTCCTACGTCCCCCCAACCCGCTCGACCGACATCCCGCAAGTCTTACCTCAAGATCCAGCCTCCATCTTCTCAGTCCGCTCGAACGCCCAAGCCAATGCCGAGTTCACACCCTCGAGACGATCGGGTACAACTTACGCTACTTCGACGATCGCGATGCACGTCGATTCACCGAAGAGTGCTTCGAATGAAGAGGTTCGACCGCTTCTGCCGAGGGTCAAGTTTGTGCTCAGTGATTCGGGCAGGGCGAATCTCGTTACGACACCTGACTCGGGGAGCGAGAAGGGGCGAAAACCCTCGCCTGGGGTCGAGGGGCGGTCCGATCCTAGGGTTGCTCAGGGGCAGGAGAATGCTTGAGTGGGGGGAGTTGGATCGATCGATTGAGAATGCGTTGAAAGGTATATTTGTGGGGGGGGAAGTAGGTGATCAGGCATGATGTGAATGAACGAGCTTCCGTGAATGGTAGAGTCTCGAAACGGGGGCCTAAGCGCGGGCTCCTCGGAGCTATTTGTGGGCGAAGGAGATGCCTCACCGGCGGTCGATCGAGAGCGATCTTCGGGGGTTATGTGCTCGCGCCTTCCTTCCTCCGTCCACGTCTCGATCTTCACTCATCAGCATGTTGTGAGTGGGAGGTGGTCAGACGACGCTCATCGCTGTGTCGACAACGTGATCGTCTCCTCTCTGCGTCACTGCCCACAGCTCGGATACGAGTGACTTAGATCCTGCGCATTGCTCATCCTCTGGAAGCATTGTCACCAGTTCGTCAGACGTCATCGCGCGTGAGTCGGTCCAATACCACTTGTACTATATCTACTACTGCTCCCCAAGACCTCGTGATCACTTATCGCTGCTTCCACCATCCCAACCTTGCTACCCCGACCCTCCCACCGCGCAACTGCGCTGGCATCTCCAACACTCTTGCCACACAAGCCCAAGTAGAACAGACCGACGTCTCGGCGCTTCAAGACCAGGTTCGACAGCTTGTTAGGGTAAACGAGGAGTTGAGGATGGGTTTGCAGCATGAAAAGACGACTTCGCAACGTAGGTCAAGTACATTGGGGGGAATAGGGAGAGGACGGGATATTGGGAAGGCGTGAGAACCGGAGCTGATTCTGCGCTGGGCTGACCTTGCTGGTTGATGGTCAGGGACTGATCAGATTATGAGGATGTAAGTGGGTTATCAGAGTATGGTCCACTTACATTTTCCGAACGCTTTTCACGGGCTTGCATCCTTTCTTCCGCAGACCGTCTCCACGCTGTACGACAGCCTCGCCTTGCCCGATCGCATCGCCTACCTCACTCGCCGACTGCGCACCGAACCCCTTCATCACTCGCTCCGTCTGAGCGGTCAGTTCTCTCAAACTCTCCAATAAAGCCTTTCAACGGTTTCCTGACATCTCCTTAATTTTTTTGATGTTGTGATCCGCAGTCGCTCTGGATCGAGAACAAGCTCTTGCGACCCTGGCTCAAGAAAGGGAGGCCGCTCTCGGTGCTGAAGTCGAGACGATGCTTTCGATGATTGAGCATAAGCAGAACCTCAAGACCTCTCAGGGTCCCAGCGACGAGCATAGTGCACATTGCGCGGAGACGGACAGGCCGAACTTGGCATGAGAGGGCTTTCAGGCTGTGGGCAAGGTATATGTGTAGGGTGAACACTGCAATGAAATAAATACTACAATGTTACGCAAAAAGTTGAGTCGAAGTTTACCCCTGCAAATAGTCTCTAGGCTTGATGGTGCCATTGAAGTCGTCCTCGTAGGAATCATCTTGCGAGTTGACAACCATGTCGTAGGCGTCGTTCGCTCGCGAGGTCTGAGAGGGGAAAATAGATTAGGCCAATATCTCTGACTCTTTTAAAAAAGTCCCATTGCTTACATCGGCATGGAAATGCTTGGCTTTGCGCCATTCCTCATTCTCCTCCTGCCTGAGCGGAGTGAACAGACTCGCGCCAGCCCTCCCGTTCGCCGGTCCTCGATTGCCCATCCCGCCCGACCCAAGAGCCGAAGCCCCTTCAGCCTCTTGCTTGACCGAGACCTGCACGGCTTTGGCTTCCTCCTTTTTCAGTTCGGCGTCCGAGATGTCACCGTCCGAATCGGCGTCGGCGTCGGCGGAAGCTTTCTCTTCGCGCTTGCGGCGGCGTTCGTTGGTGATGATCTGGTCGAGGTACTGCAGATTGGGTCGGAGCTGGAACGTCTGTGTCACGGGGGCGAGATGTACCGAGTCTGAGGGTGATACGTAAAGGAGTCAGTGATGCTGTTGGTATGGGAATCGGCACGCTGAAGGATTGGACTGACCCTCCCTGACGACCATCGCAAAGTAATGCGTCACCTCGGGCAATGCGATGCTCTTGTAGTTGAGCCTCTCCAATCTCCTTTTCTCCCTCTGTTCCCTCTCCCTCCTCTCCTCCTCATCGTCGACATGTGGGTTCTTCCTCCCCCTCCTCCCGCCTTTCTTGCCCAGCGCGGCATCCAACCTGGCCCGAGTCTCCTTGGCCGTATCAGCCTCGGTAACGACGCCAGAAGCGAACAAGCGCGCTTGATCATCGTTCCATCGTTGCGGATGATGACGTTCGATAGGAACCGAGACCTCCAAATGTTGCGACGAGGGCTTGTACCTCGCTTGGACCTGATCCTCGGGTGCTCGATGAGGGTGGTCAGCGTCGGGGCGTAAAGAGGGCGGGATCAGAGGGTGCGACGTCGAGCGTTTCTGGGGTCGGTCGGGGTATTGGAGTAGGGCGAGATGGTCGACTGCGTTGGGGTTGAAGTAGACGGGGATGCGCCGGATGATGGCTTCCCCGTCAGAGTCGGAGGCGGAGTCGTCGTCGTCTGGGTCCATGTCGTCGTCGTCGTCCTCCTTGGCCTTTCCCTTTCCATTGGCATCTTGTTCATCGTCGTCGTTCGAGTTTTGGCGTGACAGTGGGGAAGGACGAGTCCTGCGTGACGTGGATGCACGTGCGGCGACCATGATTGTGCGATTGTGCTACGAGAAGGGTGACGCGGACGGGAGCGGAGCGCGGCCTCAGCGCTGCGAAGGCTGGCGCTAATTATATTCGTCGATCGTTCGCCGACTACGATTCGGATTATAACGCGCGGCTATTTCGATCTCCGTCGACTCGGCGCGCAAGGGCGCGCAGCCCGGCTGCCAGGGTGTTCCTCCCGTGTCTGGCCGTGCTTTGACCCCAACATGACGACCTCGACGACCACGACGACCACACCTCAAGTACCTGATCTGACCTCGCTGCTGCGGACATGGTACCCGGCCGAGTTGTTCTCGCCTGCGCCGCCAGCCTCAGCCTCAGCCTCAGCCTCAGCCTCGACCTCGACCTCGACCTCGACCTCGACCTCGACCTCGACCTCGACTGCTGCGAGTGGGGGTTCCCCACCCCGTCCTCGTCCGTTCGTGACCCTGACGTATGCCCAATCAATCGACGCCAAGATCGCAGGACCAGGCGGGACTCAGATCAGGCTCAGTGGAGAAGAGAGCATGTACCTCACCCATGCGTACGTCCACGAAGCCACGAAGCCCGCTTGGCTGTTTTTGACATTGCTCCCTGGATCTGACGTCAATCTGAACCCGGCGCGGTGCTCTACAGCTTACGGGCCTTGCACGACTCCATCTTGGTTGGCGTGGGGACGGTCATGTCTGATGATCCGCAGTTGAATGGTGCGTGTTTTGTCGTGCAAGGCATGCTGTCTGCCTAAGGACCGACTCCCGTGGCTCAATCACGTGCTTTGTCGATCAACTCCAACAGCGCGACTCCCCCTCCCCCTCCCCATCGAACAACAACCCCGACCCCTCATCCTCGACCCGAATCTCAAGTCACCCACGACGTGCAAGCTGATCCGCAACCATCGGAATGGGACCATGCCTCGACCCACCTTTTTCTGCTCCGAGGAATCGACTTTGACGAACGATCGCAGGCAGGGGTTCGAAGCGGCTGGGGCGCGGGTCGAGAATCTCCCACTTCAGGGTGAGGGAAAAGAGCACATCTCCACAAAAAGCGACAGAATCCGGCTGATAGGTTGCACCATCTCGGGAACTCAACAGCCACCTCACGCCTCTCCCTTACTGCGCTTCTCGCGCGCCAGGACCTGCTCGGTCGTTCCCTGATGGTCGAGGGAGGCGCCAGCGTCATCACCGCCTTTCTTGAATCTGGTCTTGTCGATCTGTTGATCATCACCGTTGCTCCGACCATCGTTGGCGAGGGGATTTGTGCGGTTCGACAAGGGGTCAGTCTTGAAAGAGCGGACTCGAACGGACCGGACCGTGCTAATAGCTATCGCTTCTACGGTTTGCATTCACTTTCTAGAACTTGCCGCCCGATTTGGAATCTGTTGAAACGAGGGTCTTTGGCAAGGATACGGTCATTGTCGCTCGACCCAAGAGATAGGCCAAGCTGAACGGCCAGTGAGGGGGTGCAAGCCCGGCCGGTGTGGGCTCACGTGAGAGTGAAAGGAGTTAGGAAGTACTTGTAGGGATGAACGATCTCTGTAGCTGGAAATGTGTAGCAAATAAGAAGAATGAAATCGTTGTGGACTCTCTCCGTTGACGCCTTGTAGTCCAAATCTGCTCCACTCGCTCGAGCTGGGGTATTGTGGCCACCGAGACGCGTCGCGACGCGTCGGCCTCGCTAAATAGAGGGTCTCACTTTGGGCGGAGACGCAGGGTGCCAACGGACCGGTGCGCACAGCTTCAGCTCGTCGTCTCCTCCTCTCCTCTCCTTCCCCTCGAATTCCTCAATTCCTCTCTGGCTTCGAGCTAGCTGATTTCAAAGCACTTGACTCTATCATATTATCCAACTTACCAAGAGTGAGTACTTCTTCTTCTCTTCGGCACTCGAGATGGCGATTGTGCGCAGTGGGGTGTGTGTGATCGTCACCGGCCGAGTCGGCACACCCCACCTCGCCCCCACCCATCCCGAGACAAATTCATGCTGATGAACCCCATGTTCGCTTACTTTCCAAACTACAGTGGGACTCGCAGCTGAACGTGCCGTAAGCATACACCGATTCCCACACCAGCACTAGCACCCCAGTCTCACCTCCCCTTCTCCCCCCCCCCGCCTTGTCCCTACTTCAACCAGGCCCTCCACGCGCGCAATAAAGTCACTCTCCTCGCCTTTGATATACGTCCCATGGCCCCCTCCGTACCCAAAGCCTTCCCCGTCACACCCCCACCAGTTCGCAAGGCTCCGAAACCCAAGATTCAACGCTTGATGACACCTGATTCGACGCCGCCTGCCGGTTCGACGACGGGGGAACGGCGTTCGAGTAGGTTGAGGGAGGTGGTTAGGAGGAATGAGAGGAGGGAGAGCGAGGAAGGCCAGAAGGAAGGGACGGGGGGGAGTGATGATTGGAGTAGTGAGGAGGAGGGTGACGGGTACGAGGAGGGGAGAACGGGGAGAAAGAGGAAGAGGAGTGAGCAGGGCATAGTGCAGAGGGACGGTGCGGGTCAGTTTGCGCAGCGTGAGGGGTTGGGATTTTGTCCGGTGTGCTTGTGCTGACCGTTGTTTGGGTTGGTTTGTTGTGACGTTGTCGTAGCTCCTGCTCGTCTGATAGGTAATCGTCCCAACACCAAGGTCAGTCGGCGCAACTTGTCATCGCGCAAAACGCTGACCGAAGACTGACGAGCTAGAACCTTTCCTGCAGATCTTCGGCCATCAACGCGGCGTCCCCGTCGGTACGCACTGGGCTTTCAGGATGGAATGCTCCCAAGCCGGCGTCCATGCTCCCGTCGTCGCTGGGATCGCGGGTAATGAACATGTCGGCGCTTGGTCGGTTGCTCTTTCGGGTCAGTTTATGGGCAGTTCCGGGGTGGACTCGGGTGCTTTTGGCTGGGTTTGCTCATATACGGAGGTTCATTTGTGCAGGTGGATACAAGGATGATGTCGATGTTGGCTATGGATTCACATTTGTGAGTCGCACCAAAATTCGATGGACCCCCGAGCTGCCACAACTGACCTCTGCTTCGATCTCCTCTCTCCAGACCGGTTCCGGTGGCAGAGACCTCAAAGGGACCTCAGCAGCACCCAAGAACCTCCGTACCGCACCTCAGACCTCGGACCAAGTCTTCACCAAGCTCAACGCCGCTCTTAAGCGTTCGGTCGAGACGCGCAAACCCGTTCGAGTCATTCGGGGGTTCAAGGGGCATAGTCCTTGGGCCCCTGTCGAGGGCTATCGTTACGATGGTCTGTACATCATCACCAAGGTGCGTGATCGATCGAGCGACGAAGGTTGAAGCGAATCAGGAAAACTGATTCGAGAACCTTTCTCATCGAACGATGAATCCACAACAGTACTGGCAGGACGTCGGCGAAGCGGGGTTCAAGGTGTGCAAATACGCTTTTCAGCGTATGGACGGTCAACCTGAGATCCCTGTTCGACCCGGTCGCGAGGAAGAGGCGGCAGCTATCATTGCTGAATTTGGAAAGGGGTCGAATGTGACGCCTCCTGAGACGGCGGCGGAGTTTAGGGCGAGGTCGTCGGTGGTCAAAGTGGAGGCGAGTGCCGTCCTCGAAGTCCAAGAGGAGAAGGAGCAGCCGGTCCTTAAGATTGTGAGGGAACCTTTGACACCCGAAACGAGTCCAATCAACGCGGGACGGATGGTGAGGTCTTTGAGATATCGTGCGATGGCGGTGGCGGTCGAGGCCTGATCTCTGGTGAATTCATGGTAGTAGTGTCTTATTCAATATGATCGTAGTTGTGGAAGCTCGTGTTTAGTATATGTAGACAAACAACTGGCAAGGGTGTACATGTCGGGACTTCGAGTACTAGTTTTCAGGAGTTCAGTGTAAAAGGCCTTCGTCTACATTCACTTCTTGGCGGCCTTGCCCTTCTTCTTAGGAGGTTGCTTCGGATCCTCTTCCGCGTCATCCTCTGCTTTGTCCTCGGTATTCTCGGCCTTCTTACCCGTTTTGGCCGCCTCGGATCGTTGAGGGCGTTTCGAAGGCACAGTTGACTTGTCCTCGTCGTCGTCCTTCGTGCTCGATTTCGTCGCGGTACCGTTCTTGCCTTTGGAAGCAGGCTTGTTGCTCTCCGACTTGGGAGCAGACTTTGCATTGGATTTGGAAGCCAGTTTATCAGTCTTGGCCTTGGCCTTCTCGTCCTCCGCAGATTCTTCTTCGTCGTCGTCGTCGTCGTCGGTGTCTTCCTTCCCGTCCGCCTCCTCGGCCTCCTGGGCCTCCTCGTCCTCATCATCGTTGTCCTTCTTCTTGTTCCCACCCTTCTTCCCTCCACTAGATTTGCCCGTCTCGACACCCGAGAGCTCCGACGCTTTCTTGATCGCCTTGTTCTACGAGTCAGAGAAATGATTTGGGATCGAGGGTGAAAATCTCGTCACTTTCGGCTCGAGGCACGAGGTGATGTAGGGAACTTACACCACTGTCCGCTTTAATCTTGACAGCCGGGTTCTCCTCATCTACAATCGAGTAACACAACCGCAAATCAAACACAGAATTAGCACCTCGACTCGACAACTCCTTGACCAAGATCGATCCCCGAAGGATGATTCGGTTCGATGACTCCCGATCGAGAGTCCCTATAGCTCGACCCGACTTACTTCCCTTCCTCGTCACTTCATTCCCCTTGTTGGTCGTGACTTTGGCGTCCCCCTCTACGACACCTTCGACTTTACCTTTAGGTTCTCCGGAACCCCATTGCCATCTGAGTGTGAGAGAAGGAGAAGGTCAGCGAGGAGGTTGCCGATCGTCGATGGGTGGGCGAGGGTAGGGGTGGAGCCACCGGCGCCGGCGGCCGGGTGATGAGCATCGATGAGGGGCAGAGACCGGGTGGAGGGGCTTACTTGACCGTATCGCCTTTCTCAAGTTCTTGTGCTTTGACCATACTGTATACTGGTTTTGAGGAGGGAGTTTTGGATGGAGAAGGACGAAAGCGAACTGTGCCGGGACTTGAAGCGCTTGGAGAGTTGACGCCTTACTAAATTTAAGGTTTGGATCGGATCAGCCGAGATTATTAAAGCGAGCCCACGCCGATGATGGCGAGTCGTGCGGCTCGTGCCTGCCCCGACGCAGACCGATGGGCACGATCAGAGAGCCCAGTCACGTGATACAAAGTGCACAACCTGGAGAAATTGTCACGTTCATGATCCTTGCTACTAATTCCAGGGGCTCAGGGACCGAATCCGACTTGTGTGAATTAGGTCTTTAATGCCAAAAACTCCGCTCTCCGAGTGAGTTGGCGCCCAAGTGGTCCGTGCGCGCCAAGTCGGGGAAATGCACGGGACAAATTTCCCGGCGCCCTTCTTTTCCGTTCGCACGTCCCCGTTCAACGCTCCTACACGTATCAGTACACTACATCTTGGGGTGTTCATATCACCATGAGCGCTCCTCAACGACGACTCCAACAGGTACGGTCGCACTTCGACGGCGGCTCGAACGGCGGTGATTCAGCGTCGACGTCACTCGCGAGACGGTACAAGCCCAAATTGCCCGCCGGGCTTTTGGTGCACAAGACACCCTTGAACCCTGTGGTATTCCTCTTGAAAGCTGCGATGGTCCGACCTCATCGTGAGTATCACCACCTGCTGATCGTGAGCGGTGCTTACGTGGAACCAGCGACGGTTTACCGGAATGTGGGGCTCACTATTCTCCGCGGCTCGCTTCCGCTCCCTTCTCACTAAACTAGATCTCGCACAGTCGCATCCGGAAAAGGGGTTCTCGTTCACTTTTTCGCAGTTTGCAGATCGGGTTGCTTTCTTGGCTTATGCTCTCAAGGCACGGGGTATCGCACCTGGTGACCGGTAAGTATGCTAGCGCCGCAAACAGAGGCCGGGGCGTCAGAACTGAGCTGACCCTTGGGTTCCGTCTCGCTTTAGGGTCGTTGTCTTGGGTCCCAATGTTCCCTTCGTATCGGATGCACTTCAAGCCATCCCGTCCGTACAGGGAATCATCGTCGCTCTCAATACGCGACTGACCGAACCTGAAGTTGCCTACATGCTTGAAAACTCGGGCGCCAAACTCGCCCTCGTCGACGAGACACTACGACACTTGGTCGGCAAGTCGTCGAAGCTGCAAGTCATCATCTGTGCCGACTCGGGCAAGGCCGATGACCCGTATGAAAAGTTCTTGGTCGAGGGTCAGGCGTACGATCGAAAGCAGGGTGGGCTCGGGTGGCAGGGGCTCGAGTTTCAAGCCGACGAGGACAGTACGTTCGCCATCTCGTACACGTCTGGCACGACGAGTCGACCCAAAGGTGTCGAGACAACCTACCGAGGAACCTACCTCGCTGCACTGGGTAACGCGATGGAGGCGCAGCTCGATTTTAATAGCGTCTACCTCTGGATCTTGCCCCAGTTCCACTGCCTCGGGTGGTGCTTCCCCTATGCGTGCACCTCGGCGATGGCTACGCAGGTGTTTCTCCGAGCCGTCGGGGACTACAGCGAAGTGTGGCGTGGCTTCCTCGAACGCGGCGTGACGCACTACTCCGGAGCTCCGACCGTGCAACTGTCCATTGTCAGTCAGCCCAACGCACGAAAACTCTCTCGACCCCTCCGTACGACCGTGGCAGGTGCGGCACCAACTGCGACCGTGATCGAAGGACTCGAGAAACTCGGCATCGACGTCACCCATGTCTACGGTCTGACAGAAAGCTACGGCCCCATGACCAAAACCTTCTTCCTCGGCCCTTCCTCGCCGACCTATTTCGTCGAAAAGGCTCGACAAGGGTTCGCGTTCCGTGTCGCGGATGATATTCGAGTCGTCAAGTTGATCCCGGATGGTGAGGAGCTCAATCTCAAGTCTGAGGATCTGGTTGATGTCAAACCGAACGGGACCGAGGTTGGCGAGATTGTGATGCGGGGGAATTTGATCATGAAGGTAAGTTCCCGTGGCCGCCCTTCTACTCATGTGAGAAAGGAGCAAATGCTGATTAGCTCGCCCAACTTGAGAACCTCAGGGCTACTGGAAGAATCCTGAAGCGACGGCAAAAGCGTTTGCAGGTGGGTGGTTCCATACGGGTGATCTTGCCGTACTTCGCGAGGATGGTACGTTCGCGATTGCGGATCGGTCCAAGGATATCATCGTCAGCGGGGCGGAAAATATCTCCTCTCTCGCGCTGGAGTCGGCGTTAACGACCCATCCGGACGTCTTGGAGGTTGCTTGTGTCGCTCGAGCTCATGAGAAGGTAAGTACGACGCTGCTGCCCTGGGCTGTACACACCCCCGGGAGTTGACCGCGGTTCGTCGTCTGCAGTGGGGCGAGCGACCGCACGCATTCGTCGTCCTCAAGCCTGGAGCGTCATGGCATGACAAGCTCGAGCATTTCGAAAACGAACTCAAGCAGTTCGCCAAGAAGAGTGGTCTGCTCCCTGGTTTCGCGATCCCTGAGTGGGTCGAGGTCGTTCATGACTTGGAAAAGACCTCAACGGGCAAAAGTGAGTCGTCTTTTTTGGGAGTGCTGGGTCAGGTTGCTTACGCCGTGGCTTTCGTTTCATTTCTTCAGTCCAAAAGAACGTTCTCCGAGAGAGGGTCAAGAAGATGTTTTCGAAATAGTCACCATTAGAGTTTCCTTGTGCGGTGGTAGTGCTATGGGGGTGTTTTCCTGTCGAGGCGGGATCCATCCGCGCCCGGACCGAGTCGTCGTGGGTCGTTCGAGTTGCGCCGACCCGCTGTGATGTTAATCAGATGGATCATCTGTAACTCTTGCGTATGATCATATGTGCCGCATTCTCAAGTCACTTACGGGTGGCCCCTTGCTCAACGGAATAACGGTCGATCGCTTACGGAAGGACTTCAAAACGTTGCAGTGAGAAGGCCGGAGTGCCACGAGTCGAAGCCCCTTTCGTTAACTCGTCGTGAGAACAACTATCTACAATTTGGAGGTTATGCAAGCGTCCCAGCCCTCAGTAATCTGTCTCTTTCCTAGTGCACGAGTCAACCAGAGGTTTTATCTTTGAATTGACCGTGGTCCACTTATCGATCACTGGTGATGTCATGATGAACCGCGTCGAGGGTCGTCAACACAACGCGGTGCCCCAAGCTTGAGAGCTTCAAGGGAATCAAGCGTGTGCGCGGGTCGAAAGGGGAATCCGGGACAGCACTACGCGAGATGTTTGACATTCGTGCTCTCAAAGAAGCGATTTTTTGCAGCCTAAACTGTGGCCCACCGTAGGCAATTCAAGAGTCGGAACAGTGTCGCGTCGAGGCGCGATCGAGGCCAGCCAAGCACCCGCGTGCAGTGCGAGGGCGTATTATTGTAGGCTTCGCTCGGGAAGCGGTGCGCCGCCTTGCGCCGCAGTGCGCCGCAGTGCGCCGCCCGGATTCCGATTGATGCGCTGGCCTGCAGTCACTGGCTTCCTTTTTTGTTCCCGTTTCAACTCGTCCATTCGCTCCTCGGTGCATCGCTCTACCTATCGCGGCTTTTCGCCTCGTCTCACGTCGCCCTGTTCTCTTGGAGTCTAGTGCTCAGTCCTTTCCGTCCTCCACCCCACTCTCGTTCCCGAGGCTCCAACCCTTTGAGCGTGTCGCCGCCGCCGCCCAAGGAGGCCACTGCGCGTTCTGAGCCGTAACTGCGACGCGTTGTAAACCAACCACGACAGGCAGCTCGCCGGCGCGCGTCAGTACCGCAGTCCGACGCAGCAACAGAGGCGATACAATAAAGCAGCAGTCATCATGGTGCGTGTTTTGATCCTTAGGGGAGCATATGTCGAGCTTTCTGAACGGTGAATTGACCCAGAGACCCCGCTTCTTGACTCCTCCCTCGCTGAGACATTTCCAGTCGCAGGGCCAGTCGACGCGCGAACCGTGCCCGTCTCAGGACGGCGCCGCCCCTCTCGTCGCGCCGCATCGTAGGCCTTCCTACACGTACGCCACTTACACCCCAAGCGGCGACAACGCTCCTAGAGTCCCACCCGACGCGCCAGCCCACCCCACGGCACCCCCTTCCCCATCTTTGTACTTCAGTCCCACGCTGTCCGTGTCGCCCCAGCTCTTTGATTCAACCTCGGCAAACGGCGCCTACCGCGACCAAGCCGCAGACATCGACTCCCAGAGCGACGCCGACAAAGGGGTGTCGTACTTTTCGACCTTGCCCCCCGACTCGCCGCTCGAGCTCGACGTCGACCACTTTGCGCCCACCTCGCATGACATCTACAACGGAGTAGCAGATGCGCCGACTGCCAACGACGCGCCGACACCGCCTCTGTCCATGCCCGGCAGTGCTCGACTCGCGCCGTTCGACTACCCCCTCCAGCAGCGGGGACAGGGGCACGCCGCGACACAGCGTCGCAACTCGGATCAGCCGCCCCCGGCCCCGCCGACGTCAATGTACGACCATCGACCGCGCTCGTCGTCGACCTCGAATACGAGTGTTATCGAGGTGCCGACTTTTGTGCGACCCCAGTACACGCGGGAACCCGTCTCGGCGACGAGGCCCGTTCTCGGCGAGCAGCGCGGTCGGCACGTAAACCTGCTCTCGGTCGATGACTCTCCCGCGACGCTCAAGAAAAGCCCGTCGTTGGTCCTCACCGTCGATATGGACTCACCTGCACCCACCGCAAAGACAAATGGCGGCTTCCAGTTCGACGCGACGTCGCAGAATCTCTCGTCGAGGACGCCAACGACAAACGGCGCTAGATCGACACGTCGGGTGTATGCCGCCGACTCGACGGCGCCGCAACCTTCTCCACTTCTTGGCGATGGCTCGACCACCCCTCTGGGCTCGCCGGCACTCAGCTTCTTGCCCAAGATGTGGAGCTCGAACGGATCGGATGCCGACTCGCTCCCTTCCTCGATCGCGTCGCCCATAGGCCCGGCTCCACCGATGGAGCGCAGGCCTTCGACCTCGCCCCGGCTCGGTGCGCTCGCAGAACCGATCGGGCGACTCGCATCAGGACTCGTTCGACGAGCCTCGAATGCGAACCTGCGCGCCGACGAATTGCCCATGGCCCAATCGCGCCGTGGGTCGACAGACTCGCTGCCCGTAACGGAATCGCCGTCGCCCCGGCTGGGCCCCGCGATCAGCGTCTCGAGCGTCGTCAGTCTCCCTCTCCCTCGTCGTGCGAGTTATGCGAGCCAAGCCCGGGAAAAGGAACAGGAGAAGCAGAAGGAGATCGAGCATCGCGACTTCAGGAAACGCGTCAAGGCGGCCCACAACAGAGCCTTCAGTTGGGCCGTTCGACCGGGAGAGATTGGTTTCAGATCGAATGACGGTGCGCCTAGGTCCAGGGCGATGCGAGGAGTCCCTTCGGCCAACCCCGTGGTGCGAAAGGTGGTCATCGGCTTCGTGATTGCTCTCACCCTGTGGGCCTTGTTCCCGCTGTCGGCGGTCCGCGATCGGATTTCGCATCACAACGATCGACACCACAACCGGCCCGCAACGCGTGCACGGCCCGATGGCAAGCTGTTTATTCACCCCGAGATCCTTCGGGGACCTGCACCAGCCCCTTCCAAGCTGACGGCTCCCGTCCGATGGATTGCGCGTGTCCTGCACGTTACTTCGAGCCAAACGCACTACGACGGACAAGATGACTTCCGCAATAACGAACGTGACCACGAGCACAGCCATTTGCAAGGCCATGCCCCCGAAACCAAGAAGGAGCACCACAGCAAATTCATCGCGGCGCCTCACGTGGCTTACAAGCATCACAAGGCCCTCCCGCCTCCGCTTCAACACTCGGACGATCCCCAACGTGACACGCTTGTGCTCTATCGTATCCTCGGAAACGATCTTCCTCCTCGACACTCGCCCGGCCAGACTCTTCGCAACTTGCGCTTCCTGCTCCAGTACGAGAGTGACTTCTCGGTCTTGCCCCCTCTCGGGCCTCACGTCGATCATCACGCGCACCTTTACGGATCTGGGTCAAAGGCCTATGCGCGCACTGAGGAAGGCGGCCTGCGAGTCGACAAGTACTTCGTTTTGAACCGCATCGCCGACGCCCAGATGGTCACCGCCATCATCAGTCTGTTGCACATGTACTCCGTCCCCGACAGTCGCATTCTGCTCATTCCCTTTGAGTGGTCCGAGTACGAGCGACGCGAGTTCCGCTGGGAAGGTGGCGTCGACAAGGTTCGGGGCTGGGACATTGGCGCGTCGAACGACGATCACGGGGCGCAAGAGGCTCACCGTCTTTTGATGGACGAGCATGCGTTGGCCCACAATGACGCTTTTAGCTCGCACGAGCATTTCGAACACCTTAGAGAGGGTCGCCTCAAGAAGGACGTGCTGACCAAGCTACGCGCGATCGATTTCACGTACCACGAGAAGAACCTTTATGCGATGAACAATGTGAGTTGAGGGGACTGCTGTGGCCTCGATCTGGGCTTAGTTCTTTGGCTTACACCCTTCGAAACCATCTGCAGAACGGCGGGCGCAACTTTGCTCTCGAGCATGGCCGGTCCCTACCCAACGCAAGATGGATCTTGCCTCTTGATGGTAACTCATTTTTGACACCGGCCGCAATGTACTCGATCGTGCAAACGCTCTCGATCGCTGGTGAAGGTCCCCAAGCTTCCCGCTACCTTCTCATGCCGATGGCTCGTTTGCTCTCGAATGACGATGTCCGAGAGAACAACACCATCAAGCTCGTCCCTGAGCACCATCACCATGACCGTCGCGTCTCCGCCATCGAGGAGGCTGAGCACTTCTCTCGCCCCGACACAGCCCCGGACACGCCCGAGGAGCCGCAAATTGGGTTCCGCTACGATTCGACCGAGGACTTCCAAGAGGCGATGCGCTACGGACGACGCAGCAAGTTGGAACTCCTCTGGCGCTTGGGAGCCATTCCGTACTCCAAAGGATTGGATCAACGCACTTTGCCCTGGGAGTCGGAGGATCGTCACCATGTCACTGCCGACGCTTGGGCTTCCATTCCTGGTCCCCCTGGCGTCAACGCGAGTTCACCAATTCACCGGCCGCTCGAGGAATGGGGCCACCCGGACGACGCACCTCATCCCATGCGCTACGAAGCACCTCCGTTCGTCAACGCTGGTTGGGTCTATCGATTGTTTTCTGGGTATAAACGCCAAGAAGAGACGAACCCCGAGGCCGTCACGCTGCGCAACACGAACCGCATCAAAGGCATCGTCGCCTTTCTCGAGCGTCTCGATGAACAAATCGCTCGCGGCGAGGAAGGTTGTGATCCCGAGGAGGACAAAGCCGAATGCGGCTTCCACCCCGATCGCTTCTGGAACTTTGACGAGTCGCATCTCGAGATGCTGCGCAGTCTTTACGAGCAGGGCGAAGAACACTCGGTCAAAACGGTCCGCGACTTTGAGCACCAGATCCAGCACGCGTTCAACTATGTCTACAAGCATCTCGACACTCCTGAGGAAGAGAAGATGGACGCCCACACGGCTGCCCAGCATTCGCTCATGTTTGCGCTGGCGGGCTACCTCACGGGCGACGACAAGTACACAACCGTCGCTTCGCAGCTCATCATGCACCGCTTCGTCAACCAGCTGCCCCACTTTTACCTCGAGAAAGATCAGTTCGAACAGCAATTGGTTTACTCGGGTCTGGAGGGCGAGGACGAGACTTCGTTCGAGCATGCCCTGGCCGAGCACGGTTCCGCCTACGCCTTCCCCCCTTCACCCGTCGATCGTGGCGAAGTACCGAAGTGGAGCGCTCAGATCGGTCGACGTGTTTCGGCCCATGACATCCCTCGTCTTCCGTTCGACCCCTTGGACTTTGATCCCTCGATGATGCTCGACGCCGTTCGTCTGCTCAACCACCATGACAGCCCGCGCGATGACGGCGAGTCGCTTGTCAGCCGTGACATAGTGCAGCCCATGTTGACCGCGCATCTGTCGTGGCTTTTGTACTCGCCTGACGCGCTTCAACACTCGCGACGACCGCCGAACGCTGGCTCTGGTGCGGCTTACGATGCCAAGATTGCCGTTCTGGCCGCCTTCCTCGACGACGCCAAGTTGCTCGGACGTGTCGCGAACCGAGCGAGGCTGCGTTTGCCCGAAGAGAACCGCGAGCACGGGATCATGTTCGTTGACGAAGAGGTTAAGGCCGTGCATTGGCGATTGATTCAAGGCTTGTCGCACGTCAGATTCCGTCCTTATTCGAGTGAGTCGAAGCCTGCTGTGCCTTTGACCTTGAACAGGACCCCTGCTTACGCCGTTTTTTTGTTTTCGCAGTCATAATGGATCTCGACGATCTCGATCATGGAGGACACGACGGTAGTGCACATGGTTATGAGACGCCGATGGACATTCTCAACGTGTTCTGAAGGAGGACATATCGTCAACTGTATCCGCTCCCGTCCTCTCCGAGGTTTCAACTGGGGTTTCTCCTTTGATTCCTTCGTTCATTCAATCATGTCTTTCTTTATTGGGGTAGACGGTTTCCATTTTTATCCGTATGGACGCGATGTTTATATCTCTTGCTTTGTCGTTTGCATACCTCTTGTCGCAATCGCCTGTACCTTTTTTATAAAGATTCTTCTCCTCTCCACAGAAACCGTGTGGAGTCCAAAATCATTTTCTCTCAATTCGGTATTCCCTCTCTCGCGAGTGCTTGCTTCGTCAAACTGTGCCATGCTATAATGTATCAAGCATCAACACCATCCGGATGATCGTCAAGCCAAGCCTTAATCCAAGCCGCTATCCTCGCGACATTCTGCTCGACGTCCTCGGGACCTTCACTCGTGAGTTCGACAACGATCTCTTCGGCGTACGACTCGCGTGCGTCTTGCAGAACGACTTGCATGATCTCGGCTTCGTTGTTCTCTTGGATCTTGTTGAGCGTGTAACCACTGCGGGAAGGAGCGAATTTTGAGGTCAAGTGTTCTTGCCGAGCCATACCTTCCTGCAGCCTTGGACCTCTCGACAGAAACATGAACAAAGCGCTTGATAGTGTGCAAGAGTCTGACATACCGCTTCTCAAGCCGTGTCCACAACGTCGAATGCTCGCACCTGAGCACGACGACGAAGTCGATCCACCGCTCGGGGAAGATGTCGCACGTATGCCAGTCCAGTATCCGTCCACCCTTGCGCTGAACGATTTCCAGGTCATCCAGGAGCTGTCGTTTAATAAATTAAGCGTCAGTCTCAGCTCGTGACGCTGACTCTCCTGTAGAACTCCACAGCTCCTCCGGGCTGGCTCTCGCTCACGTGCTCGCACTCACCTTATCCTCATCGACGTCATACGTATCCCACTCCTCATTATACCCGCTATGACAATCATTGGCCTTGACAAATTCCGAAACATTGATGGTCTCCCATGCCGGCGTTTCTGCGCTAGACGATGATGCAGCGGGAATCTCGAGAGCTTGTAGAGCTTCGATCAGCTGCGAAGCATGGGTCGTCTTGCCTGTGCCGGGGGTACTGTAGGTGGAGAGCATGTTGCATGAGTGTGGGCGTGTTCGAGATGAGTCAAAGTTCTACTAACCCAGTCAGGAGGATGTTGGGGAGCTTGCGCTGCGACATGGTGCTGTGGTTTCGGGGAGAGAAGCCAAACGTCGACTCTTCGTTCAATGAGCGATCGGGACCGACCAAGCGCGCACGGACCTGCAGGCAAGAGTCGTCGCCTGCCAGGGGCCTGATTTTGTCGAAGATCCCAACGTCATAGAAGAGAGGGACTGAGTTTCCAGCACCAATGTTTTCTTTTTCTTTTTCGGAAGAGTCCGCTGGTTTGGTGAGGGTACTTCCGTAGGGAGAGGCTATCTTACACAAGCGAAAACAGAACAACATTATCCTTGGACGGAGACGCCACCTCTGGCAAAACCCAGAAAGCAGGCTGACCAAAGAGCGAGAACAGGGTGGGGAAGTCGAAGCTGAGACAAAAGAGGCTGGTAAAAATTAGATTTATATGTAGGATGAAACTGCTGCGTTGTGGACACGGATAAATTCCCTGAGCATGCACGAGTAGTATCTGTGTTCGTCGAGGTCGGGTTCAGCGACGAGGCGCAGGCCGGGCGGATCATCGCCTTTTCGTGGTCGGTTCGAGCCATCGGCTTGCTCAAGGTACCATGAGCCGTTCTCCCGCGTGTTTTGATGATCTTGGAGATTCTCAAGAGCTCCGAAGCCAAAGATCCTGCCATCGTCCGTTTTCGTGTCCGTGTCCGCGAGATTGGTTGACGATCGTTCGGCCGCTGCGCCACTACAGGATCGAGGGCTGGGGCTAACGTCGGATTCACCACGAGTTGTACCGTCGGGATGATGATCTGTTCGGCGTTGGTCTTCGAGTGTCTCCGTGAGCCATTGTGCGAACGTTCTTGTCTCGGGTTCGTGATCGCCGTCGTTGCTCTTCGCATAGGCGTAGGCGGCTTTGTGGGCTGCTCCTAAAGCGCTAGAGGTGGTGGTTGATCGAGAACAGTTGGGGATTTCGCACAGCGACTTGATCATGTATACCGGACAGCCGAACATCGTTGACAAGAGGCTCAGCATCGCGGGATTGACGCACGCGCCACCGACGGCGATGATTCGACTCGGCAACAGGTCTTCGTCGTGTGGTGGGAAACCCAGAGGGTCGTATGGAGGAACATCCCGTTGACGTTCTCTCGATTGGGCGAGGAGCTTGCTGTAACGCGAACGGAGTGATAAGAACTGTGATTCGAGGAGTAGACGAGGGTTGAGCTTGCGATCCTCGAACTCGGCAACGCGCACGCCATTTGCGCAGCGGACGAGACGATCAGACGAGGACCCGACATCTCCCTCGGAAAACCAAAACATGAATTTTTTGTCGTCAAGCCCGATGGAGCCACCTTTTTTTGGGCATTAGTTAGTTACATAACAGTCTCTCTGGGAAAGGACGCGCGGCAGCTGCTGGACTCACCATGGGGCGAGAGGGCGACAAGTCGGGCGAATGTATTCCAATCACCATTGCAGTACAAGTCTCGAGCGAGCGAACGACCGAGCGCGCTATTGCGCCCCACGATCTCAGCGAGGTACGTGGACGAAGAGCCTGAATCAATAACCGCCTCCGGCTTGGGCATAGGATGCAACATTGTTTGGTGATCAGAACCAGGGGTGTAGGTTGAACAGGCGACGAGCACCGTATCGGCATCTCCCACGCCGAGGCAAACGATGATCTCCCGCGGTCCATTGAGTGGGCAGCTCAGGAAGGTTGAAGGATTGTCCCCGCTGAAAGGAATAATCTTGCAGTCTGTTTATTCCACAATCGTGAGTTCGTGGGATCTGAGAATGAGATGTTATTGTTTATATTCACCTGGTGAAAAGTTGAATCGCTTGACGAAGTATTGATTGATTGGGCCAAGCTGTCACATGAGAAGGACCAGCATCAGCAAGGCTACTCATTTTACACTTTGTAACAGTTGAGACACCTCTGTAGTACCCCCATCGACGATAGGTCCTAGAAGACGTCGCAATTGCTCCGCCCCAGCGCCTCCCGCCTCCCCGTCGGCACCTATGTGTTGTCTCATGACGATCTCGAGCACCCGATTGTCCCAGTCGCGGGTAGTGATGTTGAACAAGTTTGTTGCGCATGCATCCGCAATATCCGTGGGAGCCATTCTGGTAGGTGTGACAACTTTCAAGTCAGCTGGAAGGTCATAGCCGGAGATGAACGGGTCCCTCACCGTCCCAGGAAGAGCGTGGCGAGGAGGCTGCTCTTGAGCATCACCCTACTAGTCCTGTCCCAGACACTTCGGCGCCCCTCGTACTGCGTTTCGATGCTGCGTTCTTGAGGGGCTTGGAACATGATATCCCGTGGGTCTTGGTTGTCAGAACCAAGATGCTTGCGATCGTCGTTCGCAACCTTCATCAGTTGGGCGGCTGACCACCCCGTCCAGCATTTGCTCCCCGTGCGCTGCGCCGCAGCGGCTTGCCCCCTTTTCCTCGCTTGCTCTTCCACCCATCGCGCTCGTCCTTTGTGGGCTGGAGGTTGACATGCGAGTTCAGGTTGGTCGGACAAGGCCAGTTCTATGACACGGCATTCTTCTTGGGTCGTACGATCGTTGCCGGTAGCCACGATGGGTAGGGAAAAGGCGCCCCTTTTGACCGACAGAACGGTAGACATGCGTGATTCAGAACGCTCAGAAAGCTCGGCCAGGAGGTCTGGAAACTCTGAAGACAGAAAGTGTTGGGTGAAGTGCTGGCCTGCACCACTGACGCGTCGGACTTTGAGAAGGAGGTCAGGGTCGGGACACTCGCGAGCGATCTTCTCGAGCAGCAAGTCCAGAACTTTGAGGCACATTTCGGTCGGCTCGCAGACCATGTCGTCAAAGCGATAGCACCCCCGGTTGGTGCTACATGTAGAAATATAGGAGTACAATATCAGCGATCACGTCGCCGCAGTGAGACACAGGCCTTTGGGACTGACAGGTACTCAGGGGCTTCGCTGTCACAATTGACCTCTTCGGTCCAGACAAGCCTGCAAGACTGGTCGATCACGACCGCTCGCATTTGCTTTTGAGAGGAATCAATCGCCAGAAAGAGTGGACCCGCGCCGAGGTCGATCGGGGATGGATGTTCGGCTTCGATAGAAGAATCGAGAGGTTGTACGTCGGTGTTGGTGATGAAACTAGATGAGCCGAAGGATGACTGATCCAGTTTTGAAGGCTGTCGTTGTGGGCTGCTCTTCCCATCTTCCAGAGCTGCTGACACCTGATGAGCTGCAGCTAGTGAGACAGCAGACGTACGAGTCAAGTTGACCGACGACGAGCTCACGTCATGGGAGGGGGGTTCCGGTGATCCAGCCGAGCGTGGGTTGGGCGGCGTTGTGCGGCCTCTAGGGTCGTCGGCGGCGCTGGCGTCACGTGAGCGTGAGCGAGAGTTGTAAGTCGGCTGCAACTCGGACTGTCGGTCTCTCCAAGTTGGCTCTGAAGTAGCGAGACTGTTCATCGTTGGAGAAAGGGTGGGCAGTGTAAGAAATTAGGTGGTGTTTGCGGGAGTTCAACTCCGAGACTGGGTGGTAGGCCGCGAGCCAGCGACGAGCTGGTCGTACAGCAAGGTTCGCACCTTAATGTATGGCGTGCTTTCCTGCTCTTCTCGGTAGTGACGTCCGTTCGGGTGGGTTTACGTGAAAGCGCTGGGTCTCTTGTATTTGGGCAGTGTGTGGGGCTTAGGGAGGAAGATGCGAAGAAGGCCGAAGGGCGAGCTGCCGCACGGGAAGGTGCAGGCAGAGTGCACGGCAGCCGCACGCGCCAGCCGAGTGACAGGCGCAAGATTCAGACAGGAGCTTGGTCAGTCTTCGAATCCCGCTCGTTCTTCGCGACCCTCGGAGTTGCGGCCCTGAAGCATTCATCAGGGGGTTCCGCGTCGAGCTCCACTCCAAACTTGAGTTCACGGCGCGGGCTAAGGCGCTGATCCTGATGTCCGATCAGCGACTCATTAGGAGCACAGCGAGGCCCAACTTTCTTCAAGCGATTCTTCTTCATACCGATGAAGGTAATCGAATGGTGACGTATTTAGTTTAGATTATTTCCTCCTAAGGTGCGGCCCTTGAATTGGATTCGGCTTTCTACATGCATCATGATATCGCAAGCGTTCAAGTTGCAACGTCGAGTGGGGCCCGAATTATCTTCGCCCACATGCAGCTCGACACGACTGGCGATGACGCGCCTCTAAATGAGCGAACTCGCTCGGCTCCCCGGGTCGCCTCGGGGTAGCGACCGCCCACGCTCGCCCAGGTCACCCCAAGTCGACTCAGTTCCCAAGCTGAGGGCGCACCTTGATCACCTCCACACAGCTTCCTATCTCCAAGTGCCGGCCACACCTAGTAGGTACCACAAGGCGCTCGCACAAATTCGGCGCCCATTCTCGGCGACGCGCAACCGACGTCTTCTCGGCGTTGACAAATACGCTACGCTCCGTCGGCTCGTAGCTCGTGGCTCGTGACTCGGCGGCTCGATCCTTGTGTTGGTGCATCGTTCATCGATCATGCCTGCCCCCGGGCGATCTGCCCCTGCGTCACCGCGACAACCATCTCGCATCCCGACGCGACGCTCGTCTGCCAGCACACCGCCATCGGCAGCAGGCAGCCCCACAACACCCGCTGCGATCGCTGCGAACCCAGCCTCGATCGGATCGCCCTCGAGACCAGCACCCTCCTCCACCTCGCACGGCACGCTGGCGCACTCGACGACAAACGAAGCAGGAAGGCGAGCAGAACGCTCAATATCAGTCTCACAACCCCACCGGTTGTCGCATGAGGCGAGCTTTGAGGCGAATATGGCCCCGGGGACGATCGACGTCATCTCTGGCTCACCGCATTTGTCGCCAAGTCCGCCACCGGAGACGCGGGAACGGCTAGGCGTTAGTCGGAGTGCACAGAAGTACCTGTCATCATCATCGTCGTCACCAAAGTCTTCACAGATACGCGAAGTCGAAGAAGGCTTGCGCTCCCCTTCGTCGCTGGTGTACCCGGCCCCGATCCGATTTCCCTCGCACCCAAGCCGACCGTCATCATCGACGACCACGGGCCAGCCCCGTCGATCGACATGTCCTGTTCGCCCAAAGCTGGAGCGGCCATTGAGTACGTGCTACACCTCTTTACCTGTTCCACCGCCTCGCACGCCAGGCGACGACGACGACGAAGCCTCGCCCTCGCAGCAGTGGACAAGTTGGCTGTGGGGGTCGAACTCGCGCCATCACCAGCAGCAGCAGCAAGGAGCCGACTCCCTCGCCGAGCGTGGTAGGAGGGGGTCGCCGATCAAGCGGAGCAGTGAAAGGGAACCTTCGCTCGAGTATTCGACGGCAGCGGGCGAAATGAGGTCGCGAGAAGGTCTACCCAAGGTGACGAGGCAGTGTCTCATCGCCGAGATCAAATGCTATGGCAAAGTGAGCCGAATCTTCTTCCTGCGCTCCGAGCCACGTCCGAGCTGACTTGTACCGCACTCCTCGTGGCCACAGTATATGCTACCGCCTATCATAGTGTTCCTCGGTCTTGTCATGTCGCTCGCTTTGGTGCTGTATGCGCATGCCCGCAGCCGACAATCTGATACAGATGTTCACCCTTGACCTCCGCGCCACCCGGCCTTCTTAATGCCTTGACTATGTTGTACTGCCCCGACTACCTCACATTTACGGTCTGTGCCTTGATGACACCAGAATCAGCTATATCATATCATTTTGTGCCCGATCAATCCAAATACACACTGGAGATTATAGCCTGTCAGTAGACTTTGACCCACGCATGAGAAACTGGACGTGTTCTTTTTGATTTCGCGTGACGAGATTTGAAATTTGACGTCGCGCTCGCGCGTCGGGTGGGCTTCTCCTTTGCCCCCCACATCATCTTCGGACGCTGACGGCGACACACGACACGATGATGGCCGAGCCATCGGCGACGCCAGGAATGCCCTCGGCCACGTTGAACATGATCCATGAGCTCAATCCGGCCTACTCGCGAGTGTTTCCCACCTCGACGACGGTGCAGGTCGCTCACGGCGCCGCCTCGTCGCACGCGTCGGCACAGTCGCTCGTCGTACGACCCGACACGAACCAAGTCGATACGCCCGAGTCGCTCAACGAACTCGCGACCAAGTCGGCCATGTTGAGGGTCATCCTCAATGGCTGGATCGAGGGACTCATGGCGGAACAGTCAAAGTCGGGTGCGCATGGTGAGTGTTTGTTGATCGAGAGATGACTTGTGAGAGGCGCGAAGCATCGGAGTGGGTGAAGGAATGCTCGAGGGGCAAGGGGACTCACTCACATGATATGAGATGCTGCACAGAATCTAATGGGCCGAGCAAGATGATCCGAGGTCTATCCGTCTCCCTACCCGGGCCACTGCTGTTCATTCGGTCCAAGCCTCGCGTGCTCGTCTTCCGCGTTCGCAAGCACTCCACCATCGCACCACCCACCTCCACCCTTGCAGGGCTTTCGGACTTGCGAGGACCTACACAGGCTAGCCTGAATGCAGCACTCACGACGAGCGACGATGGGCTCGCTGCGTACCTTCTACCACGGACGATCAAGGCCGCGGCGTGTCTTCAAGCTGCTTTGCTCGTCAATCCTCTACCACGTGACCCACAAGCCGAGGACGACTCGACCACGCTGTGGCGAGAACGCGCAAAGCTACTCAAGGATCTGGAGGAGGTCATGGTCACGGTCGTGCACGTCTTGGCCGAGTCAGGGGTTCGAATCGAATATGGCAATCCGAGGGAGGGAACTACCCGAGGCGGGGTCGGACGAGCGCGTGAAATCATGACGGATACGATCGATCTGATCAAGGGTGAGCACGAATGCCTCTTCTATGCTTCAGCACGACCAGTCTGCCCACTCGAATCTCTGTTCTTTCTTCCACTCGCGCAGCATTGTTCACGAGACCGAGTTCGGATCCGTATCCTTGGCGACTGACGATGTCACAGTCCCACGTCGACACCTTTGACGACGATCAATCTTCAATCGAGGTTCGAAGCCCCATCCACGCTCGCGCTCTTTCTATACTTCTACTTCGATTGCTCCTCAAGATGGCCTCACTATCGCCTTTCCTCGCCGAATTCACCCCACAAATAGTCGACTTGATCGTTCAGTCGTGGCCCCGACGAGCGGTTCTTCGCCATCATCAGTCGAACGCGACAGCATCGATGGCGTACACAAAAGGCAAGCAGAGAGCTTACGACCACGATCTCAATGTGATTGCTGCCTTTCTCGAGCTCATCGTCGAAGTGCTGCATCGCCCGCTCGGCACGTGCTCCGACCAGGTCGTTGGAGCACTTGTCCATTGCGCGATGGACGAGCTGCACAGCAGGATTAGCTCGGAGGCCTCAACGATCAACACAAGAAAGGAAGATGCTACTGCATCATCCCTGATCGCTGATTCCCTCGCTGCCATCTCGGCCTCGCTGTACACCAGCCTCGCTCACGCCGAGTACGCCGTCCATCACGGCGGCTCACAGCTGAGGCAAATCCTCGCCCACGTCGTCGTCGAAAACGCAGACCACTTTGGCGAGAACCTCAAAAATTCAATGCAACCCTTCGGTATCCGAATCGCGTGCCTCTTCTCTCTCGCTTTTGCGCTCGCTCCGTCGCCATTGGCCTTGTCGATCCCTGCCGTCGACCCGCCGCTCACGTCCGCCGCCGAATACCTTCCGCCTTCGGTCGCGTTCGCCTTGGCCGAATACGTCTCGCTTCACCCAACGATGCCTTTCGACCTCAGCGGCTCCTTGAAACATCTTCGCGGGCCAGCTACTGTCGCCTGGCAGCGCCTGAGTCATGATTTGAACCCCTCCGCTGCGGACGCGCCATTCGTGGCCGACACCTCGACCATGAACCGCAAGAGAACTCGTCAAGGCGATTTGATGGTGGTTCATTCGAGCGACGGTTTGGATATTGATGGGATGCCAGGCTCGACCGCTCGGCGGGGGCTCAAAGTGCTGTGGAAGGAGCCGGTGGCCCAGATCCTCAGAACCTGCCTTCGACCAGCAGACAGGGCTCTCGAAAGCGTCGGACCCGACCGCGTCATCCAAAGCCTCGCGAATTCGCTCGATATGGAACATGTTGCAAAGTCAATCGACGACCTGCGGACGATCGGTCTGCTCGCCTGCGCCCGCGATGGAGCGCTTGTATTTTCACCTTCATCAGACCACACAAGCTCCGTACTCGAGCCCTCTTGTCGTTTCTGCGACGCGTGGTCAAGTGGATCCTCCAAGATGGACGACTTGGAGCAAGACCCGTCGCTCGCAATCGGTGGCGGTAGATCCTTTAACGATGGTCCTCTGACCTGTCTTCGCAAAGCTCTCCGGGTCGTCGGATCTTCGGCCGCGGATCCTAAGCTAAAGCTCGCGTTCCTTCGAGCTTTACTTCGTATTCTGCGGCATTCGCGCATTGCTGCGGGTGTGTGGGATCTTTCGCGCGTCGAAGTGCAAACGGAGGTCGGGGCCGGTCATCGAGACTTGTTGCTCGGTTTCGTGGTCGAGCAACTCGAAGCTTCGAGCAGGGCATTACGGCTGGCAGCAGGGCGTGTGCTCGGGGCTGTGTGCCATGCGCACCAGGTTCAAGACCGTGACGCGGCATTCGTCGAAGAGCTCTTCGAAAATGTTCTCAAGCGTCGACTGTCTCACCCGAGTGCATCGGTGCTTGAAACAACTTTGCTCACTCTCGGCCGGATCGCACGGCTCTCAGTACCACAGGCCAAGCTCGAGTGCGAGGCCCTCGCTGGTTTGGTCGGTCGACTTGGACATTCAAACATCTTTATCAAAAGTGTGGCCAAAACGCAGCTCGAGGCCGTCGCTACATACCGCGACATCAAGACGTATGCGCTGGTGCAGCCCCATTTTGCGACCATCGCCCCTCTGCTCGTTGGGCCCGGATCGGCGACAACGCTCGCTGCTGCCCTGGACTGCTTCCACCAGCCACGCGAAGCTTTGCTGCGCTTGACGCGAGAGCACACGCTGCCCAAGGTCGTGCTTGAAGAGAACGCTTCCGCTATCGAAGACATTGCGAAGGCGTCATCATTAACGGTTCCTGTCATGCTGACACAAGGTGCACCGGCGGCGGCGGTGCTGGCCAAGCTCTACATGCTCGAGGACGAAAGAGCGCAGAAGAAAGGCTTGGTCTTCTACATGAAGCAGATCAAGGCGAACGTGCAAGCACAAGCTCTTGGCAAAGGCGCCGTCACGCTACCGGCCATCCTTGGAGCGCTCAAGGTTCCGCTCGTGTATCGCCTTGCTTTAGAACTGGGCGATGAGTCTCCCCGCGTTTCGACTCAGGTCCGTTCAAACTTGGGCAGTCCACATCAACTCTAATATGCTGCGTTACTAACGAATGCTTTGACTTCGTGACCCGCACAGGCTGAGCGCGCGCTGAGAAACGTGGAACGGGTCAGCGAGGCCATGACAAGCAAGACGAATATTGAGCTTGGCGAGGTCCTCAAGGCCAGCATTGTCGGTATCCTTAGTCACATGAACCGAGCCCTGAATGAGCCAACGGCGCATCGACCCCTGCGCGATAAGCAACAAATCATCCGCAGTCTCGCCGCCGTCACCGGCCGAGTCGGTCCAGCCATTGCTGGCTTCTCGCCACAAATCATGGCCACGCTGCAAAGCGCTCTCGAAGTCGAAGGTCTGCGCGAGGTGACCTTGAAAGGATTCAAGTCATTCATCAGCTCGCTTAAGTTCAGCGAGATTGGACCCTTCATCGGACCTTGTACGGCCACGTTGGTACGGCTGTGGCACGACTTCACCCCCATCGAGAAAGCGGAAGCGACCCACACGATCGAGTACATTGTGCTGAAGAATGGGGACGACCTTAAATCGTTCGTCCAAGATGTCGCGGATCTTGGTGGCATACCAGAGCTGGCCCAGTGCCAGCAACGGCTTCTGCAGACTCGTCGACCGTGGAGCTTTGGTCGTAAGACGGAGCACCTGATGGCCCGGATCTCGAGCGAAAACGACGTCGTCTCATTGCAAGCGCTGAAAGAACTTAAGGAACTTATGGGCACCTTTGACGTCGATTTGCAACAGTTGCTGGCGGGCGACATCTTCGATCGCTCGATCGGATCGCTTGTAAAGGTCTTGTTCGGAGCCGCCGTCAAAGATGGCCCCGATCAGGACCGCATTCGCAACATGGTCTTCGAATGCCTGGGTATACTCGGGGCCTTGGACCCTGATCGCTTTGAGTTGCCCCCCGGTGATCCGCCGACCATCGTGCTCGAAAACTTCACCAACAAGGAGGAATCGGCCGAGTTTGCTCTCCATCTCATTCAGGACCTCCTCATCGGCGCGTATCGCAGCACGAACGACACGAAGCACCAAGAGTTTCTCGCCTATGCAATTCAGGAGCTGCTTACCTATTGCGGCTTCACCCCCGACCTCGTCCTCTCCAGCGCCAGCGGCAATTCGAAGTCCAAGGCGGCAGTGGACCAGTCGGTTCGCGAGCGGTGGAACCGGCTGCCCAAATCCGTGCTCGAGACCTGTGGCCCTCTCCTCGGTGGCCGCTTTTCGTTCAAGGAGCGCAGCATCTCGCACACGGTTCAATACCCCATTTATAGCACGACAAGCTCGTACCGAGACTGGATCCGCATCTTTGCGAACGATCTCATCCTCAAGCTTGAGGGCGAAGCCAAACGTGTGTTTGGCCCTTTCCCGCCGGTCTTGCATCTCGAAGACATAGCCGTGGCCCAGCACCTGCTACCCCATTTGGTGCTCCACTCACTTATTTCGGGTACCGACGATGATCGACTCCGGATTGGGACCGAAATCCGCGAAGTGTTGGCCGATCAAACCGCGTGCACTCGAGCCGTGTCCGAAAACAGTCGTCGTTTGAGCGCGCAGACCGTCTTTGATCTCATGGATCACGTGAGTCGATGGATCACACTGGCGCGCAAGCGCTTGCTCGAACTCAAGAGTCGGCGAAGAGGTGCAGCCGCGTCGACCAAACACAAGTCGTCGTCGATCGAAAACGCCTTCCAGGTTGCGCTCCTGAACGTCGAGAGCACACTGCAGGCCATCCCGCGCATTGTCGTCGGACATGCCGCACTCACTTGCAAAGCGTATGCTCGCGCTTTGCTAGCATACGAATCCCACATTGTCGCGTACAACTCGCAAAAGGACGTGCCAGAGGATCATCACCTGCAAGACGACTACGAGCATCTGCACGAATGCTATGCTGCGCTCGATGAACCCGATGGGATGGAAGGCATCTCGACCAAGATCACGTCCGCGGGTGTGCAGCATCAGATTCGCGAGCACGAAAGTACGGGGCGTTGGACGTCGGCTCAGAGTTGCTGGGAAATCATGTTGCAAGAGGAACCGATGAATCCGAACAACCACGTCGGATTAATGAGGTGTCTGCAAAACCTTGGTCACTACGGTGAGTGTGATGCTTCGGGTAGCTTATCTTGTCCAAAAACGTTCTGGCTAGACCATTCCTTTCGTTGGTCATGCAGATTCGATGCGAACTCATATCGCGGGTATCCTGCACTCCAGCGGCGACCCAGCTGTTTGGGATCGGATCTTGGCTCCGTTCAATATCGAAGCGTCCCTCTTTGTCGGTGACTGGGACTCAGTCGAGCAGACATTGGGACTACCGGAGCTGACCGGACCAGAGGCCGCCTTTGGTCGCGTCGTATGTGCCATGCGTGATGCCATGAGTGCCGACTACAAAGTGGACGATGTTGAGAGCCCGATGTCGTCACTTGAGCAAGCTTTTTCGGAGGCCCGGATGCAGCTCGGGAGCCCGATCGTTGCCGCGGGGCGGGAGTCGTATGGTCGAGTGTACGACGGTGTGGTTCACCTCCACATCCTCAACGAGCTTCAAGCGATCCATCTCGCACCTCGATCGTCCGCCATGGAGTTGCCGCCTGAACTCATCGCTCGTCTCAACTTCCGGTATGGGGTGACTTCTCCTTCCTTCCGAGCACGAGAGCCGATCCTCAATATGCGCAGAACTGCGTTCCGACTTCGGTATGTTGGCATGTACACAATACTTATCCCACGGGTGGTGGAACACTACTGATGCCATGTCACATTGCCCGACCCAGACCGCCGGGCGTCGACAAGTTGCCGAAGCCGCGCATCAAAGAGATCGGTCGCCTCTGGCTCGAAACGTCAAAGATTGCGCGCAAGGCTGGTCACACCCAGACAGCGTACAGCGCGATCTTGCAGGCGAGGGAGCTTCAGGCGCCGTACACGTTCCTTCAGAGCGCGAAGCTGCTCATGGCTGGTGATCAGTCCTACCGCGCCATGCAGGAGATTGACAACGGTCTGAGAGCAGCTATGGCCCCTCCGTCCCAAGGACCCTTGGTTCGGAACACTGGCGAGTCCCCAGGACCCCTCGCCAAGGTGAGTCAAAGCTAATATCGGCACGGCCCGATCTCGGAGTACTGGAGCTGACCCGGCCACCGAGCTTCGCGTATTCTCAACAGGCCGATCTTCGACGCGCAAGGTGGATGCATGAGGCCGGTCGTTTGGAGAGTGATGAGATCATGACACTCTACCGCGATGCAGAGAAGCTGGCTCCCGAGTGAGTCCCCCCTCTCGACTGGCTCGTCCAGTGCATGCAGGATTGAGCCTGATCTGACAAATCGAATCTTGTTGCAGATGGGAAAGTCCGCCTTACTACCTCGGTCGCTATCTTGACCAGTTCTGTGAGGCTAGTCTGCTCGTGCTGGGCAACAGTCGTAAAAAGCCTGATCTCGTCACGTGAGTACAGTCGACCTACTAGAATCCTCAAATGGACTCTGACATTCCTCCCGTTGCAGCGAGCTTTGTCACACCCTCGACTACCGGGTCAGAGTCGTGGAGATGTTCATCCAAGCGCTGTGTCGTGGCACCAAGTTCATCTACCAAGCCATGCCGCGCATGCTCACGATCTGGCTCGAAATCGGCGATGCCAAACCAGTCATCGACGTCGTCAATCAGCGACGGGAAGAGCCTCGAGTCGAGCTCCGCGGCAACTTATTCGACCTTCACAATGCGTTCATCAGCCTCGACAAGCTCATCAACAAGGCCGTCACCAAGTTGCCGGCCTATCAGTGGCTCACAGTGCTTCCACAACTCGTATCGAGGATTTTGCACCCGAACAAGAAAGTCGTCGAAACACTGGAAAAGATTCTCTCGCACGTGCTACGGTCGTACCCGCATCATGGATTCTGGGCCATGGCTTCGGGTGCAAAGTCCACGACGCAGCAGCGCTCGCGCAGGAACATGCGGGTGCTCGAGAAGGCCAAAGTAGGTCACGGTGGCCTTGCGTTTCTCTCTCCCTCTGCAGCCGATTGGTCCGGTGACTGACGCTGTCACTCTTGCTCCTGCCGTCATTCTTAGTCCGTTGCAACCGCGAACAGTAATGTCTCGAGCCTCATCGATGTCGGACTCAAGCTTGTCGACGAGCTTCTCGGGCTGTGCAACTACTCCCTTGAAAAGAACAATACGCATCCTCGATTGCACAAGGATTTCCCTCAACTTCACCGCCTTGCGCCCACGGACTTGATCATTCCCCTCCAAAGCTCGCTTAACGTCACGTTGCCGTCACAATCGCAATCGCGCAAGACGATGACTCATCAGCCATTCCCAGAGCGGCTTCCTTCATTCAATGGTGAGTGATGGCGAAGTCAAGAGACCATCAAAGGTAAATTGTCAACGTTGATTATATATTCCGTGGCGCTGGCCAGACTTTGACGACGCCATCACGATCATGAGCTCTCTGCAAAAGCCGCGCAAGATCACCGTCATCGGAAGCGATGGCATGCACTACAGCTTCCTCTGCAAACCCAAGGACGACTTGCGCAAGGACGCCCGGTTGATGGAGTTCAATTCGATGATCATCAAATTGCTCAAGAAGGACTCTGACGCACGTGGACGTCGCCTAGGTGCGCAAGGGATAGGAAGCCTTTCGCTCGCCTTGGGACTGAGCTGACCCCGGCCATGCGATCGTAACTTCAGGAATTCGAACCTACGCTGTCGTACCTCTTAATGAGGACTGTGGTCTGATCGAATGGGTCCCCCACGTGGTCGTGTTGCGAGGGGTCCTCAACAAGGCCTACCAAGCCAAAGGCATTGCACCATGGGTGAGAAAGCTTCTGCGAAAATCACGTGCTTCATTAGCACCTGCCACTCATCATTTCCTGCCTTTCGAATTGCAGAGCCCCGAGCTCAAAAAGACTTTTGACACCATTCGAAGCAATCCCAAGGAGATCGCCAACCGATTCGTCAACGAAGTGCAGAAAAAGTATGTCTCGCAGCATCAACCCACGGCCGATCGCTTAGGCTAAGTTGACGCACGTGTTTCATCTTTGAACCCGTAGCTTCCCCCCGGTCTTTCACGAATGGTTCTTGGAGACATTTCCCGAGCCTTCAGCCTGGCTTCGGGCTCGATTGGCCTACTCGCGCACTGCTGCTGTCATCTCGATGGTCGGATTCGTTCTTGGGTCAGTTTCACTGGACGCTCATAGTCCATCCACGTGAATCGCACACTCAACTTCAGTCCTCACCACAGTCTCGGCGATCGACATTGCGAGAACATCCTCCTCGACGGGACCACAGGTGACACCGTCCATGTTGACTTCAACTGCCTTTTCGATCGAGTGAGTGCCTCAGGCTTCACCCGTCTTGACAAGGAACCACTCACCCACGTTCATGTTGGGCATCCCAGGGCCGGACCTTCGACGTCCCTGAGCAAGTTCCATTCCGCCTCACAGCGAATATCGTCGATGGCATGGGCGTGACCGGCGTAGAAGGTGAGCTTGAGTCTCGCAGGTGGGATCGAGCGGATAGCGCACTCACTGGACATCTGAAAACGCGCAGGTGTTTATCGCCGTGCTGCTGAGATCACATTGCGGATCCTGCGTGACAACAAGGACAGTCTCATGTCGGTGCTCGAAACTTTCCTCCATGACCCCCTAGTGGAGTGGCAGCCGTCCAAATCTCGATCTGTACGTCTTCCTACATACTCTCCCCTACCGGCTTTTGAGCTGACATCACAGACTCGTACAGGACAAGAAGACGACGGGCAAGGATGACCAAGGCTCGATCATTCGCAAAGCCAAGACTAGTTTGGATCCAATCTCCAACAAACTGCGTGGCCTGCAAGTGACTTCTGATCCTGCGAGCCTTGGGTCGAAGGAAGTAACGATTGGAGAACAAGTCGAGCGCTTGATCCGTGAAGCGCGCAACCCCAAGAACCTGGGGTCGATGTATGTAGGATGGTGAGTCTTCACGTGACCGGTCTTTGAGTCTTGCCGCTCGCGTGACGTATAATTCGAGAGCTGACTTTTTGTGCCTTCTCTCTCAAGGTGTGCGTGGTTTTGAGCGGGTCTGTCTAGCTTCTATCTTCAAGAGGCCATTTTGTACATCATACAGTTGTTGTAATCTACGTTCACCGATGAAAATCAAAGATTTGGCATAACCAAGAGGAATTGTGTGTGATTATGACATCAAGGTTGATGACTCTGGCAGACGATCAAAGGAAACACCATAGCCGTTTCTGAAAGGGAGGAGGACGAAGAGGCGTCAGCAAGATTGCCGCGTCGAGCCCGAGGAGTTCAAGACTACTCACCGTAGCAAGCAATCAATCAAAACGGCGTCCTTCGCCTGCCCGGAGGTCAAGTGCAGGTATTCTCCATAGAATTCGTCTCCACTCTCAGCAGCATCAGAAGTGGGTGGCTGCTGGATCTGAAGCTCAGGTTGTTGCAATTGCCGTTGAAGCACCTCCAACGCTATCCTCCTGGCCTCCGCCGCTGCCAACGAGTCAAAACGACCACGGATTGTTGCATCGCTACCTCGTTCGCGATACGGCAAGAGATGGGACCGAGATCCTCGTGCGGATAATGTGGCATTGTAGTTGAATTGGCTCGGGGTTCCATCGTGCTTCGAGTGGGCCCACTGCGTCGTCGCGATCGGTGTATCGGGGGTTTGGAAATACTCGCCTGGATGGAACGAGCCACCAAACGAAGGAGAGCCGAAAGTGGGCCCCTGCCCCAACCCCTGTGGTGCCTCGTACGCCTGCCACTGGTGACTAGTGACTTCGACCGTCGCGGTTTGGCGGGACTCCATTGCTGGTGATTCTTGAGGCACCGCCAGGCCTGAGGGTGGCGACACAAAGAATGGTTGCCCCTCCACGTGGTAGCCAAAGTCGCCAATGTGGCTTTGCTGCTTCCATTGGTTCCATGGCGCGTCCTTCGGATTCTCGAACCTCGGTGAAAATTGTTCGCAATCACTGCCATTGGACATTTCACTCGATGAGCTGCTGGGTCTGTAGTCCGAGTGATCACTCGCGGACGGGGAGGAAGCCTGGTCTGTTTGCCGTTCCTCTTGATTGCAACCGATCGCGTTGAGCTCGGTACCCAGAGTGTCCATCGGTAGGGAGGTCCCGAACATTTCCGCGATCTCCGGGGGCAAGTCGTAAGCGGTGAGACCCTCGGCCGCGAGTGGTGAGTGAGCCGGCGGATTGAAATCCGGAGTGGGACGCGTGAGCTCCCATCGTCCCAATGAGAATTTGCGCGCTTCTCCGAATTGCCCCAACACGGGCGAAATCAGCATCACGTCCCCTCCCTGGGTCGTCCTGCCAAGAGTTCCGCGTCGTCGCATGCCAGCAAGTGGAAGGTTGAGCTCTGATTCCCTGCGCCCCGCCGCAAAAATTGCGGGGTTGCCATTGCCACCGAAGGCGGCCGAAGATGGACTCGGCATGACCTGCGGTTCAGTTCGAGTGCTGCTTGTCTCAGGGCGCGTGGACGGGGTGGGCGAGCTGAACGTCTGGTAGAAGTGCTGCATCGACCGAGGAGAAAGGATGGGAGGCGACGGGAAAGGCCGGGCCAAGCCTCCGGGAGATAGACCGAATTGGGGGAAAGAAAACGACGACAATTGCAAGGAACCACGGTCGAGCCGTTTGGATGGAGTGGGTTCCTGCCTTCGCGCCGCATTGCCATGAGCAGAAGTGGGGTGTGGCTGTTGTACGTGGCGTAGGGGAGAGTGCTGCTGCTGCTGCTGGCTCTGCGTTTGTCGCTGTCGATGTGCTTGTTGCGGCTGTTGCGGCTGAAGGGGCGCCTTTGAGTGGGATTGTGCAACGAAGCAATTGAGCCCCTGAAGGTACTCATATTCCGCCGGCGCCGTGGATCCACCGGTCGCTTTGAGCCCCGAGTAGCCCGAATTACGCTTTGTACCATCCGTAGGAATTTCGAGGAACTGAACGGGATACTCTTCCTGCGCGTAATTGTCGATCTGGATGCCTGAGGCGTGGAGGGCATTGGGCGACTGCTCGGGCTGCACAGGCAACTGCGAGGCTGCCGAGGGACCATTTCGAGGCTTTTTTGGGGGAGAGCGAGCGGGAGGTGGGGGAGGTACCATGCCTTTGTTGACCGCGTCCATCACGGTGTCGAAGGTCCACTTCTGTCGGTTGACTTCACCAAGAGATATGTCGTCTGCGGAGCTTTCCTTGGCTCTGCGACCGCTTGGTCGAGATCGAGGCTTGGCTGGTCGCTTCTGTCGTGTTGGTCCGGTCTGGGTTCCTTCGGCTCCATGAACCTTGAGGTCCTCCGACGAAGCTCCTCCAGACCTCAAAGACTGAGCAATGCGCCTCTTCTCTTCCTCCTCCTCCTTCTCGATTAAAAGGTGCGCTCCGCTCGAGACGAGCAAGTCCGAGGCGACCTGCTCGCACGCACGCTTCTCGGCTTCGACGTCGGCTTCGTCAACGACCATCCTACGCTTGCGGATCTGTCCGGGTGTCCGATAAACGGGCTTGTATCGATAATCGGGGTGGGCGGCAAGGTGCTCGGACTTCTTCTCCTCGGCCTTGATCTCCCAATACTTCTTGTGCGAAACGGGCAAGCTTTTCCAGAGGTGAGAAACGATGCGAGAGATATGACGATGGTCGTTGATACCAAGCACCGAGAGCTGTTGTGCTGTTGGTGTCCCAGGTGCGTCGTAATCCTCTTCTCCAGGTGCCGGGGGTGAGCAGCAGTGCGAGCGGAACAGAATAAAGGCGTTGGGAGGACGTTTGATGTGACCTGGCGCGGTCTTACGAGCGTGCGACACTTTGGGTTTAGGAGCCAATTGGCCAAGTTCCGTCTTTGCGACGAGTTCTACATATGCATCGCTGTCCTGTGCTGTCGGTGTGTTGAAGGGAGAATGAGAATCATTTTTCAAAGAAGCGTTCGTTGTCGGGGTCTGGCGGTCCGAGTCGGTAGGGTGCGCAGATGACACACTGATGTCTTGAGTGTGGGTGCCGAAGTCAACGCGAGATTTCGTAAAGGGCATGGTGGGAGTACGATATTAGACGTTGGCTATATATCTGGCTGATACGCACCGCAGTAGATCAGCAACACCTCTTGACCACACCATCGAGCCAGGGAATGAAGCCTACCTCTGATGTCGTCGACACTATGTTCTCAGGAGCCCAAGCGGGGGAAGAGATGTTCCGCCCTCGGTGAAGCTTGAGAAGAACCAAGATCTGTGGAACGAGGGCCACGGTCCCGTCGCAGAATATCAATTTTCAATCGCTTCCCTTCTGTCGATTTGCCAGAGCGGGAGACTGGACCGACCTCCGGACTTGCAAGCGCCGACGAGTCAATGAGCTGAGCCGGTGATGCTTGATAGATTAGCCCTAATTAAGGTTGATGCCTTGGCAACAGTCCTCGGATGGGTGCAGAGCTTTTTGGAGATGCTCGGTTTCGTTTCGTAGCAGAATTGTTCCGTTTCGTCCTTCTTCACTGCGACCTTGGTTTGTGCAGGCTGCGCTGAGCTCCGGAGCAGGGCGTCAAGTCGACGAGACAATGCCGACCGCGCGCTTTGTGCAATCTTCGCTCGACGAGGCGGCCGTTGGAACGAGAACGTAAGCGATGTGTACGTGGGTAAGGTCAGCAGAGGAAGAAAGGTGTAGGCAGATAAGAGTGGCATTGACACGTTCCGGCTAGGGCGGGACAGCGAGCATACACAGCTAGTGTTCTTGTAGCTGAGTTTGTGAGACAAAGGGATTCCTGAAAGAACTCGCCGCGAATCGGAGACCGAGCGCCGCGACGGAGTCCGAGCGCAGTTGGGTGGTCGGCTGCCCTATTACCGGCTGCCGGCGCGGCCGAAACATTGATCGGCGCCCGCGTGTGGGTTCCAACTTCCAATTCGAAGCGAGCGCGAGAATACTGCACAACTCGCAATTCAAGCCCTGTTCGCGTATGAGCGCCAGGTTTTCTACCGCCACCGGCCCCTCATTGACCATGACCGAAGTTCCCTCATTTTGAGCCCTCTACTTAGATAGATACCTATACCTGTTAGGGCTCGGGAGGCGCTCCGCCTCGCTGCGTAAATGAAGGTCGTTGCGAGCTCCGCCCGCAGGCCCCGCACCTCCCGGACCGTGGGGAGGGGGGGGGGGAGGGAAAGATCGGCGCGCGCGCGGGGCTGCGAACCTTATTTTGTCGTGCATTCTTTTTCGGTAGAAAAAAAAGTAGATAGATAGACAGATGCCCCATTTTTCTGGTGTCTCGTCCAGTTGGATAGCACGAGTCGGCAGCGTGCAAGGCCGGTCAGGTTCATCCGCAATCACAATGATCGCGGCAGATAAAGACAGGTCGTCGATTCTGACGCATTCTGGCAGCAACCGACTGGGAACTAGCGGGGACTGCCTAGAGGTACTTTCCATCATGACTCCCGTCGCAGTCTACGGTAATGATTGTTCGGAGTTGCGTTGCGAGACACAGTGCATTTCCTTACTTAATCTTAGAGGTAGGCGATCTCATGAGAGACTAGCTGCCTTCTCTGACCCGAGAAAACCCAGATTGTCCCAGAAGCTCAATCGAAAGTCAAAACACGCCCGTCGCGGAGAAGGGTGCTCTGCAGATCCATTTCCAAGACACCTTTTAATAAGCGCTTCAGCCTTAAAGAGTGTCAGCGATCAGACAATGATTCGGGGAGTTTGAGGTTGGAGGAGGACGTGCACACACGTGCCAGAGGAAGCTTCTTGTGAGACCATGTCATGGGATCTGCACGAATTCAAGTCGGGGTTCCCAACCTCAAATGATGCAATTTTAGGGATTTCTTGGACGAAATGGCCAAGATACCCCACGTGCGCGTGGCTATTGAAAACAGATAGGAGAGCCTGGTTGAGACACTGGACTGTTACCCCCCCACTCGGCGAGAAACGGTGGGTAGTGACCAGGTACCAGGCTGTTCCCTGTTTGGACGTCGGCTGAGGAGAGTGAGGACACTGACGGAGGAACCGTACAGGTAGCGTCGATCACAACTGAGCACCGTGTTCCGACTACTCTGAATCGCCGATCATGGTTGACCTACTCATTTCTCTTTCAACTTGTGCAAGTTAGCCCGCGTACCATCCGAGTCGCCCAAATGACTGAGACAGCGCCTGGGCCGTACGACGTCAACACTCGCGAGATTTGTCGGCCAAAGACGCGCTTTTCTTCTTTCACTCGTGACACGCACAGCGTGTACTCAGCACTCCGAGAAGGATTCGAGTATATGCAGCCAGAGGTGGTGAGCTATGCCAGGTATACCCGTTCTTTGTTGTCGAGCTCAGGAAGAGAGGGTCAGGGTTCCCCATTAGATGTCCAGATATCTATCTTAGCATATCTCGCTAAGATATAGATGCCATCTTATCTAGGGGCCGAATATCTTAGATAGATAGATAAGGCCCCGGGGGTTTCCTTAGATATCTTTAGGATATTTTAATGTTTTAATCCATATATTCCAGCTGATATCTTAACTTTTTTTGTGTCTGATACAGACTCCTGTTGCGCTGGAAGTTGTAGTTTCCACTAAGGAGGTTCTTGCTCCTTAGCGAGGACATCGAATTTCAAGTCGTATTCGGCTCAATCCCCATGTTTATGCCGCATGGTTTGGCCCAAGCGCTGACCGCGGGTGAGGCTGCACGGCTTGCCGACGGGCCAATTTGGGAGCTGAGGCTTTCAGACGTTTTTGCTGCCAGAGGGTGCTTATCAACTAATCACACAAACCACACAAAGAAAGGAGGTGCAATTGCGACATTTTGTGAACTTCGCAATGTACCCCGGCGCCGTTCTCTCTTCTTTCTTCGCTCACTTGCACTCTCACACCTCGCCAAACGACTATAATCAATCTGAGTCTGTGCTGAAGCAAGATGGATCATGAGCTCCCCACTGCTGAGGAGGACCTTGTGTGTACGGAATTCGCCACGGACAAAGAAGCGCAAAATCTACTCTCAGCTGAGAGGAGAGGTGGCTCCGCAAATGATCGCTGGCAAGCTCGCTGCGCCGACGCTTTGATTAGATATCTATTAGATATCTAGGCATCTATCTAAGATATCTGACTAAGATGGGAGATAGATAGATAAGGGCCAGAGCCCAATTTTTTTAGATAGATATCTAATATCTGCGAGATTATCTTATCTAATGGGGAACCCTGGAGAGGGTTTCCTTCAGAGTTTCAGGGACCCTTCGCCCCGGGGCGCCTCAATTCGCTCTCCATTGGATGCTCAATTACACGGACCTACCCTGGAATGGCGAGCGAACGAGCGAAGACGTCATTTCTCGGCGAGTTCGCTCGCCACAGTCGCCTGTGCAGGCGGTTTTCACGACGAGAACAAAGCGGAGGCGCGATTTGCTTGGCGCGCGCCATACACTCATTCACTGTTGAATTTTCTCACGTTGGCGAACTTAGGACGGACTTTAGACCCGTCAGCACGGTCAGCACAGCTCGTAAGACAGCAAACTACACGAATGAACTTCACGTTGATCCTGATAGGCAGTGTTGACTGAGGTCCACGTATATCCGGCCAGGGCACAGGACAGGATGATGTAGTGAGGGACCGCCGATTCGGCAGGCGATAACTTCAAGATCGCCGCCATTCAATAGCTTGCGCACGGCCGCGGACGTCGGCTACAGAGCGCCGATAGAAGAAGCACCGAGGGACCCGCCGCTCGGTTCGGGAGCTTGGTAGCCGGATCGATTCAGCTGTTGCCGTACCGAGGTAGATCTCCTAACTAGGTAGGTCCGGTAGAGCCCTCCTCGTGCCGCACCGATCTCTACCTGTTCTGTACTGCCGCAACGCGTCTGCTGGTGGGTCGGCAGCTTCCGGCCGTAGGACACCCCGGCGGCAAGGCAGAGCGGCAGAATGCCGAAATATTGATCAAACATTGGGCTGCAGACTTTCGCCAATCCTTTTCGTACACACTAGGGCTCGTTCGTACATATATCGTGGTCATTGCAAATTTAAATGGTGCCTAGCCTGACGACGCATGGGATCCTTCTCATCTCTGGTTAGATCTCCACCTCCGAGGCTTTCTTCAGCCCCTCCTTCTCTAAGAGTGCGTCGATTTCATGCGGCTTGTAGATGTGAGCAAAAGGCAATCCAGACTGGGCATCGAGCGTCAATGTTGCGAGTTCGACTGTGAAGAACACAGGGAAGAGTTAGCTCCCCTTCGATGTTCGCAAGACTAGCTCACTCAGAGCTTAAAACTCACGCTTCTCCGAATCAAGTGTCGTTGAGTCCATCGTCTTGCTCAGCACCTTCAGAGCCAATCCAAGACTTTCGTTCAACCCAATGTCGTCGCGGTAGTCTTGTCGCAGCAGGCTCTGCGCGGTCGCGTTGTTCGCGCCGATGCATGTTGCCTTCCACCCAGAGTAGTTACCGGACGGATCCGAAGCGTACAGCTGGAATTGATGATGCGGGTCATGTCCAGCGAAGAGGAACGAAACACCGAATGGTCGCAGTCCTGTATGATCGCCGACGATGGTAAGGGTTCTCGCTCGGCGAGATCCGTCCACGTTTCGAGGTATAGACTCACCTCCGAATTGCGTGTAGCCCTGTTTGAGATCGCACAGCTTCTGCACGAGTTGCTCGACCGGCATATCCTCGTTGTAGGCGGACAGATGCCCCTGCGAATGGGGGGAGCGACGACACGATGGTGAGTCAAAGCCCTCCGGTTGGAGCAATGGTCGTTTCATGCCGGTCTAATGAACTCACCTGTGCGGCATTGCGAGCATAGCTCACGAGCGAGTTGGCGTCCGCATTGTAACCTGCTACGCCTGTGATGACATTGCTGCAGAGGCGATAAAACGTAGTCGGGTCAGCGACCTGTCGCTCCATTTGCGCTTCGGCTACCCGCGATGCAGGCACGTTCAAATCAACCCACCCATTGACCAAGAAAATCTTTTCGCTGCTACCCTTCTCCTTCTCGAGCAACTTGCTGAGCACCTTCTTCTCCGCAGCGAGGACGATACCCGCTCGCTGAGGTCCCGGGTACTTGCGCTCTCGCTCGGCTTTGGCCTCTGCCTCCTTCTTCTTGGCTGCGGCAGACAGCTCGGGCTTGGCGGATGTACTTGCAGTTGCGGTGGGAGGAACGGTGGATTGTGTCGAGGTCGAAGCCACTCCGGCCGCGTCAGCTGGCACCTCGGCGGTATCGACGGCCATCGCGTCAGAGACCTCGGTTGAGCTGGTGAAGGGGGTTGCTGCGGGGCCAGGGGCGAGGATGCCTACGACCGTTCCGGCATGACCTGAGAAGGATAGCGGAACGGGGAGAGCGTGAGAGCGTGTCAGCACATCGAGTCGCCTGGTGGTGGAGCCGGGACTGCACGGGCCACGCGGCAGTGGGGGTCGATGGGGTACGGTCGAGTGCCATGTGAACTCGTATTATCGCCATACGTAATGATGACGATTGTTCTGTTGTTGTGAGGTGGTATTCCATCTCGATCAGGCTTGCGTGTCGAGCTGACGACGCTCCTCCGTGCCCATCCAACCACCCACTACGCCTCAAAGGTCGAACACAAGCCGGCCCAGAAGCATGCGTCGGCTTACTGATCGACTCGAGTGCGTACTCGACCTGGTAGAGTCGTCCCTCGGGCGAGAAGATGGTCTGTGGGCAGCACGCAGTGGTGGAGGAGCGGGTGGGCACGACCGACAACGCGTCAGCGCTCACGAAAGCCACTACAGAGACGTGCCAGCCTGGTCATAGCTGAGGAGATGTCGGCCCAGGCCTTGATTGATGGTCAGATGCGTTACTCACTGTTCGAGAATCGTATCGGCGAGACATGGTGCGACGTCGTACGGCTGCGGGGTGGGGTGGGCTGAGCAGGGCTGAGCTGAAAGCGGGGCGCAGCGGCGAGTCACGTCGTCGTCACAGCGCGCACCAATGGCAGCTCCCACTCGCACGGACCCACGGACCCACGGGCCGCGGAAAACGACAGCTGTACCCCTGTCTCTCGTTCTGCCTTCTACAGCATCCAGTGAGATGCAAATTCCAGCATGGAGGCGGTACTACGTTGCATAGAAAAGAAAAGAAGGAACATTCAAAACCCAAAGGTCTCAGGCTCAAGCAAAGAAGGCCGACCGTTCCGTCAAGTTACGGAACTTGGCCCTCGCGCCCGCGGTACGACCGCTCCCCTTGGAAGTAGTCGTCGTCCCCAGGGGCTCATAAGCCTTCGAAAGGTCGTACTGCTCTTGTTCCGAAAGTAAAAGCGCGTCGAGGATGCATCGCTCGATCAGAGGATCGATCGGAAGGGTCGGGCTGAGACGAGCGCAGTCGAGGACGACGGCGGCGGATTCGCCCATCTTCTGGAATTTGGACCAATTCACTTTGCCGTCGCGCATGTCACTCTTGATCTCGTTGATCGTCGTGATGTCTTGCAAGTGGACACCGCTGAAAAATTGTCACAGAGATCAGGGTCAGTCGCACGCCAGAGGCGGTTCACAATAGGCAGCTTCGTTGCACTTACAGATAGGGAAGCATGTTCGAGCCCGAACTGGCGATGGCGAGGCGGTACGCCGCAAAGCTCTTGGTATGGGCCATGAGCCGGTACAGACTGCGCAAACGCTTGGGTGCGTTCTCATGATCACCCCCAAGTCGAACCCACACCGTCTCCTTGAGTTCCTTCATCCGGTACAAAGGTTGGAGGTTCAACCCGGCGAGAACACCCATCAACGCGTCAAAGTTCTCTTGTTCCCGCAGATGATAAGCCACGCCGATCAATTTCTCCAGCATGCGCACGCGCCACTTGGGCTTGGGTTGGACCAGCGTCATCGATGCGACCCAATTGGCGAGGTAGTTGACGAACGCGATCGAACGCTTGACGCTCGAGTCCTCGTCGCGCATGGCTCGACTCGGGTCCGATGGGTCTCGAGGCGCGAGCACATGTCGGATCAGATCCCGCGGTGTGATGTCCGCGAACGACATCCAAGTCAAGCGTGTGATCTGCGTAGCGATCGCCTCCTCGGATACGTCCATCAAGGCATTCGAAGCGTCGAGTAAGGTAAGGATGAGAGACGAGGGACGCTTGCGCCAGCTCGTACTCGAGCCAGTCGTACTCCCGATCGAGTCGTTGTTGATGCTGTTCGTGTCACCAGCCGAGGTATCGAGTGTGGCGACAGTAGGGGTCTCCGAGTCCGTGCGCTCACGTGTCGGCTCGCTCGCTGAGGAAGAGGGTGTAGGCGTCAAGTCACTCAGTCGGTTCGAAGCAGGGAGTTCAAGGTGAGAAGAAGGGCTGTTGATGCTGCTGTGGCTCTCGTTCGATCCGCGAAGCGATTCTATACCCTTGTCCAAACGGCTCGTTCGAGATTCGGTCGATGGCTGTCGTCCTGCCGCGGGGGTCTGCCCGACTGACGGGAACGGCACTGAATCGTCGGTTGGTTCAACCGAATCAAGTCTCTTGTCGGGGAGGGCCCATGTCGATTCCGGGTCGTTCATGCGACTGACGTCGGCGAGCTTCGGCAACATATCGACGGCGTAGTGGGCGACCCAAGTCGCACCGCTGGGCAAGAGCCCTTCCAAGAACGGCTGAAGCAGAGCCGATGTGGCGGGCGCCGAAAAATCGCCTGGGTATACCGTGAACCAAACCGAAAGCGTTCCGCACAGTTTCATTTGGGCGAACCTGCTCAGCAACGGGTCGGTCCTCAGTCGGCCGGCAACGTATTTAAAGCGCTCAATCAGTTTGCTCAAGACGTCAAAGGGCCGGGCGAACCGACGGAAGACGATTAGGAACAAGGTGACGTAGTTGTCATCTGCGCCCGTAGTAGTTTAGTGCATTGCTATTGTCTTAGCAGCGCCGTTTCTCACTCACCGTTGCCAGTGACGGAGGCGAACAAGAATTTGTCGATCATGTCGTCGCGACTGAAGAACAAATCAAGAGATGACGGTCTGGCGCTGTGAATCCAAGTACGACCCCATCGTCAGCGCTTGAAAAGCATCGACGAGGAAGCACAAATCGATGGACTCACACTTTCCCGCCGAAGTCGACCGACACTCGACTGGGGCTAATCCGTATTGACGTGGAACGTCTCGTAACCGCCTTGTCTGCCTCAGTTGTGCTCGCAGTAGCGGGTGTGGCAGCAGCTGCAGCGGGCGCAGAAGCGGTCGGATCCTTGGCAGTGATTTGTAGTCCAAGTAGGCCACCCTGAGTCGAAGGCCGACGGAAAGGTGGCGTAACCTCAGCCAGAGGAGCTTCCTCTACAACAGCAAGCGACCGGCCTAAACCTAGAGACGGGTCGGTACGGTACACTCTTCTCGGCTGATCACCATCCTCAGCAGATGGGCTCGCTGGAGCATGACTCGACCCGCCATCAAAGGGGTCCGAGAATGTCACAGGGACACCCGCAGGCAAACTGGTCCTTCGTCCTGACGATGGCCGAGCCTGTTTCATCGACGCGACAGCCGAGGTACCATCTACCGAGGAATGCTTTCGATTCCGGCTCGACGCAGCCGAAGGTGCCCGACGCGATTCGCCTCTGTTGTCCATAATGGTCCTAATCATCCAATTGAAGCTCTCCTTCATCTTCCGCCCTCGGTCCTCGGGTCCACCATCGAGAGAGACGATGCCGGCACCATAAATGTTGCATACCGCTGCGGCCTTATTGGGGTCGGTCGCATTCAGCCTCGGATCTGCGTTCGCCTTGCATGCTAACACGATCAATGGCACATCGGACCCTCGAGTCCAGAACGCTTGTAAGAGACGAGACAGCGAATCAAGTGCTCTCGAATCCGTCGACTCGTAGCACAGCATGGCACCCTCGCACGGTGGTAAACCCTCGGGCCAGATGACACCCTCGCTGTTGTACTCGAGGAGGCCCATGTCGATCTCGAGCACTTCAATCGAACGTGCTTGACCAGCAATGGTAAAGTGAGATGTACACGTTGTCACTCGATTGTCTTGATCGTCTTGTGCGAGAACCATGGGCCGAGCTGCCGGTTTTTTGAGACCACGGCGTATTACGGTCGATTTGCCAACTCCACGGGGACCGACGACGGCGACGACGAAGTCAGCTGAGCTCCGGACAGGTGAGGATGTCGAGCCCGTACTGGGCGAGGGAGGGGCAAAACTCGCTGTAGTGTGAGCAGGAGTGGGAGGCGGCGAGGGTGTCCTGGGCGTGATGACGGGTGCGGTGCCCACGGCAAGCAGACTCAGCTTGTCGCGAACGGGCGCTTCCTCGACCGACGCTCGCGTCAAAACTGGTGACGTTCTCGGCGTGTTGTCGGATGCCGGCGACAACGAAGTTTCCCCAGATCCCAGTTGGGGAACGGCGTACTGGCCTTGTGGGGGTGATTCAGCTTCGACGAAACCCTGCGAGTCTGGATCGAGGACCTGCAATGCCTCAAGGAAGACCTGTGGCCCTTCGTCGTCTTCATCATCCGCAGCTCCCAGCTGTGCGGACTCGTCATCATCGAGAACGGCGCTGCCCAACTCGACCGTGTAAGTCTCTCCCCGCACTCCGGCTTTGGCCCATCGAGTCCCACCGGCTTCAACATCTGCCGTCTCCTCCTCGTCGTCATCGAACGCCTCGGTCTCTTCATCTTCGTCTTCCTTCTCGTGCGAGCTCGACTGTGCCTCATCGCCGGTTGTGAGCGTCGACGCCGGTAATTTCGAATCGTCGTTCGGTGCAGCCATCTCCTGTCTACGATGCAAATCACTCGTCATCTCCCCCAAGCTTGCACTGGACGAACGAGGGACGAGCCGAGAGTTTGTAGGTCCTTTCATCCCCCGCGGTGGGTGCTTTGAAACGGCCAGACCAGGGTCATCCAAGGACCGTTCCTTCGTCCTTCGGCTGCGCCAAATTGGGCGTCTAGAAGCAGCCAGTGCGGGATCGTTTGCATCAGCGGCAAGATGTGCCTCCGAGAAGGTGGACCCACTGGCGCCAAAGATGGTCTTGATGCGACTAGGCGAGATGGGGAGCGAGCTCGTCACGTCCAACGTGTCGAACGAGTCGGATCGATCACGCTGCGCGCCACCGGAGAGACGAGGGCTATTACTGGCGAAAGGTGAGGATTCCGCTGCGAATGGGTTTTGATCGAACTTGTCCAAGCCTAGCGACTGATGAGGTATCCGAGGTAGTATCGGCGAATGAGGTGACCCTGGAGCTACGGCTGAGCGTGACGACAGCGATTGGCGAGGTCCGCTCGAGGCTGAGTGTGTATCCAAGGTATTGGTATGGATCGAAAGGAGACTGAGCGAGCTTTTGGAGGCTTTCCGTGCTCCGAGTGCGGCCGGTGTCGAGGAAGGAACGGCAGAGGCCCCGGCGGTCAGCGCTCGGGTGAAGTCGTCATCGAGGTCCTCAGCCGGCAGCACGACTTGACGAGAGATGAAGTAGGATGACTTGGTCGAGTTTCTACGGGTTGACTGAGGAGGTTGCATGATCTGGAGTGATGCGAGTCGTTGTTACTCTGCGCTAGATGCGGCGATTCGAAAGACGAAGCTGCGGAGGCTTGGGGTCCAGAACAGGGGTATCGCTGCCGCTGAGGAATCGGCGCGGGCGGGCACAAGGGACGTCCAAGCGAGTACTGAAGTGTAGCTCGCTTCAAAAGCAGTCTGTTGAGGGATAAAAGTGTCAATTTTCTAAGACTTTGATGTGGACCCCCACATCCCTACAAAGCAACTCGAACGTCAGAAAAGAGGTGAGTGCTGTTTGCCTCGTGGAGTGATACCGCTCTGACGGGCCGTAGGACAAGTCGTCGCAGGTGGGATATGGGATGTGGGATATGGGAGGATGCAGGCCAGAGAGAGGGGCATGACGTACGCAGGGTATATTGGCGTCCGAGAGGGCTTGGTAGGTGTTGCAGCAGTCGCTAAGGGTTACGAGGAGTGCCCAGCAGGTGCTGCAGAACACAAGCGAGAGGGTACGCGACTCGGCACGGGCCGCGATTCCACGACAAGACCACCAGCCGGGCCCAATTAGGCCCTTGCGAGTGACGAGGGCAGCCGACAAGGAGCGATTGACTGAACAAGGCCCAGCTGCGCACTAGCCTGGACTGAACAGCCGGGGGCCAGCGTCGACGATGGAGTGCTGAGTGAGCAGTCTCGGAAGAGTCGATAAGATGGAACGGAGGGGTGGGTCCGCGACCAGCTCAACGTTCACGCGTTCACGCTCAATTGCAAGCTCAAGCTGAAGCTTATATAAGTTAGAATCGATGGCGCCGCGCTCGCGCTCGATCAGCGCTCAGCCGGGTGGCTCCGCCGAGGGTGAGCCGGTGGAGCTGGCCGCTTCTCGTCATTCCGATTTGGTCAGCCTACCTCGGTCTGCGCGCGGTACGGCCACAAAGTGGCTCCATCACGTCGCGACGCGCCTCTTGGTGTCATGGGCTTTCTTCTCACGGCAAATAGTCCATGGTGAAGACGCTACAACCTCCGGGAAATGGCAATGGATCGAATCCTACAGCTACGGCCAAGCTCAAGTCGACTGCTGGTAAGGCTCACTCCACCAAGTTCAGCCTCGACCCACCTCCGCCACCACTTCAAGAGAAGGAGCGTGCTCAGCCAGCAGTCGCCGCGATAAAGGACCGCGGCGCTCAGAGACAGGCTTCAATTGCTGGCGCCGACCTGAGCAATCAGAATAAGGAAGGAGATGGACGCACAACATCGAACAGCATACTTGGCCGTCAACCCCATCCGAAAAGACGATTCGATCTCGCCAGCTTTTGCCGTCCCCAAAGCCTGAGCAAGGACGGACGCTCAGCCTTGTTGAACGAGACCGAACCCGAGACAACACGCCGTTGCACGCGTGAGAGGGTTGTGGACCGCGCCGACTGGGAGTGGTCATGGACGCTCAAGCAGAGTCAGGTGCGAGGGCGTGATCATCAGAGACAGGTGAGCTCTCTTGGCTGTCCACAAGGACAGACCCTCGCAAATTTAAACCCTGGTTTCTTTATACGGTGCCCGTCACTCACAGCCATCCCGCTCCGCCACGTTCTTTCCTTTCGCCCATTTGCCTGGACTGGGGCACCTCCAAGACGTGCTCGCATACGTCGTTGGCGCTCAAGTCAAACTCATCAAATTTCGCGACGTCGGTGATCCAGACGGCGACCACGACTCCGAATCCGAATCAGCACGTCGTCCACGAAAACTCAAGATCGCATCGCACACAAGCGCAACATCGGCCACGGAGGAATATCACACATGTGCTTGGAGCGCCGACACTCGGTACTTCCCCCACGACCCGATGTTGGCCGTAGCCGGCAAATCGAGAGTAATCAACCTCTTTCGGGTGCGGCACAATCCGTTGACCAACAAGGTGGAGCTGCTGTTGGAAAGGCGAATGACTGGATTTGGCGAGGTCAGTTGAGACACAGTAACATTGGGTCTATTTTCGTGGGCATGCCTGAGCATTACCTGCTGCTGTGCGGTACAGATCATTCGAGAGCTCAAGTTTTCACCCCAGCACCCTCACTGCCTCGCGGTCGCATGCGACGACGGCGGTATATACCTCCTCGATCCAACAGTAGAGCAGGGCAGTGATGAAGCGATGGCGAAGTCGATCAAAGAGCACCTTCAGAGACAGGGATCGCCGCCCGTGACGGCCAAGCCTGTCGAGCGACCTGCTGTACCCGGTGAGCTCCGAGCCCTGCTGCTCACGCATCATGAGTACAATCAAGGGATGCTCTCCGTCGACATCCATCCTAGACTACCTCTCGTCGTTGCATCGGCTCGAGATGGTAGGATCTTCGTCTGGTCTCTGCCCAAGACGACTTTTGGCCCCGGGTGGCCGAGCCCGGACGATCCCACGCCATGGTGTCGGGACTTACCCATCGTTGAGCAGTTCGATCCGCCGATCTTCATCTCGAGCCTCATCCACCCAGGTCACGTCAGCGAACAGGTTTGTTGGGCATCATCAACGACATGTCACATCCTTTCTCGAGCGGCCCACACCTACGTTGACGTCGAAGCGGGTGACCGACCGCGACGACCCATGAAGGAGCTCAAGCTGTGGATTCCGCATATGCTCGATACGCTTCCCAACGGAGCGACGGAGCAGTATGCCTATACATCTCAGCTCGAATCGACTGCTCAAGATCGCGTTCCAGCTCCGATTTGCACCGACGCGAATAACGACCCTCGACCGAATGGATCGAACCTCATCCCGTCGTCGGCTTTCACGGTGGACAAGACTCTGATCCTGACGGATATTGACGTCTCCTCTTTTGCTGTACATCGAACGCCCTTGACTGATCGTCGCGGGAAAGCCCCCATTGAAGAAACCCTCGTTGCATTCATGACCGCATTCGACCCAGCGCTCTTCATGCTCCGTCCCTTCGCACTAGAAGCCCGTGCCGAACAAAACCTGCAACATCAAGCCAAGACATGGCTTCAATCTCTCGACTCGATCGCGACAACCCTACTCCCGAAAGAGCCCCGACCTGACGAAGAGTACAGAATTGATTGGTCCCCCGATCGGATCATTGATCTGTCATTACCGGAGGATGGCCAGATGCCTATTTTCAGGAGCTTGGCGGTCTCACCTAATGGAGCTAAGTGGGTCGCCGGCGTGGGCGAGAACGGCTTGATTTCTTGGTGGAAAAGGACACGAGTCTCACAAAAGGCTGATTCAGATGATTCCGAGATGGGTTCGGAAGTATTTTGATCATGAAACATTCGGACCCATGTCGACAGGGTTTCTTACATTATTGCGCGCGATGGAACAAATGTCTATGGGACTGGTTCTACCAGACTGTTGACAAGGATATTGAAGGAAGCTTACTAGACGGGAAGCATACTAGACGAAATACGAAATACTTCAAGATACCTCCTCAGAAGATCGTTACAACGGCGCGAGGCGCCGCAACTTGTGTGCCTAGCAAGACTCCTGTCGTGAATAAGGTTAAGAGGACGGTCAACTACAGGCCTTGACGCAGAAAAGGAGGTCTTGGCAAAATCACCTCTGACTTGACTTCAGAAACCGCTAAAACTTGTCGACTCGGTCTCACTCGAAAACTCGCTGAACGCACTACCAGGGCAATCCAGCCCTCCGATGTCCGAGAACCATTCGCTGCCGCTCAAGGGAGGTAACGCTGACTCGGGCGTCTCGAACAGTTCCATATCGCCGAGATGGAACGATGCTCCACTATCGAAGCCATGCTCGACGAGGAAGTCGTTGAAAGAATCTCGTGAGAGGGTACTTGTGGGTGCTTGGCTGGTATGATTCAGGGACTCGAGCAAAAGGGCTTCTTGATCCTGCCCCAAGCCAAAAAGCGACGAAGAGGTCGGTGGGGACAAGAACGATTCATCTGAGGAAGGCGCCGATTCGACGCAATTCGACGGATCCAAGGTCATCAACACCGCTGACCATGGGACATCGGTCTCAGTGCCAGTTGTGGCTCGTACGGTAGCAAATTGATCGTCGGTCGAAAGATCGCCCTCGAGTTCTTGTTGTTGCGCTAATCGTTCGGCACGACTGGGGAGTCGAGAGGAGTGGCGACAACCCCAGCGTGATCCAATGGAGACCTTGCGGTCTTGCATTTGGAGTAGCGAGGTGTCGAATATTGTTGGTCGAAGTTGGCTTGGGTCCGAGGTGGAAGCGAGGATACCTTGACCGAACGATGGAGGCCGGATGGGTGGACGCTCGTTCGATCCAGGGGCTCGCCCGTATCCAAGACCCAGAGAAGAAGAGGCATACATTCCCGACTTGCCCGGTCTACCGGCACTACCACTGCCTGGAGGTGATGATTTGGGAGAGCCCGACCCAAAACCGGCCAACCGAGTATGTCTGCGGATAGGAGTCGAGTAAGGTGACGATCCGTTCGACGACACGTCGGACGCATTTGACCTCGTCGATCGACTGAGCTGGGTCTTCGTTGGGGTCACAATAATGTCCCCGCTACCATCGTAGACGATCGATGTTGCGCCGTTTTGAGGTGAGGGACTTGAGGTAGCGGAAGGACGTGAGGCGGCGTTTCCCACGGCCGCCATACGTGCAACGATCCCTGAAGTGGGAGCATCCTGTTGAAGACCTTGAGCTGCAATGCGCATCACACGATCAAGAACCTCTTGGTCCGTATCGCCTGGCGCTCGAGTAGATCGACCACTGAGATCAGAGCCAGCGCGTACATGGGTGGACTTTGAGGGAGTATTTCGATGACCATTGAGGCTACCGCCGGAGCCTGCCACGGACTTTCGAGAAGACGCACTGGACCGGAACGATCGATTCGAGTCAAGCTCGAACCCGTCGTCAAAGCTGTCCTCCAAATATTGATCTTCTTCGGCCATGCGCACCAAACCCGACGGCCGATCCGAGGGTCCCTTCGACGTCCTCAGTGGAGGTGGCATCGGCATCGCCGCAGGGTCGGACTTGGATTTTTTTGGCGACGGACGAGCAGGCTTGTACTTGTAGTTGGGGAATTGCTTGGCGTGCGCCTCCTTCTCCTCCTCGGCGAGCTCGTGCCAGATCGCGGTTTGTTCCTTTGGCAGCGCTTGCCACATGGCTCCAACGACTTTGGATATGTTGTTGTGTTGACCTCGAAAGGCCGCAACGAATCCGGGATCGGCGACGACGTGGGCGCGGTAGAGAATGAAGGCGTTCTTGGGTCGAGGGACATGACCTTCGGACATCCTTCGCGAGTGCGATTTCTTCTTCCGGACAGGCGCTGGCATCTGCGGGCTACCGTCGCTCAAGGACGATGGCCCAGAACGGAGAGAAAGCCCATCGTTGGAAGTGGCGAGTGACGAGGAAGCATCGCTGCCACCTTGAGACGAGCTGGGGGCGTGGCGCCTGGTTCGCACCATCGGTGGCGCCGAGCGTGAGGGGGTCGAATAGGGTGAAGGTCGCGCTTGCCCTCGTGAGGGAGTCGAAGGGGCGGGAGCGGTTCGTACATGGGTCGCCGAGGACCGTGGAGGGACCGACTCAAGGTGTGTAACAACATTTTGATGGACCACATCCGAGACTCGGACCGCTTCGTGGCTCGAGTGTAGCTTCATCGAAGCCGAGTCGCCCGGGAGATCGACGAACGAGAGTGGGCGACGGTTGATAGGAGCTGCTGTCAGAGTCGAATTCGAAGTCACCGCCGTAGAAGAAGGCAAGGGCGGTCTCGAAGTCGACAAGCCTAGCGAGAACAGATCGTCAAACATGGTTGGGGGTAACGATGACCAGTCCGCCAAGACTGGGTCGACCTCTGGTGGCCATTCAAAGGGCTGTTCGTCCTCAGGTTCCTCCTCTTGGATGTCGGCTGGTGGTGAGCCGTGATCGACAATAGAGGAATGAGAGGCCAGGCGAATAGGTGCACGATCGCATGCTTGACTCGGGTCTGTTTGCTCGACGGGTTGGTCCGGAATATCTGGTTCCTGAGAAGAAACCAAGTTTTCCTGTGCAGACGGAATGGAAACTGACATTGCTTAGCATTGGAGCAATTGGACAATTTGCTCCTCAAGTTGGAAACGGTCGTAGTAGCACTCAGCTGAGATCTAACTACTGACTCACCGTATTCTGAGCTGAGCGATCGGATGTCCCTGGAGCAGATGACGCGCTCGTGGCTTTGGCCGGAACCGGGAAGTTGAGAGTGGTTTCTGGAGACTGCCGTGGGGTTGGGTAGGAGCGAACTTCTAAGTCTTGCCCAGCTGTCGAGCTCCATGGTGAGGTTTCCGGTCTGCTTCCATCTTGTAGGGTATTGGTTTGTTCGGCTCGAGTTTGTCGTCGGGGCCGCAAAGGTGCCGATAACGAGGACGTCGGACTCGACAACTGCGGCATCACGCTCGAGTCAGTCGACACCGAGTGGCTAGGGTCGTGTCGGCGCTGGCGAATCTTCATGTGATGCTGAGGCGGTTCCCTCATCTTCCGGAGAAGACACTGGGGTTTGTGTCTAATGAGATAGGGAACGAGGCAAGCTCAGATAGGGATGGAGGGGCCGAGGGAAAGCAAGGGTGCCAGCCCCCGCCAAAGGGTGCGGGGACCAGCTGAATGGTGGTGGCTACTCTTACTATTGAGATGGCGTTCGCGCACGGGGATGGGTACTTACCGATGGCTCAAACGGCTGTTCGTGTTAGAAAGATGGGAGGCGAGCGATTCTGAACAAAGGGACGAGGGTATGGCTTCGCAAGTCTCGAGGAGGCTCTCGCTCGAGGCGATGCACGGGTCGCGCTTTCAAGCCTCGGGCCGGTCAGAGCGGCTGACGCGTTTGACGCACGGGCACTCGATGGCCGTGAGTCGATCGGAACGATGATTATAGGTCTGGGTCTACGACTTGGAGTCCGTGAGATGGGGGATGGGGGGCTCGAGATGAGCTTGGAGGGCACACGCGGAAGCATCACTGAACAATAACAAAGGCGCGCCGCCCGAAAGTGACGCCCACTCTCCCCTATCTTGCTCAGGGGCTAGCTTGCTGGGGCTACCGAGCCCCGATATGGCAAGCAGGTGAGACATAAGCGGAGCAGATAGGTAGCTACAGATCCAGTCACAGCCAGTATCTTAGTATTGTCGTCTTGACCAATAATGAGCTGTTACACCTCATAGATGGGCTTCGTCCGGAAATTGGTCGGTTGCTGCCGGAGCCGATTTAGAACTTGCAGTGAAAAGCTTCAGCCTCGCGATGGGACGCTCGCAGAGACAGGTGGCCTCAGCTGCAAACGATGTTGAAGCTCAAGGCTGATCGGAATTTTATTATGGAATGGAACTACAACATATTGCATTGAGAAGCTATTCGACATGACACGAAATCGGAATCTACTGAGCGCGGAAAGGGCCTGAGCGGGAGCGCGTAACGGCCCGTGCTGTGGGTGGTGCTCATCAGCAGTCTTCAGCGCTTCAGCCTGCTTCAGCGGTATACTCAGTGGTCCTCAACGCCTCTCCTCGCTGAGCCTGACTTTCGGCTGTCGCCCAGATCCCCCGCCCCCTCGCCTCGATCCCTAAAGGGTGCCAGCGCCGTAACTCACGCCTACATCGTACACACCGCATCCATCGCAAATAGCACCGGGAACCCCACCAGGCAGTGAGTGCGAAAAGAGTCACGTGTCTCGTTTCAGGCGCGGCCAAACCGGCGTCGCGTCAGGGCGTCACGTTCGAACGCGTGCTGATCCTCCGGCTGCTCCCGCGGTGCTTACAGCCAACTCCCACCCTCATCAACCTCACCACGGGACTTGGGCGTGTCCGAACTAGGGTTCACTCCGAAGATATGCTCGTCTGATTGGAACCTACGACAGCTAGCTCGACTACGTTCCTCCAATCGACTTGGTCTCACCTACGCCCAGCTTGGCCCCTGAGCGTTAGCCCGCTGCAGTCCTGACCACGGTCTTACAGTCACGATGCAAGAGAACTGGGATTGTGACCCCGACTTTGACCTGCCCCCGTCGCTGCAGGTCGTCGCCGTCGTCGAGGATGGCCTCCCGAGCGTGGACAAGCGCGGTGCGACGACTTCGGCACTGGCAAGGCGCGGCGACGAACTGTTCGGCCCAACCAGCGCGACGACGACAGGCGCTAGCATGTGGGGCGATAAAGGTCTCGACGACTTCGATGTTGACGACTATGGGCAGGTCTTACAACCACATCTTCGCACCATAGAGCTCGTCACTTCGACCGATCCTTTCGAGAGAACCGCCGCCAGTGATGTCGCGTTGCCTCCTCGAACAAAGGACGAAGACGGCCAGCAGTCGACGAGCTCATCACGGGGCAGCACCCTGCGGGGCCTGATGACCTCGTTCTCGGGACTCTCGCTCGACTCGCCGACACCTCACGCCGAGAACTCGGATCCAGATTCCATGTCGCTCCAACTCCGCCAGACCGGAGAAGCAAACACCACGCCCAAGAGCGCGACGACTATCCGGCGCGGATCACTCCTTTCTCAGCACATCGTTATGGCATCGGCCGGACCAGGTCGCGTGCATCATCTTGGCTCAACACCACTCGGCTCAGCTCAGTCCGTCCTCGGCGATTGGGACGAGGATCTCGTTGGGCTTGACGCTTTGCCTCTCAACATTGGGGAACGATCTTTGCGCGTGAAGCAGTCGTTCGCAAGTCACATCTCTGACGATCCAGAAGACGAACGCCTCGAGCGCGGATTGCCGACGCCTCGCAGCAGTGGGAAGAACTCCATGAAAGGCTCGCCGCATCGACGATCTTCTACGCGGAGCGCGTACACCGAGGACGAAGACGACACCCAGAATGTCGAGAGCGATTTCGACTTACCTTCGGACCTTGGCCAATTCACACTGTCCAAGACAAAACTACATTCTCGCGCCAACTCGGCTCACTCGCAGAACGCGCTCGGCTCGGCCTTACCCGCATCAACGCCGTCTCCGAACTCCATGTCCGTGCCTGCGCTGGTTCGAGGAGGTGAGACGGCATCTGAAGATGATCTCTCGGACGACGAATCCTTCTTTGAAGATCTGGTGATCCCTTCTTATTTTTTGGGTGGGCCCGGTCACTTGACGCCTCCTTCGGATGCTGAAAAAGGGGGCCGGACCAACTTACAAGAGGTCCTGAAGCGCAAGCTCGAGGCTCGGGGTGGTCGCGGCTTGGACGATACCCGCAGCAGTGCGATTGACCCGAAGAGCAAGGCCCAGACGACGAAGCTGGCGAGCTATCGCGAAGACGATGACCACAAGCAAGATGGCGTGGCCGAGGCCGGCCTCGAGATCACGGATGACATCAAACTCGGTGCAGAGCGACTGAGAACACGATCGGCACCCCGTCAACCCTCCCTACTCAAAGCAAGAAGGAAGACGACTAGCTCGGCTTTCCGAACCCAAGCTCGGCTCACACTGACCAAGGCGCCGTCGGCGTCGACGGTGCTCCCTCGGCCCGGTAGTACTGAAGGCAAGCCAGTTCGCAGTCCAGGCTCTTCCGCGACGGGCGGCTCGTCCGAGTTACGGTCGACGGCAGCTCGGAGGCCACCGCCCCCGATTCGCCCCGCGTCTGCTGCAGGAACGGTCGACCGACCTCACCGTGAGCGCCGGCCTGGCCCACCGCCGGCGCCGAGCGCCGCACTTCGAGACCGTGTGCGAACACGTCCGGTCGCTGTGGGACCCACGGCCTCTTCCACGTCCCTGGCTGCGAAGGCAACACTGCGCATCGACACGTCAAGGGTGGACAGCACACGGATAGCGTCGAGCTCAACACCACTCACGCCCGCAACACCGTCGGTCACCACTGCGGCCTCCTCGCCTGCTCAGACCGCTTCCTCATCCCGGACGTTGAGTTCTAAATGGTCCCAAGGTACCCTTCTCGCCACCCCTTCACGCACCATCGAGCGCAAGCGTAGTCTCCAAAACTTTGCATCGCCTGCTCCGAGTCCTTCATCGTCTCGTCGAGTACCGGCATCACCTACCCCCGGATACTCGACCCCCTTTGGATCACAGATGTCTTCGAAGCGCCCGCTTCCCACCCCTACCACACCAATCGCTCCAACATCCAGCTTTGCCCTCCACACGGCGGCATCAGCATCGCGCAAAAGAGAAAGAGTCTCGAGCGGGCCAACATTTCCGATGCAGCCACCGAACGAACGGACGCCGCTCCCCTCTCCGTCGCTTCCTTCCGGCGCCTTTTCCGGCCGAGCGCCTCCAACTCATTCCCGTCCCTCCTCTGCTGCCTCTATGACTCGCCTCACACAGCCGACGATGGCGTCACGAGCCAAAGCCCGAACCGTATCCTCAACAGAGGCGAGCATGAGTATCCCAAGGTCGCCTCTAAGCTTCACTGCCTTCCGACGAAGCCCCTTGAGGAACTATGGTGACGGCTCCGAGCTCGATGCGTTCGACGACTTGCCGACGAACAAGGAACGAGAGAAGATGCGCGTCTCGTCGTATGGCAACGCGGCTGCGATGAAGACACCGATACGCGCTCGTCGAGCCCCAGCGCTTGCGACTGTCCGGCCGCCTGGTGGGAACCATCTTGCTCCTCCCGCTTCTCAAGGGTCACGAGACGCGAAGAAAGCCAGGGTGGAAGGCGAGACGAGGCATAGGCCCACGAAAAGCAAGGATGGGAAGCGGAGAGAGCCTCACTTGATCCGCAATCTGGGTAGCCACTCATCCGTCAAAAGTCAGTAGGGCGTCGACGACTCAGACTGTGATGAAAACTCTAGGCTGACCCGTCAATTTTTTGTTGATCTCGCAGCTCACGGAGAAATGACATGGAACCCGAGTCTTGGGCGATGGGAGGGCAATGAGAATGTGCTCAAGGAATTCGATCGCGTCTTGTCGAGCTCGACGCGACCAGCCCTGATCACGCAGTTGAGCAGCAGCCTCTCGCCCGGGCGAATTGCTTTCCCCTCCACAGACGATGTGTCTCCGACCGAATCAAGCACTGCTGCAATCTCGCCTCGAACGGTCAAACTCGCCGCTGCATCGGCCGCCAACGTTGCGAACGTCAAAGTCGTTGGATCGATGGTGTTTGATCCGGTCAGGATGAGCTGGCATTCTTTGGCAGGACCGGACGACGAGGACGAGCTCGATCTGTTCGGCGACAACGAATCGAGCACGTCCGCTAATGGTGATGGGTGGGAGAAAGGCGAGCGCGAGAGGATGCTTAAGAACCGAGCGAGCTTTGTCAGATCAGATCGGTCATCGGCGTTCGAGGATGACGAGCGTATGACGAGGATAGAGATGGAGAGTCGGGAGGCCGTGGAGCGCCATCGCCTCGAGATGAAGACATGGACGAGCCGCAGATCGACTATGGAGCCGATACAGAGGACCTGGCTATATGATCTGAGGAATGTATGTTTCTAGTGTTACATCGTCCCTGCTTTGAACCTGTTTGCTCCCCGGATGCCGACCTTGATAAGTTGTCTTCTCACAGTTGATTTTGGACACTTCGTCGACAAGCTTGTGACGAAGGAGGAAGATGGGCCGACGGTGACAATCTGAGACTAATGGTTACGACACTGGTTTCTATTCTGACAACTCAGGCATGTGCTGTGCAGAGCGCTTCTTCACATGTTGTTTGTGCGATTTTTTGTTTGCCATGCATTGATTTTCCGACCGCAGCATGCCCGATGAGCGTGGAAGTGGTACGCACAGAAGAGACAAAATACACTGCAAAGTGGCACACAGGCTGAAAACATACCTAGTAAAAAGAACACTAGAGCTACATGATCTATCAAACAGGCGCTCATCACCGAACAATAGTTTATTCATCATGCATTCGGACCGTATCTTTGGCGGGCGGGCGACCCCTTCTTCTTGGCCCTCATCGCCATCGGCCGTCGCTGTTCCTGCTTTCCAGCATCCTTCTTCGGCTGCACAGGCTCGTCGACGACGCGAGATTTGTCGGCGCTGGCCCTCGCAGCTCCTCCGACCTTTTCCTTGCGGGTCGTCTTCATCGTCTGCATCGGTACGACCGTCGCGTCGAGGGGGCGTTGGCGAGCACCACCGGTCCGAGCATCGGCTGCTACCTGCGCGGCAAGTTGTTCACGTGCAGCCATGAGTTGCGCTTCGGCCTTGGCAAGGCGCTGTGCAGCAGGCTTGTCCGGTTCTTCTTCCATTGCCGAAGACGAGTCAAGAGGCGCAGGGCCCAACTGTGCCCCGGCAGCGGCGCCCTTACTAATCGGTCGTCGAGTTTTGTGCAGCTTCTTGTCGTTGGTCAAGACGGCGGCTTTCCGAGCCGGTGCGGGTGCACGAGGAGGCGCTGGCTCGGGCGCAAGTCGTTGGGCCTTGGTCTTTTTCGACGCCGGGCGGGGCGGTGGCGGCACTGGTTTCTCTTCTTCACCTTCGTCCTCCGAGTCCTCGTCCAGCTCGTCGTCGCTTGCGTCCGAGGTTGCAGCCTGTCTCGCCGTATCCGCCGGTACCCTAGACCTCGCAGGAGCCTCTTCGACTGTTGCTTCGTCCTCCATGGTGACCGGTACCGTCTCACCAATCTCGGCCCCCCCCTCTGGGTCGACTGCTGTCGCTGCATGTTGTTTCTCGAGTTGACTTGCCTGATTGACCGGACGACGCCCTTCACGCGGTGAACCTCTGGACAGGTCCGATTTCGATCCAAATTTGCGAGCAGGGCCCTTTTTACGCTTCTTGGGTGTCGATTCGTTATCGTCGGCGGCATCGCCTTGGGATGATGCAGCCTTGCTGTCAGATGCTTGGAGCAAGAAGTCTTCCTTACGTACACGCTGGGCTGCTCGCGAGATGCTCTCACGAATCCACCTTTCGCGTTCATCGTCGGAAACCTCGGACTCTGGTGGCAAGCGGTCGTCGAAGTAGTCATCATCCCCATCGTCGACAATCGCCGGTCGAACAGGCCGGATGGGCTCGTTCTTGCTACGCGACCCTCGCCCCCATGCTTTGCGAGATCGTTGGTCTGCAGTCGATCGTTGCCCGACCATCGGAGCATTACCGCCCTGGAGCATGCCATTCGTCAAATCGGCCGCTCGTTGTGACGCCCTACGGAAGTCGCCTGTAAAGGATCTCGTACTCGGCTGCATCGCGATCGAATCGACGGCCACGCATACGACGAGCAAGAGGCAGTAGATGGTTGTAAGTGTGAGGACGGTGACGAGCGCGAGCTTGAACGGTGAAAGACTCTTCACTTTGCGCAGATGATAGTTGCCGGCACGATAGAGCTTCTCGGCGGAATTCGGTTGGTTGAGCTCATACGCCTTTGAAGACCGTCGATCAGGATCGGAAGGGATTTGCGCCATGTCGTACGACCCCTCGTTGACGACCGAGAGGTGTGCCATCGGGCTTTCGTCGAACACAACGCTATTCATGCGAATGGCGGTGGTGGAACCTCTGCGGTCGAGGAAATTGGCCAAAGTGGGAGAGCGACCGCTCCCAGCGGAACTTGGTGTCATTTCCGAGCCATGAGCGGTGCCCGACCCATTTACTTTGGTCGGAGTCGCCGGGGGCGATAGGGGGAACTGGATCGTCGGGATGCCCTTCGTGCCCAAGCCGCCCACGCCGTACGAGTTCTTGGTCGGGGACACTGGGGGCTGGAAACCGTGCTGGGGCATCTTGGGGGTCGTGGAGGATTGCGCGACCGATGTCCGCCGACGGCCGCTGAAGGGATGCAATGCTTGCTGCGTATCTCGGGTTGACGGCGGCGCGGCACTCGCGGAGGCTCTTCCTGGACCGCGACGAACCCAGGCATGAGCCGGCGAGTATCACCCATCACGTTCATTCGGGTCGGCGTCTCAAGTCTGCAGCTCCCACGAAAAGGGTGATCCAAAGTAACCGCATCATCCCGTCAGCTCGATGTTTGTGTATTGCGAACGACGCACAGACTCCCCCCGGGGTCACTGCCTCACGTTCAAGTGACAAGGTGGGGGGGGGGGGGGGGGGGGGGGGGGCAGTCACTGCGATTAGTAGAATGAGAATGAGAATTTGAATTCCAGCTAGTCTACAAAGAGACGACCCTTATCGGGCGACCGACCTTCAATTTGTCGGCGGGAAGCGCTTGGACCAGTCGCTCGATCGTCGATTTAAGAGTGCGAGAGCGAGTCGAACTCTGAATGCGGCTGCTGCTGGTGAGTGGTACGCGGGATCGTCGGTTATCCGAGAGTTGATGCTTTCTGCAACAGACGATGCAGAGAAACGGCTTCTTGAATCAAGAGGCGGACTGGAAGGGAGAAGGATGGAGCTCTTGCCGTGTCTCCGGCCGCCGAGGTCGATTTCGCTTGCCCAGCGCTCGTGGTCCCGTTCGGAGAGCTTTCGATGAAGTGTAACCTCTGGCTCTGAATCTTCACTCGAGGGCCGAAAGCCGCAGGCGAGGCGCGATTTTAGAAGGACGCCGGCGGTAGTCGCGATTTAATAAAAAAGGCGTGGCAAGTTCCCAAGGCACAGCTCTGCAAGGCGCAGCCTCTGGGAGGAAGGTCAGCGCGCAGCCCCGCCGGCGCCGCCGCTCGAAAAGCTGCTAAGCCACCCGCAATTCGCCGCAAACGGCAAGAGCAGGAGTCCGCTCTAGCAGATTGAAAATGATAAACGGCGGGACCGCCGGCTCCGTCCAACCAAGTTCTTAACAAGGCTTTGTTTCGGACACCCAGAGCCAGATTTGATGCCTCCGACGTCAGACATAGCACACGAGAGTTTAGTGGTTATTGGCGCGGGAGCTGGAAACCCCTATCAGGGCGGCGGGACCTCTGTGGCTGGCGCGTGGCTCAGCTAGGTAGCACCACAAGCGACGGCAGCACTCGCCAGGTTAGACGCAGATAAGATCATTTTGATTCAAAGTACACGCAATAGGATTTCAAAGAGGTCAAAGAGAAAGAGACACAGAGTCGAATGTGCATTTTGGCGGTTTTTTGGGGGATGATCCATAGGAGGTAGGAATGACCTCGAGAATCACAAGACGCAAAAGCGCGGGAGCAAGGCCAGGACTACGGTTTCGATTGGTATGCGGTACGACGGGTGGGGACTTGTGGAACATCTAAAGTTTGTAAAACTTGAAACTTTGGTCGTTTGATTTTCGTTACTGGGCGTGAAGAGGGGGCGAGCATAACACTTCGGGGGTATTCTGCATGGCGGTAGCATTGAAAGAGGGGCGGATCATTCGTTTTGTTGAGGTGGCCCATGGTTTCCTGACAAGTGAGGGGCGATACAGGCTCGGCGACGCGGATAGTAAGGTTCACCCGGAAAGGGCATGACGACATGACCTAGTCGATCGTACTGTCACAGCCCATGCTGGGCTTTCTTGGCAGAGACGAAATCGAACATGGCATCGCGGACGTAGAAGTCCCTTTCGCCAGGGATCTGTGACTCGCCGTGACACTTTTTGGCGTGCTGTAACGGAAAAGAGCTCAGCCCTTAGATCAATCCGTGCTCTAAACTCGCTAGGACAGATTTTCGACTGTCTACTCACCTTCCACCAGATCAGTTCGGGAATAAGCGTGTCGATCTTCTTGACGCTGAGTAGCGGGATCCACTCGTTGCACTTGTGGCACATGCCATCTGTCATCTCGTCGCGTGTGTCTTTTGTTTTCGTACCCGTCGGTCGACGGCGGAAGCGGACCGGAGGCGAAAAGGGTAGGCCTGCCAAACGTAGGGGTTGCAGGCTGTCTTAGCACCTGGTCCCGGGAGCCTAGCTCCAAATGAGATAAACTTACCGGTCAAGTTCGACAACCCGTGCGAGTAAGACATGTGGTACACGAAACTACTGTTCTTGAGCTTGAGCCACTTCTCTTCGCCCTCACCACCGCGAGCGACGGACTCGACGCAAACGGGGCACAGTCCCTCTTTCGAATCAGCCGAGCCTCGCACGATACGGGGCATGTAGATGTTGAAAGGATCAGGCCCCTTGTGCCACTTGGCGCCGGCGGGACAGTCGAAGAACGAAAGTGTGCTGGCGGGAGGCGTGTCCGAGGTGTGAGGTGCAGCAGGGTAGGGCGGGAGCATGGCTCCGTACTGTGCGCCGCCACCAATGTTGTTGTCCTCCATGTGCATGGACGACGTTGAAGCTTGCGCACTGGCCGACAAGTGACTGCTCAGGCTGGGCAGAGTGAGAGCCGGGATCGTCGAGGACTCGGCGATTGCGCTGGCCGCGTTGGTGCCCGCCGTAGCTGAAGTTGGCATGGGTAGACCAGTGCCGCGGTGAACGAATGAGTCGGGAGGGAAGGCCGACGAAAGTGGGAAGGCCCGGTAGAAACGTGGGAACGAAGCAGAACACTTCTCGACCTCGGGTGGGAAAGTGCGCTCGACGAGGTTCAAAGGAGCGACCGGTTGGCGTCTACTTTGTCGCGTCGTCGAAGTTGTCGAAAACGTCGAACCAGGGGTATCGCCACGAGTCGACCCGGCGTTGCTCGAAGTCGAAGTACGCGACTTCTTGGCCGGTGTCGCGTTGAGCGGGGTCTCGCTGCCACGCTTGGACGCCGTTGAAGCGCGGGGTTTCGCTTTCCCCTTGCCCTTGCCTTTGGCTAAGGCAGACTTCCTTGCCCTACCGCGGCGCTTGCTCGGCCCGTTATCGTCGTCGTCATCATCACTTTCACTAAAGTCTTGAGCGGCATCCTGAGCATCGTTGCCATCGTCACCATATGCGGAGCGAAAGTCATCGTCGTTTTCGGCGTCAAACACGTCCTCAGCCTCGATGGTGGGCTTGCGGGTTCGGCTACTCAGTCGCCGCGACGACGACGAACCGCCGGCTTGCTGAGCCAAAGCCGACGCAGCAGCAGCAGCAGCCTCCCGTTGTAGTCGAGCAGGACGATGCGACTTGTTCGCCGCCGCACGGCTCGCACTCGCGTTCGAACTAGCCACGCTCGGCGCGCGAGAAGTGTACCCAGGCATAGGAAGACGCAACGGGGCTTGCTGCACGTCATCCGAGTAGTGCCACTCGCGAGCGGCGTAGGATTCGACGCCTTCCATGGCACCGAATAACGGTCCCGAGCCAAGACCGGGACTTCCCGTCGACTGGGTGGACTCATTTGACATGCGGCCCCTACGGGCTCTAGCCGTGGCGGATCCAACCGGCCCCCCCTTCGGATGAACGGTGGCCGTCGAGCCTACGGTGGTCGCCTTGGTCGAGGTCGAGAATGCGGAGCCGACACCGAGCGAGCGAAGACTCGAAGCATCCGACAGCTCTGCTGACTCGTCTTCATTGGGGTTCGTGCCGGGACGGGCATCAGCGCTGGGCGTGGCTTCCTCATCCTCGACCGAACCATCGGGTTGCGCGAGCCGCAAAAGGTGGAGGGCGGCCTCGGCATCCGGTTCTTGCGTCAATGGCTTGGAGAGACCAGCTGCCGTCTTTGATCTTGAGGACCGATCCGAAGCGGGTTGGTTCGCGACATCCTGAGGCAACTCAGCGGCACCTGACCGGCGAGGTCTGCTCGCACCGGCCGAGTCGACGGCAGCAGTAGGGGTGGAAACTGATACTTCAGAAGCTGGGGTCTTGCGAGCCGCAGAGGCTTCAGCGCCGCCACGGGTTGGAGACGAGCGAGAGCTAGAACGCGTCATGGGCACCGTCGAGGCTAGTTTCGCAACATCGGTTATCTGTGTCGTCGACGAGCTGACGGAAAAAAGTTGGGCAGCTTGATTCTTGCTGTTCGGACTCGCCATAGAAGGAACCGCGACCGCGGCCTCCCTGGCTCGCGGATAGGAAGCCGACGACGATTGCGCGCTTGACGCGGCGTGTTCGGCGTTCGGCGCAGCCGCTAGAGCGATCGCATGCCGCGACGGGGACGTAGACGATCTGGACTGTGCTTGGTGGTGTGAGGGCTGCGCCCGCGTGACATGAGCTTGAGCAGGCGCAAATGATCTCGGAGGACCTTGGAGGTGCTGCAAGGGGTGCGGAGGGAACGTGTCCGCGGCGACCTCGAACGCCGCGGTGACCCCCATCGAAAGTTTGTGAAAAGGAGGTGCGTTGGTGTCATTCGCGAGGAAGGGGGATGCATTGAAGTATTGCGACCCGGGTACATTGCTCAACCGACGCGACGCTCGCAGATTGGTGTGCTGGCCATGGTGACTGCCCGAGGCAGCTGCTGCTGCTGCTGGGTTGAGCGCAAATTTGGTTGGATTGTAAGGCGCAAACGAAGGGCTGGCCGCGAGCGCCGACTCGGAGGGCGGGGGTGGTGCGGAGTGGATCAGAACGTCGGTCGCGCCATCGAGCGCGTCGTAGTGACCGTGCGAGTTGATCCAGTCGGAATAGTCGTAATGCGGAGTCGAGTGTTGTATCAACGGTTGCAACCTCGAGCTTGTCCTCGTCGAGGCACGCATCGTAGTAGGGTGTGCGCCGCCGTCGTGAGCTCGGGCGGCGCCAGCGGAGGTGCTGCTGTCTGGGCCGGCGTGACTGTGGGTGTGGTGGGTGTGAGTGCCTGGTCCCGGGCCCGGCTGCAGCGAAGCTAAGAACGGTGCAAGACCTTGTTCGAGCGGAGGGAGTAGCGCATAATGACCGGAGTCCATCTTGGTCTGGATGCCGAGTCTGTCCAAGCACGAGCATATGTCAGCTACGACGGCACGAGCACGGGCACGAAGCGAACGAGCTGCGACGAAGATCGTTCAATCACAGCCGCCGGAGCAGAGCCACTCGAGTCGAAAAGTAAGGACGGCGCACCTAGTCGGCCTTTGGGTGGTCTTTCGGACCCTGTGGAAACCACGGAAGCTGCGTGACCTTGTCGGGCCGGGATGCACGACGAGCTCAATCGCCGCGAGCTCGTGTCGTCGTCTGAGCTGCCCGCGCTGAAAAGCGATCGACCCTCTTCAGCTGGTGCCCGGCACACGCCGTCGCGAGACCACGGGGTCGTGTACGGACTCACAGATAGCTCCGTCGACTAGCTTAGGGACCAACACGTCCGTGATAAAGGGTAGTACAGACTAGGTGCGAGCGCCCGGTCGACCAGCACGAGGCCAAAGGATCGGGAGGGCGACCTACGACCCTCTCTCTGCATCGGGCCGCTCGCTCGCGGGCCACGCCTCGTTCTCTTGAGCTCCCGCTAAGCCCAGTATTAGTGCCCCCGGGTGGTCCTCTGGTCCTCAATGTATGCACTCGCTCTTTTGAGGAACATCCGGTTTGCGAACACACTCTCTGCGGCTTCAGTCAACTACACCATATAGCAACTACGGAAAGAAGAAGAAGAAGAAGAAGAAAAGAAGAAAAAAAGAAGAAAAATCCAACGTGACACTCCGCTCAAATTAGCGGCGCATGCGCGCTCGGCCCTCGAAGAAATTTCGTCGCGCTCTTGCGCTGGTTTCTCCACACTTAGCTCGATTCACAGCGCGGCTAGCCCCTATCCGGCCATCATCGCGACGGGGCGACTGCGCCTCACCATGTCCTCGTACAGAAGCACGTTCGCCGAGTCAACCCTCAGTCTCACACCTTGATTGTCCATCCACGAACCCGATTCATCCCGATCATCACTATCACCACCCCCACCTCCTCCATCATCCTCCCTCCATTGCTCGAAGCGCGGATCATGGCCGATGCTGCTGGTCAAGACCGCGGACAAGGGCTGACCGGCGAGGCCGGCGTGCTCTTCGTACAGGCGTGCGTCCTTGTCGCTCAACTCTTGGGCCAGGGAGAGGTGTTGGAACTGTTCGACCCACGAGGCGTATTCTCGCGCTTCGATGGGCTCAACGCGTGGCTCGAGCAGTCGATGGACGAGGGCCTCTGTCACCGGCGCGACGGCGCCACCGGGGCCGACGACCGAAGGCACAGCCGCGACGTGGGAGGGCACGGCAACCACCCCGAAGGAAGAGGACGAATGCTGTCCATGACTGTGAGCTTGGGTCGATGAGTTCCTGGTCCGAGTCGTTCCCGTCGTGGAGGATGCTTCATCGATGCGCTGTGCCTCAATGCGGGAGCGCAGCGACGAAGCGGGGCGTGAACCGCCGACCCCGGTTCCTCGCGTGCCACTCCGAGGCCGCGACAGCTTTGAGGGAGTTTGGAGTCTGAGCGAATCATACAGTTGGTACAAGGGATTAGCCCATAACTCGTTGATGCAGTAATGCAGTCTGACTGACCTATGCTGAGCCGCATTCAGAGCATGCCTAGCCACGAAAGGGCTTGCGTCAGGCCCATCCGAGATGAGCGCCGCAGCTTTGAGGTACCTCGACGTTGAGTTCATGATGACAGCAAAGTGCTTGTCAAATTGCGTCAACAATTGAGGACGATAGAAGGCCTGCCAATAGTTTGCTGAACCTGACGCGTCATCGTCTTCGACCGTGGCTTTGAGGCGTCGTTCGGCCTCGCTTGGCGTGAGGGACGCCTTGAGGTGCTCGGGCGTGTACCAATTGCGGTACGAGCGCCTGTTCTTGGTTTGCGAATACGAAAGTGGAGGTTGATGAGCTATGGGCGCCTCGATCCCGAGAAAGACGTCGATCGCTGCTTGCTTATCCGCATCAACGAAAGAGTTGGTGTAGTACCGGCGAAGATTGTTGACGATGTCCCTCGAGTGACTGGTCCATTGCGCAATGCCGCGATACGTCTCCATAGTATTGACAAGATGCGATCCACCGTATTGTAACGCGACCGTATCTCCGTGATCGTGAAACATCTCCATGATCATGTTCACCGCATCGCTCTCGAAAGGGACGCAAGGGTAGTCGATGATGCCTAGGGCGTGCAACTGATGGCCCAGCGCAGCTTTGGCAATGACGAACTGAGCCGCATTTGTCCGATCAAGGCAATCGATGCAGTTCGTTCGGACCACACCAGATTGTAACAGAGGAGTCGAGCGATACTCCATGGGATGCGAAGCGTCCGGGTGGATCTTGAACCATGTCGGCTCGGGGCCGGTGTGGAAAAACTTGGTCTTGGCTAGCGATTCCTCCGCGATGTCCTCGAGCACGCCGATCACATCTTTGTCGCGTCGCTTGTTCGCAGCCGCAAGGTCCCAAGCAATGTACTCAATCTTGTGCTCATCGGGGAGGAACTGGTTGAGGTAGTCGATGCATTGCTTGAACTCGGGTAGAAGCTTCGACTCGCGAGGGGTGCGTTCTTTTTGCTGAGTTGAGGTATAGGACAGGTTCCGCGCTCCGCGCTCAGTCACGTAGTTAGGGTTCTCGCTAGTCATTCGCTACTCACCTTGATCAGATTCAGTATGGTGATTGGACCTCCATACCGACCCAATAGGTCGTCAAAGTGGAGAGCGGCAGCAGTAAAGTACGGGTCGACGATCGTCACTGCAGGAGAACACAGCAGGTTCAGTATGGTGATGTACTTCGGTCGCTCCGACTTCAAGACACTCACATTCAATCGGTGGCTTCGGGCTCATATTGATGCTTTCTTGACTCCAAAATAGAGGAATACTCCCTCGGACCTGGACGAAACTTGTGAACCTCGGATTGGGCCTCCGATTCTGATGACTTTCACCCGTCGCAGGATGTTGATGCGTTGCCGCAGAAGGGGAGTGGAACGAAGTCGTCAAGGCATCCGAGACAATCTGCTCAGTCTCAACATCGTTCGCGACGTAGCCTTGTTCGTTGGCGCCGCGCTTGAGGAAACGGGCTCCGGCGAAGTGCCTCGATCGACGTGCGATGAGGGTGATGTAGATCGTCCGCCCAAATACCGACAGTTCTGAGGGAGGCAGCGGATGTCAGTTTCAGCTATCTACCATGGGTTTTCCGGGCTGAATACTCACTAGCTTGGTCCACAAAGCCGTGAATCAAAGGCAAGACCCAAGGGCTATCCTGCTTGAGGTGCGCGAACGCCGGCGTTAGCAAGAAGCGATTCCACACCCATTTGTCGTTGTACGTCGTCAGCGGGTCATTCCCCCCCCACCATCAACATTCAAAGAAGGCCCTCCAGCTCGAGTCAGGTTGTGTTGCAGCGTATGCGTAACGTCGTAGGTGTAGGAGAAGTAGAAGTTCTTGGAGAGGTCGACGCCTTGGAACGCATGGATCCGTCGAGCCTCTTCGGTGCTTCGAGTCGTCACCGCGCTCAAAGTGATGGGTCTCAGAACGACTTCCTCGCAATGATAGATGTAATGACCTCCGATGAGCGCGACATGTTGCCGTCTTTTGATGAGGACGATGTAAAAAGGATCGGTGAACCGGATGAAGCCAACGATGCCGTAAAAGGTGCCGTCGACTTTGCGCAACCCTCCCGCATTGCCGGCGCTCAAGGTCTCTTTGAGCAACTCAATCTCGTCGCGGGAGTAGATGGTTTCGTCTTCGGTAATGACGAGTCCTTCTTCCGCTTCTTCCGTCGTTTGTGCCGCTTTGCCCTTCTTCGAAGGATCCGCTGCCGATGGCTCGGACGAATCTTCGTTCGTGGTCGTGGCTGTCGAATTTGTCGTCAAGATCGCGTTCGACGCTGATGAGGCCGCGACGGGTGCTGCCGTCGTTGATGGTGAGGATGTTGCTCGATCAATCTTGAGAACGCGATACCTCGAGTCGGACTGGTTGCACGCGATGATGTAGATTTTCTGCCCGCTCCCCAAACGTGAGATGCCGGTCAGCAAAGCTCGTCGACCTGGCGTTTGATGAGCTCGGATCCGCGAGAAGGTCGACTCAACACATACCAAGTTGGTTTCATACACTGTGAACTTGTCCAACACCAGTCTCCCGCCTGGTTCGCTACGTCCATTTCGGATTGGAAGCGGGACGATCCTCGGTGCTCTCGAAGCCGAACTCTTGGACCTTTCTCGACGGCTGCTGCTGGCCTCGGAAGACCCATCGGCTCGAGTTGCGGTCGGAGGGTGCAATGTGGCGTGTGGGACGGATGTTGAAGTTGATACTATGGATGCGGGATCTAGGGCCGAAGTAGGTGCAATTGTGGGCGCAGGGGGCGGGGCAGAAGGAACATGTGGGGCGGCCTGCTCGACTTGACCGACTCGCGCGACCTGAGCCTCGGTGACTTGTGGTGTCGACGAAGTCACTTCTGGCCCAGGCTCCCCAAAGGTCAGTGGTCGTCCAAGTCGTTCGTCCGCCCCAGCAACAGCGGCTTGAGCAGGAGCACGAGGCGGTCCGAGCTCGCGCTGAACCACCGTAGTGGAGCGAACGCTCGCCGCCGTGGGTGACCGGACAGGCGATGTGAGCCGAGAGGGCGAGGGTGATGAGCCTGCGGCTGTGACCATGGTACGGATCGGATCGACCGGAGTAGGGTCGAATGCCCCCGGCTCGGGCAGGCTGAGTCTGCCACGCTACCACGCTACCGACACCGCGCTGACACGCTGCTCGGCGATCCAAACGGCAGGACGAAGAAGAGCAACTGCGGCCCGATTCGGCAGTCATCCGGGTGCCGTACGAGAGGATGTTCACGTCCAAAGTAGCAATCTTGGGGACGGAAACGTACGTTTACAACAATGATACCGAAGATAAGATCAAACACCCTCCCCTCTTTGCCTGCCTGCCCGTCAAGCAGTCGCGCCTCGACGCGTGCCCACTGCCGGTCCTGCCGGTCCACCACCATCCATCCTCCCGTCGAGTACTCCTCATGCTTCGGCCGACGGTGTTTGTGTTGGTGGTGCTTGCGATGCATCGTCCTCGGACGTCATGATTCTGGCAGCACTCATGAACCTACACACCACCGTTCAGAGAGAGCCGCCCGTGATCAGAATCAACCAACTCCGACCCGACCCTTCACGACGAAATGGCAGCCCCTTCCCACCCTTCCAAGACTGACCAAGCCGCATGGTAAGCGCCCAACAACCTCAAATAACTCGCCTGCTCGGCCGTCGCAACCGTCAAGTGTTCCAACTTGGCCGTCTGTTGCGCCAACGTCGCGAGTTGTTGCGAGAGGTTCTGGATCTGCCCTTGTTTGATCTCGGATAATTGTGATTTGAGGGAGGACATGGTCCAGGACGGGAACGTGAGACGAGAGCTTTGAAGTGGGCTTCCTGATCGTGCTTCGCTTGCTTGATGGTGGTAGGTGGTCGTTGCAGGAACAAGCGAACAGCGCGGGAAGCGCGTTTCAGCAGACCCAATCTGCCACATGTGTCCGAGAGTGGTCCGAGCGCGCCGAGCTCCACAACGGATGCACAAATGCAAGCGAGTGCAGCAGCTCTCTCTCAACTCCCCAAACTCTCAAAGCTGCCGCTTTCTAATGGTCGTTCGATTTGCCAGAATCCTTGTAGGTTTTTCAGTAGTAGTAGAGAGTGGAAGGAAGAGAGAGAAGGCAAACGAAACTGGGACGACAATCTACAAGACACGAGAGAGCCGCCGAGGATGGTAGTGGTGGGAGGTGGGGAGATGGGGAGAGGGTGAAATCGACAAAAAAACAGTTCGAGTTGCGAGAAGTGAAGAAGAGGGGGGGAACGTGAAAAAGAAATGTTATTGCGAGAAGAAGGGGTCGGTGGAGGTGGAAGAATCGACGGATTGTTGACGACAAAAGGGGAGAATGAGAGCAATCAGGAGACAGGACCGCGTATCTTTGAAAATAGAGGGGAAACAGAGGCTACGAGTCAAGCCATCCGTCGTCGTCGTCGTGGTGATCGCCCGTCAAGGTGGAGTAAAAAGTCGAATCTTCTTTTTGAGGGTGGTTTGAGGTGGGTTAAGGGCGGGGTGGAAGAAGTGAGGGTGTTTTGGTGTGGTGTTTCGGTGTGATGCTGATTTAAGAACCGCAAAAGTCGAGTAAACGATTCGCGATTCGCTGGCCCAAGTGTGTTTGTTGCGTTCCGTATTTACAGGTTAGGGAAGGCGGTGTTGTCGTCAAGGTTGACGCCAGCGTTACTCGAGCCGTTTTGGGCAGCACCGTTGGCGTTGCCGCCTCGGCCACCACGACCACGTCCTCCACCGCGACCCTCACCACGACCGCGTCCACGGCCTTCACCGCGTCCTCGGCCACCACGGGCACCACGGGCACCGTCCTCGCCATCGCGACGCGGCGGCTGGTGACGGAACTCGACCTCGAGGAAAGTCTTGGTCTTCTTCTCCTTAGGGGATTTGGCCTCCTTCTACTCGATTCCCAAGGCATCGCCATTGTAAGTAACAGTTCCCAGCCTTCATCGACTTCATCCATCCCTCCCGTCAAGCCCCAAAAGAACGCACCTTCTGTTGGGCGAGGAACTCCTCCTCTTGCTCGCCCTTTTTGACGGCCTTCACACCCTTGATCTCATCGGCGTCCTCGATCTTGCGAGCCTCAGGGAGCGCGATGTTGAGCTTGCGCTCGGCCTGGGCGGCGAGGTACTCCTCGTAGGTCTGCGAGTTGTCCTCCTCCTCGACGGGGGCGGCAGAGACGACCGGGGTCGAAGCACCGTCAGCGGCGGCGGGCGTGGCAGCGCCATCGGCTTGAGCATCGGCCTCGCCGAGCTTCTCGGCCTCGAGCTCTTGCTGGCCCTCCTCGGCACCCCATCCCTGGGCCTCGGCCTTGTCAGAGTCCCTGTACAAAAGCAAAGTAGAATGACGTTGTTGATTCTCCCATCAGCGACCTGTTACACCTCAGCTCATTGTGATGCTGCTGGGGCTGCATCTGGGACCGGCGCCTTGACAGCAAACATGCGGGGTTGAACTGACTTGTGACCGGTCTGAGACTGTCTGTCGAAGACGCGTCCACCGCCGTTCTCACGACGAGGGCGGTCACCTCCGAGGTAGGTACCGGCGTTGGATCGGGGGTTGCCAGCACCACGTCCTCGCCCTCCGCGACCACCACGTCCGCGGGCACCGAACGAGGCCGCTGTGTAGTCCAAAGCGTCGACGAGGGCCGATCAGAAGACAGAACGGTACGTCGAGTAGGTCGTATGTATCGTTTGGGCGAGATTAGCGTCGAGAAGTTCCAGGAGGGAAAAAAAGGCGGAATGCGCGAAACGAGAGATCAAGGGTGACAAAGAAAGAGTCCTAGTCAGTGACACAAGCTTTGAAAAAGAATTCTGGGATGTTGCAACTAGGGCGGAAGGATTGCAGAGGTGACGGTTTCGGCGCGGTGCATCACCCGTTCGAGAAGGTCGTCGCAAGGCCCAGGCGCGGCTGACGAGCCGAAGCACGCAAAGGAAAGGGGGGAGGGGCCCGCTGATGGGAGAACCGTGGGAGAGCTGCTACGGTCACGCGAGACTCACCACGCTCCTCCTTCAAGTCTCCAGGGGCGGCAGGGGCATCGGGGTTGATGACGCGCTTGTCGGCTTGGTTCTTTTGCTGCTTCTGCGGCTGGCGAGCACCGACGATGGGCTTTTGAGCGGCGGGCGCAGCGGCGGGCGCGGCCTTGGGAGCGGCGACGGGAGCGGAATCCTCGCCGTCGTCTGTCGAGAGGCATACACACAAAACAGATACAACGACAAGGTCAGCTCAGATCCTTCAAAATCACGGCGTAGTGTGGTGGATAAGTGTCTGTGTCGCTGGGGAGTTGGGCGAGCTGGTATGGAGAGGTCGACACCTCCGTCGGTGGGGCCGCACCGCCAGCCAGGAGGTCGCGTGAACCCACTTTCGAGAAGCGGAGGAAGGGAAAGGGCGGCCGATCTCTGGCAACGCAGACGAATGCTGCACAGAAGGGCCACAGAGGAGCGGATGACTGACCACCGAGGAGAGCGAAAGGGTTGGCACTTCGAACTTGGGCCATCTTTTGGATCGAGTGTATCGTCGGGAGCAGAAGTGGTGTGCGCGCCCTAGGCTCGTTTTCCTCACGACGCACGCCTGCACCATTCTGCGCCCGCCGGCGACGACTGCCAGGCCCACAGCCAGCGCCAGCCCCGCTGCAGCAGCCCGGCGCCTGCTGGGGCTCTCTGACTCCAAGCAAGCGTCTCACTTCACGCGAGCGCGTGACCGCCGTCGGCCACACCGCACCGGTGCCCTCTAGTTAGCAGCCCTCCACTACCCACAATCTGCATCCTTCGGCACAACTTGCGATCGAATTGACCCATCTCTAGACAATATCCCTGGAACGACATCTTGGATCAAAAGTAAGCTACTCCCCCACCATATACTAGTCAACTTCTTCGCCAGCAAGCAACTTCCGCTTCGCAGCCGACGCGAGCTGGCATGCGATCACCGGGCCACTCCGTTGCGAAGTGCGGAGCTGGGGCTCAGACAGACTCGGAATCGGCTAGTCGCTGACCGCTGAGAACATCATCTTTCTGCAGTGGGACTTTCTGGAGCCAAAGCGAAGCAGAGGATCCCTGATGGTAAGATTCGAATTAATTTGATGTTTTTTGGACCACCTGTCGCTTAATTGCTCGCTTCCTGACTCTCACTCGGCTTCTCCAGATCCTCGCAATACACGATGGGCAAATGGTAAGTTCAGTGAAAGAGAGTGGATACTTTTGGCAAACACTGAATTCGTCTTTTCCGCATTTTCACAAACGACAGACACCTCGGCCCCTGGATTCCGACTCCTAGCCTCGATGGGATGGACCCCCTCCTCACCGGGACTTGGTAATGCCGAATCGCAGCAGCTCATCGCCTCAAATGGAGGATCGACCTTTTCGAAAAAGATCTCTGCTATTCCTCTCGCTAAGGACGATCAGATGGGTATCGGAGCACGACGAGGCGCGGCGACGGTCGTTCGTTCGCTGGGTGGGGGTCTCGGCAGTATGGGATTCGTTACGGCTTCGACTTCGACGGAGAATGAAGGGGAAACGAGCAACGCTACTGCGCCCAAGACGGGAGGAGAATTTGGGAGGTTACTCGAGAGGTTGAACAAGGCCAAGGCTGAAGCTGCCGCCGCATCGGCCTCGACCTCGGCGAGTGAGGAGGAACCTGCCCGAGATGAGGATGAGGACGACACGACCAAGCGCAAGAGGGAGAAGAGGGAGAAGAAGGAGGAGAAGAAGTTATTGAAGGAGCGAAAGAAGTTGGCCAAGAAGGAGAAGACGCGTCAAGCAGCGGGAGAGGCGCCATCGGAGGAGCCGACCAGCGTGCAGGTCGAATCGTCCGTTACAGTTGTCGATTCTTCGTCGGGAGCGGCCACGACCACCACGACCACGACCACCACAAGTACAACGATCTTGAACAATCCGCGCATGGCGTGAGTAACTTTGTATCCAGACGTTGTGCGCTGACCTTGATTGCCGAGCTCATTTCCGACTTACACTCTTCACCCGTAGCGCTCGATCAAAGCATCTCCGCGCCAAACGAATGGCATCCGCCTCGAACGCCGCCGCCATGGCCGAAATTCTCGGAATTGCGCCCACACCTTCTCCGTCCGCCTCAGGCACCTCGACACCTTCCGTGATCCCATCGAACGGTATCTCCGGTATCGGTACGCTTCCTTCCTCCTCGACGCCGACGGGTCAACTCGCAGGGTCGAGAAGCGAGCCGTTGAAGGTAAATGGCCCGACGGATTCCGGTGAATGGCCCAAAGCACCATCGAGATCGTTCATGCCTAGTTCGACGGGTGGACTTGGACCGACTATGATTGCATCGACATCGACTTTGCCGTCGACTTTCGAGACCACTGCGCCGGCCCCTGTAACATCGACGATGAAGTTCCCCAGTTTCGCCAAGGCGAGCACGACCAGTCTGATGTCGACCTTTGAGCCGACTACTACGACCGCTCAAAAAGCGGAGGAACAGAAGGAGACGACCGAACATACGGAGAAGGAGCGCATCAAGAAGGAGAAGAAGGAGAAGAAAGACAAGAAGAAGCGACGGAGAGAATTGGAGGAGAAGGAGAACGACGAGGGCCTCAACACACCCCAGCCCAACCCGGACGTGATGGACACAAGTGCTGAGGCTGCGGGGATTGAGGGAGGAACCGTTGTCGTGACAGAGGAGATTCGCCCCAAGAAGAAGAGCAAGAAGACAGGGGACGAGAAAGCGGCAAAAAAGGCCGAGAAGGAGGCGAAGAAGGCGGCTGAGAAGGCAGGCAAGGGAGAGTAGTTTCGTGCACGGTTGCAGTTAATGCGTTGCCTATATGTTCGAGATCGCGTTCTGGCTAGACATGCAAGATTGAAATTGTGTATGCTGCGACTGAATTCAGCTCAGTGCAAAATTGGTTCGCACCAGGATCACCTCAAATATTTTTGAAGCCATTTTCCTTTACATTGGTATAGACATTTTAGTCCAACGAGGGATCGTGTGCTGCTATTTCTGACATCGCCCTTGGTACGGTCCGAGGAGCGACCTGGAGCGGCGGCGTGTTTCACAAGCTTTCCTAGGTTTCCACTTCAGGATCTTTGATCTTCCTCCACTCCAGCTCGAAGGCCATCTTGCTCTTCGAGTCTCTACCCTGCCCCAAGGTCTCGAGCCACAACCGCGTTGTTAGGACACGTGAAGGAGCTCGAGGGATGTCGCTGTCCTTGAATACTGCATCAGCAGAAGCGGGCTCGAGCTCGGGGTCCGGCGGTGCGACACCACCATCCGCCACGACGGCGCCGGCGCCAGCGAGCTCCAGCCGGAGATCGCGATCCAAGTCGGTGTCGCAACATCTCGATCCCTCGGCTCTTTCCTTCGCTCGTGCGTATGCAATCGGCTTCACGGCGTCCATTCTGCCGTCGTTATTGCGCATCCTCTTGCCGCTGGTCACGGGCAAGACACCGCGCTCCGTTTCACGCGTCGCTCGACAAGTGTGGGAGGCGATCGTGCGTGCGACTCACTGCAATGGCCTCGCGCTCGCGTTCGGCGTCTCAATCGGAGGTGCCAAATGGGGCGAGGATAAGATCGAAAGACTCGTCGCGTCAGCCTACGTCTCGGCGCTGAGGACGATCCGGCCGCGTAGGACGAGCAACTTCTTGCCAGGTGGAGACGATCGCGATCGGTCCGAGCGTGCAGGAGGGCAGAGCGGCGTGTCTCAGTCGAGGCCGATTACGACGGAGCAAGTCTTGCAGGACCCAATGCATGCACGTAGGATCAAGACCTTATCAACGCTCATCTCCGGCACGATCGCTTCGTTTGTGTCCATCTCGTTGCTTCAATCGCGTCCAACTACAACCTCCGCGTCGACCTCGGCGTCGGGTCCCGTGGCGACTGCCGCTCGGGCCTCTGAAGCCACTCCGAACACCAGCGTCAAAGAACAGGGGGCACAGATTCCGAACCTCGGCTTCTCACCTTACACCGCCCTGAACGATCCTCTCCCACCACTCAGGACGAATCTCTCGACTCCGCTCCCATCTATTGTACCTTCTCGCCACAAGGAATCGCCGACGCTCGATTTGACACTCTTCTTATTCGTTCGAGCCGCCGATACTCTCGTTCGGTCCGCGTACGAGAGAACGGGGTTGACCACGCGACCGGATCGCTTTGGACTTGCCTCTCGATTCGTGGCGACGCATGCCGATACTTTGCTGTTCTGGGCGTCGTGCTGGCGCATCATGTGGTGGGTTTGTCTGCGGCTCGGAGTCCATAAATGTCTGCCCGTCCCCACGTTGACTCTTGTCTCTGTTGGGATCCCACAGGTGCTTCTTCTACTTGCCCCACCGATTACCCAAGGCTTACAATCTCTGGATCTTGCGTTTGGCTCGACTCGATGTCCGACTGTTGGTGAGCTTGCAACGCATCAGCTGACCTGAATATTAGAGCTCTCCGCTGAACAGTCCGACTCTGGCTCGCAGCGCCTCTTGCAATACGCTCGAAAAGGGGAGTACGTGTACGGCAAACCGTCGAGCCCAGAAGTCCTCAAGATGTGCGAAGGTATTGCTACCTACAGTGGTATCTCGGCTGAGTTAGTCCTGCAGCACCTCCACGCAACAAGCTCCTCTCCCAAATCATAGCTGACCCCGTTGCTTTCTCTTGCAGACGAGTCATCCCGGACAACATCACCCGACTCGACTGCACCGTTGTTCACGGAAGGGTCGGCAAAGGCACGTGCGAAGTCAACGCGATCAAGCGCTGGCTCTTAGCCTTCTCCGACTGTTTCAAAATCTACCTTCCTGTGCATCTTGTCCCATCCCTTCTCTTTGGCTTTGGCTCCTTGGCCCGCCAACCGCTCGCCTCCATCATCCACATCCTCCTCGCCGCAAGTCGTAGTTCCGCGTTCTTGGCCACCTTCGTCGCCAGTATATACGCCAGCGTCTGCCTCATGCGAACTCGTCTACCGATGATCTTCCCCTTCATTTCCCAGCAGGCCATGGACGGCGGCTGGTGCACCGGCTTGGGCTGCTTCCTCTGTGGCTTCTCGGTCCTGATTGAGAACAAGCGACGCCGGCGTGAAATGGCTCTTTACTGCGCCCCTCGCGCCTTGTACACCGTTCTCGATTCGATCGTACCTCAAGTCGTACAGAATGGGCCGATGGGTGCCTGGCTCGCCAAATGGGGAGAGAGGGCGCTCTTCGCTTTGTCGACGGGCACGGTCGTGTCGGCCACTGTTCACCGTCCCGATCTCGTCTCGGGTGTCGTTCGAGGCATTCTCGGACTCGCGGTTGGCGATTGGGATGGCAAGGCAGTCAAGCAAGTCAAGAAGATTTCGTCCAAGTGAGCTGATGACATATATACATTGGTCACCTGAAATCGAACGTATGAACACTTTGTAATCTCAATCTACGTCGACGGCTGTTACATGAAACTTCACTCCAAGGAGCCCATCGAGTTGCCTGTAGTACTGTCCTCGTCGTCGGAGCCTAAATCAACCGCTCGAGCCCACGCCCGCTTCTTCTTTTCAGGCCTAGGCAGACCCTCCCGCTGGTAGCGTTCAAGCAGGCGCTCCTCCCACGAATCGGAGAGGAATTCTTCTCCTACTGCTCCTTCCCCAGCCGTACCTTCGTCGCCCGAGCCATCTTCGTCGTACCAATCAGTTCCCAGAGGGGGGTCTCCGATCGAAGAGTCGAACTTGGGCACTTCTTCCACCACTTCACTCAGGGGCAAAGGTGACATCTTGCGCGAAGGTAAATAATAGCGGCTGGGCGCAAAATCTTCCATGTTGCGTTCCCTGAGAGGAGCTCGACCGGAGGTGAATGTTTTCGCCGACTCAGGAGCGGTCGATGGGCCGAAGAAGGAGGATCGATGATGACGAAGGGTAACGAAGTTGGGGGTTTCAAATTCTTCTTGGCTTTTACTCGTGAAACTTTCGAACAGGGTGGGCAATGAGCGGTGTCGAGACAGATTTGGTACCGCAAGCTTCGGCTCGCCCATCGAAGTGGAACAGCGAGGACGGATTCTCGAGTCGATCGATTTCAGCGAGTCCCACATGGGCTCGTCAAGACTGGGGGCAGGCTGACGTCGAATCGATCGAGGGGTCCTAACTCGATGCATGACTGACCAGGTTCAAATTTGCATCAGTCTCATTTTCTCAATGATCTACCAGCGGCCTGTGGATCACTCACATTCAGGCTCTGACAACCTGGCTTGGCGAGCTTCCACCATGTCAAACGTCTCCTTCTTTCGCCTCGACGTGGCGATCAGCGATCGTTTTGGCTTGCGTTTCGATATGCCACCAATCGTGCGATCTCGAGCTACTCGTAAGAAATTGGTGATTCGGACTTTGAGCGGGACTGTCTCCGTCTTGATCGTGCCACCACTCTGAGGCATGCGGGCATGAGAGGGAAAAGCGAGCGACAATGGGCGTCGAGCAGGTTGCGCATGAAAGGAAGCTGCCAGTCATCGAAGTAAGATACTTCGTTGATCAGAAGCGATACAGGGGAAATACAAAGATACGTGAGAAGCTCACCTGGCCTGGAAAAGATTGGCACCGAAACGCACCTGGGGAACGATGCGCTCACTGTTCGAGCGTGGCTCGACCTGCGAGTACTGTCAATTCGAAGCGGGGCAGTGCCAAGTCCATGCTCGAGAGGCGACTGAGCGATGTTGAAGTCGGACCACAGGTGAATGAGATCATCAAACTCGTCTCCTTGGCTTGGAGCAGGCGACGAGAACGTCGCGATGGATGTGGGGTTGGAATCTTGCTGAGGTGTGGGGGCAAAGTGAAATGATGAGGGCAGAGGTGGAGCATGCTCCGCATCTTCAATGAAGGGGACATTCTCACAGCAGTCGAAAGTCGCGTCGTCCTCGTCCCTCTCTGCACTCATGGTCTGAGATGTAGCGAAAGGGGGGAATGAAGGTGAGCGAGCAAGTGACCATCCCGCCTGCAGGTTCCCTCGCGCGAGTCTATAGAAGCTTTGGGTGAAAGGGGCCGTGCACGGCTTCCGATCGAGGAGCCAGGTCTTGTACGGCAGCATCCATAAATTTACAGGAAAACCTGTTTTCTTTTCTTGGCCAAGTCAGGAATTTCTTATCGAAAGCGAGCGTATTGTCTTCACTCGCTCCGTCACAAACTGCTACGAGAAGAGACTTTTGTCCGAGTCCTCGGTGATCCACAGGCGCAACGGTCCCACAACCTTATCATCCTTGCGTTCGTGCAGCCTAGGTATACTTCCAAGTCCACTGAAAAACAAGATGGAGCGTTCGGAGTAGGAGAACTCGGCTCGTGTAAGTACTGCCTCTGCTTGCGGTCGCCAAACTCGTGACCGAAATGGCAAGATAGGAGGCGTGGCAGACACTGGAGCAACTTCAGATCGAGTTGTGCTCCCCCATTCAACGAACTAGCGTCCGCGGATGTCGAAGTCGTAGGAGCAGCGATCCCAAAATAGCCCCATGGATGCAGCTTGGCGGCACTCGGCCGGGACTCGCCCGTTCGGAGACCGACTTCGCACCGAGCGCGCTATCGTGCGAACGAACCCTGGGCTTTCCTCCTCCGCCGCTTGACCAACTCCGACGCATAGATTATCTACGCCTCTTGAACATAAGCTGGGAATAGACGATAACATGTGCTCCGACAACGCCAAAGCTTTCTTGAAGGCGCTCCCCAAGGTCAGTCCACCGTCCCGTGCCTTCTGGTCGATTACGTTCTCGCCGCCGAATCGCCGAATCGCGAGAGCATACCCTCATTCGGGCCATCACCACTGACAATCTCACATATCGCACAATCCTGGACCACAGTGCGAGCATCACATGCATATCGAGGGCTCCCTCGAGCCAACACTCTTATTCAAGCTCGCTGCAAGGAACAAGATCACCCTCGACCCTACCAACTTCCCCTCGGTCGAGGCCTGCGATGAACGCTACAAGAACTTCACCTCCCTCGACGACTTCCTTTACTTTTACAACGAAGCCATGGCCTCGCTCATTACTGAGCAGGACTTTGAAGAACTTGTGGATGCCTACATCGAGCGATCGTACGCCGACGGCACAGTCCACTGCGAAATCTTCTACGATCCTCAAGCCCACACCGGCCGAGGTATTGCTTCTTCGACGGTGGTAAATGGTCTCAACAAGGGTTTGATCAAGGTGAGCTCATTTCGTACCTCAGCGTCTTATGGTAAATGCTGGCCGGAACTGATCGGGCAACGTTTTCGCTTCGATTCAGGCTCAGGAGAAGTACGGCATCACGTCTAAGCTGATTGCCTGCTTTGTCCGACATCTCTCCGTCGACTCGGCTTTGGAAATGGTCGAGGATGTTATTCAATACGTCGAAAAGGGACAGGTCCACGGGCTGGGATGTGATTCGACCGAGAAGGGAAACCCGCGTGAGTTGACGCGATCACTCATCGAGACAACCCCTACAACGCTCTTTGAGACTGACCAAACCTCGTTTCGTCACTCTAACAGCTGAAAAGTATGCTTTGGTGTACCAACGCGCCCGCGACCTTGGTGTGAAGAATTTGACGATGCACTCGGGTGAGGAAGGACCGGCACAGTATGTCAGGACCACGGTCGAGCAGCTGGGTATCAAGCGCATCGATCATGGTGTGCGATCTAGCGACGACCCGGAAGTCTTGAAAATGTTGGCAAAAGAGAACGCCTTCTTGACGGTGAGCAGTCTCCCAAAAACCAACATCTCGAGCACACCCGGTCTGATCTGCAAACTCTTCTTCCGCTGCCTTCGACCAGCTTTGCCCGCTTTCCAACGTGTGAGTCCAATTTTCGGAGGTTTGCCTTTTTTTTTTTTTTTCCCAAAGACTGACATTTGTTCCGAGTTCTTAAACTCGCAGTCGACTGAGAGTGATGAGCGCGGTGTCGGAATCGCCCATCCCGAAGCTGATGGAAGCCGGTGTAAAGTTCTCTATCAACTCAGACGATCCCGCATACTTTGGAGGTACGTCGGACGGATTTGCCTGCCTTTACCTGTTCGCTCACTTCTCGCCCTTCGAACACAGGCTACTTGTTGGACAACTATGTCGCCGTCCAGGACGCATTCAATTTTCCGAAGCAGACATGGCGGCAAATCATCGTCGACGGTGCAGAAAACAGCTGGTGTGGACAAGAGAGGAAGCAAGAAATCATTTCGCAGCTGGATAAGGTGATGCATCAATGGGAGGGTAAGGATATCTGAGTTGCGCTGCGCGCACATTCTGATTGGGGGCTTAGAGTGCGGAGCAGTACACTTTGAGATGTAGCCTCTTGCATAAACCAATTGGGCGTAATTCTAAATACGCGTTTTTGGCTCCTGTCTGATCTACGCACCCGTTTCAGAGGATTACGTTCTCGATCATTCCTCTTCGAAATCTCGGCCCCCGACGCAGCGCTCGGGCCGGAATTGGACCTGTACCCGGTGGCCGGTGGGGGATGACCAAGCTCTTCGGGCTATGTCCGACGCCCAAGCGAGGAAGGGCTCGGCCGGGATGAGCGGTCAGCGCCGCGAGGGCCCCCGAGGGGTCGTCCAATTTTGTCATCCATTTATCTCAACCCGAAAGTAGTCCGACGTGTCCTTCTCTGCTTCCTCCCAATAAACTAAAGAGATCTTTCGTCCCACCCACGTCACGTCAACTCGACCCTCTTTCTTACAGACTTCTCCGATCGCTCTAGTCTCTCCGCAACTATGGCCCCCACACAAAACACAACGTTGCAGTACCTCAAAATCCCGCAAGGGTACCCCGTTCCCGGCGAGACGACCAAAAAAGTCGTTTCCGAGATCGACCTCGACACTGTCCCTCTCAACGGTGGTCTCCTGTTGAAGCAGAAAGCTCTTTCTCTGGGTCAGTCCGAGTCGTGCAACACCACAGCCCAGGTTTTTGGCTGGGCTGTTGCGCGAGCGCGCGCTCGAGGTTGAGCAGCTCAAGCTGACGAAAGATCGCCCGTGTCGAATGTTCAACCGCACAATAGACCCTTATATGAAGGGACGTATGAGGGCAGCCGATACCTCTTCTTACATCCCCCCCTTCACGCCCAATGCTCCCCTCAGCGGTTACGCCGTGGGAGAAGTACTCCGCTCGGAGAGCGACAACTTCAAGGTCGGCGATGCCGTTTACGGCATGACCGAGTTCTCGACCTACGCTGTCGTCCCCAAGCAGATGCTCGGCTACTGCAAGGTTATCGAGAACAAGGAGGGTCTTCCCTGGACTCAGCTCGTCGGTGGTGCCGGCATGTCCGGTAAGTCGGAGACAATTCTTTCCTTTCGGCTCAGGCGAGGTTCTTGCATCTCGATCTAATTCTTGTGATTTTACCTAGGTCAAACGGCTTACTGGTCGTTCTACAACATCGGTAAGCCCAAGAAGGGCGAGACGATCTACATCACCGCGGCCGCCGGAGCTGTTGGGCAAATCGTGCTCCAGCTCGCCAAGCGAGAGGGCCTCAAGGTGAGGCAGACTGCTTCCGGATGCTGACCCCGATGTTTGGCACCAGCTGACACCTGCCTTCGTTCCTTGCTCACTCACAGGTCGTCGCATCATGCGGTGACGCTGCCAAGGTAAGACTTCATTCCACAACACTCTTCTCTCCCGGCGCGAAAACCTAGTCGCTGATTATGGTCTCTTTTTTTTCACCTCTACAGCTCGAGTTCTGCAAGAGCATCGGTGCCGACGTGGTCGTCAACTACAAGGATGGTGCCGATGCCGTCGAGAAGGTGATGCGCGAGCACCCATGCGACATCTTCTACGACAACGTCGGAGGCGAGCAACTCGACCTCGCGCTGGCGACCTGCAACACCTTTGGTCGCATCATCGCGTGCGGAGGTATCTCGGCTTACTCGAGTGGTATTCACCCTTTGAAGAACTACATGCAAATTGTCGTCAAGCAGCTTCGTTGGGAGGGATTTATCATTTCGGGCAAGGACATGACTGAGTTCTTCAAGGAGATGCCCAAGTTGATTGCCGATGGCACTATCAAGTAAGTTGGACATTACTATTCACCTGAGGGGGTATTGCAACTTACCGATCCTTGGACGGCACTTTTCTTCCAATAACAGAGTTCGCGAGCACGTCGTCAAGGGTATCGACGATGGAGAGGCTTTCCTCGACTTGTTGACCGGCAAGGCCCAGGGCAAAGTCGTCATCTCCTTGGAGTAAAAAGATCGTGTAGCTTGTATGCGGAGTTCATTATGTTGCAAACTGACAAAAAGAGAAGAAAGAGGCTAGAAACTGCACTAAGCGTGTATCCCACTCAATAAGGAGAAATGGCCCAGAAGAGAGAGAGAAAGAGAGTTCGTAATAAGTCGTCCATGTATTTCTCGTGGAACGCGTCATCGGGTAAAATTATGTTGGTCTGTTAGGCTCGTCGGCGTCCTTGCGAGCCGAGTCAGAGCTCGTCGTCCTCTCGCTAGCTTCAGTAGATTCCGATTTGGTCGTAGGTGTAGACGCGGCCGTTACGGGAGGTCTTGGTCGGGGTTTGCGCACGACGCTGAACCCAGCTTGTTCCGGCGCGACCGCCGGCGCGAGTTGCTCCACCTCTTCCGCCTGGTGCCTTTCAGCCCCTTGCTGCTTCTTCCCTTGATCTGCCTTCTTTGCGAATCGAGTCGCAAACAACCCCTTCAATCTTCCCGCCGGTCGCTTGCCCCTGCTGACCTCGTCGTCATCCTCTTCGTCATCGGTGAAATCGTCCGAATCATCCGAGTAATCCGACGTCGAAGGTCTCGGTTGCGTCCTCCTGAACCGACCAAACAGACCAGTGCCCCCAGTCTTCTTCGCCGGTGTCCCACCGGACGAAATCGGTCTCGAAGATCGACGTTGCCCTTGTCTCGTCTTGTCCGGGGCATCGTACCTCGGCACCGCGTTGGAGAGCAACGTCGATGAACTCGGTGGAAGCGCAAGAGGTGCCGAACTCCTCCTCGCTTGTCGATTGCTGCCGTTACCCGTGATGGTGCTCGTACTGCTCAGAACCTCCTCCTCATTCGATAATGCCGTCGCCGAAGCCATCTCGATTACGGCGGATTGCGACAAGCGTCTCGGATTTCCAGGAGCTTTGACGGAGTAAACGTCGGCCGACGAGGACGGATAAGGTGGATACTGGTTCGAGTTGTCCAATTCTACGGTCGCGAGTTGGTAAGGGTTCGTGTACGTCGCTCGACCTCCCCCAACACGTTGGAAACCACTCGACGCCGTCGAAACGGACATGACACTTGCATTCGTCGCAGGGACGACGGTCGCCTCGCCCCAATTTGGTCCGGATCTCAACACCGGTCCTCCTTTGTTCGAATAGGCTCCCGGTTTGATCACTTCGCTCGAATGCGTCGACCCCGTTTGCGACCATGGTCCGGATGACATGGGCGACATGATGTACGCTGCATCGTCGTCGTACCTGCTTCCTCGATGGCTCGCTCGATTGGCGGCAAGTACGCTTCTCGTCTCCATCGATTGGCGATTCAAACGTCGACTATCGCGAGGTGAATCACGTCGCTCAGGTCGTCGACGCTCTCCTGTAGCCGCTTCGCGCGCCGCGGCTCGCCTCTCGGACCCCTTACGCTTCTTCCGACGCCCCCTGGCCGTCGGCCCCCCTCCTGCAGCTCCCCTGTCCCATTTCCTCAATGTACCAAAGAGTCCACCCGCCCTCGGACTGCGAGACTCGTCGAAGGGCACCCGCCCGACGAGGCGAACGATCAACTCGAAGAACTTGAAGACCAAGACCCAGAGTAACATGAGCCCCACGATCGCTTGGACGAGGAAGATGATGTAGGTGATCCAAGACCGGGCTTGAATACTGACCGCTACCGTCGGTGAGATGACGACGAGCAGGACGGCGATGACGACACGAGCGAGGGAAAGAAGGAACGCCAAGGGTCCCATGGCTGCGTTGTCGCCCCACGGCAGCCATAGGGAAGTGACGAGGGTGTCGGCGACTTCGACCGCGAGAACCACGGCCTACAGGAGTAAGAGTGAGACTCAATGTGAGCATGGGTAGAAACTTAGCCCATGGGAAGCCGAAACGTACAGCTTGAGCCGTTCCAACCCCTTGCACCGCGCCAATTACGATCGCCAAAACTATGTTCGTCCCCAGTCGCATCCCAGCAAACATCGTGCATTCGTCGGCATAGGTGTTGTACAACGGTCCCAGCTCGAGAAGATGCGTCAAGCTGGTGTAAAGCGTCCTCAAATCGCTGTAATATATCCGTGCAAGTAAGACAAGCGGGAAGATGAAGCAAACGATCGCAAAGGTGGCCCCGGCGAGACTGTAGGTCTTCGACGATTCAATCTCGGATCGATGCGCGAGCACATAGACCGAGAATATCGACAGGGGTAGATGGAAGAACATGACGGCCCGCACAATGTTGCCGTGCAAGAGGGCGAGATGAAGTCGCCACGAAGGGACGACGTCCTCCGGTCGGGTCATCTCCTCGTCGCGCAAGAAGACTTCGTCACCGACGACATCCGTATCGGCGACGAGCGGGTGTCGACTCGAGCGACTCGATGGTTCTCGCGCCGACATGGCAGAACTAGGTCGGTTCGACGACGAGTTCCCACGGACGTGTCCGTACTCGTGACCCAAATCGTTGTAGTGATGCTGTTCGCCTTCGCGCGCCTCCCCATCCTTCGTTAAGGCCGGCAATCCGTCCCTCATGACCCTTCGCTTACTGTATCGCGAAGGCAAGAAGGTATCGATCGCGGTGTCGAACAAAAAAAAGAGAAGATGGGCACCGACGATGGCGGCGCAGATGATGAAGAAGGTGAAGGCGCAGATGCTCCAGACGTCCTCGGGTCGAACACCAATCGCTCTGGCCCATCGGGCAAGCCCCTGGGGCGAGCCCTCAACATCAAGCAACACGTTCGGTAGCGAGTCGTCCAAGTACAGGGGCGAGTTCAAATCGCCCATCTGGGTCGAGAACAGTGGAGGCTTCTCGATGTTGTTGGGGAGAATTGAAGGCGGCGGTGAGGTGAAGGAAAGGGTCGAGTTGTAGACGAGTGTTGTCCAAGCGGTTTGCGCAAAGATCGGGTCTGTGGAACATGGTGATCGTCAGCGTTCGTCAGAATGGCTAACAGGTGTAAGACCGAACCAAGTGCTCACACGCAAATCCCGGCCAGTTCACGGCGATGGTCCCAACGAGCGAAGCCCACTGAATCGTCACCAACACCTCCCTCAACTCGGCCGTCCCGAACCTCCTCAGACTCCCACTCGCCACGACCTCTCGCCCAGCCCAAGCGTTGAACCAGATCGCCCCCCACATTTTGCGTCGCGACAAGGTGCCGGTATGGGACGAGATCTTGAGCGTCAGAGAAGAGGCCAGGTGGGTCTCGTTGTCCTGGAGCCAGGCCGTGTAGGCGGCGTTGAGGCGTGCGATCACGTAGAGGACGAGGTACAGCGACAAGAGGGCGATCACGACTATCCATAAGGAGGGAAATGCGAGTGCAAGCGAGAATTAGACAGATTTGAAACAAGGGGATAGGAGAGGGTGTGGCGTGGTTCACCCGACGCAGAGGAGAAAGGAAAAGCTGTGGGCAAACTCACAGTACAACACCAAAGGGTAGACGAAATACTTGGGGTAAAAGGGCGTAAACTCGAGGTCGTAACAGGCCAAATGCTTGGCCGGTACGCTTGGGTCGAGGACGATGAGCTTGGAGGTGATGGTCGTCGCGGCGTACGAGTCACCGAGCACGATGCTAAATCCGAGGGCGATGTCGCCTTGATAGGGGCACCCCGACCCCGTCGTCGAATTGGCCCCTGCGGAGGTCCTGATGCCGGAACAGAGCGCCGATTGATTTGAATAGATGGGGAACGAGAGGACGTTGGCATCGATGTCGACGGTGGAGAGGTACGTGGTCGTGTTGGAGTACCCCTGAGCTAGAGCCTGGGTGGTGCCGACGAGCACGACGCGCAGGAGCGTGCCCGTGGTGGAGGTGTAGCGAGCGCCGTCCTTGTCGAAGACGGGGTACTGGCCCGTCGCGCCGAGGTTGTACCCATTTGCCTTTTGTCCCGCAAAGGTCTGGCCCTGGTCGAACTGGGCGTAGAGGGCCGTCATCTTGAGCTGCTGCGAGTCGGGTGCGGCGAGGGTGTCCTTGGGAAGGCACGACGAGGGCGTGTACTTCAACAGCCCGGAACTTGACACAATCGTCGGCAGCGAGGCCATCATCCCCAGCGAGGCGAGCGCGAGCCATAGTCGAACGGATAGGATCCTTGAACGTCTACCCATTCTTGTCGATGGTTGCGTCGTCGCCGTCGTCGTTGTGACCGTCACCTCAGAGCCCCGTCACCCGTTGTTCACCCGTCCACCCGTCACCGACGCTGACCGACCGACGGCGAATCGAATCGAGGCGCGGCAGCAGTGCTGAAGGCGGTGCGGCACCGAAACACGCCCGTTCGTGTCCTCGTCCGCACGCGCTGGGGTTGCTCAGGTGCCCGGATCCAGACGGTAGTGCCGAGCTTCGATCCAGTCGCACACACAGACACACGCAATGGTAGTGCCTGTGATGACCCCTTGGGAAGGAGGAGCGTGTGTTGACGGGGCAGTGAGCGGCTCAAACGGACATGGAGGCGAGTGGGCTAATGACGACCGACGTGCCTGCTTGCTCAGCCTGCCAGGCCGGCGTGTGAAATGACCGGCTCGAGGCGGCGTCTGTTTCCGTTCAAACTGACGATGGCTCTTAATCCTTTTCGACATCGTTTGGGTTTTGTTCAAGAATTTTATAAATTAGCAAGTCTCTTCATGGTTCTGCCTGCTCAATCATGCTACTGGAAGTCGATCAACTTGTCGTGTCCGATCGAAGTCCTCGGAAACCTCGAGGTCCCTTGACTTGCAGCCCCGCCTCCGCATTGGCCTCGACATTGTGTTTTTGGCTCAGCCTCAGGCCTCACCGAGTCACCGCTCAGCTCAGTGTCAGCACTCTCGGATCCGCGTGAAACCTTCGCTCCGACCATTCCCATGCGAATCATCTTAGTCACCGTTTGATCAGTTGCATTGCATGTGCATGTTCTCATCTTCTCTATGATATGAAGATGATCCTCGTCGGGACGCGCTTGCGGTACGAGATATAGTCGTCGCCAAAGAATTTGACCAGGTATTTCTCCTCGGCTAAGGGTCCGGTGAATCCGGGTGGTAGAGTCAGCTTCTTCCGACGATCGAAAAGAAGTGGAAGACTTTTGCCCAAGTATGATGGCGCAAACTTACCCTCTATACGGGCGGCAAAGAACGAGAGCAAAACGTGGGTGAACGCCAGCGTCGCTATCGGGTTTGCGAGCATGATCTAGGGAAGATCCAGGGAAGAGGAGAGTCGGTTTCAAATTGGAATTCGAGAGTCTGATCTTCCCACCGAAAGAGGACCGACCTGAGTCCCCAAAGCCCACCAACAGAACCCGGCGTACGAAGGGTGTCGGGACCAGGCGTAGATCCCGGTCTCGACGAGGGAATGGTCGTCTCGCTTCTTGGTTTGGATGCTGTTTGGACGAATCAGTGAGATAGGTCAGAACATCAGCGCCCTACACCTCACCTGGGAAAGGAAATACTTTGTTTAGATCTGGACGAAAATGACGACGTACACATGGGAAAAGTTTTGCGCTGCCGAGATCATCGCGAACGAGCGCAGAATCTGACCTCCCATGAGGAGCACCCACCCTATGTGCAGACCACATCAGTGCAAGAGATTAGCCACGAACTCGAACATTTTCCTGCTTGAAGTGCATGTGTGACGCACCAGCGACCATGATCCATCCGAGGTGTTTGAATGCTCGCCACTTGGGGGGTAGGTACGCTTCTTCCAAGACGTGCTCGACGATCCCAAAAGCGTGGGCGACGTGGTAAGGTGACCCATTGTTCAAGAGGAAGGCTATGAAGGACAGGACCACCATTAGTCACGTTGAGCGAGCCGTAGGCCGAGCGGACCGCGTTGCGGACAGCCCAAAGTGGGGGTTTGGACCCACAAGAAACGGAGAGCTTGCCCGGGTTGTACATGGACGTGACGACGAATTCGAGCAGATGGAACATGGCCCAACAAGTGAGATAAAGCGCCAACATGGGACTCGTACATGCGCTCCACAGGCTCTGAGCGGGTAAATGCTTCGAATCGAGCGTGAACCACACTGGCCAGGATCGTTCGGTCGGGTGGAGCCAATAGATGCCCAGCCGGGTGAAGCCTACGGACCATGCGGCACCGAGACAGAACGCGAAACAGGCGACGTTGTGAGGGGTCGATTCGAACGAGGTGAGTGGGAAGGAAGGGCCGACGCGGTGGCTGGGGCGCTGTTCGACGTGGGCCTTGCCGTTCGAGGTCGAGGTCGAGTCGTGCGATGGAGGAGAGGTGAGGCCGGTGGGGGGCTCCGCGGACGATGGCTCGGGGCTCATGTCCGGATCAGGTCCTGCATTCGGTCGTCTATGCAAGTCATTTTCGGCCGACATTTCGAGACTCATCGTAATTCTGGGGTGGGGTTCGATGAGCTGTTGGAGAAATTGGGAGGAGAGCAACCATCGAGTGCTCACTGCTCGCGCACACGTTGACAGCGAACACCGAATCTTTCACACGGCCGGCACGAGCGAGACAAAGGGATGCCCGAGCTTTCTTCTTCCCCCTGGCGATAGTCCCCGCCTCGCGGTAGAATACGCCGGCCGAACGCCCCCTTTCGAGGCGCAGCGCATTCGCATTCACATCTTCGAATTCGTTTCAGCCAGATCACATGACAGTGCTTTGTTGCGATTTCTCTGAGCGCCCCGTCTCGTTCGGCCGAGGTCACATTGGTCCCGCCGTGGAATAGGCCGATGGCTATGCTTAGCCTACTAGGGGCTCCTAACAAATCATGTCGTTGCATCATGACATCCTATCTGGGTATTCAGAATCACCTTTCAAGCCTTCAAAGCCGCTTTCAAAGTCTACCCATCACGCCAAGAGTCAGCAGAAAAGCCTTCGTCAGCGAACGTATCCAAAAACTCGCTCACGTGACCCTTGACTTGACTGCAGCAAACTGACCTTTTCCATCTGTTCGAAATCGCTGGTGTCCACTCTCACAATCGGTTTTCCGACCGCGTTCCTGATGTCCTCCATAATCTTGAAGCTCTTCCGATCATGCACGAAATTGATGCTGACGCCTTGTCGACCGAACCTCCCCGTCCTCCCAATGCGATGAATGTAAGTCTGCGGTTCAGGTCTCCCCTGACCATCGACGGGCAAGTCGTAGTTGACGACCATGTTGACTTGCATCACGTCCAAGCCACGCGCGATCACGTTCGTCGCCATGAGGACTTTGGTCTTGCCATCTCGGAAGGACTCCATCACCGCGTCGCGTTCCTCGGGCGTCAGTTGACCGGTCAAAGAAGCGACGGCGTGCCCCTCGGCCGTCATTCGTCGTGAGATTTCGTCCGAGGTGTCTCGACGCTGTGAACGGAAAAAAAAGGGCGAGCGATTGAGCAAGGCATTCAAAGGTGCACATGGAAGACGCCTGGGGTTTCCGGTTTCCACTCACGGCGACAAAGATGATGCTCTGCCCGATCGTCAACAAGTTGTACAACTCGACCAGGACTTCGTACTTGTGCTGCTCGTCTCGGCAGTCTTACCACGGGGAAGATATTACCGTCAACACGTGGGGTTCCTAAGACCGTTGGAGACCCGACTGACCCATGAAGAACTGCTTGATCGCATCCAAGGCGACTTCCTCCTGCTTGAGGCGGATTTCGTTCGCATTCGGCGCAAAGCGAACGGCGAACGTTCGGACCGTGTCGGTAAAGGTTGCAGAGAAGAGCACAAGTTGCGGCGGTGTTCGTGCAGATTTGATGACGGCACTGTGAAGGTTCCCAGGGACTCCGTTTACGATCAGCTCTTGTATCGCAACAATCACACGTGTCGGAACCTGACCCACTTTTTGACACTCGAACTCTGATCGGCCATGGACCCAAGATCCAACAAGTTGTCGGCCTCGTCCAAGACAAACACCTTGACCTCGCTACAGTCCAAGATCCGATGTCGGATAGCCTAAACTTATGAGACCATCGATCACAGCATCAGCGGCATTCGCACACAGACGTCTTTTCACCCATGAAACGTTGAACGCACGTCCATGATCGTCCCCGGTGTGCCAACGATGACTTGAGCCTGAATGGGGGGCATTCTGCGATCGAACGAGTCCTTGACGGCGGCGAAGCACTCGACGGGGGTATATTCTCCCATGCGTTGTACGACCGTCAAGGTTTGTAGCGCCAATTCGCGCGCAGGGGAGAGGCAGATCGCCTGGAGGGTGATGACCCGACGGAACACGGAACGTCAGGGGTCCGTTGTCACAACGAGACTCGAAAGTAGCATAGAGTCTGACCTGAGGCTTTCTGAGCTCCATGTCGATGCGAGAGAGCATGGTCAAGGCGAAGGCGGCGGTCTTGCCCGTTCCCGACTGGGATTGACCGATCATGTTGCGAGGACTGGAGATGGTGGACTACACGGGTCAGCCTGCACACGATACACGATACGGAAAAGAGGGTCCAAACTGACGGGTTCTGGAGCAGAAGAGGCAGAGCACGCTCCTGGATCTTGGAAGGCTTTTGGAAACCCATCTTGTACACTCCTTTGAGCAAGTTCGGGTGCCTAGAGTGGGGGGTGGGAAATCCAAGTCATCCCGGTCCCGGATTGACCGTCAGAGGCGCTGGTGCCTAGCTCGCGTTGCGCCTCTGAACCACGCACAGGTTGAGATCCTCGAATGTCTTGGCCGAAAAGAGCGGCGAGTTGGGGTCCTGCTGTTGATCGGCGAGCGTGACCTGGACGGCAACGACGAAGAGGAGTTGAGAGGGGTTGAGAGGGGTGAGGGGTGAGCTTGGGAGCGAAGAGGAGCAGCAGGATGCGGTGAGAGCGCAAGCGGCTTACTTGAACCTCGTGTTGCAAGTTTTCAAGAAGTTGGGAAGCTGTCGAGGGCGATGGTGTACCGATCGAGTGGGTTCTCAGGGGTTTCAGCCAGGGGTAGGGCTCCTCGCGGGTCGAGTCCGCTGGACGAACGAACCTTTGGGTACGGGAGCGGGCTCGGGTGCAGCTTCCTGCTCATCATGGGCTGCATTCGGGGCACTGTCTTGTTGCTCCACTTGGGGTGTGGCAGGAGCAGCTGGCGAGGACGAGGCGGCGTCGACACTGTTCGCGGTCGGGTCCAGTTGGGACAGCCGAGCCGAGAGCGAGGCGACCGCGTCTGTCGAGCACCGCCAGCTGGTGAGTACTGGGCGTGTCTCGGCTGGGGCCCGCGTCCGTCACTGACCTGATGCCATGCTGTGTATGTGCGAAGAGGTCGGCGATGCGGGCGAACAGGGGCGACCGGTCCCAACGAGCACGACGACGACCTAGCTGGAATTTATGGCTTTAAACTTTAAACGGGTGGCGGTCAAATCGGCGGCTGGTCTTATTAATCCGAGGCAAGCGATCGTGCGATCGTCTCGTCTTGACCCCGTTATTACTAATGCGAATTGCGCCGACAAGCGCCAGTCAGCGCCAGTACTAACTAGATCGAGTCGACCGCCGAGCCCGAGGATCGACCGGTTGGCTTGCACCGACCCACTACGACGGCTGCTCCTCCCGCCCGCCCGCCCGCGAATGTATGGTCCAGCAAGCCGGTCGTACCACTGGCAGTCCCAGTCGGCTCGGTCGATGGCTCGGTCGACAGCATGAGCTCGTCGTCGCGCCGAGCTCGCGGTGGCTGCTCGTCTCCGTGCTCAAGGCCACAATGGCTCTGACGCTCACCTTTGCCCTCATCTTTTCGCGTCCATTCGCGAATCTCAACCCCCATGCCGGATCGTCCCTCAACTCGGTACATTTGCTGGTGCCCCTGCCCCGGAAGAGCTCGGAGCTGCGCAGTTGGTCCCGTCTCGGTTGGCGCGCACTCGCCGAGGCTGATTGTCTACTTGAGGCCACCGCAGATGGTCCTCGCCGTTGTGGCGGCCTATCCGGGCAAGACCGTAGGCGGCTTTGTGCACAACTTCATCTGGTCGTCTCTCGGTCTCTTCGGTGGCGTCGCCGTCTTTGTCATCCTGGCCACGCTCTGTGAGTACCCAACTCGGCTCCGGGAACACGTTCGGCGCGGTATATTGGGCCAGCTGACCAACGGTCCTCTGGCTCGATAGGCTATGCGCCCCTTGCCCAGGGTTTCGTGTTTGCACTATGGGTCTATCTCGTCGCGCTCGTTCGTGCGCTCGGCCCAAAGTACATATCCTTCTTCCTCGTGAGTGCCCTCTCTGCGAAGAATTGTCGCCCCACCTCCCGAGACTCGAGACTCGAGCCTCGAGCCTTTGAGCTTTGAACGCTAACATCCCACTCTCCACTGCACAGTACGGCGTACTCTTCGCCTTCAACGGCATCTACTCTCCCATCGAGCTCGCAAAACAATCCGGTCGACTGGCCTTCGAATCCTCTTGGTTGCTCGCCTACTTCCAAGCCTACGGCTACGGTCTCGTCATCTCCCTCGCCGTCAACTTTCTCGTCTCTCCGACCCAGTCCTCGGCCGAACTCAACACCTTGCTCATCGCATCGCTGCAACACATATCCTCCCTCGCCCATTTGACCTGCAAGGCCTATTCGAAGGAGATCGACGCTGATGAGGAACAAGTCCGTTCCGTGCTCGTGCAAACGATCAGGTCCGACTACCTCGCCCTCGCTTCGCGCCTCGAAGAAACGGCTTACGAAGTTCGCCTTCGTTCCCAATTCCGTTTCGTCGATTGGCAGGACATGATCGCCAAAGTGCAAGGCTTGCAACAGGCCTTGATCACGTCCTCCTCGGCGCTGGATCTGATCGACGAACTCGATCCGGAAGGGATCAATGTCAAGCGTCACTTGTTGGCGAGGAGTGAATCGGCGGCGACGTTCAAGGCGTTTCGAAGAGGCATCGATTTGGTCATCGCTTCCATCGTCGATCAGTTGCTAGGGAATGACAACAAGCAACAACAGAGGAAACCTACTGGCGAAGAAGATGTGCACGGGCAAGAGATGAGGGAACGATGGCACCTGCATTCTCGCGCCAATCAAGAACCAACACTGCCACCACCCGCAACGCAGCCACGAACAGGTGCGGCAGAGCCTGTGGCGGGCGCGCCTTTGTCACGCAAGGAGACGATGGAGCAATTGATGACCATAGGGGACAAGTTGAGGAGAGAGGTACAACGCTCCGAAATCAGGCAACAACAAGCATCGAGAGAATCGAGCGTGTCCAATGCGCCCACGACGAACGATCCCCCCACACCGGAGGAACAAGCCCAAGCCGCCGCCGACCTGCGCCACACGCTGAGCAAACGGACGACGGTCTTTGACCCCGAACGACGAACGCCGAGTGGGGATGAGGAGAAAGCGTATGCTGCGGGATCGGAAGTGGGGTTCTTGCGTGACGCGTGGGAACGCTTTGCTCAGGTGCAGGCCGATGCGTTGATATCGCTCATCAAGGATGGGTCATTGGGCATCGAGGATGTTTTGAGGATCGAGGAAGGGATGCCGGGATTACAGATGATGTGAGTTGAGCATCTTCGGATCCTATTGAGGGGCTTCGGATTCACGTGAGGTTGTACGATAGGTACGCGGATCGACTCCCCAAAGCTTGGACAAGCTCGCTCGTCGCCGAGACGTCCCTGAGACGCATACGACACGCCGTACCCATGAGCAGCTTTGCCGGATCCTCGAGAGGCGGCGAAGACTCTGCACATCCGGAAGAGGTGGCCATCTCGGCGGCCTTGACCAAGTCGTATTCGATCCTCTTTGGCTTCGGGTCAGTTCACTTCTACTCCCGTTGAGATTATGCACAAGTCGTGAGCTGATGCCCGGCGTCCTCACGCTAGGCAACTGACGGATGAGTTGTGCTCACTTCATTCGCTCGTCACAACCAATCGCAAGAAACGGATCCGACCTTACATCTTTTACACCCTGCGGCAGAGGCTATTGGCGCCATGGCAAAGACCGAACGGGATGACGTTACCTGAAGCTCTGGCGACACTGAAAGGCGACCCTTATACAGCGTTAAAGGTCACCCTTACACAGCGTTTCGTCTGGTTCGAGAGGTGGTTGAGGGGTGATCGATCGCTTTGTAAGTTGCTCGTCAAATGGTATGAATCTCAATTTGATGGGCCAGAATGAGACTGAATAATCCCTGCACGCCGGACAGACGCCTTCAAAGTCGCCATCGGTGCCTCGTTGTACACAGTCTTCATCCTCACGCCGTCCCTTCAAACGAACCTTTTTTTCAAATATGGCATGACATCGTCACTCATCACCGTCATCGTCGCCATCTCACCCACCTTGGGCCAAACGACCTGGACTTGGGTCCTGCAGCTTGCGGGCACGGGGGTCGGTGCTCTGTACGGCTTGATCGTGCTCGAGATCTTTCACAACGTTGGAGGACACGTCTACAACCCTTATGGTCTCGCGGCAGCGATCGCTGTTTGGGCCGCCTTCTCATCCTTCATCTTCTACGGGAGCCCGCAGTACTATACCGCCTCGTTACTGATGATGGTCGGTAGCGGCAACGTCGTCATCCTCGAATACCTCTACAACGAGAACCCAGTGGCGATGGCGACGCTCAGACAGCCCTACGAAGCTCCGCCGCTTCGCTTCGCCCATCTCATTGGCTCAATGGGCATCTCGATCGGTATCTCGGCGATCTTGCAACTCTTCTTCTTGAGGTCTCCAGCTCGACGACAGCTTCGAAAGGAGATCGCGACCATCACCTCCTCGCTCGCGCGGTACAATACGCTTTTGCAGACTCTGATCAACGTCGTCGCACCCGCTGATGATGCACCCATGCCTTCACCCGAAGCATTGGATCAAATCGCCGACGAGTTAGTCCAACAAGAAATCGCGATCCAATCCGCGCTCTTGAAGCTTCCAACGACGTATGGGTACGCCAAAGTCGAGCCTACCTTTGGCCTCCCCTTCAAAGCCGACGTCTTGCTCAAGATCATCAACTCGCACCAAATCATTCTTGATCGATTGAGGGAGGCTCGAACGGCGGTCGGGACCAGAGGGTTCAACGAGACGGTGCATAAAGATTTCGCGAGTGCGTTGTTCCCTTATCGGTTGCATTCGCAGAGGTTGGCGAGGGTGTTGTTCCACCTTGCCGCGACGTCGCGTGAGTTTGATGGCTTGTTGTCGGGGTAATTGAGGTGGTGGTGTGGAGCTGACTGGGTTGTGGACGCTTCACAGTGATGTGCAAGACCCCATTGGCGCGTGACGTCCCTTCGTCCAAGCCGACCTGGGCGTCGTTCGAGAACGATGCACTCGTTTTATCCCGTCGTCTAAGGTCAGTTGATTCTTTCCAGGATCTGAGTATACTGTCGCGTCGTGGGAAAGCTGATCCTCGACTGCTCATCGGTCTAGTCAATTGCCGCGAGGCGAGGCCGAGCTCAAACGACCTGGATTTCTCAGGTATTGGTGAGTCGCTACATGTTTCACACATGCCGAAGTACGCTGCGGGCACCCGTTCTGATTATCCGTGTCCAACCGCTTGCCTTTGGACAGGTTCTACCTCGTCTCGCTCGGGTCGGTCTCGTCCGAGCTGGAAAACCTGGAGCAGTATCTCGGGGAGCTCTTCGACGACCCCCACATGATATCTGATGGGGTGCTTTGACTATCTCAGTTTAGTGTATCCTTTTTGATCCGATCGTATAGCATGGGTTATCTTTGTCGTTCAGTGTTGTACTAGAGCATTCTTCTAGCCTGCGTTGACAAATCGGCTGAACGTAATGCGTAAAAAGTCGTGGGCCCGGCGAACCAATTTTCGGGACGTGGCTGGGGTAAAATCTGGTAAAATCCCTGCATGGTTGCCGTGCCTCCGGTCCGGGTAATATACCCGTGCCGTGTTGTGCCTCCGCTGGACTGCCGCGAGCTGCCGCGCTTAGCTTCCGAAAGCCAAGCTCCACCGGCTCGCCGTTGTTTCCTTCTTATCCCTCTGCAACTTTCATCCAAGACACACCCTTTCCTCCGCCTCTCACCTGTCAACTTGCACCAATCATCTTTTGAAAGCCAAACTCGGACAGGCCCCTCGCATCTCTCCCCATCATACACCGCACGCCGTTGGTCGCCCCCGTTCCCCGAAACCGCTCGCTCGTGAAAGAAGCTTCCCGTCTCGATCATCATCATGTTGGACACCTTCTTGACTCGTAGTCTCGGCATCGAGATCCCTGTCGTCCAGGGTGGAATGATGTAAGTCGACAGTTTCGTGCAGGCCCGTCATCTCGGAGCTAGCCCGTTTGATGCGGTGCCCAGCCCGCGTCCGCCCGTGTGCTGACCGTCTTTGCCTCCCCCATTTGTTCGGGATGACTTCTTCGCACGCTCCTCTTCCTCCCCGCACCAAAATCAAAACAGGTGGGTCGGCCTCCCCAAGCTCGTCGCGGCCGTATCCAACGCCGGTGGCCTCGGCATCCTCACCGGTCTCACCCCCGGATCTCCCGCCAAACTACGCGAGTCGATCCGCGAGGTCCGTCGATTGACCAACAAGCCTTTCGCGGTCAACTTGACGTTCCTGCCTTCGATTTCACCCCCACCTTATGAGGAGTACGCTCAAGTCGTTATCGATGAGGGGGTGAAGGTGGTGGAGACGGCTGGTGGACCGGCGGCGGGTCCGATTATCAAAGTGAGTTTTCACTCGGGGCACACGTTTTTTGTCGTTTCGGGAGCGCCCCGGGAGGGAGTAGCTGATGAGGCCTGCGTGTCCAACAGATGTACAAGAAGGCGGGCATCTTTGTCATCCACAAGTGCACGTCGATCCGTCATGCCAAGTCGGCGGTCAAGCTCAGCGTCGACTGCCTTTCGATCGTAGGTCCACACGAATCTTCCTCGCCCAGCCTGATGAGACTTGCGAATGCTAAAATCTCAAACTGCTTACTCCCTACAGGACGGATTCGAATGCGCCGGTCACCCCGGAGAGGACGACACCCCCGGCTTGATCCTCCTCGCGCTCGCAGCCAAGAAGCTCGACATCCCTTACCTCGCTTCGGGGGGTATCGCCGATGGACGAGGTTTGGCCGCTGCCATCACCCTCGGTGCTTGCGGTGTCAACTGTGGCACCTTGTTCATGGCTACAGAGGAGTCTTACATCGTGCGTCCAAGGAGTTACCGGGTACGACGGCCTGATTCTGACCCTTTTCGTTTTCGTGACCCCCTCGCGCGCGCAGCACGACAACATCAAGAACGCGATCGTCAAAGCGACCGAACGCGACACGACGCACATCTTCCGTACGCTCAATAACACGGCTCGCGTGTACAAGAACAAGATCGCGGTCGAGGTCGTCACCAAAGAACGTCAACCGGGTGGCGTCCAATTCCCAGAGATCGCGCCTTTGGTTTCTGGGGCGAGGGGTCGAACGGTGTATGAGAATGGGGATATCGATGCCGGGGTATGGTCCGCTTCGCCTGTGATGGGCTTGATCGACGATGTTCCTAGTTGTGAGGTATTGCTCAAGAGGATGGAGAAGGATGCCGAGGAGATTCTGTTGATGGGGGCCAAGACGGTCGTGAAGAAGACGGAGCAACGTCAGAGCAAGTTGTGATCCGACGGACTAGGTGGGATCTTGGTGGGTGCTTTGGTTATTTTCGGGTGTAAGTTTTGTGTGTAGTGTGAAAGAGACGGAAAAAAAAAGCTCAATGCCAGTGTCCGGATCCTGGATATAAACCCCCCTGGGAAATGGTGCCACGTGAAGCGCGCCGACCCAGACCGAGTCAAAGGAGGCTCTAATGAGCTCTGATGCTCTCTAATGCGCGTCGAACTGGGCCTGAATAGGCCTGAATAGGCTTGAATGCGCCCTAAGCCTGTCAAGACGTGGCCTCGATCGTGCCACCACCCGTTTCTAGTGTCGCATAGCACTGGGCCGCACGACTCACTAGAGTTGACTAGACCGTAGCACCTCGGCCGCAGGATACGCTCGGCTCAGGTCACTCGGTACTCGGCACTCGGCACTCGGCGTTCGGCACTCGGTCTCGCCCCTCCTCTCGCGTTCGCTTCGCCCCCACTTGGAGCGGCTGGGAGCTGAGCCCGGGTCGAGATGAGCCTTCGCGTGCAACAGCGGAGAGCCTACTTTACCGAACCCACGAAAGATGTCAGTACAGGACCCACAGACTGTCCGGACATGTTAAGCGTCAGTTGACATGGTCATCGAACCTCGAACCTCCGCCACGACGGCGATGTGCAACGAACCCACCTTCCGCATACGTCCGCACGTCGCTCTCGAGTCTCCAGGCGCTGTTCCGGGAAGCGTTCGGTCTACCCGAGGAGGAGGAACCATTGGGAGAGGTCCATGCGGTGTTGACCATGCAGGGGAAGGAGGAAGCCTATGTCAGTTCTCGGATCAACTCTCGGATCAACTCGCTGCTTGGGTGAACGACGTCGGTCGTCGTCGTCGTCGTCGTCGTCGTCGTCGTCGTCGTCGTCGTCGTCGTCGTCATCATCGGTCGGGAACCGTGTCCGGCGTTGGGCTCGGCACGCGGACCCAGAACTCGGCGACTCGAGCTTGGAAGCAGAGATTGCTCGATACTGATGCTGTATTCCTTCTCGGCTCCGACCCGCCCCCCCTTCGTTTCTCGTCTCGCACCAGTCGGGAAAGCTTTATCTGTCTACCTCGTTTCTCGCCTTCACCTCGCTCGACCGACGATCCTGTCGTTTCACCTTACCCCTCGCGACCGTGCGACGCGTCGAGAAACTCGCCCCAGGCCAAGACGGCACTTCAGCCGGCGCATTCGCCCTGTCCCTCACCCTGCTGCACCACCTCCGCATCGTACTCCAACTCAACTCGCTCCGACCGACGAACGATGCCTTCTGCGCCACGTTGCGAAGACGCCTCAAGGCTTCTTTGCCGATGATGAAGGCCTTGTCACCGTTTTCCCGCACCTTCTTTTCCGAACATTACCTCAACCCAGTTTCGGAAAAGGACGACGCCGACGCGGATGGGACAGGCGCCTCGGAGAAACCCGAACCCGTGGTCGGGCAGCTGATCTCGTTCGGCGAAGGCGATTCCGAAGCCAAGGACTTCAAAGGCAAGCAGAAGGAGGTCAACGAGTATACGACCGAGGCGGGAACGGGCCATGGCTTCCATGGTGGCTTGTGAGTCCACCATACGCGGGGCCCAAGAGGAGTGGCTCGGAAGACTGAATTCTAGGACACTCTTCTGGTCGCCTCACAGAGGTCTCGTCTTCAAGTTTCCGGGAGATCCTCGAAAGTGAGTCACAAGTCTGGTCAGTTCCGTGCCAGAGTGAATTTAATCAGCACTCATCGTCTCATCTGCAGGCTGCGCGAGAAATCAAAGATGAAGCTGTGGAAGGAGTATTTGACGCGTGAGTTCTGTCGCATCCTGGCCTAGCGGCTCACAAACTAAGGTTTTTCGACCGTTCTCGCTCGCGACAGACCATGGACGCAACTTGACCCTCGTGCGCTACCCCTCCTTCACCCGCCTCGTCCTCGTCGGTCTTCCGAATCGACTCCGAGGCGAGATGTGGGAACTCACATGCGGGTCTATGTACATGCGCTTGCACAACCCTGGAGTCTATGACAAGATCCTTGAGGATAACGAAGGGCGGAGATCGGCGAGTACGGATGATATTGAGAAGGATTTGCATCGGTCGTGAGTAGACTTCACGAGTAGGGCACGCGAGATTGGCGTGAAAGCGTACTGACGAGAGGTGTGATGGTCTTAGATTACCCGAGTATGCGGCGTACCAGGACAAAGCCGGCATCGACGCGATGCGGAGGGTGTTGACGGCATATTCGTGGAGCAATCCGAGTGTGGGGTACTGTCAGGTCAGTGACGGCGTGCTACTCCCTAGCCTGAAACGTGAGCTAATATGTATGCGCTCCACTTCTCAGGCAATGAACCTCATCGCTGCGTCTTTCTTGATCTACATGTCCGAGGAGCAATGCTTTTGGACGTTGACCGTGTTATGCGACCGGTTACTACCGGGATACTACTCGTGAGTCTGCAAACACCGGCTATGTCGCCTGGATCAAAGTCCTGACATGACATTGCATTTCTTCTCCAGGCCGTCGATGTACGGCACTGTACTCGACCAACGCGTATTCGAGCACCTCGTTCAAAAATGCCTCCCCTTGATCCACGACCATTTCTCTGAAGCTGACGTCCAACTCTCCGTCGCGAGTCTACCGTGGTTCCTCTCCCTCTACATCTCATCCCTTCCGATGGTGTTTGCCTTCCGAATCATCGACTGTTTCTTCCTCATGGGGCCAAAAGTCTTGTTTCAAGTCGGGTTGGCGATCCTCAAGGTCAATGGGGAGGAGTTGTTGCAGACAAGTGATGATGGGGCTTTTATCAAGTGAGTTCGGGAACGCTGAAATTACTTAAAGTTGACTGAAGCTGATGGATCATGTGTTGTGGTTTGAACAGCGTTCTCAAGTCGTACTTTGCTACGCTCGGTGATTCGGCCCATCCCGAATCGCGTGATCCTAAGATGCGGCAAATCACGAAGTTCCAGGAACTGTGTGAGTCACGCATGCTGGGAAACTGAAGAGCGTACGTGCCGACCATTCGTGCTGACCATGCGAGCGCCCGTATCCATAGTCGTCGTTGCGTTCCGCGAGTTCGCGTCCATCACCGACGAAACGATCGCGAGTGAACGCAAGCGGTTCCGTTCCGAGGTCGTCGTCTCGATCGAGAACTTCGCCAAGAGGTCGACAATTCGAAACTTGCGCTCCACGGGACGACTGAGCAAAGAACAGCTCGGTCTCGCATATGATCATTTCCAACTTGCGCTCCTGAGGTCGACGGAAAGGTCTCGGAAACGAGGCTATTCCAGCTCTGGTGGATCCCTCAAAACCCCTTCGCAACGGTCGAGAGGGACCTCGGAGCCATCAGCCGAAGAAACCTCGGTGACGGAGAAGCAAGATGGCGAAAAACCGGAACCGCGCATCGACCGAGAAGCGTTCGGTACCTTTTTGGGCGATATCGCCTCCTGGGCTAGGGACGAGAAAGTCGTTAAGAACGGTTTCCACGAACATGTTGAACGCGAGCCGGTCGACCATGCGCTCGTCGATCGGATCTTTCACAATTGGGACGAAACGGGTGCGCAGGGGTTGTCGTTTCAGGATGTGGTGACGGGTCTGGATTCGGTCCTGTTCAATGATTTGATGATGAATCTGGCGTGGTTATTTTCGATCCATGATGGAGATCGGGATGGGCATTTGACGAGGGATGAAGCATTGCAGGTCTCGGAGAGTTTACTGGTCAGTAGCGCTGCTGGTCCGCAGCTCAGAGTCGTCGGCTGATGTCTTTTTGGCTCCCACAGTACATCTTCCGCAACGAGCCCGGCGATCGCTACCTCGGCAGTGTAAGCAACCTTATCCAAAACCTATTCGAATTCGCCGAATCCTCAGCCCATCAAACCGCTCCCGATCCACACACCGGTCGAACCCGACCTCCTTCAGCCGAGAATGACGATCCACAAAAACCCGCTTTGGCACTCGCGACGTTCCGTATGTGTGTGCTTGCGGACCCTTTGCTCGAAGACTTTTTCGAAAGTGACCTCACGGCCAGTTGGAGGTTGGAGATTCTTTTGGCGGAGGATCAACCGAAGCAAGCGAAGGGTGCTGTAGGGGGTTGGTGGGGTGGTATTGTTAGTGCTGTGATGACGGATGAGAATAAGGTGCGTCAATTCCTCTTGAGATAACAATCGGCAGGGGAGCGTGGAGACTGACTGTCGTCCAAAATGATACAGGAACGAATCAACCGCATCGCCGATGAGGTCGGCAAGCGGCTTGATATCCAGACGGTTGAGCAGAGTAAGCCTTTGTCACCCTGCTTTCGGGAGTGCCGAGTCTTCTCATCATGTATATCGCAAACTACAGGACCTAGCATCGGCAAGCTTGATGCAGCAGCGGCCGCAATCGAACCGACAGCACGTGACTCGCTCTTCTCGACGTCGACCAAGCCTGCGGCCGCCAGGAACCCTACGCCCGTCGCCGTAGTCGAATCAGCTCCTGCCGTCAACCCTCTCTCGGCGGCCGCTATGCGTATGCCCGCATATCCACCGGTCATGAACCCATGGGCCAATGAACCGGCCTCCACCAAAGTCGGTGCCCCAACGCGCGAAATCGACGTGCAAGATCTGGCCCGGCAGGTTGCGGAAGAACGGACTCAGTTCGCCGACGATCAGTTCGTTATCGACAATGAGGGAGAAGAGGACGCAGATTTGGGCGCAGGCGAGTTGGATGGCGATTTGATGAATCAGGTCGATCAAATGCTTGACGGGGATCAACAGAATCCGACGGCCGCACGCGAAGGTGAGTGTGACTAGGGAGGAAGAGGAATGGCCGAGCGAAACCGATCTCGATGCCATTTCCGACGGGGTGCACCGCACAAGTACACAAGCCGAACTCTTTGATTGTGCGCACAGATCTACTTCAAGAGGGCGGTCAAAGTTTGCTGTGACGATGATAGGTACCGCGTGATCTGAATCAGACTCTAGATACGCTTTGCTACTCTGCTACTCTAGTACTTTGCTACTCCCAAAGCACAACCCCCCCGGGGTTTCTTTTACATCCGTCTTATTTCCCCTCGTTGGATACTACCTGTCCCGCTGGTTTTGCGATTGCTCCACGCCTTGTAAAGTTGTAATTGAGAGCGGTGTCACCACACCCTACGGCTCGGCCCAAGATCGATTCGCTACGCCTAGCGCCTCGGCTATAATTCCGACAGGGGCTAGTCCGCTTCAGGCTCAGGAGGCGCCAAGGCCCAGCGGGGCCGTGCATAACTCGGAGCATCGCCGCTAGCGGCGGCCATCTAGGAAATGTACCTACCTTCGGGATCGGCGCTATGCCCCCGAGCGGTGCGAGAAATCGACCCTGTTGCAACGCCTCCATCCCTTGCCGCTGGGTTTGACCGACGCCTCCATCGTAACTCCCGCATCTGGTCGTCGCCGACTCTCCTGAGTCCTCCTCCGTCCACACCGAACGACACCACTGACTCCTCTAGGTACGCCTTCGGCCCGCATAATCTTACTCGTGAGTTCAACCGCGGAAGTGCTTCCCATAGCCCTCCCACGACCGGAGGTTGGCACCGGCTTCAAGTCACCCATCGGCTTCCCGTTCGCGACCGGCGATCCCGAATGACTTTTTAGGTCGTCTCGTTTTTTTTTTGTTCCTGCAACTTCCTTAGCCCCTCGGTAAGTTCACAGCCTCCTCTCCACTCGCGTTCGCCGCACAGCACCTTGCCCCATCTTCCCAAACCCACCACCCAACCCCGTATCTCCTTCTTTCAATCAGGCAACGGAATCTCCCTTTTGCCTTCGACTGCTGTCATTGGTGTTATAGTTCGATAGGAGCGCCTCCGCTGCTGGCTCGTCGCTTCAATGGGTCATCCTCCCCGCGCCAGAATGAACCGCGCCAGTTCGCCCGAGAACGAGCACAGTCACAGTCACGCCGGGCGCCCCGGCATCAGCCCAGGCTATCGACCCGTCGAGGGACATCACCTAAACCGCTCGAATCAGTCTCCCGACAGCGCGCCAACGTCTTATCCGGCACTCGATCATCCTCAACAGCAACACCGACAATACTACCACCACGGCCAGCAACACGAGCAGCAGCAGCATCATACAGGTGCCGCGACCTTCAGCCTGTCCGTTTCCGGGGATCAGAGATCGCATCCTCACTTCCCGACTCGGCCCCCTGGAGATGGTCTCCCCTATTCAACACCGGGCTCTTCGCCACCGACTTCTGCTGTGCTTGATCGTCGGCACTCCTCTGTGTTGGTCCCTGGAGCTTTTTCCTCCCTTTGCGCGGCGCTATCGCCAAGTCACGACCACACGCTGATCCCGCTTTCGGATACCTCCCTTTGGGTGTTGTTTTCGACGGTTCGCGCAGCCCAAACCAAGGTCGTCGCATGTCACTCAACGGAACAGGTACACGCTCCGGTCCATATGATCGTCCAGGACCGGTGCCGCGATCCCCTCCACCATCTAGGGATAACGTGAGTTCTGAGCAGTGCGCGACCGTGCGGAGCCTCGGCGCCTCGGCGTTTCCGCGAGCAGCGCCCCCGGCCGGCTGTCGCCCACCCCTCTCCACGGGGGTCCCTGTCATCCCGCACGTTCACCCTCCATCGCACCTGTTCCTTTGGCCACGAAGCCCGCGTGACCCTGATAGTGTGGCAGTGTGACACATGAAGTGTTGGGATATTCCGAATCTTGGTCAATCACTTTGCTTTGTGCTGATGCTGTCCCCAAAATCCGCGCTTTGTCCCTTCCCACCCCTCGCTTAATCCTTTGACCCCTGTGCCTTTGTTCCCTGCGTGGCGCGCGCCCCCCCACCCTCCGCACTGCTGTGCTCCCCCACGCATCCAAACCGACCCACGGCTCCGCAGGCGCGCTACGACGCGTTGGAGGGGGTGGGTAGGTTGACATTGGAAAGCCCGTCGATGAATGAAGATGACGACGTTGAGGATCGTCGGAAGCGTGGCAAGACGCCGCCAGACATGTGCGCCGTCTGCTCCGTGCAGGACACGGCCGAATGGCGTCGGGGTGAGTTCACTCGCGGCGATCGACACGGCACGTCCAGCTCTGGAACTGATCTTGCGCGACCGGACAGGACCTGCTGGGTCGAGAATGTTGTGTAATGGCTGTGGTCTATGCGCAGCCAAGCGGGCCAAGGAGCGGGCGAGTGAGGGTGAGTGACGCGCGTTCGGCACGCATCACCTCGACCGTCGGGCCATAGCAGACGTGCTCACTCGGGTAAATCTCATAGGCTTCGGTCCCGTCAGTGGTGATGTCGAGATCTGGCATGAACTTCGGGCCATCGGGGCCGAACGCTTCAAGGTAGGGTCCAACCCGACAGTCTGCCGGCCGGCCGGCTAATGTCATACCGATGAGCTGACAGACGTGGTCACTTTCTCCGTTAATCCACAGATTGCCCCCGAGAACTTCGACCTACCGGAAGGAACGATGGAGAGAATTCGAGCGACAAGGGAAAGGACCGAACAAACCAATGCAGCCTCGATTGCATCGGTAAGTTGACCGCGATCACAGCGGTGGGCGGGCGAATCGCGCAGTCGGACGGCCTGCTGCCTGCTGAGGTGGATGCTCCCTTTCTGATACCAGTCTCAAAGAATGCAGAAGAGTCGAAAACGTTCAGGTTCGAGATCGGTATCTGCCCACCCAGAGCGCGAAGCCGCCGCTGGTCTTATGGGTTTACGTCGAGGTGAGTGCAGGACTTGCGATACCGGTTCCTTTAATCGACCATCAGCACCCCTAAAAGCATAATACCGCCGCGTCCATATGACTTCAGCTTCGCTTGGTAACGAGTGGCCGGACCGAAGCAACCGTTCCCCTATGGGTCTGTCATCCTTCGTGTCAGCGCTTCAGCGACCAAGTGGACCTCCGATGATGCCACCCTCTCCGCCCCTGACGACCCGACCTTCCTCAACGCCTCACTTCAGCCCTCCATCGACGATGATGATGACTCCTCGAGCTTCTTCAGACTATGGATCAAGACGTGGCTCCCTCACGATTCCGTCCCAGCAATCCATGGAACATCGGCAGCTGCAATATCTTCCGCCGATCACCCAGATGATCCCGCCTCAATACTTTCAGGGGGTCCCCCCTCCTGCCCCTCCTGCGCCATCCGATCTCCCCAACCTCAACAGACGACCTTCTTTCCTCGAAGCATGGCGTCAAAGAACACATGGTGCTCCCCTCCCTTCCTTGGCCCAACAAGTTCCCCCGATCTCGACGCCAAGCTCCTCCGTTCGATCGACGATGACGGATCCACAAACGCCTTCGCTCGAGCACGAGCACCCGGAACAACTCCCCCACGATTGAGACGACGCAACGCTATCCGCTTTCTATGTAAGGCTGTTATTGTATGTCTTCCCCAGATTAGCCTCTGGCATGAAGGGACGATATCTCTAGTTGATGGATTGGGTCGTCTGTTTTGTGTAGCTTCGTTCGCTCGACGCCGTTTCTTCTTCTCCCACCCTCCTCGCAAGAATCCCAAGGACGACCCTGCATCGCCACCAACCGTAAAGATAGCTCTGCATCCTTTCTTCTGTGACCATATCTTATTGGCGCAACGCGCCCACCCCGTCCTTGTTCTCTCACTTTTTTCGAGAGGCCTTTTCATAGAGACAACCGATGTTTTGCAGTGAATCCCGTATTTCTCCATCACCACGACAAGATAAATCGAGACATCACAATTCCTCAACAGGGGCGACATTGGTAGCCTTATGGGACTTTCTAACCCACTTCATCAGACCAACCAAACTCGCCGGTGTAACCCCTTCAAGTCGTTTCGCCTGCCCAAGGGTCTTGGGACGATGCTGATCGAGCCGCTGTCGAACCTCGGTTGACATCCCTGGCATCGTCGCGTAATCAACTGATGGGTCGATAAGGAGGTTTTCGTCCCTTTGAAAGAGCGAGACTTCGTGTTGTTGTCGTAGGATGTGTTGCTTGTACAGACCCTCAATGTAGATCCGCTCCTTCAGCTTGGGGTCGAACCCGTCCAACCCCGGTACCACCCCTTCCAAGCGAGTCACATCGACCCCCTTGTAATGCAGCAAGTCGAACGCCGAGCGACGGATGCCGTCCCTTCGGACATCGAAGCCTCGAATATTCCAGTACTCGGGAGGAAGAATGAAATTCTCCATCATGGCGATTCCAGCGTGGAGCGTGGATCGGGTCGATTCGAGATGGATCCGCCGGGCATCGGAAATGACGCCGAACTTGCTCGCCAGTTCGGTGAGGCGCAAGTCTGCATTGTCGGATCGGATCGAAACACGATACTCGGATCGGGAGGTGAACATGCGGTCTAAGAATGGAACCCCGGCGCGTCAGACAAATGAATTATCGCAAATGCAATCTCCAAGCGCGACTCACAAGGCTCGTTGACACCCTTGGTGACCAGATCGTCGACCAAAACGCCGATGAACCCATCCGCCCTCGACAGAATCATCATATCCTTGCCCAAAGCCGATAGACCCGCATTAATCCCCGCTAAGACCCCCTGAGCCGCAGCTTCTTCGTACCCCGTCGTACCGTTGATCTGGCCCGCCAAGAACAAGCCCCTAATCCGCTTCGTCTCGAACGTATGGTCCAGCTCCCTAGGATCGACGTGGTCGTATTCGACACCGTACCCAGGTTGCGTCATTTCGACGTTCTCCAGCCCACGGATCGAGCGCAGCATTTCTAGCTGCGTCTCGGCTGGTAGCGTGACTGAGATTCCATTCGGGTAGATCAAGTTCGAGTCGTAGCCCTCCGGCTCGAGCCAAACGGTATGTGACAGCTTGTCGCCGAATCGAATCACCTTCGACTCGATCGAAGGACAGTATCGCGGCCCTTTTATCGTTTCCCGAATGTGGATCGATGTATGTAGGTTTTTGGAAACGATCTCGTGCGTTTTCGCATTCGTCGCCGTTTGATAACAGGACACCTGGTTGTCCTCATTCGCGACTCGATCGGTCATGAAACTGAAAGGATTCGCCGGTCGATCGCCAACTTGTTGCAGTAAGCCATCATAGTTGATCGTGTCCTTTCTGAGCCGAGGTGGTGTCCCTGTCTTGAGGCGAGCCAATTCGAAGCCGGCTCCTTTGAGCGAGCGGGAGAGCGAATGCGCAGCGGGTTCGTTTATTCGGCCGAAGGGTGTTACTTCCAATCCGATGTGGGTTTCACCTCCAAGGAAGGTCCCCGTAGAGATCACGATCGACTTGCAGGGGATCACTTCGCCCTGGTCTGAACAGCAAAGAAGCAAAGAGCGGAGCGTCAGAATCAGCACGTCTTTCACAGTGGTGCCTCGGGTGGCAAGCTCACCAACTCTCAGCCCGACAACTTTCCGCTCCGTCTGTCCATCAAGAGGGTTCGAGAGTACGACGTCCTTGACATTGGCGGAGCGTATTGTCAGATTTGGGTACTTGGAGAGCACCGCCTGCATTTCGCGCTTGTACAGTTTTCGATCGATTTGAGCTCGAGGACCCTGCGGAGAAGACCGACAGGTGAGTGGCGCTCCGTCTGCGAGGAGGACATTGGGCGCACGCACATGCACAGCTGGCCCTTTGGACCTATTCAAGACGTGGAATTGTATTCCGGCAACGTCTGTTCGGCCGGGGTGACCAGGTGGTCAGAGCTGTCCTCGGCAGGGAGTCGCGGAACACACGATCGGTTACTGACCACAGACTTTGGCGCACAGGCCATCCAGAGCATCTATCTCTCTGACCAGTGTCCCTTTCCCGATGCCTGATCGAGCATGAACAGACACTCATCAGCACCGTCCACGGTAGCAGACCCAACTCCAGGCGACAACCGACCTCCGAAGCTGGGATTACAGCTCATCTCGCCGATCGTATCGAGGCGTTGGGTGAGCAAAAGCGTCCTCGCTCCTGCTCTCGCCGATGCTGCGGCTGCTTCACACCCTGCATGGCCTCCTCCGATGACAAGCGTCTCGTACGCCGGTGGCGATGAGGTCGAGCCGTCGTTCGCAACCGAGCTCGAGGTTCCTTCGACCACGGTTGCGAAGGTCCTGTATGTGCTTGAACTGCCTAATCGAGGTGGTAGATTGTATAGGAGTGACCTGATCGAAGCCCGTGTCGATTGGAGTGACATGATCGTGCTGTCACTCGGATCCGAGCGCGAGGGAGAGAGCGGGTGTGGAGCTCGCAGGCGCGCAGGCGCAGATCGACGCCGCAGGACGCCGCCAACGCCAACTTGAAGGGAAGCAGAGGATCCTCTGTTGAACGACTCTTGTTTCATTCACCTTTCTCATGTTTTGAATTACTCGTCGAATCTGGCAATAGAAAAAATCGTGAAACTGGATGATGTACAACTTTCGTATCGGCCAGTACAGTCAGACCTGAGAAAATTTATACTTTCGGTGGACGGATTTTCCCATAAATTAATACAGGTATAAGCTTGGAGAGTGCGGCTTCAGATCACTACATTATGACCTGAGACTCCGTTTTTGAGCTTCCTACATCAAATCAAGAATTTTCGTGCATCGTTTGAGTCGATACATTGACTTTGGAGGGGGAGGAAATCCAGAAGGCCCGAATCACTGAATTGCAGCCAATGTACGGCCTCTACTGAGGCATGATGACATCTAACAAGTTTTGAAAGCTCCAAGAAAAAATATCTTGACCTACTGACGCTGGAAATACGAAGTCATTGTCGTCTGAATCCTCGCGGCATCCTGCTCGGCAACAAGAGTCCTGCGAATCCTCCTAGCCTCGTCCTCAAAATAAATCAAATACGTTGGATCTGAGTATCCATTCATAGCAAACCTAAGGAAAACATCAAGCGCTGAGATTGCCTCCTGCAGCGTCGTTCACTCCGCCGGTCGGAGCTCTATCTCCCCTTCCTCCTCTCCTCCTTCTCCCTCGCAATTCTCCTTCAACTCTTCGGCAATGACCAGGTCCGCAATCTCCTGATCGGTCAATTCAGCCCCACCAGCAAGGTTCTCCTCCTCCATCGACGAGAAAGTGGATACTCATCTTCTCGTTGCTCGTAACTATGCCCTTTTCGACCAGCTCATCGTTCGCCGTCTTCAGAGCGTTCATCGCGTTGATGATGCCGCGATCGCCATTGAGAGGCCCGCGACCGTTGGGAAGAGGTGTACGGTCGGTCGATCCTTTGTCCTTGCGATGAGACAAGATTTGAGCGTGGCGCCAGCACTTGGCAATCGTCTCGGGGCGGATGTCGTTCCACGCCTCATGTCTCGCTCGCAATGATGCGAGTCTTACTCATCTTGACACCATTTCGACCGTTCCGAGCAAGGCCCGTAGACGGACGCATAGCGTAGAAGAGACCGGTTTCGTCCATGTTGAAGATATCACTTGGGTCGTACTTGTTCCTTTGCTCTCCTGTGCTCGCTTCTCGGCTGTTTCGGGGCATTTCGGACCCTTCCAGCAGGCGGCTCGTCAACAAGAACGCCGAAGGAGAGGCCAATTCCTGATCAATCGCTCATTTCCGGCTCTCTCTTATCTTATAATTTGACCTGTAACCCCATAAATTATAAGGTATAAGATTGGACAGGTTCTGTCAGCCAAAAAAGTCGGGAGATTGAAAAGTCCATAAATTTTGACAGGTATAAGATTGGGCGATATAAATTTTCTCAGGTCTGACTGTAGTAAGAATTGAACCCTTAGAGTCCTATTGACTATACTTTTGGACAGCAAACTAGTGATCAGTTGCACGTTAACCTCTTCGATTTTAACTTATCTGCTGTAGAGCTCAAAGAGCCCTCAAGTAAAGCGAAATCTCATAAAGCTTTCGATAGCGTTTGAGAGTGCCGATCTGAAGCTATGAGCGCATGAGTACTAGTGCCTGAGCGCCTGAGCGCATGGGGTATGGCCGAAAATACGCGCCGAGGCGGACAGAGTGGTACAGGTGATGTAAGGCCTTTATGGGCGTCTCTGCTGGCTCTGCTGGCTCTGTTATGCTCTGTTATGCTCTACAGGACTAAAAAATGTGTGTACGCCAAGGGAACACGATACATGTAGATAAGCGGGAGCTGTTGCATTTTCATTTTTTGGGGGCCGCACCAGTCACTACGCCCAAAGACCGATCCTTAATGAGCGATATCAATGTATCGGCCTGCACCTGAGCCCGTTCCCACGCGTCACGCAAGGACCTCACTTCCGATCCCGCATCATACGCTTTCTCCTCATCCCCACTCGGTAATCGTGGCTGAGGATCAAAGACCCCCGTCCGTTTGCAGTGCTCAGCGTGCGTTGCGGTTGGGAGGAGCAGCCGTGGTCGGTCGCAAGTTGAGAGCTTGGACCTCGCGCACGCGTCACGTCGTCCTCGCGTCACTTCAGTCCATAGTATTCATTCAGTCGGCTACGCTCTGGGCACCTTGTAGCCTCTGCTCTCTCCCGCATTCCTCCTCTGGCTTCCTGAGGTAGCGTATCGTGCAAGACCCATCGTCACGGCTTGGAGGGGTGTAAAGTACCCGCAAGGATGCCCGACATGGGGTTATCCGACACGACCCCGCTGCTGGGCAAGATCGCCGCCAAGACGGAGCCGTCCTTGTCGCAGCTAAACGTGTATGAGATGATCCACTATGCGTACAACCTCGTGGACGACTACATCAATTTCCCCATGACGGAAGAGTACATGCGCACCGCCTACGTCATGTTCGAGTTCACCGATCCGCTCGACCAGCTGCTCGTCCACAACGCCGACACCCCGGCGCTCGTCTACGTCCTCCTGCTCTGTCGGCTGCAGTTCCTGCGCGAACGTGATTCCGCACTGGCCTCTTCGTCGCTCAACATTACCCGCGCCAACATGTGCGAGACGCTCGCCATCAGGGCATTGCGCCGTGAGGGACAGAAAGCAGAAGCAGGTAGCGACAAACCGGGCAACGACTCGTTGCTAGCCATGTCGAAATCTCTCGTCGGTGGATTGCACGCTTTTCAGGGGGCTTCGGCCGAGGTGAGAAAGGGAACGCTTACGACCGTGACAGCCCATGGTGGCACTAATCATAGCTCGTCGAATATGCACTAGGTCATGGAACGAGTCAAGCAAAAGGAAGGCTTCGTCAAAGCCCACGTCGTGGAAGGCGTGGGCAAGACGACCGCGCTCGAGCTCGCGATCCTTGGCAAGGCGCGCAACTTCATCAAGAGTCAGGCGACGCAGCGCGTTATATCGTCCATCTGGGAAGGTCGTGTCACCTATAGCTCTTCGAGTTTTATCGATATCCTCCCCGATCGATGGAAGGTGCAGAAAATCAGCTTGTACAACCTCGACAAGGCTCCCGTGCTCGACCACTATCGCCTGAGGGTGCCCAAATACCGCTCCTTAATCGACTTTTCCGCCTTTGTCGTCTTGTTCGTATCCTTCATCGCCGTCATCATGGACAGGCAAAACCGTCACGAGACTCTGCCCGTCTCCAAGCTGTCGATCCACGAGAAGTGGTTTTTCCTGTACGCTCTCGGCTTTTCGCTTGACAAACTCGCCTCGGTCGCCGAGCACGGCTTCTCTATCTACGCCGCTGGGCTTACGAACGGACTCGACTTGATGGGGATTCCAATTTACGCGATTGCATTCGGCTTTCGAATTCGGAGCATTCTCACCGAGGAGGCGTGGGCTAGCGATCAAGCCTATGCTGTGCTCTCCGCGGCGGCTTGCCTCATGTTTCCCAGGTAAGCATCGCAGAGGTCGTACAGTCACTCATCACGCCAACTGCTGATGAATTATCCGTACACTCTGCAGGCTCGCGTTCGCTTCCATCTCCAACAACCTCCTGATCCTCAGTCTGCGCGCCATGCTCGCGGACTTTGCTTGGCTGCTTGGCATCGCCGTCTTTTGTTTCCTCGGCTTCGTCTTTGCCCTCAATCACCTCTGCGACGGCGCTTATTCGGTCGCTCGTATTGCCGAATGGCTCATCTTCATTTGGTTCGGTCTCGATGGGTCTGGGCTTGATGCTTCACCGACGTTTCATCCCATTTTGGGTCCCGTCATCATCGTCATTTATGCCGCTTTGAGCAACACGCTGCTCGTCTCGTTGCTCGTGGCGATCCTGTCTGGGACGTACGCCAGTATCGCTGCGGATGCTGTAGGTCTTCTCCCGGAACTACTTCAGGTATGCTTGAGACAGTGTCTAATTCAACTCGTGGCATGATGTCGTCTACAGGCTGCTGAAGATATGTTCCGAAAAGCGGTCTTGACCTTTGAAGGTGTCAAAGCCGACTCTCTCTTCGATTGTGAGCGAAACACTAACTGCACTTGGATCTGGAGGTAACGGACTGATCATTTCCATCATATTCGCAGACGTTCCACCTCTCAACCTCATTGCCTTGCTCATCATGTGGCCCGTATCGCACGTGACAAATCCCCGGTGGTTCCACAAAATCAGTCAGTTTGGAAAGATCTGATTCCTCTTTGCCCCTCGCCCTCCTTGACATATTGGTGGTGATACTATAGATGTTGCATCGACACGGATCGCTTCTTTCCCCATCCTCCTCGCGATCGCATTCTACGAGCGTCAATCACTGCCGAACTCTCCGCTACGCCGATCGCTCAACGAAGTCCGCGGGAGCTTCATGCGTGCATTACCAGCCAAATGGAGCGAGAAGATCTCTCTGCTCGAAGGTGCGCACTGGGAATGCGCGGCCGTGTTCGAGTACACACCTGACGGTGTCGAGGACGACGAGGACATCAACGAGCCGTTACCGGGCGATGAAGAGGATGCCGTCGATTACCGTGCCAGCTTGAGCAACAATGGAGCGAACGACCGACCACGACTGAGCTCACGAGCTTCCGGGTCCCTCGGACGCCCCCTTAGTCGAGTTGCATCGTCGAGCGCCCCGACTCCACCAGCCGAAGAAGAGGACGAGAGCCGCGCGGCTCGGTCGACCCCTATGGTCCTCGGCACGGAGGGTCGGAGAAATGAAGTACGCTTCACCGAATCCCCGCCTTCATCTTCCCCTCCCGCGTCGCCTCGCAAGCGCCATGACTCGACGACCAAGGAACGTCTACCCCTGAACGCCTATGGGACCTCAGGCCGAGGTCGAAGGCCGAGTTTGGTCGATGAAGGAGCGCTCGATTCAGCGACTTCGGGTGGGTCGGCCCTCTCGACTTCGACTCCGAATCGATACGATTCCCCTTTGGCGAGGATGATGTCGTATTCCGTTGAAGGACCACCTTCGACGATCTTGGCAAATCCTCGTCATCGACGACATAGTGGGGTCGGTCTTCCGGCGCATGCGACGCCTATGAGGGTCAATACGATGCCTTTCCCCGGGGCGACGTCGACGTTCGATCCTGCGAGGGAGTCGGGTTCGAACGACAGACTTTTGGGGGATCTGATCAAGATGGTCGCTGAGTTGCAGAGGACGGTCGAGAGTTTGGAGAAGAAGGTCGAGGGCAAGATGGCCTAATCGCGAACGAAGTGCAGTGATGTGGTGCCACTGAGAGGTGGCCCCGGGTGAGGGGTCTCTCTTATCAGCATACAGGTGCGCCGCCAGCTAGAAGCTGTCATAGATATTGTCTCCCTTCTTCTTGACGATTTGTCCAATTGTTGTGCAACACTTGAACTGCCTCGATAAGCTGCATTGGCCCATAAGCTCGCGCTGAAGCGAAGTGGGCTCCCTGCCTCCTAATCGAGTAAGCCTGGATCGTTAGCGCCAACGTGCACGCGTGTTTTGGTGCCAGCAGGACGCCCCCCTGGGCCCAGGGCCTTGCTTGCGGATATGCGGATGCTTGCTGGGCGCGGCTTGAGGCTCTCTGACGCGACGAGTGGTTGCTCGTTCGCTCCATCTCCACCCCACCGCTCGCTCGCTCGAGCTCGTGTGCAAGCCACGATCGCCGCCCTTCTACAACGGAAAGACTCGTCCCCTCTTGGGACAAACAAAAGGAAACGCGTGTGCTTGGCTGGTCGTGCGTTCAAGCGTGCTTGGACAAACCCGAGTCGTCGCAGGTCCTTCCCCCCCCCCCCCTTACCAGCTGGTGTGCCACACCGAGTCGGTCGAGCTGACGTCGCGTTCCTGAATAAGCAGCAATCATCGCCGCCGTTCTAGCACGACAACTCGAGTGGAGCCGATCCAGGCGAACGCGTCTTGTTGGAGCGTTCTGACCGAGTCCTTCGGTGATCGACACTCGGACCGTCAAGAACGTCGTACGGGGCTTGCTTTCGGTTTCTCTCCTATTTATCGAGCGCGTGCACGACCTCGTCCGCGCGACGACGACGACGACGACGACACTTACGCCAACCCACATCGCCTCAGCGCCACCTCGGCTCGGACCAACTCCTCGGGCACTCGACTACCTCGATTTGACAGCTCGCGGGTCTCGTCCTGTATGCACTCTGCGCCATCGACGTACGCGACACACATACCGCCGTCCTCGACGTGTAGCGTCTCAACCCCGATCCCGAGCTCGATCACGGATTCGGCATCCTCGCTCGACAACCTAGCATCAAGTGCGGGACCCAGACCTCTGCCGAGTCCACCTCCACCCAACCTACTGTGCAACAAGCGTCGAGCACCTCTGAGCCAACCCTCGTCACCGCAGAACATCACCAAACGAACTCAGGTCAGTGGCCTTCCCCGCGCCCTTTGTTCCGAGATCTGTCCGACCGTTTCATTTTGGCTGACAGACATGTTCATCATCATCATTATACTGTATGCTCATCCCGCGCATCGCGCCCAGGTCTCTACCAACACGCCTCCGGCTCTACGCGTTCTGCCTCGTCTTCTCTTCACGACCCTCAACGCCGCTGCCACCACCGCACCGAGTTCGACCATGTCGCGGCGCACACCCACAAGCTCTCCTACGAGAACGACATTCGCCCCCACCACCCCTCCTTCGCTCTCCCCTCGCGTCGGAGCGATCAGCATCAACGGCGGTAGTCCGGAGCGACGCGCCTCGCCGACGCTCAAGAACTCGCCTTTGTCCGGATCCAGGCTCAGCGCGCCAACTTCTCCCAGCCGGATAGCATTACCATCGGCGTCGACATCACCGCGTGCTCCGTTGGCCCTCGATCTTGGATTAGCAGCTTTCACAACACGGCATCGAGTCATCTCTGAACATGCGTTCCAACCCAATGCGATGAACGACGACGCTGCGCCGAGCCTGTTCGTTCAACCCGCTTCGCCGGCTATCGGCGCGGATCCGATCGAACCCACCGTCTCGCTTCCTACGCGTGGAACTCCTGCCGAGTCGACCTCTATCGCTGTACCGAAAGGTTTCTCGTTACCTCCTGGGCCACCGAGCCCTGGTGGGGGGCTTGCCGCGAGGCGGATGCTCAACAAGAAGCGGCTTTCGCTCCTCGTCCCCGGCGCATCTTCAACAGCGGCATCGGGAGCACTCTCACCGCTCAGCCCACTTGAAAACGTCACATTCGGGCATCTATCTCTCCCCGAAGCCTCTGAAGATGACGAGGCCGAAACACGGTCTTTACCTCCGACCCCAGGCGTATCGTTGCAGTCCTTTATTGGCCCCGAAGGCGCGGAGCAGGAGGATCGGACGATCGGTCGGTTGATGCTCGCCGATCGACTGGCGATGAAGCAGCAGGCCGACGAGATGCGAGAACAGATGCGAGGAGGGCGGAATATGAAGCGCAGGACGTCGATCCCTCGACTTCAACTCGGTGGACCGGGGGCGGCTTCGGGCCCGAAACCTCTACTCATTGTGCCCAAGGGTATTGGGAGTGTTCCTTCATCGTCTTCCTTGTCGGTCTCAGTAGGTCAGAGCGCCAGTACCTCGACCTCTTCTTCTTCGTCATCGACTTCGACTGTACAGCTTCTGAGGAAGAACGACACGGAACGGAGAGGCGTCAATGGTACCGACGAGCCAGGAGAGGAGTACCCCTACGCCCTTGGCCCTCGTGAAATCGTGCCAGGTATCTACTTGGGGAGTGAGCAGAACGCGCGCGATCCGGCCGTCTTGGCCAAGTGGGGCTTTGGATTTGTCTTGAACGTCGCGAAAGAGGTCGATTGTCCATGGGTCGAGGATGCCGCGCTGGTCGCGCCACCCCTCGAGCTACGGAGCTCGGGCGCTTCGGTCAAGTTCGTTGACGAGGAGAGAGCATTGTTGCCGCCACCGACCTTCTCTTTGTCTCGGACGCCGAGTGAGGAGACTACACCCCGCGCTTCGACTTCGACCACAGGAGTAGATGCGCTCCAGCCTGCCCGTAGCAAGTCGTCCCACCGGCGGACAAAGACCCAGGGCGTGATCGTCGTTCCCGAACCGAGCCTCCCCGCTCGGCCAGGCTTTGTTCGACCGACCGTGTCGACGCCTAATCTTCAATCCATCTTCACCGCTTCCACCGTCTCCCCACCCAATGCCGATGTCCCGACACCATTCGTCGATCCCTCTGTCGCTGCCACACCTCTTGACCTTCTCACACCAGCCGCGTCACCCTCCCTGCGTCGTGGCTCACCGCGATTGCGTCGAAAGTCGCAGATGGACGTCGATGCGGCGCCCGATGGGTCGATCAAGTTTCCCGCGAATCCGACATCGGGTCGACCCGAGATTGATTATCTATGGCTCAAGGTAGGTCTCGAGTATGTATGTGCGTGCTATTACCAGGGGCTTTGAGCTGACGTGACCTGTTTGTGCATCGCAGTGGGGTCACGACGAGTCCGACCTGGTGGAGGCACGCAAGTTCCAAGCCGCCTTCGACTTCCTTGATCGAGCTCGAGCTACCGACGGCGGCAAGGGGCGAGTGCTGGTGCATTGCCAATGCGGCGTATCGCGTAGTGCGACGGTCGTCATCGCGTACTGCATGCGGGAAGCGGCTCGGGCGCTCAAGGAAGGTCGACACCTTCCCGAACTCGCTGGGTGTACGGGCATGCACGATACCTACTCTTTCGTCAAGGAGAAGTCGGAATGGGTTGGACCGAATCTGGGTCTCGTCTTCCAACTCGTGGGGTATGAGCGTGCATTGCGGGGCGACACGGGCGTGAGGGACGATGAAGAAGAGCCACCGTTCCCCGACTATGCGGAGGAACGCGCCGCGGCCGAGGCCAAGTTGGCACCCTGGACCTCGAAGCAGGTCGAGAGTACGAGTAGTCCCAAAACCCCAATTTCGAGTCATGGTTCTTTGACGTCGGAATCACACCTTTCGACACCGGAGACGATCGACTCGCAAATCGTTCCCCGGACATCGGCGAAGACAACCGTTTTGCCTCTCGGAAGCAATGGGTCATTCGCTTCTGCACGACCGCCCGTGGCGATTCAGCAGGAGATTGATGATCAGAACTCGAGCAGCCTGGGTCGATTGACAGAGGCGATTCACATTGACGGGACATTTGACGAGACCTTGACGCCCGAGGCAGGACGCGAGATCTTCTCTCCTCAACCACAAACCTCTTTCGTCCTCCCCCTTCCTGGCTCGAACCGCACGAACGATTGCCCGCAACTGCTGTCATTAGACTTGGATGGGGCTCGAGTGTCACCTACGACGACGAGGAAGCCGATCGGGTTACCTACATTCTCCAAGCCGACGTTGCCCCGCTCGGATTCAGCGAGCAGGCTGAAAGGCATCCTCAGTCGATTCGTCTTCTCCGACGGGCTTTCGACCGACCTAACGGCGTCACACTCGCCAGCGACCGAGACCAACTTACCCATGATGGATTCACTACCCGAGGATGAGCTATCGACCGGTACGAGTCTCGGTGCGGGCAAGCGACTTTCGTTTGGGAATTTGCAGACCCCTTCGGAACGACGCATGTCGCACAAACGTGTCTTCTCGGATACGATCCAAGTCCCTGCTTCGTTCCTCATGTCGACGAGGGAGCAGCCGGATTCATGATAGAGTGTTTGGAAGCAGTCTTCTTGGATCCCGAATCGAATCAGTATTGTCTTTTCGGCATTTTTAACCATTCAGTTTCCTCTTCAACCTTTTGCACTTCTCACTTAGCATCGCTTGTTTCGTTTCGCATTCCAAGCCTGTCTTTTTGAATATCATTCTCGCCATTTTCTATCTGCCGCTCCTACGCGTCAGGTCCATGATTCCTCGTCCATGGAAGGAAGCTCCCCAGATCCGAGTGGTTCACCGCCCACCGCAGGCGCGCGAGATAGATTGGCGATCACTAATCGCGCGAGCGTGCATTGGCGCGTGAGGCGGGCCAGCCGAGCGCCGCGCCGAAGCTTCGCCTTCGACTCCAACCCCTACCTTATCACCACACCATGTCTGCACCCAATTCTGCCTCCGCTGGTGCTGAGCAACCATCCCGACCGGTCCAGGTGAGCTGCCCCTGTCTCTGTCGCGTAGGCGATGGGCTACGCACGGGCTCGCGTTGGGTGTCGGCGTCACCTCTGGCGCGCTCGCTGCGGGGTCGTCGTCGTCGTCACGAACGCTCAGGCTGGGCAGGTAAGCTGACGAGCCACAATTCACCGATCTCTATCGCAGGTGAAGCTATGCCTTCTCGGCGAGAGTGCGGTCGGCAAATCGTCGGTCGTGTTGCGCTTCTGTAGCAACTCGTTCGAGGCCAACAAGGAACCGACCATCGGTCAGTTATTGGCGCCGCCCCCTCAGAAGCAGCAGCCGCTCGTGGCTGCGCGGTAACCACCGACTCACTCCACTTGAGGGGTCGTGCCGGCTGAGGCTCTATCCAAGTGCTAAGGATTGTCGGATCCTAATTGCTGCCTACTCGTTACAATCACAGGCGCTGCTTTCCTCACTCAACGATGTCGGCTGGGTGCGTAATGGCTCGCAACGGTGGGGGTCTGTACACCCGACCAAGCTAATGCTGTCTCAACGCCACCCTCGGCCTTTCGCGGGTGCTGCTCACGCTTCCGGTCATTCGCAGAGGACAAGGTGATCAAGTTCGAGATCTGGGATACGGCAGGACAAGAACGTTTCCGATCCTTGTCGCCCATGTACTACCGTAATGCCCAAGCCGCGGTCGTCGTGTATGATGTCACCAAGGCCGTCAGTGCTTCCCCGTCTTCTTTGCCGAGCTGGGCATTCGGGGACTGATGATCATTCGGTATGGCTTCCACAGGCCTCACTCGAACAGGCCAAGACGTGGGTAAAGGAGTTGCAACGACAGGCCAACCCAAAGTCAGTGCAGTGTGGGACTGGGCTCGGAGCTGTTTCACGCTCGGCTCGCTGAATCTTCAATTCGCGTATCACGCCACAGCATCGTGATCGCTTTGGCTGGTAATAAGGTCGATCTTGTCCGACCTGCTGCCGAAGGTGACTCCTCCGCCGCCGCTGCAGAAGACGACGACGAAGCCGACGATGCGACGGCGACCCCCGCCGAGGACGCCAACACCGACGAGGGATCCTCGGACGGCACCGCTGCCAACTCGGGCGTGACGGGCGAGTCGCGTCGACAGGTGCCACGTGAAGAAGCCGAGGCATATGCTCAAGAAGCCGGATTATTGTTCTTTGAGACGAGCGCTAAGACGGGCGAAGGTGTTGTCGAGGTCTTTACCGAGATTGGTCAGTCGTCTGGCGGTGTGATCCCTCCACGTGGAAGCGCCTTCGCTGACCCGATTTTCTTGCTGCGTCCGTCTATAGCCAAGAAGATCCCTCTGGAGCACTTGCTTGCGTCCGCTCGAGGTCCCGGAGGAGCAGGTCCCCGAGGCAACGGTGCGAGGGCCGGCGCAGCCGGTGGATCGAGCGTCAACTTGAACGAAACTGCCGAAGCGCAGAACAAAGAGGCGTGCGCTTGCTAAACGCCCAGTGGGTCTTTCGGCGGGCTCCTATTTTTCTCTCTACTATTTTTCTGCCTTCGTCACGCCCCTCTTGTCCCGCATCGTACTTGACCCGACGACCGTTGATCGGCCCCCTGATGGGGCTTGACAGGCATAGGCTTATCTTTGCTCCTGCGGATCGTCGTTTGTTCTCGCCCGCGCGTTCATCGCCGAGATGTCCCGTGTTTTGCGTCATTTCCATTGCCCCGCCGCCCTCTGTGTACTATGCTATATAGGTCTTCCCTGCTCTTGCTTTCTCTAGCTGTTTTTTACTCTTCGTTTCGTCTTTGTGGAACTCGCTGTCTTCTACTCACTCTCGAAAGTCGGCAATCGGCTGGACTGTCGTGCTGTTGGGAGCGCCGTTTTGCGGTGGCCCAGGCGTTTGTAATCTGCGTTCAAACTTCAGACGTGGCCTGACGCGCTAGAAGCCTCCCCCCGTTCCAGGTCCGCGCGTGGCAATCAAACTGTGATCACCGGACTCGATCTGTTCCAGTCCCCAAAAATGATAAAGCAAAGAACAGACACCAGTCCCTGTGCAACGCGGCCTGAACGAGCACGTAAAAGATATAGATTCAATAGACAGCGAACGCCCACACAATCCCACAACCCCACTTTTTCTCCATCATTCCCATCTTCATTTGACCTGTTCCGCGACGTGTTGCGAGTTGAAGCAGCTGCTTGGCAGCGGACTCCCGACGATGAAGCAGCGAGTGCCAGCGACTCGCAAGGGGCTCGAGCAGAGGAAGGAAAAGGAAAGCCACTAGGTAGTCATAAGTGGGTTGTATGAGACACAAGTTCTTGTGACAAAGCTGTTGATCATCAAAGATACCCTTTATGACGTCTTGCACTGCCGATTGGCAGGCGACGATGAACGACGGCCGGGTAATAAACTTTGAAACATATTCGGAGACCCTTGAAATGTATTCGGAGAAGAGAAAAGAGAAAGAAAAGGTTGTAGAAAGCCGATCATCGTTTCAGGTCGTTTATTAACGGCATTTTCGTAAAAAGTTGAGAATGAGTGAATGGGGAAACGCTTCCACGCGGATTGTGATCGACTGAGTCGGGCCTCATGCAAAAGCACGTCGGACAAACCATGGCCGCTGCAGTGGCCTCGTGAACGCAGGCAGATCTGATCAACACCACCCGGAAGCTAGAATGACTCCTGATAATATACCTTTTTCTGTGGATGTTGACGGTGGGCAACCCACAAGGGACTCGGCGTTCCTTGGCGCTCCGAGTCGGAGAGAATCACCACGCGCACTGCACGTGACCCGACCCCTTAACCACTCGACCGGTCGAATCATCAAAACGGACTCGCTAGTCCAGATTACACAGGTCGAGTAGACAAGGGGTAGATACAACGCAGATACGGGGTGTACGGTCAATGTAAACAGAGTAGAAGAAGGGCAAAATTGGGGGGCGAACACATACATCGGAGAACAAACAGGCAAATCCAAGACTCATGGCACCAGTGGGAGGGCCAGCCATATACACAGTCGGAGCAGAGGAAAGGGAGCACTACTCTCGTCGTAATGTATATACACGTACGAAAACCTGCAGCTCTAGGCCTGCATCGGATCGTAATTCACGAGAACGTCAGTTAACGAAAACGTCAGTTGAATCGGCCTTCCAAAGCCCTCGAATCGTGCTCAAACCACTGACCTTCTTCCTCCCCAAGAACAATCGTTGCATCACATTCGGCCGCTTGAGGCCTTCTTTCTCATCCACGCTCGAGTCCGGATCCTGTCCGGCACTCTTGACCCCTCTCAAAGGTTGTCCCCCATCGTACCAATCCTTGATCCTCTCGTCGCCGATCGTCGTATGAGCCGAAACGAGCGCCGGTCGAACGGCTCCTCCGACGTTCTCGTCCCGTGCCTGGAGGACGACACCTGAAGCGACGTGTTCTTCGCGAGGCGGGGCCGCACCTTCTTTGTTGGAGCGTCCGAAACGTCGAGCAAGTGACTTGGTCCGCTTTGGTCGGTCGGTCGGGGAATGGGCGGATGCGTGCGCAGCGTAGGATTCATCGAGAGCTGGCATGGGTGGAGGGTTTGACGGAACTCCGACAGGTTTGCCAGCCGCCAGCGTGGCCTGTCGTCATAACAGGGGTCAAAGTGGACAGGGATCAGCATAACCCCCTCAAAAGTACCAGTAAGGTCAAAGCAACTGACTTCGATATCCCAAATCGACTGGGTCCTACAGAAGCGATCTTCCTTGGTGAGGCTGGCGTCTCCTCTTGTCGAAGCCGTCCCCCCGCCCGCATTCCAATCTCGCCTTCCGAAATCTTCCCAAGCTTCCGAGTCCCTGCGGAGGATGAATCGAACCACGCCAGCCGGGTCAGTTGTCGGTCTCAAAAGACAGCGAAGCGCCGGGGTGAGACAGATCTTGGCCTCACCTGACGCCATACATCTCGATCAACTGCGACCCCTTCCCAGCCCCCGGAGCGATCGGGAAACCCATATTGATCTTAGGTCGTGCCTCAGACGCCGGCCTTCCTGCCGCCGCGTAAGGTCCATCTTTCCCAATCCCACCCTGCGGTCCCGAACCATCTTGCTCCATCGCGTTGAGAGCAGCTGCAGCCCTGGGAGATAATCGTGCAGAGGGTTGATGACGCACGGGGGCAGTCGAGGGAGCGACCTTGAGTTTGGGCTTGGCGGATACAGTGTCGCCGAAAGGTGGAACTAAGGCTGCAGGGTTGAAGGCGCCGATGGGGGCACACGGACCCTTGTTCCTCGCTGCTGTCGCTGCCGCGTAGGGCCCGTCGTGTCGGACCAGACCTGACAGAGGCCCAGATGGTAACATCGTCAGCATCCTGCCTACGCGAGCAGCTGAATCTAATATGAGAGCGCTCACCTCCTCCACCATACAGTCCACTGATGTCGAGCTTGTCAATCACATCCAAGGGTACGTCGCTTTTTCTTTCCACCGGCCGAGGGGCCGTTTTCTTATTCATCAACGAGGCATGCCTGGTCATTTGCGCGCCGTTGGTACCTTTGGCGTTGCTGTTGCTGTTGCTGTTGCCGGCGCCATTGATTTTGCCGTTGGTATCGGAGAGGGTGTTGAATTTGGCATTGCGGTTGGCGCTCGGACTCACGGGACCTCGGGTGGTAGCGCTGGCGTTCGTGCTGAGATTAGGGTGGGACCCCGCGCTGTGGAGGTTGGCGGATGTGATCGAGGTCCGAACCGTCCTCGGAGCTGGGGCACGCGTACTCGACTTGTAGGCCGAGGTCGTCGACTGGTTCGACAACGTCCCGGGGTTGTAGCTCGCGTCGCTCTGTGCTCGACTCCGTCCGCCGTGGCCATTCGAGCTCCCACTCGCCGAAGCGCCGTCCACAAAGGGGCCAGCGGATCGCGTGAAGGTCATTGAACTCGACGCTGGACCCTGTGGCAATTGTTGGGGACGCGTCTTTACGGGCGAATGGGTCCTGGAGGGGGAAGTCGAGGTTGATCGGTCCGACGGTGGGTCCGAAACCGAGTCCGAATACTCGGATAGGTAGGTATAGTGCTCGAGCAGTGAGTCATTTGTTGTCGATCTCGGAGTTGGTCGGTCGGGCACGGCGGCGATCGTCTGCTGGGGGTGCATGTCGTTCGATGTGTGATCAGTCTAACGTTATCGCCACCGATAAAACCTCGAGTAAAGAGTCTTGGAGTGGGTCAAGAAGAGAGAATCGAGCATTGGGCCCGCGCGTCCAGGGCTACGTATGCACTGCCCGAGCGCCAAGCCTTGGGGGACTGGGCCAGTACTGGGCCGCAGGCGAGCGGCCTGCAGCCGCCAGCTGCGCGGCCGTGTCGGGTCATTCATTCACACGCGCGCGCGCCAGGGAGATGCTACTCGAGGCCAGGCGAGATGGATGCGTGCAACTCACCACGACATTGTCCAGTGCTTCCCGCAGCAAGCGATCATCTTGAAAAGGGTCTGATGAAGGTAGAACGCATCCGGAACCAATGGACAACGTGTCGAGATGATAGTGGAGGTCGTCAGCGGTGGGCGAGGGCAGCGGCGACACGCGACGGTCGACGGTCGAGGTCATAGTCGAGACGGTCATCGGTGGCGACAGGCACAGCGGCGACGACGACGAAGCCCCAACGACGGGTGGACGGAGAGCAAGGAGAAGCGGGTGTCAGTGTCGCCAACATCTCGGATTTGAGAAGACAACCCAGTCGATGAAAGTCCACGCATCCCCGGTGACGGCTTCCCTAGATTACAAGAAGCGGTCCCGACCCGCCAACCGCCCACGACGCGTCGAGCAGCCGCGGACGTCGGTTGGAGACAACACTCCGAGCGGTCGTTCCCTTTGGTGCGCGCCGCGACGGGGTCCAGGGCCTATTCCTGGAGCTAAGATGCGGTGTCGAAGAAAGAACTCACCGGCATTGAATGTTCTCGCAACGCGTGTCGACGCCATCACGGACGGGGCGTAGGAGCGGCCAGTCTTTGGAGGTGGTGGAACGGGTCGATGCGTGCTGCTGGCAGATTGGCAAGCCAGTCAGATAGATCCGAAACCCGCAGTGTGCGCGCCTGCCACAGGCTGGGGGAGTCCGCCAGAGTCCGCCTAGCAAGTGGCCAGGCCCACCTCCGCCTTTCTTCGGGTCGACAGCGTTAGTGGCCCTTTTTTTCACAGAACTAAAGTATAGATTGCCACTGGAAACTCTACGCTAATCGCTACTATGACTGATGCCTTCTGATTCACCTAGCCTCACCTGGACACTCTACGAATACGAAGTTGATCGCTAAGGAAACTAATTAAAGACTGTCCAGGCACGCGTCCCCTCATAAGGTTTAGGCACACGGGCTTTCCCTCCGACTTTTCCAAAGGTTTCTAGGTGTTAATATAATCATACTGCTATTGAAATCTATCAAATACAAAAATAAAAAAAGGGCTTTACAGTCGGCGGCAGGAAGGCCGGCGTCTGAGGCACGACCTAAGATCAATATGGGTTTCCCGATCGCTCCGGGGGCTGGGAAGGGGTCGCAGTTGATCGAGATGTATGGCGTCAGGTGAGGCCAAGATCTGTCTCACCCCGGCGCTTCGCTGTCTTTTGAGACCGACAACTGACCCGGCTGGCGTGGTTCGATTCATCCTCCGCAGGGACTCGGAAGCTTGGGAAGATTTCGGAAGGCGAGATTGGAATGCGGGCGGGGGGACGGCTTCGACAAGAGGAGACGCCAGCCTCACCAAGGAAGATCGCTTCTGTAGGACCCAGTCGATTTGGGATATCGAAGTCAGTTGCTTTGACCTTACTGGTACTTTTGAGGGGGTTATGCTGATCCCTGTCCACTTTGACCCCTGTTATGACGACAGGCCACGCTGGCGGCTGGCAAACCTGTCGGAGTTCCGTCAAACCCTCCACCCATGCCAGCTCTCGATGAATCCTACGCTGCGCACGCATCCGCCCATTCCCCGACCGACCGACCAAAGCGGACCAAGTCACTTGCTCGACGTTTCGGACGCTCCAACAAAGAAGGTGCGGCCCCGCCTCGCGAAGAACACGTCGCTTCAGGTGTCGTCCTCCAGGCACGGGACGAGAACGTCGGAGGAGCCGTTCGACCGGCGCTCGTTTCGGCTCATACGACGATCGGCGACGAGAGGATCAAGGATTGGTACGATGGGGGACAACCTTTGAGAGGGGTCAAGAGTGCCGGACAGGATCCGGACTCGAGCGTGGATGAGAAAGAAGGCCTCAAGCGGCCGAATGTGATGCAACGATTGTTCTTGGGGAGGAAGAAGGTCAGTGGTTTGAGCACGATTCGAGGGCTTTGGAAGGCCGATTCAACTGACGTTTTCGTTAACTGACGTTCTCGTGAATTACGATCCGATGCAGGCCTAGAGCTGCAGGTTTTCGTACGTGTATATACATTACGACGAGAGTAGTGCTCCCTTTCCTCTGCTCCGACTGTGTATATGGCTGGCCCTCCCACTGGTGCCCTGAGTCTTGGATTTGCCTGTTTGTTCTCCGATGTATGTGTTCGCCCCCCAATTTTGCCCTTCTTCTACTCTGTTTACATTGACCGTACACCCCGTATCTGCGTTGTATCTACCCCTTGTCTACTCGACCTGTGTAATCTGGACTAGCGAGTCCGTTTTGATGATTCGACCGGTCGAGTGGTTAAGGGGTCGGGTCACGTGCAGTGCGCGTGGTGATTCTCTCCGACTCGGAGCGCCAAGGAACGCCGAGTCCCTTGTGGGTTGCCCACCGTCAACATCCACAGAAAAAGGTATATTATCAGGAGTCATTCTAGCTTCCGGGTGGTGTTGATCAGATCTGCCTGCGTTCACGAGGCCACTGCAGCGGCCATGGTTTGTCCGACGTGCTTTTGCATGAGGCCCGACTCAGTCGATCACAATCCGCGTGGAAGCGTTTCCCCATTCACTCATTCTCAACTTTTTACGAAAATGCCGTTAATAAACGATCTGAAACGATGATCGGCTTTCTACAACCTTTTCTTTCTCTTTTCTCTTCTCCGAATACATTTCAAGGGTCTCCGAATATGTTTCAAAGTTTATTACCCGGCCGTCGTTCATCGTCGCCTGCCAATCGGCAGTGCAAGACGTCATAAAGGGTATCTTTGATGATCAACAGCTTTGTCACAAGAACTTGTGTCTCATACAACCCACTTATGACTACCTAGTGGCTTTCCTTTTCCTTCCTCTGCTCGAGCCCCTTGCGAGTCGCTGGCACTCGCTGCTTCATCGTCGGGAGTCCGCTGCCAAGCAGCTGCTTCAACTCGCAACACGTCGCGGAACAGGTCAAATGAAGATGGGAATGATGGGGAGAACATGGGGTGATGTGGGCGTTCGCTGTGTTTGTTTTATTACTATTTTCACGTGCACGTTCAGACCGCGTTACAGAGCGGGGCCGACCGTCTGGTGCGTGTTCTTCGTTTTCTCATTTTTGTGCAGAGCAGAATCCGGTTATCACCGCACTGGAACGCCGATCGCGTCATCACGGTCGACCTTTCACCGGCAGCAAATGTCAAGCGCCTTCTTCGCGACAAGCTCATCCGCTGCCTAGGAATCGTCGAGCGAGGCCACACGCTGTGATGGATCCGTCTGGTCATTACAGCGACTTTCTCGACTTCAGTGGGTTTGACGCGTCGCAATCGCTACCGCCATCCACGCTTCCAGCTCACGGTCACCACCCAGCACCTCCACTTCAATCTCACTCAGCTCAGCCTGCGCCGGCTCCTTTGGTTCAGCACGAGGGAGGGATGTTTGACACGACGGGGATGGTGGATGGAGAACACTTTATATGGCCCATCAATGGTGGTGGTGGTGGTGGAATGCCTTACCCGGACGCGGCATCGTTCCTGTTCGCGTTGACGTCGAACCGGTCGTCGACTTCGAGTCCGACGATGAGCCCGGCCGCCCGCATACAACGACCTCACCCACAACAGCCCGACCAGCAACTGGCACCTTATCCACCACGTTCGGCTTCTCCTCATGATCCAAGTTCGCCCGCCTCGATCTTGCAGCAGCAGTTGCAACAACAGCAACTTCAGATGCAGATGGAACAACAGCAGCAGCGGCAGCATTGGCAACAGCAGCAGCGGCAGCATTGGCAACAGCAGCAGCAGCAGCACCAGTCCGCAGCACAGGGACAGCAACTTTTTCGGCCTGCGTCGGGCCCCCCTGGCACCTCTGGTGACGTCGGCACCAACCAAACACTCCTGGGGGGACACCTCGCGTCCCCGGCCGCGCTGTATCAACAATCGCTGCAACACCGAGCTTTAAGGAATCAACACGCTGGAGGCGGGTTGACACCCGGATCGAGTGCAGGCGTTGCGTCGGCTTGGAACAACCCCTCCCCAGCTTCTTCCACATCCGCGTCGCACACACCCGCCGATACGGGTCCCCCACCACCAACGACTACTGCGACCCGTGTGGCCACATCATCGAAGAAGGATTATCGACCTCCGAAGAAGCAGGCTCGGTTGGTCCAACCACCTCCGCCACCGCCACCACCGCTGGCCGCACAGCCTTTCATCCGGCCGGCGGTTCGGTACCCCGCTTCTTCTACCCCTGTCGAGTTGATTTCGGACGCACCACCACCTGCGCCGTCGACCTCGAATTTGGAGACTCGGTTCTCTCCAACAAAGAGGAAACAAGCTCAATCCTCTCCTGCATCACCAGGTTCCGCTTCCAGACCAAGACTACGAAGAACACCTTCGGATCCCTTGCTGGGTTCGAACAAGGCGCGATCCGATCGGGACAAGTTGAGCGCGCTCTTCACACTTCTAGACGAACAAGCCTGGTCCGTCGAAGATATGTTGGCCGCTTTGTCGGATGTACCCTCCGAAGAGACCACGCAGGACGATGTCGAATCGAGCGATCATCGCAAAAGGATAATGCATTTTGTCCACCGACGAACGAGTGTAGGCAAGACGGCTGAACAGACTCTAGGGCCGGAGGAGATTTATCGCAGGTGGATCGTGGCGAGGGAAGGAGAGGAAGGTGAAGATAAGGTCAGTCTGTATGGGTCTTTCATCATAGATTCAATCCCGTGATGCTGATGAGTTCGGACGCGTACTGTAGATCCTGGGTCTTGACGGGCTTTATCGAAGCACGGGAGCTGAACAACATGGCTCGGTAAGCTTTACCTTGTGAATGCTGAACAGGCATACTAGTGCGAACCCTGATCGCCTTGGATAACATATCGCAGATCATCCGGAATATCTTGACCAAGGATAGTGTGCCATACGAGGAGGCTCAAGCCGACATCAAGGTCAGTTGCATCTCGGTCATTTCGTAGCTCGGGAGGGCCTCTGAAGCAAAATCTTACCCGAGCAGATGGTCGATGCCGCCTTGTCCCGAGCTCCCTCTCCACATACTCTGACCGCACATAGTCGACAACTATTATCACCTACATCCTCCTCGTCCTATGTTGGACGCCTCATTATACCATCCGATCAAGCTGATATCTTAGGAGCATGGCTCATGAGTCCCGGTCGACCGGCGCTAGCGAACGAGAGGGACTCGATCACGCCTGATCATATGCGCATTTACTCGAGTCTATCGCCGCTTGAGCTGCATGCCCGAGGAGCCGAGCTATGCAGGGTTATCTTGATGAGGGATGCGATCCTCAAGGCGCGGTATGGATACCGTGAGTTTTTTGTAACTACACGCTTCGGTCGCTTGCTGATTTTTCGGACTATCTGGCGATTGTAGTCGGAGACAACTTGGAAAGTTTCGTACAGGGCCCATCCATCGTCCTTGCCCAGCGATGCGGCTTCCACGAGTACGACGACTATAGTTTGTGGCACCACGCCTTGATGAGCTACTTGCAGATTTGCACGCGATACCCGTCGTTCCGAGATTCAAAGGTGCGTTCCGTCACTGCCGAAAACGCTTTTTTTGACTTCGGGTTCTGACTTTTCAACAATTTGGACCTTTTCAGCCCGCGACAATTGACATCATACCCGACCAATCCCTTTTGCCACCGACCTTACTCGAAATCAGCCTCATCGAACGAGCCCTGCACGTACACTGGGAGAACTTCCGCCAATACCTCTTGGGCGAAGGAGGTCTCCTCCGAAGGGCCGTCAAGGCTTTTTCCGGGGTCAAGACCCGCCCTATGGATTTGATGTTGATTTGTGATGACGCGAATGTGGTTATGCAAGCGCTGAAGAAGAGTCAGAAAGAGGCGGGAGCGGGTGGTAAGTTGTTTTTGACGTCAGGCGTGGATGACTCGGTGTGGAAAGCTGAGGATCTGTGTTGGGTATCGTTTGGCGATTGTAGAGAGGATATTGCCTTATGATCCGAGGGTCTCGGAAGCGAGGAACGAATGGCGACAATCGGTGCGTTGGTCGTGCACATTCATTTCGGTTCAAGCGTTCCAAACAGGAGTTTGCTCATCGTCGGATCCCCTTCAATTATTTAGGCGTACTGGTCCGAGAACTCGCATATCATGATGTACGTCTAGACCGATTTTTCCTCAAAGTTTACCGTCGAGTGACTCTTGCATCCACTCCCATCTAGGTGGTCCGCCATGACGAGTCATTTCCTCGAAATCAGTGCCTTGTATCCGCGGTTCTCTGAAGGAGTCGTAAGCACTTTCCCTGCCGTGAGAAATCCTAGACCCTGGCAACATGGAAAGTAAAGCTAACCTTTTGATTGTGCATGCGCCCGTTGTATAGCGAGATATCCCCGGCTTGGAAGGTCTGCTCAATGGGGTTGGGTTGGACAAGTCGACGAATGGACGCAATGGAGAGGGATCGAATTGAAGAGGCATGTTTGTGGGTTGGGCGGTGATCCTTGGAATGTTGTGGTGATTAGTTGGAATGGAACGGAATTTAATATTGGGATCAGTGTTGCGGAGGTACCTGAAAGTCGGAGCCGGACCTTTTGGGACAATTACTGGAAGGCGTATTGCTATGGCATCACAAGAAAGGATGAGGAAAAGTGGCTACGGAACGGAAGCGAAAGGCGGGTCATGTCAAAATGAAAGAAGGCCGTTGAAAGAAGAGGGGCAAAAAAAGGAACTTCAAAGAAGTGGATGAGAAACACAGTACTGGGTAACACAAGAAAGGACCGAGGAGTCCCAAGAGTGGCTTGGGAGATCGTGAAACGTCGTCGTTTAGAGGTAAGGAAACGAAGTCGTTCCAGACCCCTTATCGCCTTCCAACGGTTGATCGACTGGTCGTCGAGCCATACCCGACGTTCCCGCCTAACGAATCCAACTCAAGTTCAAGCGACTTGATCGAGCTGTGCGCCTGCTCCAAGTCCTTGTTCAATCGATCACGTTCGGCAATCAGATGCTGTTCCCACTGACGGAACCTCGCCTCCTCCATCTTGACCTGTTCGGTGAATCGTTTCCTCAACGCCTCTTCCTCTTCCTTGAACTTAGGGTTCTCGACCTTTTTAACTTTGGGTTCGCCGAATTTGCGCGTCTCCATTTGCGCTTGACGGTAATTCTCGTAATGCGATTCCTCCGACGTGGCGATCAAGTCAAGCATATGGGTACGGATTAACAGCGAACGCAACTTTTTGAAATCGCAGTGATCCTCGTTCTCCACTTCGGCGACTCCCCAGAGGTAATCACGGCCTTTGACGACGCGCCCATCCGCGGTCGTTACTTCTTGTGTCGAGCCGATGATGGAGAAGGGCATCGCCGCGGCGAGCACTTTGGCGTGTTCGGCCGAGGCTTCGTCGTCGGCTTCGATTGGGGGTTGGTACACTCGGATCCCCTGAGCTTTGATCACCAGGCGAATCTGGGTGAGGAGGTGCACAACGAAGAGTCAGAATGGGAGTCAAGTTGGCTTTGGTTAGAGTGAATAGCACTGACCCTCTGCTTGAACTCGGCCAAATCGTGGGGCGTGAGCGTGTCGGCCTTGGCGACGATGGGAATGAGGTTGACGCGCGTGCCCAATCGCTTCATGATCTCGATATCGAGGGATTTAAGACTGCATACCCGAGAGATCGAGGGAGAATTAAGCGCCTGTGACTCGAAGGCTGAGATGTCTAGACTTTACAGAGAACTCACGTGTGTCCGGTTGGTCGGATAAAGTAGAGGCACGCGTGGACTCGCATGTCGAGCTTCTCGCCACGCTGGGGTTGTTGCTCTTGGCGCATATACGACTCGTGTTGGTCGTCCTGTTCAAATCGAGAGAGTCAGAGTTGTGCGAGTCTTGCAGTGCAGTGCAGAGTTACACACGATAAAATCGACGATGGGCATCCAGCTATCGCGGTTGTTGACGTAATCTCCGAACCCGGGGGTATCGATGACGGTGAGCTTGACCTTGAACAACTTCTCCTCCAGCTCGGCCTTGATAATGTCTGTTTTTCAAGGGGATGGAGGTTAAGCTGCCGGGGATCGAGAGGCGCGTGTGGGCGAGCAGACTGGTGGCACTGACCGATCTCGGTGGTCTTGTCCATCTGCTTGACGAATCGACGACTGTAGTCCTTGACGGGGGCGAGTTCGGTCGAGAAGAGGGTGTTGCTGTTTGGAGCACAATCGATGGGTCAGTGATGAGGCCCAAGAGTCAAGGTGCACCTTCCAACCCGGTCTCGGAGCACTCGTTCGAAAAGGAGGTCTGAGCGCTACATCGATGCGCATCGCCTTTCGCTCGGGACGAACGACGTGGCTGGACCGATGCTGCTGAGTTCGTCGCAGAAGTGCGCATTTGGTTGGCCTGATAGAAGAAGGAAAAAAAAAGAAAAAGAAAAAAAACCCGTACATGAGGGTGGTCTTGCCCAACCCTGCCTCTCCGACGACCATCAAGGTGAAGTGGCCGCCACGTTTGGCGACTGTGGAGCACGTCGGGTCCGAGTGTCAGTGGGGCAGCTGCATGACTTGGTGTGCTCTACAGGTGGGCCCGACGACTAGACTGACCAATCTTGTGCCTCTGTTGGATCGGGAACGATCAAGATGGAGGCGTAGGGCTGGGATCAGTGACCGATGGACCAGGGGGACCGGGCGTTTCGAGGCGGCTCCCACGGCCACGCTGAGACATGCCAGACCGGACACGACGACCCGACTGACCTGGTTGGGCAGGTTGGCGATACCAATGCTGGAAGCTGCGAATCGGGGAAATAAGGTCGGGGTCAGTCACGGTTGCGGTGACAGTTGACGTTGGACCGTGAGCACGACGTCCCCGGCGACGGTGGGGGTGAGGTGACACGCGAGCACAAGCACACTCCCGTCACATCACCCACGAGTGCGAGACCAGACCAGACCAGACCAGACGAGGGAGGTACGCCAGCCGCGCGGGAGATATCACCTTGACCACCATTGCACCATGACTCACTCGTTGCCATGATTGCGGAAACCGATCGAGTGGGAAGTAGGTGTCGAGTGACCAAGCCGTGAGCCGTGTACGCAGACTACCCCGCGTAGACGAGCGAGGGTCCATGCGCTTCAACCCAATTACATCCGCGTTGCTAATGGGGTCATTACGGACAACCCCTTCCCGCCCGATCGGCCTTGCAGGGCCTTGCGCGCCGCCGCTCGACTGTCACTTTGACCTTTGACATCTCCCCCTCCTCCCCGAGACTTGCCCCTCGACTTGTCGACTCGATACACCGCATACCCCACTAGCTCTGTCGAACCTGCTCGACCTATTTCCATCATCGGCCATACCCTGCGTGCGTGCCCTCTCACCGCGTGGCAGTGGTACTCGACTTGAAGTTCCACCCCTCCCTCCGTGGACCACACCGAGTGATCACACATTGCCCGCTGGCTAGAGTTTTAAGAGTGCATTCATCCAGCCTCGACTGCGCCTCCTCAGACCTCTGATCAGCACAAGCACAAGCTCAAGCCCGTACCCCCCCCCCCCACCTCTAGTGCTCTAGTCACCTCGTGAGTCCACTCTCACATCGATCGTGTAGCAACTGTGTGCGCACAGCAGGATCATATGGTGGTGACCGGTCACGGGTCGGACTCGTTGGCGGGCTGGAGGCCGTGCAGCGCACCCAATCCGACTTGATGGCGGGCGATCCAGTCGGTTTCGGCTCGGCCGCGCGCGCGCCCGGTGACGCGGGCGACGCGTGACCGACAGCGGCGTTATTTGAGCGGCGTTATAGGGCGTTATTTGCACCTGGCTTGCCCGCCTCCGACGCGTCCGCCAGACCGGCGTCTTTTCCACCTCCACCTCCCGTCCCTGTCCCGCTCATCTTGGCATACCACACTCTAGCTACTGTCGAGGACTGATCGATCCTCATTTTCGATAACCTTTCCCTCTGGCGCCGCAGCTTTCGTCACTATGTTTTTCAACTCGGACATGCTCACCAAGAGGGGCCCACTCGCACGCGTGTGGATGGCCTCGCATCTGTCGGCCAAGCTCTCAAAGACCAATCTTCTCGCGACCTCGATTCCTTCATCGGTCAAGTCCATCCTCGGCAACGACGACACGCTCAACCTGCCTTCGATGGCCCTCCGTCTCTCGGGCCAGCTCCTGCTCGGTGTCGCGCGCATCTACTCGCGCCAGACCAAATACCTCCTCGACGACTGCAACGAGACCCTCATCAAAGTCAAGAATGCCTTCCGACCTGGAGCCGTCGATATGCACGAGAACGACACCGCGCAGAGGGGCATCAACGCCGCCGCCATCACCCTCGGCATGCACGAAGGTGGACTTGAGGATATTCTCAACCAGCAAAACTTCCTCGGCCAGCAATGGGACCTCGACTTCAACGCTCGCTCCGCCACCGCCGCACCGACGACGACCTCGGGTAACAAGGCCAAGACACTGCGCGCTAGTACCATGAACGCCGCCGACATCAACTTGCCCGACCACTCGCTCGCGTGGGGCGAGGACCATGGCATCGTCGACTTTGATTTTGGCGAAGGCGGTGGACTCGAGTCACAGATCGAAGGCTTCTTTGACGAGGACTTTGAACTCGGTATCATGGACGACGGCAATCCTCGCAGTGACGGCGACCTCAGCGTCGAAGTCGGTCGCGATGCCGCGGTCCATGCCTCGGACCGGGGATCGATCGGTCCCTTTGACCTCGACGACTTGAACCTGGACAAGGTCCCGCAGTTTGAGAGGGAAGGTACGGGTGGAATAGAACAAGACTTTGAGCCGTGGCGCGACAACAATGATTTCAACCTAGAGTTTGGGGGTGACAACCGAGAAACGAGTTAGTTCACAACCTTGCTTCCGCTGCATCGGCGGTGCAACCAGAAAGCTGACCTGACCATTGCTGTACTCTCCACAGCACCCATCGCCAATGGTGACCTCGAAAATAATGACCTCTCTTTGACACCCAAGACGCTTGCCGACCTCAAGGGCAAGGCCGCCGCCGCAGCTGCCAAGGGTGCCAAGAAGGCGCGCAAGCAACTGATGGATGCTTCGATCGAGTTGGCCCAGGGGAACGGCCGCTCGCGCCACCTCAAGGAGCCTTCGTATCTGCCTCGATCCCGATTACACTTGCGACTTCTCGAACTCGAACGCGATGTGACCACGAACCTGCCTTCCTCCGTCTCGGACGCGACCGAGTTGTTTGCTCCCACTGGTTTCGCTCCCGAGCTCAAAGGCCTTTACGAAATGCCGACCCGACGAGAGCTGATCCGAATTGAAGGTCGAGCCTCGAGCGCTGTGCCCGACGAAGTTGAACTCGGTCGCAAGCGCCAGGCCAGTCTCGCGTTCTCTGCTGCCGACAAGGACGCGTACGCACCCTTTGACGACCTCGAGTTTGGTGGAGGAGAAGACCAGGGTGGTATGGACTTGGCGATGGAGTTTGATACCTCGCGCGACGACTTCCGCTTCGACCTCGACGACAACGCCGCTGCGCCGGCCAAGGATTCGAACCGGACACCGAGGGCTTCGCCGCGCAAGAAGCAACGCGTCGAAGAGGGCGAGTCGGCTCTCGATCTTGCGGATGAGGATCGAACTGGTTCGCTCTCGAAGGGCCCTTTGGCGGTGTTCGACAACGCCTCGACCGGTCCGGTCTCGGCGCCGACAGCGACGCAATCGCAGTCGCTCGGTGCGACCGAAGAAGAGGAGATGCTCGCTGCGAACGGCAAGACAAAATGGAGCAAAAACACGGTCAAGGCCATCACGGTGCTCAACGACGAGCTGCAAGGCGACGACGAAGCGACGCTCGAGTTCTCGCATGTCGCGCAGCAGGTGACCAAGAAGGCGGCGGCGTCCTTCTTCTTCGAGTTGCTCGTGCTGTCGACGCGCGACTGCGTCAAGATTGAGCAGCCCAAGTCGTTTGGTGAAATTAAAGTGCAGGCAAGGGAGAAGCTGTGGCAGGTCGCGGCTGAGGTGGCGGCATATTAGAGCGAGGGTGATGAGATAGTATTGTATTTGGAGGTCCACTCCGTGCTTCGATCTAGTGATATCCCCACCCCTCATGTATTCAACTTGTACTCTAATTAGCTCTCTTTGTATGCGTTGTGATTTGAATTATGGGTGATGGGTTTCTATCCATCCAGATGAACAGTCAACCCCTTTAGTGCGAAAGCGATTGTGACGATCGAATGAGCGGGTGCCCATTCGCAGACGCGCCTGAGTCATCTGAGCCTCGTACCCTCCCGTTGCCTCCCCTTGCCTCCCGCTGCACTCGCGAGCTCTCGCGAGCACTCTCGACCACGCGTCACTGTTCGCCCCCGCCCCCCGCCCCCCCTCTCCTGCTGCCTCCTGCTCAGCTACCCCTGTGCACCGGCCGATCACCGACCCTTCAGTCCCGTCCGACCAGCTCAACAGCTCATCACTCGCATCGAAGTGAGCTCTCCCCCCTTCCTCACCTTTCCTCATTTGATCTTGTACCATCATCACCTACTACCGACGTGAGAACACCTGCCCGATTCACTTCGATCGCGGCTGATAGCCACCCGCTCTCACGCCTCTCCGGGCGCTTGTGACGATGCCTTCCCTCCACGATACGAGGGTGTTGGAGAACTTGATCAAGGCGGAGAAGAATGCCGAGAATTCGTACGTGCCTTTCTCACTCTATCTTGGAGGTTGTGAGGTGACCGGTCGTCGGGTGGTCGGTCCGGGATCGGATCGGATCCTCGTATGGCTGGCAAGTTGCCAGGCAGGTCGGGACGGACACCCACGCGCGTCATCGGTCTCGGTGCGCGGCGGCGGGTCTCGTGAAGGGTCTGAGGGGAGTGCACAGAGTAGACGAAAGGAATCTTTGAGCTGACATGGCATTCCTCCATTGCACTCTTCCCATCGTGTCGCCGCCGCCGCCGCCGCCTGGACTCAGCTTCAAGGCCTACACCAAGGACGCTGCGAGTGCCGCTTCGGCGTTGAGCGCGTGGAGCGTCGCCGATTCGGGCGATACACAGGACATCATGGCAAGTCTTCAATCTTTCATTCGTCAGACTGGGGAGTAGCAGGCTCGAGTCTGGACGTGGTCGCGTCGGTGGCGAGATTTGGTCGAGGTGATGGGCTCGTCACACTTGGCGAATTGGGACCCGTGATCGAGACCCGCGATCCAGAGGCCGAGGCAGTCGTCACAAGGACCCTCGTGCGGCGTTATCTCCCGGAAGAGGGTCAAAGACGAGGTGGTCATTTTGTGTTACACTCGGGCGTCTCGCCCGAGTTTTATGTCGCCAACATTTTCTCAGCCAGTCAGCCACACCTGGCCCCCACATCTCTTTCTCAAGATCGACACTGGCTAGCCCGCTCGTCCTCACTTTTGCTTCCTTTTCTCCTCACAGGACGTCTCCATTCGTATATCCCAACTTGCCTCGGCCGTAACGGAATCGCGACGTGCGCACGCGACGGCCCTACACATCTACCGAGTCTCACTCAAGGACGTGCTCGCGCGCGAACAGGCGCTGAAGACCGTCGTGCGAGATCGAGAAATCCTCGTTGGCAAGTTGATGAAGTTGGGCAACAAGAAGCCCAACGACTCGGCGTTGCATAGTCACCAGGCCAAGCTGGACGATGCGCAGAGGGAGTTGACCGCGTGCGAGAGTGAGTCCGCGAGATTTTGGGCTCACCTGGCCGACGTGAACGGGTTGACTGATCGTTTATTCTTGCTCTGGCAGCCTATCTTCAGGACGAGGAGATTGCACTTAGTCATGCCAAGCGTCAGACCTTCCGAGTGGCTTTGGCAGAGCGAATGGTCAGCCTGGGCGAACTCGGGCGAGTGATGGATGAGAGTGCACACGAGAGCCACGGCCTCCTGGTTGCGTTGGGGCAGGACGGAGAAGGCGACGCACCTCGTGAGTTGTGGCAGAAGATGGCAACCTGGACCTCCAGCCCTGGAGCTGACGCCTCGTGACGGTTCATTGTGGCTTCACAGACTTTAGTCGGTTCGAGAACCGTGACGACGTATCCATTGCCAGCGACTCTATAACCCCTTCTCATTCGGCGTCACAGGCCATGTCTCGATCGTCGTCCTCATCATCTCTCGAGGATCAGATCGTCGAACAAGGCATGCTTCGCCCCTCGAGTCGAGCCCACGCAAATGCGAGCACCGCAGTGGAGAGGGCGGCTTCGCCGCATCGCGCCAAGTCGCCCACGTTTGCACTTGGACCCATCGCTAGTGGTGCTCCTCCGGATCGACTCGTCTCCAGGCAACCGACCGTTCGCGCATCCGCGCCACCGACACCTCGTCCCATCCTTGGACCGGTCCCTACCGCTCCCCGACCGGTCTCGGCCTACCTCGCTGAACAGGCCGCTGCGGCTACGGCTTTGCCAACTTTCGAGATCCCGAAAGCTCCGACGAACGTTGCGACTCGCCGCCCGACTGACGATTCGTCTGACGAGGAGGAGACGCATGGTTTCGTCGCTCACCAGAACGGTCTGGCCCGTACACAACGCTCGGCTCACTACCCTAACGATATGCCGACTTCGACGTCGTACGTGGCGAATCGATTGCAGCGACATGCGCCGCCAAGCGATACGAGTTCGCTTGTCGGTGGTTCCAAAGTCAGCAAGCGTCGTGGATCCATTTTTGGAGGGCTCGCAGCGCTGTTCAAGAAGAAGGAGCGCCGCGTCGACGATTTGGCGGCGAGGTCCGCCGTCATGGGTAGCAATTCGTGGGACACGCGCATCGATCGCAACGTCTTTGTCGCGCCGAAGGGGGCGAGCAGTGGGCGAGCGGCATCGGTTGCGCCGAGTCGTCTCCGCCCAGGCAACGACTCTTCCGACGACGAACCGACGCAGAGGAATTTGGTGCGCGTCGTCAACGATCCCAAGATGCGTGCCAAGGCCATGAGCGATCTCGGTCGCTCCAGGGCGGCGAGTCTGCATACTGTGACGACCACAACAGTCAAGAAGAAGAAGACGACCAAACGCGCCAGCAAGGCCGCAAGTGATTTCGGCACGGTCTCGCCCTCAACGATGCCCATCAACTACCCGAACCAGTCCTTCCTCGCTCGACCTGTTCCCACCGTGATAAGTCCTCCAGCTGAGGAGACACCTATCAAGAAGAAGAAGAAGAAGAAGGCGTCGTCGGGTGAAGGGGCCGCTACGATCGTGCTTTCCGCAGAGAAACTCGGCATCCCCACCAATGCAGAATCCTCAACGGCGACGCGACCGAGCAAGCTGTCGAGGAGCAACACTGTGATGTCCAATGCGACGGTCGCGACGGCGACGACTCGTACGGTCAAGAAGAAGAAGAAGAAGGTCGTAGAAGAAGGCGCCCCTGCTGTTCCCGCGGTTCCTTCGACTGCGAAGATTCAACCTGTGCCCACGGCGACCGACCTCGCGGCTTCGTTACCGTCTGCTCGTGGTACCGTGTACGACACTCTTACCTCGCCCTTGCCTCTGCCGAATGGGACGCCGTCTCCTCGCCCCAGCTCACCGGCTCCGGTCGATGCGGCACCAAAGGCGAACAAGATTCCCAGAGGGCTAGCCGAGGCCGGGAAACGCACCAAGAAGGAATCGGCTTTGCACGGCAACGGAACCTGGGTTAGCCACCCGAGCACCGCGACGGTCTTGCCGAAGAAGGCTGGTCACGCAGGAGAGAGCCAGGAAAGCATGATGAGCGTCGTTGATCGTGCCGAGGCCGAAGCTGTTGCTGAGCCTTCGCGCAAATATGGCTCGGCGACGGCAACGACGATGCAACGCGACGTGTCGAGTTCGGGGACGCCGGGCGCACTTGCCAAGAGGAAGTCGGTGCGATTGACCGAGGATCAGCCTTCGCCGTCGGCACACCAGGCCATGTCCTCGCCTGCTTCTTCCATCCGATCAGGTCAAGGAGCCGCGCCACGCCATGGCATTCTCCTCAACAGCAACCCTCCAAACGGGCATGCGCAAGGCGGGTCGGATGTTGGCGCCTCAAGCACGTGGAGCACTCGAGTTCCTCCTTCGCGAACGGTCGATGACAGTTCTGACGAGGACGAAGATGCGGTCGCTTACAAAAAGGCCCGCAAGGCCTTCTCGAAAGCCCTCAAAGATAAGGGCAAGGGCAAGGCCGTGGAACAGTGATCTCAAGTAGAGCTCATTGAGTCGGAAAGATCTGTCATCGCCGCTTTTCGCTTCGTCGTGCCCGTCCAGTTATATACGACCCAAGTATTTTCCCCTCCCTTCCCTCATATTGTTGCTTCCCTCCCGACCATCCTTTTGCTTTCCCAAACTGTATATCCTACCTTTGATCACCCAACCCGTCCTACTAGAATGCTTGACCTAAATATCCCTAATCATACCGTTTTGCTTCGCCTCAGTCATCGACCCTCCTTTTTCTCTGGGTGTTCTGGCTTTGTGTCAGCCCATATGGACACGGGGCGCCGCGTGGATCCTACAACCTACCTACCTACCTACTAAAGGTGCATTTGTTCTCAGCTGGACTATCCTTATCAACATGAAATCAACTCGCTCGCTCCTCTGAAAGTCACAGACACTGGGTGCTTGAGCAAAGGTATTGTTTGCGGCCCACTTGGGGGTTCGGAAATAAGGTAACAGAACGAAGAGAACAGACTACAAAAGCTATGCTGCCCTCGACACAAAGAGTCGCAGATGAGTAGGAATGACGGCAAAGGGCAGAGGACGATCAAAAGGGTGGGTAGGGTCAACCGTGGCTGCCGTGCAAATTGGTAGGACTACGCAAGCCTTGCTTGGGTTTGTAGTTCGCACAAATTGGAGGGCTGGGTCCGGAGGTATACGAAGGAACAAGAAGGAGAAGCGGTAGATAGAAGAGTCCCTATTACTCAGGCCGTATGTAGCCATTCGGAAGGTTGATCTCCTGCCAAGGGTGATAACTCGCTTCGGGCATGTACGCCGGACCCGCAGCGTACATGACCGGAAAAGGGGCGGTAGGGGAGTGTTGCGCGGGCTCGCACGATGCTGAACGATGGTCGGGGAAGAGGAGATGTAGGTGTTGAGGGGCGAAGGAAAGGGACCGGGCCATGCTTGCTTGGAGGACGGGTTGTAGGCACGGGTCGGCGTGGAAGTATCGAGCCGTTGTTGAGGTCTCGCAGGGGATGGGCTGCTGCGGCGCAGACGTCGGCACGTACCACGTGCGTTGTTGGTGATTCGTGGAGACCTCGTACATCGAGAGATACTCGTAGGCTTCCTCGTCTTCTCGATGGGTTTCGGAAGATGATATATCGTAGTACGATTGGGAGTAAGTTGACCTCGACGACAACGCGCCCGAACCCCTTGCATCTTCGAAGGACGCTGAATGCCTCCCACCACCGAGACCATTGTATTCATCTATGATCCATCTTGAGGTTTTCTGCGCCGACACTTCCGATACTAGAGTATCTTCGGGGTTTAGATCCGGTGTCGGAACCATGGTGGGGTCGGATGGAAGTTGGGCCTGCTGTTCAGGGGTCGGCGCTTCAAGCTGTGGCGCGGTCGATCGTCGCTCTTTGCGCTTCGAAGAGGAGACGCGCCGACCGGAGCGCGCTGGTGTACCGCCGCTTTTGAGTTTGCGTGTAGGTTGGTAAGAATAATCTATTTTATGCAATCAAAGGTTAGGGTGTCAGCGAATGAACGAAGACAGGCGCTGATACCAGGATCGAGCTGCGTGTCCACATTGCGCGCCAACAGCGGCCAACAATGTAGCTAGGCCGACTTGCCTGGGTACGCCAACAGCAATGCTTTGGCCTTATCTTGGGCGAGCTTGACGTAACGTGCTCGTACCTCTACGGATTCGGCGCGCCATTCACTCGCGATGAGTTTGGCTAGTACGCAGGGAGCGAGAAGTGAAAGCCATCGTCAGTTTGAGCAAATGATCCATGAGTCCGGAGGGCGGTGAGCAGTCCAGCAAGCTAGCTCGAAAATCGCGTCAATCCCATATGAGACGGTCTCAACGGTCCCGAGCAATTACGTCCCGAGCATTTGCTCCGTGGCATAATTCAACGGTGGCTCGAGAACTCACAGATCGCAGCTTGCGGAAGTGGGGGAGCGCCCTCGGCCCGCATCGCTTTGAAGCGAGCCGTTCTGTAGCAGATCCATGCGTTTGGTGGTCGTTTGGGAGCCAAAGCGTTGGGTTTTTCAACCTCTGGTTGAGAGTTGGAGCGGCAAGGGTCGGCCGACCTCGAAGGATCTTGTTGCGAGAACCACCCGCTGCTTGGAACGCTCGGCAATGGGTCCGAGGCCGTCGGTGATCGCGCTCGTGAGGGCTCCGACTCCACCAGTGTCACTGGACTGGACATTGCCCGCACGGGTTTCGTAGGGTACGAGGCAGCAGAAGTCGAACACGGTACGCGATTGTACCATGCCGATGCTGACATGGACGCGTGCGGATCGTCTTGATGGGCATAGTTGCCACGCTGGCCAAATGAGATCAAGGTGGCTGCGGCGCCCGATTCGTGTCGCCTCGGCACGAGCACGTCGTCATCGGACAGCAGCGGCCCGTGCCCGGCGGAGGAAATGGGTGGGTGATATGTGGAGTATGCCGAAGAGTGGTTGGAGAATTTTGAGTCGCACTCCCGCTCACTTGCATGCATTGCGGAAGGTTGCATGCCCGCCGAGAGGGGTCGTGGCGATTGAGCCGAGTCTGACTGTGGCGGACGCGCGTACCCCGTCGGCTCGCTGCAGCCGGCTATGGTGTCGAAAGCCTTGGGCGTTGTCGCTGCTCTGCTGGCAGTCATCGCCAAACTCGACCCGTGCTCCATCGGCGTCGACGGTGGATGGTGTGCGGAGGTAAAGGGACAGCCAGGTAGGTACTAGGCACCACAACCTAGAGTATGCCTGCCCGCCAAGAGTCTCCGCACATGTAGATCGCCATCTCACATAAGCGATCGAGATGGCCTAATCAGAATCAGCCGCGCGTGGCCCTCAAGGGCCCCCACGTCGGAGTTTTTCATTCATCCCAATAGCCGAAACTCTCCATCCCTATAGCCGAGGCTCCGACTCGACCAGCTTTGGCACTGGCAGTAACCTAGCTACGCCTTGACAGTCTCTCAGGAGTCAGGTGCTCTCAGGTGCTGGTCCAGGCACCCCGCTATGTCCGCTCCGAGATCGCAGGTGAGTCACAGGTAGTAGGTCGCAGGTACCTGTGTGTTGATAAATTACGCGAAGTAGTCATTCTTGTTGGAACCATCAAAGCCTACCCCAACGTTTGGCGCTCGAAATAGTATTTGACTAGGTGCCCCTGATGTAAGGGAATGTCTTACAGCCTTGTAAGTAGCCGCCTATCGTGTTCTAGGTACGATTTGCTTTTAGTCTAAGCGGTCGAGAACGACAGATTGTAATCATTGTAATCATGTCCATCAGAGAAGCATACCTTACACGACAGGCGGGAGTCTGAGTCGGAGTGAGGTCCACAGTATCTACCACAAGCATATCTTGACGGGGACAACGCTACGGTCGAAAAGAGCCTACATTATCCATTTAGTTTAATCCACGTCAAGCAAGACCGTGTATACTATAACAGGCATGTAGAGGCTCAGAGTGATGCTCAAGAATTCCGTGCCTGATCGGGGCGATCTCCAAAAACCGCCCGCCCACGAAAAGCTTCGAAACGAACAATGAGGTGCGGTTTGGCAGACCCCCGCGGACCTACCTACCTACCTAACCTATCTGTCAGAGCACCTACTGTTGCAGTGGGCATTAATGCCCGAGTAGTGACTGCCATAATGTCTTGGTGTCTACAATCACCTATCTACCTACCCTCCCATATGCCCGTCCCGGCTCGTATCCTCCGGCGTTGGACTTCATTCACTTCAAGCTTTTTTCGCGCCAGCCGAATGGCTCGATCCAGATTCCAGGCCCTCGTAGGTTATAGAAATCCTACAGCTTTGATATCAACAGACCGTTCCGAGCGTGCGATTATACATCACTTCTAAACACAATCAGACCCAGAATCTCAGTTTGCATGAAGCGAGCTACGTCTCCAACCGTAACATACATAATGTTTGCAATATCACCGACGCAGTATCGGCATCGCTCTGATGGCGCCACCCCCGCCGGCACCACTCGTGCCGGTCGCGGGGGATTCTTTGCTTCTGCCCGCGCCCCTCCGCGGATTTGAAATCGACCGCCCCGCTGGGCGTCGCTCACTTGCTGCTGCGCCCAAGGCGAAACGCTCGATGTTCATCTGCTTGGTCGCGCCTGTCAACACTTTTGCTTTTGATGTCGGCTTGGTAGCATTGGTGGCGGAGACACGAGCTTTCGCTCGATCCGGTTTCCTAGGAGGGCGAGATGGAAGGTGTGACGTCAGTTTGGTGCTACGTAATTCGAGGCGCAGTGAACATGCGACGCTATGGGACATACGTTAGAGGTTCCTTGCTTGAAACAGCAGTCAATGTTCCACACGATGTAGACGCCATCGATTTCGACTTGCTCGGGCCCGCCGGAGCCCCCGGCCTTGCTCGGGCAGCGCGAGCGAGCGAGCAGACTTTTCGACACCCACTCTCAAGGTACCATTCGAAGAGCTCTTCGTTCTCGCAACCCGGGATCCTGTTGTGAGCAGAAACACCGAGTCAGCAGACGATCGAGGTAGTGCACAAGTAGCATAAGACTAACAATGCTAGTTCGGCGCGGCTGCAAGGTAGATTAGCGGCCACTCGCTGCAAAGCGTCGTCGCTAATGATTTGACTCTCTTCAGAGTCTTCAGCTAGAGCGGTCTGTGTCACGGAAAATATGACCCAAACGTTAGATTGTATAATCACTCGTCGAAAAAGCAGCGATCACTCACCTCAGCTCGAAGGTTGATTAACTGAGCAAGCACGGCGTCAATGTCCGACGCATAGGTAGCGCCGACGATGTGCTTGGGTGCCCAAGCGCTCGCTACCGGCGACGTAAGGTTTTGAATCTCGTCGTACATATTGGCGTCACGTCCAGCCCCAGGAGCATAATTGGCATAGTCGTCGCCGCTGTCCTCGTCTTCGAGATCGTCTACGAAATCGTTGCTGTACTTGGCGGCGATGGGTTTCTGAGCTTTGGCAGCGGTGGAAGTCGTCGTCGTCGTCGTAGCACGTTTGTGTGATGTCGAAGACATGCCCATCTCGAGTTTGCGCGAGCCGGACAACAGTTCGCGTGCCTTGGGTCCGACGGTGACGTAGGCATTCGTGAAGCCGAGGGCATTGCGCTCAAAGCGTTCACCGAGCGCCGATTCGGAAGCGAGTAGTTGGAACAGTCGTTCGACATCACCGCGGTCCATCTTGGCCCCTTTCCCGGCGTACGGCAGTTGGTCGTGACCTTTCGCCGTAATCTATGAAGACAGCCACCGTATCAGCACTGTGAGTCGTGTCTACCCGTCGTCTCCAAACTCACCTTTGCAATCTTACTCCCTCGAAAGACATCGATGGCATACAACATGGTCACGCCCTTCTCCCTCTCGATACTCTGAACGAGTCGAATCGCATCCTGTGCGATCTCAGTCACGTCTCTCTTCTCAACGTTGCGCGCGGCGAGGCAATTGTCGCACGTCTTGTGGCACATCTCGGCGGTGAAATCGTTGTCGCCAAAGTAGCGCAATACCTGCACGCGCCGGCAGTCCGTCTCATTCATGCAGTACTGGACGACGCGGCGCACGTTGGCGCGGTTATTCTCCTTTTGCTCGACCGTGCCTTCGCCTTCGTCGATCAGTCGGTTGATGAGCTTGGTGTCGCCATACGCGAAGAAGAGGATGCACGTCGACGTCACACCATCCCGACCGGCTCGACCCGTCTCCTGCTCGCCAGCACTCGCGGATACCATCAGTACCATTTTCGTGGAACACCGAGGTGATCGTGGGCTTACCTGATAGTAGGCCTCTAGACTTTGGGATAGCGAGTAATGGATGACGTATCGAACATCGGGTTTGTCGATGCCCATTCCGAATCTGCAACCAGTGCGCGAGGTTTTGAAGTTCGTCAGATAAGTTCTGGCAAAGATACGGACATGACTGAAACACTTACGCGATAGTGGCACAAATGACGTGAAACTCGTTGTGCTGCCACCCCTCTTGTATCCTGAGGCGGTCGTCTTTGTTCATACCCTGAGTGCAGCGCCGTCAAACACTAGAGTCAGCTTCCGCATTCCGAGCAGCGAGAACTGTGTGTACTTACAGCATGGTAATGCTGTGCCCCGATCTGATAGCGATTCCTCAACGTCTTGGCCGTATCCTCACATTGCTTCTTGCTCATACAATATATGATCCCACACTTGCCCGAGAAATTGGTCCGGATCAAAGTCGCAATATCATTGATAACGCCTTTACCCTTGGGTCGGACCTCGTAGCGCAGGTTCTTGCGATTGAAGGATTGCGTTAGGACTAGGGGTGATTGCATGCGTAGGTTGGACATGACGTCGTTCTTGACGCGGTCGTTCGCTGTAGCCGTCAGGGCGATCATTGGGACGCGCGGGAAGTCCTTCTTAAGGGAGCCCATCTCTTTGTAGTCCGGCCCTGTGATCACGCAAAGCCGCCGATGTAAGTTTGTAGCACGGCGATCGCTCACTTTGTATAAATGACTTACTGAAGTCGTGTCCCCATGAGCTGACGCAATGTGCTTCATCTATGACGAATCGCGCCAATTGCTCGCGGCGAGAGAGCTCGCGCAGCACGCTGCGAAAGGCGTCGCTCTTGACAATCTGGAAATCATGTCGTAAGATGGGAGCGTCAGCTTTGAGTTCAAACTCAACATTCTCCAGAAAGGTAATACTTGCCTGCTCAGGAGTGACATAGGCCAAACAGGCGAGCGGAGGGTCGGAGCGGATAGCGTCCATTGCAAACTTGCGATCGGCAGCCGCCATCGTCGAGTTGAGAAAGACGACCGGGATCTGAAAGGGGTGGAAGGACGCGGATCAGCACACACACAAATCTTACGGAGTGTAATTTGACACTCACGTCTTTTTCTATGAGCGCATTGGTCTGATCCGAGATCAAACTCAAAAGAGGGGAGACGACAATGGTAACACCTTTCGTCCTGCCCGTCGAAATGACCGCGGGCAGTTGGAAGCACAAACTCTTGCCCCCTCCTGTGGGCAGCAAGACAAATACGTCTTTTCCTGCTAGCGTCGCATTGATCGCTTCCTCTTGGTTTGCTCGGAACCCCGTCAGGCCAAAGCGTTGACGCAGAGCCTTGGCGACGTCACGGGACCACGGATGGTTCAACCTCGGAGCCACGATCGCTAGCGCCGGATCTACATCGCTTTTATCACCCGCCGGCGCTGCACGACCAGTTCGTCGACTAGTGGTGGACTCGACGAACAGCATGTCATCATCGTCATCAAGCGTCAACGGCTCGTCGAAGTTGATTCCCGCGAAGTCGTCTTCGATCACGATCGTCTTGCTTGTCGAAGCGATCGATCCGCCAGGGGCGGGCTGTAGATTGAGGCGAGAAGTGGGAGCGACGCGACCGGGGGCTGGTGCAGGTGGCTTGTACGGTCCAGCAAGACTATCACCAGCTGGTTGGCCTTGAATGGAAGGGGGCTTTGTTACAGCGTCCGAAGAAAGAGGGGCTGACGGGAGGACGAGTATGGGGCGGGATACAGACGCAGTCGTCGGGGTCGGCATCGCGGCGGGGGCGGGGGCGGGGACAGGGGCAATGTTCGTGGCTGGGTTCGGAGCAGGCCTGAAAGAGGTGACCTTGGCTGCCGCAGGTCGAGGAGCATGAATCTTGGAGGTCGCACTGTTGAGGGAGCTACACGATCCACTACTGTTGGGCATGGATGGGCCCGACACGACGTCCGTCCCGACTGATAGCCGCGGCTGGGGCTGCGGTGGAGGCGGCTGCACGATCGTAGGGTCTGATAGAGATAGAGATGGGAGCGGTGTGGTCGAAACATTGGGAACCACTTCGATTCCTGACCGTGCAGAAGCTCTTGTGGAACGAGCTGCATCGGTTGAATGGTTCGAACTCGTCCCGAGGGTGGTGGGCGCCGGCGAAGCGACAGCCCTCGGCGTCGTCACTCCCGTCACCCCAGCTTGGGCTCGTAGATCATTAATGCGGCTGTTGACGTAGACGAGCTGGTGTTCGACGAAGCCTCGATCGCTACCTGTCACACTGACCCCCATCGCGTTCGTACGAATGTCGATCAGCTCATTGAGCAAACTCGCGCGCTTCTCCAGCATCAGCTGCAGCTGCGACAACGATCTCCCGCGAGCGAGCAACGTCGCACGCTGTTCCTGCGTCTTTTCGGCGACATAGTTGAGGTTGTTGCGTAGCATCGGCTCGTCCGAGCCCGACTCGGTGAAGGTCGCCCCCGAATTGAGCAGCTCGAGGCACTCCTCAAGAAGTGCGATGCGTCGGTTCGTGAGGCGCACGAGATCGCGTTCGACAATCTCGAAGACTGGCTCATTCGAGACCGAGGTGACGGGTGCTGCTCCCGAAGAGGATCCAGGGGCCATCTTGGCGCGTTCAGCCTTTGTCGCGGCTTCGACGAGTCGATGCCGATGCGCCTTCTCGCTCGCCGTCGATGGCGTCGGGATGTCGGCTTCGGACGTCAACGGCTCGCATTCCTCGCCCTCGGAATCACAGATGATGGGCTCATCGAACGTCGGCGTCGGTGCAACGAGCTCGAAGCCGTGCATCTGCAGCTGCGTCTCGTGGTTCGTGCGATCGCCGGCGCCGTAGCCCGAATCGAGCGACGCGCGGGACCTTTTCGATGCCGACGGTCGAAAGGGGTCATGGTTCTCGTCGGCGGGTTGGATCTCGTCCGATTCGAGCTGAAGCTGGGCTGGATCATTTTGCGATCGCTTCTCACCCCTCGACGAGCGTTGTCGAGAAGGTGGAGGGGGAGATGATAATCGGGAGGGTGTCGCGGTCATGCCAACCTTGGAACTCGTTGACGGTCTTGGGGCCGGTGGTGGTGGTGCCGGCGTCGCCACCCCGTCGTTACCTGGCGCCGGCGCTGCGGATGGACGCGAGGCGACGAAGTGAGGCGAGGCGGTGGAATGGGCGGTGTGTGAGGAGTTCGACGACTTGTGTCGCCCCAGTATTATGGGGGGCAAAGAAGCATGCACCGTCTTGGCCTGAGGCGTAGAGGAAGACGTTGTCGAGGTTGACGTGATCACGTGAGCTCGACCGTGGCTCGTCGCGACGGGTTCGTCGAGTGGCTGTGCGTGAGCTCGCTTGCTGATCGACGCGACTGTGCACAGAGTCAAGAGTGGGTATGGGATGAGTGGTGGAAGCCAAAAAGGCGTGGACGTGGGTCGCACGGCTGATCGAGGCTCTACCTCTGCCGCAGCTGGGGGGCCCAACGATGAACCGACCTGGGTTGTTGTGGTAGCACGCCGCGGCGGTACTGGAAGCAGGCTCAGGCTCAGGCTTGACCAACCAATTCGTCGTGGTAGAGGGTGTGGCACGTGCCTTGCCCTTGGGATCGACGACGATGGCTGCTGCAGTGGCGGCAGCGCTCTTGTGCACCCGACTTGTTTGGCCACCACTTCTCGCGCTGGTCGTGGTCGTGGTCGTGGTCGTGGTCGTACGCGAGTCAGCTCGAGCCAGCTGGGCAGGCGGGGTTAGCGTGTGGGATGATGCCTTGGTGAGTGGAGCCGTTGGTGCTGAAGTACCGGCCGCAGGTGCGAACCTGAATCTCGATGATGAGGCCATGGATTTGCACCGAGTCCGCGAACCGGAGGGGTGGTGCCAGTGGAGAAGGTCAAGATCACGTAGGCCCGACGCGCGCGCGCGATCATGATGCATGATACTCGACCTCAAAACTTAAAGCTCAGTTGAAGCTCTGAGACTCCGAGTCTCCGAATTGAGATTGCGCCGGTTTGTCCCCAACAAAGTTCAGCAGTAGGTCAGTCTTCCCGTTGCATTGGGTGACAAAACGTGACAACTGATTCAGAGTACAATGCCACGAGTGATTACACGTGCAGAGTGCTCACGTGTCTAAGTCTTGTTGAAGTTGGTCATCTGTGCATCGTTAGCGCGGGTGACGTGATGTCAAACGGGACTGAGAATTTGCCAATACAAGACGAGCTTTTGGCTGTCTGTAACCTCGAGCCAAGCTAGTCAGTGCAAGCAGGCGCCAATCAAGCCATCATCGCACTGCCATTGCGCGCGCGCGCTTGCACGGCAGTCAGGGCACTGTCAGCCTCTGTCAGCACTGTCAGGGCTGCGCACGGACGCTCGCTGACGCTCGCTGCAGCTCGCTGCTGCCGCCCAGCCAGTTGGGCTCCTCTGCTCGGGTTGCCCTCCGCCGTCCCCCTTGCCCCACTCGGTTTATAAAGTCACCGACCGACAGCAGGCCTTACTTTCGCATTGCCTCCGGATCTCTGCACGGTGATCCCTTGCCTCCGTCACTGCCCACCCAGCGACTCACGGGCATCGACGTTTGGACGTGACTCCCCGACCCCGTGCAGTGCCGGCCATCGACTGCCGACCACAACAAGCTCACCAGCTCCAGTTTCTGGCAGCCCGCGGCAGCACGCGCGGCAGCCCCCGTGACCGCCGCGGACTTTCCGATCCGAACCAGCCAAGCGCTCCGCAAGCCAGTCGGCAGCAAAGCGTTCCCCCGCCTACGTCGTCCTCTACGCCCACCGACGTTGACGGTGCTGCGACCATGTCGGGCAACATGCCAGGAGCGTTGCCGTCGTCGGCGTCGCAGCATTCCAACTCGTCCAGCCAGAGCAAGCCGGCGCCTCTCTCGCTCGAACAGAGTCGCCAAGTCGCTCGCACCCACTTTGACGCGCTCAAGGGGTGGTTGCAGCGGCAGGGCGCTCTTGCCAACGCATGGACCAGATCGTATGTCCTATGTCCCTGCCCTCCCTGGGCTGAGATGTTTCCTGCCCTCTCGGCCGAACTGACGCATGCCCCCACTCGCTCCGGCTCTCCTTTGACCTCACCATCCCATTCCACCAGCAATGCCCGCGAGAAGTTGACTCGCTTGACTCGACAGCAGTTCCAGGAATTATCGACCGACGTCTACGATGAACTCGTCCGTAGATCCGACGAAGGCGCAGGTCAGTCGATGAGCAAGTCCCGGGCTGCCTCGAAAGTCGAACTGACGCGGGCGACTTCGGATTGGGGACACCTTTCGGCTTCTCATCCCAATCTCTCCAGATCCGTTCCTTGCCGTTCGCAACGACTTTCACCCCAAGCGGAATCAAGCACGACAAAAACTCGCAACTCTACCCCTCCAAAGGTTCAAGGACCTCGCCAGTGACGTCTACTATGAGCTCGATCGGCGATATCCCGAATTCAACGAGGACTCCGTGAGTGGGCCGGTGACAGGCAGCGTTGCAGACCCAGACTGACCCTTTCCCCGTTTCAACAGCCATCGCAGCCGTCTTCAAGTGGTGGCTCCCATCTCCCTCGATCCGACTCGGTCTCCCGCTCCACGAGCGCTGCCAGTTCGTCGGCCCCACTCCAAGGGACCTCGCCCATTCCCCCCACCCCGACCAACCTCGCGCAACAACGACGTGCACCCACACCACTCGGTCTCAGTCAAAACTCGTCCAACGACGTCGTTGTCCCCAACAAGAGCACACTCGTCATCGAGGAATCGGCCAAATCACCCGCGCTCGGAGGCAGCAACCAACTCGAATCCTCCACCCCCTCCTCTGCTTTTGGTAGCTTGACACAACATGCTTCGGCCCAAATCTCGAGCGTCGCTTCCGTCCCTGGTGCGAGCCCCTCATTCTCGAGTGGGGCCCGGATGGTACCCAATGATTATGGCCAGGATGCGAATCGGCAACAGAGCCCGCCGAATAGACCTGGGCATGCGGCACAGGCGAGCGAAGCGTCGTCGGTAGGGACGAGATTCATCGGAGGCTACGGAACCAGTTCGAGCAACGACTCTTCCAATCGACGCAACAGCGTGAGTTTCTGAGGTGGATGGTACATCTAGGGGACGAGCTTAACTGACGCTTTTCGGACATGCAGTGGGACCACGAAGCGAAGGAGAAGCTCAAGGCGGACTACGAGTACAAGCTCACGATGCTGCAAAGCCGGATCGGCGAACTCGAACGCGAAGTCGATGGGGCAAGAGGTGATCTCAAGGTGCGGAGGCATTCTGCCTGTGAAGTCTCTACCGAAATCACAATCCCTGATCACCATCATCTTTGGAAACCCAACAGACACGAAGCATCGAACAGGCCCGATTACGCGATCTCGAGGATCAGCTCCGAAGCCACCGAGATCGGAATGAGTCCCAGTCCCTTGACATTCGAAATTTACGTTCGGAGCTCGATCGGCTGAGCAACGAAGCGGCCACGCAGGCGCGCGGCGACCATGACCGTGCGGCCTCTGATGACCTGGCGAACGAGTTGAGGGCCGAGGTTGGCTCCCTCGTAGATGAACTAAGGGAGGTGAATGCCAAATACGAGGATGCGGTCGAGGGGTTGAACAGGGAACGACAGGCGAGGGAAAAGGTCGAGGACGATGCGAGGATGTGGAAGAAGAAGTATGAGCAGACCAAGACGGAGCTCAGGAACTTGAAAGGTGCGATTGCCGCCCGTTGCCGCTGGCCGCTGCGTGATGAAACTTGCTGATTCTCTGATACTCCTCATATAGCCACCTCGCAACTGTTCACGGCGACAATCAAAGTCGACAACGACAGCTTCATGCCGGCCTCGCCCGATGGATTGCTGGCCGACGTCCACATCTCCGAGTTCCAAACATCCATTGACGATCTGCTCGACGCTGCCCGTTCGAAAGAGCCTTCTTCAGTGCTCACCGCCGCAAGAGCTATCGTTGCCGCGGTTGAGAAGATCGACAGCGATGTGCAGGCGATCGACCCGCGACGGATCTCGGCCTTGCCTCCTAGCGAGCAGGACGCTCTGGCGCAGACCAAGGACAACATTGGCGCAACTTTATCGAACTTGATGACGGCGAGCAAGAATCATGCGATGTCATTTGGCGTCTCGCCCGTCTCCCTCGTTGATGCCGCGGCCTCGCACGTTTCGACGAGCGTCGTCGAGCTGGTGAGGATTCTCAAGATTCGACGAACGGTCAGTGGTTCTTCGGGTGGCCGAGGCCTCCCTTCCTCGTCGTCAAACGTCACCAGAGGCGCAGCAGGCGGCTTCGAGCCGATGCCGAGTCTGAGTGAATCACCGGACGTCTCGAACGCCCCTCCCCCACCGGCGAAACAGAATGGTGGAACGACTGTCGGCTCGTCCTGGACGGGCGGCATGAACAGCGTCAAGAACGTCTTGGGCAACTTTTCGTTGAACCGTGCGGCCTCGACGACACAACAGCAGCAGCAACAGCAAGCGCCGGCGCCGGCGAGCTCGGCCGCTCCGGAGCGAGATTCGAGAGAAGGGGGGATGTTGCCTTCGTCTTCGTCTTTGGGGTCGCTTAGCTTTGCTCGAACGCCGCCACCCGCATCTTCGCATGGCTTTGGAGGGAAAGCCGAGCCGAATTCGTGGGAACAACAGATCGTACGGGGTGGGGCGCCGTCGGCTTCGTCTTCGGACTATCGACAACGCGACCCTCAGACGGCATCACCGACCTATGGGGGCACCTCGAACGCGCCGATGCCGAATGCGTACGGTCAACCCTCGCAACACGACGATCGATTCGCCTCGCCACAACCAACGGCTTACAACGGCAGCGACCTCGTCTCCCCCAACAGCGACTACGGGGGAGGGTGTCGGGACTTTAGGGACGATAGTGCGCATCAGCAGCAACAACATGGGAGGGGGAGCTACGATGCGCGCGACTCGTACGGTGATCAGATGGGGCAGTTTCGACAGGGGCATGAGGAGCGGGTCGATCAGCATGAGGAGGAACGGTTGGAGAACAATACGGATGAACTTAAGGCGAGTTCATAGATGTGCGACAGAAGTTTCCTTGAAGTGAATGCTGACGCTGCATTGGGTTACACCCAGAACTACATCGAGAACCAAACCGAGGCGATTGTGCACTCGATTCAATCCCTCCTCGGCGCGATCCGTGGCGGAGCCCAAGCGGAACAACTGAACGAGAACCTCACCCAAATCATCACCATCGTATCCTCGATCGTCGCCATATCCCGTGACGCACTGCCCCTACATTCCCGACCGGAGAGCGAAGGTATTCTCCAAGACCTGGCGGAGAATTGCGACAAATTGAGTGAGATGCAGAGTCTGGCTGCTTCGGGTGGGGGACCGAGTTCGACCGCGTTCAATAAGCAGACCAAGCAGAGCATGGCGAGTGCTTCGTTTGGGGTCGCCAAGAGTTTGAAGCAATTGAATGGGTTGTTGGCGACGAGGGATGACGAGGAGAATCTGTTATGATCGGAATGACTTTTTATGGGGGGCTCTTTTGGTGGGCCGTATGCTGACCTTGTTCAAATCCGTGGCTCATCTTGACGAAACGTAACATTTATGCTTGTAACCATGAATTTTTCACATGCTTTGTGTTACACTCCCATTCAGTTTGAATAAGGAGAGGGGAGGGCTGGGGAGGGTGACGACTTGCTACCGAAGAGGTCGAGTTCGGGCAACCCGCTGCCTGACTTGCTACCGTTCTCGTCGATTCGCCAGACCGGCTAACGGCATGTCGATGAGGCGCCGCAGACGACACTCGTTCCCCGGTAATGCAGGTATCTCACCAATCACTGTGGACGGGCTTCCCCATGGGTTGCTTCACTCGTCATCTGCTGCAGGTGGCTTAAACGGGCATGCCATAAGCGGCATTCGGTGTCATTCCACCGGTGCCACCTCCGGCGGTGCCACTGCATCCTCACCTGCAGTCGCTACGATCGACAGCGAAGGCAGAGCTCCGAGAAAAGTCACCACAACACCTTGGGTGTGCCACATATGGTCAGTCTCCAGCGTGGTCTCGTTGTACTGTGCGCTGTCACGTCGCTGATTCCTGAATCACGTGCATGTTTGGGGACCCGACAGCCTCGATGATGTTAGCTCGCCCGTCGTCACCCCGTGTGGCCATCTCTTTTGCTGGGAGCATCTGCACGAGGTCAGACTATTCGCTCTCCCTGAAGCTTTGGAATGATCATCTCCTAATGCTAGTCTACCCCATCGATGTGCTTCAACTCCTAGTGGTTCACGGTCGCTTCCGGTATCACTCGTGCCCAATGCCCCGTCTGCAAAGCCCCTGCATCGGCTTCGTCCGTCATACCTATCTATAGTGTCGACGGACAAGACGAGGACCCTAGGTGCGCTCCATCGGTCTCCTCTTCCACCCTCGTTGCTCACGTCATTGACTCGGGGAAGCTCCTATCATGGCTCCACTTCGCACCTCCGGACACAATCTTCGTCCTACTCAACAGAGAAAAGCCCATCCCACCAAGACCACGACCAGCCCATTCCTCAACAACAAATACGAGCGCTTCTACCTCGTCCTCATTCCATAGCTTCACCTTCGACGCTGGCATTTTCGGTGCCTTACCCGGTTTCTCTATGGCTTGGAATTGGTCCAACGATGGCCCAGGTTGGGTTCAAGCCCCTCACGGTATGAGAAGAGGCGGCGTCCATGGAGCCGGCGCTTTACAGGAAGAGAGTTTCTTGAGGAATGCGTTTTCAAGAGTCAGTTCGGACCCGATACCAAGATCAGGGCTATACCTTCAGGGACTGATAGAGGTTGTCGGGGCGGTCTGACACCAGATTTTCATCTTCTTGTTTTTTGCTTTCTTCGGTAAGTCTGTGGCTCTGAACTTGTCGTCGAAGATGAACTAGGCAATTGACTCACCATACGATCGACTCAGTCGCAATAACTTTTTCGGCATGATGTGTACCGCTCGGACTTTGGACTGGTGTTCGCTCTTTTCGTACTCACAGTTTCTTAAGTTGTTGGCGTTGTCATTCTTTTGATGTATACACCCGCAATTGCAATAAAAGCGCTTCCTTTGTACATCGACTCACCATGAAAACGACTTGCTATAGAGTGAGTTGGAGCGCAAGGAGCAATAACAAACAGTACACACGGGAAAGCGTTGCAAGGAATGAATGATGTCACGTGAGATCTCGAGGAAAAAAATGTACGACAACATATAAACAAGGTATATCCTTCTCAAATTCAAGAATAACTCGACTCCTTTCTCCACACTGGTAAGTCACCGTCCGTAAGGCATAGCCGATCATCGTCTCATCCCACTCGTTGCGCCGCCCGATGCCACAGCCGGAGCTTTGGCTTGCAACAACCTCTCCTTCAAAGCCTTAAGCTTCCGTCGTTCAGCCTCCTGTACACCAAACACATGCACTTCGATCAGCCAACCATTCCCTCCCCACCCTCAAAACAGCTACCCAGAACTCACCTCCTCCTCCTTCCTGGCCATCTCCTTCTTCCTCCTCACCTCCTCCTCCCTCAACTTTTGCCGTTCGCTCCATCCCAAGCGATCGAGGTTAGAGGCTTTGTTCAACGCCAGCGCGACTTCACTTTGCGCTTGAAGAGAGGAGGGGTTGTGGATAGCTATCGAGTTGAATGGGGCGGGACGTTGACGATTGAGCGAGGTGAAGGTGAAAGGTTTGGGCTGGGTGGAGGTGGAGGTGGAGGTGGACTTGAAAGGGGCGGTAGCCGCGGCGGAGGTGGTGGAGGGCAGGTTCTGTGAAGAGAAGGTGGAGAATGAGTCACCAGTCGTCGGCACATTGAATGCTTCCGACCTTTACCTGTCTGGATTTCGTACCCAACACCCCACCATCAACGGACGAAGCGCCCGTGTCCAACTTGGATCTCTTGTTTCCCCTCTCACCCCCCCTCGCCGAACTACCCCTTTTCACCCCCCCTCGGACCCCTTCACCAATCTCCGCTTCCAAACCCAAAGCCATCCGTTCCTTCTTCTCCTTCCTCAACCGCTCTCTCTCCTCCGCCCTCGCTCCAAAAGTATTCTGCATCGGGACAGTCAGATCCCCAATCTTAGCTGGAAGACGAGGGCGTTCGATTTCGGGCGGAGCCAGCCCTTGCTGGCCTTCGGTCTCTTCATGTATGGGTCCACAAGGATCGAAGAGACGGATCGTTGTTAGAACCGACTGCGCTGTCGGTGGATCTCGCGTATAAGTGTAGTTGAGTCGGAGGGTGGTCTTGGGTGGAGCGACCTCGGTAGCTCGTGTGGTAGGAATTGAGGGTATAGGCGTCCGAGTGGAGACTTTTGTCGACGTGGAGGCTTTGGGCCAGGGGTGCGAGATGGTCGTCAAAGCTCGTCGAGACGCCGTTGTAGTCGCTGGGATCGGCTCTTGTACTTGGGGGCGTGGAGCCGCCACCGCGGGAGGATGATGTCCCACTTCGAACGCCCTTGAAGCTCTTCGTCTTTGCGGAAGCGAAGGATCTCGTGGTACCGAACTTGAGCTCGCGACAGGAGGTGGGAGCGGCGCTTTGGGAGGCGGAGGAAGTGCTCGGTCCGTGGAGGATGTTTTGACCTCTTTGACTGCCGTAACGGATTGGGAACCGAAGGGAGACTGCACTCGGTACCTCTCCGGCAAGATCGGTCTCATCATCCCTCCATCCCGTTCCTCCTCCTGCTCCTGCTCCAAGACCTCTGGTACCACCTTTCTCAGCCCCGCTGACCGTGCCGCTCCCGCTGCCGCGACGACACTAGCCCTCCTTCCCACCCCACTCAGCACTCCCGCTTTAGCAGGCGTGCTCGTCGTCATCCTTCTCCCAGTCTTTGCTGTTCGGTCGTTGCCTCTATTATGACGTTCAAAGTCCTTCAACGACTCCCCGATCCTCGGTAATGACCCATCTGCATCCAGCGCCTCGTATCGATCGTCGTTGCCTCCCTCTACGTCCATCTCTAGTTCGAAGAGGTCCTCTTCCCCATCCTGATTCATCGCGTCCTCCCTCTGCTCCTCCATAAGCTTAAATAAACACGCTGGCGGTGGTGATGATCTATAAGGTGTCGGTAACGTAGTCTCAAACGACTCCAACCGATCCTCCCTTTGAGGACTTTGCGCTTCCTCATCGGAGACTTCGGCCAATGGAGCGAGGTAATCGCCGATAGGGAGGGATCTTGGGAGAGGAGGTGGGGGTGGTGGTGGCGCGAGTGGAGGTGCAGGTAGAGCCAATTTCGTGATCGGTGAGACCGAGGCGGAGGAACGTTGTGTTGATACCAAAGGGAAGAGCTTTCGTTCGGCTTCGGCCTTGGCTTCGGAGGACCTGGAAAGGGTCGGCTCGGAAGACGTTGGCCTCGAGCGAGAACGTTCCCGGGCTCGGGGTATCGGAATGAGGGTGGCTTCGATCACTCTTGGATGACTAGGGTGATCTTTGGGTAGGATATGCGCCGGTTTCACGGGCCGAACTGAAGCAGCAGTTGTCGCGAGGATCGAGGGCAAGGCCGATGTGGAGGAAGCTGAAGTCGAAGGCTTGGATTTCGTAGAAGCCCTAGCGGGTTGCGCAACTACATCATTTTCGTTCAATGCGGGCAAGGGAACGACCGCGTTGCGTTTCAGGATGGGCGAAATGGACGATCGCCGTCGGTTCGTAGGGAGGGATCGGTCGAGGAGGCGCGTGTCGATCGGTGATTCTGAGGTGCTAAGTGTTAGTTCAACGAAATATCTCCTTCAGTTGTGAATGACTCACCCTGTGAAGCTGTGCGCAATGGTTGCGGCTGTTGGGCGATGTGTTCCTCTAAGGCTTCGGTCGGGGCAGCTTCAATAGGGGCCACTCGATTCGCAGTCGCTCCCTGGCTCGTCGCCTCGCGTTCCTCCACGTGCCGTTGTTCCCGCGTACCCGCCTCTGGAACCTGCCTTGTATCATCCGGATCCATGTTATTATCCTCCCTTTCGCGTACGACCATGGTAAATTCTTCGTCGTGGTGCAAGAAGCTCATCTGCGCGTCGTTCAACATGGACGAACCCTCGTCGAACAGATTGGAAGACATCATCATCCTCGTCGGGGCGCCTTCACCGGGATGGGAGGCGTGGCTCGACTGGACGAGGAGTTGATCGAAATCGAGGAGGGATTCGTCCATGAGGTCGGTGGTGGTGTGGGAGGAAAGTGGATGCGACGCGGAGGCGGAGACGGATGTAGAGGCTTGTGGGGGCCGTTCGGAAGTCAAGTTGGTTGATGAGGTGGTAGGAAACCGGGGAAGGAGTGATGCGCTGCCACTTGAGATGTGAGGTCTTCGTGCCTTTGGCGGTCTATGGGAGAGCATTGCGGAAGCCATGTTGGGTGCGAGCCAGGCCTCGGCCACGTACGGGTGAGGAAGCGAGAGACCAAGCCGAGCGCGAACTAGCGCGAAGGTTGAAGTGGGAGGGACAGGCAAAGTGCATACACCCAGCTCGAGCTCGGCCTGTTTGCGGAGCTCTTCAGAAATCAGAATATACCAGACCGACGCGAGTGAGCGCAGAACGACATTGTCATCTTCTTTTCCAGAGAATGATAAAGTGAATCAATCACCAGTGACTGAATGTTGTCCATCATGTTGAAAGTTTCTGGCGATCAACGCGTCGACGCCGTCGAGTGATCGACTATGAGACGAGGTTATAATTATCAGTCAGGACGAGTCGGCGCGTGAGAGCGCGTGACTAGTCGACCGTCCTCAGTCTCACCGTCAGACGTCAGGCCTCTCAGGGTCTGCTCTGTCAGCGGGAACCTTTGTCGCCTGAAGGCTGACGGGAGTTGGGATTTGACCCAAGAGGGGACGGGCTATTCGCTCCACCGAGTCGACCTTACCGAGATACCCCGTTTGTACCGTGATTCGTTCTTCTCTGCTCATCTCGCACCTCTCCACCTCCCACCAAGAAGGGGCGTTTTCAGGCCGGGCCTCTCGAACAAGATGGACGCCCAACTAGAAGCGAAGCGACACGAGATCGCGACGACCCGACTCGAGGCGCTCGCTGCTGCCCGAACGGTCGGCTCGCAACTGCCCCTGACGTCTTCGACTTGCGATCCCTCGCTCATCATCGAAGCCCTGCGCACGACCAACCAATTCCGTCATGTCGCCATCGCCCTGGCGAACGAGATGCAGTCCCCGCTCGATGGCGAGTTCGAGTTCGAGCTCACGGACGACCACCGCGTGTTCCTCGCCGAGGTCGTCAAGGTGCTGCAGCATCCTCAGGCCCAGCAACGCTTCGATCTGCTCGACCTGCATTGGGGAGCACTCTTGATTGAAGCCTGCACCATGGCCGAAGCTGCGAAACACAAGAAGGGCGCGGGCAGCGTGCGACTGCCTCCCCTACTGGTCGTCGAGCCAACCATTTCCACGTCGCCTTTCTCCGAGGAAAACGAGATTCGCCGCGGCTATGCTGCCTTGTTCCAGCTCGATAAGACCGCTGTCAAGAAGGGTGACGTACGAACGATCGATGCCATCGCGGCGCCCCTCGCCACCGCTACCGAGGCTTGGATGCGTGCGGTCATCCCCATCGCCTCCGAGATGTGCTCATTTTTCGAATCCGTGAGTACTCGACCAGAGAACATCGCTGCAGGGTCTCATACGCAGCCAGCGATGAATTTTGACTACACACGCTCAATACTCGACGTCCTTTCAGTCTACCCGCAGCAGAAACAATTCAAAGACGTCCTTGCCGACCCCGACTCGTTCCCCCGCTTCAGTGCCAGCCAAGCCAGCCGATCCATCGACGCCGTCGCGAAAACGCGCCGTTCGCAGTGTTGCTGAGAATGCCCTTGTTGAGACGACAAATGGGATGGAAGTAGATGAAGCAGCCGGACCTCGTTCGGCCAAATCTCCGCAGCAGGACGTAGTACACCATCCTGTTCAAACACGATCGCCTTCGGTGCACGACAGCGCGCTTCCTCGAGAAACCGGGCACGAGCCCCGCGTGGAGCACGCCGACGACGAGGTCGAGGAAGGCGAAATTGAGGAGGACTTGTTGCCCAGTACGCAGCCACCTCTACCACCGGCCCGCTCAAGAATACTCAGTCGACTGCAGGCTGCTGCACAACAGCAGGCCGCAAAATTTGAAGCGTCAGCGTCAACCTCAAGCCAGACTAACGACGCAGCGTCACTTTCCGCTGGCCGCGTATTGACCGCCCGAACTCTAACTCAGGACCCGAATATCTCAACGCTCTCTGAGCATCCGATGAAAGGGGTGACAAACGATCTCAAACGCTCTGATCCCCCAGCCTCACCCAAAGTCTCGAAAAGAATCGTTGTTTCCCCGCCGAAACGACCCTCTACTGTACCACAACGCATCGTGGAAGAGAAAGATGCTTCCCTCGAGCAATACAGTAGTGGCTCCAACGGTACCTCTGGCTCGAGTTATACGTCCCAACCACCGCCGCCTGCTCAAACCTTCCACACCCCATCCGTGTCGACCGCATCTTCGACTGCTGCGTATATCTCCACGGCGGATGGCACCACGTCCCCACTCGACTCCACTTCCCTTGTCCTTAATACGCAATCAACGGTTTCGTCCTTCGCCTCGGACAAACGCAAGGATAGTCAGTCCCAGCCGACGCAGTCGAGCAACAAGGATGGTCGGTCGCAGTCGAGCACGCAGAACACCGACTCGCTCGAATACGTCGATGACGTCGCGGCGCATAAGAGGAAGTTCGAGGAGCAGCAGAGTTTGAAAGCGGCTGCTGAAGCGAAACAGGTTGCAGCTTCGCCGATGAAGGAGGCAGCAAGTGTGCGAACTGAAGGCAACAATGGCAAACCCGATGCTATGGACCATGACGCGGTCCAAGGTCTGGAGATAGATGACATGGTGTCAGATGACGATGATAGCGTATCGTCTCACTTAATGCCGCACAGACGATTTGAGGAATTGGAGGAAGAGGCGACCCAAGGTCCTGAAGACGATGAGACGATGGGCGAGATCTTGAGCACTCGCGTGAGCCCCTTCTTTTGAGTAGGATGAGCCCTATCGGAATCACATGTTGTCATCATGCACTCATAATTTTGAACGAACTGTCGTTTCTGTGAGAACTGCGAAGGAGCCTGCATTGCGAGCGACAGAGAAAAGAAGAAGAAAGCGGAACAAAAAGACTAAAAACCGAACGACCACCTCTATGCTCCCTTGACGAGACTGATGAATTTGCGGATCTTGTCAAAGTCCTTTTCTCCGTTCGTCTCGACACCACCACTGATATCGACGGCCCAAGGTTGGACCTGCTGCAAGCCCGAAACGACGTTGACGCAATCGAGACCACCGGCGAGGATGATGGGGAGACGGGCATGGCCTTCGCCGCGACTTTCGACCAAACGCTTGGCGACGGACCAGTCGAACGTCTTGCCTGCTCCTCCACTCAATGCGTTCTCGCCTTTACCGATCTTGGTATCGAGGAGAGGGACGGCATGGTAGCCTGCACGAGTGGCGTCGCGCAAGTGAACTGACTCGAGTCCGTCCTTGCCTGATTCGACTTGGGCATCGACGTGGAACCCCTTGAAGGTGGGGACGTTGAGCAAGCGAGTCCATCCGATGGGTTCGTTGCCATGCAATTGCACGACGTCGAGTTGGAGCGCATCAATCGTCGTCAACAAGGTCTCGAGCGAGGCGTTTTGGAACACACCGACGATCAGCGGCTTGCGGGGGTGCGACGCGAGGCGAGCGGCTTGGAAGGAGAACCAGTCGTTCGATGGGGCCAATGGTGTCGACGAGGGAGGACCACTCAAGGGGCGCGAACGAACGGCGTCGACGATCTTCTTGGCCTGGTCGATCGAAACCTTGCGTCTGCTCGCCTCGACAAAGACGAGACCTAAGAAGTCGGCGCCTGCCTCGGCAGCGACGAGAGCAGCTTCGGGCGTCTTGAGACCGCAAATCTTGACCAACGTCTTGGAGGACGAACTCGTAGCGGCAGAAACAGCCGCTTGAGCGGTGGCTTCAGTCGCAGCGGCCACAGGTTCGCCCACGGGAGCTGGCTGAGGCAGACCCAAGAGCTCACGAACGAACGCGCCCTTGTTTTTCGCCTTCATCAAAGACTCGCCGACAAGGACCGCACCGACGCCCTGCTGCATGTAGTTCACCACGTCCTTTCGACCCGTGATACCGCTGAGTGCGATGAGAATGACGTCCTTGCCTCCCTCTTGCTCACGAATGACATCGGCGATACGCGACGTGGTGCCCATGTCGACCTCAAAGTCGTGTAGGTTGCGGTTGTTGACGCCGATGACCTTGGAGCCGATCTTGAGCGCACGCACGAGCTCTTCGGTGTTGTTGACTTCGACCAAAGGTTCCATGCCGCGCGAGAGTGAGTGCTGGTACAGTTCGACAAGCTTTTCGTCCGTGAGCATCGCAACAATGAGCAAGATGGTGTCGGCACCGTACACACGCGCTTCGTCGATTTGGTACGTGTCAAGGATGAAGTCCTTGCGCAGGATGGCTGGTCGGTTCGGGAGACTGTCGACCGCAGCCCGCACGGCTCGCATGTCCTCGAGCGAGCCTTTGAACCACTTGGGCTCGGTTAGAACGGAGACCGCAGAAGCACCGGCAAAGGCGTACGACAAGGCAATCGACGGCGAGGAAGGGGAAGAGCCATCGACGAAGTCACCTTTGGAAGGCGAAGCACGCTTGACCTCGGCGAGAAGAGCAACGTGCGGGGCACCACCGGAGGTAGAAGAGGCCGCGCTGGCCTGTAGTCGCTGGTGGAAGGAGATGAGAGGAGGGGCGACGTGCAGGTTGATAAGGGAAGCGAGATCGGCTGGCTTGAACCCGGGCGTGGCCTTGGCCTTGGCAACGTCGATCGCACGTTGGTTCTCGATCTTTTGCAGAATCGTCGGCAGCGCAGCAGGGGATGGAATCGCGATCGCTTCGGAAGACCTGGTTGTACCGCTTGCCGCGGACGTGCCGGCGGCTTCGTACCCGGGGTTGCCGGACCACTCGCCGCTGGTCCAGCTCAAAAAGTTGGCGAGCATGAGTTTGCCTTGCTCGGACAGGATGCTCTCGGGGTGGTACTGAAGGGACTCGATGGCGTAGCGTCGGTGACGCAAACCCATGACAATGCCTGACTCGGTGCGGCTGGTGACTTCGAGTACCTCGGGAAGACTGTCGAGCTTGGCCGCGAGGGAGTGGTATCGTGTTGCTTGGACGGACTGGTCGACGTCCTTGAAGAGACCCTTGCCGTCGTGATTGACGGCGCTCGTCTTGCCGTGCACGACTTCGCCAGCCTTGTCGACCTCACCACCGTACGCTGCGTACATGCACTGCAAACCCATGCAGATGCCGAGGATGGGGATCTTGCCCGCATAGGCCTTGATCGCAGGAATCGAGATGCCGCTGTCGCGAAGTGGGTGGCCGGGACCAGGGGAGATGATCAGGTGCGTGAGCTTGGGGTGTCGCTCGGCGAGTTGTTCGAGAGTGATGGCTTCGGATCGGATGACGGTGACGTTGGCGCCCAAGAGGCACAGGTACTGGTACTGCAGTTTGGTAAAGACAGGGGCATCACGATGAGTCAATTTTGGGTCTGCGAAGAGCGCGAAGGACGTCGGAGAGAGGATATGCAAGATTTACAAGATTCCACGTGAAACTAGGCACGTAGCAGAAGAGATGATGATGGTCAGTAAGTGAGACTTGAGACGACGGACAGAACGGACGCAGCGATCAGGAGGTGGGGCAGGGGTGTTCGCCGTCCCAAAGCTCGGACCGCCACATGCTGTCTGGCTACGATCGTCGTGGAGCGGAAACTAACCTGTCATCTGTGGCATTAATGGAGAAGCGGTCAGTCATAAAATCCGGGTGCACAATATCCAAGTTTCGTGCTCACAGTTGTCCAGCATGACCACGTCATTGTCCTTGGCGATCAGGGGCGCCGCACTGGCCGAGGGCAGCATCGAGTTGGCCTGCGTCGCTGCAGCCGTGTGGGATTGCACCATCGTGGGACGACTCGAGGTTCAGAGTTGAAGGTCGGGTGCAATGGAGGTTGGAGTGCAAAATGAGCGCGGATGTCGACTCCGAGACCGGGTGCGAGAGCTTGCAAGAGGAGGGAAGAAGGCAAGAAAGCGAACCGAGCAAGCGCCCACGTTGACGAATTTGGGAAAGGCCCGACTGGCGCGATGGCACGCGCCTGAGGTGAGACTTTCGTTTGGATCTTCTGATCCACTTGCACCGTTCGCTAATGTCCGTCTTTCACCCTTCAACGGGGGGCGTTTCAAACGGGCGATCAACGTTCATCGCCCGTGGATCACCCCTTTAGGGTCATTTAGTCATAAGGCCTTAGTCACGCTTGGTGTTACTACTCACGCTTTACATCAGCTCAGACATCCTTCTCCGTATGCGATCTCAAGAGGGGGCTAGACAAAATCATCGTATAAATGGCATGACACGTCTTCGTTCCTTCTCTTCGATGTTCATCTTCTACTTTTCAAGCTCCAGAGCGGCCAGCTCTTTGCGAATATCGGCCTCGCTGGGAAAGATCAACCACAACCCCCTCATAATTTAGCTTGCGGTTCTGAACATCTCTTCGAGAAGTTTGAGAGAGAACGCACCTGTCCAGCTTCTTGTACTGCGTCAACTCGAGCTTCTCGCCCGCGGCCTTCTTCTCCTTGAGCCCCTCGATCGCAGTCAACTTCTTCTGCAGAGCCCGACGCTTCTTGTCGATCGGAGACAACTCCCCCGCCAGAACCTCGGCAGCGGCTTGGGGCACGGGTACCGCGGGTGTGGCAGCCGCACCGGTGGAAGGCGTAGCGGCACCGGATCCGTTCGCCGAGTTCTTGCCATTGTTGTTGTTGCCCTTCTTTTTCCGACGACTCGGATCCTCGGTCGTGCCGGATTCGCCGCTCGGCGCGGCCGCACCCGGGATCGCCCTTCGACGAGCACCGAACGTCGGCGACGTTCGCCCATTCGCCGACGAGGGGAAAGCGGTCGTACCATCGTATGCGGCCCCTCCTTCGTCTTCGCGCTTGTACACCGTCGGTGTAAGGGTACCACGCGCGTGAGGTGGTCGGTAAGCTCCCCCCGTTGCGGCGGCGGGTTTGTTAGGTGTAGCGTTCGCCACCGAGATTGAGGCAGAGGGGGCGGCGTCAATCGGTCCACCGAAGGGAAATAGATTCACAGGTGCGGGTCGCCATGAGACCGAGTACAGTTCTTCGATTGCTTCGATATGCATGAGACCACCGGTGCAGTGGTAAAATCTTACACCATTGTCGACTCGCAACCGAGGGCTGAGCGTCGCGCACATGAGGTAACGACCGTCGGGGCTCCACTCGCAGTGCACCGAATTCGGCGCCTCGAACGTGCACACCTTTTTGAGCGTCTTGCGGTCCCAGACGTCGACCTGACCAGCCAAGTTGCCGAAACCAGCAATGCAGAGCAAGCGGCCTTGCGGGTTGTAAGCCAAAAAGTTGCGAGGGTTAAGACCAAAGTCATTGATGACATTCACGCGCTGATCAAAGATGACGGTCTTGGCCGGCATGTCTGTTCGGGGTTCGGAAGAGCCGATGTCAGCTTAGTCCTGGGTATCGAGAGCGGGGGCCGAAGTTCGAATCTTCTCACATCCATACGTGACAGCGAATTCGCGGTCATTCGGCGACCAAGTAAAGTCATGGATACCACCCTCTTTGTCGAGCGTGACACGGCAGTCAAAGTTGCCAGCCGAAGACATCATGTAGAGGTTCGTCTCGCCGTAGTACGACTTGCCCGTCTTGTCAACGTCGGTCTGGGTGAGGAAGAGCAAATTGGACCCGGATCGATTCCACTTCATTGTGATCTTGTCGGCCTTGTAGAACGTCTTGATACAAGTCTGCGTCTGCAGAGCCTCGAGCGAGTGGATCTTGACCGATGCGGGCGCGCCCTTCTTTTCGGCAAAGAAGAGAGCAACGGCCGGATTAGCGCCGGTCGAAAGGGTGCAACTTGTGACGCCCTCGGCCCGCAGCTTCTCGGCGATCCCAGATGCAAAGTCGGCGGCGTTGAAGACGTGGACCTCGTTCGTGACGATGCGCACGGCCTTGGCCTCGTCCTCGGTGTATTGCAATTGCCTGTGAGGCAATTTCCATGTAAGTCAGTTCCAGCTGTGAGAGCGAACTCTCGGACCTTTGCTCACCATCGATCCATGGCCTTTTGAGAGAAGGAAGCCACCTCGGTTGCGGTCGCCACGTCCCAAACTCGCAGGTTGTGGTGCGGCGGCTCGCCATCAGCGGGTTTGACTGCGACAAGAGCAATTCGAACCGATCTTTTTATTCAGTTCCATGCGGAATGAGCCATAAAAAGGGCCTCTTCCACTGACCATGTCGTTCCCAGGTGGAGATCTGCGTCCCCTTTGGCGAAAATGCAATGTCAATCGCGCCTCGTACGGGGATGGAGGCGACATTCGCGGCTGTCTCGGCGTCGAGGACTTGCACACTACGGGCGGAAAGTCAATGGCCAAAAACAAAAAACAAAACTAGTCAAGAGCGGATCGTCTGTGAGATGCGCGCTGTGCATTACGTACCCTGTCGCTGTGCAGTATGCGAATAGTCGGCCGTCGCTCGAATACCGCTGCGCCTTGACCGTCTCCTCGGGCCTGGGATGATAACCAAAGGTTGAGGGTCAGTTCGACGACTTCACAAACTATTCCCCCCCACCCCCTTCCAAAGTTGGGCCAGTTGGCAGGTCGCGGGAGGGCTGAGGTGAATGAAGTACGGAGCGAGACGGATTGCCGCGGGCAAATGCGACGGTCCGTTCCCGCAGCTGGGCTGGTCACAGTGTCCAACTGCAGCTATTTTCGTGCATCTGGTTCGATGGGAGTCGGACTAGCGCTCGCCTCTGAAGATCTGAAGCGGGTTGGATGGCGTGCAGCGTCGCGGTTTCGCCTTCCGGTCGTGCGAGGATGCAAAATGATCCGATGGCGACCATCGAACGCCGTTCGGGTCGGGGGGAGAGACATGTTCTTCACCTTTGATAAGAGCTCAAGGCCGAATAGTCAGGAGGGCCGGTGACGAGACCGGTCGACTTGAGCGCACGGACTGAGGGGGTGAGAAAACGAACAGCGAATCAGGCCGGCGCTGCTTCGGCGGGGGAGCGAAGGCGTTCAGGCGAGCTGAGCGAGAGTGTGCTCACAGGAATACTGTGCCGTGGCCATTCTTTGCGATTCTTGTCGAGTCTGCGTTGACGAGTGACGATGCAACTCGATGGACCGTCGCGCAAAGGGGAGCAGGAGCAAGGGAGCGATCGATGCGAGCCAGAAGGCAAGAGACGTTCTAAACGTTCACCACCCGTCGCGACTCGCCGTATCGGCCGTAAGACGAGAGACGACGAGAGACGACCAGAGACGACCAGAGACGACCAGAGACGATTGCCTGCCAGGTCGCGCCGCGCGCCGGATGCTGCAGGATGCTGCTAGATGCTGCTGGCGTCGTTCCCTTTCTCGACCTTCTTTTACCGCCAGGCAACTTGCCACTTCCCGGCCCGTAGAACCTGGAACATTCCGCCCCCACTCGCGACGTCGGAAAGGTTATCAGATAACAGTTCATGCGAAAGTCTATTTGCTGTGCAACTTTTTCATGCAATTCATTCCCACCGGATTGTCTCATGCACTTCACAGATCCGCTCCAGCCAGAGAGCCACCAGAGTCCCAACCACTTCTTTCCGGCCCACGTCACCCGTCCCTTTCCATCTTGGCCAACTCGATACTCGATCTCAGCCAAACGCACTCAGCATCGACCGGCCCGGGCTCGTCCAGCGCCTAGGCCCTCCTTATCCGTCTTCGCGTCAAGGTCATCACGCCTCCTCTGCAGCACGACTAGCTCGAGTCGAGCAGTTCTATTCGTGCCTTGCATCGGTGCCGGGGTGATTCAGTCGAGCGAGTATCAACCGATTCGTCGCTGCTAGTGATTCACGAGCGGCAGCTTCGGCGTCCATTCGAGCTTCAATCCGCGCAAGGCTTGATCTCGTTCCCTCGTCTGGTTGGGCTCGAATCAGAGTATTGGTATCAAGGTGATTCAGTCGAGCAAGAATGAGCCTGTTCGTCGCGGCTAACTTTTCCCGAGCTGCAGCGTCGTTTTCCATTTGCGCTTGCATCCGTGCAAGGCTTTGCGTTGTCGATTGATCTGACTCGCCACCAGCACGCCCATGCCTAGCGGTGTTGGAATCAAGGTGGTTCAATCGAGCGAGGATGAGGCGATTCGTCGTGGCCAGCTTCTCGCGAGCGGCAGCTTCGTCCTTCATCTGGGCCTGCATTCGTGCGAGTATTTGTCGCGTCGAATGATCCGGTCCGTTTTGAGTGGATTGGTGCATCGTGGTGTTGGTGTCGAGATGGTTCAATCGAGCGAGGATAAGTCGGTTCGTCGTTGCCGACTTTTCTGAACCGACGACCTCGGCAGCCAATTGACCATGCGCCTGTGCCAAGCGTTCGACCTGTTCCTGAACGCTCTCGACTTCTCGTTGCAGAACCCTGAGAGATGCCAAGCTTACACTGACATGAGTCGACGATGGACTCGGCTCGGTGCCCGGCCTAGTCGAACAGGGTGGCCGAACCGACTCCGAGTCTTGGCCGGCCGTCGCACAACGATCGAAAGGAAACAAGTCCTCAACGACTTGTCGCGCATAATCCTCCGAGCTAGGTGCGATTTGGGCCATCTCCAACCCCAACTCGACGAGATTCTCGAACGCAAAGTAGAGTCGGGAGCGCGCGTGCGTCGGTGAGACCAGTTCCGGGGTCATGTTCGAGTGGTGGTGCAGGATCAGCGATTGCGCGAGGTTCGAGATGGCACTGCATTGCGCCAAATGTTTGAATCAGTCGTAAGACCTGATAATACAAGCCCAGGGAGAAGGCCAAAAGGGCTGAACTCACCTCTCGAACCTCGGATCGGCTTTGCCCGTCATCACCGGGCTCGTCGTTGCCGCCGTTGCTGGTTTTCGCGGCGAACCTTGTACCAACGAACGATCGGTCGTGTTCAACGACTCGAGTTGATTCCCCAATTCCTCGATGAGCTGCGTCAACTCGCGGCTCGTCGAAGTGGTCGAAGTCGTGGAGCTGGGTTCGTGGCTAGCGTTGAGTTCCCCTTCGAGCTTGACGGCCGAGTCATCCGTTCCCGGCGTGATCAATTCCCACGTCGAAGAGCGCGACAGGCCAGGAGCGACGACGTTCTCCACACGTGTGGGGTCATTGTAGGAGCGAGGATGGTCGTTGGAACGATGCCATGCGCTCAAGTCGACGTGCGAAGACGAGGATGCCATCGTCGAGGACTCCTTATCAGCGACACCCGGGGCGGGGGCGGGGGCGGGGGCGGGGGCAGGGGCAGGGGCAGGATCGCCTGCAGCTGATCGTCCCAAGTTGGACCGAGTCCCGATGGGAGACAGCTTGCGGACAAGGCAACGGCACGAATGAGGGTGATTGACTTGGGGCAGCGAAGACGATCCTTCCTCCATGATGGTGGTGCTGGTGCGTAGGACAGCTGAAGCGTCGGCGCAGATGGGACGGGAAAGACTGGGAGAGCGCCGATCGCGTGATCGGCCTTGTCCGGCTCGATCGGGACCGGGCCCGTGCGCACGCGACCATGTGGCCATTTCCGGCATGCACTGCAGATCGATGGCGCTGCTATCTCTCGCTCCCAACCGACTGAATCTCATGGTATGCGTTTCCGTGTGCGCATTGCAAAAGCAAATTAGGAGAGGAATCCGCCACAGACAGACATGGGATGCTGTTGCATACATAAGAACAAGCCCGAGGAGTCCAGAGAGAAGTATGTGAAAAGGCCGAGCGCTTCAGCCTTGACGAGAAGAGAGAGATGGGATCGAGTTCCTTTTCGGTGGATTGTTACGGCTCCTGTCACTCCTTGTGGGTCGTGTAAGGGACCTGGTTGGCCGATCCTCGGTCAAAGTCGAACTTGGGGTCCACACCGACGGTGATGTGGCCTCGGAGACCTTGCTGCAGCACACCGCCGACCTTCTCGATGTCAAACACGGAACCGGGTTGCGAATGGAAGATCTTGAGCGAGTCGTCCCAGTTGCGCGTGCGGCCCCACTTGTTGCGGATCGGGTTCTCGGTGTAAGGATGGATCTTGTCGATGATGCCGTTGAGGTTGTCCTCGACGAAAAGCTGGCCGGTGTGGATCAAGCGCGAGGTGAGGAACGTGCCGTTCGCAAGCGGTTCCCATGTCGTGTGGACCTTGATGTGCACGTGCGTCGCTCGGCCCGTGTAGTAGCCGGGGAAGATGGACGTGAATTGCGAGACACCAAACTTGTTTGTGGGCCATGCGGCACGGAGCCACGTTTCGTGCTGGTTCCATCGCGGGAACTTGGTCAACAAACCCTTCCTCTCTCCGTAAGGCATGGGTCCTTCCCAGATGAGATCCGGGTCGGGGTCGGCGTGGCCGGCGTAGTGACCGGTCGTGTTGGCGTGCCAGATGTCAACAAGCACGTTAGGCACAGGTTCGCATGTGTTAACGTCGAGAATACCGATGTCGATGTACTGTTGGGAAGCGAAGATATAATCTGAGGGTCAGCCGCGGCTCGCCGATTTGGGCGAGAGCTCCGAAGAAACTTACGAAGGGAAGACCAAGTTGGTCCTCGGCCATGTTTTGGCGAATGGGGTGACCAGCAATGTGGTAGTAAGGACCCTGGGTCACCTCGTTGGCCACTAGGTAGGAGAGAAGAGGGTGGACAAGCTCAGCGCGCGAGCTGTGAAAGATGCCCGGTGTCGCCCTGACTCACAAACGCAGGTGTGGTTTCGGATCGTGGCATCGTCGTCAATCTCGGTGCAGCCGAGCAACTTTTGACCGCCCATACCGGCTTGGAGGTTCTCTTCGAGGAACATGGTCGCGGCATCGGTGGCGCCGCCGAGAACTTGCTGCTGCTGGGCCTGTCAGATCGGAGAACGAGCGCAAGGTGGTCAGCGAGGTGTTGTGGTGAGTGATGCCGGGTGTCGAGGGAGTGTGTGCCCAAGAGACGGCTCGCATCGACTCTCCGACTGGCCGGCGCCCGGTCGATGAGCGCTCCGCACCGTTCGCCGCGGCCCCACACTCGCTTGGAGCCCGGCCCAAATCGATGAACGGTCGACGGCAATGGCGGGGGAACGACTTGGAGAGGCTGTTGTAGCTTACAGAACGCTTGCGCATGGCATGATAAGCCTTGATCTGGGGCGCGCAGATGTACGCAAAGTTGTCCTTGCGAGCCTTGGCCTCGGCGATTTCTTGCTCGGTCGGCTCGGCGTGGCCTGGTGCGGAGAAAAGAGCGAGGGAAGTAGAAGTACAGGCGTGGTCAGTATGCTACGCGGAACAGGACTGTAACAACACGAGAATCTTTGGCCGATTGATCGGCGGATCAACTTGGGTGCGGAGGAGAGGGGACCGGGTGGGGCAACCAGGACGGGGTGGACGACGACAGATGGAGCGGAGGAGACGAGGGAGAAGGACTGCTCACCAAGTACGGAAGTGAACAGGGCACCCAAGACCAAGAGGGAGGCGGAGAACTTCATGATGGTGCGTCGTCGACTTTCTTGAGGCGCGGGACCAATGAACAAGACAGTGATGGGAAGGAAGCCAAGCGAGAGCGCGATCGCGGACGAGAAGTCGGTTCAGGCGGGTTTGGTCTGCGCTGAATTCGATTGGCGCACGCTGAGCTGTCTCGCGGCCGACGGAACGCCCCGCCGTCGAGCCGCGGCCCACCCAGGCCCACCCGGTCCCTCGCAAGCCGCCGCCACACCGCCGTTTTGGGGCGCGAGCCGCGGCTCGTGGTGCTCTCTCGGTCACGGGACTTGCTGGGATGTGGCGCGCGCAGCGGCCGGCCGGGATTGCCTCCGCGTCGACGGCGACGGAGAAAGTGTTGCAAGCCGAAGGAGCTACAGTCAGTGGCCACGCGCATCTTCCTGGGCCGTGCCAGCTACCTATCTCTCTACCGACCAGCCGGCGAGAGTTCTCCCGAAGAGCGATATCTCGGCCGAGGGCGAACGACTTTCACACCAACTCGGGGCTTGTGCTGCCCGTCGAACTCATCAAGACACTGTGGCCGACCGACTGATACAGCTTGATTCGGCACGTCATCGCCATGGCCTCAACCTGCGTAAGCCTCGGACCATCACATCAACCCAGTCTCAGGATGGAAGTGTTGTCGTCTCGGTGTGCTAAGCATCCAGTCTACGTTCTATTCTCCGTCCAGCAGGTGAACTCGGTTGCGAATAGCGCGCTGCTTCATCCCCTGTCGACAAGAGGTGAGTCGTTCTCATATTTCAATTCACCTGTCTTCCATAACCTGAGCTCATGAAAGCCATGTACAATAGTTCACTACATCCTCTCTGGGACTTTCAACACCGTCTTCCTCGTCAGTGCCCCGAGACTCCGTCGGAACCCGTCTCCAGCTTCCCGATAGCTCACACATAGCCCATTGCTCATCTTACTACAGTATCTCCTAGCATTCAGCCCTCTCACCCCATCACTCTCCATCTCCCAAGTGATCCGAGCCGAGGGAGCGCACCAATTTCTCGCTCTGAACCAGGATCGTAGCCGAGCCTACGCAACGACATGGGCCATGCCACCGACGCTGTCGAGTTGGGAGGTGCTACAAGGTGGGCTTGAGGGAATCAAGCACATCAATACTGTTCCGATTCGTACGTTCATGACATCTTTCTCAGCGGTCTCACAGCTCGCGTGCGATAGACTGAGGATTGTCTTCCGCCGGGAAAACCTTGACGTTTCGACTTCGCTGCAGGTGCTACTTCGTCCTATATCCAGGTCTCACCGATACAACCTCGCATCTACTCCGCGGGCGGACCGACAGGGGAAGTTCATGATATCGATGCCAAAACAGGAGGGTTCGGCAAGAAGTTGCAGGAGTTGTTGTATGTGCCCGAGGAGGGACTCGAGACGACGGACAAGACCAGGGTGGCGTTGGTGAGTGGTGGACCACCCCGTTAAGACAGGACAATGTCTGCATAAAGGGAACTGATTCTGGCTCTCTCGGAACATTCAGCGATACGGATCGCATTCAATCGACCTCGACCTTCCCAAGAAGCAAGCTTTCGTGCCCCACCTGTTCGTCACAGCCCCTTCCCACTTTTGCCAGTCGTTTCGAAAGCTTAGAGTCTGTGGTGGTCCGAATTACAGTGGACACAACTCGATCTACATGTACTCCGTTCTCGAGGATGGAACTTTTTCCCTGATCGCAGAGGTGCCTTCGTTTGGTGATGGTCATGACGGGCCGCGGCATGTCATCCCGTCTCCCGACGGGAATAAACTTTATGCGGTCACGGAACATAGTAAGCTCGATGAGCCCGAACGCAGGGATCCTGATCTGAACACAGTTTGCCTCTATTTTGTACAGCGTCTTACGTCGACGTCTACACCATCCTCTCCGACACACTAAAGCACGAACAACGCCTCTCGGTCATTCCTAGTTCTTTCGAATCGACCCGGCTCGACTACCGCGGTGATACCTTACGTCTCTCCCAATCAGGTCGTTTCCTCTACGCCACGACACGAGGAAAGACTTCTGCCACAAAAGGCTTCGTCTCCACCTGGGCCGTGAACGATGATGGAACCTTGGGTTCCCCGCAGGATGACTTCGAACCCCTTGATCGATTCGTCACCTCGACGAGTGGAGGTAAAGCCAATGCCGTCGAAGCATTCCCTTTCCACGTCGGTGTTCAGGGTGGGAGGATCAAGGAGGATTGGGATTGGGTCTTGTTGACGGATGATCACGATGGGTGGGTATGGGTACTGGAATGGGATGGGGTGCAGATGAGGGAGTTGTGTGGGGTGCAATTGGGGAGACAGGAAGGGGCAGAGAAGGATGAGGAGGGGACGGGGGCTAGTCATGCGGTTTGGTTGAGTTGATGACTGGGTACCACGGGTTGCAATAGATAAGAACGAATACTGAATCATATAAGTTAGATCTTGGAAAAGGTCAAATCTCCGAACTACTGTTTGGCCGGGGCCGTGTAACTACTGTTTGGCCGGGGCCGTGTTTGGCGTGGCTTTATACAATTTCCACCTCCTGACTTCCTTGCGCCCCTCGGTCGCTTGCTTGAACGCCTCGGTCTTGGCGTAGGACTCGTCGTCGAATTCTGAACAGGTTACAGGATTAAAGAAAGAGGATCAGCGTCAAGGCGCCCGATAGACTCCCACCATATCTGGTGCGACTGACCATGGATGACGGCGAATTTAGGTGCCTCGTTCTGCACCCCCTTGCCATGGGCCACGTTCAACGAGTCGTAGACCTCGTGTCGATGGCTCCTGCGCCACCCCTTGACACCTTCGAAAGCCTTCAACTCCCCCTTCTCGTTATCCGCAATCGTCAACACGTATTGAGGAGCTTGGTCCGCACTGGGAGGCGCGCTGGTTCGGTCGAGAGTTTCACAGGTCCTTCGGTCGAGCGTCTCGAGTCGGACGACGAGCGCGCCTTCGCGGGGGGAGCGGTTCGCTCGGAGGTGGGTGTAGGAAGGGTGGAAGAAGAGAGCCACAGATTTGATGTCGTACGCTGCGGACCAGGAGGGCTTGAGCGAGTCGGTCGCTTGGTACCGCGCGCCGGTCAGGAATTCAGGGATGCTGTTGGGGGTCCGACGTTGATAAGGTTGTGTGAGAGGTGATGCGGTACAGCACGTAGAGGTGATAGGACCCAACGTGAGACAGGAGACGATTTGTGGTCAGCCTTCCGGAAGAATTTGAGCGCCCCTAAAGAGGATGTGGGGTGACTGACTGTTGCATTCGCAGAGGCACATGTTCATTGTCGTACCAGTCTGTATCATCATATCGCTGGTGAACATCTAGACTATAGCAGGATGGCCCAGCTGTGGATCTGGCTAACCCGTAAACTCTTGCTCGGTCACTTGCTGTCCCGGTTCCGAGAGGACCCAGAGGTAGCCAGGGGCGGCTGTTTCGGCGGAAGGCACTGCGAACGGTGGCACTCGATGTCAGGATCGGAGGAAGGCTCCGTGTGAGCCCGATCAGTTGCGAGCGTACTATCTGCGGAGGGAGCAGGTGATGGTTGACAAGATGCCGAGTGAATGGGATCAAGTTGAAAGCGGTGTCGCGCTGGCAGACTCGGAGCCGCGTATGGCCGAGCAAGCCCGAGCCGCGGCTGAAAGTGGGCCTGAGTGGGCTGGAGTGGGCTGGAGTGGGCCTGAGCGGGCTGGAGTGGGCGGCGTGGGCTGGCGTGGGCGGGCGTGTGCGCTCATTGATCTGAGCCGCTTTGCAGCCCGTCGTTCTTACTTGTTCCATCCGCGGGTCTACACCTACATTCGCTCAACATGTGAGTCTCGAAACGATGGGGCTGCTCGACAGCGCCTGACAACAGCTGATTCAGTCCCTTGTCCGCCCCACTCCCTCCCCTGCTCCTGCTCCTGCCGCGGCTGCTCAACGTCGTCGCATCACACCTCGCACCACCCCGCGCTCCGACATCGCAACGTACCAGGCCTCGCATCCCCTACCAGAACCCAGCCCAAGGTACCTCGGTCATTGCAGATGCGATCCGTGTCCGCCGCGGCGCACGTGGTCTGACCCCGCTCGACCAGACCTTGCTCAATGCACCCGAAATCGCGGTCAGTCCCGACCGGACTCGGACCAGGTCGGGTAGACGCACCCAGCTCACATTATTCTGCATGGGCGTATAGAATGGATGGAACACCCTTCTTGGAGCGATTAGGACCCGCAACAGCTTGCCCGACGACATCAGGGAGCTCATGGTACGTTTCGGCGACAATCTGCTGCGCCGCCCCCACTTGGGACGAGTGGCCGCCGGAATGCTCCTTCCCGGGTGCTCAGCCTTACATCTTCCATGAGTTCATCAACAGATCTTGCGTGTCGCTGCTCGCAACTCGGCCACGTTTGAGTGGATTCGTACGTACCAGCTTTCGATCGCTTACAGCTGCACAGGCATCGACTGAAGATCTTTCCCCCCCCCCGGCGCCTCCGAGCAGACCACGCCCACGTCGGTGAAGCCGCCGGATTGACCGCGCCCCAACTGTCGACCATCCGTGACTGCCACACACCTTTGCCCACACCCGAAGCTCCCGGTTTCCTGTCGCCCTTCCAGGCCGCCGCTCTCCGCTTCGCGGATGCCTCGACCTTCAACGTCCACGTCCCGCAAGCGCGCATCGACGACCTCAAAAAGTACCTCAAAGATGACCAGCAACTCCTCGAAGCGACCGCCGTCGCTGCGACCTACAACATGGTCTCGAGATTGCTCGTCACTCTTGACGTCGGCGACTACCGAGCCGTGACTGTGCCTCTGCCCGGAACGACCCAAGAGGAACACGATGTCGAGATCGAGCAGGGCGTCACCTTGCACGTCAAGGTCGCCAAGCGGAGCGACGAGGCCAAGTGGCTCGTCTTTGTCAACTCGTTGATGACCAACAGCACCATGTGGGACGAGGTTTTACCTCGCTTGAGCAAGACCTACAACCTCCTCACGTACGACCAACGAGGCCATGGTCAATCCTCGGTCCCGCCCGAGAAGTGTACGCTCGAGCAACTCTCGAACGATATCGCCAAGATCCTCGAGAAGCTGTCGATCCCTACCCCCGTCCATGCCGTCATTGGTGTCTCGCAAGGTGGAGCGACGACGCTCTCGTTGGCGCACACCCACCCCGAAGTATTTGAACGTCTCGTCACGTGCGATACGCAAGCGACTTCCCCCGCCGCCAACTCGAAAGCGTGGGACGAGCGCATCGCCCTCGCTCGATCGGAGGGTATGACCCCATTGGCCGACGTGACGGTCCCTCGTTGGTTCCCGGCTTTGAGTGAATATGTTGAAGGGGGTCGAAAGGAGGCTTGGGTCCACGATATGATCACTTCGACCCCAGTCGAAGGGTTCGCGGCAAGTGCTGCCGCTCTTCAAGGCTATGATGTCGCACCTGGGTTGGGTCGGGCGTTGAAGGGAAAGAAGGTCTTATTCCTTGCTGGGGAGAGGGATGGAGCACTTCCTGGGGTGCTAAAGGGTGTCAAGGATGGTCTGGAGAAGGAAGGGTGCGATATCGCGTTCGAGGTCATCCCTGGCGCTGGACACTTGCCCATGGTCGATTCGCCGAGGAAGTGGGGTGAGGTCGTCGAGAACTTTTTGCGGTAGACACATCTGGTCTGGTCATGACAGGGCTAGCCGGTGCGTCTTCGACTCTCTTATGAAATCATAGAATTTCGTCTATATGGAACTGGTACTGGGCAGTCTAGTAAATCTCCATCATGCTCTCCTTGAACTTTTGTGTCAAACTCTCATCAGTTGTCGGAGCAACCTCCGTCGTAGATAGTGGTTTCCGGTCTTGGGCCGCGGCCTTCTTCTCCGCCTCTTCCTTGGCGAGCTGCTCTTTACGTAACCGCTTTTGTTCAGGAGTGAGGTAAGGTTTGGGGATCACGGGTGCGGGGGCGTCGATCGAGTCGAGGATGATCGTTGCGGGGCCCTATGAGGAGGTATTCCGCATGAAGGTTAGCGACCCTTTCCGCTGCCTTTCTATCAGGGGAATGAGCCTCGACTCACATCGTTGATAAGCTGTACATCCATCATCGCACCAAACTGCAGGGTACCGACCCAATCTCGTCAGGATCTCAAACCGGAAAGAGTCTCGAGCAGACGGCGAGAAGACCTACTTGACCATCCTTGATCTTGTCATGCTGATACTTGGTCCGTAAGTCGGTCAAGAAGGTGTCGTACATGGCCTTAGATTGTGAAGCTGCCATCGCACCGTGGAAGTCGGGCTTGGATCCTTTCTTGGTGACGGCCATGAGCGTGAATTGAGAAACTTTTTGGGGGGAACGCCGCCGGAGGAGCGTACGTGAGCGAGGAGGGAGGGGGAGAAGTCAGTTACAGTAGCTTCCTATGCGGAATAGGTCTTGGGCGTACCTGACAATATCTCGCCCCCAATGTCCATGACCGACTTCTTCCACCCCCACTCGTCATTATCCCCCTCCGGGAAGAAACGAAGATTCAAAAGCTTGTTGACGAGCCATTGGGATTCATGTATCGTATCATTCGTACCTATCCCGACGAGTACCATCAGACCGCGTTGGATGGAGGAGATGATCTGACCATCCACTTTGGTCAAGGGGAAGGTGGTTGATTGAGCAAGGGGTTGAGGTCAGTCGCTCGAGTCAGGGTTCGACTCGGACGTGGCATGCTTTGTGGGGTGGTATGACATACCTGTCACACTGGCGGATCGGCACCTTTGTACAACAGCTTTCATCGTGGTCCAGACAGCACAGTGGCAGGCGGATTCCAAGAGCTTGAGGGGGCTAGGAGTCGATTCGCCGGCCAGGCTCACATGTAACCGGAGGCAAAACGGTGCGAGAAAGCGGCTATGCCCGGCCTCAATTCGCGCTTACTGCTTATGTACTCGAGGGGGCCCGGGTGGCGTCGAGCACACGACCGCTCGATCGAGTTCGAAAATTCGAGCATGCATGTCGTGCAGGCCAGAAGAGACCTTTACCATGAAGCAAACTCTTTGGATGTCCTTCGAAGCAGTACATGAGTGTGGACCCTGTGTAAAACGCCATACCGGTGATACCACGGTCTTCGGCGACCGTTAAGTTCGTTCCGTCCCCCGCATGTCTCACCTGCCCCTGATGGCTCGTTTAGGCCACTCCCCTCAAAACGGAGGCGGGTCCATGCGCCCGGGCTCAGGCCTCAGGCCTCAGGACCGAACCACACCCTTGGCTCAGTTGCCGCTCACCAGTAGCACTTGACGTCGCATCTGACTCTTCCCGGTGTCGAAGACCTCTCTGTACCCTACGTCGTGAGTGATGTCCTCTCTGATGTAAGTACTCGGACCGCTCGCGCTGACGTACCCTCCCCAGCTTTCGCTCAACTTGCCCGTCGCGCCTTTCCCCCTTTGAGGCTTAGACGAAGCTTCGTCGACTTCGTATAAGCTGCCTCGTACAAGATGGCCGCCGCCGCCTGTCGATCCATCGCAACGGCGACAGAGTTCCAGACCGTCACCTCCTTCAGGGAAAGGACGATCATCCAAGCTCAGACTCAACTCGTGTTTGATCCCAGTGGCGTGAGTTGGGCAGCTAGCGAGCGCACAGGAAGCGCATGTATCGAGCCGGACCGCTCATCGTCCCTCCCGGGCCGTCTTCTCGTGTGCTTAGGTCGGTATCACAACTGTGCTCTCGATCAATCGAGCGGGTAACACCGTCTCTGTCAGGTCGCGCATCACCGGTGTCACTGTGTGAGTAGCTACGGTGACGCCTCATCAAGTCGGCCATTCGCAGGGGCAACGTCCGGTCAGGCGGACTCCGGGGCCAGTACGATCGCCGGCGATCGCTTCGGCGACGCACGAGTCGGACGACACCTCGGGTATTTGGCGGCATCCGAATACACGCGAACGATTATTCAATTCGGGTGGACTTTTTAAGATTTAAGAATGCCCGCAGTGAGAGCATGGCCGCTGACACTTTTGCCTTCCCCGGGCGCCTCAGCACGACCGTCGACCGAGTAACCACCGTGTCCACTTCAACCATCCTTTCGAGTACGCCCATCACTACTTTGTACGCTCCTTGTACCGCTACGACTACACCAGCTGTGAGTATTTTGAAACCTTTGCCGAGCTGCAAGGCGAGACTGCGATCATGATCTGGACCGTGCCGAGGTTTTCACAAGTGTCTGAGATGGAGCGCTGATTGTTGGTCTTGTTCATTCAAAGATTTCCACTACGACTAGCTCAAGTACGTGCACTCCTCGGAACGATCGCGTTCACCACCTTAAACAAGTTTCCGTCGTTCGGAACTGACCTGCCGCACCAACTGATGCACATCGCAGCTACTGTCGCAACGACGCCGTCGACTACAGCGGTACGTGGGCTTTCGTGACTTGACGGTCCGAGCATACTTGAGTCGCAGAATTACTGACCTGAAGATCAATGTAATGACTCAAAGTCGACCACACCAGCAACAACTGCGATCCCTACGACTGTACCCTCTACGACTGTACCCTCTACGACTGTACTCTCTACGACTGCACCCCCTTCTACCATCACTGTTGTCTCGACGATCCCGCTCAGCTCCAGCACGAGTGCAAGCTCCACGACTAGCGTTGCGCGGGGAGGGCAGGTGTCGAATGCCTCCTCCAAGCCCAACACGGGAGCCATCGCGGGTGGCGTGGTCGGTGGTGTTGTCGCTTTAGTGGCTCTTGCCGCGTTACTCTGGTTCTGCTGCTGCGGTGGCTCAAAGCGCAAGAAGCACGAGTCGTTCGACTTTGGCCACAACGACGCCTGGGACCCCGTCGATGGCGTGGCTGCTGCGGGTACTGGAGGCCGAGGAGGCATTATCGCGTCAAGGAATACGGGACAGAACCGGGGCAGTGCAACTCAACGTGCCAGTAGCTACTCGCGTCGATCGACGGGTTTCAACTACGGCGACGACGACGATTTGGACGACTCGGCCGGCATTGGGCGACGTGGAACTGCGGTGGCACCGGCGATGGCTTCCGTCGGCGCTGTAGGAGCTGGACTGGGAGCGACCTACGCCGCACGTCAACAAAGTCAGAAAAGGAAGAAGGCCACCCCTGCGGATGAGCAAGACGCATACTATTCCTCGTTGCCTCCCCCTCCTCGCGATGGCTCGATCACCCCATCGTCCATGTCGTCCGCCGGCGGATTCGGCATGGCCGGTGTTGGCGTCTCTCGCTACTCCCAGTATGGGCCGCAAGACGTTAGGGCGCAGCACGAGCTTTACAATGGCCTTGAAACTGAGACGATGAGACCCAATAATAGTGGATACGCCGGCACGAACCGCATGCAACAAGCGCCCTACAACGGAGCTGGAGGTTCTCAGCGCAATTCGATGGGTGGCGATCCACAGGGGTACGGTGCTGTTTCGACGGTGTCGCCTCCACGTCAAATGAATGGTCGAGGACCGCAGCAGAACTTGTCCCAACGTCTACCGCAAGCTCGCCAACCTCAGGAACAGAGGTTCCCGAACTCGATCGCTTACAACGCTCCCGGAGCCTCGTCTTCACCCGCACCGTCTCACCAATCCCTTCCTGGCCTCGCTGGGGGCTGGAATGGCATGGGCGACAACGAACGAAGGCCCGGTGCGTTGAGGGTCATGAACGAGGAGCCTGAGATGACGGAAGAGGAGAGGAGATTTGGTGGCCAGCCTGATGCGTACAATGGGTTGACCGATGGACTTGATCGAGTGGCGAGCCCAGGACGGGCGCAGACTTATAGGTCGTAGGAACGGAAGGTGAAGACGATGATGTGTATTGGTGTGTAAAGACACTTTGACCTTGTATCCGAGTCCATTGACGTATCAACAGCGGGCTCTTCTCCCTGCTTCACCACTTTCTGTATCTCGACTCGTGTTCTTGCCCTTTCCAATTGGGTCTTGAGTGTCGAAATACCTATCGCTTGTTTCGGCCAGTGACTTCCTCAGTCTGCTACTCTGCTGACTGGTCAACTTCATCCGCTCGTTCTTGTGCTTGGCGAGTCGATTCGCTGTGCAAAATTTCGTCCGACGCACCGCTCGTTGCTCCCGGACCGGATGGAACCGGGGCCTTCGTCCCGGCGGCGCATGTCCTTGATTGTAAAGAGGTTTTTGAAAGTGCCGCACGTTCCAGCACAGCCTTTGACACAGATTTTCCTGGAATTTGTAGCTGGAGATTCCCGAAGCTTCAGAATCAGCCGTGATAGTCTGTATTGATTTTCGCGGAGTCGGCGCGACGGCCCGCGAAAGGATCGTCGGCGATAGGTCGCTCAGAATCGAGGCGAGAGCGTGACTCGGCGATTTGGGCGTTGATGTTGACTGGCGTTGAAGTTGGCGTCGCCGTCGCCGCACCGGCCGGGCACCCGCCACTGATCATCTCGCGACGTTTAGGTTTCGCACCACCGCTTCCCCGACGTTCAGCCAGCGCAACAGTTCGAGGATCGGGGAATCGAACACGTAGGACGCGATGGATGGAACGAGGGGTGGACCGACTTTGTCCGCTGCATCCTCGGGAACGGCGACGCGATCGGCTTCACCGTTGCCCGCCGAGAACGACAGACCGCCCCAGGCGTCCAACCGCTCGAAGCAGCGCGGCCGACTTGGCGACGACGGCGTGGTGAACGAGGTCGAGAAGCAGCCGTCCGAGGGGAGAGGACGCACTCCGGGAGCACGCGATCATGGCCAACAGCAGCGCAAACGACTGGGCTTCTCGCCTGATCGTCGACCTTGGCCCGAGCGATCAACGGTGTACCAGTTCCGGCCGTTCCGGGGCATGAGCACGGACGTGCGAAAGCGATTGCCCTTCTACCTTTCGGACTGGACCGAGGCTTTCCGACCGCGCAACTGGGAGAGGACGATTGGAGCGACCATCAGAATATACTTTCTCAAGTGAGTACACATGCTCCTACCTGCTCGTTCGACTCTATCCCGTTCGGTGAACTCCATCCGCGTGTTTCCACCCCACGGATCCCCGCGCTGGCGAGCCCGGCGCGTCGGTGACGTAGGCAGGATTTTCGGCTTGGGACTCCCGCACTCTGACCTGATGAATGTCGACCCCCACCGCGGTGCTCGCTTGTACACAAACCAGCCTCTTTCCTGCTCTAGCCTACACGATTGACATGAACCTCCGCACCGGTGGCAATTATGGCGTCAACGAGACCTTGCTCGCTTCCGTCCTCGCCGCTTTGGCCTTTTCGGTCCTTTCGGTCCAACCCCTGACGATTGTGAGTACAAGGGGCTGCGCGAGACCAGACGAGGGAACGCAACTGATTGAAATCGCTGTACAGGTCGGAGTGACCGGTCTGATCAACTTGTTCAACTACACGACCTATGCTATCCTAGGTGAGCTTTAGGCAGAGATTTCCGCGTCCGAATGCGAGTCGAGTTGGGGCCGGCGCTGACATTGCGGTGACGGTCGTCCAGAACGACAACCGGATGCACCCAACTTTCTCCAATTCCAAGCATGGGCTCTGATGTGTTTAATTTCCGATGATTGGTCTCTCGCAGTCTCTTCGAGGAGACTGACCCCCATATCACTCTCACAGCTGGTCGGCGATCACCCACTGGATCATTGCCGTCTTTAACATCTCGGACTACACTCGCTTCATCACTGACATGACCAGTGAAACGTTTGGCCTATGTGAGTAGGCTTCTCTATCATGGTGATGCGAGCGATCTTGCCTGACTTGATCTTCTTTGCCTCTCCCGCCCCGCAGACGTGGGCGTCATCTACATCCAAAAGGGTGTCGAGTTGCTAGTGTACGAGTTTGACGCATCTGGTCAGTAACGTGTCACGAGATGAGACGAGCACGAGTATTGACGCCATCATGATTTCTACGCTCAGATCAAGCCGGGTGGTTCTCCGTCGTCGTCGCAATCCTGTTCGCACTCTCAGTCTATTTCCTGGAGAGGACGGCTACGCTTAACTTTGGACCCTTCTGGCTGCGGAAATGTATTACCGACTATGCGTTTGCCGCCGGCATCATCTTCTACACGGGATTCGTGCACATCCCGGGCCATATCAAGGAAACCGGGATTGACTTTTTGCAAGTCACCCGAGCGTTCCATCCCTCTACTGAGTGAGTCAGCCCATCATGTGTGCAACCATGTTTTAAATGATTCAATCTGACGTTTGCGTCGCCGGCAGTCGATCTTGGGTTATCCGGTTCTGGGACCTGCCCGTCAAGTGGATTTTCGTAGCGCTTCCCTTCGGCTGCCTCGTCACGCTGCTGTTCTACTTTGACGTGAGCGCTCCAAGATCTGTCGTAGAAGGAACATCGAATTTGATCGAACGACCGGTCTCTCTCACAGAACAATGTCTCATCCGTGATGGCGCAATCCCGTGGATTCCCCGTCAAACGTCCTGCAGGCTTCCACTGGGACTTTTTCCTTCTCGGCTGCGTCACCTTTGTCGCCGGAATTCTCGGTCTTCCGGCGCCGAACGGTCTCGTGCCTCAAGCACCTGTACATACGGAAGCGCTGTGTGTCGTCAAGATGGTACCGGAGGACACGAAGTTGACTGAAGGTGGATTTTATGATGAAGAGGAAGAGGAAGAAGAAGAAGGAGCGATCGAGAAGAGGTGGGAAGAGGAGGCTCCGCCCAAGATGAAGGTTGTGAGGACCAGGCTGGTCGAGCAGAGGATCTCGCATTTTGCCATGGGGCTGCTTACGCTTGGTACGATGACGGGGCCTTTGCTCGTGACCCTGAGCTTGATGAGTCGAGCCATGTTCGCCGGCATCTTCATCGTCGTCGGATGGGGCTCGGTCCAGGGAAACGGCATCGTACACAAGACCCTCTTCCTCCTTCGCGACCATCATCTTACCCCTCGGGACCATGCCTTGCTCCAAGTCCGACCCAAGAAAATCTGGCTGTTTGTCGGGATCCAATGGCTCTTCTTTGCCGCCATCGTTGCTATTTCGGAAACGATCTCCGGCATTGGGTTTCCGGTTATTATCACGCTGCTCATTCCCTTCAGGTATTATTGGGTACCTCGGTGGTTCAGTCTACAAGAACTATCGGTGCTCGGTAAGTCGGCCAACTTACAGTCCCTGCTTGACGAAAACCTGAGACCGTCTGTTATTCCCCTTGCTGCGCACTACAGATGCCCCTACCGCTAACTCGGCCGCGACGCTCGTCTCCCTCGGCGGTCCCTTACAACCCGAACATGGCCACTCCGATTTCTTTCACAAACACCGAGATGATGTAGAAGCATCCCTATCTGAACCGATGCACCAAGACGACGGCACGTTGAGGAAACGGACCACACCGTCTGCATCTTCGAAAGATGAGGTTATGATTCGCTTGTAGATGCGTCTTTTCCCTTCTCCGACCTAGAACTTTATGAAGTTCTATCGTAATTGTAACATACGAGGCACATGCGGATACGCACATACATCTTGACAGCTTTGTTTCTCAATAGAGGGCTGTCGTAAATACTATCGTTGGCTGTAGCATCGTTGCGCTCGGATCAGAGGAAGACCAAATATACCATGGATCGCGAAATAGGACAACCAGATCTGGCTAAAGCTAATTATCTACTCGCTCCCCGACTCGGATCCCGAGGCCGACCCCTCCGAACCACAAGAAGACCCATCTTCATCGTCATCCGCATTCCCAAACGTCCTCTTCTCAACCTCATACCCAAGTTTCTCGAAAGAGGTGGCCATCTCTTCGATCTTGGCTTTGTGGGCTGAGACAGCACCGATCGACTTGGACGGATCGAAAATGGGGGCGATGTATTTCTCGATGACGCGGAGGATGTCGGAGAGCGTGACGTCCTGTTTTTTTGTAACCCCCGACGTGTGTGTCAGCAAGTGCGAGACAGTTCCAAACAAGGATCGAGGAATCGAACCTTCGTTCTCGCCAACGCGACCCTGCCATACCCTTCTTCCAATCCGACTAACACATTCCTGAACGCCGCATTCGCCGCCTCATTCATCGTCGATTCCTTATTCGCCGTATCGAACGCCAACGACGACTTGGCACTCTCGATAGTCAAAGCGTCGATCTCCACTTTCTTCTCGACGATGGAGGTGATCAGTTCTTGGGCGGCGACGAAGGCAGAGTAGGTGTCGGGCGATTTGTAAATTCGGTAACTGATCGTACCGGATTCGGTGTCCTGGGATATGGAAGCGCCGTAGGCCAGACCTGCGCCTCGGATACCTGAAGTGAAAGACCAAGGTCAGCTTCAGGGGGTGGGAGGCTGATTGTATTCTGGTAGCGGAGAAAGGACCGACTTTTCCATAAAAACCCTTCTTGCGCGTTCAAGATGGCCCTCGCGACCGTCAAAGCCGGTTGGTCGGCGTGGTTCCAGTCGTTCGGACCTTTGGCGAGGTGGAACCCGAAGGAGGATTCAATAGAGGGCAAGCCAAAGATAACGACCTAGGAGGGCGAAGCGAACACAAGACGGTGATGGTACGGTAAGTCTTTGTATTGTAGAGCGTCAACCCACTCGTGATGCTTACCTTCTTGGAAGGCTCTTTCCCGAGAGGGCTCAGAGCATGCTGACTCAATTTGACGGGCACGAGTTCGGAATGAGAGAACTTCTCCACGGGTCGGTAATGCTTTAGCCATGTCGCTGCTGGGTCTTCGATGGCCAAAATGTCACCCTTGACTTGGACTCGCATCGCTCGAGGGTTGAGCACTGATGAACCATCGCAGTGTTCACGAGATCAGCGGCAGGGGACGAATATCAGCGGACTCGACTGAAAAACTGAATGACTCACAGCTCTGACGCAGCCCCTCGAACTCCTCCACCACCTTCTCCGGCTCCCCCTTGAGCCTTACCAACAACTCCGGCAATGCCTCATCCCTGTTGAGCAAATTGAGAGCAACGTTCGTACTCGTTGCTTCGTCGTTGAGCAATTGGCGGTACGCGGCGTAGGCGACTTCGTAACCGTCTCGTTTTTCCGAAGGCAGGTTTTGGATCGCTTTGGTTGTTGAGACTTTGAGACTGTATGAGAAAGAGACGTCATCAGTCGCTTTGTCCCTGAGAAGTCGAGGAAAGCATCCACGGAGTCGACACTTACCGATCAACTGAGAAGCTGGACCCGCACAACAAATCGCCCAGCCAAGCCACAGCCGTCGCATACTTCCCCTTCTCTACCTTCACCCTCAACGTAACCCCTTCCTGCAACGGACTATTAAGATCGATACTATACGACAACGTCTCGGCATCGAGTTGTCGTACGACTTCCTCGAAATCGAGCATCGTCCCATCGGCTCGGGTGACGGGGAGGGAGAAGAACGAGTCGAGGTAGATGGGGAGGAGCGAACGGAGGTGTTTAGGGTCTTGGGAAGGGATGTCGGTGATGAAGAGGACGATGGAGACTTCGATAAAGTTGGAGTTGATGTCTGTTGGATGTCGGATGCAGAACGATCAGCTCTCCTCCCCTCACGTGCAGAGCGCTGGGGTCCTCGTTCCCAAACTCACGATCATACTGCACGAACAACGGCACCTTGCTCCCGTCCTGATCGACATGCTTCTGCACCTGATTATCGCTCACCGGTCCAACCTCCTTCGCCACTCCAGCACTCCTAGCACTCTCGACCTTGATCCAATCAATACCCTCCACATCAGGAACCTTGAAATTCGAAATGATGTCGGAAGGGATTGGTCGGTCGTTCTCCGCTTGGGCGGTTTCGAGCTTCTTCCCTAATTCGGCGAGGCCCTCGGGTCCTAGACGCTTGACGGTTGCGGCGACGCGTTGCTTCTCTTCCTTGGCGAGTTGGTCGGCTAATGCGGCCGAGGGGCGGCCGATGATGGTCACGTTGGGAGCGTTGACGTAGTACCTATGCAAGGAGGGAATGGGGTGGGCCACGTCAGTCCATCGATTCGATGTGTCTGCTTGGGGAGACTAACTTTTCCAGCAACGCGATCCACTGCGCCGACGACCAGCCTTCCAACTGTCTGTAGTAGGTCATCGTATCCATCGACTTGCCCAATTCGGACCCATCCTCCGGACCAAAGATGGCATCTGTTCAGAATGCAAATGACGACGATCATTAGCACTGGGACTGCCACCGAGATCATGAACCGTTCCTAGATGCTGACCAGCCAGAATATTCGTCGACAACATATCCGCGGCATTGGTCTCGATCGATTCCAACAATTGCAGCTTCTGTCGCTTCAACACGCTCTTCATCCTCTCCATATCCACATCCCCCTCACACAACGTCTTCAAGAACGCTTTGAACGTCGCGTCAAGAGTCTTCAATAATTCCGCAGGGACGGCCGATAGGTAGACGGTCAAGATCGTCGGATCCTCCGTTGAGGCGTAGAAAGAGATGTCCGTGCAGGCCGGCTCGTCGACCTCGACGAATTGTTTGTATAACGGCGATACGGGGGAATCGGTGAGGTATTCACCCAGGACTTCGAGGGCTAAGTCATGGACGAAGTCGTTGGCTCGGACACCGATCCACGAGAGCATGATTTCCCCGACTGATTCGTCTTGTTCAGGGAATTTGACCGTTTCCGTCAAGCCTTGTGCTGGGATTTGGGGTGGGTTTTGAGCGGTCGTTGATTCGACGAAGGGACGACGCCAGCCTGGGGGACGGGGACCTTGCGCTTGGCCGTGTTTGACGATCGTAGGGAGCACCTCACGTTCCAGTGTCGAGAGGAGGTTTTCGGGTTTCAGGGATCGACCAACGACGATCAAGGTGACGTTTTGGGGTTGATAAGCTCCGGCATGGTACTCTCGAACTGTACGTTCATACGTGCGTCAGTCCGCGTGAAATGGCGTGTCCGCTCGAGAAACGACTGACTATCCTGCACGTTCAACTTCCTCAACGCCTCCATCAACCCGCCCGTCTCACTCCTCAACGCATTCAACTTGTCATACAAACACCTCTGCAACCTCAACTGCATCAAATCGCCGCTCCCATTCTCCCTGCCTTGCATCTCGGAGAAAACCACACCCGAATCCTCGCCTTTGGGATTGAGGTGATGGACTTCGGTGACGAAGGCGGCGTCGGTCATGGTCGGGTAGAGGATGTGGTCTAGGAAGGGCGGGGTGATGGAGAGGAAGCCTTGTTGGCCTGCGGTTCCGACGGTGTAGGTCGTGTTGGAGGTGTCGGTCCAGCTTTTGATTTGTGGGGGGCGGGGGGGTTCACGAAAGAATGACCGAGTCAGGGTTTCTGACTTTTTCAAAAGAGGAAGCCTTCAAGCGGGACTGACGCGTTCGTTCCTTGCGCAAAGGATCGGTTGGCCAAGGTGTCCAAGATGCCTTTGTAAGGGTATCTGTTCGAGGCAGGAGCGTGCTCGGACCTAATAAGCTACCGACGCTAGGTCAGCGAATCGGGGCGGGAGTGACTGACTGCTCCGAGCCCATAAAGATGAGATGTTCCTGTGCACGGCCGTGACAAAAGAAGTGGGTTATATCATTGGAGTGCGGAAGCGCTCATTCTATGCCTCTTCACTGACGAGTGTATGCGGCCGTCCGGTATCATCAAAGATCTCGGTAATCGTCGCAAAGTAACCCTGCACCAGAGGGCCTGTCTCACCCAGAGCACACACCCAATCAGCGCCCACCACCACCACCATCCAATCTCTCCATTTGCCTGGCGTACCTTCGACATCACACCACACGACCTTCAACCCGGTACTCTGACTGATCCATTTCACGACCCTGACGTCCTGGGCGAACTCGAGGTGATGTTCGACCAACAGTTGGAAGTCGCCTTTCAGGGCATCTGCCCGAATCGAACGATCTCCTCCATTTGCACCGTTCGGTAAGGAGTGGGGCACGGTGGGGGGCGAGGAAGCCATGGAGGAGAACGACCTTTTGGGGGCCAGGGTGGGAGGAAGGGAGGACCCGGGCAGAGGCCACGACGAGGGAGGGCGAGGGCGCGATAGACTTGAGAAGGCCTTGGGTAGCAGCGAACAGAGGCGCAAGAGATGAGCCACGGTGGAGAGACTTCGGAGCGATGGCCACAGGCAACGCCGGGAAGAGGAGAAGAGACGGCCACGACCGAGCGCGAACGCGCAGGATCGACCTCGGCCAGCTCTCCGAACGAATTAGTCATCCGCGTCGGCCTGGGCGGTCGGGTTACTCGTTTGTGGGGTATGCAAATGCAGGATGAAAAGGGGGGGCACAGGACAAAATAAACCGAAGACAGATCCGAGGCACAAGACCAGAACACCTCACCCAAACCGCTTGAAGATGATATCCGGATCTGCGATCCAAACCCCTCCCATGAGTCAAAACCGCGCCAACATGCTCGGACTGAGCCCTGGACTGACCTTCTTGATACTCTTCTGCCGAAACCCACATCTTCTTGAATGTCGACAACCCGGCCAAGATCGAACCTCCGATCCAAGTCGAGTATTTCCGCTCCGGTGGTGCCGAGATGCGGATCTTGGTTTCGCGTAGGGCAAGCTTCTTGACTTCGTGCAGGAGCCGGTCGCCGAAACCTGTTCACGAGAGGGAGAGGTTCTAGGTCTGCACTCGTGTCTGATTCTGTGATGGTTCACTTTGAGTACTCACCTTTGACCAACGTCCCCCCACCTGACAAGACGACGTTACCGAACAAACTCTTCCGCAGGTCCAGATCAGCCCGATTGATCGAATCCACAACGACCTGATGCACGCCCGAGTATTCCAACCCGACCAGTTCAGGCGTGAACAACAACTCGGGCGCTCGGTGTCGTTCGGCTCCCAGCTGAAAGAGAAGCGCAAAGTCGGTTGAGTTTGTGATCTGCATGAGCAGCAGCATACAAGGGGGCTTTGAGCTCACCCTGATCAGATTCCCATCCGGTAATCGGAAATCCTCGCCCCTCCCCCCACCCTGGGATTCCTTCTCCTCCTTGGCCGGCGAAAGCGCGACATAACATGTCTTTTCCTCTGCACCGAGTATCCCAAAACACACTCAGTTACGCCCAAGAGACCTCCGACGAACGATGTGGATGCCGAACGCACTGATCATCCTCACCACCTCCTTCTCCGCCGTCGTATGGAGATGATACCCGGCTTTGCGAAGCAACAACTGCAAATGCTCCGTCACGTCCCTGTGCGGCAGTCGCGCGTTGGCCGAACTTAGCATTCCCCTCCTTCTACACAAGTCGGCTTACACCTGAAACGCACCTCCCTGCAACATCGACTCTCCGAATCGCATGGGGCATCGAAAAGCCTTCGAAAACGGGCACGGCGTGGGTGACGCCGTCCCCCGAATCCAGCACGATGCCCGTCGTTCGGCCCGAGGCGTATCTACAAGAATTGACAGACCGTCAATATGGATCATTCTCGAGGTGGTTCGTGTGAGACTTGCAGTGCGAGAATGGCTTGTACGGAGGTGTACATGGCGGGGACGTTGAAGGTCTCGAAAAAGATTTGCGCGGCCTGTTCTCGGTTCGTACTCGGGTTCAGAGGGGCTTCGGTCAATAGGACGGGGTGCTGGGAGTCAAGAAGGAAAGATGATCAGACATCTAGTTTTTGGAAGACGGAAGAGACGCTCTTCGCTGGTAGCGTGTTCGCTGATGACTGTTCGCTGGGTAGCCTGTTCGCTGGTCCTGGTCGCGATGCTGGCTCACCTCCTCGGACAATGTCCTCAGTTCGTCGGTGTAGACGTGGGACCAGATGCGTTCCATGTCGTCCCAATCGGTGACGATGCCATGAGACATGGGGTAACTGGAGTTAACGCGGTGCAGCCTGGTCAATACGTTGCTTCTCTTGTCCTCCCTCGCCGTCTTGGAAGCAGTGCCCCACCCGACCGGCGACGGCAACGGCGACCGGCGACGGCGAGGCCGCGCTGGCCCAGTCGTCGAACGCGAGTGCAACGGCTTACTTTATCTTCAACAAGCCCCTCAGCTCCTGCGCCTTCTTGCCGACGAACGCATCCCCTTCGACCGCTCCGGCCATGACCCTCGTATGTTTAGGTCGACCTAAGCGCCCGATCGACCCGACGCCCGCACGAACGAACTGATCAGCGCCCGCGCCCCTTTCCTTTCGCGCTCGTCGTGTGGGATTGTCCCGATCGTGGATCGAGTCTAGGTGGGCTTACGCACCGACATAAGAAGGGAAATAGCACGTCGGGTGATCCGAGCCTGCGAAACCGGCTTTGGTCGAACCGGAGCCTTGGTCGATCACGACCGGCTGGTTGAGTTGATCCATTTTGGGCGGGAGGGGAGCCGGCGGGATGGCGCAGGGCTGGATGAAGCGAGGGCGTGTGTTGTGTGGTCGGTCGAGGTGTGGGTGCGGAACCGAGGGAGTGGGCGCGGTGCGAGTTGGGAGTGAGCTACTGAGCTACTGACTGCTACTAGCTGCTACTGACTGCTACTGAGCTACTGCCGATCACTTACTACGCGCACAGAGAGACACGCGCGACTCGACGCGCCTGTGCCAGCCTGTGGGCCTGCCTGCTCGCGGCCCCTGCACTGCACGCTGGGGCTCGCAAGTCGCGGGGGCCGTGCGCCGACGCCGAATCGGCCCCGAGTCAAAATTCTCGCATTGCTCCGTCCCTCCCGGACCACCATCAGTTCAGACACTCGGTTATCGTTATATATATATATATATATATATCAATCAACCCCGCTGTACAACTACACCCCATACCCGCAAACCCCTTCCAGGAAAAAAAAATCACTCGGCCTCGACCCATTGATTCGCGATCCTGCCAATCCAAGCCAACTCGTACCGGTCCAATAGGTCCGCATCACGGTAAGTTTGCCATCTGCATGCGCACGTCGCGATTACGTACATCAATCCTCTGGCCGTCATGAACGACCCCGACCCCTCGACCCAACTCACGTCAGAAGGATGAACACGGCGCATTCGACCAAGAGTTGGATCGAAGCGAGCAGGTGCAGGCCCAATACGGCCCAGACCAGATGCAGCGATACCAAAACACCCGTCAATAACACCGACTGCGTGCAGCACATTCGCGAGCAAACCGAATCAGCACATCTAGAAGAACCTTCAAGTTGGGCCCAACGGGTGAGCCCCACAACGACCACCCCTCTGCGCCTCAAAAACGTACCTGCCAAGCATGGAACCTCACCCAATCATTCTCCACCTCCAGCACCAACAATCCGACCGCCCCAAATGGCCCCAGAGCATACGCCATCGGTCCTTCATAATCGTACCGATACCCCAACGTCGTTTCCGTCGCCGTCGAGAGCGCGCCGCCCGCTCCTCCTGGCAGTGATCGTGTTCGAAAGCCCGGTGTGGCGGCGGAGGAGAAGGAGGCGTTGGCACCTAGCGAGGAGATGGGCGCTCCTGATTGGTACGAGCTGGACGCGTGGGGTGGTTGTGCCTGTGCGGTGTAGGAAGAGGTGGAGGAAGAAGGCGCAGGTGGCGCCCAACGGGCTTTGGACACGTCGGGCGGCTCAGAGTCTAATCGCCAACAGGGAGGTAGCTCAGTGGTCCAAAACCCTGGGATGAATTGTTCTGGTGTACTGACATGGCGCAAAGTTGAGAGGGGTCGAACTCATCGTCGCCGCTGAGGGTGTCGACTTTGCGCAAGTCGAGTCAGTTTAGAACTCTAGATGGTGGGTCCTGCTGGCGATCGAGCGCACAGATTTGTCGCCGGATGGTGCACAGATCGGAAGGCTCCCGAGTTTGTGTTCTGGAATAGTCTTGGTCGGTGTGGTAGCTCGCAGCTGTTCGGGGAGGAGTGGGGGCGCCGAGGGCGAGAAGACGACCGACGCCGCAGCGAGTGACGCGTCACATGACGACCAACTTAAAGCGGAGCTGTGCGGGCCGAACAGGGCCGATCGAACGCGCAGGCGCAACTTTGAACCCCCTACCACCTCAAAGACACCGCAGCCAGACCCAGAAGAAACGTTGTTGCGGTGCAAAAAAAATAAACAGAACCAAACCTAAAGCACGGAGCGGATTGGGTAGAACAGAGAGAAAGGAGGGAAGGAAAAGAACGGACTATCATCACGTGATTGAAATCGAGGGGACAGGAGGATACATCGATAGTCCGGCAGATAAGCGAATCAAGAGTGCTCGTGTCCTTCCGTTACTCAAGGTCGTGCGATCAAGCTGTCACAAGGATCCCCGAATCACGCATCAGCATCAGCCCCTTTCTCCTCCCTCACTTCCTTCCTCACCCAAAACTCACTTGGGGAACTTCAACTCGGCCATCAACGCCGCGCCAATCATGTCACTCAGAACCCTATCAAAGCCCGTGCCATCCTCCAGTTTCACCTCGGAGAACCTCTTGACGTCCTCCTCCCGAATTCCTTTCATGCACCAAGGTTCCGGTTCACAATCCCAGTCGACTGTTCCGTGCGTGTAGTGGAGCGCGAGGAACCACCCTTTTTCGCGGTGGCGTTTGTCTTCGTACAGGGAGCCGTTCCACCAGAGGGGACGACCCTCTGTTTAAAAAACACGTTCGAAAGGATAAGTCAGCTTTCACCATGGAACGAAGGGAATTCCTCAAAGGTATATGACGCACTATAGTCGAGGTGAAGATGATGCTCCGAGCAAATTCGGGAATCCACCGTGTGCCCTTTGGCGTTGGGATGGGTCACCCGACCTGCAATACCGGCGTACGGAGGATCAAAGTAGTCTGAAAGTGTTAAGTTGGAAGAGACCTAATGCTCAGCGTCGGGTCCACAACAAGATCCAACCGCCGCATCGGAACTGACATGGCACGCCTCCCAATTCGTACCCCATCCTGTACGATTGTGTAAAGAGCAATATCAGCCACCCATTCTGCGCAGCGGCACCATCACAAACAACCCTCTCCAAGTCAACGCACCAATACGACTCTTTATCCCCATACGTTTGCCTGTACATCACCGCGTCCCTCACATCCCTTGTATTCAAAAAGCCCACAAACACCATCCCCAGTGCCACATCTCTCCGTCCTTTATTAACCACGACCACCCCACTCTCCATCTCCTCCCTAGAGGCCTCGTCCAACCACCATCGAGATTTCTGTAACATCTTGCTCGGTTTCCTCCCCTTCATCAACTCCTTGAACCACGCGTGCACGTTCCCATCCCCGGGAAAAATCTCACGATCGCGGAAGAACAGGGTTCCGGTTTGTTCATACCCCGGATCGGTCAGGAGGATTGCCGGGTCTTGCAAGAAGATGGCATCGGCGTCGCAGATGATCGTTTCTTTGAAGGGGGAAGCGAGGATGGCAAAAGGTTTGATCGCCCATCCCGAATTCTCCAATCCGACGTGCTTCTCGTCAAAGATGTGCAACAGGTCCACGGTCTCGACGTCGGGGGAGAGCGAGCGTAACGCGGCTCGTTTCTCGACGGTGAGATCGCCCTGACCTGAATGGGCGACGAGGATGGGTAACTTGGTCTTGTGTACATTTTTGAGGGTCGCGATGAGGTGCACGGCCCACTGGTGAAGGGTAAGAAGGACGGAATGAGTCTCCGTCTAAAGCAGAGTACATCTCCCTCAATCTTCATTGTCGTCGTCACCCACCTGGAACTGATCATTCCCACAAGGGATCACGATACCCGCCGTCCTCGAATACCGCATCAACAGATCGTCGAACGTGCGTTGGTGGTTGTCGTTGCGCGAGATGTACGGGTACAGTGACCTGAAGAGGTCGTCGCGAAAGTGGCGCGTCGTTTTGTGGTACGTTTCGCGCATGGTTGCGTTGAGCCGGCTACCGTCGATGGCTCGGTCGAATTGGTCCAGTTGCTAAAATGAGGAGACGGGGTCGTCAATTGGGATGGGCTCGACTAGTACTCCCCTGAGCTCCGACAGCGCCAAAAAATTCCCTCCCCCCTTGAAGCCCCCCCCCCCCCCTCCCCCCTGGCTTTCCCGGCTATCCTCTTGCTCAAAAAAAGTTTACAAACTCACCACCACGATCTTGAACCGATCGGCATGTAAATCCAACCTCGTCACATCCGGTACCTCATCCCTCACGGCCTTGTAGCTCGTCCCCAACCTCTCCCACTCGACCTCGATCTGAGCCTCGGACTTGGAACTGAACAACTTGGTCACTCGGTCCGCGGCGGCGAGGGCGTATCGATCGGAGCTTGTGGAACTGCTATCACCGTTTTGGTTGAGGGGATCTGTTTCGGAGGGCCAGGTGGAGGAGAGATGGTGGGTGTTGGTGTTGGTGCGATCCAAACGACTGGGCAATAAAGGTCCGATGAAAGCGGTGCGTGTAGAGGGGTGCACGAGCGTCCATGTACCGCACACGAGGATGAACACCAGTATACCCAGGAAGCGCTTGTTCCGGATGATGGCCGAAAGTGCGGTCGAGGTGGAGGTTGTGGCCGGAGAGGCGTTCATGTTGCGTCCGTGAGAGGGGAGCCGAGCTTTCGGACTCCGTTCGGAGGGTTCGTTCCGTTGCGTGGCGGTGAGTCCGGTCCGCGGCGGTTGTCCTGGGCAGGAACGGGCGTCGACTGTCGCCTCGCCTGTCGCATCGACGCGGTGCTCGCCGTGATTGAAATATTGATCCGCCGCCGGTCGAAGTGGGCAGCGCAGGCGTGTGTGGTTGTGGTGTCAATTCTAGGGAGAGGAGGTTACCAGCACGTGTTGGGCTCCCATTCGAATTTCAAATCCGTGGTGCATGCGCATCTCGATACGTGCACTCAAAAACTACTAAAAAACGAAAAGGGTTCACGAGGGAGGCTCAATGTAGGAGTTGGATCTGGCTAGGCTAAACAAGGACAAGTCGCCTGCCACTTGGCACCGCCAACATAGAGTTCCGAGGTGTAACCAATTCGAAATTAACAGAAACAGAAGAGGACCTTGTCGACCGAGGTGATGGCTTGAAGACCGTGTGCAGCTGGAGGTTGATGCGTACACTAGAAGTAAGCTACCTGGTGCCACAGGATTAGGGTACCTGCTACTCACTGATGTTAGGGGTACCGTGAACCTCCTTCGATCCGAGCAGGGGAGATCGGTCGATTCGGGAACGCAGTGGAGGCTGCTTGTCTGGAGAGTGTAGGCGAGGATCGAATCGTCAGCCCCGCCTCGCCCGTCGTCAAGGGCCGGCGAGCACGATCGATCCATCGATCAATCATCAAGGGTCAAAGCAAAGACTCACGGGGTACGATCAAATGCAAGCGGTCTTGTGGACCAGAAACAACCTCAGTGACATGCCGTAGGCGCCATTCAACACTCGTCGACGAGTGGATAGGCTGATGGCAAGCCGTGACGCAGTGACAGACGGTAAGGTCCGAGTGGCAAGGTGAGAAGCGAGAGATCACGGTGAGAGGGGAGAGGGGAGGAGTGGGGTGGGGTAAGATGATGGAGGTGGGGTGGTGAAAGACGGACGCGAGACGGGTAAACACGAGAGTCAGTCCGACCCTACGCCACACGAACACGATCACAGCTAGGTGGTTACTCACACTTTTGACGGTGGGAGGGATCGAACGACAGACTCTACCACACCACAAAGGCTACCGTTTCGTATCCTCCTGAAAAGGGGGGCGATGTCGGTAAGATTAAGTGGTGCACAGAGTGTGGAGCGCGTCGACGAGGGAAGAAAGGAGGGGGAGGGAGGCTGGCGAAGGCAAATTGGGAGGGGTCAAAGACGAGTGAGGAGAGACGACCACCGATAAGACACGGTAAACGAGAGACGAGGTAGACGAGATGCGAGGTGGGATGGGATAGGGTGGGATCGGGTGAGGGGAGGTCAAGGTCAAGGTCAAGGTCAAGGTCAAGGTCAAGGTCAAGGTCAAGGTCAAGGTCAAGGTGGAATCAAGGTGGGGTGAAACGAGGGTCAGGTGAGACGAGAGGGGAGGGGAGGGTTAAGGAGTGTTGAATGAGGTTGAAATGAGGGGGGGGTGAAGAGGTGAGGGGGAGGTGAGGGGGAGGTCGCCACGATCGAGTCAGCATCACCGCTCGGGGCACAAACAAGCTCGTCGAGTCGCACCAGGCATCAACTCACAGGTAGAGAGGGTGGGAAGGGGGGATGATCGAACGACAGACTCTACCACACCACAAAGGCCACCGTTTCGTATCCTCCTGAAAAGGGGGGCGATGTCGGCAAGATTAAGTGGTGCGAGAAGTGCAGAGCGCGTCGACGAGGAGAAGGAAGGAGAAAAGAGAGAGAGGCGACGAGCTCGAGGGGGTTGCTGACTTGGGTGCGGGGTGTGCGCTTGGTAGAATGAGTCATCTCATCGATATGACGCCACGCTGTGAATTTAAGCTTTCGATCTTCTCCACCTCGGCCGAGGGCGGCCGAGAGCGCCGAAGATCTGAACGGAGAGGGGACCGTGCACCCGACACCGAGGCCAACGATCCATCCCTCGGAAAGACCGAATACCTTGTTGATCAAGCTCGGTCAAGTCTCAGCAAGTAGGGTGAGCTCCAGGGATCACCCCAGAGTTGAGATCACCGCGATCGATACAGCGGTGGTCGCTCCTGTAGCTTGGTCCGAGTTGGGACGACCCCGAACTCCGAGTCCGCCGCGGAGCAGAGTTGCGGGGTCGGCTTCACGCGAGAGCTCCGACGCAGCGAGTCGAGGCCGTCATGCAAGTAGGGTGGCACCCAAATACAAAATCATATTGAAAGAAGATTTTTTATCTTTTTTACATGTACGTCGGACCATTGTTCATCAGAAAATTGGCGGATTCTCGCTGCCTAGATCGTGGACGGTCAAGCTCCCCACTACGATCTTCCGAAAGGAGGCTGCCGCCTTGACCAGACTAAGATTGAGAGCCAAACTAACGAATCTGGGGTACAGGCTATTTTACGGTACAATTCGAGATATTATGATGCATCTTCTCACACTACTCTGAGCTCGAACGACCTTTTGTTGGACCTGCCCCCGTTTGCTTTTCGGCTGGCAGCGATGGGCAGCGCAGCCTTCTCAACCACCGTTGATTCTTCCTGCACCCTGCACCCTGCACCTTGTGCCTTGCGCCTTGCGTTTTAAACAGCTCATATCTGCCTCGATGACGGTAAAACACGGTCACGACTGCCTCGGTGGCGCTTTGGAAATCGTTCCAGACGCCCTGCTCTCTCGCGAGAGCAACCTGAGCAGCGCGCTGGCTTCCCTCGTCGGCAAGATCGATGGCAAGTCGCTTCCTCAGAGCCCCTTCGCAGCCCGTAACTGCTCCGCCCCGATTTTCCGAGCAAACCCTAGCTGACCGTCTACGCTGTCCATCACTGTGCTCCACTCAGTCGCCATCATCGACGGCGCTACCGCGTTCGCACGTCAGCGCCATGCCGCGACGGACCGCGCGCGACACAACGAGCCGAAGCGAGGCCGGCTGTTCCTCAGTGCGATAATTCGACACCTCGAGGAGGTCATTGCAGCGACGGCAAGGCGAACCCAAGTGATCGTGGTATTTGATGATCCCATCCTTCGGCCCAAGCTCAAGCAAGACACCGTGCTCGATCGCCTAGATCGCCAGAAACCGCAAGAGCCTTCCGATAAATCGACCCCTGTCACCCACCCCGTCCCCTTCATCACGAACGACACCCTCGCCGCGTGCGTTCACGGACGATCGAGCAAAGAATGGGAGGTCGCTTTTCGCCACGGTGACGAGCCAACCCGAGTCGCCACCTTTGTTCGCTGGTCCGAGCAAGGCTTGCTCGTCGTCGCGGCCCACGAGGCCGATCCCCTCGTTTCGGCGTCGACCAAGTTTGGCCAGATCTGCGACGTTGCGCTCGAACCCAACCGCGTCGTCCTCGTGAGCGCCGACAGCGACTTTTTCATGCTTCTCGGCGCCGACCAAGCCCGCTATCGCGCCGTGCTATCGGGCAAGGACCAAAACATTAGCTTGGTGGACCTTGCCGTACTCGACGCTCACCCCGCGGTGTGGAATTCTCGTCAGCGATTCGTCGCGAGCCTCATCCTCGGGTGCGACTATTTCAGGGGCATCAAAGGGGTCGGGCCTGGAGGACTTAGAGACCTGCCTGGGCAGTGGTTGGACGAGGCGACGTGGCAGAGTGGCTGGGATGGCGCCGCGGGGGCGTTGATCAGGAATGTCGACTCGGGGCCGGCGCCGACGGAGGAAAAGATTAAGGAGGTCAAGTCCCTTTGCGCCGCGATCGATCCTATCCAAAATCTGCTGCACCACTACAAGGACAAGACGTTCGCAAAAGCAACCGCGGAGTCCATCACCACAGTCACAAAGGGGACCAGGGTGCGGTTCAAGGGAACGCCACATGAAGACCCGTCGGCGGTCTCACGATATGCCTATGCGCCGATTCGCCGCAACCCCCCTCTCGTCCACCAACCCGGGGTCGCCTCCACCGGACCTCTGCCCTCTCTTTCGAGTCTCTCGACCGTTCAAGCTCCTGAACTCCGACGTGACCTTGCCAAGGCTCGACGAGGTCAAGCCGAGCAGCCGGCCCGCATGGTCTCGACGCACAAGCTCGCTGTGCAAGGAACCGTCAGGGCGTCGGACTACCGCTTGGTCGATCCCGAATTCGGGGACAGCGCAGAACAGCGCACTCGCGAGTCCAATAATTCAAAGTCGATCGAAAGGAACAAGGTGACCACGGCGGCCGAAGTACGTGCCCTGTTCTCGAAGCAATCGGACTCGGGCAGCAGCGGCGGCAGCGGCGGAAAATCTCCTGGCGGAGTTATCTACAGGATGTCAACAATGACGGGTACGCTCGACGATCTGGTCCGAGGATGCATGGTGTCCGGAGAATTGACACAAGGCGCACATCGGGTTCGAAGACCCCCGGCCAGGACGGCACATCAGGCTGAGGCAAGTGTACCACCGGCGGCAACCCGAAACCGAGCAAGCTCGCTCGGGCTGATGGACGTGGACTCGGATGCGGCTTTGGTCGTCAACGAATCCGATTCGCGCAGCTACAGCATTGCAGCAATAGAGATTGATAGGTGAAGCCGTATAAAGACAAAGAAGGTCGATGCGTCGTCGCAGCTCTCGGGGTTTTCTTGCGCCGTCGACTCGGAGTCGACCGCCTTCTTTCGTAGGTAGGAGTCGCCACTCGCACTTTAAGGTAGCCTCATGATGTTTCCCAGGTGTCGTTCCGGATCAGAATCGTAGAACTTGTTAGCCTCACATGAATGAACCCCATGAAGACAGGTCGTACGATGGGCAAACTACACTCCGAGATAGGTATTCTACGAGATCACTCCTGGGCGCCTAGAGAATGAGAAACGGACCGGTTTCGGCCGGCGGTTCCGGGCGTTCACGTCCTTCACGAGTTTGATCGGCTTGACCCTCAAAATGGCGCAAGAGTTGATCTGGTCAGATGATACCTCGTAGGGATTGAGATCATGCCATGATCTCTCGTTGTGTTCGATACGCTGGAATGATCTACTACACAAGTGCATCTTGCGTGAATGGACGTGATCGTGGGCCGAGAATAAGATCTTAGGTCTTTTCCACTCGCGCGTGGATGCGATCGTCGTCTCGCATAGGTGTGCGTCCGAAATCAATTTCGGACAGGGTGCGCCAGCGCTGGGGCGGGGTGGGCACACGGACCCAATCGCCCACCCATCTCTCGGTTCCTGACCATCAACATTCGCCCACAAGTGCTCTCGACAGGGTTAAAAAGGTAGACACTATGCCTCCCCGCCCTTCTGACACACCCGAACGCCCTAGGCCTGCCCTACAGGCCCTGGAACCATTCCTCCGCCTCCTGGCGATCTCCCACCGTGAGATCGAAAGCGTCGTCGCCGATGCGCTCGGTCGATGCCTCGGGCTCTTGACGCGCGCGCAGTGGAAGGAGCTTGGCTTGAACCCCAACCGCTGGCGCGCGTTGTTCATGTCCATACTCTACCTGCTGCGCGAGGACGGAGGGGCCGAAACGGGCGGGAAAGGTCGCACCCGGCTGGACGACCCTCTCACGTTCCCCGATGAAGCGTCTGTCGGGTCAAAGGCATACGAAGAAGAGCGAGCCCTCTTTCGTCGCGTCTCGGGTGGTAAGGACGTCATTTGCTTTTCGTATGTGAGTATGCGTAACGTGGTCTCGTTGCCGTTGAACGTGGACGTGTGGACCTGACGCGTGCCCTGCACTGCGCACGCCTCCCCCCCTGTCTCACTTCGCAGGCCTGGACAAGCGTCATACGAGCAACAATCGAGACCAAGATGCACAGGGTCTTCGTGCCAAAGCTCGTTTACTCGGCGGATTGGTGGGAGGACCGTGTGATGATGCTGATCGTCGGGCTCTTTGGGTGGAAGGATCGGGTACCTGCGGTCCTTCGCGTGTTCGCCTCGGCCGGCTTTGTGACCCCCTCCGCCGGGGGTCGCCACCAAGTCTACGAGCTCAAGGTGGCCGAAGCGAATTTTCGGAACCAGACCCTCAAGCGGATTGTCGAGGCGATGCTCTTGGTTCCCCTGCTACGCGACAGGGCGACCCACCCGGCCACTGCAGACCCCAAGCTCGAGGCCGCTCTCCGTGCCTTGTACAAGAAAGCCCACAAGATCATCCCCGATGCCGCGACGTTCGACCCGATCTACGCATCCGCCCGCCAAGTGATCTTCGACGCAATCCAAGTCGTCGAAGAACACCTCGACAAAATGGTCGGTCCGATTGAGCGCGATCAACTCCGCCGCCAGCACACGCTCGGCGACCTGGTGCAGGGGAAGTTCAAGTTCTTGCCGACCCAGGTCCTGCTTCCGGCACTGCACGCGCTCAAGATCAAAAGTGGTCGTAGCTTAGGCATCGGACCGGTGAGCACCCCTTGACACCTTCGGGCGGAATTGCCACTGCATTGGTATAGCCAAGTGAGCGCTTCGTACTGACCGAGGCTCGACCCGCTCCCCGATACTTCACAGGACTTTGCGCCGGAATTCATAACGATGTCCTTGCGCCGTACCGCAATCATCCTCTGGAAGGGACCGGAGGTTGCCCGAGTGCTTGTCAAATGGCTCGATGGGGTCTGGATCCCGTGGGCTGCGCAGCGTGCTGATGCGCAGACAACGAACGAGGAATTCGCCGGCGCCGGTCAAAGGGTTCGCGAGATGTTGAGGCGACAAGTCGACTCGAAGGGTGTGCTGCTGGGAGGGGGAGGCGGAGGCGAGGAATGGGTAATTCGTCCCGAATGGGAGGCCCAGTGGTTTACGTTTTGCGAAGCGACGATTCATGGAATCTTTTCCGTCATGACCCCACCCCGGTCGGAAGCTCCTGGCAGCGACTCCGACGGTGACGACGCCGATCTCGGCCCACCCACCCAGGTGCGCACGGTGACCGCCGCCCAGTCCGACCGAGGCCTCTTCAAGCCCAACTCGGATGGGGTTCCGCGTTACCTGACCGGCAAGGGACCGCTCGTCGTCTTGCAGCTCTTCAATTTCGAGCTCTTTGGTCCCCACCGAGTGCCACATGGTCAGTGGCAAACCAACGGCCATTCGGTCCAGATCCTCACGCTCGATGTCGCAGAGGCCGTTCTCGAAGCTCGCTCGTCGCCTGATTCTGAAGCTGCGATTGTTCCTCGCCAAACGGTCTACGAAACGTTCGACCTCGTCACCGAGCACTACCCGACGTGGCATTCGTCCAAGAACGCGGGTCCCATCTTCCGCAAGCTGATTCAGAGTCTTCGAAAGATCCCCTCCGTCCCAAAGACCGCCACAAACCCAAAGGGAGTGGGACACGAGGAGCAGTCGGTGCGCTGGGTCCCCAAACGTGCGGTCAAGCTACTTCCCACCCTCCCCGGGGGCATGCCAATGATCCAGAGGGTTGAGAACGGGAGGGAAGAGGCGCTGCAGGCCATCTTTCAAAAGGCGACTGGGGAGGTACGTTCCACTCCTACGCGAGCTGAGCGGGGGGCATTGATCCTTTGTAAACCCAAGTTTGCTAACCTCGTGTGGTGCCTTTCCTCCTTGCACCTCATATCGACCGGGTAGTCGCGGGGCGATTACGAGCTCCCCCCAATTTCCACCTGCATTCCGGGCTGCAACGAGTTGGCGAGTGAGCTCGAAGCCGGTGTCAACCGCGTTGTAGTCAGTGTCGGCATCGACCCGGGTACCAAGTGTCCCGTGGCCATCTCCTCCCGATTGTACGATCGGAACGGATGCCAAATGGAAGACGAGCTGGTCTTATACGCGTCCTCCGTAGATCACGCCCTCCATTCGACGCAAGAGCGCACACGGTTAATCGACGCCGAGCTCGGCGCCGAATTTAGGTTCGGCTTGCAGATTTCGTCGGGGCCGGACACCGCCGGAATGCCTCGTGTCGTGCCCGCTACCGCCACTCCTGGCCCCGCTCCTCGCGTCCCGGCCCCAATCGCCCCTACCGACGCGCTCGCAGTAGCTGCCACCGACGCCCATCGGTCGCACGCTGGCATATCGGACGACGCACCCTCGACCGAGCGGCTGCAGTCCGAGCCAGAACGCCAGGCAGCAGTGCACAATTCCCAGGTCCACGCCAAAGCGACCGTTCAGCGCCTCGTCGACCAAGTGATGAGCGCGACGGGTGTCCGCGTCGTCGGTGAGTGCACCAAGTTGACAGGGGCCCTCCCGGCGCCGGTCGAGCTTCTGGTGGCATGCCTAAACCCCACCCCCGGTGACTGACCACTGCGTAAATCTGGCCCGGATCGCGGGGTTTTCTCTTTTATTTTGGTCTTTCCCTTCCTCACTCAGAACGAGCCTTGAATGGAACTCGCCAGCAGCAAGCCCTCGACAGCCTGCGCTCGCCCGAGTTGGCGCTTCGAGACGACATCCTGTCGTCGGAGCCACGCCTCTTCATTTTCTTCATCGGCGCGGGTGGCTCGAGCCGTGGCACGGTTCACGCGACCTACCGCACCAACGTCTTCCTGCGGGCACTCGTTGCAGAGATCGAGCGTCTGAAGCGCGTCGGGTTGGATATTCTGGTTTACTACGTCGATGAAGATTTGACGTCGTCGTTGTGCAGTTACCAAGACTGCCGGAACGAGCACGGCCACCGGTCGAGGTCAGTCTCCGAGTTCGGACAGGGCCGAGTCGAGGTCATGTTTGCTGGTCTGATCACCAACGTTGTTCTCCTTCGGCGCCCTACCCTCTACAGGCTCAACGACGAGGGAACCGTCGAGGGCAGCGCGAAGCCGCTGTTCCGCGTTTTACAATGCGAACGCGGATGTCAACCCCCCGTCCATCGCGATTTGGTCGCAGCCAAGAATATCAGGTTCGCGGGCCTCCATTGCCTCTTCTCCGACCACCACCCCTTCAAGCAGTACCATTAATGAGACTTGCTCCTGTACTAATACGTTAGCAATCAAAGTTCGCAAATTCGGCACAGTGTCGTGAACACATTCTTTTATTTTCGGGTGCCGACTCGGAGCTCACGGCATCCGCTAATGATTCCGAGGCTATTAATAAATGAAAGTGGAACGTCACAGTGCAGCATTTCCGGTGGAGTTCACTGATCGGCAGTTTAGGCCGACATTTCAATCCGCCCGATTTGCACAAGGACTCCAGTAAAGAAGGTCGTGCGTGGCATTGAGGCAGACACCTCACTACTACAACGCTTGCTAGAAATCTCCGAGACGAGAATTTGATCAAGGTTCAAGCTATTTTCCTATGACAAAGTATATTCATAGAGCCAATCGCCGACCACCACGCTGAAACCGCTGGGTCCCCTCTGGCGACCCCTCTCCCCTCCTCCTGAATGTCAACGCGAGAACAGATTTCAATCGCATCGACCTAAGCATCACCCCACTCAGCCGATGCCGTCGCAGCCAACGGATCCACGAGTGTGCACGCGCTTATCATCGACACCCTTGACCCCGCCCCTCAACTCGCCCAACTCGACCTTCAACGCCTCGAGTTCCCTCTCCGCGCGACCGCGGCACGCCTCGATCTTGGCCGCCGTCGTAGGGGTCAAGCCGCGCGAGTTGGGCAACAAGGTGAACGCATCGGCCATGCAGTTGAGCACGGTCGTCAGGTTCTGAGGCAAGTAGCGCAGGATCGGCGATCCACCTGTGGCGATTGCGTGGTCCGAGTAACGAATGATGTAGCTCTGTTGCACAGACAAAAGATAGCGAGATCAGTCAGGCTCATCCGACAGCGCTGCCATCTCTTTCTCAACACTTACCTTGGTGAACTTCCAGTGGCGGTCCCTGAACTCGCGCACTTGGTCGACCATGAGGATGTACAAGGCCAAGCTCTCGGGGTTCTGCTGCGCAAACTTGAAAACGCCCGTCTCGGACGCACGACGCTCGAGCGCTTCGAGGTATACACGTTGCGCCGAAGGACGGTATTCACGGAACTCGCGCAAGGTCGATGTGAGCTCATTCTTGGGGTGTGCACGAGTGATCTCGAGCAAGTTGTCCGCAAGGGGGATGATGGACTGAAAGAACCAACAAAAACAGGAAGGTCAGCTGGATCGGATCACGGAAAGCTCACTGTCCGAACCTAGACTGAAGACTCACGTCGTTGGCTCCGCTCTCACCACGGAAGTATTGGGGCTCGTCAGTGCCGATGCCCTCGTAGACGACGCCGTTGGGGAACATCGAGGACGATTCGGCCTGACACGTCATAACTCAGTCAAGAGGCAAGGCACTCCAGTCGGGGTCAATCCCAGCTTCGCCGTCCACTTAGCTGGCTGTTGGCACGAGCTCCTCACCTGCTTTTCAAGTCCTGCTCACCGAGGTTGTGCGTTGTGCTTCACGTCGAGTGACGCGCAATCTGAGGAAAAATCGACTGCAAGCATGCAAGTTAAAGAACAGTACGGAATAATAATAAACAGTACAACAAACAACGTATTCCAAACCACCCTCTGAACCGCCGAAAGACCAACCCACCCACTCACCCCTCCGCGCCCCCACCCCCACTATGGCGTCCCCAGTCCCTGCGCCTTCCCAACACTCAACGAACCACTCCTTCCCCTCCTCAGAGCCTCCCTACACTCCATCCCGATCTCCTTGACCCCTTGCACCTCTTCGTCCTCCCATGATCTCAGTGCAGGTTCCCACAGCCCCCATAACGAATCGGCTCGGGCTCGATCGTTCACCAGAAGCGCTTTCAAGAGGATCGGAAGCGAGAGGAGCGCGGGGAGGTGGATCAACGGATCGAAGCGCGAAGGTGGAGAAGGGTCTTCGGAAAGGACGTCTAGGCGAGACCGGTCCGCGGTCGGCTTGGATGTGATTGGGGGGAGAGATCTATTTGGTGAGGTGGGGAGGTCGATCGTGCGGACGGTGTTGGGAGCGAGTGTATCCGACAACTGCGCGATCGATTGGAAGGCTGATTTGAGCGAGTCGAGAGACGCATCCAAGGCTTCGGCACGGGACTTCATCTTGCGGATCGTATCGCTTGCTGTGCGAATGGCGTAAGGGTGAGGTTCAGCGGGAGAGCTCGGACAGGTCGGCAAAGCGCCGTGGCGCGGGCCAGAGACTGACCTTGAATCAGTTCGTGATGGTGGTTGTACACGAGCGACTGACGTTCGCCATCGAGTTCTCGGATCTCTGGGTCAAGTCGAGCCTTGGCAAAGTGTCAGCCGTGGGCGGCTCGGAGAACGTGTCAGAGGGGGCCACGAGCAGAGGGACTCGCCGTTGAGCAACTCGTTCTCTTGCCTGAGCAGCTCGGGCAAAGACGCGTTGTTGCTGATGCGATGAAAGTACATGTCCGGACTGAACGATTCCGGGGAGTCTGTGAAGAGAGCAAACCTCAGTGATCCGAAAATCGCTCGCAACGACGCCCGACTGACCGATATCGTACGGATCACCCTTATTCGTCATCCCGCCGCCCTGCCCATGCCCGCCCTGAGCCATGATCTTGTAGTTCTGCAACAAGTTCCTCGTCCTCCTTTTGCGCTCGCCTGTTGCCGTCCCGGGTGCACCACTTGCGCTGGTCGTGGTGGAGAAGGACTCGGACGCGGCGCTCGAGGCGCGGCGGAGCAGGTGCGACGGCGTCGAGGCGAGGGCCGAGATGGAGGTGGGGGAGGCGGATTTGGAGGGCGGGATGGCGGCCATGCTTGACCTTCGTGAGGCCATGCTGGTCCAATAGTCACCGCACTGAGTTTGGGCCGCGCGAGATGTGGAATGTGGAGGCGAGTGATCAACGTTCAACAGGCGAACCGCCAACGTTTACGTAGCCAAGAGCAGCGCAACTCGACGCGTCCGCTCGCGTCCGGACAAAGACAGATTGGAGCTCAGCCAGCGGGCCCGGCCAGGCTAATAGGCCAGGCTATATAATAGTATTAGCTGCGAGGCTCCGCGAGGCTCCGCGAGGCTCCGCGAGGCACTGGGCAGACAGGAAGACTTTCAAGAACTAGTATCTGAAGATTGTCCCAAGGTTTCATTGTCACATGGGGTATGTAATGATAAGGTACGTTCATGCATGTACGGTGGAAACAACGTAAAGTCTATCTATCTTCTACAGGACCAAGAGCCGGCAGCCAACTGCGGTGCCTGCCATGATCCGACCAGTGCTCACGCCGGCGCCGGTGGCGAGCGGTTCTTGGAGAATTGGAACGGCGGACTGAGCCAGGAGTCCCAGCTCGCCTCGAAACGAGGATCGGCGTTCACTTTCAACAGTCTGCTATCGGAGATAGAATTAGTGGGCTCTTCCGAGAAGGCTCGGGCGCTTGACAAGACTTACCGCAACAAGAACCGGTAAGGCGCGTCGGCCGGGATGTCGATCTTGTTCGCAGTCGATTTCGCGAATCGCGCCTTGAACTCGCCTCGAAGTAAAGTATGCGGCAGCGCTCCTGCGATTATACAGCCCGCCTTCCCCCCCTCCCCGGTCCTTGGGAGAGTCCATGGCATATCGCAAATTAGCGCAAGGGTCGGCGTCGCCTCGTAAAGACGAGATGGATCCGCAGCCGAGGGGACCTGGGACTGATGCAGGACGGGGTTCGCCGCATTGTTGCCAGTCGGGACCGTGGGAACGAAGCTGACATTCGCGAAAACAAGATCGATGGTATCGTGCATCGAATACACTGGAGGCAACAGACGGTGAGTGAAGTGGGAATCTCGCGCGACAAGCCACACTTACGGCTATTCGAGAAATAAAGTATCAGCCCGAAAGCGTGGTAGCTCGTCGCCACCTGGTTCGGTTCTCGTAGTATTATACCCGGAGATGATTCATCATCCCAATCTTTCTTGGTGATATAGGTCCCAACGAAAGGGTATCGAAGGCCAGGGACGCCCCAGTCTCCAGCCGCACTCGTCGTTGTTTCGAGCAGGCGCGCTTCCTTATAGTCGGCCGCCAATCCGAAAAACGGTAGACGGTATAGCCCAAGCTCATCTCCAACGGTCCTGATGCGTATATATCCAGAGTAAAGCGGGAAACGCTTCGCCACAGTCAGGGAGAATTTGGGCGGGTCGATCGTGATCCGCACCTTCACAGACTGGCCCGATGCGACACTGATCCGGCTCGGCTCGATCACGACCCGAGGGGGTGACGTCCAAGGAAGGGCATTGATCGAAGTGGTCGGGAAGTCGTCTACTTTTGCGTCCTATCAGTTTGGAAACAGTGTGAGGAATATCCCTCGTCAGCTTGCCTTGGTAGACTGCCTCACCCTCCAACAGAGAGTGCTCATACATGGTCGTAGAACGCCAGCGTCATTGCGGTCTCGAGCTCGGTCTCGAAGTGATATTGGACTGAGCGGTCGTTCTCGTTTGTCACGGTCACTTCTTGCTCGGTGCTGGATAAGGAGAAGTCCCCGATAGCGAGAAGATAGGGGTCAAAGTAGGACCGGCCAGCGTACGCTTGATCGATCGCGATGAGACCTGAGAATGTGAAGGTCACGAAACTAGATCAACGTTAAGAGGTAATTCGGAAGCCCCACAACTTGAGATAGACCAGGTTATGTACCTCCTCCTTGTTGTAGCACCGAGGCAAGCTGGGACTGGTCAATGGGCAGCGGTGCGGGAGCGGGAAGGGACGTTGTCGTAAAAAGCGAGCGGATCTTGAGAGGTGTGAGTCCACTGCGATGCGACAGGAGAAGAGCCGAAGCACCAGCTATGAACGGTGCCGCCATCGAAGTACCGCCCATCACTCCCGCTCCACCCCATCGTCTTGGGGCCGTGGATAAAATGGGCTGCCCAGGTGCCGACACCAGTGCTGCTGGTTTTGCAAGATCATATCTAGGCCCGTCGTCCGACGTCTGTGCGACGCGAGAGCCGTCAATATCGTTGGCGAGATCGAGGAGCTTTCGTTGCGATCGGAAGTTGACCACGAGTCCCGTCGGGTGCGCTTTGACGTACCCAGCAATCTGCAGGAAAGGTTCAAGTGCACAGATGACAGAAACCTCAGCCAAAGCATTCTTCCTTGGCAATCGCCACTATAAAGTGCTCGGTTCAGATACCTTCTCGTGGGAGTCAAAGGTCATTCCCACCACATAAATATCCAAGCCTGCTAGATCCGTGCTCCCCGGCGAGTCTCCCCAATCGTCGATCTGCGACGAGAAGTAAGTAGACCGGGGGTCGGCGAGGCTTGGCGCCGTCAGAGCGAGCACGCGCGCGCCGTGTTCGTGGGCGAACGCTACCAGTGTGCCGGTACACATCTGGTTGGCCCTGATGACTACCAATGTCATACTCAGGTCCTGTGATACTGTTGCAGATGGTCGGCACGAGGTCGAGGCCTCAGCGCTGGGTGATTCGGATGCATTGAGAAGCATCACTTTGAGCGAGTCGGCAATCTCGACGCGATGGGCACCCCAAAAGTAGGGCAGCGGGGAATAACCGCCCGTTTCAAACGTGAGTTCGTAGGCCAGTGGTAGTTTGTTCACCGCAACACTTCCTACCGAGATGGTGGTCGTGGCAGCAGAGGCATACTGGGAGTCAGCTATTCCCCCTCCTGCCTCCGCGAAGTTGCCACTCGCGGCCACCACGACGACACCCTTTTTCTCAAGCTCGGCGAGCAGGAGCTTGCCGGGCACATCGTTGGGGGACCCTATGCCATCGTTTGAAGCCACACTCATTGTGATGACATCACACTTGTCATCCATTGCGCGCAATATTGCCGCCTTTATGTCGTCGGTCCGGGCGTCCTCCTCGTGGCACTCCATAACTTGGTAAGCACCCAGCGACACGCCTGGAGCGACACCACTGAACCCAAACCTGTCGGAAGCACTCGTTCAGCGCCGTTGACTTCGATCATACTCTTGAGCTGGTTACTGGGCTCGACTAACGTGTTTGGAAGTGCTGCGACGATGCCCGTGACTGCGAGTCACTAGAATGACGGAATGAGCGCGCATCTCATTCCTTATTAGCTAGTAGGGGGACGGACCGTGATTTCCATGCTTGGAGCCCCTGTCACAACGTGCCCGGAAATTGGTATGCATTAGATATTATTTGTCCTATTGCGATACCCGCGCGGCGATTTGGACATACTCGCAGTCGCTGTAGGGGTCTGGCCCGGGGGGCTTGGAACCGTGGCCGGTAAAATCATAGCCGACTCTGATCTTGGACCCGGGACCGAAAGATCCTCCCAGTACCTCGTTCCGATAGTCGACTCCCGAATCGATCACGCAGACAGTGACGTTGGAGAAGCCGAACAGTCCTTTAGCACGCAACTTGTGGAAGCCGGTCATGATGTGCGGGCAGGATGTGTCGTCGCGATAGGCATCGTCTGACTTTAGGACCCGAGGTAGCTCTGCGGTAGACCATACGTTGGAAACCCCACCCTCGGCAACGAGAAGCCGCTTGCTGGACTCGCCGGAAGAAGCTTGGACCGAAGCGAATGGGTCGATCTCAACGCCTGATTGGCCTGAAGTTGGGCTGGTAGTGGTCCGAACGCCACTGCGAGCAAGCCGGAGGACGGGGGTAACGCTCTGGTTGCCAAAGAAAGAGAAGCACACAAGGAAAATTTCTTGGTGTACATAAGGGATTTGCATGGTGTTTCAAGACAAGAATCACACCCACTTTGACTCCCGGAATTTTGGCTAGATCGTCCCGAGAAATCTTGTCCCCGACGCGGATGCTGAGACCGCAGAAGGCATCCAAATGATACCGGTGCTTCGTCACGACATCCGGGACGGTCTCCGTTACAGCTGCCAGTAAAGTGGTCACATGCTGGTTCGGCAAGGAAGCGGAAGATGCATGCGCGTCAATGTCAATGAAGGTGCTGTCCACCTTTCTACGCGGCTCGTACGGTGTCGACTCCTCCCCAGCGCCGGGCAGGGTCACTCTGGGCCCGACGTCACGGGAAGAGCTCGGGCAGCCTGGATCGAAGCAAGGGTGGAAAGGCTGGACTCACTTGCTCCACTTGTGCCCTATTACCCAGGTCTCCACATTCACTCAAGAGGATGAAGGCGCCAGGGACGACCGCGTTCGCTCGAGGCCGAAGATCGAAAGGTCCCGAGGTGCGACTCGCTGCCGAACTGGCGAAGATCGCCAGTGACAGCACCGCGGCGACTAGTAGTAGGCGATGGACGTTTCGCCTGAAGGTGTCGACCATGAGGATGCGGCGTGTGACCCAGAAAAGGTGAAACAGACTGTTTGTGCTGATGGTGAAAGATCAAGCGCCGAGCTTCGGCGCTCGGCAGTGGTCGACGGCGGAAGTGCACGCAGGCTTGAACCAGTTTGAACCGCCTTCAACTCTCCAAAGCCGCTTGCACAGTGATTTTTAGCGAGAGAGGTCATGTCATGTTGCAGCGGGGCTCGAGAAACCGAAAGGGACCGTGTCGTAACTAACAACTCGGTCACTATAGAAATGTATCAAAGTAAGAAAGAGACATTAGAGTGTAAATAGGGAAGGTGGGCGGGAAGCTTAAGAGACCGAGAGATCGCTTTGCGAGGCGTAGCGATCGGGGATGATAAGTAACAGGGCAACTATGACAGAGACACGGCGTAGCATACCTTTGCGAGGCGTAGCGCAGGCGTTCGACTTCTCCATAGTGCGCGCTGTTTGTGGCGTTTGTTTTAGGATGGAAGAGTCGAGTTGCAGTGATAAGAGAAAAACCCGCACTCCGTAACAAATGGAGGGTTTTCTAAACAGGAGTTATGAACAAGTAGGGTGGGAGGGAGGAGCTCAAAAAAATGGTCGATCGGCTTTGCTCAAAGAGCGCAGGTCCGATTAGTAACTAAAACACTGCAACTGACTTGGGGGATAGGGCATACCTTTGCTCGAAAAGCGCAGGGCGATGGCAGGGGAGGAAGGCGACGCGGTAGGTAGACGCGGCCAAACGAGGTCTGTATACAAGGTAGCCCCATGAGTCAACTTGCCCAACAAGGACAAGGAATTTGGCAACATGCCCAACAAGGACAGTCGTGATCCGGAATGCGAACCTTAGCTAGAAACAGCGAGCCGCGATAGTGCGAGTCTCGAAAAGTTCGCCCTTGCTCTAAGCAGTGGGTGCGATACGACCTTGCAAAGCAGCGGGTACGGCGGCTGCTTACAACGTAGTGGCAGGCTAGCTCATCAGTCCAACTGTCCAACAAGGGCAGAGGGCTTACGAGGGATGTTACCCACTTTGAGTGAGTAGAGACTGGCAGGGGGGGTGCCGGAACCACAACACGAAACGCTAAGGCGTGCGGGACGACGAGGGAGAGGGAGAGGAAGGGCCCGCGCGCGCCAGCGGGTGAGCAAGGCGGGAGGCCCAAGGGGGCCGAGAAGAGTGCGTGCTGGCACAGGGTCCAAAGAATGCGTGTTCGAAGAGTGGAGCGCGAGCGGGCCCCGTTAGGCCGAGACCAGCGCGCTTGAGCTGTCCGCGTCAAAATCTTGCAGCAAAGGCCGAAAAGACTATCAATACAATTGAACGAGCGTCCGGGAAGACTCCGCGGACGGTAGCCTATGGGATGCTATGCGTTAGTTTGGTGCGCCCAACTAGGGCGATCCAGGAAAGGGTAGAGGTCGTACAGAGAGGTCGCGGGGAACTACTGCACGGCAAGTGAGCTATGAGTACGTCGTGCAACTAGCCGAGCGTATTCTGAACACTTACCTCGAGCGCGTGGCAGGCGTGCGTGCGTCGAGGGTTTCTGGAGAGCAGCGGGCTGCTGTAAGGTCCTGATGAAGGAGATTACTGGGTGAGCGACGGATCGCTTGGATGAGGATCCAATGTTGGAGGACCAACTGACCCTTGGCAGAGGGTGGCAGTGCTGGAGCAGCGAGCTGGTCCCAGAATGTGTCGACGGTGCGGAACCGAGGAGAGGGTAAGCGGCGCGGACGCAAGGTACTCGCAGAGGCTGAGGCTCTGAGGAACTCACGGAGAGACCTAGGACGCTGAGCGCTCCGGGGAGGCTAGGAATACGCTGAGCGCTCCGGAGAGGCTAGGAAATACGCTGAGCACTCCGGAGAGGCTAGGAAAATACGCTGAGCGCTCCTGAGAGGCTAGGATCGGCTGACGCTGAGTCAGGACTAGAATGCACGGATGCGCGCTTGAACAATGAGCGTGGAACTCTTACCGCTAAAGCTGAACAGACATCAACAGGGGCGCCTGACGCAGTGAGACGCGTAAAACTTAAAAAACAGATTTTAAGATCCTCACACTGTACAAGCTGTGCTCTATGTTATCACTTGAGTGAATCTGCTTCCATGCCAGGCATCACGCAATTTCATAGATCGTCCGATGCATTCACTGCAACGACGCTCAGGCCACTGCAGTAAGTTCGGGTTCGGTCATCGAAAAAGCCCGACTCGCGACAAGTGCAGGGGTGATAGATCGCAAGACGGAAAGCAAGTGACTTACTTACTGTACAAACTCACTTGCTAGTAAGAGATCACTCGAATTTGTCGTATCGTCCCGGGCTTCGAGTGAACCGCTTCGAATCTGCAGAGCACCTCATAGCCAGAAACGGGTGCGAAATCGTCAGACCCCCTCAGACGCTCTCAGTCTGTTGGAGAAGAGCTCAGACTGATGGGGTCTGACACCACCTGAACCAGCATCTCAGAGCTAGTAGAGCATGATATCAGAGGGTCTTATCAAGTTCTCATACAGAATTCTGTCGAAAATCTTCTCCAACAGGCTGAGTGCCGCTGAGATCCTCCAGAACGGTCTAAATTCCCTCTGAACCGCTCTGATTCGGTCTGAGATCGGTCTGATATTGGTCTGAGGGGGTCTGAGGGGTCTGCGGATTTGGCACCCGTTTCTGGCTATGCTGAAAGCTGGTCTGATGTTTTTTGAAAGCTGTTCAGATGTTTTTGGACCACGGATTCTATTGCTAGTGAGTTTCGACGACACCAAGTGGAAAGCTGAACCCCAGGTCCTACCACCTCAGCTCCTACTATGCGACACGGGACTACAACGCACATACACATCCTACAGTACAATAGTGAAGAATATAGCCAGCACTCGGACGTTCAAAGACATGCCCAACGCAAAGAGTGAATGGCCGACAGCGGGCGTCTCGTCTATCAACGTCTTTGAAGAGCTGGCCTTGCCCCAAAAGGAGGTCGTTCTCCCTCGCCCAGCATATAGCCAGCACTACCCCTGAATCTCATCATGCCAAGTCGAGACTTGGATCGAGGACTCTGTTGAGGCGTGACGGGACGAGGTGGAAAAAAACTTGGGGAGAGCGAAAGGACGGTCGCGTCGACGGGGCCAGGTTTTCAGGGTTCCCCATTAGATGTCAAGATATCTATCTTAGCATATCTCGCTAAGATATAGATGACATCTTATCTAGGGGCCGAATATCTTAGATAGATAGATAAGGCCCCGGGGGTTTCCTTAGATATCTTTAAGATATCTTAACTTTTTTTGTGTCTGGTACAGACTCCTGTTGCGCTGGAAGTTGTAGTTTCCCCTAAGGAGGTTCTTGCTCCCTAGCGAGGATATCGAATTTATGATCGTATTCGGCTCAATCTCTAAGCTCGACGCCCCTCCCTTTGGGAGGGGCTTGTGAGTTATCCGCGCTTTTGGCTGAGTTGCCCTCCGGAATTTTGGCCCTGAAAAGTGCCCCCTTGCTGTAGCATGGCATATATTGGTGCTATCTGAAAACTGGAGGGATACGTCTTTACTTCATCATTATTGATGAGGCTTCACCGAAGCTTGAAGTCTAGGAACGCTTGATCATCTCGCTACAGCAGCTTGAATCAACTGATTCCGAACGAGACGCAGGTCGGCGCACGGACCAGTCGTAGTCCAGTCCGCGTCGAAGGCTGCATAGATCCAGGTCACTTAAGCCCGGCCGCGCCTCACGCATCCTCTCTCTCCTCCACTCAACATCGCACCTCCCCTCATGATGAGCCATGTCGGTACAAACACCGAGGCCGGTTAGCATCAATTGAGTTCAGGGCGTCTCCCTTGCGATCAGCTTCAAGGGCCAGTCCTACGACCCCAGCACCTAATCATTCAACCAATCCGACAACCGTTCTCGGTCACTGGAGGCCACGTTTGACTCACGAGGACCGACGAGATTCCAGCGAATTACGCAAGAAGATCAAAGTTATTCTGGGCGAAAGTCTTGACGAGGACTCTACCCCCCGGCCTGTGCAGATCGAGGCCATTGCTGCCCTTTTCGAACTCGATCAATTTGGGAACCGGAATCGATATGACGCTGTGTTCGTCACAGCGCCAACAGGTTCAGGCAAAAGTGTCATTTTCGAAGCAATGTTTCCCATTTACGGACGCCGGGCCGTCACCATTGTTGTCAGTCCACTGAATGCACTGAGCAATCATCAGGTGAGTTTTTCTGCCGACTGGCTTGCTGGACCGACATTCGTGCTGATTTCCGCAGTCACATGCTTCTTTCAGGCTGCCAATCTCAATCGAAAGGGAAAGAACGCGATTGTCGTATCTGAGGAGACCTGGAGAGACGGCGAGCTGTACAGGCAGTTGGACGACCCCAATCACAAGATCTCCTTCATTCTGATCGTATGTGCCGGTTGACCTCCAGTTTGAGCGAAGTGCACATGTCTTGATTTTCCTTTCTGTTTGCTGCGTGTCAAGTCTCCTGAAACGCATATCAACAATGCAGATTGGGCAAAATTGATCTCTAAGGGGTCCTTTCGAGAGCGCGTCAAGTTGCCCGGTTGCCCGTCCATGACGAGGACAGGGGGTGGTGTGCATCAAGGATCGCGAAGACTGAGGCCAAGATGAGGGACCAGTCGAGCAAGCGCTCGATATATCTGAGCTTTGATCCCGGTTGTAAATGACGAGTCGGATTGAGGAGTTGGGAGGAGATGCTGGAGATTGACTCGGGGTAAAGACGCTTGATGTGCAGAGTAGGCTCGAAGGTTGTAAGCGCCGGCAATATCTCCGTTCTGAATGTGGGCGTAACCAAAAGTTCGATGAAGCAGCTCGGTTCGTCGATCCAATTGCCGATCGTTGACATGATGTGTGACGTCAATGTTGTCAACGGTCACATGGAAGTACTTGTTCGAGCCAATCTCCTTCAGTTTCGTCGAATTCGCCTTCGTCAGCTCGCAGCTGCCTGGAGAGTCGCCCAGCGAGATGTCGTCAAGCCGCAATCGTACAGAAATGTTGTCAATCGGTCGTTCGCTCCACATGCGAGAGTCATGAGACCGTTGCGATGCTGCATGGCGTTGTTCCTTCGGTTGCAAGCGAATGCGATCTGACCCATGACACTGCGGTAAAGCTGCGGCCAGCGTGTTGATTTTTGGTGTCAGTTCGCTGCGATACCCAGCCGAGCTAGGGTCAGAAACACTCACAAACTCGATACGCCTTTTTTAGTGACCAGGCTCTTGTTCTTGCTCTGGATCGGAACCATTCTCCGGGGTGGCTTCTTCCATCTCGACAACAGTGGAGGCTGTTGGGGCCTTGTCGCAATTGATTGGCTCAGCCGGTGGTGGGTCTCCACATTGTTATAGCAAGTTACGAATCCGTTCGCTGATAAAAGGGTTGTCTTCGGCGATTGCATCGAGCCGTGCGTCGATGTGATCGGATGCGAGGACTTCGGGAGTCAAGTCATGGCTAGCACTGACGAAGGCGCACTTGGTTCGCTTCATCTCTTTAATGATGATTGAGTCGGCCTGCACGCGGATAAGGCAAGTATTCAGTAGCTTTTTCGAATCCGGAGAATCAATCTGAGCAGTACGAAGTGTTGCCCACCTGCTCGGCGATCCAGTCATTGATTCGGCTTCTTGACTGTGTGCCATCCTCGCTTGCAAGTCGTAGAATAAGATCAAGTACACGCTTGAGGCTGGGCCAGTTGCTGTTAAACAGCTTTGGTCGGTGTGTTTGAACGCCTTCAAATCATGTGGATGGGCTGAAGTACCACGACAGGTATTGACATAGCGAGAGATCGCGGCTACGAAATTCAGCGAACAGATCCGCCTCGCGGCGGTTGTTCTGGCGAGTTGACGAGGTATAGCGTCTGCTTTTTCGGGTCATTTTTGGTTTTAGATATTGTTGCGCTTGACGTGGACGACGGTGATCGTGAAAAGAGGAGAATAGCGAAGCGGACTGAAAGGGATCAAGCCGAACGGAGCAGTCTCGCCGATGATGAGAGTGCCACTTGCACGATGCGCTCGGACCATCTGAGGCCCGATCGACCGAAATCGCAGACTTCGGAGCGCTGTAGCTCCACCCACAGCTTATGAAAGCTCTCGCCACTTAGGCTATGTCATTTTTAGAGCATAAAGAAAAATAGTATCCTTCACTTTTGCATGGATGCGCCTACTTGCCAAGTTACAGAGAACCACCCCAAAATGGCCCTGAAATTTCGGAGGGCAACTGGGCCAAGCGCGCCGATAACTCGTAAGCCCCTCCCAGAGGGAGGGCTTAGTTGAGCTTACTCAATCCCCATGTTTGTGCCCATGGTTTGGCCCAACCGCTGACCGCGGGTGAGGCGGCACGGCTTGCCGACGGGCCAATTTAGCACCCCTTCAGACGCTTCTGCTGTCAGAGTGCTTCATCAACTAATCGCACAGAGAAAGGAGGTGCAATTGTGAAATTTTGGCAGTCTACCCGCCCCGGTCCTCTTCTTTCGTCGCACACTTGCACACTTGCACACTCGCACTCTCACACCTCGCCGAACGACTATAATCGATAGTCTTTGCGGAAGCAGTATGGAGTCGGACCTCCCCACGGCTGAGGAGGAGCTTGTGAGTACGGAATACGCGGCGCCATCGACAGAGAGGCACAGACTTACTTTGACTGAGAGCTGGCTCTGCAAATGATCTCTGGTAAGCTCGCTAGGTCAGCTGAGAAGAAGTAAAAGTCAAAGACGTCATGGCAGTCGTTCCAGCGGAGGTGGACATTTCGGACGACTCTGACGACACGGATTAGCACAACGATCGGCATCAATGCATTCTCCCGCTTGACTGAGCAATGTTTCGTCTTCCCAGCACTTATCAATACAAGAGAATCAGAAAACAGTGAACAGAGAGCCAGCTTTGCCAGTTCATCCACATTTTGTGATACTTACAATGTCGTACTGGCCACCCAACAGGCTCCTACGAGTCCCAATCGACCGCCTCCAAGCGAAGATATCTGGCATCTTATCTCCTAAGATATCTATCTATATCTCATCTTAACCCACTTAGATATCTATTAGATATCTAGGCATCTATCTAAGATATCTGACTAAGATGGGAGATAGATAGATAAGGGCCAGAGCCCATTTTTTTTAGATAGATATCTAATATCTGCGAGATTATCTTATCTAATGGGGAACCCTGCAGGTTTTGTTTGAGACGGCCGGCCTGACGCAGCCTGACGAAGCCTCACTCATCCTGACGCATGTCGTCGCACGCGGGCCATCGCCGGTGTAGGGCCCGGGTATATCTCTCAATGGGCAAAGATCGCCGGTTTGACCAGATTTGACCTTCTTAGAACGCCAAGCTTTGCTGTCAGTAGCCAGAACCTCTTCCGAATCAATGAGATCAAAAATCGTCCAGGAGCTTTGTCAAGGGAGCGTTGTCACGTGACCAGGCATCCAAATGACGGTGGTACTAATGCTCGCAACATTGTCTGGAAACGTCATCATAGCTCATTGCCAGCCCGCTGGTATCAGAAAGAGAACAGACACATTGGAGTAGTATTGGCTGGTTCAATTAATGTTTCTGTTTCTTGGACCTCTCGCTCTATGATCATGTTCTAGAGCCCTTTCCGAGAATGGGTGAAAATCTGAAGAAAAAAGCGGTGTCGCAAATGTCTCTACAGTCAGACCTGAGAAAATTTATATCGCCCAATCTTATACCTGTCAAAATTTATGGACTTTTCAATCTCCCGACTTTTTTGGCTGACAGAACCTGTCCAATCTTACATCTTATAATTTGACCTGTAAGCCCATAAATTATAAGATAAGAGAGAGCCGGAAATGAGCGATTGATCAGGAATTGGCCTCTCCTTCGGCGTTCTTGTTGACGAGCCGCCTGCTGGAAGAGTCCGAAATGCCCCGAAACAGCCGAGAAGCGAGCACAGGAGAGCAAAGGCGGCGGTTGACAATTTTACGAACAAGTACGACCCAAGTGATATCTTCAACATGGACGAAACCGGTCTCTTCTACGCTATGCGTCCGTCTACGGGCCTTGCTCGGAACGGTCGAAATGGTGTCAAGATGAATAAGACTCGCATCATTGCGAGCGAGACATGAGGCGTGGAACGACATCCGCCCGAGACGATTGCCAACTGCTGGCGCCACGCTCAAATCTTGTCTGATCGCAAGGACAAAGGATCGACCGACCATACACCTCTTCCCAACGGTCGCGGGCCTCTCAATGGCGATCGCGGCATCATCAACGCGATGAACGCTCTGAAGACGGCGAACGATGAGCTGGTCGAAAAGGGCATAGTTACGAGCAACGAGAAGATGAGTATCCACTTTCTCGTCGATGTGAAGGAGGAGAACCTTGCTGGTGGGGCTGAAATGACCGATCAGGAGATTGTGGACCTGGTCATTGCCGAAGAGTTGAAGGAGAATTGCGAGGGAGAAGGAGGAGGGGAGGAAGGGGAGATAGAGCTCCGACCGGCGGAGTGAACCACGCTGCAGGAGGCAATCTCAGCGCTTGATGTTTTCCTTAGGTTTGCTATGAATGGATACTCAGGTCCAACGTATTTGATTTCTTTTGAGGACGAGGCTAGGAGGATTCGCAGGACTCTTGTTGCCGAGCAGGATGCCGCGAGGATTCAGACGACAATGACTTCGTATTTCCAGCGTCAGTAGGTCAAGATATTTTTTCTTGGAGCTTTCAAAACTTGTTAGATGTCATCATGCCTCAGTAGAGGTCGTACATTGGCTGCAATTCAGTAATACGGGCCTTCTGAATTTCCTCCCCCTCAAAAGTCAATGTATCGACTCAAACGATGCACGAAAATTCTTGATTTGATGTAGGAAGCTCAAAAACGGAGTTTCAGGTCATAATGTAGTGATCTGAAGCCGCACTCTCCAAGCTTATACCTGTCTTAATTTATGGGAAAATCCGTCCACCGAAATTATAAATTTTCTCAGGTCTGACTGTAGTTCGGCTAGACATTCCCACTCCCAACGGCACAGCTGCGTGCCGCCGCAGTCTTCTCTTCCCTTTGTCTTCCGCCGTCGCCGCCGCCCTTCACCGGCTGGCTCTGTTAGGGGCAGCACCGCATGTCTCGCCCGAGGTACAAGAGATCGGTAACAAGACCTCTCCTCACAGAAACAGCGAGCTCCCCCTTGGCGGTGTGACATGCTCTTGAAGCGATTACCATCCGGCCCAGCTCTGTGGGTGGCACTCTGGGAATCAGGGCTCGGTCCAGTTATTTGCTGTAGGAGAAATCTCAGTGTGACCATCTCGAACCGAGCTTGAACCGCGCGGCCCAGGTCGGGAGTTCATGCCCCCTCTCCTGTCGTAGCTGAGAGAGCGAGCGATGTCGCTCTTTTGAGCACAGACCGCGCCGGCGCTTTCAAGCTCACCGTGTCTGCTCGCTAACCACCACGGTATGAATATTGTATCACTGGTGACACACCGATCATCTATGGTGTTAATCAGGGCAAGGGTGTCAGGCCTGCCTGAAATGTCTCTCCTGGTCAGGTTAGGGCGGCTGCACATAGGGGCCCTGAGCGCAATCGGATACTACTGCGAGCCGGGGCCTCCTCTGCCCAGACAATCCGTGCGCCGGGCCGATTTATTCAGCGACTCGACGCACAGATCGCCTCTCTCCCTCCTGCCATTAGCTGTCTCAGCTACACTAGATCACACAGTGCTTGCGTCACCCCCGATCGACTTGCTCGTGCAGACTTTGACCAGTGGCGCCGCCTCAATCGCTCGTGGGTCAATCAATCAGCGCCCGCCCCCACCCCGCCGGTCGATCTGCAGAATGTCTGGCCCGTACCTCTCGCCGGCCCTCCCGCGCCGGCCTCGCTCAAGCTCCGGCAGCTCCACGGCCGCGACCGCGCAACGATTCATCGCGGCCACGTTTGGGAGCCGCAACCGTCCCAGCACGAGCGACGGACACTCTTCCATGAGCCACCATGTCAACTCAATACACAAATATGTCAACGGCTCTTCCGCGCATCCTTCTAGTCAAGTTCATCCCTTTCAGGACCTCAACTCTGGCGCCGCGGTGCCTTCGTCGTCACTCCTGATCACGGACGACGGCGACGAGGGACCGGAGTGCCCCATCTGTGTGGAGCCCCTCAGCCATCGCTTGCAGGGTGAAAAGGCGCATGTGACCCCAGTCTGCGGCCATCAGCTACGTGAGTGCTCCACCTCGGGTGTTCGATGGCTCGGTGTTGGGGGACCGCCGATCAGCGAGGGCTGAAAAGTCCCGACAAGGCAGTCGGCAAATATGCGACTTCGGGCCGGGATTGCGGAGTCCAATGGCTCTACATGCAGAAGTTCAAAGCTGACACCTTTTGTCTTTCTAAAAATGCAGATCACGAGTGCTTTAGGTGAGTGTCCCGAGCCCCCTTGGTGGAAGATAGGAGAGAGTCCCGCCTGATCATGATTCTAACGCTTCACCCGACGAATATCTGCACTTTGACACAGACAGGTGTACGGCGATGTGACACAAGCAAGACTGAGGAAAGCATCTCTGGGACTGTGTGGCATATGTCGGTCTGACATGAGATTGGACGAATCGGGTGACTGCGGGCCGGTGCGCAAGAACAGTGAGTGGTCTGCCAGTTGACTCCCTTGACCTGAAGTCTTCATGCTGACGAGATAGACTAATTCTCGCAGAGTTTGCGGCACTTACTGGAACTGGACCGCTCGGTGGTGACGCCGACAGCATGCTATCTTCCGCTCTTGGTTCCCGTCGCTCCGAACACGGTCAAGAAGACGACGATCTGGTCCAGATCCCTCTCGGAGGGGAACTCGAAACACCATTACACTCCGCTCGTACAAGCCAGGGTACCACGAGCAGTAGTGGTACGTTGCTCGGCCGGCGAGAGAGCTCGACGACCGCGAAACCAGCTCCCTCAATCAGTGGCCGCAGCCCGCGCGGCTTTCATCTCGGCCAAGACATCATACAACCTGTAATCTCGGTTCGCGCAGAGCATCCGGCCATTGTGCGCGGAGGATGGGAGGATTCTGACAAGCACCATCTGACCTGCATGGTCACCATCGAGATGCCTTCGCGCTGGCCCACGCCGGACCCGAGATCGGTGTACCTCCCCCCAGGTCCACTTGAAGAGGGTCGTCCACTTCATACGCGGAGTGGTTCGGGGTTGTACGCTCAGCCGCATGGAGACGCTAGCCATTCAAGGTCGAATTCGGGACAGTCTTGGATGGGTCCGCATGAAAGAGCGCTGTCGTCTCCGCCGTCCTCGATCCACTCAGCCTTCGCCTTCGCCTCGACGATGGCGACCAACACGGAGCACGATAACCATGAGATGAACGAGCAGGTGCAAGACCTGAAGACGCGCATGACGGATTGGAAGGGGCACTCGCTCGATGAGTTTGGCGCGCTGAAGTTGTTCAACTTGATCAGCGTGCGCAAAGACGCCAATACCCGAGATTTCCTCGTCTATGTGAGTACCGACCGGCAGCCTTGGCCAGTACCCCGGCCGATGACTAGACCTGACCCAGCCTGAGGGCCTGATGCTCTACAGCTCTTCTCCGAGGCTATTATCTTTGTGAACGAAGAGCACAGGCGGGGCCTGGCGCACAAGATCGTTGATGGCTTGTCGGGTCAAGGCGACAGACTTCGTCTCAAAGGTCGCGTCTACGTCCGACACATCGATTTGGTGGTCGACACCTCAAGTATGACCACTTACTCGCTGACAGTGATCATGAGTGACGATGCTCTTGACGAATGTGAGCTTGATCAAAATTATGCGGTATGACGGGTGAAGTCCGTGAGCTGACGAGACCTGGCCATCACTGCGCAGTCGTGCTGACGTTCCGCGACCGTATGACGCTGGAAAGATGGCAAAAATACCTGACTTCACTGATTAATTGCCACAAGCTACCAACCAGTCCCAACTATCATTTGCAAAGTGCACCACCACCGGCACCAAGCTCAGGGGCTCGCTCACGCGCGATGGTGAACTCATCTTCCAACGAGTCCAACTCGAGTGCGGGAGGTTCAGCAGAGTCGTGGGGAACAGGGGGTTATCGTTCCTCCTCATCGGGCTTCACTCGCACTGGTGGAACCGCACCTTCGACCGTTGGATCGTGCATGATTCCCGAGGAAGGATCGACTAGTCCCAGACCGAGAACTCGTGCGCAGTCGAGCGACTACCCCTCTAATATCTCGGTCGCAGCACTCTCCCTCGCCGGCCCTCGAGAATTTACTTCACTGGACCTTATGCTCATTCTCTCAGTCCCCGTATCTGGTCCGAATCATCTCAAGATCGGGATCCTGCGCAACACACTAGATTTCATCATCCAGAACGTCGGCCCACGAACTCGCATTGCCATTGTGACATTTTCTGCAGGTGACGGTGCTCGAGGCCTCCTGCGCAAAACCCCCTTTCTCGCTGTTGGCAAGCAGGAAGGACGCAGGCGACTGGATGCTGTCGTCGCCGAACTCGGCAAAGGTCGAGGCGAGTGCGAAGCGTTGGTCGAGCACCAGGAAGATCGAGTGAACGTCGTCACTGCGTGCAACGTCGCGCTCGACATCACGCTGCAGCGCAAGGTCAAGAGCGCATTGACGGGGATGATATTGATGAATGACGGCAAGGACGGAGCTCAGAAGCAGCACATGGATCTCGTCATGGCCCGAGCCGAAGCGACGGCTGTTCCGATCCACACCATTGGCTGGGGCCGTTCCCACGATCCTTCCTCCCTCTGGCTCTTGTCGAATCATACAGGGGGTAGCTACACGTTCGTCAAAGACTTCTACGAACTACGAGAAACAATGGCGGGTTGTGTCGGGGGCATTCTCAGTATCGCAGCGACGAACGTCCGGCTTCACATCTCCGTGCCCGAGACGCGATGGCTGCGCATCCGGAAAGCGTCGGGGGCGCCGAACGCGATCGTTTCCTCTGCCGGAACCGACGTCGATGTCGACATTGGTGAACTACGCTTCTCTGAACGCAAAGAGCTGCTCATCGAAATTGAGATGTCGTTTTCCGGCTTCGAGTCCGGACGAGAGCCAGCGGCCACAGGCAAACCGCCTCCACGAACGGAGGCGAACAACGCGACCGACGCTTTCTTCTTGCAAAATGTGGGGATGAACCCGTCGGTCCTAGAGAATTACGAGTCAAACAACAATTCCGAAGGAGACTATGAAAGCATGCCCGACGAGATTGCGCTGTTCGAGGTGAGTGTGATTCGGCATTTTTGGTTCTTGCTTCGGGACTATAAGGGGACTCACGAAGCTTCCCCCGACGGTCTCGACAGGTGAACGCCGCTTATCGTGATCCCGCGGCTGGTATAAGCCTCTCCAGACTTCACTCTCCAACAGTTCTCACAGTCGCGATCGTCAACTCGGATGGCACCCCTTCGGCCCGCCTGACGTCCAAGAGCTCAGACCCCGAGATCATTAGACGCCGAATGGAGCTGTTGACGAGCGACATGCTTTCTCGCGCTCTGTTGCTGGTCACACGTAAAAACGAAGTCCAAGCCCGCCGGCTACTCGAAGAGACCAAGCGCATCATCTCGACTATATCCGGAACGCTCGTCAACTCAAGTGCGCCCCTCGCACCAGGATCTCCAGGGGCCTGTACCGCTGCCCTGCCGACAGGTCTCTCGGCAAAACAACGCCGATTGTGGATTGCCGCGACCTGCTTTGCCGAGACGACGCTTGCCGCATGCGCTGAAGACGTCTCGCGTGTGCTCGATGGATGTGCAGAAGGAAGTGACGCCTTTACCCAGCACGTGCGCTACGTCGCCGCACAAAGCACCGTCGTGCTTCGAGATCAGCGCGCCTTTACGAACCAGTCCGCGACTGAACGTCTTTTTTTCAGTGCGGACCACGCCGTATGGCTTGCAGCTCGTAGTCGAGACTGGGTCAGCTGCTCATACTGAATGCTATTTCTCATATTTTGGGCGATAAGCAAGGTTTTTGTGTTCTTTCTTGTACCTTTTGCATCATCTCGACATCTCGACATCTCCGTCGCAATCAGTTTTATTCAGTGCCGCAGGTCTGTTCGGCCTCTTATTTGATCGAAGTTGCTTAAGATTAGCTTGGCTGTATTGTATTGTTTTGCATTTCAAAAGTTGCACTCGTGGGTGGTCAGCTCGCACCTCGCAGACATGACAGAACCGGTGACGACACAGGGGCCTCAGATTCTTCCCGATCGTTCGGGCAGGAGGGAAGGAAGCAGCTCGAGCGGCACCAACGACCGCTCTTTGCTTCCTTCCGACCAGCTCGAACTGTTGCACCCAGGGAGTCACGTGCTTGCCATCAGCCTCAAATCAAAATCATCACCAACACATCTTCGCCTACTCCTCCATGACACCACCAGTCAGGTGTTTGCGATCGCAAAGGAGCTCGCTCACGCTTCAGGCACGGAGCGCAGAATCATTCCTGGAAGCGACCTGACCAATGGGAAGATGAGCCAGGCGGGTGCCTACATTCGACACATGGCCATAGGATGACCCCTTTTCCCGTCCTCGTCTGATAGGAATAGAGTACATCGTCTCGGAGCGCATCTTCCCAGCGCTCCCTGGCGAGGACAAGAAGTACTGGCACTCGCACCGCTGCGAGCTCGAGGTCGGATCTGGCTTGCGGGCGCTGGTGACTCAGACGGGCGCGGCCCCTTTCGGATCGGATCGTCTTCCAAGTCACGTGATACGTGATCCTCGTGCCCCGGAGAGGCGCAATTACGCATTCGGCCAGCTTCGCCGTTGCCGGTCGCCGATCGCTTGGGCGGCCTCGCGGCGGTTGCTCGCACTCGGCATCTCCGACTTCCCCCCCCTTCCATCGCCCATAGTCGTTTAGCCCCACGTCCCGCACCACTCCAGCCATGTCCACCATCGAAGAGACAGTGCAGCCGGCGGTCAGCGACTACCCTACCGACTCACCCTTTGAAGCCGAACTCGAAGCGGCGCACAAGCTGTTCCTCGAAGAGCTAGCCTCGACCGAAGGGTGGGAGGACTTTGGCGAGACGAACGAGGTGCAGCTGCACAGGAAGGCGGATCCCGATGTGAGTGGTGGGAGAGTGCGACCATACTGCCCTGTACTGTAGCATCTTGTGCTGACTTTGTTCATCATCGTCAATCCCTTGCTCGTTCCCATTCTCGTTGCCCCATCGGTTGTGGCTCGTCGCCCGCCGGCAACATGTGCCCCACCTCACCACTTCGCCGGCTTCAAATGCCCGCCTACTCGCGCTTAAATCGTGCTGCTCTTCAACAGGATGCCTACGCCGTCCCCACCGTCCGAGGTGAATGTATCGTCAAGGACTGCACCAGTGATGATGTAAGCCCGTATTTGCGATCTTGCGCTTCGCAAGTTGCCCGCCCCCACACGCACCACGTGGAGGTCTTCGGCTGGCCATATGCGACAGGAGGTTCGTATGCGCCTCCGGACCGATATTGGCCAACAAATTCCTACTTTATTGATCTCTACAGTTTCTTTCCATCCTTCAACTGCCTGGGTTGCGCAAGCGATGGGACCCTCGATTCGATTCGGGCATCATGGTCCGTCGATTCAACCGCTTCACGTACGAGTTCTACACGACCATGCTCGGCATGGGTTGGATTGTCTGGCCTCGTGATATAATTGGTGTCCAGAAGAACTACAAGTCGTTGGAACTGAACCAGGAGATTGTCGTCGTGCAAGCTTCCGTCACCGATGACGAACACGGTCCCGAGCAGTCGGGCAAAACCCGAGCGACGGTGACCGTGTCGGGATGGCAATTGTTGCCTCAAGGCAGCGACCTCAAGGTGACTTACATTGTCAAGATCTCGTTGAATGGATCGATTCCCCTGGCGATGGTTCAAAAAGTCGCAGTCGAGATCCCCCTCTGCACCGGTCGCGCGAGGGACATTTACTACGAACTCGGTCACGCCCCTTACGCCATCCCCCATGACGGCAAAGAGCCTTCGGTCGTGTTCCAAACAGAACACATGTCCGGTCCCGATTCATGGGGAGGTGTCGGTCCGCTCGAGTACCGTTGCGCGTTCACCACCTCCGCCGACGGCATCTTTGACATCAAGACGGACGTGCAAAAGTTCTACAAGGACGGTGTCGAGGCGGCGATCGAAGGAGATGGTGGAGCCGAAGTCTCGGTCGATGATGCGACGGGGTTGGTCACGGTCAAGTGCACCGAGGCGGGCAAGTTCAATACCGTGGTCTTGACCAGGAAGGAGTGATTGCCTCTGTGCGTAAGGCAGATCTCACTATCGGTGTCGTGTACTCACTTGGCTCAAGCGTGCGCTCTCCTCTATACCTCGAAAATGACATTACAATATGGACCGCAAGCCAGTGTCTGCTATTGCCTACTAAGACCACATGTCCGCACAACTAGAGCTTGTACTTTTTCGCCATTTCGATGCCGGCGGCAAAATGGTGCAATCGGGCGTCGACGGTATAGCCGAGTTTTTCGTAGGCCTTGAGGTGCAAGTAGAGTTCGGCGAGCGGGGTCACGCGTACTTCGATGTGTTCTCCTGATGAACGAAGATGTTTTGGACTGTTAACTGAACGCAATGTGGATGTAGACAGGCTAAGCAAAGGACTTACCTGGCTCCAATTTGGGCTCCGGCTCTTCCTCGCCTTCCTTGAGCTCAACCTCGACCGTGGCTGGTGGATGAAACGAAAGGGAAAAGGGATCAGTGTATGCTGACGCAAGTCCAACCACTGTTCGAAGGCTTACCAAGATGCATGTTGGCGACACTCATGCCTGGGTCAGAAGGAACGACGCCCCCAAGCTCAACGATCTTGATCCTCCCTTCGAAAGCTGGTCCTCCATAGCCCGTCTCCTCGTGCAATTCCCTCAGCGCGGACTTTTCGGGTCCTTCATTGGCATCGATCAGTCCCGCGGGGAGCTCGACGCAGATCGCATCGATAGGTGGTCGGTATTGAAGGATGATGATGGTCGACAAGGGCCGAGAAGGGTGTTTGAGCAAAGTGGCGATCGCGACCGCGTCGACGCCGGCTTCGTTGGTCGTCTTGCGCCTAACGGTCTCCCATTTGCGATCCTTGCCGTCTTGGTCGGTCCATTCGAGTGCGCGCAGTTCGATCCATTTCGCGTCGTCGAGGGGCTTGTTGGAGGTGATGACGCTCTTGCCTAGGCGAGTGGGAGCGACCTTGGGCAGAGGCGAGGAGGAGAGGGAGGATGACGACATGGCTCGTGAGATGGTGGTGGTGGTGGGGGTGTTGGTGAAGCAGCGATGCCACGAGCGAGTACCAAGCAAGAGTCGAGAGGAAGCCAGCTTTGAGGCTCACGGTCCGCGCGTTCGGGAATCTATATAAGGGAAGCCGTCGCTCGATAATACTGGCGCTTAGTGCGGGAAAGGAGGAAAGGAGAGCGATCGTAGACGCGCGCTACCAAGGAAGGCGGGGGCCCCCACTTTCTCACTCAAAGCGCTCACTGCATGCCGAACAGCGGGTCCGGGCTGGTCCGGGTCCCTGCGAGTCACCGCGTTTCACCGGCCTCACCGCGCGCGATCATCAAGCACCCTTCGGGCCTTCGTCGGTCAAGCGCTCGTTACCCACTCTTTCACTCGTGCACCACCAGTGACTGTGTCTCTTCCCCGATGCTGTCTCTCACCCGTAGTCCGACTCCTGGTTCCCCCACCAAAGGCCCTTCGCTGACGACGTTGCCGCCCGAGCTGACGCTACGCTGTCTCGAGTTCGCCTCGGCTCAGGCGATCGTGAGAGTGTCCGAGACGTGTCGCAGCCTGCACGCGATCGCGCGTTCCGAGCTGCTGTGGCGCCAGATCTGCGTATCGATACACACCTCGGATGGTGGAGAACCTTTGTCCGAACCAGTACGACTTGGTGGCAAGTTCGTACCCAGATCCAAGCACCTCCACCCTAGCTCTCCGCCGCCGGCAACCGAGACCGACACCGTCGATCGACAATCGTCGGCGGCGCAAAGCTCTCACCGTTCAGACTCGGCGAATTTGAACGACGAGTCAATCACGGACTGCGATGGTGATGGCTGGTGGAAGCAAACCAGTTTTCTGTTACCCCACTCGCAGCATCTCGGCTATTGGATATCCTCATCCCCGTACACGTGAGTCGCCCGTGGACTGGAGCCGGGCGACGCTGTGAAGATTCGGCGCTAATCAGGCTTCGACCGGTGTGCAGTTCCCGCATCGTACGCTTAAGAACGTCCCTCGCAGAGACCGACACATCCGCAATACCGACCCTGACCATCACCGCGTCGCAGTTGATACCTCGCAACCTGTATCATTCGCTTGCGCACCCACCCCCGATTTTGCCACACGGATGCCGCCGAGATGGGCGCGATCATGCCTCGTACTACGTCCCCCGTCGCGGTCCAGGATCCGCCACCCCTGATCGAGGTCTATCCGTCGATATCCTCGATCCAGAGTATGGATGGAGGGACTTGTTCAGCATCAATGAGTCTTCCGGAGCGCTCCTTTCGACAGCTCCGTACTCGGGCACATCCCCAGACCGATTCGGCCAGCAGCTTCGGCTACGCTTGGAGAAAGTGATCAGGGATGTGCTCCACTCGACAGGTGGTTACCACAACGAACAGGAGCGCAGTCGCCAAGACGCAGACAGTCTGATCAGACTCTTCACCGGGCGAGCGCCGATCCGACCTTGGCCCACCGAAGAATTGGTAGGCGTTGACCTTGCCCCAGCCTCAACTCCGACTCGCAGGCGAGGCATTTTTCGCGGTATGAACGAATGGGTTTTGGATCGAGGACAACCACGCAGTGTTACGCAAGAGGTGACAGAGCCTCATTCACCCGCTTCTTCTTCGTCCATCTCGCTCCCTCGTTCGGTCGGTGATCTTGCCGATGGGACCGTGCCATTTGACGACCCCCGTCTGGGTTCTCGCACCGTCGTCGAGGGTTTCCATCTCCAAGTACGACGAAAGCTCACGACACTGCCGGGCATGTTTTCGCGGTCACCGCCTCAAAACGTCCTTCGTCAGTTCGACCCGCTTGGTGGACCCCGAGTTGCCAACGCAGAAGTCCCTTATCGACCCATGCGAGGGCCGAGAGGTGGTCCCGAGATCCTTTGGAACGGTGGGCGCGACCTCGATCCAGACCCACACCCCGGTGTTGCAATAATTCGAGCTGGGGGAGAAGTGCTCGGCCAGCCGGGCGGATTCGTGTTCCATTTGCAGCCCGAAACCCTGCTGCCGACGCAGCCCTTGCCGCAAGAGCATAATGAGGAATACCACGGAGAGGAAATCGTCAGGACCGATCGTACGTTGTAGCAATGAGGTCCTGAGTTATTGTAGCACTGCCTATTTTGCTAAATCCGAACGATCGTTCGTGCGCAGGCGAAGAATTTTACCTCATCGTGGCGCCTTCGAATACGATCAAGTACGGCGACACGATACCCGCCACGGTCGGTCCGGATGGAGAGATTCTAGCCTCTTCCTTGGAGGGCCTCTGGTGAGTTGTCCTTCCTAACAGCGTTCACCGTGGCATATCTGCCTGGCTACATTCCTCCATACCGAACGCAGGATTGGCACCTACGGACCGCACGGCCTCGAATTCGGCTACATCACCGTTCGTCTCGTCGCGAGCGATACGATGCCGTCCGTACACCCCGATGCGACAGTATACGAACGTCAACTCGAATTTTGCAAGGTCACTGGTGATGCGAACGTGCCGTCGGGTCAGGTGAGCGCTGCCCTACACGCGTGTTCGGCCAACTCCCAACTCCCGAGATAGGGGTTGATCATCCGTTCGCTCATTCCCTGCTCCAGATCTCTTGGGCAATCCCTCTAAGCCCCATTGAAGAAGTTGCAAGTTCGATCGACCAAGTAACCCTCGGTACAATCCCAAGTGTGAGGAACGAACAGCTATTGCGATGGTCCGCCTTCGATCCAGACGATTGGAATGGTTCTCAGGAGGTGCCGGATTGGGATCAGGGGACTATGGAAGGATGGGGTAGAGTTGCTGCTGTTGGGTGCGTTTTCAGACGCCCAGTCCCTGGAATGCCGAAGAGGTCTGACCTTCATGCGGATCTTTTGTTTGCGCCAACAGGTTCTCCAACGCCGGTGCGACCCCTACCCAGATGATTTTTATCCGATCGACCGAAACGATAGAGCCACCTCCGGACGCACCACTTGGAGCAGAAACGAAGCGCATCGACGTCGTGGAAGAGATCCGATTGCGTTGGACCGAGATGGGCAAGACGGCTGTGTTCAAACGAGTGCGATTGCCGGCTCGTTGATTGGGTATGTTCAGAGGATTGGAGGAAGGACTCGTGCCGCTTTTGGCTGTCTCAGTTGGAATCTGTGAATTCAATCTATAGCGTGTTGTATATTCTCCTGATAGCGTTCCGTCGAGTCGAACCTTGCTTCGTTTGCTTTCTTCCCGAGAGCCCTCCCCGGCCGAATGGCGTTCAAGATTGAATGCGATTGGAAAATCTGTACCGCTTTTCATACGGCCTAAGATTACACAAAGGTTGTGATTTTGGTTTTGTTTTGGATCGTCAAGGTCTGATCACTGCACTAGGTCAAGACCTCCACTCCCCCTTCATTTGCGACACCTTCATCTCGGCCCGTTCTCCATGTCCATCGTTTTGCTCCCCTGAATGTCTAAATAATACTACTTGCGGATGATTGACGAAGCATTTATTCGGCCTCGGCGGCGATAGCACGGGTGTAGACGAGCTGTGGGATGCGCAAGGGGGACAGTCAGTCTCTACAAGTGAGCCAGGGAGGCGGAGGAGACGGTGCGCTGACTGACCTGGGAGGTGTGGTGAACGACGGGCTTGATGAGGCCTTCCTTCTCCAAGTGACGGATCGCGACGCGGGCGAGCGAGCCGTTGATCTTCATTCGGTCGATGAGGACAGATTGCGAAATGAGCTTGTAGGTCGGGACCTCCTTCATGATGCGGTCAAAGGTGGCCTTGTCGCAGACGACCGCGTTGTTGGCCTTGTCCTTGACCTTTCCTGAAAGCCGTTAGAGGAGAGGACCGTGGTCAGTACCAGTGCAGGAGGATGTGAGACCAAAGTGCTATTCACTGACCCTTGCTCCACTTCTTCTTCTTTCCAGCTGCTCCTGCTTTAGCCCTGATGAGTGAACGGAAGGAGCGTCACGGTCAGCAAGCAGTTTTGCATCATGTGTCGAATGGTTCGGTTGAAATGTTAGTGCGGTCGAGGTAAACGGCGTGATGGAGACGTCAACGGCATTGCGGATCGTTCGGGCGCGCGCATGAGGTGGACTGGCGCGTGTGGGCTGGGCCGAGCTGAGCGGATGCGTCCTCATGGGCCCTTACTCGCATCGGCTATGGTCGAGGTTGCGGTTGCGGTCACCTTCGCTGGCCACCATGTCTTGTGCCAACGCCTCTACATCCATTGTTCAGGCATCAGGCATTCCTGGCCCCAGCTGCGCTGTGCTCGTTGTGCTCCGTCCTTCATCGCAGCTGTGCCTCCCTCGCGCGCCCGCGCCCGCGCCCGCTGTCCAGGCGCGCCGTTCAAAACGTTCAAAATCGTTTGGGCTTGGGCGTGGGCCAAAGGCTGGGTGCGATGAGGCGCACGCCCCAGGCCGCAACCATCGACGCCCACGCAGCCCACTTCGCCTCCCAACCAGCGTGTCGCAGCTTCGAGTCGCGGGTCGTAAGTCGATGCACAAGAAGGGAGTGGGTGCCGTCCGTCGAAGTGGGTGGGTGACCCGAGGAGGCTTACATTTTGTGTTATGCGAGGTGGGACGAGGGGGGAGCGAACGAGAGCTGGCCGTCGACTTTCGCGCCTATCCTGCTTCGCGCTGGCGGGGCTAGGGCAAAAAAGGACTACCGGTTTCCACCAGTTTCGGCCAATTTCGGGCACTCGCTTCCTCCACCCACAGGGGTTTCCAGGCCGTTTCCATCATGTAGTTTCGTTCTTGCCAGTGCAAAACCTGTTGCGTCTGGTCCGGAGTCTAAAGGACACAATCTATAGTAGAACAACAAAATCCAAATATGACCAGACGCAAGTTAACCATGGTCACGACAACAGATGCGGGTTCCTCGCCCACACATCCAAGATCAACTCCCCGAACAGGCCATTGGCCCATGCGAACCAACTCCTCGTGTACCGTCTCGGATCATCCTTCTGGTAACTCTCATGCATCAAACCCGTCCCTGCCGTACATTCCTTCAACATGTCGAGGCATTCGAGGATCTCGTGGTCGTCGTCCGAGGTCAGGGCACGCATGATGATCGACATGGGCCAGATAAAGTTGGGCCCAATGTGCATCCCGCCGATCCCTGTGCCGGCCGACCCGGAGAAGTGCCACTTGTTACGCGGCGAGAGCACGAGCGACCGCGTCGAGCTGTACAATGGAAGCGTGTTGTCGCAATAACCGAGAAAGGGGAGCGACAATAACGAAGGAAGGTTGGCGTCGTCCGCGAGGAGGTATCCCCCTGGACAATGATCAAACTCGCGTTAGCTTCTTCACCTCACAAGTAGGTGACCTACCCTAAAGTGAACTCAACCATATCCGTCGATCTCATAGGCCAGCACAACCTCCTCTTGTCCTTGCGCATTCATTACCTTGACCATGGCCTGTGTTTGGATCGCCTCGGAAACTTCGTTCGCCAGTGCTCGCATCTCCCTTTCGAGCTCGCCGAGTTGAGTCTCTTCCCGCACCGATCGACTCGATCGACTCGGTCGAACAATATCCGAGAGGATGTGAGCACGAACCACGTCGGCAAGCCTTCCCAGTGAAGCGACGAGATAGCAGTTCGAAGGTATCAAAAACGGAAAAACGGTCGCATCGTCAGACGGTCGGAAAGCCGATTTCACCAAACCTGGTAAACCGAAAGTGGTGGTTAGTCAAATCAGCGACAATACAATGAACGACAATCCCGAGACCTACCACATCGTTTGGCCGGTTCTCCCAATCCCGACATAGCCCGCGTCTCACTCGCCGACGAGGTCGGTCGTTGAAACTGGTAGACGCCTTCCGCGCCGTCGTAAGTCGGCTTTCCCTCCGCCTTAACCCACGGCAGACCCCCAGCGAGCGAGCTCTCATCTCCTTGCGCCCGAGTCTGCGCCTCTTGCAGCAGCTCGTACTCCTCCTGCGAGCTGCGCTGTTGCAGTCGACAAATCTTCAGCGCCAGCGTCATCGCCTCGACCCACTGCTCGTTGCCGACGAAATCGGTCCTCGAAGAACTCTGGGCCAGTTTGGCGGACAAGTCGAAAAAGGCACACAGCGAGTCGAGTTCCCATTTGGATTCCCACACGCGTAGTCCATGACCATGCCGGTCCAGAACGGGTTTGGGTGCGACAGGGTGTATTCGGTCGAAATTGTCGGCAGTAGAAACGTTCGAGGTCGGAGGGACGAAGGCATTGGAGAAAGGGTGTAGATTGATGCACGAGGCCTGGGCGTAGATGACGCCTAGTATGAGTCGATACAAGGCTTCCCATTCTTTTTGGTCGGAAGTGTAATTCGCGGGATTTGTACCCGGGGGCGGCGCAAGGAGTGAAAGGTAAGGGGTCTGTTGGCGTGCAGAGAGGGACAGGAGGTGGAGGCGCGCGCGGAGAGGCCATTTCAGTAAGCGGCACGCCGGCATTCCACCGAGGTAGATGCAGGTGCGTTGAACGTACGACCTGATTGGTGCTATCTCGTAGCCACATGGCAGCAATGTCGCCTGTCAAAGTCAATGTCGACCGTGATGAGTACACCGCTGCTGCTGCTGATACTCGCCAAGGCCAGCCGGGTCGATCGCCGTGGCACCACGCGCCGGAGTCAACTGACCGGTGATGACCCAAGTCCTCGGCTGGGCTCGCGCCAGGTCGGCCTGGCCGTTGTCGGCAAAGTGGTCGAAAATGGTCGTGTCGAGCGTGTTGAGCCAGCAATTGGAGAAGAGTGTCTGCAGCGATCGATCGCGGATCGAGGCGAGGCATTCGACGAGACGAGCTTCGGCGAGCGCACTGACGAAACAACGATCAGGCACGCTGGGGCGACAATTGGGCAGAGGAATCGACATCACCGGCCGGCTCGAGTTGCCAGCAATTCGTGTATGGGCCTAAGGAGTGGTGTACCGTCTAGCGAAGGAGCGGTGGCCTTGGATGCGTGTGTATGCGTGAAGCGGCCGGTCAAAGCCATAAAGTGGCAGGCCAGCATCGGCTGTGTGGTCATGTGTCCCAGTCATATTGAAAGGGGGCCGGTTGGGATTAGTAATTCGCCGATTGGGGGCGAATTGCGCGCCGCGGGCGAACCCGCGCTATTTGAGTAACGAGCGCGTCTAAAGAGAACAGTTTGAATCGTGCACGTCATGCAAACGAAGTCGACCCTGACGAGCCCAGACACTGGCCGCACAGGCTCAACAGCTCAGCTCAGCTGCCGAGCAGTCGCGATTTGACTTCGCCGACAACACAGGCCGGGGGGACGCATGCGGCGTGAAGCTTCGACACGCTTGTGTTACACACTTTTGTCTTGCTCATCTAAGTACTGAAGCGCTGATTTGGACTCGGGCCAGTCGTCTCGAGCTCGTGTCGTCGACTCGTCGTTGTCGTCGTCGTCGCGGCTCCCCCCATCGGCAGACTGCCAATCGCCCAGCAGTCCTTCGGCATCGGCAGAGTCGTCCTGGGTCAGACCCTACAGCGCCCTTATCGCTGCTCGTCCAAAGCTTGGTTGTGAGTGCTAGTTCAGCCTTCACGTTGTCCACGTGCCTGCTACAGGCTTGCCTACGACCCCGGTGTGGGTCACGTGCGCTTGTGAGCTCACCCCCTCGACGCTCCGCCGACACGACCTCGTCTCCACCTCGGTCGCCCACCCACAGGAGCGTAGACACTGCGATCTGGCATCAGGTCCTGTACCGACCAGCACGATCTCAGTAGACGCCGGCACGATCGAACAAATGGTCGCACACCATCGTGTCCCTTACCAGGTCGATCCTGTGGCTGACATGAGCTCGCCGTTCTTTGACTTTGCACATGACAGCGGCTCGCTCGCCCACGCCAAAGCCACACCACCACTCACCACCCCACCACACAACGAGCCAGCTCGCTGCCCGCCGTCACGTCACGCTCCAGGGAACGCCGACGCGTTCATCACGTGAAAAACTGCAGACGTACTCTCAAGTCTACACCTTCTGGCACATACGATCAAATCGGAAGAGCCTCTAGAGTGATGGACTCGCCGGCGGTTCAGCATGCAACATCAGCCGCTCCTTCCGATCCCCTTCGAGCCCCGCGGCCACCGAGCCACCGCCTTCCCCCTCCCCTCCTAGCACCGACTCGTCCCACAAGCACACCCCCGAGGACTCTAGCGCAACCCACACCACCTCTGGCCCGACATCCTCGTGCTCCTCTTCCTCACCGTCGTCATCGTCATCAAGCGACACGGCCATCGTTTCCCCCTCGATGCCGTACGCGCGCAAGAGCTCCTCCCCGTCGACCTCGGTCGGCGCTCTGTCGCCCCTCGCGCCTTTACCGAACGAGGTCTTCCTCCTTATCGTGCAGCAGCTCACCCAGGTCGAGCGCACCCGGCTCTGCCTCGTCTCTCGTTCATGGGCCACCTTCTTGCACAACGAGCCCCGGCTATGGCCCAAATTGAGGATCAAACTCGGCGACGATGACTTTGGGGTGGCCCACTTTGAAACCTGGCTTCGTCGAGCGAGCGTCAGCCATACTCGCCACGGAGGAGGACTTCAGCAGTTGACCATAGTCCTTTCCGGCCAACGTACCCGGTTGGCTTGCTACCCACTGGATCGGAACCTCTCCGACTTGGAGTACGTGCAACGCTTGCAGACAATCGTCGACATGGTCCGCCACGCGTGCCTGATGCGGGTTCCATTGCCCGACGGCAAGACTCGGCTTTGCTCTTCCCTGCGCCACCTCAAATTCATCAGCGAGCCCAGTACAAGTGTTACTGTCATGCTGGCCCACACGCTCGTCCAATTTGCTCGCGACCCCCTTTTGGGCGACCTCGATCTGTGAGTGATCCATAGGGTGCGGAGTAGACTCCCTCAAGCTGACGCCTCGATGCGCCACAGGCTCGACATGTACTTTGGAACGCCGTTGCTTCCGGCTAGCTGGAAAGCCCTGTGGTCATGGCCAACTGTGACCACCGTTTCTCTGCGGTGCGGCCGAGAGATGGAAGGTGAACACCAGCTCGACTTCTCGAGCAACTGGTGTCTCCAGCCCCCAGGTGGGCCCCTGTCATCACACCTCTACGCCCTCGAACACATCTCGATGAGAGGGATCGTAATCGTACCGTTCGATTCGACTCCAATGGTCATGCCAACGTTGACCACCATCGTCCTCGTCGACGTCGACTTGAAGGGCATGTCGATCTATGCGGTGGTGAAAGCGGCGCGGCATACGCTTGTTCATCTGGAGCTGCGGGAGGTGTCGATAGGCGAAGTGACTTCGCAGGATGCCGTGATCGACCATCGCCGGTGCATCGAACAACACGACCCGCATCTGCTTGCCGAACTCCGAGAGTTGCAAACCAACGGGCACTTCCGCGAATTTGGGGTCATTTGGCGAGACGAGGCGATCGACGACGACGGAGAGGTGATTCCCGCCGACCCGACGCCGATCATCTTGCCGGTTTTGCGGTCGTTGATCCTGCAAAGCGAGATCACCCTCCCCATTTTCACCTCATTGGACAGCGTCGATACCGGGACGGACGACCAGTGGCTACCCACCCCCTTTCTCTTGATGCCGAGTTTAGAATCGGCTGATCTGATCGGGCTGACGATCGACGCCCACGATGCCGCCGCCGATGAAACGCGCAACCTGCTCGTCGTCCTCGGTTTGTGCGCGCCCTATCTAACGAGTCTGTCGGTCACGGAATGTGACTACGATGAAACGAGCCTGGCTTACTGTCTCATGGCACTCAAGACAACGCTCTGCTCGCTTGTGCTCTACGACACCACCACCTCGGATCAACTCATCGCGAATCTCGCTCGATTGGCCCCGACGTTGGAAACCTTGGACGTGCAACATTGTAAAGACATATCCGCACAAGGCGTAGCTCGTCTGGTCGAAGTCATCCGTGAGCAATCAGGTGGCCTGCACAAGCTGTCGACCGTGCGCATCGACCACCCGCAGACGCGAGACGTGGCCGACTTGACCGCGTACGAATGGCTCGACTTCATTGGCGCCCTGTGTCGCGACGAGACGGACTACGAATCGCTTGGACCGCGTCGCTATACGGCAGAGTGGTTCATGTGGAAGAAGGACGGAAAGCTCGACGTTATGCACCCGTACAAGGAGCGCATGCGGCTCGAGGAAGAACTGGTGCGGCAACAACAGGAAGCGCAGCGCCTCCGCGCGCAGAGTTTTGCCGTTGCGCAATCGCCACGAGAAGCGCAAGGATCACATAGTGGTGGCGCGATCGCTCGAAACGGGATCGCGTCTCCTCCAATGTGGCATCGAAACCCCCTGGCGGGCCCAGGACACACCCCCGGTCCCGCCTTGCCTCGTGGAGCCGGGCTTGCCGAACTCGCGGCGCTTCAGCAGCAGCGTTTCCAGCTGCAAGAAACGTCGCAGGCCGGATCGATGACTTGGGTCGGGATCTCGCTGCAAGGCATACCGATGGGCGCTGTTGGGTACGCACCACGGGTCCAAGGCGCACCGCCTACGCCCGTGACGCCGTCGACTGCGCACTTGCACGACCCCATCTCCGATCGAGCAGATGCAGGGCGGTTGAGTTCGCAGAGCGTCAATCCTACTATCGTAGACACGGACGAGTTCGACTTGTTCGATGGTGCGGATGTGGCCGATGACTCTCTATCAGACGACGACGACCTTGATTATCTCGAGTACGCTGAACCCGCCCAGTGATAGAAGACACGCGTCATCTCCTCACGCCCACTCCTTTGTACTTTGTACTAGTTTCTCTTCATTCGTGCTAGACCTCGCTTCCCCTGTCTTTGTCGTAAACAACCCGCTGCAAATTCCGTTTGTCCATTTTCCTACTCATGTGTGCAACAAGTCCTGAATGAGGTATTGATCCGCGGTCGTTTCGAGTGCGAGCGGATCGTATGGGAGCAACATCCGCCACGAATTGGATTTCAAATCGTGAACGCAGGACCGCAGTCCACTCTGTAGACCTCGGCTGAGCCGAGGCGGTAATGGCAACACTATTGAAGGATATTCTATGCATATATAAGGTGGGGGGCGGGGATAGGGGGGTTTACGGAACTCAGCTTTGCGTCCATGAATGTAAGAGCCGATCGGGTGGGTATGCTTAGGACGCTGATGAGGGGGTTCTGGATTGTCAAGTGGGCGCGAACAGACATCACAATGAAAATACTGATGGCTTCGGGGGCATGAGTGTGTCAATACGTTCCAACAAGTGCGTCCAATAGTCTCTTTGGTTAAATTCGAGCGCGCCTTGACCGAGAGGCCACACCAGTTCCCCTCCCTCAGGCTTCAACCACCATTCGTCGTACTCGGATGTGACATCCGCACCCGTTGCGGCGCGGGACTGACTCGACATCACTTGGTCAGAGTGGACTGGTGGATGCGAGCCGAGCCCACTGCCGAGCCTAGAATTCGTCGACGAGGTCGAAGAAACCGAGGCGTGCCGACCATTCGAGTAGGTTGAGGTGAAACCCGAGTGCTTGGTGATCGTTGCACCAATTGGATCTCGTGGAGGATGAACTGGCGCGAGTCGAGTGCGCGGCGGAACGATCGTTGAAATTTTATGGCGCAGCGCGTCAAGGCAGAGTGCGGCCTCGGAAGCGGTCACGTTGTCGTCGCCCATTTGAATCAGTGCATCGCGAGCATCAACGATCCAGCGATCGTTCAATTCAACGAAGGCTTGATCTGATGGCGTTTGCAAGGTTGCGATCGCGAGCGTCGCCGCGCCTTCAAACACATGGAAAGGCACGGTGAAGTAGCGCATTTGCTCGCGAGTAAGCTTGCTAAGAGACCCTACAAGTGTCTCAATCAGTCGTTGAGACACTTTGAATATCCAGAAAGAGTTTTCGGATCAGTTTGGCTCGTCGATAAATGCAACGACGAGTTGATCGAGCTGTCAAGCTGCGTGACTCACACTGGACAGCCAGCCGACGGGACTGAGCGGTCGGATCCGGTGCCGGCAATTCGGGGACCCTCCTGAGCAGATACCGACGATGCATCTGAATGCGATATGTGAGGATACTGAAGTTGAGGAAAGCCCCTTCTTGTTTGACAGGGGTAACGTGCTGGCTCATGTCAAAGTGAGGGGGCAGGTTCGATTCGAAGGCGACGAACATGTCGTCGAGGGCGAGAATGTCGGTATAAGTGTGGGGCCGAGACGACTGCATATAGTCCGTAATGCCTCCGCCGAGCCGACAGAGTTCGATGGCAAAAATTTCAACCGAGGCTTTTGTGTACTCCGTCAGAGGTCGTGATCGGATTGGAGCTGGATCCAATGGACTCAGTCCATCGAGATCGGCGTTCGCCGTCATATTGACGTCGCAGTGTCGATCGTGAATGACTGCGGAGAAAGAGTCTCAGGGCGTAAGTCGTAAGAAGCAGGAATCGGCCAGTGATAGCGCCTTGCGCCTTACTATACGGTCGTCCTAGCGCGATGCTGTTGCGTCGATCATGACAGTATATGCTCCACCACACTAGAAGCAAGTACGAAAGGCAAAAACTTCGAGCTGTGTCAGTTTCTGAATGCGTCCGCCACAACCCTTCAAGAAGCTCACATCGCCTGCGCAACTCGGCCTCGTATGGCAGCAAGCTCTGACTCCGGGAGGGCTCACGGTGCATCCCCTGAAGTTGGAAACGCTGGTGAGAACTCCTTCTCATGACAACAAATGCTGACCAGAATCTCGGCAAAGCTCACCAAAGCTTGAGCCGTGCGAACCCCGAGCGAGGCGAGATTGTGCGCGATATTGGGCCGGCCTGGTGAAAGCAACGGCCGTCAGATCCAGTCACACGGACGGATGGAAAAAAACGGCTGTCGGGTCCATCGATCAGCATCCGTGACTCACTGCAATTCTGGAAGTAGAGGGCTTGTAGCATGATCGCCTCGACGCGATTCAAATCGGGTGGCTCCTCGGCCTCGCTGAGGTCGCTCGCCATCTTCGAATGCAAACGCAAGGACGACTCTAGGACGCGATAATCGGCCGTGAAGCGACTTACGTAGATCGTGTCGTTGTCAGCCAGGTACTGTAGCCCTGTCGCCAGGACGATGTTGAGCAGCGAGATGAACGAAAGGGTGGTCGGCGGCGAAGACGAGCCGCCGACGGTCGAAGGAGCAGTGATAGTGTCTCTCCAGTTGAGTACGGCTCGACAATCGTGCATGAAACTGTCCTTACGAGTGACACAAAATTGTCCAACAAGTCGGTAGATCGTGGGCGAGAAGAACCAGTCCAAAAGAAAATCGGCGAGCTGCCGAGACGGTAAAGCTGCCACCAGGTCCGTTACGTGGGGCTCTGTCGAGTGCTGAAGTCTTGTAGGTCTTTGTGGTGTTTGAGACTGTCGGAGAGGCGGGAGGGTATCGCTCGAGTTGCGTTGGATGAGTAGAAGTATGCTGCTTGGGCTGCGAAACGGCTGATAGGCGTAGGAAGCCAGCCGCGCCAGATCATGAGAGTCGTTGGCCAAACCAGTGCGACCCAGTTGTCCTAGTGCTCTTGCAGCTTCATACGCCGCAGTATGGGATGCCCCGGGCACCCCTGCAACCACTAAATTTGACGAGGAAAGCGAAAGGGGCAGCCGCGCTACATCCGGGCCTTCAGCGCGCGCGCCGCTGGCGACGGTTGCACTGTGACCAGAAAGGGGGATCGAGTCAAGGGTAGTAAGCGACTCAAAACTCCCGTGTAGCACTCCAAGAAAAAAGAGCCAGCCTTACGCTGGATGCGGAGGGGATGCTCGGCGCGGGCTAGATTGAGGCGAATGAAATAAAAGTGGTCGTCAGTCATCGCACCGAGATCGAGTCGGGCCCAGCTGGGGACCGCGGCTTGGGCCAAGCGCGGCCGAGATAACCCCTATGTCGCCCGGTTGCGAGGAAGCTGCCTCGCAAACAGCTTCACCTAGAGAACTTTCAGTGAATGAGTGTCATCACGTACCTTGCCGCCGGTGACAAGCGTGGCGTGGATCTGTCACTGTGGTCCCCGGGACTGCGCAGCGGAGGGTTGCGCCTGCCTTCGATTCGGCATTCGTGTGCGACACCCCTCTGCAACACAAGGAAGGGAGAGCGCGTCAGTGGGCGCGTCGATAAAGATGGCGTATCTCGAAGCAAGCTCCAAGGTAGTCGAACGTCGCTTAGCCCAACGGCGAACGAAGGATCGCTCTGACGTGGTCGGGCACACCAATATGCGGCCAGGGCCTCTTGTGAGACCGTGGGCTTGCCCACTTTTTCGAACGAGACCCCGTCTCGGATCAACAAGGTCCGAGCCGAAAACTCGAAAAGCCGCCTGCGGCCGCATGCATACCGGACGGGGAGGGCAGCATTGACGAGGGACTCAACGTGAGGGATGGACCGACCGCGTTTCGGGAGGTGCGCCACGCCTATCGGGGTATGTAACTCGGCGATGTCGGCGATGGCCTGGGGCAATCAAAAAAGACGGCCGCGCCGAGTTTCCGGTCGAGCCACAGCGACCCCGCAAGCTCGCTGCAGCATCGTGATTGACGGCACCAACTGCTCGGCCCAAGCAGAATGAAGCAGAGAGTAAACAACGCACCTTGATACACCTTGAACACGGCACCACCTTGTCGCAGGCCTGCTTCCTGAGGTGGCAAGCAACGCAAGACAATTGCTGCCGGTTGCGCTGGCGCTTGGCAGACGGTCGTCGCGAGGTACCGGTCGAGGACGACAGAGACGTCGATGCAAGAGGAGAATCATCATTCAACGTGAACAAACTCGGATCCAGGTCTCGATTGAAGCTACCACTCCTCTTCAGCCGTGGGAGCGACGGTCGTTCGGCGCCAGACCACGAGATATCGTTGCCGTGGGAAGGACGCGACGTCGAGCTCGAGCTTGAAGCGACCATCGACTTCGGCATGCTCTGGGTAGGGGGGGAGCGCATGATCCTCAACTCGTGCACGAAGCCCCAACGCACGAGGCCCTGCGTTCGCCAGAGAGTGACTGCACAGTAGCGAGTGGGACCGGGTCGGCAAGTCGGCAAGCGAGCGGATCCGAAGCAGCAGGCACTTGAGGTATGGAACACGCGTACCTGACCGCGATCACAATTCGAGCTCACATCCTTCTTCAAATTAATCACGATATGGGACTGCAAGGGCAAGGTGATCTTGTGGTATGTTCAAATAAGTGACACCTTACCTTCCTCTTCTATAGGTTTGTGACTGCCTACGTGACCTGTGCTGTGCGTGAACTCAACGCCATGTGGAGGTGCACATGGGAACCAGAGGCACGGGAGTCCGGCGAGGGACTCTTACTCTCGGTCGCGACACGGCGTTGTGACAAAGCCCGCGGAACTCCGTGGGGTAGTCGAGACGAAATTGACAAGCTAGATTAGCTGGCCGCTTTGGCGCCCGCACTTTTGCAGTCTGAAGCGCAACCGCCTCTCAGATCAATTTTGGACCGTGTGCGAGCTGTAGCGACCTGCACTAGTCGTCGGCGACGTTCCCGCCGAATTCTTCACAGCTCTCTCGCTAGGTGCCGAGTCTCATGCCGGTACCTATGAACCTATTGCAAGTACGTATGTATGACTGCAGCTCGATACGCCGCCATGGCGTTTGCATCCATAGCCAGAAACGGGTGCATAATCGTGAGATCCCTTAAGACGCCCTCAGTCTGTTGGAGAAGAGCTCAGACTGATACGGTCTGCCACCGCCTGAACCAGCAACTTGAAGGTAACAGCGCATGAGCGCATGGATTCAGACACGCCCGTCAAGTTGCCATGCAGAACTTTGTGGAAAAATTGTTCCAGAAGGCTAGGTGCCGCTGAGATCAACCAAATGGTCTGAATTCCCTCTAGACCGCTGTGATTCGGTCCGAGATCGGTCTAAAATTGGTCTGAGCGGGCGTGAGGGGCCTCCAGTTTTGGCACACGTTTCTGGCTATGTCATGACCCCCAACGCAGCGTACAAGTTCCGTCGCCCATTGTTCAGCGGTACAACCCGGCTGAAAAGTTTGAAGGAATCTCGCTTTCAGCACTGCTAACGCCGCGGTCGCCATTATCTCCGCCGTCCGGATCGCCGGGAATCCGGTTCCCTATAATGAATTGCAAACTCGAGTGTCTTGATCTGAGGGCAGAACGTCCTACACCCGCGGAAGGCTTAGTCCTGCTGTGTAGATGACACAGGATGCTTTGTAAAGACAAGGAGTCAGTGCCCCGTCTACCTACTGTACTTAGGTGCTCTGGCAGACAGTCAGCTATTCCGCTCGCACGGACGCATTAGTATTGCCTACGACGTAATTATCGACCGCATCGCATCACCGGTCCATCGACCGAGGTCAGCGAACGACACGAGTTCCTGAGGGACGACGACGTCGATCGATTCCCGGTAGCTACACGGCCAGCCCTTTTGGATGGGGATTTCGCACGGATCCGCTCCTGGTTTCGACTCCTCCATAGTGCGCGCTGTTTGTGGCGTTTGTTTTAGGATGGAAGAGTCGAGTTGCAGTGATAAGAGAAAAACCCGCACTCCGTAACAAATGGAGGGTTTTCTAAACAGGAGTTATGAACAAGTAGGGTGGGAGGGAGGAGCTCAAAAAAATGGTCGATCGGCTTTGCTCAAAGAGCGCAGGTCCGATTAGTAACTAAAACACTGCAACTGACTTGGGGGATAGGGCATACCTTTGCTCGAAAAGCGCAGGGCGATGGCAGGGGAGGAAGGCGACGCGGTAGGTAGACGCGGCCAAACGAGGTCTGTATACAAGGTAGCCCCATGAGTCAACTTGCCCAACAAGGACAAGGAATTTGGCAACATGCCCAACAAGGACAGTCGTGATCCGGAATGCGAACCTTAGCTAGAAACAGCGAGCCGCGATAGTGCGAGTCTCGAAAAGTTCGCCCTTGCTCTAAGCAGTGGGTGCGATACGACCTTGCAAAGCAGCGGGTACGGCGGCTGCTTACAACGTAGTGGCAGGCTAGCTCATCAGTCCAACTGTCCAACAAGGGCAGAGGGCTTACGAGGGATGTTACCCACTTTGAGTGAGTAGAGACTGGCAGGGGGGGTGCCGGAACCACAACACGAAACGCTAAGGCGTGCGGGACGACGAGGGAGAGGGAGAGGAAGGGCCCGCGCGCGCCAGCGGGTGAGCAAGGCGGGAGGCCCAAGGGGGCCGAGAAGAGTGCGTGCTGGCACAGGGTCCAAAGAATGCGTGTTCGAAGAGTGGAGCGCGAGCGGGCCCCGTTAGGCCGAGACCAGCGCGCTTGAGCTGTCCGCGTCAAAATCTTGCAGCAAAGGCCGAAAAGACTATCCGCAGGGTCTGACTCGCGCTAGCTTCGCGGTGCTGGATCATACGAATTCCACGGTGGACACGAGAAGAAGTTGAGATTGTCATTTTCTGAGCGCATGAAACCTACTGTTTGGGGATGCTTAACATCTACTCCATTCATAGCAACCGCTAGTGAGCTGATGCTGTAAGGTTTTTACATTCCATACATATGGATTCCATAGTACCAAAATCTAAGTTTTGCAGAAGGGTTTCATAAGGAACGCGTACTGGACACGGACGCATGTTATCCGTACGAGCGAGGGTCGCGCGTGTACTAGGAAGCGTTTTTAATCTTCGATGTTAACGTTTTAGGTTTAGACGAGCTTCAGAACAACAGGAGCCCTTCCCGAACGCATTCGTGGCATTCCTCCTTTACTCTTGCCACCGTAACTCCGAACGAGGGAAAATGTTCTACGCCCCTCGTCTGCGTACCTATAGGCTGTGCGCTCGGATCAACGTCTCGTAGAAGTAGAAATCACAGTGCCGCGGGCGCCGAGCGGCTTTTCGGAGGCTGCGATATTCATGAGCGTCGTGCACGAGCCCAAGAAGCTTCGAGATCTTCATGAGCGCCGAGCGAGCCCAAAAAGCTTCTTTAGCTGTCCACTTCGACGCGGATAGGCATGCTAATGAAATCGCCCAAACCACCGACACCACAATACCCAGAGAACACGAGAGAGTGGCAAGGTGCTTCAACATCTAGAAATCTCTGTGCCTGGACCTGACGAAGCGCCATCTATCTACATCTACATAAAAGAATGCACGACATAAATAAGGTTCTCAGCCGCGCGCGCGCGCGGGGCGATCTTCCCCCCCCCCCCCGGTCCGGGAGGTGCGGGCGGAGCTCGCAACGACCTTCATTTACGCAGGGAGGTGGGCGCGGAGCGCCCCCCGAGCCCTAGTCATATTTAAGTGCGAGTCATCAATCCCTCGCAGTGCTCCATGGCTGGGCTTGGAGTCAAAGGTGTTGGAATCAACGATGATTCCGAAAATGATCAACAAAAGAAGAGAAACGGCTGGACCAGGAGTCGAACCTGGGTCGCTTCCATTAATCGGAAAAGCTTTGACTTCTAAGCTATCCGGCCCCTGATATCAGTGCAAGGTCTACTAACACCTTCAATACTTCCCCTTAGACCTTTGCACTGCTGCCAGGCTATTGCAATGCGTCGACTCTAAGTCCCAATTGGACTCTGTGTCAAGCTTCTGCGGCAGCTCCGGCAGCTATGTGCGGCGTCATTGGAAAGATTTACAAGCAAGGTTCTATAATAGCTAGATCCTCACAAAAGGTAGGTAGACAGTGACTACGCTGGGTGCATTCGGCAGTGGATCATGGTGGGCCGAACATTCGAAACCTGCACGAGTCAGAACGCGACGGGCACCGACTCGATGTCAGAATTGGTCCGTGCCACCGCAGTTCCTGGAGAGGCGCCCCACACTGCGGACCACCCTTCGCACCAACTTGTTGGGGTGCTACACATGTTTACTTAACGCCGACGTCCCCCCACATCTTCCTGCGGCTGAGCTCTTTCTACCAGTCCTCGGCCATGGACGACATCAAGTGCAACAGTCTCAAGTGTCGCAAGTCACTGCAACTTGAGGTTCGTCCCTGGCCCTCACTGCCCGCTGGCTGCGCTCGGGCATGACTCGGGAGCGAAAGTCGTCGCCTCCACTTCGATGCCTGCTTATTGATCGAGCTCGATACCAATCTCCCTCTGATTTACTCGTGCAGGGAACGTGAGTACGATGAATCGTTGGTGGTATTGGTCTAGGGTAAAGACGCGAGCGTTGATGACTCGCTCGCCCATCACTCCCACAACCGCGATCCTGGCCGCCCTCTCGTCTGATCGCGCCACGGCCGTGACATCATTCACGCGTCGACCCTTCACCAAAGCGCCGTCGTCACAACTTGGTAGGCGCCGTCCATATCTTTAGCTCGAAAGACTGTAGACTTCGCCTCACGCGATATGATTCTTTCAGCTCTCACATCTTTTGCGTCGAATGCGCCAACTCGCTTTTTTCGGTGCCCCAGATTTGCCCGGCGTGCGACACGGCGCTGCCCGATGCCGACGACGTCGTACAAACAACCCTCAACCCACCCGACAGCTACAAGACCTCCGTCCTCTCGGGTCTCCACCCCAGCATCATCCTCGACGTCGCTTCTCGTGCACTCAACTTTCACACCTATCAGACGCAGCAAGAGGCGGCCTTCCAGGCGCTCGTCACCCGCAACACTCAGGAGGTGAAGTCGCCGAAATGCTCCAACTCTCGGTCACCGACTCGTCAATGCAGGACATCACAGGCTGACCTAGAGTCTGCGACTGTTGTTGAAAGAGAATCGCAGTGCTTGAGAATCAGATGTCTTCGATCATGCGTGATGCCAACTCTGAGATCACACTCCTGAAGGAGAAAGTCGCCGGTATGTAATGTCTTGAGCCGAAGCAAGCAGTGCTGTATTTAATGAGTGATGCTTATACTGCCATCTCTCCATCGAGTAGAGACCGAAAGGGACCTCGAGTTGGAACGTCGTCGCATCCGAGACTTGCACGAGACCCACAAAGCCAATGCCAAAGCCTACAATAAACTCAAGGTGCGAATAGCCAGGGCCAGGCCACCGAGAAGGGTTGAAGGATTAATCTTATATCGTATCACACTCTACCCTTTCAGGCTCAATACGACAAAGAGAAGCAACGCAACCTTCTGCCGTCGAGTGAACGACATCCTTCAAACACGTTCGAAGCTGCCGCAGCGGCGATCGCGGGCAACACGTCAGGGGCTCGTCAACCCTTCGCCGCGATTCAAGACGCGGGCACGGCAACGCCAGCTCGCTCCCACAGTAGCTCAAGTATCATCTCCCAACCGGATCGTGGCTGGTCCGCGAGTGCTCAGCGTAATCAGTACGCCAGAAATGCGCAGAAGTTGGGAGGTGGGGATGCTGGCGCAGGGGGTGTGCCTTTTGCTTACAATCCCGGCGACTCGGTCCAACGCCCGCGTAACACTTTCCAAGGGGATCATACCCAGCTCCACAACTCTAGTCACGCTCCTCAACAACTTCACAGAGCTGCGATGAAAGATCCAAGGCGGGGGACGAATCCCAGCACGGGGTCCGGCTCGACGGGGTCCGACGGTGGAGGGAGGCAGGATCACTTTGCTCAGGCGTTCCAGGGCCAAAACTCAGCAAGAGAAGCAGGACAGCACAAGATGACTGGCATTAGAAGTCGCGCAGTGGAAGAAAATTTGCCTCAGTTCCTTGGACAACCGTTGCCCTCGCCTCGCGGTGGAACTGGCGGAGGAGGTCAGCCTGGCCAGAAACTCAAGGGTGGTCAGTGCATTGGATTCTTCACCTGGTGATTTGTCCATATATTGTGGCTCACACTTTGCCTCCCACAAACAATCTAGGTTCGCTATTCCGTCCTGCCCCAACTTGACTTAGCCCTCGGAAAACGACTCCCATGACTCCCAAATCGGGACCGGCGCCTGCTGGAGCACGTGAGGATAATGCTTGAGTAGGTGAAGATATTCGGAATATGTACTTCACACCCGATAGATAATTTGATTAGGTACTATAGGCGCGCAGTAAATTCACATCGTCCGCCCTACTGTAATCATGGCGCTGGACCCAGAACTGATTGAATAACCTGAACATCTCACCCCACACCGATCAGCTGCACGAACGGCGCTTCGCAAACGGTGCTTAATCTAGCTCCTTTCCCCCGCGCATCATCATCGTACCCCTCTGCCCGCCCATTGTATGCTACAATCATGTCATCAATAAAAACGCCACCCTCTACCACTACACATCCCACCCCGAACGAGCCCCGCTCGATGCTACAAGACGTGATCGCCTCCATCTTCGAGCCGGGCACCAACTCAGGCCTCGTGCAGGCCATGTCGTATTCGTTCTACGCGCTCTTCGTCACCCTCTTTGGGATGGTCGTTCTGACGGGAGGGAGTATCCATGTTGTTGCTTTGTTGGTGCTCAGTTTGGGGCTGTACGCTAGTATTCGATGGTCAGTTGGCCGATGAAAGCCTATCGATGACGAGGGTCATGTGCGAGAGTGGGGACTCGCCGAGCTGACATCATCGTACCTTGTTATCGATCGATACTACTAATCCCGGGTTTGGCTGGGCTCACTAAGGTTCCTGGTTCAGATCAAGGACGTCGAGGACAGGATGAAGTTGGAACGAGAGGACGAGGAACGGGTAAAGACGCTGCAGGACGGGGCCAAAGTCAAAGCCGAGTGAGACGAGGATTGGGAGGAAGACGATAATGACGACCCTGACGGCAAGAGAGGGTGGTTGCCCCGCACCAGCTTGGCCCAAGAGCCACGCAATCACCGTCACCATCAACAGGATAACGGCGAGGGAGGCTTCCTGTTGAACCGAGTCCGCCAGGGAGCCCGTGTACATCACAGTGCAAAGACCGAGGGATGCGACGCAACGAATATAATGCAATGCAAAAACCAATACTGTACAACACCATCGCTTTACGCCCTCGCACATACCCTCGAGTCTCACCGTCTACCTTCTCGAAGTCCCACTTGAGCTCTTCATGCCCTTGACCTCGAACCAAGCCCGCATCTCCTTAGCGGATTGTTCTCCCAAAAGGAACACTGTGCGCGGGAAGCGTATCGTCCAACGATTAGCTGACTGATGATCAAACTTTTAAAGACGATGGTGCGACCCACATTGGCGCTCCCATCCATCGAGCCCTTGACAAAATTCGTACGCTGCGCCTTCACCTCCCGAGTCGGCCGAAGTGTGTTGGCTCTGATCCATCACCTCCTTAACGCGAGTTCTGAACGAGTCATCGAGTGCTTTTTGGATCGCATCCCCTTCGATTCTGTTTAGTGCCGAACGGAAACGTTGAAGCAAAGCCGAGATCAGTGTCACAGGCTCGCGAGCTATGGTCACGTGACGTGATAGCAAACGACGCGGCGCACCGCAGCGCGACGCGACGTGACACGCTAGCCGAACCCGTGACGGCACTGTACCCGGTACGCACATGGAACCAATCTTGTGACCGACGGCATAGAAGGACCCACCTCCACCTCCCAAGTTCTTCAGGTTGACCGAGTTGGCGGAAGCGGCCAGAGCATTGCGTGTCCTTGTGCCGTACGCCGAGGGAAGCAGGATCGAGGCGAAGCCCCTGCGCGAAGACGAGTTCGAGCCATGGCATCGCAACGTTAGCTCGGTTTCCAGAATCAGCTGACCGCTCCACATCCGAGATAAACCCACTCGATAGGTAAGGCTAGCCACAATGGGAGCTCGAGAGTTGTCCCGGCTTTGATCTACAGTGAAGCTCAGTGAAGCCCCGGCTCCTCACGTCAGCGAGCGGCATCGTCGACACCACAGAGGAATCATGGCTTACATCCTGGTCGGTGGAGCCTTCCAGGTAGCCAAGGTTGGACACGTCGGATTCGAATCGACACGATACTTTCTGGTCGAGCAGCAAAAGAGTAAGGGCAGGCGTGAGAAGATCGGCCGCGCATGACGACACGCTACGAGGACTTCAAGAGGGGAGTGCTGACCTGGGCATCAGCCAGGAAATCCTGGACATCGTAATACTCGTTGGACGCCATCGGCAGAATCCAGTGATTCCGACAGAGCAGCGATCGAGAGCACTTGCTAAGAAAGCCAAGCCGAGCAGCGCACTGTCGAAGCGCGTCATGCAGCGCGAGCGAGCACGAGTTGGAGTCGAGTATGTGCATATAGTCAGCCTCGGTCCCTGCTCCCGGCCCGAAATCCGAGTTACAGATGACTCATAGTGCAAGGAGAGTCATAACTCACCATTGCACAATCTCTTTTGGCAAAATGCACAAACACTGTTACGACTCTACAGTACACCCCAGCTCGAGTCAACTAAATGACCCCTTCCACATCTCTGACCATGCGCACTAAGTCACCTTGCTCCGTCAGTCGTAGCACTACGTCCTGATGACTCGTGTACGAAGGTGGAGGTGGTCGCAAGCTAGGGGAGGCCGAAGCACCAGGAGCGTCGCGATGAACCCCTCCACCACCAGCGCCATCAGTGACCTCGACGATGCCAGTCGACCGACTGTGTCCCCGAGCCACTGTGACCTCGGTGCCGAAAGATGGAGGACGGGCATGGAGGTCCGATCGATTCTGAGGCGTATCTCCTACGTAGGGCGGTGGACTCGCGTCGTCCAAAGTGGCCGCATCGATCTGCTCCGAGACGTCTTGCACGGCGCGGAATACGGGAGAGTTCGCTGCGGACGAATGGGTCGAGGTCCCGTTCGATGGTGGGGCTGACCCTGACAAGTCGAGAAATACGCCGTCTTCCAAAGTCGCACTCACGTACATCAACGCGGGATCTTCCTCCTCCTCGTCCGAGTCGAGCGGTCGTCGTAGTGCCTGTAAAGCTGGGTCTACAGGTCGGAAGAATTCGCCCGCGAAGTCGTCGGGAGGAGCCAGCGGCGTCGCATCAAAGCCCGGACTAGTTTCTTCCGTCGATTGCATGCTGTCTGAATCTTCTTCGTCGTGAGAAGGAGGTGAGACGTCGGCATCGATGGTCGGAGGCGGGGCGCGCGTCGAGAGCGAAGCCGAGAGTTCTTCGTAGCCGTCATACTCTTCTTCGCTGATGAGATTCGTCGAAAATACGTGTGTCGAGCCTACACGAGAAGGCCCCTCCCTAAAGTCTGAACTCGTGCCGACCGCCACGTCACCGACAGCGGACTCGTGGTAGGATGGGATCGAGCCTTCGGCAGGGGTCCACCCTGGTGGAACTGATTCGACCTCTGCTTCGACTTGGCGCTGCTTCTCGGACAGAGTCGTCGACGTCATGGGTGGGTCAGGTACGATGTGTACGTCGCGCGATACTGTGACGTCTCGTTGACTACGGTTGTTGAGGAGCCCGACGGTGACAATGACGGAGAAGTTCATGTGGTGGAGGATCGTGGACTGCGTGAAGCGAGTGACACGATATATTAGCGCTCTAATACCATGGCCTGACCGGTAGCGAGAGTGCGATTCATGATACCCGGGAGAACACACTTGAGTGATGGATTCGCAGAACTGCGTCGTCGAGGGGTGCAAGAGCAAGCGAATGACGATCGGCCTGGTAGGTGAAAAGCGTGCCGACTTGCCCGATCGAGCAAGGACCATGGTCGATTGATACGATGGGTCCAACAGTGCATCGCTCGAGCTTGGATGTTGTATGAATTCCAAAGAGTCGATGTCGTCGTTCTTGACCGCTGTCGACACAACCTGGTCGCGCTGCTTGCCTGACACCGCAGGAGGGTCATCATCGGTGTCGTTTGCCAAGGAAATGCGCCGAACGAGCTCGGCGCTGACCGTCCGCAGCCGCAAGCCCTTCGTGACGGCGTCAAAGTCGGGTACAGGGATCTTGACGACGAGTTGGATCGGTTCTGATCTACGAAAGATCGTTCTCGAGAAGTGCACGGTGAAATGGATCGGGTCCTGGCGCGAGACGGATTGCGGCGACAAGCTTGGCCTCGAACCATCGGCCGAAGTGGGAGCGGGAGCGGACGAGACGAGGTCGCTTGAGAGAGGACCCGGGGGTGAGGTTCGTGCGAGATGAATGGGGACGCATTGCACAAGAGGAGCCACACTGGCATCGTCCGAGTGGAGCGTCGCGGTGAGCGTGTACTCGAGCGAGGACTGAGCGAGATGGATGCAGTGGGGCAGGTCCTGCGTCACGTCGAATTTGAATACGGTCGAAGGCGGGGGGACGTCGTCGCCCTGTTCCATGCTTGAGGAGGAACCCTGTGCACCCCAACCCCATAGGGTCTTGCGCTGCTCGCATAGCTCGATCTCTCCGAGGCCATGACGTCGCTCGACGCCACGGAAGCACACCTCCAACTTGGACGGCCGTGGCGCTTGGCCATGACCATGCTCGCTCGTGTACTTGACCTGGACCTCGCCCTGCAGTGACGCTTGCCCGTACCCGAGATGGCCGTGGAGAAAGTCGTGGTGGGTCGACAGAGGGGCGACGTTGAGCAGCACCGGGGGGGCGGCGACCGATGCAGCCGTCGACGAATACAGGGGTGGGCTGACGGCCTCCATCGAGCCTCTTTACTGGGCGAGTAGAGCAGGTGTCAAGAGCAAGTCGAAGCGGCTGTGGCTCGAGTGCTGTCGAGTGAGTTGCAGGTTCGGGAGTCAGGAGTCGCAGCGCAAAGTGCGCGATCAACCCGAGTCCGTCGCAGGCGCTCCGAGGCACGTGACCAAAGTCTACCAATGTCCGCGTAAGTCCACGTTCCAGCTCGTCCCACTGGTGGGCGAAGGTTGGGTTTAATTTGCTCATGGAGTCGCTTTCGAGCTCAAGGTTGGATATGGAGATTCTGTTAGAGCGGGTTTCCTTTTCGTGGTAGTTTGTGCAGATCGCTCGACGTACGGTCTGAATATGCACGTACACCAAGAACCCTCGGCTGTCGAGGTTCGCACGCGACGCGCGTACGCTCGATTGATTGAAGCTAAGATATTCCTCCCGTCGCGCTGCATCATGCTTATGGGGCTACCGAAGTAATTAATAGCCTATCGCACAATATTGAAGGGCGTCACCTTAAAAGCATCTAACATGCCTACCAATCGAGCATCTCGGTTCGCATGAATGCGAGCCAAGTTTTCCCGCCGACCGAAAGCTCCCGAAGGCCACTGATCTTGTTGCTACCCTGTGCACCCTTCGTCGGCCATCCAAGGCTACCTCGGCCCTAACGAGAAAGTGTGAACCGATTTCTTGAGGAAGGCAATGACCTCACTCAAGGTAGCGTTGGTGGAACGCTCGGATATGTATCGTCGATTCGCCTGCCGACGGGCCGGAAGGATCGCGCGCTCGGTAGTTCTAGACCCTATTTTAGCACCGCGGCGCCCATGCGAGTCGAAATTGGCTCAATGGCCGGCGCGTGCATGCGGCTGCGCTTTTGCAGTTGGCCAGCGCCGTTTCGAGCCCCCGAGGCCCGAGATGATTGTGCATGTATCACCCGCGGCAACGATACGTGTAGCTACCACCTTTCCAGTGAGCTCTTCGCTACCTACCACCTCACGCTGTGCCCACCGCCTGGTCACTGCTCACACGTTGCCCCGACCCCTTGGCGTGGCCCGCGGTTGCGCTCTGTGCCGTGGTCGCGACTTGGTCGCTCCACTCGTCCGGGTCCAAGTCGACCTCGACCACCACCACCGCCCCTTCTCACGAGCGCGTCCCGCTGACGCTGAATCTCGGCTGACTGGGTGCCCACCTTATTCGACCCGCCGACCCCGCCGTACTACCCGCTGGGTGTACTCTCCGGAGGGTCCCTGGCACCTGCTGTGACCGTACCCCGTTCCTCTGGTGACGCAGACGACGATAGGGAGTGCCGCTGAGGATGCTCCCTCGAGGCGCCGCCACCGCGGCCGCGCTATTTGTGGCTCGGATCGATCGGTGCAGCGCGTAAGCCCCTCGTGAAGACCATCGCCGGGGACCTGCGCCACGACAGATGACTGACCGTGACGACGGGTGTTTCTATGGCGTGCAGCGCGGCCATCCTACGAAGGGAGACCGATGGCGTTGACGACTCGATCAATCCTCTGATTGGTCAGTTGCGCGGGGATGCCTCTCCCCACCCCAAAGCAGGAGCTGTCGCGGCCCGAGCGGACGACGGCCTCGCTGCCTGCTTGACCCCCATGAGCTGACCCATGCCTGCCTGCATCGCTGTTGTTGGCACATTCTGTCCGTTACAACAGACGCCTTGCCCGCATTCACCTACTCGATGCCGGTACAGCTCATCGTCCTTAGTGTTACCGTGGCCCTGTTAGGCATGCTGCTCGTGCACTTGCTCTTCACGGTCCGATACCACATGCCGCTCTCCAAGCTCAACTACTCTCTCCAGGTCGGTCGCTGGCTCCGTAATGGCGAGTTCTTGCAGGGGTATCTGATCACGTTCCACCGTACACTCCCAGATCTCCGCGGTTGTCGTTTGCCTTATCAACGTCGCAGCAGAGCTCGAAGTCGTTATGCATACACTCAGGCGGACGGGGCGCACCGAGCCGTGGACGTTCGACTACAGTGCGTGCCCCCTTTCTTCGCTCCGCGTGCGGTACTTGGAAGAATTTGATCGGCTGATGCAACCGTCGTCGTGATTTCACAGTCGAAGTCTTGATACCACCGTCGATATGGAATGAAGGCGAGCGAGGGGCATGGCTGCTGCTGCAAGCTCTAGCAGCGATGCTGGTTCACTTGACCCACATTCAGTTCTTGACCATGCTCTTCCCCTCCGAACTCGAGGCCAAGCTCATCCTGGGTCTTCTTGGTACATCGACTGGGATTTGCCTATTTTCCTACCTGGGTTGCCGTCTCTGACCGTGTTGTTCATACGTTGTCGTCACACAGGTCCCCTGGCCGTCGCTACTGCCGGCCTTCACTTTACCGCACTCTCACCCCACCCCGCCGTCAACGATCTCGGCGATGCGATCCGCAACACGTGCAACTCTTCACTTACTCTACTCTACACCTTCGCTCTTTTTGTTTGGGGCTTGACATTGAACCGATCACGGGCATGGCGTGCCGAAGGAGGGACGGCCACGTTCGGATCGGTGGCAATGATCTTGGGGGTCTTAGGCGTCGCTGTCAATTTTATCGAAATTAAGGAGGACAGGATGCGATGGCTACCTGCCGTCATTGACTGTGTTCTGCTGTGGCAGTCATGGGTTGGATTTTGGTGGTGGGTAGGCGCAGGGATGTGGACTGGGGAAGCCGAAGACGTGGAACGAAGGGAAGCAAAGAAGAAGAAGCGCGCCGAGGCCAAGTTGCGCAAGCGGGAGGCGAAGGAGCGAATCGACAAGCGCGAAGGCGGCGGATCTGTGCTTGGCTCAGCGGGTTCGGGTCCGATATCCTTGAGACGACGGCCGATGCGACCTAGCCGGCAGAACACGACTGAGGAGATTGAACTTCAGGAGCTGGGGCCGAACGCTTCGAATGGGACGAACGCTGCGCCAGCAACAGCCACCGCGCCGAACGGCGCACCCCGACCTGCTGGATCGCGGTCAGGTCGACGCCCTGCGCCCAGCTCGGAGGCCTCGGATTCATCCGGTTCGACACCGCCGCCCTCACACCACTTCTACTCGCCCGTTGTTGCATGGCTCTCGCCCTTCTTCATGCGCCTTCGAGACGCCCACGACGAAGCCGCTGTGGCCCGAGCCGCATTACCACCCAGGCTGCCCGACGATGTACGTAGGGGTTGGGGACTTAGGGCGCTTATGTTGCGGGGGAAGCGGGAACGAGGAGAGATGAGGCAAGCCGCTGGAACTCAACGCGACGGTGAGTTCCCACCCGACAAACGCTGAGCCGGATTCGAAGCTGATGGTGGTACGCAATTGGCAGCCGACGATTCTGAAGATGCGACCACGACCGAGTCCGGGGTGGACCCACCAGCACCCATGGGTGCACCGATACCCGCGCCCGCGCCGCCGGGAGGAGCGACTGTGCCGAACGAGACGGGCGAGGAACCCGTGCAGCGGAACTTGGCGGGGCGGGGTATGGAGGGCCAGGGCCGGACGTGGACGAGTTTGTTGGCTCGATGGAGACTCAAGGATGTATCGCATTTCTAATACAACCCCGCATGAGCATACACTATAGCATAGTCTTTATATATATCCCGCGCAGTATATGTTGGGGTTCGTTCTTGTGTAGACAATTGTGTTGTTGTAAGCGTAGAGACCTCGAAGGGCGTCTGTCCCTGGTTCCATGGGCGTTCTTTCTCGCATCAAGTCTGGCTCCGGGCGGCTGGTTGGTTCGTTGACGCAACGCATAAGATCATTGCAGGAGAGACACGGACAAGGGATGCTACCCAGATGTTACATTGCTCGATTTCTCACCTCACAACTTGCTACTCGCCTCCTGCCTAGCCTTGGTGTAGCCTCGGCCAGCGATAAGCGCTCCACCATCGGTCGTAATGACGGCGCCGCTCGTGTGTGAGCCTGCCCTACTGACGAGGAACAGAAGGAGCCCTGCCATGTCCTCGGGCATACCGATGCGGCCCATAGGTTGACTACCGGCAAGCATGTTGTCCTTGTCGTTCTTCAGACCGTGCGCAGTCATCTTGGAGGGGTAGACACCAGGCGCAATGGCGTTGACGGTGCTGCGAGGATCGGGCAAACGATAATATCAGAATGAGATAAAAATACAGTCAGTCACTCGAGAGATCTCCGCTAAAGATAAGGAAGGCTCACATGAATTTGGGGCCGAGCGAAACGGCGAGCGATTGGGTAAGGGAGTTGGCAGCCGCTTTGGAGGTGTTGTAAGAGTGCAAGACCATGCTGGCATCGGACAGACCAGTACCTTCGGCGATGGGCGATAGGCCCGCGACCGAAGTGATGTTGACGATGCGACCGGGCATGGTCGCCGTCGCTTCCTTGGCCAACAAGGGCGAAAGATGCGCCGAGAGCCAGTAGATCGCCTTGACATTGGTCGCAAGGATCCTGTCCCATCCTTCCTTTTCGGGGAAGTCGAGGAAAGGAGCACCCCAGGTCGTACCGGAGTTGTTGACGAGCTGCTCAGATCAAGGGCTGGGTTTGGTTTGAGCGATGCGCCTCGCAGAGTCTGCGACGAACTCGATTTGAACTGACGATGTGGAGAACGGGGGTTCGCTTCTCAACCTCGGCAACGAGCTTGAGGCAGCCTTCCTTGGAGCCAACGTCGGCGATAATGTATTCGCACTTTCCCGGTCCCTCCCTAGTCAATCGATCCGCGACCTGGAATCGTTCAAGTGGGAAAGGCACAAGACAGCGTCAGCGGCAGCCCCACATTGCAGATCAGCAAGATAGGCAGGAGAGCTTACAGCCTTGAGTTGGCCCTCCTTGCGACTGGCGATGTAGCTGTAGAGTTCTGAGACTAATGTTAGTAACGTGGTAGTAGTCGCCCCGCATCTATCGTAGGTAATGCACGCGGAGCTCGCGGGCTCGGGATCAGCCCGAAGCCCAGCCCAGGCACCGAAGCTTACACATGAGCACCACCTTGGCAGAGGGCAGTGGCCATCATTTCGCCCAGTCTGCACGGTGATTAAATTTGTCAGAACACCATATTCCTGTAAGCAGCACATCGGTCCTGCAGTCTCGACGTAAGCTCAAGACACTCACCCACTGCCTCCGCCCGTCACCAAAGCCTTGCGGCCAGACACATTGAACAGCTTGGCTGCTTGCAATTGCTGTGGACCAACCTCTTAAGAGTAAGTATACTAACATCAGTACACTAAGGCAGCAATGGGCACTCACAGGTGAAGTCATGACGGCGTGCAAGATGCGATGAGGAAGAGCTCGAAGAGAGAGCAGGGCCGGCGTGGGCGATCGGAGTCCCAGTCCTTTGAACCGCTCAGCTGTGCGAGAAGCCGGGCCGGCTAGTAGAAAATTCAGGCCTGGCGCTGACGAAGCAGGCTAAAAAATCGGGGTTGGGCTGATGATGGGTGCCTCGGAGAATATGCATCACGAAAGTCTAACTTCGCCTCGGATAAGGTGAAAGTGAAACTCGGTGCGAGATGTCACTAATGGCTTGTTTGCTGGCCCACTGCCCGCGAGCGCGCAGGCGCGCTGGATTGGAAGGGCTCAGAGCTCATGATCAGAGCTCAGAGACCAGGCCGCCGCGGCCGATGATGGTGGTACGAGCCGTCTTAGGAGTATTATTCTGCACCTCAAATCGTAAGACAAAGTTAAACGATGCTTGAAAAAGTCATGTTCCAGAGGTGAAGAGAGGTTGGAATCGGAGTGATGATCGTGCGGCAACTTGAAGTGGGCAGGCCCCCCGACTCAGCAGCAGCCTGTGCAGCCTGCCGGCGCATCACCCTCGAGCTACACCTACAGCCATTGCATACACGTCACCCTCGATCATGACGTCCTCGCCATATCGAGTTTATAACAGCTTCACCACCTCAAAGTCAACGGGGGTGTCTACACTCCTCCTCTGCAGGTGAGACCCCAGCGGCGGGCTGGGTGCGACCCACCACTGACCCCTTTCATGCCGTTCGATGACGGACACTCGAGCGACCTTTCACAACCACCTTTCTTTTCGAACAAGATGACGGGCAGGGCCGAAGTAGTGCCTCTTTCGATCTTTGTCGGAACGATGTCCATTGACGGAATCTACGCTGTAGTTCATCATCGTCAGGCTACGCCCCAGCCCTGGCCAGGCTGTGGATCATCGCTGACATCATCTGGCCCCTATCCGAAACCTTCACAGTCATCAAAAAGAAAAGAGGTGAGTGCTGCTTGAGGAACGTTGCCGTCATCGTCATCGTCGCCGTCGTCGTCTGCGCCGCCGTCATCGTTGTTGGACATGGCCAAGTCAAGGGCCAGGTTCAAGCTTAAGGTCGCTGGGGATGGAAAGACTTCAAGGATGGCGCGACAGGCTCGAAAGCAGATGGTGGGATGCAGCATTCCCACGGGTTGGGCTCTGTGACTGGATTAAATCGCTTTGTTTGGTCAAGGTAGATTGCATCAGACACGCACAGTGGGGTCAGCATTCAAGAAGCTCCCTGGCCCCCACCTTCTGCAGTGCGCCATCGGAGTTGCAGTCTACGTTGCTGTGCGCTCGGACCTTGTCCGAACGGGCATCCGCACGTGACGGTTGACAGCTCGGGTCATCGAGTCTGAGCATCATTAGCTGCAGCAAGATCGGCAGGACACAAATCCTGCGGAGAATAACAGCGGCTGGGATACTGTGACGTGTCACCATGTTTAGTGTCGGTGTGCAGTCACTGAGCCAGGGGTCGACGATTAGTAGCTGGACCAAGGGGGAAGAGCGGCACGCCGTCGCCGGCGCGGATAGAAACAACGGCATCGAAGTCGGCACGTTTCGGCTTCCGCAGAAGGTCGAATGTCTGCTTTTGAGCAACTTCCGTTTGACACGTCTGTCTGAGATTGATAAGCCCGCCGCCAAGCAGCAATTGAGCGCGCGAGACGGCATGCCGCTATCGATGGCGGCGACGGCTTGCCGTTGCACGCGGTCACGGAAGGTCACGGACGCGACGTGCGCACGCCTGCTGACGCCGAATGACCTATCGTCGCTCTCTCTTCCTCTCTTCTCTCTTCTCTCTCATCCCACCACATCTTCAGCAGCTTCTTCCGTGTGCCTCTCCCACACACCATACCTGATCCAAGATGCCCATGATCCCCAACACCAACGCGATGCAGTCCGGCGTTGCTTCGGACTTGCTGACTTCCGAGCGCGCTCCGGAAAAGTCGGGCGCGGCCGTGCTCACCCAGTCACTCACCACCCCCGTCCCTTCGGCATTCCAGCTCGACGGCCACACCCCTCAAGCCACTCCTCCTTTGTCGCCTTCTCTTGCGCCCACCACCCCCACGTCCCCCGCCGTTCAACTTGTCCTCGCTGCCGACTTGCTTGCTCGGGATAGCGCCGTCACAACTTCCGAGGCGACTATCAAGCTCAACGGCTACCGATTAACTTTGGGCGAAGTCGTCGCCGCCTCGAGGAGGCACGCCAACGTCACGATCGACTATGAAGCCGCCGAGAAGAGAATCAAGGACAGTGTCGACTTCCTCAAGTCCAAGGTCAGTGTCCTAGTCAGCGTTTTCTTCCCTTGCAGCCCGCGTTCTTCGGCTTGGTGCTACCTACCTCTTGAAGCCAGCAGACGCTGACTTGCCGCTCTCATGCCTCGTGATCTCACATTATACAGCTCGTCACTTCTGTCTACGGTGTCACGACTGGTTTCGGAGGGGTTAGTCTTCTCGCACGATTCTCGATCCCTCCCAAGATGAAAAAACTGACCAGCCCTCGGTTACCCCACAGTCCGCCGATACGCGCACCCAGGATCATCTCGCTCTTCAGATCTCCCTCCTCGAGCACCAGCTCTGCGGTGTCCTCCCCACCTCTTTCGACCAATTTGCTCTCGGGCGCGGTCTCGAGAATACGCTCCCTCTCGAGGTCGTTCGCGGTGCGATGCTCATCCGAGTCAACTCGTTGACGCGCGGTCACTCCGCCGTCAGGATCGAGGTACTCGAGACGCTCGTTAAGTTCCTCGAGCAGGACATCACCCCTGTCGTTCCTTTGAGGGGTTCAATCTCCGCCAGTGGTGATCTCTCTCCCGTAAGTTGCTTGATAGGCTCTGACCTATTTGAGACAGTTAGGGGCTCGAGGCTGACCACCGCGCTTCCCTGCCCTCCAGTTGTCCTACATCGCCGGTGCCATTACCGGTCACCCAGACATCAAGGTTGTGACGTGCATCAACGGCAAGCCTGAGATCATGTTCGCCCCCGAGGCGCTCAAGTTGCACAATATCGATAAGGTCGTCTTGGGCCCCAAAGAGGGTCTCGGTCTCGTCAACGGTACCGCTGTCTCAGCTTCGATGGCGACGATGGCGCTCAACGACTCGCACTTCCTTGCCCTCCTCTCGCAAGCTTTGACCGCGATGACCGTCGAGGCTATGGTTGGGCATGCCGGCTCATTCGACCCCTTCATCCACGACGTCTGCCGCCCCCACCCCGGCCAAGTCCAGGTCGCTCGCAACATCCGCACCATGCTCTCCGGATCCAAGCTGGCCGTCCATCACGAGGAGGAGGTGCGCGCTGACGAGGACGAGGGCATTCTCCGCCAGGACCGATACCCTCTCCGCTGCTCGGCTCAGTTCGTTGGCCCCGCCGTTGAAGACATCATCGTCGCCCACCGCAGTCTCGCGATCGAGCTCAATTCGACGACCGACAACCCCTTGCTCGATGTCGAGAATGGCATGATCCATCACGGTGGCAACTTCCAGGCCATGAGTGTAACCGCTGCCATGGAGAAGACTCGTTTGGCTTTGCAATGGTTTGGAAAGGGATCGTACACCCAGATGACCGAGTTGGTCAACTGCTCGATGAACCGCGGTCTCCCCTCGTGTCTCGCCGCCGAGGACCCTTCGACGAGCTACCACACTAAGGGTCTCGATATTGCGGCCGCAGCCTACACCTCCGAGCTCGGCTTCCTCGCCAACCCCGTCTCGACCCACGTTCAGCCCGCCGAAATGTCGAACCAGGCGATCAACTCGCTCGCGCTCATCTCGGCTCGCAAGACCGCCGAGGCCAACGATGTCTTGACGCTTTTGATGTCGACCCACTTGTACTGCGCTCTCCAGGCCCTCGATTTGCGCTACCTCGAGTTCACTTTCCGCGAGCGTTTCAACCCCATGATCCTCGAGTCGCTGCGCTCGACCTTTGGTGGCCTTTTGGACGAGAAGACGGCCAAGGTGCTCGGCGTCAAGGTTGTCGGTGCCATGTGGCGCCGATTGGAGACGACGACTTCGGTCGACTTGGTTCCCCGATGGGTCGATGCCTACAGTCACGTCACTTCCATTCTCGTCGATGCTTTGATGACCTCCTCCTCGATGGAGAACCCTCTCCCCAAGATTTCCGAGTGGAAGAAGACCGGCGCTGAGCAAGCCGTCACCTTGACCTGCGAGATCCGCGAGTCGTACTGGTCCACTACCTTGTACCCCACTACGCAGTACCTCGGTCGCTCCAAGGCGCTGTACCTCTTTGTCCGTGAGACCCTTGGTGTCAAGGCCCGACGAGGTGATGTCTTCCTTGGCAAGCAAGAGGCGACGATCGGTTTGAGCGTCAGCAAGATCTACGAGGCGATCAAGTCCGGCAGGATCAACAAGACCTTGGTCGAGATGATGATGTGATTGGGATTTGGATGGTTTATGGGTTTTCCCGCTGTGATGATGCTTTAATACGGGACTCTTTTTCAGTGTTGTACATGATTTTAGCCAGTGAACGGATTTGTCTCTCCTGTTAGCGCCTCTAGGGTTCGTTCGTCTTTTGCTGCGCAAACTTTGAAGCTTCACGCCTCCTTCGGAATCACTCTTTTGGTGGGCAACAACATTTCACTTCGGCCGAGACAATATATTATTGCGTTTCGTGTAAGTACAAATGGCTTTACGCTAGCAGGATCTCCTACTTTGCCCTCAGCCCGACCATGCGAGAATGTGAACAGCTAGACGCGCTTCCCCACAGCCTTGTACGGTCAGAGCATCAAGTCCGAAATCACCATCCAGCAATTTCTAGAGCGGGTAAAGACTAAATCCGACGCTCCAAGCGGTCTATCGATGAAGCAAGCCTACCTCACCGCTTGCGAACGAAGCCTATGCCCCTGTCCTGACAGTCGTTTTATCCCTCGCTCATAGGTACAAGGATGTCGAAGGCGGCTTGATCTCTATTGTCGATGACGATGACTGGGAGAGGAAGTTTACAGCTCTACTCGATGCCGCTCTTCCGTTTTGACACTGATGCCCGGGCCTTCTTTTGCCTTTGAAGCTGCGATGGATTCCGCTCGTGAGATCCCGGCAGCTCAGCATATTAGTTGGATGGCCCACTCACCATTGCTCTCGTGACACTCTCGTATCGCAACTTGACTCTTACTTTGTTCATCTTCGTCGATCCGCCGTCTTCCCATCCCCCGTGCGAAGCTTGTCGTTGTAAAGTCGGCCCAGGATTGCTGGTGCCTCGAGCCAGACCATTGGAGAGATTGTTTTGAGCCCCAGCGATAACGAGTAGCAGAGCTCAACAGTTACGTACAATCACTGCAGAGCTTGCTCAAAGTCGATACTGGCGAAGTTGGAGACACCCGATTGAAAATAAGCCATGCTCAAGTACTCGTCGAGTCGAGTGGCGTGGCTGTGGCTGAAGCTCCCGGCCCGTTCGTGCCAACTCTGCCCTCGTCATCATCCTCAAGCTCTCGTCGCTGGTCCGACCGCCTCACTGCATTGGCACCATCAACTTCCACGTTTCGTCTCAAGTCGTGTCACATTACATGCCCGTACCTTATTTGCCTCGTTGCCACTATTCCGACATGTCGCTCAAGCAAGAGCTCGAGATCTGGGCCGCCGCGCTTCAGGCTTACGACGAGCAGGACTATGATGCACAAAGTCTGACCATGTTTAACGAGAATCCTATCCCTCGCCTACCCCGTTTCTCACGAAAATATGGGATACAGCACAAGCGTCCTCCCGCGCACCCTTTCCTCACCTAGCAAATCGCCGACACCTCGAAAGTCTTCAACATGGCCCTGATCCAGCTTGCCACGATGGGCCGATGGCGGTCACTTTACAGGCGGACGACAAATGGTAGCTGAGCTAGAAACAAGGACCAGATTGAAGCCACCGGGGCTCGAAAACAATCACGATCGTTCTAGACGAGTGAGTGACGATGCGGAGAGAGGGCGAGACCGGAAGTGACGTGGTAAAAATTGACACGTCGGACACGATGACGATATATGGCCAGCTCGCGCGCGCCTCCGCTCCGAGCCGGGCCGAGCCAGGCCGAGCCGCTGTGAGCCGTGCTGAGCCGTGGAGAGCCGTGGGACTGCCGTGGGCCAGCCGGCCGGCGCCGAATTGCGAAGCTTGTGCGATTTCGCAGCTCGCGGCTCTCGCTTCTTCCGCCATGTGCGGCAAACCGTCTTGTGAGTTGCTGGCTCGTTTGCGCCCTAGCTGGGATGGACTACACGCACCTCGATGCGATAAACTGACGGTGTCTCTTCCTCTGTACTGTTGACCTCCTCCTAGAGCTACATCCGTGTTGCCAGCCGCCTCCGGTATTTTTAAAAAAAAGTCCAAGGCCACCCAAAGTGCTGTGCGTCAAGCTCTGACCAAACCAATTGCTATCTTGCCGATGGCGCGTACCAGGACATCTTAGTTACCCATATGCTTCCTGTCCGAGTTTGCCCTGTCGAAAGGGCGATACCCCGATCGTACCTCGCAAGGGTACGTGTCGGGAGAGACAGGGAGAGGGCCGGTAGTCCTGACATTCTTGGTCACCGTTTTGGCTAGTCTTGATTACTATCTTGTTGCGATTCGATTGCAATTTGTATGTTGTACTGTACGGGGTGCGACTTGGCCTGCTCGCGAGACCAGGTGCTTGTCCTCTTCTCGTCGATGTACCCCTGAGTAATCAGCACTACTAGATGCGAGCAGAGGCATCGTCTCGCCGGAAACTGCGAGCTCGGCATGACAAACGTCTGCTAACAGCTTGGGTAAGCCTAAGCTTCCACAGCATCGCATACGATGTGTCATGTGTGGGGCTGATCTTGTCCTCGGTCGGCCGTGCGATGTCTTGCGACGTCGTGCCGCTGTACTGCCGCTGTCGGATTTGGCATCCCCCGGCATAGGACCCCCGAAAGCCCAGCCTGAGGCGCGTAGGTAAAGAGTGGACAAATTTTTGGCCCTAGAAAAGCCAAAATCGCGATTTTTGGAGATGTTGTAGAGCATCTGAAGCAATTCTAGAGCTATTGTTGGACGAACGTAGATGGACTGGACATTTTAAGGACATTTTTGGGCGAATACACCAAAAAAGGGTGGACAAATGAGGCCCAAAATCCGGGATTTTGACGGATTTTACCTACGCGCCTCAGGCTGGGCTTTCGGGGCTCCTCCCGGCATCCCCCTCAGCGGCGCGTTCTGGCGCGTTCTGGCGCGTTTGGCGCTGCTTCCTCCCGGGCCCCACTCGATCGGAACACGCGTTTGTTTGCCCCATCACGCCTGGGCAGTGCCTCACGGGCTCTTGTTGCCTGCCACACTCCTCGCCTCGCGTGCTCGCGTGCTCGCCTCTCCGCCATCGAGGAGGGAGAGAGACTCGAGAGGCTGCAAGACCCACCCCACCCAGACCGTCGGCCGTGTCACGTGCAACAGGTCGAGAGCATGGCTGCTGCTCACCATGCTACAGCAACGGCCCCGACCACCCCATCGCCGTCGACCATCATCAGGTTCAAACTGTCCGACATCGACACCGTCATGTCGTCCGACAAGACCATCTACACCAATGACCAGTCGGCCTTTGCCGTCGATCCCAACCCCGGCGGTCCAGTTCCACCCATGTCGACCGTGCCTGTGATCCGCATATTCGGCGCCACCGATCGAGGCAAGCGAGTCATGGCCCACATTCATGGAGTGTTCCCTTATGTCTACATCAAGTATCTTGGCGCTAGTCTCGAGCCCGACGCTGGTCAGTCTCGGGTTCACCGTCCTCGCTCCGGCCGCCGCTCCGGTTGCTGATGGTCACCTTCCTTGCACAGTCAAGGCCTACATCAAGAGGCTCGCAAGAGCTCTAAACCTCGCTATGGACTACATGGCCCGAGACCCGCATAGGGCGAACCGGTCCAACCCCAACGGCAAAGCCGGTCGTCACCAGTCTGGACCAGGCCAACGTGGGGGTGCGCAGCCCGAGCCTACGACCCCAGCCGTCGCCTTCATCGTCGCCTGCAAAGGCATCCCCTTTTACGGCTACCACGTCGGTCACGAAGCGTTCCTCAAGATCTACATCACCAGACCCACGTTCAAGATCCGCCTGTCCGAGACCTTGCGCAGCGGCGTCATCATGAAGACCAAGTTCGACGTCTTCGAGGACCACGCACCATTCTTGCTGCAGTTCATGCTCGATTGCGACTTGTACGGCTGTGGATGGGTCGAGGTGGACGAGTGCCGTTTTCGAAAACTGCCCCGTGAGCTGGTAATTTCTTCCTCCGTGGTCTTCTTCGACGAAGCTGATCTCAAAAGCATACTTTACAGAACACGAATGGTCCCCTTCGGACGATCTCGACCCTCCTTCGATCGACGGTCCCTACCATACTCGCGTGTACAATTCGACCTCCGTCCCACCCTCGCTCGTCTATCCACGCTACGCCTATGACTCACCGGCGCCGGTCTCGACCTGCCCGATCGAGATAGATGTCCCCATTTACGGCATCCACAACCGCCACAAGATCAAGCCTCGTGAGATCCAACAAGACTTTGTCGAGTTCTTCCAGAAGGAGGAACTAAATGGCTCCGAGGGAGGGGAGCAAGACAAATTGGTCTTGTCTCTTCGAGAGCTTTGGACGGATGAGAGGAGAAGGAGGGAAGCTGTGGGCGAAGTCGGCCCGGGAGAGGTCAAGGACTCAACGCCCCGTCAATGGGACAAGAGGGGCCCGACGGATCCAATCTGGGCCGATGAACCGAGGTTGCGAGCCAAGGTCGATGCTTTACTGCAAGAGGACATCAAGGCTTATCGAGCTCAACCCGGATTCGCGCAGCGGGAACCTGAATGGGAGACGTTCGTGGACGAGCGGCAGGTCGCAGAGAAAGTCGGACGAGGGTTCATGGAGAGGCTCAAGACCACCTTTGAGCAAGTCGATGCCGTGTTTCTGACTCGACTGGAGCAAGATCGACGATCCAACTACGAATATGGTGCGCTCATCGCGTCAAGGTACGATTATGCGAACAAGAACAAGTCAAGGACCAGATCCCCGAGTCGTCCTCCCAGTGAAGACTTTGACGAGAAGGTCTTTCGAGCGGGATCGACTCAGGCGCAGATCGAACGCATCGTTGATGAAGATGAAGCGGCCGAGATGATCTACGATCAGGCTGTGGACGAGTACAGCGAGCGCGCGGAAGTGTTCAATACGCAGTACTTTGGTGATCTTAAGCGACGGGCGAGACAGAAGGATGGGTCGGGTGTTGATGCGATTGAGGAGGAGCGGGAAAAAGAAGACGGCGAGGACAATGAAAATGGGGAAGCCGGAGTCGACGTCAACGATCTGTTTGATGGAGGGACTGAGAGCGATCTGATGGGACCTGAATCGTCACCACAAGCTCCACCGCCTGCGCAAACGTCCCGAGCCGACGTCAACAACGGCGATCTCGAATCTGACGTCGGTTCCCCCGCCGATTCGGTGACGTCAGACTTCCATGACGATGGCAATCGTCCGCAAAGACAAACTTACAAAGTCTCTATCGCTTTGGACTCGATGACCCCGGAGAGCCTCGATGAGACGAGCGCGTTCGAGCAGACTTTCAAGCCCATGCCGACGCCCGCCCGAACTCATCCAGTGCCGTTCTCGACGAGGTCTACTTCTCGATCTCCGACGAAGCAGAACTTGTTTCGCTCGCCCACCAAGGCTGTCAAGGTCCGACGGGCGACGTCGCGCGGCTCATCAGCTTCAAACTCGGCGCAGGGGTCCGATGTGGACGACGAGGAAGATGAGCATGAGCCCGTTTTGACTTCTCGGGAACACGATACACCCATGAGCGATGACGATCTTTTAATCCCGCCCGTTCAACGAGCCACCGGTTATGATCCCTCGGACATGGACGGGGACCTGGAGGATCACGCTTCCGACATCCTTGAAGCATACGTCCCGACGCCGACCCAGGTCGAAGCCGTGCAGCCCTCGATGGTGCCTGTTGCGATGCGGTCATTTATCGAGGTGGACGAGGAGGTCCCGATTTCTTCACACGACAGCAGGGGGACGGTACGGTCGAGGGGGTCGAGTTGTCGCAGCGCTTCCGTCTCTTCGCTCGATGCGCCACCAACTCCGAAACGGATGACGCTGCGATTCGATGTCCCCGAGTCGGAATCGCAGTCATCGTTCTTGGCTTCCGCTTCTAATCAGCCTTACACTCCCGAGCTATCTATCGAGCTTGAACCGATCTCTTATGCAACGCACAGCTCGGGCTCAAGGTCTGCCATACATATCCCATCTCTTCTCCTTCCGCTGCAGAACTCGAACACATCTTCGTCTTCAGGACCCGTAATTCACACCGACCACCCTGTTTCGGCCTGCTCGTGGATCTATCATGAACCGGCTCCGTCGGCCCAGCAGGTGCTCGAGACGTTAGAAATGTACAACCAGCCTCGAGTGGACTATACGAACCCCTACTACTCGAATCCTGCCGACGTTTCCCGCGTCGCGAACGAGTATGGAGGTCGCAGGTTTGTGCTTCGTGATCATTCGATGCGTAACACCCCGGCGCTCAATCATCTGGATCGAAGAGTGAGAGACGCCGAGACTACAACCCGAGGCACGGAAGATTATCCGAGAATGTCGAAACGAAGTGGTGATAGGGGAAGAGAGCAGCATGGTCTTTGGGTATATGTCAAGCGACCACCGACCCGAGCAGAGGTAAACGCCTGGGCAAAGAAGGAGGACCTGATTCAAGAGGCCAAAAGCAATGTCAAGCCGCGCACGAGGGGTATAGAGGGCCCTACTCAGCATCAGGGTGGCTTCAAGTTCACCCCCGTCAATGGGGCACCTGCGCAACGCGAGAAGCAGCATATGGCGGTTCTGGCAATGGAGTTGCATGGTGAGCTTGAACCAGCTAGCACAAGATCCCGAGCAAGGGTGCTCATCAACTCTCTCTTCTTGCTCTCAAAAGTCAATACTCGCGAAGGACTTCTGCCAAATCCACTGCTCGACCCGATCCAGGCCATCTTCTACTGCCTGCAGTCCGAGAACGACGACGTCGAGATGAACGGCCGTCTTCCCGATACGCACGTCGGATGTATAGCCATGTGGGATGCGGCTGATTCGGACCTACGAAAAACTGTCGGTCCTACGGACTACGGCCTGGAAGTGGTCGATAACGAGCTGTCGATGATCGCAACGTTTTTGGACTTGATTGTGAACGACTGGGATCCGGAGGCTTTGGCTGGGTACGAAGTACACCATTCGAGTTGGGGTTATTTGCTGGAGCGAGCGAAGGAGGTCCATGGTAAGCGTCGAAGCTCTTTGTCTGATGATTCTAGCTGACGGATTTGTATTGAGCTGTAGATTGGAACCTGGTTCCCGAGCTCGGTCGAATGGAGAAACAAAGCACCGGTCGACATGGAAATGCGCAATCCGATCGATGGGGCTTCACTCAAAGTTCGGCGCTCAAGTTCACTGGGCGGCATGTGCTTCCCATCTGGCGCATCTTGTCCTCGGATAATCGGATGCAGCATGCCGCGTTTGAACATGTCGTTTTCCAGATTTTGAAACAAAGGTGCGTGTCCGATCGATCAGCCGGCTTGACACCGCCTGCGCATACACTGAGCATCTCTACATGCACCACCAGAACTCCACACTTCTCTCACGAGACTTTAACCAAGTGGTACACGAGCGGAAACCCCCGATACATTACCAAAGTGCTCGAGTATTGGCGCAACCGAGTCGAGATGGACATTGAGATGCTCGAAGCCGCGGAAATCATTGAACATAATTGGTTAGGTTTCTGGAGTACCGTGATCGCACTCCACAAGCCGCTGACTGCCTACCCTCTCTTTTTCAGTGAGTCTGCCCGAGTCTTCGGCGTCGACTTCCGCTCCGTCCGAACGAGGGGGAGTCAGTTCAAGGTCGAAGCTGTCATGTTCAAGCTGGCCAAGCCCGAGTCATTTGTGCTGCTCTCACCAAATCGAGTCCAGGTGCGTGCTTCTGCAGAGCGATTTGAAATGCTCAAGATTGGGCTCACTCTAAGTCTTGCGAGGACGGTACCAGGTTGGGCATCAAAACGCTGCGGAATGCGGTCCTTTGATCATGGAGCCTCAGTCGGCATTCTACAAAGGTCCGCTGGTTGTGCTCGACTTCCAATCGCTTTATCCGTCGGTGATGATCGCGTACAACTATTGCTACTCGTGAGTCCGTCGGTGATGATCGTGTACAACTATTGCTATTCGTGAGCAACAAGGTGCCAGCTCGAGTCCCAGGCACTCACCATATTCGACGCTGCCTCGTTTCATAGAACTTGTCTGGGGCGGATTGAGCGGTTCAAGTCGGCGAACAAGTTCGGGACGACTACGATTGACCCTCCCCCCGGTTTGTTGGAGCTGATGAAAGAGCACATCACGAGTGAGTGGCTCATTGATTATCTACATTGAAGTAGGCGGCTTACTGTATCTTGTCAACCCAGTCTCGCCAAACGGAATGATGTTTGTCAAGCGCGAGGTGCGACGGTCACTACTCGCGAAAATGCTGAGCGAGCTCCTGGATACGCGTGTGATGGTCAAGTCGAGTATGAAGCGCGTGCAGGACGACAGGGTGAGTGTCTCCCATCTCGATCGATCAACCAAATGTTGACCAGCCTCGCCCATTCCAACTCAGGCCTTGACGAAACTCCTGAACGCTCGACAGTTGGCACTCAAGTTCCTCGCCAACGTCACCTACGGATACACGAGCGCGACATTCTCCGGCCGGATGCCCTGCGTGGAGATTGCGGATGCGATCGTCCAAACTGGTCGAGAAACGTTGGAGAAAGCGATTGTCACCGTCAAGTCCCGGGTGGAGTGGGGGGCCGAAGTCGTGTACGGCGACACCGACTCGCTCTTTATTTACTTACCTGGCAAAAGTAAAGACGATGCTTTTAGAATCGGCCATGAGATGGCGGATACGATCACCTCGATGAATCCTAGACCGATCAAGCTCAAGTTCGAAAAGGTGTGGGCTACTATAATTTGGTGGGGCTCAATTCGAGACACTGACCCCTCATGCACGACACCAGGTCTACCTGCCGTGTGTTCTGCTCGCCAAGAAACGTTACGTAGGCTTCAAATACGAGTATCCTGCGCAGCTCGAACCCGACTTTGACGCCAAGGGTATCGAGACGGTGCGACGGGATGGTATCGCCGCGACTCAAAAAATGCAAGAAGCCTGCATGAAGTGAGTAGCTGCGCAATCGAGCTTGAACTGTGCGAATCGAAAAATCTGATGCCCGCCACGTCGGTTTCTTACCAGAATACTCTTTCGTTCCCAAGACTTGTCGGTCATCAAGGCTTACCTTCAACGACAGTGGGAGAAGTTGCTTCTTGGAGATGTTTCGCCCCAGGACTTCGTCTACGCCAAAGCGGTTAAGTTGGGGAACTATGCGTGAGTCTGACGTACCGTTCCTCCCTCCGACGTTATATTCTACTGACCTAGACTCTTGGAGAGTAGTGAGGGACGTGTACCTCCTCCCGGGGCGATGGTCGCCCAACGAGCTATGAAGAGGGATCCACGAGCTGAGCCTGAGTACGGTGAACGAGTGCCTTACATCCTCTTCCAATCGGTGCCTGGAGAGAAGCAAATTGATCACGCCGCCTCTCCCGAAGAGTTTCTCAGTGATCCGTGAGTGGTCGAGCCAAGCTGCTGCGCTCTCACTGGATCGTTTCAACTGATTTTACATCACTCTCGATTGCAGCCGCCTTCGTCTCGATGCCAAACACTACATCGAGCGCGCGATCATCCCTCCTCTAGCGCGCATCTTCAACCTCATCGGCGTGGACATCACACAATGGTTCAAGCAGATGCCACGCTCCTTGACGGTCGTGCATGCTCGATCGACTCAACCTGGTGCTCGTAAGGCTTTACTCGAGGAGTATCTCAAGAGTGAACGGTGTCGAGCTTGTGGGGCATCGGGTGGAGTCGAAGAGGGTGAGCTTTCGGTCTCGAGAATACGATGTCCCCGCTGGTGACCAGTTTGCTAAAACCCGATGATCTTCAATAGGAGGCTTGTGTCCCACCTGCCTGACCAAACCCGGTGAAGTCGTCTACCAATTACATACGCGCATGCGCACAATTCACTCCAAACAAATGGCCTTGCGCAAGATCTGCGCCAGTTGTTCTTCGGCGGTGACGACTGAGGAGATCGAATGCGATTCGACGGATTGTCCTTTGTTGTGGGACAGGAAGGCGACGGAGAAGGAGGCGATTCGAATTGACGAGGTGTTTCGATTGTTGACGTAGGGGCTTTGGAGTTCGAGGGCGTTGTTGTACAAACACTTGCAAAGCATTTAGCCGTCTCATAAAGTTCGGAGCAGATTTCACGACCATTGGACAGAAGTGGGCAGAGACCAGGAGGAGGCTGGAGCATTGAGCAAGCTGTCAAACAGTGTCAAATGACGTTGCAGTCCCCACAAAATTTGCTCCGACACGACTCTCTAGTGCTTGGCCACAGCAACCGCGGTGATCGTCGCCTGTGAAGGAATGGCCGAATCAGGTCATTCAGCCAATGCGCCGCCCCACATGCCCGCGCTCGGACGACTCGCTCCCCCGGAAAGTCGGAAGCATACCTTGCTCATATCCCAAGCTCCGGCGGTAGCGTAGATATCCTTGCTGAGCCTCTCCAGTGCCTTCTCCTTGGATTCCTCCCTCAACAACAAGAACGAACCGGTCATCTTGGATCCGACGGCACCCTCGAAGGTCGCTCCGCCTTCCTCTGAGCGCGAGAAGCGTTCTACGTTAGCCTAGCCTCGCACGTTGATCGGTTGGGACAAGAGCTATGATGAGGACTTGCTGATCCATCCATTCTTGTGTCCCTCTGCAGCGTGTTCGAGATGCGAAGCGCGCACGCTCAGCCTGCGCCAGACCGCGCGTTCGAACCAGAGTTCATGTCAGCCACCAGATACAGCCCACATCCTATCAGCCAAGAACTGACCTCTTGGACCCCTCGATAAAATCGGGCAAGATGCACAAGTAGTTGTTGTATTGGTCCAGAGGCTTGCTAGGCTTCTCGGCCCACGCGACGTTCGTGACGGTGGCGTCGGACATGAGCAGGCGAGCGCTGTGCAAGGCGGAGGGTAGCAGGTGGGTCGATAGAGGGATGGGTGCGATGCGACGAGTCAGCAAAGGGACGAGAATGGTGGGCAAGCCGAGGGAGGAGAAGGAGCAGGGAGGAAGGAGCGAGAACAAGAACAGACGCCGCATTTGCCAAGTTTTCTCGGCGCGTCATTCTGCTTCATTGCCGCGGCCCCACAATTTCTCGAGAGTCGAGGGCGCTCATAACGCACGGACGTCCGAGGAACGGACATCACTTGGAAAGATCGTCGGGCTAATATGACAACATATCGAGGATCTACACACCCTCCGAGACCAAAATTACCTATGCCCCCACTTGAACCGGTGCTGCCCTCGTGATCGTCGATCTTCTCGTCACAGGAGGCGGTCGATGACTCTTGTAAGGCAAGGCCTTACGACGGGCCACAGGCATTATAAATAGAGCTTGCGCGCGCCTAGCTTCTTCAGCTCTCTCTTCATCGAGCTGACACCAGAAGCTAGGTGAGTACTGGTGTTCCCTATCTCAGCACTATCGTATCTCATCGAGCTGACACCAGAAGCTAGTTGTAATCCATATAACTTGCACCTGTCATCTTCGGTCACCAGTGAGGCTCCGCTGTCCGAGACAGCGTGCCTTTCACTTTTTTTTTGACAACGTCGAGTTCATTGGTACCCCAACGATACGGCCTACGCTCATCAGGTCCGGCCGTACTCAAACCATCGAACCAATCGACTAGCCAGGATCGTTCAAATCAAGACGACCCTGCAGCACTAGCAGCCCAGCGCCCCACCCCAGCCCAGCCCAGCACGCCCGCCATGTCCACTCCTGTCCCGCCCACGCACGTATACAAAGCCAGCGACCCACCTCAGCTGCATCAAACTTCGATGGAGGCTCTTCGGGAATACTTCATGCGCCTGGATTACTACAACCGGCGCGTGGCCCGTGTACCCGTCACTTCCGACCACGACAAGATCGAAGGCGCTGGTATGGGGTTGCAAGTCCTGGCGCTCAAAACCTGGTTCTCTCAAGGGTTGAGCAAACACCTTGCTAAACCGTACGCCCAATTCAAGTCGGAGTTGATCCGCCGCGCCGTGCCCGCCGATTTCGTCTGGACGCAACTCGAGGTGTTGCACCGGCAACGCCAAGTGACGGGTCACGATGTACACGCGTTCCAGGACTTCTCCGATCGAATGCGCGTCCTCCAGATGGAGATTGGGTTCCAGGTCGTCTCGGATCAGGAACTCGCCAAGCTTGTTCTCCTCGGCACCGATCCCGAGCTGTGCCGACTCCTCCGCACGCATGTCGTCTCGTCGCTAGCTGGATGGTCCGATCTCTCACTCGAGAGACTCGCTCTCGATGCTCCCGCCCCAGCTGTGGTCTCGGAAACCGACGTCTACAGCGATGCACCGGCGGAGCAACCCGGGGAGTTCGATTATCAAGTATTCGAACGGATTGGACGCGAAGAGTGGGGCGTCATCGCGCAACGCCGAGCGGCCATTGCGACCCAAGTCGCCGCACTCCAACAACAGCGGCCGAACACACGACCGACGGCCTTCGCAACGGCGACGATGCGACCAGTCCCCACCACCGCCCCAGCCTCGGGGGGACCCCGTCCCCGGCTCACCGCCGAGGAGCGCGCCTACCTAGACGCGAACCATGGGTGCTATCGCTGCCGCGCCCTTAATGCGGATCACATGTCGAGCAACTGCCCTCGACATGTCCCTGCTCCCGGAGCGCCCGCCACCTCGTCGACTCCCCTGTAGACCGCTCCCGCCGCTCGCACTCGTCCTGGTATGGTGGCGGCCATCCAGACGTTCCAAGAAACGGGTGATTCAACCGCGTTTGCTGGCCTCAACAGTGACTCGGAAGACGATGATTACTCGTACGCCCCTCGCTCGTTCCCGCCTTTACCCGTCTCTCTGCGTGGTGCTCATGGTACCCTCACTGCCTCGGCCCTCGTAGATTCGGAGTCGCCTCAAACGTTCCTCAGTGAGGACTTCGTTCAGCGATTGGGATTGGAAAAACGGGCCTTGGAACAGCACACGAAGTACACTCTTGCAATGCAGAACCAAGTTCCCACCGTCTTCACCTGCACGCATTTTGTGCGAGTTCCGGTCGAACTGGCTAATGGACGTTGGGCGGCGGGCCCCACGTACGCCGAAGTGGCGCCCCTTGGGAGGGACCTCGAGCTTATTCTGGGAGGCAACTTCATCTACACGCACAAGATTGACCTAGGTCATTTCCCCCACCCCCACCTCACGTGTAAGAATAACCCGGAGGAGCCAATTGACCTGCTTGAACTATCGTCCCAGCCGCGCGGCACGTCGCCCGTGGCCGCTATCGCGCCCGTCAACGAAGACGAACAGCTCCGCCTTGCCGCGCTCGACCAGCGCCTGCGCGCGGTTTACGCTGATCGCTTCCCTGACGACATTCCACCGGTTGCCACCTATCAATCCCCGGTGCGACACCATATCGAGCTTGACAACCCGCGCACTGTGATCAACCTGCGCGGCTATCCGGTCGCCAAACGCCATCGCCAGGCATGGTACCTGCTGCTTCAAAAGCACCTCGCAAGTGGCCGTCTTCGCCCCTCACGTTCGCCGTACGCGTCACCGGCGTTCATCATCCCCAAGAAGGGCTCGGATGTGGACCCGACCATTTCACCGCGATGGGTGAACGACTACCGCCACCTCAATCGGCACACCATCAAGGACCGCACACCCTTGCCCCTGGCCGATGACATCCTGTCGACGTGCTCCAAAGCGCAGTTCTGGGCCAAGATTGACATGACCAACTCCTTCTTTCAGACCAAGATGGCGGAAGAGGATATAGCAAAGACCGCGGTTTCGACACCCTGGGGTTTGTACGAATGGACGGTCATGCCCATGGGACTCTGCAACGCGCCCGCCACCCACCAGCGCCACATCAACGACGCCCTGCACGGATTACTCGACACCATCTGCTTCGTCTACCTTGACGACATCACCATCTTCGCCGATACGCTGGAGGAGCACGAGGCCCGTGTTTGCCAAGTTCTGGACGCCCTGCGCCGAGCCGAACTCTACTGCTCGCCATCAAAGACCAACCTCGCCACCTCGGAGTGTGAGTTTCTTGGCCACATCATCAACCGCTCCGGCGTACACGCCGACCCCAAGAAGATCAAGCGCATCCACGACTGGCATCTCCCAGCGACCGTCACGGAACTGAAGGGGTTTCTCGGTTTGGTGCAGTACCTCCGCAGGTTCATTCCGGGCCTTGCCGAGCATACCGCTGCGCTGACCCCGTTGACAATCAAAGGGCTGACATCCATCGGCAACCTCTGGACAACTCCAACGGTCCGTCACTTCGAAGCCATCAAGTCCATTGTCGTCTCCCTTGACTGCCTACGCCCGCCCGACCACTCTGCCGATGCCATGCCATTTTGGGTGATGACCGACGCCAGTCTTCAAGGTATCGGAGGTGTGCTCCTGCAGGGCTCGCATTGGAAGACCGCACACCCCATTGCCTACTGGTCGCGTCAATACATCCCAGCTGAACGCAACTACCCTACGCACGAGCAGGAACTCCTAGCTATTGTCGAGGCTCTCAAGGAATGGCGCATTGATCTCCTGGGTGGCCATTTTCACATCCTTACCGACCATTCCACACTTGAGCACTTTCAGACGCAGCGCACGGTCATCTCGCGACGCCAGGCGCGCTGGCTTGACACCTTGGCCGAATTCGATTACGACCTCCAGTATCTCCCGGGCAGGGAGAACATTGTAGCCGACGCGATGAGCAGGTACTCCTTTCCCGAGCCACTTCCCGTCATTGTGGCCAACATTTCGCAAGTCTCGCTCTCGGATGTCGTCAAGCAGCAAATTGTCGACGCGTACAAAACCGACGCATTCTGCCAGCAAGCCCTGAACAACATCGCGTCGGTCGCATCGGAGTTCAAGATTATTGACGCATTGCTGTATTTACGGGGCCGGCTTGTCATTCCACTACTAGCCCCGCTCCGTGAGTCCATCCTTCACGATGCTCATGACGCGCTGGGGCACCTAGGTGATGTAAAAACGTACCAGACTGTTATACAGACGTACTTTTGGCCGAACATGTCCCGCCACGTCAAGCAATACGTGCAACAATGTGACTCATGTCAACGAACCAAGGCCCGTACCACTCGCGTCGCGGGCAAGCTTCACTCTCTTCCCGTTCCAGTGCGCCCCATGACGGACATCGCCGTTGACTTTGTCGGACCGTTGCCAACAAACAAGGGGTTCGACCGTGTCTTGACGATCACCGATCGACTGTCGGGATATGTCCGCCTCATCCCTGCGCGCGAAGCCGACACAGCGGTGGATGTTGCCAACCGCTTTCATGAGGGGTGGCATCGTTTTTTTGGCCTGCCTCAACGCATTGTCTCGGATCGTGACAAGTTGTTCACGAGCAAGTTCTGGTCCGCCCTGCACAAGCGTCTGAACATCAAGCTGCAACTTTCCTCGGCGTTCCACCCCGAGACTGACGGGCGCAGCGAGAAGACGAACAAGACCGCATTCCAGATCCTACGCTCGCTTGTCAACAGGGAACAATCCAATTGGGTTGAATGTCTCACCGCTTGTGAGTATGCCATCAACTCATCGGTCAACGTTTCGACGGGGAAGACCCCGTTTGAGCTTGTCCTGGGGTACACACCCACCCTCGCCCCGCTTGCCCCTATTGAGGGCGACGAGGAGCTCCCATCGGTTGAGGAGCTGCTCGCACTTCGCTTCCAGTCATGCGAGGAGGCACGAGACCAACTCGCTGTGTCCAAAGTTCGTCAAGCCGCCCAAGCCAACAAGGACCGCGCGGATGAACCTTCATGGGCCGTCGGGGACCTTGTGCTGCTCGACTCAAGTGACCGCAGGAAGCGACTTCACACCCGCAAGCGCCGCGCAGCCAAGCTCATGGACCGTTTCGACGGCCCTTATCGCATTGTTGCGGCGCAGCCAGGGATCTCCACGTACACCTTGCAACTCAACAAGGACGATTCCGCGGTACCGTTCTTCCACACGGGCAAGCTCAAGGCCTACCGCTCAAATGATTCGGAATTGTTCCCAAGCCGAGAACCCGCGCGCCCGGGACCGGTGGACGTAGGTGGAGAACCCGAGTGGGTCATCGAGGACATCGTCGATGAAAGGGTCCGAGCGGGGAAGACTCAATATTTGGTCTCTTGGGTTTCATGGCCGTCGGATAGCGATTCATGGGAGCCTGCCGAGGCACTGGAGGACACGGAGGCATTGGACCGTTGGGAACATCGGAACGAGGAATGAGAGTGTTTTTTCAGAGGGGAGCTTTGTGTCAAGGAGGGGAGAGTGTAAGGCAAGGCCTTACGACGGGCCACAGGCATTAGAAATAGAGCTTGCGCGCGCCTAGCTTCTTCAGCTCTCTCTTCATCGAGCTGACACCAGAAGTTAGGTGAGTACTGGTGTTCCCTATCTCAGCACTATCGTATCTCATCGAGCTGACACCAGAAGCTAGTTGTAATCCATATAACTTGCACCTGTCATCTTCGGTCACCAGTGAGGCTCCGCTGTCCGAGACAGCGTGCCTTTCAACTCTCCTCATCCCGAACCCTCAAATCCCTCCTCGGACCCACTAGCGTCCTTTCGTCCCCGGCGGCACTCTTGACGGAGATGGTCCATCCACCGACGTCGAAGATGCCTTGGCGCATGATCCAGAGTTGCGTTGCAACTGTGCCTAGACCCAAGGGTGGGACCAAGCCTCGATGCGTAAGGGATCCGGAGTAGACGAGCGACGTCGTCGAACGCGTTTCGGAAGGGGCCAAGATGAGGGTGTAATCGAAGGCTTGGGAGGGGGAGAGGTTCCGAATCTGGTACGTTACGGGAACAGTGCAAGGGCTGTATCGCGAAACCAAACATCAGCATTTCAGACGTTCGGTCAAAGCGCAAGATGTCAGCGTCCGTGAGCTCACCCTTTCCCAAAGTCATGCACGAGGTTCTCATCGACTTGAAGCATCACCGACACCGCATTCTCCTGCACACCCATCTCGCTCCTCCTCAATGCGCCCAACAATGCCGTCCTCTCCCTCTGACTCTCAGCGTACAATCCACCCGCCTTGAGCTCGGCCGTCTCCAATACCGATTTGAGGACGTTGGATCCGGCGCCAAAGGGAATATCGGCGAGGTGGTGATGCCCCTGAAGGTCCAACGAAGGGGAAGACCAAAATATGACGAGGTCGAGTGATCGCGGGTTGAAGAGTGGGAAGAGGTGGGGATGTAGTGCTCGATCGATGGTGCGGAACTGAGTGGAAAGTGAATCGTGTCGCAGGACGGTGTGCGTACGAAGGAGCGAGGGGAGGAGTGAAGAGGATGTCGTGTTGATCGTGGACGATGACAAAGAGGATGCGAAGACCGAGGCGTGATGCAGCGTCACATCACCGGGGGAGGCCTTGTCGACATCACGACCCTGCAAGAGGAGGTTGAGTTGCTTGACCGCGAAGGCGTGACCGTCCTCCTTTGCCTCTGCCTTTGGATCGATTTTGACAGGATGAACCGCAAGCACGACGCTCATCGATTGTTGCCAACTGACAGGACCAAACTGATTGTCGAACGCAACGTTGGGCAACATCGACACGGCCCATCTCGGACTGAGCGAAGCGATCTGCGAGATGACGAGATCGCCAGGAATGTGCTGGTTGTGCACTTCGAACGAGAGCAAGAACGGGACTGAGGGCGACGAGCTCGGTTGTACCAAAGGTCGGATCTCGATCGAAGGTAGGACCTCGAGTCGATGCGTTGCTCGTGAAGTAAGGACTTGAGAGGAGTCCTGTGAGCAACTGAGCGCCTCGTGAGTACACGCACCGGATCTATCGAGGTTGCTGGGCTCACCTCGCCCTTGAACGCAAACACCCATTTCAGGACTCGCACGCCAGAAGCATCGCCCCTAAGCACGAGCGGCACATCGACCGACTCGCCCGGACCCAGTTTTTGCCCCTCCCCGAGCGGAATGCTCACAGTGGCGTTGGGCCGCAGTCGATTCTCAATCTTCGTCGTCGTCGGTGCTTCCTTCGCTTGCGCGACCGTAGCATAGACGTTGTCGGCCTCAAGCAAGGATACGAACCTGGCGAACGAAGGGGCATCGCACATCGTCTGCAAGCCGACCAGAGCGACGTGACCAATGTTGGTGACTCGAACCGAAGTCGCTTTGAGTTCACCAGCGTACATGGTTTGCGGAAGGAATTTGAGGTCGATGGACAAGGAAGGAACCGGGGCTCGGATCTCGACGGTGAGCATCGATCGATCGTCAGTATACACGATCCCCTTCTGCTGTTCGGGAGTCGCATTGAGACGTTTCCTTCGACCTTGCAATTCCTCGACGCAGGGAAGAAGGTCGATGAAGCGATACGAGATGTGCGTGAAGGTGATTGGTCCAAGCTGATGAGCCCGCATCGGCACGTAGATTCGCTTCGTCTCGCGCGGACTGAGTTCGATCTCTTGAGGTGCTTCCATCTCGATTGATGAGGAGTCGGAGCTGATCTGGACGCCACCGACTGCGAGTGAGGCGTTGAGAGGGTTCGTGACGAGAAGCTCGAGGTAGAACGTTTCTGCCAGCAGTCAGATAATGAATGGTCAGCACTCTCCCTGTAAACGATAGAGAGCACGTAACTCACCTCCGAACCCAGCATCGTTCTTCGACCGCGCCTTGGTTCCACTCTCCGTCGCACCCACCTCCTTCTCTAGCGTCGCCCATCCCTCTTCATCCTCCCCACTCCCTCCCTCTCCCACAGTCCCCGTCCAAACCCCCAAAACCTTCCACATCCTCTTCGGCGAGATCCACTGCCCCTCCACCCGATCCTGTTCACTCAACCGTTCCCAAGCCAAAGCAAAATCGTCCAACCACTCCTCCCCATCCTCATCGTCATTCTGCCCTTTGATGAGTTCCAAGAAATGCCCCACCGCTTCGATCGGTTTGCCGACGCTATACGCCTGTCGAGCGAGTGTATGCTCCAGATGATTCGTCACGGCGTCCCAACCCCCTCGTCCACTCTTGCCCTCCACGCCCAAAGCATCATGGAACGTCTCGTACCTCACATCATCCCTCCACCAATCCGCATTCACCTCCCCTTCCCCAACCCCCCTGTAGATGCCCCGGGTCATGTTCAAACACCTCCGACTCAAACTCTTGACTCCACATTTCTCATACCTCTTAGCAGCCATGATCATATGGAACCCAAACTTCCTGTTCCTTCCCGCCATCCCACCATGTGCACGCGGTAATCTCAAATCCGCCAACGCAGCTTGTTCCAATAACACGGCTGAGGTGATCTCCTCCGCTTCTCCGGCTGTTCGAACGAGCCCTGTAGGAGCGGGTCGTAAGTCAGGTATGGCGAGGTATACTTCGTAGTAAAACATCATGGCTTTCAGACCGTCCAGATCGACGGTCGTGGAGGAGGAAGCACCGGCCATTTCGAGGTATTGATCCGGGTTGAACGTCAAGGCTTGGCCCGTAGGGTGGGACAAGAGAAGACAGAGACCCATCATCCGACAAGCGGAAGCGTAGTGGCGTGAAGCTCGATCGGCTCGATAATCCTTGAGGAGGGACTCGTAGATCGTCGAAGCCAACTTGAAGTCGTGTAAAATGAACAAGAGGTCCGCGAGGCGTCGAGACTGGGCTTCTTGCGAGATGAAAGGGTAGCTATGAGTATTGTCGGCGTCAGCTTCTAAATAACAGGTGTACGCCCCCAAGTGTCTCAACTCACTAGCCCTTGGCCGCGTTATACCCAATAGCCTGCCCTGCCGCATTCGTCGTCGCCTTGCCCGCGGACCCGCTCGTCCCACCTCCCCCAAAGTACTTCCTTCCCGCACTGAATAACCTGCCCCCGATCGATTTCTTGCTCGCTTGGTATTGCTCGTATCCGACGACGACGGAGCGTTCGATCCAAGGCACGATCGATTGAACGACCATTTCGCGCAGGAATACTTTGATTGCGTTGAAGTCGAGATCGGAGAGTTCGTGACCGATTTCGATCAGAGGGGAAGCAGGTTGCGCCCATGCGGACGGATCATCGGAAGGAGCAGTGCTGTCGACCTCGTACGCCCTCTCCTGATCGACGCCCAAGCCTACGATTGCAGCAGCTTGCGAGTGTGCAGGTGCGCCGGTCCCCGGTTGTGAGAGCACAGCTTCGTCCCACAGACTGACGATGCCTCGTGCCCTCGCTTCAGGTTTGGCTGCGGTTGGAGCGGCGGTGAAGATGGGGAGCAAGGCGGTGTGGTGACCGTAGGTCTTGCGGATCTGTTCATGCAAGTCCTTGGCACTGTGGAGTGAGGTACATGCGGCATCAGCATGATCGTCGAGGAGAAGTAAGATCACAGTATTGCTACCGACTCTTCTAAAGCATCCCTGCCACCGCCTGCGCCATGATCATGGACGAGCACGATGTAGCGCAGCACGTCTGGGTTGGCCCATTCATGGCGCGAGTCCTCCTCGACACCTGACCGGGGAGGGTATGCGCGGGGTGAGAAGAGGTTTGACTTGGAGGTGAGGTCCCACAAAGCCGAAAGGGCGTTGAGCGGGTCCGGGTGGGATGATGAGAGCGCGAGGAGGCCTGGAGAGGGAAAACAGGGGTTCAGCCGAGTCGGGCAGTACTCATGCGGGTAGGGTAACACGTCCTCACAGGCTATGGGCGAGTTGAAAGAGTCCTGTTCGGACATCTCCCTTCGCTTGAAAACCTCGTCACGCATGGTCGTGTACCACGGTGTGAGGCTATCTAGCCCGTTACGGTCCCAAGGCTGGTCGTGGCCGTCTGGCGGGTGATCGGCCAGACTCGGGTCTTGCGCAATTTCTTCGTCGGTCGGTATCCTGCGCCTCGGTCGTGTCGGCCGTTGTACAGGCATCTCGGCGTCGAGGTGGGAGGTCCAGTGCGATTGCAGGCGACCGGTAATGAGCGACGAGAGCGAGTCGAGAAAGAGCTCGTCGCGTTCGGCTTGGGTCGGCCATAGGAAGGGGGTGGTGGGCAGGGTGGGGGTGTTGCCCCATGTTGTTCGCGATGGTACTAGTCCTGGTCCTGGAGGTGGTGGCGGTGCTACTACACCCGATCCCAGTGAAGATGTGGCCCCCTGGTTGGTCGTGCTCGCGAACGCGGGTGGCAGCGCGCGTTCGACGAGCTTGACCCCAAACTTGGGCAACAGTCGAGCTTCATAGTTGGTCGAGCGTACCTGGACCTTGTCGATGTTGCTCTCGAACGTGGACAGGAGGTGGGATAGCGAGTTGAAGCGCGATCGGTGTAGGATCTCGGTCAGCTCGGGGGTGGTGAAGGTGTGAATCAGCGGTGAGAAGTGAGGCGAGAGCAGGGAGGAGGCATCCGGTGGCGAGGTGGAGGTGGAAGGACGATCACCGCCCAAGGTTGAGCTGGTTGGGGTCGAGGATGAGCTTGACCGTGTTACGGAAGGTCCCGCAGAGCTGGGAGGAAGCGGCGTGGCCATCCCGACCGGCGGCCTGAAAGTGAGAGGAGTGAAGCCGCCAGTGCAGGCCGGCCCAGTACTGACCGGCGGGTCGGGGCGGGATCCGGCAGGATCCGGCCGGCGAATATCGAGTTGCTCTCAGCAACAGCCGGGTTCAATTTTCGGTATTTTCCAGCACGTCTAGCACGCCTGATGCCGATTTTCGAAACTTCGTCCGGCTGATGAATCCGTTCACAGTCCGGGGTGACGTGGTCGACGCGTGGATGGAGCTGGCAGTAGTGATCCTGTTCATGGATGGGGCCCGAGGGGCGGCTACGTTTACCAAAAGGTAAGCTGTCGGTGTCCTGCTCAATTGAACATATATCTCTTCGAAACTGACATGTCACGATCTGTCTTCGTTCAGGCCTACCTCGAGTTCTTCGCCTCGTCGGCACACCTCGACGATCTTCTCAAGGTGTTGCAACGTTACCCTTCGATGACGTACCACGCCGTGAACAAGGCCGGTGATCTGCAGACCAACGCGGCACCTGGACCCAACGCCGTCACTTGGGGTGTCTTCCCCAGCGCCGAGGTGATTCAACCGACCGTCGTGGACGGCACGGCCTTTCTGGCCTGGAAGGACGAGGCGTTCGAGCTGGGTACTTTGTGGGCCGAGCTCTACTCCAAGACGCGCCAGGAATCGGCCAAGGTCATCTCGGAGATCTTTGACACGTTCTACCTTGTCAACTTGGTCCAAAACGATTACCGCGACGAGGACGAACTCGCCATCTTCAAGCCATTCTTCGAGGTTATTGATGGCACCAAGACGGCCACCGCGAACGGCGTCAACGGATCGCACTAGACATTGCGCCATCATCAGAAAACGGTCCTCAACAAGGCCCATATGTACACTATTTTGTTGCTCAACCAATCATCCGACATCAGGAACCCGAAAGAAGGACGCTGCCGCCGTCGTCTTCTCTGTCCTCGCAAGTCTCTGCATTCCGTTTTCATCGTTATGTTTCATCTTGTCGTTACTTCAACCGCAACGTGCAAGATCGTCTACAACCGTGCTCCTCCACGGGGTTTTTTTTTCGCCTCCATGTACGCTGTACTACCACCGACGACGACGGATGTCCCTTTGCTCCTTTCATGTCCCTTCAACTCGGACTTGTCGTTTTCTTTCTCTTACACTACGCACTCTCTCAACAAGATACCTGTTGTGCAAGCCCTAAATTCAACTTCCTTTTTGACCTTACATCCTTACCTAAACGTAATTAGCTCTGTTCCTTGATATGCCCCTTCATTCTGCAATATCCATTGCGTCGTTTCAACGCGGAACTTTCATTTCTCAGGTCGCGAGATCGGGCTGCGCGCGTGAGGTGGATCGTCGATTCGTCGCTTGATCTCACCCGCATCATCGCCGCACATCACCCTCACTCGGTTCGAGTTCTCGACCTCCGATACCCTCCCTCCCGGCGATTACGTACCCAATTTAGAGCTTTGACCTCGCCAGAAGCACCCAGATCCTACACCCCAAGCCCTTTCCACTCGTAGACTCGTGCCCGCTCGACGTCCGGGACCGCTTCTCACGACCTTCTCATCGTTCCGTGCCCCGCCACAACTCCCGTTTGACAGATCCTTGGCCCGAGTGGACCCAGCCACGATGGTCCGCCACGCCAAGAACAACACCAACGCGTCGTCGTTCACCTACGCCGAGCGCCAAATGCTCAAGGATGGGTCCAAGCGCGAACGGTTAGGAAGGGATGCGATGAAGGTCCGTCGCCCAGAACCGTCTTCCTTTGTTTGTTCCGTTTTTTTTTTTGAGTGCGGCGTGGAGCTGATTGCTTGACGTGTGTGTGCGACGATAGAACTTCAATGCGTGTTCGTTATGCCTCCAGGTCGGGCGGGACCCCAAGACGTGCGACGAAGGACATCTCTACTGCCACGAATGCATCCTTTCCGCCCTCGTCGCGCAGAAGAAGGACATGCAACGCCAACAGGCGATCTTGGAGAGCATTCGGCCCGAGGCGCAGGTCGAGATGAAGAAGGCGAGGGAGGCGGCGAGGCAAAGGGTCGTGGATGAGTTTGAATCGAGTCAGAATGGGTTGGGCACGGGACTCATTGATGGGAAGGCCAAGAGGAGCACTGAGGGGGCGAATGCGGAACAGGGGAAGGCTGGGGAGAAGAGGAAGGCGGGCGCGTTCGAGTTGGACGAGAATGAGGTCCAAAAGTTGGCCGAGGAGGCGACGGTCGAGGCGCTGAATCGGACGGCGAGGGAGTTGGCCGAACAGAGTAAAGCAAAGTTGCCCAACTTTTGGCTGGTGAGTGTGTTGTCTGTGGTGTGTGCAGCGAAGGAGGTCTTTGGTGCTGACCTGTTCCCGTCCGTGTCTGCCTTGCAGCCCTCCCTGACACCTTCAGCGACACCGGATTCAGTACTCGACGTAAAGTTGCAGACCCTGTGTCACGCCACAAAACCGCCTCATCCCGTTTCGTACGTCCATGTCTCACCTTTTGTGAACATGCAAGTTTCAGGTACTGAATTCCGGTGTCGACCTTCTTCCCTCTCAACACCAGCCTGAAAACGTTGACCAATGTCCAATTCGAAGTGGACGCTTCCGATTCGGCCAAAGGCGTCGCATGCATTTGCCCTGTCTGCCGCAAGAGTCTGACCAACAACGTCAAGGCGTATGTCGTTCGATCCTGTGGTCATGTCGTTTGGTGAGCCGTCGAGACTTGGACCCCCCATGGCTGATACGTTGCATTCCGGAACAGATTGAGCTAATCATCTTACTTTGTTCGGTACTCTTTTCCCGCAGCGGTACCTGCATGGAAACGCTCTGCATCCCCGACAAGCAATGCGCTCACTGCGGAACATCGACAACTCCCTCCGAGAAGAAGAAGAAGGCGGGACCGGCGTTCATCGAATTGCGTCGGGAGGGGACTGGGTTCGCTGCTGGGGGTCAGGCCGAGGCGACGAAGTATGATCTGCCTTTCCAGGGGTGATGTTGTTCTTGAATCGAGTGTCGTGTATGTATGTGAAATATGGAGTAGTCTACATGCTAAATACGTGGCGTGTGGCACGCAATCTTCGGCGATGACTGCCTCGTGAGCACGGACCTCTCGTGGATCAAATCGGTCGATCTTCACCCAGCCGACGCTATCGTCATTTCGGATCGCTTGACGGAGTTGTAACCACTGCCACACCTTTGGAGATCGGATCCCTGATCAGCTTTGGCCTCGGGCGTGGCATGCAGCTGCGATCAAAGATCAAACTGCTTACGGAGAAGAACCGCTGTCCATAGGAGCTTCGCCTCATCGAGCAAGCATGCTATTCCACTCACCTCATTGATGGCACTATGCCGTTTCGCATGATTGATGGTCGACAGGTCATCGAGTCATTAGGCCCGCCGACGACTACATAATGTCCCCCAAGGACCTTACCTCATGTTACCCCGACGAGCGCATACTCAGCACGTGCGCACATGCCGAGCAAAGATTGCCGCCCTTCGGGGCGTGCCCGGGCCGCGAGACACCGCCGGTAGAACCTCTACAAGCCGCATAACTGCCACCGCGGATACAAAGAGCTCAAGTTCAGGAAAAAGGAAGTCTGACAACGAAGTAGCGAGCCCGCCAGTAAAGCAAGGAAGGCCCTCTTGATGCCTGGAGCCACGCGCGACACCAGCCGAAGCGGCGCGCGCCACAAGCCGCTTTCGATCGGCCGCCGCGCGCCCGCAAACGCTCGGAACGCGTTTTCGAGGACTTTTGAGCGATTTCTGGAGCATGGAGAACACCGTTTGGTGATGATATATCCGCGGCGCATGTGAAATTTTGACATTTTGGGGCCAAAATAGGGCAAAAAAACTTTGACAAAAAGGCCAGAAAAGGGCGTTTTTCCACATGCGCCTCTAGCTGGGCTTTCGGGGGTCCTGGAGGTCTTATGGGCAACTGAACCGTGCCGCTGAGCGCTGAGATCCGAGACGTGCCTGGGTCGTCGTCGCCTGGTCGGCTCGGCCTACTCACCGCCTCGCCATCCGCAGAACGCACACCCTGCCCCATTCTTCGCCACTACAGCTTTAGCCCAACATGCAGAACATGGGCAAGAGCGTCATGAGGTAAGTCACATCCCGCTCACCCCTCCGCACGGCCCTCGACGACTGTTGCGATCTGGCGACCGGGAAACTCACTCGCTGCCGGTCACGCCGCACAGGGTGGCCAAGAACTCGATCAAGGGCTTCACCGACGCGCAGACCAAAGTGCGCGATGCGACCTCCAACGATCCCTGGGGACCGTCGGGTACTCAGTAAGTTTGCCTGCCCAAACGATCGTGGCCCGTGGCGATGGCGATGGCCGGATTGGTCTTATTGAGCCGCTCCGGACCGTCTCCGGACACGGTCGAGTCGACCGGCAAGTACTGACGGCCGCTTATCGTTGGCGTGACCCACAGGATGAGTGAGATCGCGGTCTTGACATTCAATGCGTGAGTATGATGCGTGCTCCCTCTTTGGCCTCATCCGGTGGGGTCTGTAGTGCTTGTCACCGCCCGGCCCCTGTCGGACGAGGAGGACGGTCTGAAACTCAGCCACGGCAGACTACTGCGATCCGCGAAGCCGAGAGCTGACCAGTCTCAAACGTCGTCACCTCGATTTGCACAGTAACGACTTTGTCGAGATCATCGAGATGCTCGACAAGCGACTCAACGACAAGGGCAAGAACTGGCGCCACGTCTTCAAGTCGTTGACCCTGCTCGACTACATCCTGCACAATTGAAGCGAGAACGTCGTGCAGTACTTTAGGTGAGTTGAGGTCCAGTTCGCTGGAGTGCGTGGGCATGTCCTACAGAGAACTGGTGTAGTGTAGACGACGTTGTGCAGTACCAGCCTCGTAGCGGCGTTCACCTGTCTCCTCTCGACTCCATGACATCATTGCGTACGCGTGCTCACACTCGCACCGCACCTTGTTCACAGGGAGAATCTTTACATTGTCAAGACTCTGAAAGAGTTCCAGTACATCGACGAGTTTGGCAAGGATCAGGGAGCGAACGGTGCGTTGACACCCCCACATCGCAGAATGCAGAAATGACGCGGTCGCAGACTCATAAAGAATCCGCTCGATCGTCTTGGCTACGTACAGTTCGACAAAAGGCCAAAGATATCACAAACCTGCTGTTGGACGAGCGACGAATGAAATCGCAACGCGCAACCCGACGTGACATGCGTGACCGCATGTCCGGAGCCGAAACCCGGCCCAAATCGACCGAAGCGCGACCTGATCGATCCGGAGCGCGTTCTGGCGATGGAGATCTTGAGACTGCGATTGCTGCGAGTAAGCGATATGCCGAGGAGGAGGCCAAGAGGAGTCAGGCCGACAACGATCTGGAAGAGGCGATGAGGCTGAGTCGAGAAGAAGATGAGAGGCGGAGAAGGGAACTAGCCCAGAGCGGGAGCGATGGACTGTTTGATGAGCAACGGCAGTACGTTCTGCTCCACACATGGGCTTTGATTTTCTCGAAAGGAATTTGATCGAGGCTCCTGATGATTTTTTAGAAACCAAAACAACCTTATCGATATCGACGCCCAACCTCAACAACCGATGCAGACGGGGTGGGCGAGCTTCAATCCCTATGCGGCGCAACAGCAAGCCATGCTTGAGGAACAGATGCGCCAAGCCCAGATGATGGAGCTGCAGCGTCAGGTGGGTGATGGGGTTCCGGTGTTGAACGTAGCGACCTGGACGAGAATAGGCTGACGCTAAAGCCTTCGTTCTCGCCCCTTGCGCACAGCAACAAGAACAGCAGCAATACCTATACGCCCAACAACAAGCTCAACTGCAGGCACAATACGCACAACAGCAACAACAAGAGGAGTACATGCGCCAACAGCAGTACATGTATCAGCAGCAGATGGCGCAGCAACAGCAGGCACTTCAGCCCCAGCCGACTGCGTTCGGTGCCAACAACCCTTTCGCCGCTTTCGCCGCTCCGCCTCAGCAGCTACAGCAACCTCAAACGACTTTCAACGACAACATCGCCACTGCGACACCTCCGCGGCAGCCCAGTCCGCCGCCTGCGCTGCACCCGCAACAGACGGCGCAACCGGCCCGACAGCGGCCACAGAAGGACGACGGCAAGCACGCCCAGCTCGCCCAGCTGCTCGCAGGTGGCCGAGAAGATGGCTTGGACACGTTCGGCAACATTGGCAATATGCGTATCCCAGTGTGAGTGTACAGTTATTGTATATGCACCAAATTTTCGTTGTCGTACTGATCGTGCAAGAGTTCATCTTCGCTTGGTTTAGTGGAGCTCAATTCGCGACTCGAACAGGGGGTCTCGTTCAAGCGCAACCGACTGGATTGGCCCGACCAAACCCGTTCAACATCTCTCAAAACCCGACTCAGAATCAACAGGTATGTAATTCGAGCCCCTAGCAGTCCACCTGTCGCATCAACAGCCCGTATTGCGAGACTGACTAGTGAGACCCCAACCCCGATTGCCCCGACAGAAGGATCAACCGTTCTTTACGATCTGAGGATAACCTGGCGCAAGGATGGGCGAGGACTAATGAAGAGCTGGGCTGAGATTAGGACTGACCATTAGTGTTGAGATTAGCGGAGTTGGAATAGTTTTGAAGTGACGCCCTTCGCTCTTCGCAGCCGGGCGCGGCTCGGGGCAGCTCGGGACAGCTTCGCACCGATCCATGCGCCTCTGCCCGTTCGTTCCTCGCTCCGCTTCTCCCTCCACTCTCACCTCCTCCACCCTCGGCCCCTTCCGATCATCACAAGCATGGCCTCCACCAGCAAAGCCTCGATCGCGCAACCGCCTCCTCCCTTGTTGAAGCCCACCGACCCCGTACTTTCTTACTCGCGAAGTCCGCTCGCATCTCAAATTCCGACTTCGACGTCTGCCAAACGGCGAGCTTCTGGACCAGATGATGTGACTTGACGTTTTCATGAGTACGGAGTTTCTGAGTTTTCTCTCCTGTTTTTCCTCCTCTCTCCTCTCTCTCTTTCTCGATTGTGCCTATTCTTTAACACCGGGGAAGAGGGAGGGTGGTTGGTGCTCACATGATTGGAATCATACTTTTGGTGGTTTCAGGAGTGTGGGGGCTGCATGGATCTAGTGGCTATAACTTTACATAAGTCCAACCCCCCTTTTCAAGAAACATTGATTTTGCGTAGATAACCGAATATGTGAAATCTAATCAGGCTTGATACAAAAAAAAAAGCTATAGCTGTGCTTCCCACACGCGGGCTCACGGGCGGCACTCGCAACGCACATTCCCTTTCGGGCCCTTCACTGCGTTGTCGACGTTTCCTCACCAGCTTCTGCGGCTGCGTTCACCACCTGAAGGGACAGGTGCGTTCCTCACTCCCAAGACTACCTCCCAGCTGACGAGGTCGCTGATCGAGAGTTCCATCTTGCCGGACGTTCACAGCTGCTAGCAGCTCATTATGAAACCCTCGACGTGGCTCGCTTAGAGTAGCTCGGGGCAAGTGCTTTGATACACCCAAGCTTGTTGCACGGTGTACTTTGGGATCCCTGCAAATTCTTTGTGGGGGCATTTTGCTCCGGGCCCTTGTTGGGCAACGAGCTAAATCGCACATATCTCAGCAGACCCTTTGCCGTCCTTTGCACCAACCGCGCTCCAACTGTCTTTATACAGTGTCTTGCCTTTGTCGCAAAGGTATGCTGAGACGATCAGTGGACTTGCTCCATCATCAGTTGCAGCCGACTGACATCCAGAAGCTTGGGTCGCAAAGCTCCCAATTGTCATCCCGCCCACCATCCCCGTGTATCACCAAGAAGTTCGGACTCTCTTCCGTTTAGATCAATCTCTTGCGGTTTTCCCCAGAAGGCTGGGTTTCACCGCTTGATTTGTTTAACAACTCCTACACCACCAATGTTGTCCTTCGTCTTACTGCAGCTCGAACCACTATTCCGCTACGAGTCGCGCGAGTGGTCAGGGGAGTCGAAGGGAGGAAGCACCAATTGCACGACGAGAATACCCTAGGGATTCGACAGATGGGAAATTAAAGTAGGGCGAGTGATCGATCTCTGTGCGTCGTCGACTCGAGTGCTATACGAAGCCAGCTAGAAGGAGGTAATTTATGTCTTATCGGAGCATGACTTGGTTTCGATCTTTCTACCTCAACACCAGCGCCATATTCCTCACGCTCCCCGAGCTCTGATCGAACAAATTTCTCAACTCCAACACCAATGACCTCCTCGACGAAGCCTGCTCCTGCTCCTGCTCCTGCTCAACCTCCCCCAACCGTTCAACCAAGAATGCAAACCTATCCAAGACCAACAACGTCTCCAGAACAGGACCCAGATGACACCTCAACGTCCAAAACACCTGCAACTGGTACAACGCCTCGATCCAGGCCTTTTCCTCGCCCATCTCGTCGGACCCGAATCTCAAGCGAGGGACCTCCGTTTCGCCGTATTTCCTCAAAGCTTTGAGACGATAGTCGTCAAAATCTTGCGACTTGGACACCCTTCCTACACGACGTTGCCCTTCGGAGCCTAGACCTTGGGCCGCTAGTTCGGCTTCGAGTCGTGCTCGATAGCCCAGTTTGACGATCGATTCCTTGAGCTCTTGTTGACTCGTGGGGGTGAGGCACCACAACCCAGGAGATTGAGGTGAGATCCTGAGATGTAACCGTGTCATTGGTTCCTTCGTTTCTGACCCTAGTGAGGTGGTGTCGAGCGCTCGAGCGACAAAATCAGAAAGCGGAAACGAGGAAGGCGTTTGCAGATTGTAGCAGCAGCCAACAAGGATCGCAGTCGGGAGTGGGCAAGGAGCTAGAAAGAGAACTTGGAGTGCAGAGATGGTCAAGTCGCCGCATCCATGCAATGTGACCAACATTGCTGGCTCGACGTCTCGTGCTGGTGGCTCGGCATTTTCGGCAGCTTGGGGCAGGGTGTAGAGTTGCGCGATCGACGGGGCGTCCAATGAAGATGTGAGATGCGTCAAAGTGCCTTTTTCGGGAACTGGGCTTGTTGCCGGTGTATCAACGGATGGCTGGACTTCGGTTTGGTTAGGAGCCGAACGTGCTTTGCCGAGGGTCTCGAGATATTCGGATCCCGAGATCTGCTGTGACGACCAATCGACGGCGAGAACATCGAGCTTCAGGGGGGGAAGCGTGAGTACACGTGATAGATGTCCCCACATGAGCATATGATACGATCACTGCGTCAGCTCTCTGATCAAGCGGGCGTGAGACGAGCGCTCACAAGAGCTCACCCTTCCGGAGCCGACGTCGATGATGTTCGTGATCCCAGGCCTGGTCGATCTGATCTCTTGAACGAGATGGGAGAAGCGATCGACCTCGTGGGATTTCTTGGGATTCTGTCCCTGTCGTAGTTTCTTTCCCTTGGTGCCGATCGATGGGTCGAACTTGACGTCTCTGCAACACGCAGCCAAGTCTCCACGTTCTACCCAGATGATTTGCTCCAGAACTTACATAGGTGTTGGTCGACGACTTGCGCGCGTTGAGGTCAATCGGGATCGTCACACTCGCGGTGTTGACGAGATCGACTTCGCTCGCGATCACGACTTGAGTGTTTTGTCGAGCCGAGGCTTGCACCGTCTCGAGGATGCAGGTTCCTTTCGGTGCTCCTCCGGGTTGGTACTTCCATGTCACCTTGAGCCCCCCGGCATTGCTAGTGGGACGACATGGTGCGAGCGGGAGGAGTGAGCACACCACCCGGAAACGTGCTTGACACAACTGCCCACAAGCGTTGTGATAATGTTCTCACCTGATGGTATCACCAGGTTGGGGAGATGTGAAGTAGGTCGCCGCGACGAATGAAGCCTGCGCGAGTGCGACGCAAGCGGTGGCGAGGAGGGAGAGCTTCATCACGTTTTCAGTCGGCAGGCGCGGTCGATCACCGAGTTCGAGGGGATGTGGGGGTCTGTGCGAAGCGGTTATTAGGCCGGGGTGAGTCTACGCGTTTTTCGGAGTGGGTGTGATGGGTCGTCGTAGTTGGTGCAACTGTTGATGTAGCAGAATGGTGGAGGGAAGGAGAGGTAGTGTGAACGCAGGAGAAGAACAACGCTCACTCGATCAAAGGATGAAGGCACTAGCACCAAGGAAAACCAAGCGAAGAAGTGTGATATGATGGCGTCGACATGTCTTTTTTTTTCCCCTGTCCGATGAAACCAAGTGATCGGTGTTTTCAATTCGCTTGTACGTCCTCCCTGAAAGTACCCGTCACCTTCCTCCTCCCAATCGCCTGCTCGTACTCCGTCTGCGTCCATTCCCTCTCCCCTCTGCGAACCTCATCGATCACCCTGACAACCCATTCCCTTTCCTCTTCATTGCGAATGCAATACCTCCAGTATTGGTCCATCGATCGGATCAAGCTTCGGTCGCTCAAGAGTCCGTTCGAGGAGGACGGGTTTTGTTCGACGAAGATGAAGAGGAGTGGAGCTGCGTGGGAGTATTCGAGGCCAAACTGGTGTTGGGTTCGGGAGGAGCAGCAGGCGGGAGGAGCAGCAGGAACAAGCGAGTTTTAAGAAAACGGGTTTTTTTTTGTTTTTTTGGTTGTGGCTTGCGCGACACTTTTTTCAAGGTCGGGGAACGCCACTTACCTCTGCACAACTTTCGAGGATCCTCGATAGGCGTAACCAATTATGACTGTTCTTTACCAGATTACGATACCTCGCTTCATAGTGTTCGGTTCTCTTGATCCTTCCCGAATCGAAATCGTCCAATGCGAACCCATAAAAATCCAACATGATCTCGTAACTGTTCCTGAACCGACGTTGCACCTCCGGATCGGTCCTCAAAGCGATGAGTTCGTTGGGGTTCGAGGTGAGTAAAGGTGCTTGAGCGTTCACACCGGGTGTTCGGAGTGGGAACCACCATTCGATGAAGGAATGGTTCGATTCGAGTTGTGAGTAGTTGTGGGAGAGGTGGGTGTGAAGGTCGTCGAGGTGGTAGCGACTGGGGAGGGCGGGGAGGTCGTTTTGGTAGAAGGAGAGCACACGGGACGAGGGGACGGTTGCTGTACAGAGGGTGGACTCGGCCGTCAGTACGGGTGCGGCGAGGAATTGCTGAATGTCCGAGGGGAGGTGGGCGAGGCCATTCAGCCAGTCAAGTTCATCACCAGCGACCCACAGATCTGGCGCGAGGCAATGTCTAGTGACAAACGTGAGGTATGTGCAAGGCCTGAGGCCTTTGCCCGAGGTATTATGGAAGGCGATGGAGCTTTGGACTTGATTGAATAGCTTGCGCGCGCCTAGAACCTCCGTTGGCTTTCGCCAGCTCACTGACCGGTGGTTCTAGTGAATTACTATTGTTTGATCCTGTCTATTGTCCTGGAGCACGGCTGCACGCGGTGCTTCCAGTATGGGCCAAGGCCGCCACCGACGAGTTCAATTCCATGCGCGATGTCCTCAAGGTCGTGCTCAGGACCTCGGCGGCGAGTGGAGCGAAGCTGGCCAGCGGGAGCAAGCGACGAAGCGAGAGAAAGCGTCGGCGGCCAATCTAAAGGAACCGCTCACTTGTCGACGAGTTGAGGAAAAAGGCGAAGGTGCGAGGATCTGGCGATCCAAGTCGATCTTGGGCTCGGGGATGAAAGCGCAACGTACTGGACGTGCGACTTTTCGCATGAGTATATCTCAATCACTATTGGTGAGTGAGGGGTGCCTAGATCGGATCGCCCCAGCCGGAAGCGAGGTCTTGAGTATCGGAGCCTATGCGCTTCCGATTTATAAAACCCAAACCTCTCTCTGACGATGCCATGGACCTTCTTATTTGGTACAGATTATCGATCTTGATTATGCTACGTAACTCTTCGGAGCAAGCTGAGAATCCGGAGTGTTCTAAAGTGCGAAGTCAGTACGACCGACCCGGGGGTCCCACGCTTACCAACGACGCTAGCCCGCGCCGCCGCCGCTCGGCATCGCAGCTCCCTCGGCGCTGCGATGCTCCGAAAAAGGAGACCCCTCGGTCACCCGAGGTCACCAAGTCGACCTGATTTGCAGCAGCAACAATGAGCAAAGCAGTGTTCTTGATGGTTGCAAAATGACACTCGTATTTTAACGCATCTGCTCGTACTACTCTGAGTCCGAACGACCCATTACTTGTGTTGCCCGTCCATGGCTCGGAGTCATTTTGAGGGGTCAGAAGATCGAGCTGATGAGCCAGGGGCGCGCTCACGCGCAACCTGTTCACGTCTGACGCCTCGGGTACTACCCTCGCACTCCCTCATCCCTCATCTTTCGATCTCTCACCGACCATGACGATTGCACACGCACACAAACTGCTCGACCAGGAACTCCTCACCGTTCCGGAAGCCCTTTTGGGTCAGCATCAAGATGTGCGACAGGCGTTGGTTTCGCTGGTAGGCGCCGTCGATGGTGAGTCCGAAGCCACCGTCGCTGCTGGTGCAATGCTCCACCCACCGATGAACACCCTCTCTCTCCCCCTCCCCCCTCCCACCTCCCACCCCCCACCCCCCCCCCCCCCCTCCCCCCCCCCCCCCCCCCCCCCACACACACACACCCGGCTGTCTACTAGTCGTGATTCTCGACGGCTCGACGCTGTTCTCCTCCGAGTGGTTCTCGGCCGCTCGGAGCGGCACCTCGGAACGAACACAAACGCAACGTTTCGTCGGCTCGGTTCGTGCAGAGGCGGATCGCATCGTCGCGGCGACGGCCGGACGAATCCACCTCGTGATCGTCTTCGACCACGCTTCGGCTCGTCCGGCCTTGAAGGCCCGTCGGACCCCCATGTCGAGAGACAACGGGAACGGCGTCCGGTGCTCGCCCCAAGTCTCTCCCGACAATTTCCAAAGGAGAAGCCCCGACCGGCACACCGACCCCATGACCGAATGGCTCACCAATTTCGGCGGTCAAGGCGAGCCGACCTTAGCGGGACACGTCTTCGACATGTCCTCGGAGGTCACCGTCATCATCTCGGCGCACGAAGCGGACCCCCTGATTGCGGCAAGCACCCGAGTCGGCGTCATCGGCGGCGTACGTGTTCAAGGCGAACGTGCCGCCCTCGCCAGCAGAGATTCGGACTACTTCATGATGATCCCAAGTGAGCGTGCGAGATACCGGATCATTCCATCGGTAAAGCATCGCGTGGTTAGAGTCATCGACCTCGAAATCCTGGAGGGTCAGGGAAAGTTCCCGGGTGCGGAAGGAAGGTTCGTTGCGGGGTTGATGATGAGATGCGACTACCTTCCAACCGGTATCGAAGGTTACGGTCCGGCCAAGCTCGAAAAGTTGGATCGGTCAGTCTTTCAACTCGCGACTTGGACCCAAGGTTACGAACACGCCACGGCGGTCTTGCATCGAGTCGGCGCCAAATTTGACGTTCGCGCCGTATGCGATGCAATCACTCCCATCCGAACACTGTACGACTTCTATCGGTGCGACTTGGTCTCGAAGCCACCGAGCGCCCCGCGAGCCATCGAACATTCCCCCCGGGTCCTCTTCCCCGACACTTCGTTCGATGGGGGCTCGGACGAACACCTGCGTCGCCAGTCCGCGCCCGCGCTGCGGCCGTTCCGTGCAACCCCGCTCTTGCAAGGGCGCCAAGGCCACGGATCAGAGAAGGGTCCCCTCCAGCCTCTCGCAGTGATTCGCGATCAAAGGACACGACACGAGGCCGCGGCCGTTCGGCGACTCGAGGCCGTGCAGCCTGGGAGATGTGCGTCGACCCGCCAGATTGCGACCAAGGGCGCCGTCAGGGCGGATGGCTTTCACCTTTTGACCCCCGAGCGCCCGATCGTCGAGTCCGTATCGGAAGGCTCCAATAAGGCGAAGAAGAAGATCACGACCCCAGCCCCGCCCAGGGTCAAGGCAATGTCTGCGAAACAGGGGCGGCGGGCACACGCGATCGCCTCGGGCCAATCTGCTACTACGTCTACCGGCGACTCGGACAGCTCAAAGGGCGCCGGGGCTCTGGCCCAGGTGTACAGGATGTTCACGATGTCGGGTGCACTGGAAGATCTCGTGAGGGAGGTGGACGGTGGAGGCCCTGGCCCTGTGGAAGATTCCAAGAAGCGGCGGCGAAAGGCCAAACAAACGAGGCGCCGGCACAAACAGGGTCGGAAGGCGACAAATCCGTCGACGAGCTCGGGAACGTCGCACTCGCCCGAGACGGCCAGCGACGCCATGTCGATCGGTTGAGCTCGACGACCTGTCTTGCTCGTGGCTTACTCCTGGCGTACTCCCGGCTTACTCCTGGCGCTCATTCTCGCTTGCTTCCTCGTTCCGATCCTCCCCCCCTCATGACACTCTAATCGCACATCGAAGTTCTTTTCTGGTTGATAGCCTCGTCGCCTCATGATTCGATCCCTAGGCACATTTTCTTCGTCTTTTTCACGTACGCTTTGTACGAGTTATAGGGTGCTATTCAGAACACAGATCATCACATCATCATATTGTGTGGCTATTGCCTCGAGACTATAGCGCACCCCTCAGCAGGTGGGAGGAGCGAGTAGGCGGGGAGCGGGGCAAAGAGGAGTGAAAAAGGGGGGGGGGGGGGGGGGGGACGCGGAGTCTGTGGCCGGGGAAGAGGGTTAAAGGGGTTTGGATCTGCGATCGCAGGGCACTACTTCTTTCGAGTCAAAGTGAGAACTATCTTACGAGCTTGAGCTCTTAAGACGATGGTTTACACTGCCTCGATACAAGAGCAGGGTGAAGAAGGAGAGAGAGAGAGAGAAAGAGACCAAAACCGGACTGCTAGCCATGAGAACCGTCGCCTTGATGCTTCCCCGTAAGCAAAGAATACGATGAACCCCCGCGAACCATGTACGGTACATATAAACACCCATCAACATACCATCAAACTCCCCCTCAACCGATACATGGCCCCGCAACGCTCACATCCGATCCCAAAACCCGGTCACCTGACCTTTCCAAGCGGCTTTTCCTCGGGGAATGTTCTGCTAGTCGGGTACTGCGGGACTTGTTAGAGATATATGGTTGTATCGTCCTTCACCTGATTATGGTTCCTATTGTGGTGCTTGGGATTGAGCCTAGCGACGCTTCATGAAATCTCTAGTCACTCATTTTCCCTGCTTTACTAGTATATAATCCCTCTTCCCTATTAGCATTACGCTTCACTTTCTAGCCTTCCGCGAGTCTGTCTCTTAGTCTCTGGCCACTCTGTTCTCGTCCCCGTTCATTGGACTGAGTCGTGGTCATCATCAGATTCCACTTGAGAAAATTTCTGCGATAGGACTGTTCTGCTAGTTGGGCACTGCATACGATGTTGACGAATCATGTCTCGGTACCTATCGAATTTCTGGCCGTGCGCCATAGCCACAGGAACAGGTAGGTGATACCTGAGGCTCGCGGCCTGGCTACCGCTCCACGCACCCACGGGTCACGGCACCAAGTTTCGTCATCAATGCCATCGTCTTCCGCATTGAAGTCCCACTCCTTAAGCCTAAATGCACCGTTGTCTGTCGCGTCGATAGAGTGATGACTCAAATTGTCGCTTGAATGATCCCTCATGTCAAAGTCAACTCCTTCGTTCGTGTTGTCGTCAGTCTCATCAAGCGTGTCACCAGGGCCGGCGCTGCCGGCAAACGAAGCCAAATCCCGCAGGTCACCCGCTGTCGTTCGCTGAAAAAGTTTAGCGTCGTCGGTACACCAAAGTCGAAGCTCCACGCACCCCTCCATCTGTTGTTCGCCCGTGTCCCGGGTGCACCGCCACAAGTAATCAAGGCTCGGGATCGATGGCGATGGAGGAGGGTTCGGTCGGCGTTTTGGACGCCGCCTCGTCAGGATGCCGTGGACATTGTGGGATCCGGTCGCATCCGCCATTTGACTTGTCAAGGCCAATAGAAGTCGTAGCAGCAGCAAGTTCTGGACTTGGTCGCCTCGACAGCGATCATTTCCGGCGGCCACGACTCGGAGAGGAGGGAGACTAAAGACGGCTTACGGGAGGGAGATGAAGAGGAGGTGGTGTTGTACGGGCCTTCACTTTTGCGCCGCAAAGACTCGGAAAACGACGAGCAATGGTGGGATCAGTAGGGCAGGATTTGGAAGGAAGACCGGGCCCGATGTGCGGATGAAGCGGTGAAGGGGAATGAAGAGAGAGCAGCGGTTTGAACGACCGGGACGTTTGAAAGGAGTTTGCTTCTTGTTTTCAGGTAGACTACTTTCAGGATCATTTTTTTGTTTCTACTTGTCTCTCACTTTTTGCGTGTTTCACGTCTCGTTCGGCATCGTCTCCAGTCTCCGACCTCAGCGTTTCGTTCTCGAATTCTGTCTCTCTCGTGTCTCTCGCAAGTCGGGTGTCTTAAAAGCTCTGAGTCATACCCTAGCCCTCATGTTATCATACCATCTTTGATTGATAACATCTTTGATTGCTAATGCCAGCAGCGTAGCCGGAGAATTTTACAAAAGCCTCGCTCTTCGGGGAGAAGCCTAGAGCGGCTCCTTTTCTCGTTCTCATACGGGCCAGGACCTCATCCTTTTCTTCTTCTTCTTCTTCTTCTTCTTCTTCGCCCCTCCTTTGGTCCCGTGGTCGCCCCGTTCTCGATGATCGTGTCGGCCGCCTTCTTCCTCCTCCTCCTCGTGAATTTCTTACGTTTGGTCTTGGTCTGTCTTTCTTGTCTTTCCCATCTAGGGAATCAGGATTTGCTTGTGGTAGTGGCAGTGCGTGTCGCAGGGAGTCCATGCTTGAAACGATGCCGATGGGTGCATTGCGGTGGAGGATAGTTGAAGCTTGAAAGTGGGGGTGCCACTGGCCAATGTGTGCCGAGGCCAAGGGCCGATTAGCTTAGGCGAGTAGCAAGTGCACTACCTGGCTATGCGCGGGCGGTGGGGGAGGGATGGTATACCATTCTGTACCAACGGTTTCCTGGGCCAAAATTCCGAAAGCTGCCTTAACGCGTTACGTGTAAGGTATGCACCTCTGATGTGCATAAAATACAATCTGTCGTTCTTGACCGATAGGGTGAAAGCAGGTGTTGTACAATGTGTAGCCTGACAAGCAGGTCAAGGTCGTGGTGCTGTTGCAGGTCACGACGTTCGGATCGGTGCAAGGCAGGCATTGTTTGGCTGGAGGGCGCCGGAGCGGACGATATAATCGAGATCAGCCATTGAAACTATGTGACAAGATTGCGTGGTAGAACGATGAATCGCAATGCCTCACCATCCGGGCTGAGGCAAGTACCCGGAGTCTTGCTGCAGTCCACGGCTGCGCACCTGCGCAGGAGGGGTCATAGATAGGGGCTCAAAGTGTCACGAATCAGCAGTCCGAGGTCTGAGCGCAGCGCCACCGCGCAGCTTACTCAGCGCTGGGAACTTTCTAGGAGCTTCCAGTTATCTCTATGATCTTGCGCCTCGATCACTTCCTTTGGCTTCAACTTGCTTCCATGAGTTTCTGTCGCTTTCCCTGGGCTTTCCTGCGACTATAAATAGGGCTTCTGTGTAGAAATCGCTCTTGTCTTCCTTCTGCAATCTTGAGCTCATAGTCAACTCCCCCAGTAACCTCCAGCCCCCTCGGCCTCTGTTCTAGTAGTCTTACAAGAACAACTACATCAATCCCGCACTTGTCCCGTCGTCCTCGCTATCACCTGCTGCCTACGGCCCAGCAACCTCAACCTTGACACAAAGTCAGCCCATTCGCCTGCATTAGCCCCAGTACCAAGGCTGAGCGCGAGCGGCATGCACTACTCACTTGCGTTTCGAGTTGGGCACACCGTATGAGCACGTCAGATGCTCTGATCGACTGCACTTCGTCGCGTTCGTGTAGAGCGGAAGCACACAACACGCAAGCGTTCTCTACGATGAACAAGGATGCCGAGATTCAAGCGATGAGCATGCGATGGCACGGGCACTCTCCTTGATCAACACCCAGAGTAGAATTCTTCATGAAATGCGGAAAGAAGCAGCCTGAAGCTGAATGAGGAAGATCGGGCTCAAAGCACGAGGCAGGAATGCCACGCCCAGGGGCAGAGAGCGTTCGAGGTCAGCCTGCCGGGGACGACGCGAGAATTCCGAAGAAGAGCGATCCTACCCACTGATGGCGATCTCGTTGGTGTGGCAAGCGATGCGCTTCTCGAGCGCATGGATAGCCTTGTCCAAGACGGGAGCGGCGATCGAGAGGGTCGACTGGAGGACGAGCAAGGTCGCGGCGAGGAGGCTGGAGCGAGCGAGGACCATTTTGACTTGGCCAGGATCGTTTGGGGGGAGGCCCGAGATGTCACAGTTAGTGGTTTTTTTTATTTTTTATTTGGTAGATTTCAGTAACAGTATAATTGTATTAATACCTAGAAACCTTCGGAAAAGTCGGAGGGAATGCTTTTACGCACACTGGCGGAAGCCAGTAGTGTAGGACTCATTGACCCTTCATCAGGATCAACCATACCTACTAAAACCCCCTTAGGTGGCTTACAAGACACAAGGCGACCCTTGGACTCCTGGATAGACGCTCGAAGCTCCTCGAATTCCGTTTCGGTGATCGGTTCCAAAGGATCCGACGAGAGTCTGAAGAGTTTCTATTCTGATTAGGCTTGAACTCCTGATTCTATTTCTGATATGCTAAACGGAAGATATTCTTGCTTTATAAATCTTGCCCAGGCCTTACAAGTAATTAGCTTGTTAGTATGTTTAGTGCGCCTGGGTGACACTTTACTTCTTAGTCTCTTCTCCGTTCGCTCTCGCAACGGTTCTGACTGAAGTGTCATTCAGTGCGAGATACATAGCGTCCCAAATCAATCATACGAGCGAGGCGAGTGCCCCGGTGTAAAATTGAGGGGGCTAAGAACTCTCCGATCAATGGAGATGGTATAGGAAGGAAGGAATGAGAAGACATTCTGTCGGGACCGGAGGACGTTCACCCTCCTGCACCTCATTCCTCGCCCGGGAGTGATTTTTGGAGCCTTTGGATCCCGCCACTCGGAGGAACGAGCTGCAGGGTGTCTCAGATGCGCTGGGACGGAGGACTCGCCGGCACCGAAATTACGGGCCGCGCGGTGATTCGACGGCTCGGTAGCCGATAAATAAATCGGTGAAAACCCACCCGTTCCCTAGTAGCTACTTGGCACTGCAGTGCAAGTGGGTCCGGGTGGTTCGCTTGTCCCGACACAACAAGAGCGAGAGCGTTGCGTTATGACCGAGAGGTCGAGTCGACGAGTGACCGACAGCCGCGACGCCTGCGAGAGACTGAA